CCTCCTCATCTTCATACTGAGAGCCACGACGTTGGGCCCTAAGCGTATCAGGTGAAGCTGCCTCGTCCCCTGAGGCCGGCTCCCGAGCATACTCTCGACTGCTTTCTGTGCACTGGGTCGGGATGCTCTTAGAGAATGAGGAACCCCGTGCACCACCGGGGGTCAAATGAAAGTTTCGGATTTCCTCCAGTAAGCTGCGAGGCAACGCTTTGTATTGATACTTGACCAGGTCATCCGTCTGGGGCTGGGAATGGCTGTCGGCCCGCGACGAAGGTTCAATGGTCATTGGTGCATCAGCAACAAATGACGGATGGGACAGACTCTTGGAGCTCCTTCGCTTGGCGGCTTTTTCGGATGGCCATGCCCCAGAGCCGGGAGGGGACTCCAACGCGACCTCGTCCGACATCACCCACGGCTCCTCGGTTTTCCGACCACGATCCTGGTTCCTCTTCCGGTCTGGTGAGGTTGTGGTATTCTCTTTGAACAAGCCCAGATAATGGCTGGACTTGCGACTGCGCACATGCGATGCAGGTTCCGCATTTGCCAAGTTCGCCTCAATTGAGTGTTCCACCATACCACGCCGGCCCCGACTCGAACTCCGCTTAACCTTATTTTGCACCTCGTCACGACCATCCCACGGAAAATCCCGCGGGTCCCCACGCTCTTCCGGTACCTGAGTCGTGCCCAATGGCCCCGAAGATGGGGAGCTGATGGCGGAAGGCCGAACGGCAGGACGATCGACCGACCACGGATCCTCTGGAGGTGGGGCGGATTTGGTACCCGACTCATGGGATCGGGATTGCCGATTTTCTGGGATCGGAATGGACGATGCGAGCTCCGCTACGAGGTCGAGGTCATCGGAGTCCCGAGGCCGTTCCCCGTTACCAGTGGCGGACAACAAGGCAGCATGAGTGCTAACTGGTGGCGACAGGAAGGGCGGACGTAATTGAGAGGAGTGATAGGAACTTCTGTCAACGTCAACTTCCATGCGGGCGGCCTCGCCGCAACGAGGGCGAAGGGGAAGGACCTTGGAAGTGGAGGTGGGAACAGAAACTGAGACGGAAGATGGTACATGTTGCTGTATGAGCCTGGAGCTCACACCGGCCGGACGACTGTTGTCGTCATCGCGGGAAGGTAGAGAGGGCAAAGCTTGTGTTTCACTGTCAGAGGGCAAGTAATTGGTCGCAAAGATGCTATCTCGTTCCGAGAGCTGGGGGCTGCGGGAGCGATGAGGACGAGTGAGTCTCTCTAGCTCGGGAGGGTGCTTGGGATGTTTCTTTAGAGGAGCGGATGCGGATGCGGAGGAAGTGGGTAGAGACCATTGATAAGCAGACGGCGATTCAGCACGAGAGGGCGACGGGGCTTGTTCATCCTGATGTTGATTGTCTCCCTGTCGCAGCTGCTGGTGGCGACGAGCGAGGCAATCATGATGAGCAGCAGCCGCAGGTGTTACCAGGGGTTGATCAGACACGGTCTTCTTTTCGGCAGGCGGAGGGGTTGACATGGAGAGGACATTGGTTGGGAATTGCAGGATTGGAGAGTGAGTGATATTGGAGAGTGATAAATGGGGAGTGGATATATTAGAGGGATGTAAGTGACAGAATCAGGTAGGAGGATTGAGATAAGGGAGACCCGAACAGGAAGGAGGGAATTGGCGTCACCACCGGTTCACCAACCACGTTCCCGGGGCGCGAGCTCTGACAGGCCAGAGAGAGATTGATGCACCAATAATGGAGATTCTTGGGAGGAACTGGGGAGACAGGAACAGTTATTACTGGATGAGAGCAGTTTTGGCATTAACTAGAGAAAGGAAAGTGAGATACTAGCGGTGGTAGTGGTGGTGGTAGGAGTAGGGATACCAACAAGGGAGAGAAGGAAGACGATGAAAGGAGAGGATCTTCTCACCGCCTTTGTGGGGCGTAGGGCGGATACTGTATTTATACAGAACGGGGTACTCTGTACAGTGCTTTAGGACACAGATAGTAGATACAAGCGTCTTAGAAGAGAATTGACCTGGTGATTATTATCATTAATTGTACTCAACATACGGAGTACTACCATCAAGTACAGACTTATATGTACATCTACCACTCTGTGCTGCATACCGGCAGAACGGCGATCTGTTTAATTCCAGTAAGGGCGATTATGGCTGCCTTGGGTTACGCTTTGGGTCACCTGACAAACATAAACAATGACGACAGACAATCAATATCAATTTGAGATACCCGGGTACAAAGGTATAGATAAGAGGAGAAATACTAGGCTACTACGGAGTACAGAGTGCATACTTGTATGTCGCTCTGTGCCTGCCACATGTCCCCTTTGTACGTCACCCCAGGGCAATCTGCAGCTGGCCGTTATCAAGATACATATTCCAGAACATTGTCATACTTGACTCTCTACAAACATATTTGTCTAGTACGGAGTACGGAGACTACTTACGAATCCTTCTCCAGACACTACTAATGCGGCACAGTCATCCTATTCTTCTCATTGGCGAGCGCTTGATGTGATGTGATCAAAATCGACGGCGCTGTGATGGCGCCGTTCCTCATCTTCCAACGGCAGCTGCCGAACCACCGCCAAATGCTTCTGACTGGATGTCTCCAGTAAAGTCCACATCATAATGCAGAATACCAAGAAAGAGTGGTCCCGACGATACACAGCGAGCCCGAATATGCATGTCACTGTCACTGTCCTCCCGAGGCCGACGCCCAGTGATCACTCTCACTCTTACACACCTTTAATTCTGCCTACACTTCTAACAAGTGTTTGCTCTTTCGCTCTTTACTAACCTTTCTCGCTCACTGTCTATAATATTTCTGTATTATATTCTGTGCTTTTGTTGTCTTGTTCATCCTCAACTGCAGCGTCCGCATCGTCTCCGCCGGCCATTATCGGTGGAGTGAGTGTACATACATCCAGGTACATCTAGGTACATGTGCTGTCGCTGAATTCCACAAAACTGCAGCATACACGCTCGTTTCTCGTCAATCTGAATTGGCATCGTTTGCATTGACCTCGGGAATCCTTATTTGTCCTTGAATCATCCGAAACCGAGTTAAAACGGCCGTTGCTTGCTTTGCGACAGTCTCATAACCTACCGTGAACCAAACACAATGAACCGCCAATTACGCTTAGATACAAACAATGTAAATCGCAGATATTCTTTCCTTCAGACGCCGTTGGAGATGCATGCCCCGGGTTACCAACCAGCAGCCGCCGTGGATCCAACACAACACCAACAGCGCATGCAGGAACAACAAGAACAATCCCAGGAACCAGAGCAGACAGTGTCCGGTCAAGTACCGCAACAAACACCAAATACAGTAAATGAAAAAACACAATATCTACAAAATGACCCGGTCGCCTCTCCTTATATTTCTGGCTCTCCTCCGCCGCCGGAACAGCATCCAGCCAACTACGCTCCATATGCCGACGAGATGATTCAACCTCACCCTCAACCCACCTATGCAGAAGCACCGCAATATGTGCAGGATCTTACCCCAAGGTCGCCAGGGCCGCTACCCTTGAAGACAGATCAAGCAAAGTTGGAACCGAATCCAAACCCCCGTCCTCTGGCTGTCGTGCCAGATACGAACCCGTTGCACTCTCCCCAGTTTCCACGATTCCCTCCACCAACAGCGACAAGCACAGGTCAGGTGGCAGTTCCGGAGGATGTAGCTGCATACCACCAGCCCGGTCAGGTAAAACATCCGGACCAAGAGATAAAAGGCGGAACGTGGACTCATAGCATGTGCGACTGCTCCAATATCAGCACTTGCTGTCTGGGAATCTTCTGTCCTTGTATCCTATATGGAAAGACACAGTACCGGCTTACTCTGAAGTCGCGCAAGGAAGACCCGACAAATTTATTAGGGTATAGCGCATGCAATGGGTCTTGTACAGCAATGGCTCTGCTGTGTGGTTGTCAATGTGAGCTTTGCCTTCTTTCTCCAGCTGAATAGTTTAGCTAACAATGCTAGGGCTTCTGGCAACCATCCAACATAAGCGGATTCGAAAAGCATACAGCATCAGAGGCGATATCGGATCTGATTGCGTACGCGCTACCTGCTGTACCTGCTGTACTCTTATCCAAGACGAGACGGAAATCAAGAAGCGAGAAGAGGATCGCGCCAGAATAGCAGCAGCGCAAGGGGCAACGCTCATGTCGCCCTACACTGCCCCGACACCAATGTCCTATCCTCCACCCCCGAGATGATCATGCGCTGTTCAATGCATCGGAACACTCTCTTCATCCCTTCTTTCGATCTCTTCACACCTCGCACGGCAGGAGGATACCCTGTCCTCATGCCTTTTCTCGACATTGTACCACAACTTGTAGTTATGATATCCACGGTTTCATCATTTCTTCCTTGTTCTGTTGTATATACCATTACATGGTCAACAAGTATCTGTATGCCATGCCACGATAGGAAGTTCAATATCAGATTAATCTTATTGCAGCTGTCATTGTATGTTTAACTCAATTCCCATGAAAAAAAGCTCAAAATTCCCGTGGCATAGTAGTGGTACAATGACCGAATCTCGACCGCCGACCGCCCGGGTGGCGGTTCATCGGCGGCCGGCAAAACGAATGAACGCCTTTCTTGGGCTCTGATCCTCCACGCCCCTTAACCGTTGGACTAACCTCCATTGCTCGCTAAACGTCCTATATCTTCATTTTGTATGTCTCTTACTGTCTTTCTTGGCCCGTCTACATTCTCCAATTACTACGTTACGATCCCATCCCCGAGTTGACTCGACCGCCGCATCCAATACTCGATACTCTTTTGTCCATCGATCCTCAGCCATGCCTATATAAGGGAAAAGAATAGCTGATTAGCGAAGGATATCGAGACTGTATGCATGCTTATGCTTGTCAAAAAAGAGATTATTTCCGATGGTTTCAGACAATACATGAGCGGCCCGCAACGTCAACGACAACGACGACGGCGACGACGAAGACGACGACGTGAATCCTTCCAGAGTAGCCGACCATGGGGGACGCCGCTGGTTTGACTCCCCGTCAGATTTGGGCTCAGCCAACGTCCACGACCACTACGAGTTATCACCCCGGTTGTACGCCGTTTCTCCTCCCACAACATGGTTACATTCATTTGAACCGGACTGCGACCCTCACTCTGACGCAGAACGCGGTCTTTGAGCCTCTCTGTACGGGCGAGCCATCAAATGTTACGAATCCTTCTGCCGTGCTAGATACCCGCGACCCCTTTTATTCGTCCGTCACGCCGCAGTTATATGCGATCGGTTGCGCCACTGTTGTCAGCTATCTTCTCGTTATTATCCTCTTGATTACTCCTCGTACATATTACATTGGTGGCCCTAGTGGTGGCGCGAATTTTCTGAGTCGACATGGCATGCTTGGGGGTTCATACAGTGGTGGTTCCTCGACTGTGGGAGTCGGTGGCCGGCCATGGCTTCAAAAAGTTGCTGCAATATTGGTTGCCATCTCATTGACCATCGCGAGCGCGGACTCGTTCAAGGTTGCTGAAAGGCAATATATATACGGATACTCGGACGCTGAAGCACTGACTGCAGAGGTTATTGATGGGAACGAAATTCGAATAGTTCGCGTCATATCTAGCACTTTTCTCTGGCTTGCTCAGGTCCAAACGTTGATTCGACTATTTCCGCGACATAAAGAAAAAGTTATGATCAAATGGGCTGGTTTTGCATTAATCGTATTGGATACGACATTTAGCATTCTCGAGAACTTCCTTGTGAAATCGAATACCACGCGACCACGGTTATACGACGATGCGATTCCTGCACTCAGTTACTTATTCGAGCTTTCCCTAAACTTGCTCTATGCCGCATGGGTTATCTTCTATTCCTTATCGAAACACCGATTCGCGTTCTTTCACCCGAAGATGAAAAACATATGCCTGGTAGCCCTGTTATCACTCTGCGCCGTGTTGATCCCGGTTGTGTTTTTTGTGTTAGATATCGCAAAACCCGACGTGGCTGGCTGGGGTAGTTACATCCGGTGGGTTGGATCTGCCGCAGCGAGTGTCGTGGTCTGGGAATGGGTAGAACGGATCGAGGCCTTGGAGCGCGATGAGAGGAAAGATGGAATTCTCGGAAGGGAGATCTTTGATGGCGATGAAATGTTGGAGATCACGCCATCTGAAGAAGTCGATTGGCCGCGCCAAACGTACAACGGGAATGATCGAGGTGGTGGCACAGGGACATCGTCAGGATGGGGAGGCATGATGGGCTTAGCACATCATCCGCTGCGAACCCGAAATAATGGACATGGAAGACAGCCTGGCCCACAGAATCAAACATACGCCCTCTTTGCCGAGTCACGACGCCGGAGAGCAGCCCGGCCCACTCCACCACCGGTAGCGGTCACGCCCGTCAGTCGGGCAGATACCAACAGTGCAGCGAGCACAGTCTATAATGTCCGCTATCACCCTGTCTCGAGTCCCACCCCGCCAGTTATGATGCCTTATATGGAAGAGGAGGAGGAAACGGATGGGCCCAAAGAGGAGCATAACAGACAGCATAACGATCATTCCGACGAAGCTCTTACGGCGCAACAGCATCGAGAAAACCTGACTCAAACCGTCCACACGGATCCGCGATGGCGGAGTCTATTGAACCCATTCAAACGAAGACGTGCATCCCCGCCAAGGGAAGTCGCTTCCGCACAGGCAGAGCACCCCGAGGAGAAAGAGTCCGATTTCTCCGAAGACGAGGGGCACGAACAGCAGTGCAATGTCCCGCGCAGAGACAATCACTTCTTCCCTTTCCACCGCAAAAGGGGTCCTGCAAGCGGACGTCAAGCTGCTGATGCATCCTTGCCGGTCACCGTTATTCCTGCCCGGAATCAGGGACAAAGCACCTGGTCGGCACAGCTATTCAATGACTCCAGTCTTCTTGAGCAGGGCCGTCGTCCAACCTCCAGCCATCCGGTTTCCGGTCATTCTAATCTACCCGTGAGGGTTCCATCGCAAACGCGGGTTGCTCCGCCATGGGCAACCGATGATAATGCCAACCATTATGAACTGCGCTATGACCCCGAAGCGGCGGCTCTCGTTGGGCCCGATGACCATTTCCCGGACCACCTTTCTGCAAATCACGCACAGGATGCGTCTCAAGCTTCTGAGGGGGTGGGTTCTGATGGGACGGTCTACCAGCCTACACCACAGCGGCCGGGTCAGGAACGCGGGCGATCTTTCGGCCATTTCGGCGCAGGATAAAAGCGCGACGAGTGAGATTATTTCCATTTATCGCCATGATTAATTTATTATATCGGGGTTTTGGGAAAATTGGTTTTTCTTTTTTTTTTTGGAGTATTGGGATTTTGACAGCTATATTCAAGTGATACCCAGTGATTGGCGCGTTCTTTCTTTTCAGGGGTTATTTATGTGGTATATGGGATTCTATCTTCTCGACTTGTCGATGTCTTTCTATATTATAATTTCTTTAGTTAACGACTTTTCAATTATATACTTTTTGCTATCTTGAACTGGAATCTAGGATCTATACAAGGCGGTGTGAGCCTAATAGACACTCAGAGAACCCGATGCTGCATTCTTTGAACATACATGAGACATCCTCTGAATATAAAGATCTTCTGCTTAGCAATGCCTTTTCTGTAATTGTCTATTATCACTGTGCCTTATCGGGGACGAACACGAACGAACACCGAGATCCTTCCAGGCGGAACTTTTTCCCCCCGTCAAATCAAGACTTCCGAAGCTCCAAGCTCTCTTCTTATTTCCTCTCTTCGCCAACACCACCCATTCTGACATGATATTGCGATCCCACCAATCGATGCCTCATCCTTTTCCTGTTGGACATCCATTCTCTCCGGTCCATGCTGTGACATCATTGCTCGTGGACGTCGCACCATGGCGGCTGTCAATCGAAACATGTTCGAAGCCACCGTCACGGCGCACACGCCGGACGACGCATCGTTGATGGTGATGCCGTTGAACTTGATCGACAAGATTATTTCCTACGTGCGTTTCATCATACGGCTGGATGTCCTACGGCTAACATTTGTTGAAACCAGGTCGACGACACCGCAGACCTCGCCCGGCTATGCAGGACCTGCCGGGTCCTTAACTACATGTCTCTCCCACTCTTGTACAGAAACCTCACCCTAACCTCTTACGACAAAATTCGATACTGCGGCGAAGAACCCGAAGGAATGGGCAGCGCAAGCCCCTTCTCAATGGGCCTCAACGCAGTCATTACCCGGCCGTATGCGAGACTCGTCCGATCGCTGACCATCCGCGGCGAATGGCGCGAACACGAACTCGAAGAACACGCGCGAGTCGGACGGGTACCTGACTCCTCGATGATGCTGAATATAGCCGTCCGCGCGGCTGTGGATCGCATGCCAGACTTGGAGAGTTTTAGCTGGGAGCTTAATACAAAGATGCTGGAGACGGTGTATGTGGGACTTGCGCAGTTGCCGCGTTTGACGTCGTTGAATGTGCGATTTCCGAGTAGTCGGCATCCGAGGCCAACGATTGTTATTCCGCCGATGCCGCATTTGAGGAGGTTGAAGTTGACGGATATTGACCCGTTGTGCTATCCGGATGACATTTCGACGTTGTTGTGGAAGTGTAAGAAGTTGAAGGAGCTGAATATGCATTGGTCGCCGCGAATGCGCAATGCGCAGGAGCCGAGTGTTATGCTGCATGATTACTTTCGCAAGTGTGTTGCGGCGAAGGAGCCGTTGGCTGTGCGGAAGATTGCGCTGCAGAATTTGTATGCACTGCACAGTGAAGAGTTTAACATCGCGTTTGATCCTAATACGGTGGAGGATGTTACGGTTCTCAACAACACTGGCACAGATGGTCCGAGTTTCATGAATACTTTTGTGGACAGGAGCTGGCCGACGAATCCACCTAATAGTCGTCTGCGTATCAAGTGTATGAGACAGGATGCGCTGTCCAAGAGACACGCTGAGTTTCTGGCGAAATTCACAGGCTTAGAGAAGCTATACTTCGTCAATCCCCCTCGTGATGCCAACGATGTGGTCTCCCCGAGAGCTCCGAGCTCGTCCTCGCCGCCACCATTCTCAGACTACGCTTATCCTCATTTAAACTCCCCTACCGTCTCATCACCGAACCCTGCAAGCCTCCAGCTCAACATCCGAGATAGCTACCTCAACGCCATCGTGACAAATCACGCCTCCACACTCCGCCACCTTCTACTCCCATCCCGATGGCCTCTCTCCTCATCCACCCTTGCCCGCATTGTTCACGCGAGCCCAAATCTAGAACAATTCGCTTTTGCAACGGAGGTGAACAGCATGGAGACGCTAGGTCTCATTCTTCCGTTTCTCCGGAAGCTAGTGGCTCTTCGCCTTCTAATTCCAACAGGGAATATCTCCTCGCCTCCCAATGGAACAAGCACAGGAACAGGGGCCACGCCACGGACTATAAGCAATGCGAACGGACTCGTCTCAGTGCGAACACTACAAGATCTTGTCGAAGTGGACGATAAGATTCTCACGGAGAAAATGAGCATACATCTAGCTGATAAGAGTATCTTCAGTCATCTTAAGGTCCTAGGAATTGGCTGGAAAGCATGGGAATTGCGCGAGTTCTATATTTCAGACGACCATCAGCAGCCATCATCCCAACCACACACAGAACAATCTCCAAACCACTACGTCTCTTCCCCAACCCTCCAAACATCCACATTCGAAAACGGCACACCAAACCCAGGCCTAGGCATGAACATCACCTCCCCCACACATCCCCATCTCCCCTCCATCCCATACACACACGGCTATCCTCAATCCCGCCAGCAATCCACCACCTCAGTCCTCGGCAAACGCTCCCGAGAAGATGACCACCAATCCCCCTTCACAACCTCGCCCACAAAAACCCATCACCACCAACCACTTCCTCACGAGAGCATTCTTGCGGAATTAGAAGATAATGTTTGTCTCCCGCTGCAGACCAATCCGGATGCGCAGCGGTGGAGAAGAAGGTTACGGCGTGTGGGGTGGGAGGTGCTCAAGGATTGGGAGGTTTGGGGTTTGGATAAACAGGAGTTTTAATTGGGATGGGGTGTGTTTATGCAGATTATACAGATTCAATGTACATATAAATCTCATCTTCGGAGTCTTATCATTTTTGTGGAATATGAACGTCATGGTGTTGTGGTGGTGTTAGGATATATATTCGAAGTCACATGTATTTATTGCTGTCTTCCACCATACCCTTATGTGATATCGAGGTACACAGATTCATAAATCCTTGCCATGTAGATATTTATTCGTACAAGGGGCATAACAAGCGAAACAGACAAGCACTCTAATGCTTGCCCCTCGAATCCAATACAAAACGACGACCCCAGACTCTTAACCCAGCCGTTGCCTACACAAATCACCCTAAGTAGTACAACTAACTACACTGTACATTTAACATCAACAGTCGATCTATGATACTCCCTACACCTCTGCGCAGATATATCCTCAACAAGCAACTCAAACTGCCCTCACTACCCTCAAACATGGTATGAGCCGCGAGGGCGAGGAGCTCATAGCGAAGATACAATTGGACTTTAGAATGAATCAGATGTATATACAGTAGCTCAGGAAGGCTGGATGGTGTCCGCATTAGAAGGCCTGATATCCATATAAAATCTGCATAGTGATGTCTTTCTATTCGTGTTTCCATATCTGGAGATGATGTCTACTTAACCCTCATCGTAGAACCAGAATTGAGCTAACCATATCCGGTTAGTGCAAGCCAATAATACATCATGGTCGCGGCGAAATGAGTCTGTCGCAAAGGCGCCGAAGGGAAAAACAACACTTTGCGCTTTGTCAAAATGGGAAAAGGTGAGTGTTTGATAGCAAAATTGATTGCGCATGCTATAGGTATTCGTCACTAACGCTTTGTTTGTTTATAGGAACGGATAAACTTTACGTACGTCGCGCCTTGACCTGACAGCTAGCACTCGATAAGAACTCAACTAACAATCTTCAAATCGAATAGATCACCCACTCAGAATGGTCCTCCGAAGACGCATACTCAGCTAGCGCCGGCGCCGGCGTCGGCAAAGCTCGGAAAGGCGACCAAGCCGCCTTCAGACGCCTCCCCTTCAACTTCTGTTCCCTTTCCCTCCAACCATACCAACACCCCGTCTGCACCGCCTCGGGGACAATCTTCGACCTCACCAACATCCTTCCCTGGATCAAAGACCGCGGAACAAACCCAGTCGACGGCACGTCGCTGAAAAGCTCGGATCTGATTAAGCTGAACATCGCGAAGAATGAGTCTGGGGAGTACGTTGACCCGGTCACGTATAAGGTTCTCACGGATAATACGCATATCGTTGCGCTGCGGAATACGGGAAATGTGTTCGCGTGGGATACAGTTGAGAGGTTAAATATCAAGGGGAAGTTGTGGAGGGATTTGGTTACGGACGAGGAGTTTGGGAGGAAAGATATCATTACGTTGCAGGATCCGCAAAATATCGAGGGGAGGAATTTGAACTCGTTTCATTATATGAAAACGGGGGAGAGTCCGGTGACGGAGGAGCATGACCCTGCGAAGAACGTGAATGTGAATGCGCTGGGTAGTGCTGCGAAGATTGTCAAGGCGAAGGAAGCCGTGGCCAAAGCTCGCGCGGAGAGAGCTCAGCAGACTGCTTCTGCTGATTCTAAGGGGTTATCGAAGGCTGGAAGCGCCGTAGGTGCGAAAGCGGCAGCCCAGAAGACGCAACAGCCTGGAAAAGTCACTCCTTACAATGCTGCGCGACACACGACTGGACTGGCGGCTGCTTCGCTTACTAGCACTGGTATGACACCACATACGTCTGGTGAGCTAGCGCTTCTTTCAGACGAAGAATACATGCTGAAGCGAGGTCGGGTCAAGCACAAGGGTTATGCTCGCATGTCGACTACTTCCGGAGATTTGAACCTGGAGCTGCATACTGAGTATGCGCCTAAGGCCGTGTGGAATTTCCTCAAGTTGGCCAAGAAGGGATACTACAATGATGTCACGTTCCATCGGAATATCAAGGGCTTCATGGCCCAGGGTGGTGATCCGACTGGAACTGGTAGGGGAGGCGAGAGTATTTGGGGGAAGTATTTCAACGATGAGTTCGAGGGACCTTTGAAGCATGATTCTCGGGGGACCTTGAGTATGGCGAATAAGGGGAAGAACACGAACAGCAGTCAATTGTGAGTTCCAGTTTTGCCCTCCTATCGGTTGCGTGCTAACCCTTTCCAGCTTCATTGCTTATCGTGCTCTGCCTCACCTGAACAATAAGCACACTATCTTCGGTCACATCATTGACGATCCAACCCCTTCATCTACTACGCTTAATAGTTTGGAAATGCACCCTGTCAACCCAACGACAAACCGACCGACCCCCGACGTTCGAATTAAAGACGTGACAATCTTCGTCGATCCATTCGAGGAATTCCTGAAAGAGAAACAAACCAAAGAAGCGATTGACAAGGGCCAAGTCCCACGAACAACAGAAGAGAAAGAACAAGATGCGCGACGGGAAGATGATGATCGCGTGACCTGGACAGGAAAGAGAGTCCGTGGTGCCGGGGAAACAACCACGGATGACAGCTCTGGGGGGGGAGTCGGAAAATATCTGAAAGCTACACTTGCTGAACGGGCAGGCCAGGGTCAAGAAGAGGACGAGATTGTTGAGTTTGTGGACGAGGAGCCGGAGCCGGAACCAGCGAGGAAAAAGGCGAAAGGGACAGGGGGTTTTGGAGATTTCAGCTCGTGGTAAATCAATTAGTGAGGAATCTTCAACCTTTTCCTTCTTGATATGTTGTGATATAGATCTACAAGTAGCTACCTTGATAATCGCTTGGGATGCTCGTACTCCGTCTTCCATTCGTGCGAATTTGGTAGAGGTAATATTCCGAGTCGCACACTATGCGGTACTACTCTCCATAGTCTCGCGTGTCAAACTCTACATGGAATAGGCCCAAATATAGAATGGGTGACGATTGTCCATCCCTTTTACAAGAAGTTGGCCGTTTGCATAATTCGTAGTACTCGATTGTGGCCGGAATGGTGTATACTACCGCCGCCCCCTTAACCAGGAGTGTATATTCATACATGACAGCCGTTAACAATTGATGTTAAATGCACAAAATCTCCTAATTTTCTAGATTGATTCTGGCTTTCCCGGAGAATTTCGATTTGCAGCTCTAGAACATTTCCCATTATCAAGGTGACTCCACCGGTTCAGCGTTCTACTGCTCGATTGTCCCCCCCCGTTTCTCACTCTTCTCCGCCTTCCAGGGACCATCACTACAACTACACTCTACTCCTACTGCCTCTTCTACTACATCATCCATCTACCCATCGTCAATCCATCATCCTTATCTTCGCTCTATCTGTACTATATTCTTAGTGAGTATATTGAATCACTCTTTGCTCTGCTTGAATTCCATATGCCTGTTCCTCTGCTCGCCCCCCAGTGGGGTTCATCCGGAGTACTGGGGAGCCCAATTCTTGTTCAATTCCCTGTTGCTATCTTTTATCTGGATAATTTGTTTCTTACAAGAGACGTTATGCTCTTTTGTACTTCTTCTATTCCATACTGTTTCATCGTCCTTGACTAGAAGTGGCTGGGTGCATAGCCGCTTGATCACCCCAACCCCGGACTCTATTACCTGTTCCCATTGCATTGCGTTTACAACCTGCCCTCTGAATTCCCTCGAATTCGCCAGTCTTAAACACAGCAAGAACCGCTGTAGATCCAAATTAACTGACTGAATTTTCTGTTGTACTTTCCAGCTCGATTTGCCGTCACTTCCGCAGCCAATTTAATAGTACCTAGGATTATCTCCTCGGCCTCCACTCTTCTCCCTCCTACGTCAGCGCGTATTTGGCGCTCTTCACCCACCACTCCGTCAACTGCATTGCGTGCTTTCGCCATATCTTTTTATCCCCATATTCCTTCCAACCTTCAAGCTGGCAGGAAATAAGCGCAGAAGTTCTTACCAGGGTGGGTTGCTGAACAGAATGTTCAGTGGCTCCTCGAGCCCACCCAAGGACAAGACCGATTCCGTTCCACACTCCAACAGTATCGACACTCCTTCCTCCTCTTTAGCCGTTCCCGCCGAAGACAGCACCGTGTCTACCAAAAAGTTCTCCCCTCCCACTGGGTTTTTTAGCCGCAGAGCCAGCGAAGACCAGAATAACCCAGGTGGCGAGAAGAAACGCAGGAGTAGCACTGTTACCAAGGCGGCTACCTTTTTCAGCAACGCCAAACAATCTTTGACCCTCAGTACTCAGCGCGAGGAAAACAGCAACGGGTCGCCAAGTTCACCCAATCCACTACAGAAACTCGGGAATATGGATGCTGCATTAAGTGTTCCCCAAGGGTCAGGCAATAACTCCGCGGGTGAATCGATACCCACCGCGCGTTCATCGTTCAGAGTCGGCGTCACCGAAGATCGGAATCGGAAATGTCGTCGCACAATGGAAGATACTCATGCCTACCTCTACAATTTCCTGGGAACCCCCGCTCCGTCTACACGCGCCGAGGTCGACGACGACAAAGACGTTTCCCCCACGGCTCCCACTTTCGACTCCACTGTCGAAACAGATAATGGGTACTTTGCTATTTTCGATGGCCACGCAGGCACTTTTGCAGCTGAATGGTGTGGGAAAAAGCTGCATCACGTTCTCCAGGATGTTATGCGGAGAAACCCCAATGCGCCCGTTCCCGAACTCCTCGACCAGACTTTTACCAGTGTTGACCAGCAGCTGGAGAAGCTACCCTTGAAGAACAGTGGCTGTACCGCAGTTATCGCTCTGCTCAGATGGGAGGATCGGGTTCCCAGCCCACATTCGGCCACTGGTACCGCCGCACTTGCGCCCGTAGCCGCCGCGGAGACGATAAAGAGTGAAGGCGACACCAAGGCCGGAGAAAATGCTCAGTCCGATTCTACAACCGTGCTTCCCAAGCTGCAAGAGAAAGCTAGCCGTCAGCGTGTGCTCTATACCGCCAACGTTGGTGATGCGCGTGCTATTCTCTGTCGCAATGGCAAAGCACTCCGTCTTTCATACGACCATAAGGGCAGCGATGAGAACGAAGGGAAACGGATAGCTAGCGCTGGTGGATTAGTCCTCAACAACCGTGTCAATGGTGTGCTTGCTGTGACCAGAGCGTTGGGTGATGCGTACCTCAAAGATCTTGTCACAGGGCATCCCTACACCACCGAGACCGTTATCCAGGCGGATGCTGATGAATTTGTCATTTTAGCGTGCGATGGAGTATGTTTCCCCATGCTTTCTTTGCCTAAGTATTACTGACAAGCGTAGCTCTGGGATGTCTGCAGTGACCAGGAAGCCGTGGAACTCATCCGCAACGTCCCCGATGCCCAAGAAGCCTCCAGGGTTCTGGTCGACCATGCGCTTGCTCGATTTAGCACAGATAATTTGTCGTGTATGGTCATTCGCTTCGACTCGAGTCGCGTAAAGAATGTCATCAATCAAGCCGTTGAACCGATCGGTGTAGACGGGGATCCCGCAACCGCCAAAGAGGGCATCAGCGAAGCCGACAAGATCGTCGAAGGAACCCGGCAGAGCATGGCTAATGCAGGAATCACCGATGACTCAGAAAATGCTCAGAAGGTCAACGAAGAGATCATCCGGAGGATGTCGACCGACGAGCCCGGACCAGAGTTGTCAGTTAACGAGCACACGGATGTCCCGCAGGAGGCTGCCGATAACAAGCCTGAGACTGAAACTAAGGACAGCAAGGGTTCCTGAGCATTCATACAATTTCTTTCATTCGGGACTGGCATTACATTCAGGGATAGAGACCTTGAGTTGGATCAGGTAATGGAGTTCTGAAGTGGCTTTGTCTTTTTATTGTTTCTTTCTGTTGAGATCGATCACCAAGCACTCACTCATGGCCAGGGCTGGCCAGGGCTGGCCAGACCACTCACCATGTTCTTGGAAGAGAAGCTCTTCATGGTATTGCATGTTTCCATTTTTTTCTCATCTTTTCCCATTTATCATTCAACCATGTGTGATTCTATCTTTTCTTTTTTTTTGTTTTGCCTTGGTTGTTATTATTATTATTCTTTTCCTTTTTTACTTCCTCGCCTCGCTTTTGCTAGAGGTAGTCAGTCTTGATGCCCGTGTTGTCTTTATCTTTTCTTTTCTTCATCGACCACTGTGTTTGTACGGCTACTGGATACATTGTGATGTGAACCCAATTTACACATTTGAGGTTGGGACATTTACCGGTTTGGTTCTGGAGTAGTGGTTTTGCTTGCAAATCGACTATTTGGCATCGAGGATCTGAACTCATTTTCTCATTCAAAATACGTACACAAATGATAATTGAATATCTAAAAGTACAATCTGAGGGGAATACATGTCGCCATTTCAGTTCGATAGTTGAACGCCATGCTTTCACTGTTGACTTATTCACCACATTTAAGCCTGCTTAGCCTCCTTCTCCTTGAACGCATCATCCGCAAGGACCTCAACATCGTAGATCGGCTTCTGACCAGGCATAACATGGTCGCGGCTCAAGTCCAGCTCGCCATGACGCACACGCTCAGGCCAAGCCTCCGCAAACCGCGCATCATGAACATCCGTCCAGAGAACCTTAACATTCCCACCCTGCAAAGCAGGATCATTCTGACTGGTATCCTCAACCTTGTAGTCAACCACCTTGCTACTCAGCGTCTCCTCAAAGCTCGCGATCCGCCCGGCGGCCTTATTAGCATACTCCTCCTCCTTCTTCCGCGCCTCACGGCGACGTCTTCGCGCAGACCGGGTAATGTACCCCCTCTTGCCATCCGCAAACCCATTCCTCACCTCCTCCTCCTGAATCGCCAGCACAGCAGCCACATCCGCAACGCTAGTAGCCTTCTGATCCATCACCACTCTTGCGCGCTCCTTCTTCTCCATCAACCAGCCGATCTTGCTCATGTACTTCTCGTCGAATTCTTTCGCTTTTTCGGGATCGCGCGGGCGTTTCTGGTCCAGGTAGCGGTCGGAGATGGTGATCATTTCGCGGGGCGGGGAGAGTTGGCGCTGCATGGAAAATTCGCGGAGGAGGTGGTAGGCACGGAGGCCGATTTTGGTGTCTGCGAAGTGCACGGAGTAGTAGGGTACCCACATGTCTTTGCGGAGGGTTGCTGGGACGGTTTTTTTGCCGTGATAGAAGAGTTGGCGGAGGACATTGTTTTTCTGTAACACAATTGTATCAATAATTTGTCGTTTCTAAGATGGGAGTGAGAGGTGACTTACTTCCAAATACCTCGTCAACGAATAAACAACCTGATTCGTGCGGATGTTGTGGTAGACGAAAATGTTCTTGCCGTGCGTGAGGGCATTCAGGGCCTTCCGTAACCGCGTCCCCTCCTTCGATTGATGTGTCTTGAAGGCATTCGAGCCCTGCTCGCGGGTCTTTCCTTGGATCACCGATTTATTCTCGATTGGTGGGCGACGAACGACATTCCAGGTTCCGATCTTGGTTGGGTCCAGGATCTTCTGGAAGGGTTTTGTGAAGGACGAGGTTGAGGAGGCCATGATGGCCGGTGGGGATTTCCCTCTTCTTCTTCTTCTTCTTCTTCTTCTTCTTTTCTCTGCGGAAGCGTGGCTCGATTGATCAAGCGTTCATGTGTATCGTAATGGCGAGAGTTGCGAGTGGTGGTGTGGTCGTGGTTGTCGACAACCGCAGTGGTAGTGATGGTGTAGCGGAGACGAACTTTTACGGGAAAACGGACTCGGCGAATCCCCGGCGGGCGGCATCTCCGCAAAGCCCAACTCACCTAATAACGCTACGACATCACAGCGAGCACAACAGCTTCGCATAGCTGCTACTGCTCACTTATTGAAGGTAGAATGACTGGCTGGTCGCAATTCTCGTGCGCCAGTTAACCTGCCATGTCGCTGACGGAGCACCCCTCCGGCGGACTGGACAAGGACGGTACTGGCAGTCGCCGCGAGAAACCATGGCTATTCCCTTCGGTACAGTCTATATTTTCTTTGACTTCTGCTCAATTGGAACTAACAGGCTATGCGTAGAACCGCCGCCTTCGACATCTCAATGGAATCTCCGTCCGCAATCTTGTCGTCACTCCCCCTTCCAGTTCCAGCAAAGGGAAGGGAAAAACGATTGATGATGAAGAGATTCCCAAAGCGCTGCAATCGCCATCAAAGCAGATCCTAGCCCAGGATGCGAACCGCTCGTTGCACCAGTCACGGTCGTTTACTGATCTCAAGTCCCAGGAGGCGGGGGAGAATCGTGGCAACACTAGTCATAGCAAGAGACCACCACGCCGGAGGAGCACGTTGTTGCCCTGGAACGACCCTAATCCGCACACACGTCAGGTTAATTTGGAGGATATCACGAAGAGTCGGATGGCGGATTCGTGGTTCTCGGTCCACTGCGAGGGCGTCGAAAACCCGGTTTATGTTAGCGAGGTGATTGAGAACGCAACAAATCCGAGCTTTCGTTCATTTGATCTGCATATGTGTGGATCGTTGATTTTGCGGTTAGATCAGTTGACTCTGAAGTTGTGGGCGAAGCCGACTGCAGAAGCTGAGTATGTGCTGCTGGTTGAGCTACAACTGCATCTGCGGTCTTTACAGTTTCTGGGAAAGTCGTTGGACAGCTTTCACCAGCCGCTGCCGTCAAATTCGGTTCTTTTTCACTTTTCGGATGGGGTTTATGCGAATCTTACGGATATTCCAACGGCTTCGACGGCGTCGTCTGTTAAATATGCGGCTTCTGATAGTGCTGCGTTGTCTACGTCATCGTACGATGCGCTAATGCGATTGGCGAATCTAGACGAGTGTATCCAAGATGCACTGGCAACCAGGGAAAAGTTGGAGTCGCAAATCAACTCAATTCTGCAGAAGAACCAGCAAGCTATAATCACGACCAGCCAAGCATCCCAGGCACAGGATAAGCTCGCTCTCACTAGAAATGCAGTTGGCACGGAACGAAGACATCTCCGGCTAGCAGCGAAGCGCAAAGAAGAATTGATCGCCAGTATCAAGGCACGGAAGGACGCAATGGCACGTGGGCGATCTACGCAATACAAGGCACGGAGTCATCTACCCGATGCGCAGCTGAAGCTAACCTCGAGCGCAAAACTACTGGATCAGAACACGGAAGACGCCAAGGGTCAGATTCGGCGAATTTCTGAAGATCTCCTGTCCATATACCCCATCGAGCCGATTCCAGATGAGCCTTTGACTTTTACTATTGCCGGTCTTGCACTTCCTAATTCTAATTTTGAGGATATTGACCGGGACACTGTTGCGGCTGCTCTGGGATTTACCGCGCATCTCGTTCAGCTTTTGTCGTTCTATCTCTCGGTTCCCATACCGTATCCTATCAAGCCATGCCTCTCCAACTCGCTCATCCATGACCCGGTATCAGCTTCACTTCCTCAACGAACCTATCCACTTTACCCGGTGAATGTACAATACCGGTTCGAGTACGGGGTATTTCTACTCAACAAGAACATCGAAATCATCCTCAACAAACAAGGTCTACGTGCTTTTGACATCCGCCATACATTACCTAACCTGAAATACCTTTTATATGTGCTCACGGCTGGAACCTCGGAAATCCCCGCCAGAAAAGCAGGTGGCATTCGGGGCCTGTTCCCTGGACGTCTGAGTCCCAGTGTATCCCGGCGCGGAAGCAACAATAGCAGCGTTTACGGTGAATCCGTGCATCCTTCCAAGGTTCTGGATCCCGGGACCGGGAAATTGAACGGCGACGTTAAGGGAAGGAAGAAGCCGTTATCCCCCATTGCTGGGTTTGCGAGGATGTCGCAGATGGCTTGACGGGGTGACATCCATCCTGGATGGGTTTGTGAGACATTGTGTTGCCGTCGCAGTTGACCGAGTCGTATTTGTTCGGGTTGAAGCGCTTTTATTTTCTCGTTACTTCGTTTATTTTGGTTCGGGGTTGTTACCGGTATTTCTATGTGTTCCTAATGGCCAGTTTTGTATTCGAGCATAGGGTCGTGCGTGTGCATATTATGCGTATTGCCGTAGTTGAGTTTTGGTTGTATACATCGCCAGCGCCGAGACCTGGAGGCTTCTGGCATCTTGGTGGCTGACCTTGCCTGACTGTTGAAGCTCTTCTCTTTCTGACATCTCGGTCTCTTCCCATTTTCCTTGTAACTCTTTTATTCCTTCTACCCCGCATCGCTGACCAGAAAGGAAGGACAAAGCACATAAGAGAATGTGTAAGTGTCCAACCCCAGCTGTCATCCCTGTCATTTCTCTTCCCCTGAAGGATCTCATCTCACTCAGCAAAGAAGAATAATACAGCGACTTTTATAGAGCTAAAAGTCGGGGCTCCGCGATTTATAAAGACCCTAGCGACCCACCGCTTTTTGCCGGGGGACCTCGCTTTGCATCGGCTATTTTGCAGGACTTCTTATCACCACCTTTTTATCCTATACACCAGGCAAAGCCATCATGGCTCCTGGGTCTACCGCTAGCCTGTATTCGCACAGCGGAAGTCATCCTCCGAAATCCCCGTCGCCTTCTGCTTCGCAACAGCATCATCGCCGGGGGTACCAGGCTTGCGATCCGTGCCGCAAGCGCAAGGTGAAATGTGATCTGGGCAGTATGATTTTCTTTCCCTTGCTATTTTTATTTTTATCTTATTTTTTCTTTTACGACAATGTAACCAATGCTAATATCTTTATCGCAAAAACAGGCGTCGATAACCCCCGCCCCCCTCCCTGCGTACGATGTCGTCGCGAAAGCAAACGATGCGAATTCTCTGCCACCCGGCGCAAGCGCAAACCTTCCGAGGTAGACGAGAGCGTAGATGGAGTACTCCGACGGGATAAACGGATGATGGTCGGGGATACAGCGGATGATTCGTCCTCACGGAATGCTTCTCCATACCCGCATGTCGAGCAGCAGCAGCAGCAGCAGCAACAGCCCACGACGTTCGATGCGGAGGCCGGTCATTCTCCGCAGAAGTGGTCTGAGGGGCCTTCTTCGACATCGGTTGGTCATAGATATCCCCAGGTCAATGCGCCCAATCAGCCGGCTGCGACTGCTACCGCGACCGCGACTGCGACTGCGGGGCAATTTCAGGGCACTAGGAACCACCTCTGTCCACCTGTCTATCCGATCGGAGAGAGAACTGCTGGGGCTAGTTATGGTCTTGAGGGAGGACCGCCTATGATGAATCGCACTGCTGTTGAACTGCTGTCGCCTGCTATCAGTAACAGTCATGATGCGCTACACCTTTTATCTGAAGCAGCGGGGAGGACTGAGGATTTGAATCGTCAGAGCTTGGAGAATCGATATGCTGCTCGACAATCGGCCTCGTCGTTTAGCTCGCCCATGTCGCCAATGACCCAGGGTGGTACGCCGCGGAGTGCTGGGGGATCTTTCGCGAGAACACCCCGGACCGGGGCTATGGGGAACTATTATCAACCTGTTGCTTCCGGTCCCGTGGATGCACAGATATCTGGTGGTCGTGGACAGGCTGATAGTGCAGGCACATTTCAGGATCCAGGGTTTGTGGATGCCGTCAAGGCGTGGTCGCGGTTACGGTTTGTTCGTGCTGGATGGCTTACGGTTGAAGAGGCTATGGCTTATGTTGCATACTACTACGAGCATCTCGCACCGTTGAGTCCGATTGTCATTCCCGATTTCTCTCAACCCTCGACTCATCGTACACTACTCACTGATGAGCCTGTGTTGGCCGTTACGATGCTTACCACAGCTTCGAGACATATGAAACCAAAAGGAGATGGGTCGTACACGCGCTCTTTTTACATCCATGACAGGCTCTGGTCGTATCTTCGCGGTATGATCGAACGTCTTTTCTGGGGACAGGAAAAGTTTGGTGGACATGGCATTGGTAGCGGGCCCCGGGCATTTAACTTCACTTCCGCGTCGAAAATGAATCAGAAAGGGAACCTGAGGTCTCTAGGGACTGTGGAAGCCTTGCTGTTGCTCACGGATTGGCATCCAAGGAATCTACACTTCCCACCTGGTGACGATGAGAATGCGCTTTTAGACCTGGACGCCCAGGCGCACAGCCGGTCCGATAAGGAATTTTTAGATAACGATGGCGAACCAATCAACCGAACCTCAACCACTAACGCTGGCGAAGGACGACTTGCATTCCAGACATGGCTGGAGCCAGCCTGGCGCTCAGATCGAATGTCCTGGATGCTACTAAGCACAGCACAAGCCCTAGCCTTCGAACTAGGCGTCTTCGATCAAAAAAGCGAATCCAAAATCGCCAATGAATCACCAATAGAACAGACTCGAAAAAGACGCCTTCGCCGTCTTATCCTCGTATACATCTCTCAGAGCAGCGGCCGTTTAGGAATTCCCTCCATGCTTCCACTTCCGCAATGGGCGAATGACATCCAGCCAACATCGCCAGCAGACGAGAAAGGAGGGGATACAAATATTGACCGGATGCAGGATTCTTGGATTGGGATCTCGAAAATCATGTATCAGGCGAATCAGCTGTTGTTTGCGTCGAATGAGCAGACTTCGGAGTTGATTCGTAGTGGACGGTATCGAGATCAGATTGATCGGTTCCAGCCGTTTTTTAGGGAGTGGAAGCATAACATTGATACGATTAAACTTGTTCCTGCGATGCGACATATTCTGATGATTGAGTACGAGTATACTCGTGAGTTGCCAAGACCTTGCAGTTGATGATGATGTGATATGCTGACCAGTTCAGGTGTGTATGTAAATTCGTTGGCCCTCCAAGCTGTGGTAGATCGCTGGACAACAATGTCGAACGAAGCTGCGCAGAACCAAAAAGGACTTCCAACTGGTAACACATGGTTTGGTGTCTTGATGGAACTCTACCGTGTAAATGAGCAATACATCCAAGAAGTCGTGGACGCCTCTCGTCGGATTCTCCAGATTGTCCTTGACGGACTCGTACCAGGAGACCATCTCAAACACACACCTGTGCGATCCTGTTTTCGAATCCTCTCCGGCATGATCTTCATTCTCAAGACATTCACCCTCGGCGCAAAAGAAGACGACGTACGAGTATCACTAGATCTGCAAGACCGTGTTGTCGAAGCAATGCGTACCTGCGTCGTCGACGACGTCCACCTGAACCATGCCATTTCGCGACTTCTAGAACTCCTCACAACAAGCATCCGTACCCGCTTCCTGCGTTTCGCTCCGCTAGACCGCACAGGTGATGGCGAGGGCAGCCAGAGTCAAGAACGTCCCTCAGCACCTATCTCCCGTCATCAATCACCTCGCCGCGAAGCATCCAGCAATGCCTGGCCTTCCACCAATCTAAACTTTATGGACTCCAGCACCAACGCAGGCCCAAACACAACCATGTCCTCCCTTCACGATCCCTTAGCCGGCATCCCAGCACAGCCCATCAACTCTTCAAATATCAACGTCTCCTTCATGCCCCCGCCTCCATCAGTGTACTACAACTACTACGATGCCGCCTCCGGTGACCTTGAAGACTCGAATAACGTCCCCGCTCACTCGATGCATGACAATCCAAACGCAAACGCAAATCCAAACGCAGCGCTACCGGATTGGTTCGCTTTACCACTCGATCAATTCTTCAATAGTTCGACTACGGTCGTCGATCAGGGACTGGGCGGGACAGGCCCGATGTTAGGGGAGTTTGATATGCTGGAAGTATTACTTAATGAGCAGCATGATGGGGGTGGAGAAGGTGTTGGTGTTGATTCAGGAGGGGATGGTCTAGGAGGGACGTCGCATTTGATGCAGTCGTGATTGACTAGTAGTGGAATAGGGCGTTTGATATGGTTTCTTGTATATGTTTGCTTTAGGGAGGGACTTGTCTTCGTTTGTTTGGTCACATGGATGATACAGCACATATATTACTGTACGCACCTGGATTTCTCAAACCACGTTGGCCTTCGCTCAAGATATTGCCGGTCCGTTTTCTTGATCCCTCTCCGGACATATGTCTTCATGTTTTCCAACACCGATAAAAAAAAATATATATATATATAACTAGAGCGAGAAAGGCTTCGAGGAAGCAGCAATAATCAAGATCATGCGAGAAGATAGGGCAGAAATTTATCCTGTAAGAGCACTACTACTTGGAGGGGAACGTACCTGCTAACGAGCTTTTTGCCTTAGTGGATCTAGGAAAAACATTAACAGCAGAGGATCTCCAAGGATGACTTCATAAACAGTCTTTTCAATGTGGATGCGCAACAGCCCCATCTTTATCCATGAATTTCTGATATCCGATTTCGCTTGCCCTACAGGTGTTCCTTTGCATCGGAGTAAGGATTGGGGTCTTGATCCCCTTGTCGAATCCTTCTCCTGCATCTTGACCCAAGAGAGCGCCGCAAGCTTCTGGGAGACACGATTGTCCAAGGAGCGAGTCAGGCTAAGAATGCGATAACTGGCGTTGCTGGACTGGAGGGGCTTGGGAAGATGGCGAACGACGCTCTTGCCGGTGTTGCCGTTTACGCCTATGACGAGAATAGTCGGAGCCACGATAACAGTTCCTGCGGTGCGATGACAAGACAAATTAACCTAGGATGAGTTGTTTGGTGCTATCATGGTCCGTTTTATATAGTTATGCATACCATAGAATACAAATCAACCCATGAATAATGACGCATACTATTTTTTTTATCAAGCAGATACAAAGATGGAGGAAATTTGCCGATGTTTACCCAAAGGATCTGACCTAAAAATGAACTAGTGCCCAGAGCTAATAGTATGTAATACTCTTTTATTTCTCCATCAGGTACCTACCCTACTTGGTATGCCTTAACTTATACCCACACCCGCTGCAGGTAGGCCAAGGACAAGACGGGCCAAGGATTCTCGGAACAGACCGTACAGAAGCCTACGTGGGAGCAGTTTACGCCGCAACTGCTGAGAGGTTGACTGATATCTCTAGAATATGCTATTCGCACATAGGAAATCGTCAACTCACAATACATATTGCCGAGGAGCAGACGTATTGGGCACAGGCTCTTGTGTGTCTTGTTATGCCTTGGGGTATGGATATGACCTTTGCGACGAGGACGATGCAAATATCTGATCATATGGCCATGGAGCATTAAGGTGTTTCTGCGAGCTTTGTTGGTACAGTTGTTAATTATAGTATCTCGTGTATACCAGGATACTTGGACAGGTAGTAGAGGCAAACCGAGTCGTTTGATGAGAGACGTGAGTGGAGGTGAATGAGAGGGAGAGGGTTTAAATAATCGTGTTTCTTATGCCTATTGACTCACAGATGCAGTCGGAGCCTCAAAGTGAGTCACTATTGGAAAGGCAATGGAATGGAATAAATTGTATAGAAAGAAGAAGAAGAAGGCAGGTACGGTACGTAGCGACGTCTAGGGTGTCCCTACGTCACGTGACACAAACTGACTGAAGCCAATAATTACCACAACGCTTGACATATCGTCAAACCAGGTATGGCATATACATAGCGGTGGATCTATTTGTTTTATTAGAGGCATCTGTAGCCAAAAAAGAGCTGTTATAGCCTTAGGGCTCGGGCTTGTTGCGGTGTTAAAAGGGACAATAAGTTTTAACGAGATTAAATTCGGGTATTCTAGGGCAAGACAGAAAATGCATACGTGTGTGCAGATTCTTGACATGTCATCGACTCCCCTTTGGCTTCTCCCGTGGCTGAGGAGCAACACTCTGTTTGATTTTACTGTCATCCAACATTTTCTTGGGGGGTGCCGGCTCCAAGCGCAGCATGAATGAGACCGACAATTATCGCTTCAAGCATGCGAAGGATGAATAGGGAAGGCGACAACAGCGGTTGATGGGAATCTGATTCAACCGGTTGATCGTTTGTTGGTGTTATTGTTGCGGCTGCTCTTGTTGGGCCTGATGGCGACACTGTACTTATTGTCGGCCCATCTTGATCACCTACAGCGTTGTGGATGACAGAGACGAAGAAGAAATGCTAGATTCGGTCTGTTGATTCTCACTGCCAATGCTCCGTGCTGCGGATATGAGGCCTTGAGCCGATGGACCTTTCAAATGCTCACTGATACCACTCTTGTTAATTGAGGCCTGTGGCTGGGTGGCAGGCGGATGGAAAACAGAAGGCAGCCCCTGTAACAACGACGGCATGGGATTCGGGACCTCCACAGGAACCTCGAGCTGGTTCTGTCTGATCATTTCATGCGGTAAGCTCATCGCCAGACGATAAAGATTGCGGTGAGATTGTCTCATTTCGCGGACATCGACCAAAGTGACGGCAGACCCCTGGTCCGGGCTCGCTTCCGGTGGAAACTTGAGGTGCCGAGTCTTATTCTTCCAAAACTCTTTCAACTGACATGTTCGCTTCTGTAATTTGCCATGGATCTCGACGCGTATCCCAAATGCTTCACGGTCATGCTGGAATGCGAAGCCTGTCCGAATTACGTTATTGTGAACTGATTGCGAGTCGAGCTCATTCTCGGTTAACTCCCATTTCAATGTACGATATACGACCACATTGCTTGGGGCTTTGCCCGGAACCAATTGGATGGTGAACATCCATCGTCGGATCTCGTTTGTTGCCTTCTCGCTATTCACCCCGGCCCCACCGCCGCTGCATCCTATGGCATTCACCTCCGGCATAAGTTGGTAAACCCGCTTCCTCGGCAAGGCCGTTGGCTCGCCGCTGAGGTATTTCGGGCCATAGTAGTCGGTCAGTTGGAGTGTGTCGTGGTTGATGGAGGCAGTTGTAGAGATGGGCTCTTCCTTTTCAAGCATCACTAGCACAGTGGCAGACTTGAGCCGACAATCTTAGGGCTGGTCAAAATTTAGGTCGACGTATAAAACCCCGGCCGGAGTGGATTGATACAGCATGTCCCATTGAGACTCAGACAAACGAAATTGGCAATCCACTCTTACTTTCCCCAGATTTCGACTACCTAAACTTGCAGAGGAAAGCTGCCCGAAGTGGTGGTATGAGCGACCCATATATTCGTGCAAAACGTGGCCGTGTTTGTTGAGATATCAATTTTGGTTCCATTGTTTGCAACTGATTTTCCTGCACTATTCATGCAATATGGGAAATCTCAGTCCCTAAATGGGGTTCACTTGTGTACTCAGCCCCGAAACCAGCCTTGTGGATGAGTTGGTCAGAAGTCCACAGTTTTGCCGATCAGTCGCCATTTATACGAAGCCTGTGCGGGTGTTAGTATCTTCAATTATTAGTTGAAGCACAATGGCCTCTAGAATTACATTAGACCCCAACATGGAATCAAAGCCTCAACCTGAACGCACCAGAGAACATGGTCGTGACGATGATGGCGCCGCTTTCCAAGAGCATTTGGATCGCCTGCGCGGCCGACCTCCCAGAAGCAGCAATAGAGACCATGAAGTCGTTTTGTTTCCGGTCCACAAACAACAAAAAGCATTCGTCGTGTGGTGGGGTTAATTTACCGCCCGGTTTCCAAAGTCTTGATCGCCCAGGAGCGCTTCTGGGAGTTGAAAGACTTCATTGCAGAGATAGCCAACGTTAACATTGATGATGCGTGGCTCAGAATGTTCACAAGCTCTTACGGCAGTTCCTCACTCCAGGGAATAACCGATGACTTTACTCCTGGCCCATACGTTGAATCCTCTTGGCTCTTCTCGATGCTATAGTGGCATCGTCTGGGTATCCTCTCTCCAAACAATCGTTTATGAACCATGATAGCTTGTCAGCAACCGGATACATTCTCCAGCGGGCTCGTCAGGTTGCCAGCACCATCGAAACAAAAAGCCCCGACCTAGTCAGGTCACGACCGTGCTTTCGCTGGATCCAAGCGGAAGCAGAACATAGCCATCGTTTTGAAGGTGACGTGATTCGGCAACATTTTTCTTGTTTCCCAGGCGTCACGGTTTATAGAAGCTTGGTGCCTATTTATATCCCTAAACCTGTGAGAATCCCGGTTGGCCGGAGGTCCCTGCGTGCCCACAGTATACTAGGCTTGTCCAGATTTCACTCAAGACAGCTCGAGCAATAGAAGACTACCAAACCGAAGTCCTATGCCTGCAGGAGCTGATTTGTCAATATTCTCACCCCCACGAATTGTTCGAGCAGCTGAAACAGCGGCAGAGAGAGATGGAGGGTAATTCAGTCGCATACCGACAGACCTGTTTGTCAATGTATCTATTGCAAGGCATGAGATCACCACACTTACTGGAAGCCTTGCTGAATGAATACCATCTCGCCAACTCACCTACCCAGTCTGTTTCACGTAGGACCCAGGACGGGCTTACCCAGTGGTGCTATGTCATGCTGCAACGAGCCTTTGCTATATACACTGGACAAGAAGAGAGTGAGCTAGAAGACGAGGCCTTCCGCATTCTCAGAAAGCTTCCCTATGATGTTTCTTCCCTTGTTGATAGGGCGGCCATATTCAGGTGTCCGCGCCGAGTCCCGATACCCTCCAGCTACGAATCATCCTCGGATGGCGGCTCAGATTGTTCTAGCACCGACATCAGTACCATCCACAAAGGGTCCTTCCGTCATAGATGTATCATGCAAAAGCCCCATCCACGTTCTGTTGATGTTTCGCCTGCCATCGATGCGAGAAGATCGACGACAGCAAAAAAGCAACTGGTGTGGATCAGATAGTTCAGACCGACAATTCCGGTGAAAATCATATTGCAACGCCGCATACGGCCATTGATAAACCATCTACCGGGGCCAGTGAGAGCTCAGGCCCGGTCCAAGGCAAACAGCCACACGCGGTAAATGAACCCCCCGAGGATAACCCGCCAAAGCAAGCTCATATTCATGTATCATCCTTGTCCTCAGAATAACAGCAAGGCAGAAACTCTTACGATATCTAGAGTATATTGGGATACCTATCTGAATTATGCTACAAAGTTCGACCATGAAAGCCAGGGATTAGCTTGTTACCGATGTGACTATGAGAGCGAATGGATCCATAACGGCTCTTCGGGCTTCTTTGGAGCAACACAAATGATGCGTTTGAAATGTGATCATGCATAAAATAATTTTGCATGGGGATAATGTTCTTTTCACGGTAGATAGCTGTTCAATAGTAGTGATGGTCTATACTGACTATCCGAAACGGCTGCCATGTGGTTAGCTTGTTTCAGATTCATTGATTCATTCGCTTCAGGCTGTCAACGTTTCATCTTCAGCCATTGGCAGGTGCCACCCAACAGTGTAATTGATGCTGTTTGAGTTGTTCTCGAATGTGTATCAACTCTCAATACAGTCGGAAACACCGACAAAAGCAATACCAGTCGGGAATCAAATACCCAACCAACCCGACAACGTTTCACACATCTTCGAATCCAGTCAGAATCTCAATACCATTGGTACTCACTTGTAAGATTCCCACCCCTGGCTGCCTGCCGCATATTAAACCTGACACCAAACAATCTAGAGTCAATCAATCCGATCCGGCGGATAGGCGATCTTGACCTATTTATTGGTACAGGTGCATAAGCAGCACTGACCAGCCGGAGTTAGCGGTGGAGTCTCGGTTAGACACATAACGCTATAGAGATGGGTCTCTATCGTATCCTGTACCGATTCGACCTTGTCCGCACTGCAGTACGCCCAGCGCGCCCGGACGTGATAGTGTCGAGAGATGGCAGGTGGGATTGGAATTCTTCACTGTTGATTCGCTCGGATAGTGTGCGATTAAAAGAACTGAAAGAAAAGCAAATTGAATGTTACTTACAAATGTTGTACAAGGTGAATGGTCTGGGCATTGTTACGCGGCGGGTTAGGGTCGACTCCCGCTCCTTGGGGTAGTGGTGCCTGGCGGGACGACAATATAAAGACCCCTTGTCGGAGCATGAGATTTATCAAGATATAAAGAAAGCTGTCTCTCGTGGTTCAACTGTTTTCATTTCATTATCCCTAACCGCCGTCGAGTGAGTCGGGTACTCGCTTGCTTCGTGCTTCTGTCTTTCTATTTGCCAACTTGGGCGCTTATATTCTTCACTCATCTATTTTTCTTCTTTTCTCGGCCTGGTGCTTGAGATCTCATTTCCTCTCCTCAAAATGCTTGTTCTTAATGCAATTGCACTCCTCGCTGGCCTGTCGACTGTGTCGGCAGTGCCTACGGCCCAGCCGCGTCGTCGAGGCTTCACTCTCAACCAACTTATCAAGCCAACGACTCAAGGACTATCGCGAACTGTCAACCTTCCAGGGATGTATGCCGGCGTATACACCAAATTTGGGGCGAATGTACCTACGGATATCAAATCTGCTGCGGATAATGGCACCGCAGTCGCTAAACCGGAGGACAATGATAAGGAATACTTGACGCCAGTGAAGATTGGGGACACAACATTGAATTTGGATATTGATACTGGGTCTGCGGATCTGTAAGCAACCTTCATTTTTTTGTGTCATCTACAACGGCTAATAAGCCTAGGTGGGTGTTTTCGAGCGAATTATCTACCACCGCGCAAAGTGGTCACAGCATCTACAAGCCAGCATCCAACGCGACTAAGATGGAAGGATACAGCTGGGAGATCTCCTACGGTGACGGAAGCGGTGCGACAGGCGACGTCTACAAGGACACCGTTACTGTCGGTGGTGTCACGGCGCACGGTCAAGCAGTCGAAGCGGCCAAAAAAATCAGTCAATCGTTCGTGTCTGATAAAAATAATGACGGCTTGATGGGGCTGGCGTTTAGCTCTCTTAACACTGGTAGGTTGTTCCAGTCTTCTATTTATGACTCGAATGGGGACTTATAAGAGAATAGTCAAACCCCATGCCCAGAAAAACTTCTTCGACACTGTCAAGGATGACCTCGATGAACCTGTGTTTGCGGTAGCTCTCAAGCACCATGCGGCAGGCTCTTACGACTTTGGATACATTGATAAATCCAAGTACACCGGTTCACTCACGTACACCGAAGTCGACAGCACAGACGGATACTGGATGTTCACAGCGGAAGGCTACGGCATCGGTGATGGTGATGCTAACTCAACCCCTCTGACTGGGATTGCAGGTAAGCACCCCATACACACTCTACGGTTGATAGTATGCTAATGTTGTCAGACACCGGTACGACCCTTCTCATGCTTCCGGAAGAGGTCGTCGACGCATACTACAAGCAAGTCTCTGGCGCGAAGAGGAACGTAATGGCCGGTGGCTACGTCGTCCCCTGCGATGCTGAACTGCCAGACTTCACCACCGTCATTAGCAGCACGGCCAGTAGCGGCTCCGGCAGCAGTACCGGTAGCAGCCCCAGCAGCAGCAGTACTCCTGGCTTTGGCGGCAGTTTCGGCAGTGGTGGTAGTGGATTCGGTGATGGTGGCCTTGGTAGTATTGGCGACCTCCTTGGCAGTGGTATTTTCTCCAACAAACGCAGCACCAGGAGCAGTGGAAGTGGAAGCTACAAAGCCGTCACGCCTGGCAAGCACATCAAGATGTCCGCTATCGACGAGGAAGGGTCAAGTTGTTTTGGTGGGATCCAGAGTAACTCTGGGATGTCGTTTTCGATCTTCGGGGATGTGTTTTTGAAGAGTCAGTACGTGGTTTTCGATCCTGAGAAGCCGCGGTTGGGATTTGCGCCTCAGGCTTGATTTTTTCTCGGTCTTTTTACGAGTTTTGATATGATTGAAAATAGACCTTTGTGCCCTGTGCTGTACGCGCTGGGGGTGTACGGTACTGGCGGAAGGGAAAAAAAATTGAAAGAAAAAACAGACTACGAAAAGATAGGAGTCCGAATACAGAACCGCTGCGGCCTGCGGGATGAACCATAATGCCACAAAATTAACATGGCCATTACCACTATGGGAAGCGCAGACCACTGAACCATCTTGCCATAGCTATTTAGACATATATACGCTGTGGTGGGCTATAACCCTACTTTGGCTAGGCATCAATAGGAAGAAGGCATCACCAGACATGCGAGGCAGCCTTATTCTATTCAGTTGCTGTCTTCCAAGCACAGACAGGTGCACTTCCGTTGGACGAAATCCGACCCCAAGTTCGAACTCCTAACAAGGGTCCCGGGCTTAATGGTTGATGGGTATTCAGGTATTTAATTCCGTGTGGCAAGCTCTCTTCAAAACTAGCTTCTAAGCTTTGTACCAACTGTATTTCCATTTCCATTGCGAGCTCGGAGCGTTGGGCATGATATTAAAACCGATCTTGATCCCTGCTTCAGTATTATCTCTAGACGTAGAAGCATGGTCAGACATTAACATTCTCACAAACATGACATCTCGGACATTTAGAATCAATTTCTTCACGCTGCCGAATTTGAGAGAGGCTGAAGTAGTCACACACTTCCATTTCCTTGTAGTGATCAATCAGCCCGCCATCTTGCACGTTTGTTGCTCTATCGCGGAATAAGTTTCCGGCCTCCAGCCTCCAGCATCGCAGCAATGTAGATGATTCAACTAGTGCAGACTCCTGTATAAGGCGCGTAGATTGTCCTCACGTATGTTGTCCATAGGACTTATTCCCAAGTCGCTTCTATTGGCGGTATTATCGGCCCTTAGATGGGTCAATTGAGCCTGGTACTCGTACTGCCGTCTTAACCTTTCCCTTCACATTTTACTACTCTTTTCTTGAAGTCTGTGCACTTCGTGGATCCGAGTTGTGCCTTAAGAGGTTTGCAGATTGCTGGTACTGCAAGTATCAGGGATTTTCATAGAAAAAAATGAATGCCATTTTTTCAGTAGCTAGAAGCACCATTGGTAGATTTTCACAGGAAATAGGAAGAAGAGGAAGTAAGAAATCGGGCTAGCATTCTGATCTACTCCATTGTCACTCATTTCATGAGTACTCACGCTAGGAGCAATACTGAAAAGGACCGAATCTGTTTCTTTAATCATGATTTTATAGTATGGAATAAAACTGGCTAATATACACAGTACAAAATGCAAAATTGCTTTTATGGGCATCATTCATAGAAACAAGCGCACATGGGAATCAGGAAGTGGAGTGTACACCCAAAATATTCAAAACAGGCATGAGTATTCATAAGAGACCTAGGCAACAGGTGGCTGATAGCGAAGGGGCACCACCCAACGGTTTCCAAAATCAATGCCATGGCGACGGCGTGTTCCGTATTTCCTCCATACTACCTGCGGTATTCCAATATCTGCGACAGAGATGTTCCACGAGTGTCCTTCTCCGGAGAGCAAGGCATTCATTACTCCAGTTTTTGGTGCGGCGAGACAAACAACCGATTTAGAGTTGATACATAGTCGACTAGTCTCGAGTAAAGTCACCTCACCTGTAGAAAAATCATGGATAAGTTTTCGCCAGGGAATGACACGGTTACTGAAGGATAACTTACCACTGGCAGCAGAAAAGCCTGACGGGATATCGACAGACAGCATGTCGACATTGCTTCGGTTAGCCCACGAAATCATTTCGAAAGCCGTGGTCTGCTGATCGGTGCGGAGGTCTTCAAAAGCCATGTGCATGCCAAATAAGGCATCAAGAACCAAATCAGGCTCAAAGTCGTTACTCGACAACCGCACTGATAGTTCTTCCCAACGCAACACTCGACCGCCAACCTTCTTGAACACATCCAGCTGCTTGCGGCAACTTTCTAGTAGTTCACCCTCCTGCTGTAGCCCCAACATACAAGCAGTCACGCGATGACCCCGATTGCGAAGATGGCGGGCTGCGGAGATAGCACGAGCTCCAGTTTTGTGGTTTCCCCCGAGGACCAGCATGGTGGGGGCAGCAGAATCGTTAGGTAGTAAGCCAACAGCTGCCTCCGCAATGCATCTCCCAGCATTCTCTGTAATCATATCTTCCGTTAGGCCAAGTTCCGCAACGGCGATCTGCTCAACCTCGAATGCCTGCAATGGGTTCACAGTGGGACAACTTCTGTTGGTGGTGGTAAGCCGCAAGGACGCCCCGGATCCACCTGGAACGTTCACTTGGGATGCTGAGAGGGAGTTCTTGCCCGACATAGGGCTCGTAGTGCGAGATGTGCTGAGTTGATTGCGGCTAAGGGTGTTGACTTGTTGAGGCACCAGAGACTGGCCCAGTATCGCACTGCTCTTTAGAGTCGGTCCGAGTCTCGATCCGGAATATGTGCCACTGCTCAGCTTGGTATCACTGACTTCTTGCTCAGTATCGCCGGTTTCGCTTTCCTGGGGACTATCGAGTACATTTTCGGTCCAATGCAGGTTCTTTCCGTTATTCGTCCCCGGCTTGGGAGTCTTCCTGTTAAAGCTCACCAACCGGTCTTCATCCGCGGTAGTATCATCATTCCTGATCTCTTCAAATACACGTCTCTTATCGAACTTCGACAAGTTGCTCTGGAAGTCGAACTCTCCCATTTCTTGGATGTCGGTCGGATCCTCCGTAGCCCAGCCATTGGGATCATCGGTATAAGCCTGTCGACCCTTCTTCTTGCGCCGTCGTCCATTAAGTTGTGAAGCTCTCTCTTTGCGTGATTGCGGATCGGCTGGTTCGACAAACGCAGTCTGGCGCCAACCCTTGGACTTGAGGTTCGTGTTTGACGTAGCACCGCCGTCCATTCGAGGCTTTCCCTTGTTACCACCACGGTTCCTTGTGTCGACGGGTGCAGATCCGTCCAATTCATTCCCCTGTGTCGCGCCATACGCTGCAGCCGCCTGGTTGCCCGTTTCAAATCCCAGATTGCTGAAAGGTTCTGAAAGCGAGGCGGAAAGGTTCACATTTCCCGGACGAATTTGTTGCTGCGGGGGATAGACATGTTGTGGGCTTGGAGCCGTGGGAGGGACAGGTCTGCCCGATTCAATAGTGCCAGGTTGGGTCGGGGGAGGCTTCGAGAAGCTTAGGATAGCCGGATCGACGAAGGACTGGGCCTGAGGGGCCTTGGGGGCCTCGCTTGGTGAAGGAGCATGTTGAACTGGCGGTGCGGAGCTTTTTGACGGCCCAAGAGACAAATCTGCTATGTCGGGCGCGTCGAGAGAGAAGGTCGGTAGAACTTGACCAGTCCACGAGAGTGTCACTAATTTTTGTGTCAGATGAATTTCTGGATAAATTCAAGGGCCACATTCATTTCACATACCGTTTTGGAGTATCAGACGCTGACCGATGACATTAGCCACTTGCCCTTGAATCGTCGCATTTGGCGGCGTTTTGAGGGTCACGAGGACGTTGAATCCGATAAACTCGGTTGCCATGGTGCGAAAATATCCCGCATAAGAACAAGGAGACACAAGTCAAATGTTCAGCATAAACCGTGGCAAAGAATTGGGGAAAGCAAAAACCGCGAGAGATCGTCGCAAAGAGTGACTGCCGGAATCGTCAGCTTGGACCGCAAAAATCACGTGTGCTTTATCTTATCGCTTATCGTGCGTGGGGCTATATTATCGATTAGAAAGGGTCTTAGTAGAGAGACTTGGAGAAGTTCAAATTCGTCTATGGCATATAATAATCATGTATAATAGTCTGTAGTAACGCCTTTTCGCTATGCGATGGGCCCGTATCGGCCTCATCTACCCATGGATATCAAGATATGCATGCATAAAACGGAAGGGAAAAAAATCAATCCGTACATAAGAACGAGTTGTATAAGAAAATAATCCGAGGGAAAACGCAATATAAAACCCAAAAAATCAACCATACATTTGCTCCAGATAGTCTTCGTCGTCAAGTTCGTCTTCGAATTCATTTCCGTCATCTTGGCCACCAGACTTGTTCGTTTTGAGAACATCGGTGATGCTAACGAGCTTCGAATAAAAGTCAATAACCTTCGGATGGACCATGACTTTACGTGCATCAAAGCGTGTCACCTGAAGACCTGCTTGCGAGGTCGCACGACTCAGGGCAACATAAGCCTGTCCTTTCTCGAATACGCGGCCAAGATCAACTTTGACTCGTTGCAAGGTTTGGCCTTGGGCCTTGTGGATGGATAAAGCCCAGGCAAGGATCAGTGGAATCTGTTGGCGTTGAGCTTGCACTTCTCCATTTGGGAGCTCAATCTTCCAAGTCTCGGGCTGGCAAAGCAGATGTCTTTCGGTTCCGTCGGGTTGGATGAAACATACCAATGGCCACTTTGGGCCTGGGGCAGCGTCTTGGTTAGCATGGGACTTGATCTTTTTGCGCGCCCGCATTTCCTCGTCGTCATCCTCTTCGCCAGCAAAATCTTCCTCCTTTCTCATGTAATGGTCGAATGTGCCTTCGTCCATGAATGCCACTACTCGCCCAATGGAGCCATTAACGAGAGTTTCTTCCATGTTCTTGATAAGCATCACCTGCGCACCCTTTTTGAGATGAATAGTAGGGGGCGCCATGCAATTGGCAAGCAACTTATCCCGGTATTGAACTTCTTTAATAGAGCCGGAATCTTGCGCGTTAAAAGTCATCAGGTCTCCAGAAAGCCTGGTCATGCGCACACCATTCGCATTCTCGACTTCGTTGCGCGTAGGGAAACTGAGAGTGTTAGAACGCGTAATTGTAAAATTCAGTGTACGAAAAGATCCTTACAGCTCAGTGGCTTCAAGCGAATCTTGGAAGTTCAGCGGCCGGGCGAGTTTCTTAAACGCCTCGATCGACTGGGCATTCAGTTTGCCAAGTCGCATTTGATTGAGCATATTTGCAAACTCTGGGTCCTTTTGACGGAAGACATGGGTCAGGAGAATTGTATGTTGGATGGATGTCGTCCACGTGGCTGCTGAAAATGCAAACTTCGCTTCACGGCCTCCTTCAGGTACTGGAGGCAGCTGGAAGAAGTCGCCTGTGACCACAAGCTGAATACCACCAAAAGGTCGGCCATTATTCCTTATCCGCCGAGCTATTTCTTCGAGCTTATCGAATAAATCGCCATCAACCATTGATACTTCATCAATAACCAGGACCTTAGTTCGTAACCAGCGAGCCCGCGCCTTTTGGTTGCGTTTTATCTGCAAGGAGTCAGTTATTATACGCCAAAAAGTAATAGAAAATCAAAAACTGTGTATTAAGCCAGCGCAGAGCAAAGAAGGAATTACCTTTTTGACGAGTTCAGGGACCGCCTCTTTACCCAGTCCAATGCCAGCAAAACTGTGAAGTGTAACACCTTCAATATTACAGGCAGCAAGTCCCGTGGAAGCTGTCACGGCCACTCTGTCTGGCTCCCTCCGGTATTTGATGCGAAGTTGCTTGATGATTTCTCTCATCAGAACGGATTTACCAGTTCCTGCAGAACCAGTGAAGAATATGCTCTTCCCAAGCTGGACAACAGCATCAAGAACATGTCTTTGCTCATCACTGAGAAACACAGGTGCAAGATGGGCATTAGTTGGGCGCTTTTGTTCTGGTTTCTGGTTTTTAGACTGCCGTCGCAACTCTTTCTGCTCATCCTTAATTGCGCTAGCTGTCTTATTCCAGATAGCAGTAGATTTTGGTTTCCGGGCTGGCGTTACCGGTGGAGGCGCGCTTTTCGTTACCGGCTCTTCCTTGTTGAGCCATGGCACAGTTCGAGGCTTGGACGACGGGGGTATTTGTACTCTGCTGGGAGGTTTCGGTGGCTGAAGATGTGACGGAGGAGAGGACGACCAAGGTAGCTGTATACTGCTGGGGGGAGCTTCCTCGTCAGGTACTGGCGGTAGATCCGGATATGTTACAACCGCATCGTCATCATCTCTCGGGGAATCCTTCTGTCTCGAAACACTTGTATCCGGGCGTACGGTGCTCTGGGTTTGGATCGGAGGGTCTGGGTCTTCAAAATTCAAGTCATCGTCATCGTCGAAATCGTTCTCGTCAAAGTATACAGCGCTGTGTAGGGACCCCAAACTTGACTCCCCGGCACTCTCGATCTTCCGTTTGACGCCGGACGACTGTGGTGATTTCGATTGAGAGACCGTATTGCCTTGCAGAAGATTCGATTGAAGCGGTTTGGCAGTGCTAGCTGTAGCGGAATGATCCTTAACGGCCCTCTTGAACATTGTTCTTGATCTTTGCCCTGATGTTGAGTATGCGGCGGTGCTTTGCAGACCTAATGTGGAACCATGCAGGAATTGGCGAATTGAAGACAGGCCTCTTGATATGGACGTAACCACATACATAGAACGGCTTGTCAGGGGGAATGGACGGCGGCCGAGGCTGAGCATAGAGGGTTGATCGGGGAAAAGTTTGGCGGCGCGTACCTCTCGAACGCGCCCTATCACACGTGACTGCTGATAAGACGGGAGTCTTGAACTAGCCTGATTCAGCAGGAATGATACCTGGGGAGCTTGGTGTACAGCGATCTGATCGAGATATTCATCTGAGTTTACATTGAGTCCACCAGTCGAATTACAAAGCGGCGAATGCGTCAGTGTGCGTGTATAAAGCAGATAAACGATTCGTTATCAATCTCTTATCGCCTTTTCCGCGTGTAGATCATGTGACCGCGTACTGTATCGTGCCTCGCGGGAACCAATGCGGCGGCCGGAATATCATATCAAATAGGCTTTCACATTATGGACGAATTATAGGCGCTAGTGCTGGCAAACATGAAGCATGGCAGAGAAAGCTATCTCAAGTATGTAATCTGCTCGAAGCATCCGTGAAGGAATCGAGTTTATTGACGCAAATACAGACAAGGAACACCCTCTTGCTGGGGTCGTCCTCTGCTTAACCTCTGTGCTCCCAGAGCAACGGGTGAGTGCCATTGAGCTCTTAATATCACTAACATTATACACTACCATATTTGCTGACAGTCTTTTGTATGTAGACTGAGTTAGCCACGATTGCGAGTCAAATGGGAGCGACCCACAAGTTCGATTTAACCTCCGATGTCACGCATTTACTAGTCGGTGAAACGAATACCCCCAAGTACAAGTTCGTTGCTCGGGAACGCCCAGACGTGAAGGTTCTAAAGCCGGAATGGATCCAAGCCTTACGAGAGTCATGGATGCAGGGAGGAGACACGGACCTTCGCACGCTGGAGGAGCAATACAAACTCCCAACGTTTTCAGGGCTGTCTATTTGCATTACGGGGTTTGAAGATAGTGGGTTATAGTCGTTTGGTTCTTGTCTGTTTCTCGATATGACTGACAACTATGCAGTGGCCCTCCGGAATTACCTAGAAGACACTGCAACTGCGCATGGAGCCGAATTCAGGAAGGATCTCACAAAGAGTGTAACTCATCTCGTTTCCAGGAACACGGAAGGACAGAAATACAAGTTCGCAACGCAGTGGAATATTAAGGTCGTGACAATGAACTGGTTCAATGACAGTATAGAGCGCGGAATGGTCCTCGAAGAAACCCTTTACCATCCACTTTTACCGGCAGAACAACAAGGTGCCGGTGCCTGGAACCGATCAATACCTGCAGTCAAGGAAAAGACATCAAGTGCCGAGACAGGGTCAAATCCACGGCCTAGGAAACTGCGCAGAATGGCGAGCGCCAAACTCGAGCATCAGAATGAGAACATCTGGGGTGACATTGTAGGCACAGTATTCGAAGGTTCTGATCCCAAGAAGTCTCAAAAAAGTCAACGAACGAATTGTGGCTCCGCACCTGCGAAGAATAGACCCGCACTTCAAGAAGCGAATTCGTTTGCCAGTGCAACTACTTTTGCAGACACGACAGAAGCGCAACCCGTGCCTCACAAGCAGGCCCCAGAGCCTGCGGCCAACGGTCATAAAGGATTTTTGCATGACTGCTTCTTCTTTATCTTTGGGTTTTCATCGAAGCAGGTCCGTATAGTTGTATCACCGACTTAAGGGAGTAAACTTATGCTGACTTATATAGACAAGTGTGCTGCGCCAGCATCTGACATTCAATGGTGCTCAGATAGTTGGGTCGTTAGGTGACTTCTCTCACCCCAATATTCCAAAAACTGGACATGGGCTTTACCTCGTTGTATCTCATAAAACTCCGCGGTCCCAGATTCCCAGCACAGACGACATGGCCTTTGAGTGTGAAGTTGTGACGGATATGTGGCTGGAGAGATGCCTTGATGCGAAGACATTTGTTTCGCCAGAATCTCATGTGGCAAATACACCGATCCCTGTATTTCCTATACCAGGTCAGTATCCATTCAGTCTCCATTATGTACATTCTAACCGTATCCTAGGTTTCCAAGGACTAAAAATCTGCTCTACGGGATTTATGCGCATTGATCTCCTGCATCTATCCAAACTGGTAAACTTAATTGGTGAGTGAATACCCTCTGTCCATTTGTTCATAAGCTGAGTCTCTAGGTGCATCGTATAATGAGTATATGACACAAAGTGCTTCCGTTCTAATTTGTAAGGACCCATGTTCTGTAAATCAGGACAAGCTACGGCATGCTTCAGAATGGGGCGTCCAAGCCGTCTCTGGAGACTGGCTTTGGGATTCTATCCAAGCGGGCGAGAAAAAGCCATTCGAAACCTACATTATCAGGGGGCTCTTGTCGCAAAGCGATAAGGACGCAGGGAGACGACAAAATCTCTCTTGTAGCAACAGCACAAGTCAAGGGGCTCCAACCCGCGTCATCAACGAGAGACAACGCTCAAGTAGCGAGATTACGGCGGTCAAGGAAAATACCCCAGACATATCACGATCCAAAAGTATTACTGAGAAACGCAAGCATCCCAGCGATGAGACTACTCAGAATTCTCTTCAAGAAAATCAACAATTCCCACAGAAAAGAGTATCGGAATCAATCCCACATTCAAAGTCTCCATCGCCCCAGAAAGACCAATCTCGGCCCACTACCAGCTCTTCTTTGCTAAAACGCCAAGAAACGGATCAATCAACTGCATCCGCCTTCGACCTCGCCGTCAACGGTCTGTTCAAACAAGCGCGAGCAGCAAGCTCACGTTCAGTCACTGACTCAGGGGACCAAAGCGACCAACCTCGCTCCAGAAGGCGCAAACCACTCCTTGGCAGAGCACCCTCGCTCAATTCGGCACGAAATTTTGAGCATTCAGCCTTCTCTCGCGCCAGCTCTATCGATACCCTGAACGAAGACGGCTGCGGCAGTGGCGCAGAAAGCATTGCTACTGACAAAAATGCAGCATCACGAATAAACAGTCGCGGCGAGCAGAGTTTCGCCTCCTTATTTAGCGGGACACGCTTCGAGTTTGGCGCTGACAGCAATCCTGAAGACCAGGAGGACGAGGAGCCCCCAATGACACAGCTGAATTACGAAGACCCCGACGCCGTAGCGATGAGACAAAAGTTCATGCAGCATGCCGGGAGGCTCGTTGATACGGAACCAGCGGGTCAGGGATTGGCTGTTAGAGAGGTACGGGAGTTGGAGGATGTCGGATGGGGTACTGGCCGGAGGACGAGGCAGGCTGCTAAGTCCGCGGATGATCTAGAGTATTGATCTGCATATTTCTTTTCATTGCTTTAGCGGTTTGACAGTTTCGATGGTTATTGCATGGATGGCGTCTTTTGTTTTTGTTCTTTGCTAGGAGTTGGTGACCTTGCTTCGATCTAGATGAATAGATGGTTAAGTGATGTTGAATATTACTGAAATCCGCCCTTCTCTAAATATACAGTTAACATAAAACTTGAACAGCAGGGGTATCCCAATCTAACACCCATATCCAACAACCCAAACAAGATAAAAAAAAAAAAAACTACATAAACCTCATCCATCATCAATCATCAAACATAAGGCGCAGGAGGCTTATATCCCGCAACACCATGACTAACCAGCTTCGCCACGCCCCTAGTTTGAATACCGGCGCAGATATAAACAAGCGTCGCAAGCAACTCCGGCAAGAAACCCAATACCACGCGGATGACAAGCGTACCGGTACTTGGGTTAAGATACGCCGCCTGCGTGCAGATCGCGACGAGACTGTAGAAAACGCGGACGCCGATTAGGACGAGGCAGAAGGCGATGGATCCGAGCATCTATCCCCACAATATCAACACACGCCCCTCAACGAGAAAAGAAAAGGGAACGAGAACATACCATTGTCCCATCACGCACAACGGGCCCATCCCCCCTGGGAGCCCTAAACGACAACCCCGTCCAGCCAACAAGCACCCCCCAGCAAATAGCCAGAATGACAATACCGACTTTAATCATCTTCTCGGCCTTGTCGGTGGATTGCTCGTGGTCTTGCAGTTTTGCGGATCCGGCGGCTGCTAGGGCGACGCCGGCGCCAACTAGGATGTGGAAGAAGAGGGCTTGGGCCCATTCGAGTTTCTTGTTGATGCCGAAGATGCGATAGGCGCGGCTGTTCTTTGTTAGGTGCGTTAACATTAAAGAGGCGAGGGGTAGTGGGTGACGAACGCTTCATGCAGGATACCAGCTGTTGCGAGTAGAAGAGGAGACAGGCCGATGTTTGAGATGATACTGGCCGCAGCTCCGTCGGATTTCTTAACACCCAAACCACCACTGATAATCCGCAGGCCGCAGAAGACGAAGAGATACAGCCATCCTAAGAAGCCATTCCGGCCATGTTTGAACAGTAGGTATAAAATGGGAAAGGCAAGAATAACATAAATGGCACAGGTAGCCGCCGAAAGAGAGTCGGCCATTTTGCTTGCTAGTATAATAGATATGAAAGCAGATTGAAATGGACAGAACACGAGGCCGAGCAGCCACTTGATATATATTCAATGATTGACACCCCAAGGATCACCAATGAGCCTCGTCGTGTCCAGATATGTCCATTTTAGGAAGGCTTTTGGGCAATCCGCGCGAAGGATTCGGGCTATCCATAAGGCAGACTTCTGCGAGAGGCTGTGTATGCCGGTATACATTGGCCGGAATCTCCCCGGTGAGGCTGGGCATCGCTTATCCAGACTTGGCTTTTTTATTGGAAAGCTTGGGCTTCTAGTTACTACTTGAGACCAGATGGATATTCAATTTGATCAGTGGTGGTGTGTTGTTCGGTGGGGGTTATGACTTTGCGGCGCAGATAGGCGTATTTTGGGCCCCAATCTTAGCACCATCACAACAAAGAATTGAGCCGCTGCAGATCACTCGGAGTGGACAATTTCAGTTAACATCGACATGGAGTAATTGTGGTACAAGCTGAACAGAATACAAGGCGAAAACTAAATCAACAAAGTGGTATACCCGAAACGCCAACCCAAACAGAAACAAACAAATCACAGCAACACCACCAAAAAAAGATAAAGCCGAAACAATTGACCACAAGGCAATCCCAGGCGCCATAGCCACGCGCTTATAATACCTTAAATGCCCCGCCCCATTGCTATATAGAGACAGATTAGGCCGCTGCCTCCTGCGGCACGACAGAATTGACCCAATTAGTATGCGCATGGTACAAAGCCTCCGACAGCTCAGGGGCCAGCCCAAACCACCAACTGCATCCACCTGCGGCACATATCATTCGCCGAAATAACGCCAGACACCCAGTACCCGATCCACCGGGGATGATCAGAACGCGTCCAAACCCGCGCCATGATCTTAGCCAAAGAGCTGCCGACGTGCGCTCTGTAGGAACGATCTAGTTTCAAAGATGGCTCCGTGGCCTTGGAGTAGGCGACTGATCTTTTGTCGTTGGAGAGCGGTGATTTTGGTGTTGACGATTTTGACGCTGAGGTGGAGGTTCGAGAATTGACAGAGGGGTTTGGCGGGGTGGATGCAGTTTCTGTAGCCGAGTTCCTCGAGGGCATTTTTATGCACATTGTGCCGACTCAGGCCTGCATTGCTTTGCTATCAACTTGGTGTATACTTACCACAATACCTTATCATCCCCTCGTGGTACACACCTGACGAGACATGCAGCCCTTGTTGACCGTGGGATCCGGTCTGATGATGCCTATATTGGACTTGAGCACGAGCGCAAGCGTCTTCAGCATAGTGGGCTCATGTTGAGACCATACGTTGAACCTACATATCCATATATATCCGTGGGCTCTGCATTTTGTGGTTGTGGATTAAAAAAATCCGAGAATGAACTTGTAATATTGTTGAGAATAGGCAATGATAGTAGCAACCGGGGCAGGACCATCATTTTATCTCCTCCCATTTCGACCCCCATGAAGCTATCACCGTCGCAAAGCATCCTAAAGGAGGCATAGTCACAGTGCCATTGCCATTGAGCTATTTCCGGCACTCTAGTATGAAGCATCCAAATTAGCTCATAGGCCAAGCCTTGCCGAGTAGTCTTGGGGGTGGTACCAGGCCACATGGCAATGAAACTTTGGGATGTGCTGGGGGCATTTTAAGGACAGTGGTACAACTAAATCGAGGATTAGGGGTACAGTGTAACCGTTGGATTGTCTGAATACATTCAGAAAGTGATTTATTCGAGAGTTTCATAATGTCGCAAGTATGGCTTAAAGATATCTTTATCTGTGATGGAATCTAATACGATCAAGATACCAGATACGCAAGACTTTACCAGTAGTATGTTTTTGCTAACGGTAGCAATCCGATCAGGAATAATGCTTATATATCTTAGCTTTGACTTGGCGTTGAGTAGTCTCAGAACCACAATCATAATAGTTAATTGCATAACTCGCTAAATTCAGCATACATCAAATAAAACCAAACAGCTAAAAGCCAAGAATAAGACTACCGTCCCATCCGAATCAAATCCAAGTCTGAACCTCAATCTCCTTCTCAAGCCCATCATCCTTCTTCTCCACAAGCACCACCCTCCTCGAACCCAACGCCACCGCCGTCGCTGAAAGCACAACAGCATACTCCATAACAATAACCATAAACAAATGCAACCAAACCCCCGTGTCATCCTCCGCCATCGGATCTAGCACGCTCCCATCCCCCGAAAACAAACTTCCCGCCGAAAAAGCCAACCTCACGCTCATAAACGGGATCGACAGGACAGCACATACAGCAGCTGCACGCTCGTTGCCGTATCCGCCTTGTACTTTGAATAGTGTGATTACGGATAGGAGGACCGTGATGGCGAAGATGGCGATGGAGATGCAGATGCCGGCGCGCATTAAGGTTAGGTCCTTGGTTTGATGCTGGTCGGTTGTGTAGAGGCCGCGGCCACCATAGGCTGTCATTATTGTTGCGGCTATGATGCTCAGTTGGAAGGGGAGGAATATCCAAATGGAGAGGCCTTTGCGGAGCGGGGCGTTGCTGGTTGTGTTAGCGCCTTTTATGCGGGGTGTTTTTGAGAAACTCACGCTCGAACTAGGATCCCAATAAGTAGGAACAGGACTGGTGCTAGTCCTATCGTGTCCAGTAGTGTCGCTGTGGGGAGGAGATTAGACTTGTCGGGATTTATGGCTGCTAGACCTAGTGATGCACTGGTGATTCGCAGCCCGGAGAGAATAAAGAGAGGTATGAGAATAGGGCGCCATGTGTATGGCTTCTTGCCGCCATGTATTAGGAGAATGAAGATGACGACAGGCGGAATGGGACAGTAGAATGCCAACTCGATGAGGAAGATTGCATCCCGTAGGGTGAACATGGTTACTAGGAGAGAGGTTGTTTGGGACTAAGAAGCGGAATCAATTAATTAGATTAGAAAGAAGAGATAGTTTAAATTGGTACTTTGCTTGTGATAAGTATTCTTTTCTATCGTCGCCATAGCACATGGTGGCTTAGGGCATGATCCCGCCCCAACTTGGCAGCCAGATCGACGCCATACTCTACACATGACAGGCTCACGGTAAGTTCATGACAGCCTGTTAAGCTTCTTTGGAGGATTTTTTTAACGACAGAAATAGAATCTGAAGGTTATGCGGGCGGTTTTGTAGGGGGCCGATCTCACGTGCTGCACAGCCCTATCTTGAGATACGGACTCAGGAAAACTTCATTTCGATACTATTTGGGTAATTTGTGAATACAATATCTGATGTTGTACGTTGTGTGTGCATGATGCACCTTTCCCGGCCGTAATTATAGAATAATGGGCCATTCCTATACACAACGAAGACAGTAGAGTGTGAGATGTTTATATTTTGGTTTTAAGGTATTGGTCAAGTCATCAAAAGTGCCGATGCATATAAATAAGATCGAAAGGGTAGTTTACCACATTTTTTGTTTCTTTAATGGATTTTCGAGAATAACATCGAGTAAACAGTTAGAAACGAGGGGGGAATATCTGATAAAAAAAGGTCGTGCTGACAGAATAAAATGACATATCAACAAAAAAAGAGAAAAACTCAAACGAAGAATCGTCAAACAACGTAGAAGAAGGGATTTTCATGCATATTCGTTATGTCTGTACAAAAAAGGTGAAGCAGAAAAGTAAGGGCTTCAATCATGAGCAACCGCCAACCCACCAGGCAACGGGGCGTCAAGATCAATGTCCTCCACTAATCTCCTGTTCTCGCCGCTGTCGCGGAAGAGGTTTGAGAAGTACTTATTGGCAACGTCGCTCTCCTGCTTGGTCTTGCTGACTTCGCTCTTGCGCTTGCCCAGGTCTTCAACGTCCTGTGCAAGGCTGGTTTGCAGGTTGCCGGATGGAATGCGGAGGATGCGGCGGACTTCCGTTGAGATGCGGTTGGCGTTAGAGTGGACATAGTCCATTTCGTGAAGACTGGCGGCAAGCTTGCGCGAGAGACGAGGGGGGAGAGTGGTCGGGATCGAAGAAAGGACGTATGCAGCAGTCAGCGCGGCTAGAAATCTAATTAGTACACGATCCTTGACATATGCATGGTTTAACTTACCGGCTGCAACAAGAGTAGGAACGAACAGACGTCGAGCGTTCTGAGGTCCAAGGAACTTGACAGCACTGAACACGCTGTCAACCCAGCTGAAACCGCTGAAAGCACGGCCGGTGAGAACAGTGATAGCGGTCATGGCCATGCCTGTTCCGGCCATCTTCTCCTGTCTCTCCCAGAGACTCGCGATATCGAAGAAATCCAACAATTCGACTTCCGTGTCGACTTGCCTGGCGAACGTGTGACGGCGGCTACGACGGAACATCATGTCAGCGCGGAAGTTGAGAGGAGCGAACTTGTCCTCCCCAACGTGCAAGAGACCGATGTTCTGGATGAAGCCGACACCTTGCACAGTCTTTCCACGGGCAAAGTCCTCGCACTCCGTAACTGAGCCGGAAATCTGTTCCAACATGGCGAGTTTCAGGTCCTCTGCGTACTGGAACGCAGAGAAGAGACCAGGATACTCAACACCAAGATCTGCTTCAGACACGCGAGCGATAGTGTTCGTCAGCGTAGACCGGGTATGATTGTAGACATCCTCGCAGGATCCCTCGATGCATTTCTCTACTTGGTCCGCAATGTCCAGCTTCCGCTTTTTGCCATTTTCATAGGCGGGAATAAGCTCTGCCAACTCGTCTGTAACGCGCTTGAGCTCTGCCTGGGCAACATCACGGTTGACGGAAGCCAACGAGTTCAGGTCTCCAAGTAGGTTGAGAAGGTAAGTCCTGGCAGGCGCAAGCTTGGACCGAGAACGCTTCTCCAGAACAAAGCGACGCAGAGAGGATTCCAGGTTTTCAAAGTCCTGAATTTTTTCCTTGTCTTTGCCCTTATCTTTACCCTTTCCTTTGCCCTTGTCATTGTCGTCATCGTCGTCATCGTCATGAGGATCATCGAAGCCCCCACCGCCGCCGCTGCCACCACCACCAGGCTGCTCAACCGGCGGCGGCGGTGCAACGGGAATGGCATTGCTCGACACGAAGTGAACCAATTCCGCGGCTTCCTTGTGGGTCCGCGGACTAAGTTTATTGATCTGGTCCAGAATCATCCGCTCGCAACGCTGCTTATCACGGATTTGATCGAAGCCATTGACGACCATGAACATGTAAGCTTTTTCGTGGGCTGCGTTCATAATGAATTCCTTTGCTGAAAGAGTGAAATGGTTCGCAGCTGAGACGACAAAGACAACAACATCGATCTCTTCCTGTCGGGCAAAGACTGCTGTCGTCTTGAGGGAATCCGAATTCAAACCCGGCGCATCGATCAGGGCAATATCGACAACACCGTTGTTCAACAAGGATTCGTCGATAGTCCGCACATCCTTGACATACACCTTACATTGCATGTACTTGTCGTTGTCAATCACGATGTTCTCCAACTCGCACAAGGGGTAGACGTCGTATGTCCTTTCATCATTGCGGTTATACGGCACATCCTTGTGCACTCCATGCACCTCTTCCATTCCGCTGTTCTCCCGAGCATCAAGAACCTCGCAGAAGAGGCTGGTACAAGGCTGCTGGTCCTCCGGCAAGACCTTCCGGCGCAGCAAAGCGTTACAGAAAGTCGACTTTCCCGCGTTCAAGTCTCCAGTAATCAACACCTTACTTGATGTGTCCTCGATTCTGTCCCGCAGTGAGAGAAGATGCTTGATGCTCTGGCCAACTTTTCCGTCAAGAAGTGATGCAATTGAAGATTTCTCCAACGAATGCACTAGCTCAGCTTGCGAAAGAGCGCCCAACTTCAGATCCAGCTTCAAAATCGAAAACTCCTGCGCCATCTGCGGACTCATCAAGCGCGGCTCAGGCGCAGGTCGGCTCTCCGGAGCTGCACTCGACTCTGCCTCACCACCAGCCGGCATCGTAGTCGCGCGTCTGAGTTGTCCTGGAACCGGATCCGCGGGGGTGCCCTCAAGGAATGTTTGGCTGTGCTGTAGCGAGGGGGATCCGGGGGTAGTCTGGACGGACGGGTAGTGGGCAGGCCATTGTCGGTTCATGTCTTGGAGTTCCTTCAACGTCTCGATGGTCCGGGAGATAGCACGGCCGAGCTTGGTCCGGTTCTGGTTGCTGTATATGCCATTAATATCTAATCCGCATAGATCTCGGGGATCCGGCGCAACATACTAGAGAAGCTGGTGAACATGGCTTGCGACAACCTGTCTCTCATTGTCACCTGAGTATGTCAGCAACCTCGCCTCCGTACAGCTAATCGCAAAAGAGCTCGACGGGCAACAAACCAGCTTGGTTCCATTCTCCAGGGTACGTCGGTCTATCTTCCATCAGACCGTGCCATGCAGCCCCTCCATCACCATCTGCCACACTCCCACCGGAGATGCTCCCACCATATCCCGAGTCATTGTTCAACGAGGCCATCAGCGCACTCGCACTCTCCGAAGTCGAACCATTTCCGACGGTCATGTACGAAGGCGGCGGTCTCGGATGGAAAGGCCTGTCGAAACGCTCCTCCTCGCCGGCATGCCTGGACGATCCTTCGCCGGCGGAAGAACCGCTGCCACCGGGGAAATACCCTTGACTCATAGCTGTAAAGGCGTGTTTTGCATCAGCGTGCAAATTGTTAGATCTGATTGGGGGTTGTTTTCGTTGGTATATTATTTTTTTGGGAGGGAGAGAGGCAATGATTAGTGATCATTTGGGCGAGTGTGACAGCATACGCTAGGCTCGAAGGGGCTTGGTGTTTGGTGCATGTGACTCAAAAGGCGGTGAGTATCGGCTTTCGGAAAAGGGTGATACTGCCCGTTGGTTTACAGAGTACGCAGGCGCTTGATGTCACTGCAGGTCTTTCCTTTATCATACTGTCGCATTACTTTGTCTGGCTAACATGAATGTGAGTAATCGCATCAACTTTAATTCGATGGTGTATGTCTGCTTACAATGTGGTAGATTGTTGAGTGGGCGTTCGGCAAACGTATGACGCCGGCGGAGCGTCTACGCAAGCACCAGAGGGCCCTCGATAGGACGCAGCGAGAACTCGATCGGGAGCGCATCAAGCTAGAGAACCAGGAGAAGAAACTCGTACAAGACATAAAGAAGAGCGCAAAAAATGGTCAGATCGGAGCGTGCAAGATCCAGGCCAAGGACCTGGTGCGGTCAAGAAGGTATGAGATGCTGCTTTCCGTCTCTTCCATCTAGCTGACTGTCGTTTTCTTTGCGATCAGGTATATCCAGAAGTTCTATCAAATGCGAACGCAATTACAGGCCATCTCTCTCCGTATTCAGGTACAATGATCCGACCCGACTCGTGTGTCAGTAACTTACAGAAACCGCAGACTGTCCGCAGCAACGAGCAGATGATGCAGTCCATGAAAGGTGCGACGATGCTTCTGGGCAGCATGAACCGACAAATGAACCTCCCCGCCTTGCAACGGATTGCTATGGAGTTTGAACGAGAGAATGATGTTATGGATCAACGCCAAGATATGATGGATGATGCGATTGACGAGGCAACGGGTATGGAAGCAGACGAGGAAGAAGGCGAAGACATTGTTAAGGAGGTTCTGGATGAGATTGGAGTGGATCTTAACCAGTCGGTACGTATCGACTTTTGACTCGCCACTGAGTTACAGAGTGCTGACATGCTTAACACAGTTGGGAGAGACTCCTTCGGACATACAAAAGGCTACCGTTAGCGAATCCAGAGTCGCGCAGCCTGTTGGTGCTGGTGCCGGCGGCGGCGGCGGCGGCGGTAGTGGCGGTGGAACTACAAGCGATGATGACTTGCAGGCACGGCTTGATAGCCTTCGAAAATGAGCATACAGCATGCTCTTTTGTTTTGAGTCGTTTATCCTCTCGTCTATTTTACGTTTTTCTTGTGCATTGCTTATTGCCAACGGAGTTCTGGAGTCGATTGAATGATTGACAAAGACAGGCGTTTGGGATCAATTCTACAGTTGCAACGCCATATGGCAACAACCACTTCTTTTATACAGCAGCTATAGAGACATCGATTAACGACAACGTTTTGTCAGCACTGATTCTTTAACGAATATCAAAACTTGCCTTACTATCAAAACGTCCTCCTCCAACAAGGAAGACTCTCATCCCTTCTCTTTTGGTTATATGGCTCAGAATCTGGCCGTACCCACACCATATCATCCTGATAAGCCCACTGCCCAAACCAAGGCACCGAACACAATTCCTCCAGTGTCGCCCTCTCCGTCGGCTGCTTATGCAACATCATCCTCAACATATCCACACAATCCTGTGACAAGTCCTCCCGAACCGGCAACTCCTCATTAATAATCCGATCTCGCCGCTTATAAACCTCCTTCCAGTGCGTATCAGTGGGCCTAGACTCATCCACCTTGCCCAACGCGGGTTCCCAGTTGGGCGACTCCCAGGGTGCATAGCCATGTAGCATTTCGTAGGTGAGGGCGCCGATTCGCCAGAGATGAGCGATGCGGGTGTCATGGGGGATGTGGATGTCTACTTGGATTTGGTGTCGGTCTTGGAGTTCTAAGTCCGGTTTTGAGAGTTCGAGGGCGATCTCTGGGGTGAGGATGTTTTCTTGGCCGATTACGTGGGCCCAAGAGTTTGCTTGGAAGTCGGAGTCGGTGAAGCCGAAGGTGGTCATTCCTAGGTCGATTAGTTTTGTCTGGCGGTTTGCGTTAGTTCCTGGTTCGTTTTTGGGAGGGGTTGACTCACATTGAGAGACTCATCGACAATAAAGTTAGCCTTGGACAGGTCGCCGTAGGAAATATTCATATGCCGAAGATAAGCAAAACCCTCGAAAATCTGCGACGAAACCTTACACACTTCTTCCTCGTTAAGAATAGGCTTCTTTTTGTGTGTGAGGTACATGCCCGTGAAAGCAATGATACGCCTTAGCTCTGGGTCGTTTGTTTGTAATTCCTTAGGGTCTATTCTGAGAAGATCAGGATCTATACACGCTTCCATGACAATTGAGTGTGCCTCATCATCGACGTAGACCGAGTCAATCTTTGGGAACCTGTCATTATTATACACTAGCATCAAAAGAAGCGCCTCGTGGGGGATGTAGTGGCATCCTTGGCGTGTGAGCTCGTCGAGAACGGTCATAGTAGGTTTACAGTTGAAGACCACTCGATTTGCCATGTTCCAGTGTGTTTCAACTTTGATTGCGTAGTGCTTGTATTTCGTATGGTTCTCTTTATCGGGCTCTCGAGCAAGAAAGACAGTGCCGTAGGCTATATGTCATCATTAGTTACTTTTACAACAATAGAAGAAAGAAAGAGAGAGAGAAAGGGAATGGTACTAACTGCCACCACCGATATTCGCATAAGGAGTCATACGCCCCTTCAGCACGCGACACATATTCCGGAGCCGGTATTCCGCGTTCTCGTATGGGAGCTCATTCCCATGATTCACATATGCCTGGAACTCATCTGCGTCAGCCCTGGCCGCATTACCGTTATCAAGTGTGTAATGTTCGTCGCACAGCGAGACTTGTTCGCCATGTCTCGCGATCCAGGCCTCGTCAAGTCGACCTGCGAATGCTTCGTGGAGATGGGGATATTGTGTTGCTCTGGCAGTTCCTGGTTGCACGAGGTCGTGGATGTTTGTTTGTAGGCGGTTAGTCCAGGTTGGTAGTTGCTGCCTCCAATAGTCCAGGGGGTGCGCCATGTTGCGTAAGTAAGTATGTTTTAGGAGTAGTAACTAGAGGATGCTATGAAAGCGTTATTCCGATGGACATAAAAATGGTAAACGCCATGATTTATATGTACCGTTGACGACACCATATCTATCCGTCCTAATCCATCAAAACAACAAACTACCGCGTAACAAACAATGAAACCTCGAGATCCAAATCCCTTTAAAATAGCCACTTCTTTCAGTGCTTAGAAGCCACCGAAAAGAACAAACTCCTTTATCCCTTCAGCAGCGAGACAAAACAATGTCTCTTAGGGCTATCGACGGCGTCAAAACAATGCCCCGTTTCGGGCTTTGCTTTGTTTATTGGATCGATGACAGCATCGGATCCTCGTTGGCAGGGCTGCATCTGCTGCATGCTGGACAAGGTTTGTGTGAGTCTGCTCAGTCGTGTTTGGAAGATCTTGCATGTTATGATGGAATTGGAGAGTTTAACTGTGATGACATGGTACAGGGCTGGTATGGCATTGTCCAATGAGAGTGATTCCAGTGCACTTCGCTACCTGGGACAAATTCTTCAGCTGGAGATGAAACTTGAGATAGAAACGTGCAGTATAGTACATGGTACAAAGGTACAAAATACGAAGCGATCTTTCTTCGAGATCATTAACAATCTAAACATCCTATTCCGGGTGAATCTTTGCTTTGTTGGGCCATCGCCTCTTTGGGCGCATCGCTTGCACCTCTCATCGGTCTGCAGACAAAAGTACTTCTTATGTGCATAATGGCTTTGTGTGGCTTTGTATACTTGGCATATTTATAGCACTGAGTCAGGTCAGCTGACGACACGTGCTGGCGATTGGTAGTTCGTCCCTCCACAGAGTTCTCCTTTTTATCTCACTTAATCTCTCACCTCATTTTCATGAAAAATGTACTCCATAAAGGAAGGAAAAAAGAAAAAGGAATCCGAGTCCTTCCGTACTCCGTATTTCCAGCTGCAACCATTCGCTCCGTACTTTCCCTCTGCCCAACGAGGATAGAATCTCCCCTCAATCAATCAATTTCTTTTAATTTAGGCCTGTTCATCTTGCATGGTGCATAGCCACTCCTGTGCAGAATGAGAACCGACATTGCGTTTTCCTGCAGCACTTGCCGACCAAAATCACTGCTGATCCGGTCATAAGGGGATTTTTTCTTGTGATGGTCGGCGGTATCTTGCATATCCTCGACTCGTGGGAGGCGAATTACCGGAGAGCCCTACTACTATTCTATGACTATGAGTAGTTTTCTGCGCTCTTATTTGTTTGTATGTGTTTAGGCACACGGTCACATTTGCCACTGCGATTTTTCCCTTTCGTGGGTGATGGTAGGCGCCTTTAGATATTGTGCTTATTGCTTTGTCCTGATGTACGAATCACGTTGGATTCAGTAAAGGATTACAGGGATTAATGGATTCCTGAAACATCGTTGCTGATGATTGCTGAGAAGTTTTCCAAATGCACCAAATGCCGAGTGACCCCCCTTCAAGAAGATATTTGAAGGCCCCGTCGTCCTCGTGCGCGACATTTTTCCTCATGGTGCGGCAATAAAAAAAAAAAAAGACCTCGCTTTGCGCTGGGCAGTTGACTATTCCTCTTTAGTTCCTTTTCTTCTTCTTCATTTTCTCTTTTCTCATTACCCCTCTTGCTGTTTTTTTTTCTGTCTACGGTAATCTTTTTTGTTAATCTTTACCGGCGGCCATGGTCGCTATCAATCAGAATGCGAGGCCGCATGTGCCTCCGGCTCATCTTCGGCCTGGCGAGGCTCCTCGCATCATCCACCACTCGACTCCCGGCCTCATGAACCCTACACAACTGGCTGCCCAGCTGGGTCAGCTCAACGTGGGTGGCCGTCCAAGCAACGGCCAACATGTAAAGGCACCTGCTGCATCCCACGTCCATGCCCACGACGTGAACGCTCCCACGCCACTGTACGAGGGATACACCTTCTTCAAAGCGGACGCGGCTCCCGGTCAGAAATCGACATGGGGTCGCATCGAACGGACCAAGATGTCACAGGGCCAGAATGAGCTGTCAAAGATGGTCCAGACCCGGTCGAAGAAGCTTCCTATTGCTGGGCAATACGAAACCCTCACGAAAGCCAAGCGTACCCTCGTCGACCAGTTGATTGAACAACGAGCACGGCTTGACTCTCACTTAGGTTGGGAATGTGTCTATGCGAAGACAGAAGAGAAACCCAAAGGCAAGAACGCACGCCGTGGCGAGCTTGAAACAGTCTCCATGGACGTTGTGATCATGGGACTGCCCAAGCCCGCTGCCAACCTGAATGCGTCTCAGAAGTCTGTCAAGATCGAGACTCCAGAGGAGACCAAAGAGAGAAATCTAGAAAAGCCCGTTCCTCCCACAGCCGAAAAGGAACCTCGTCCGATCAACAAGATCAACGATCTGAAGAACAAGGTCCAGTGGGTGAAACCAGGCAATACCCGTCAGCAGCCTCCTGCAATGAAGATTCACATACCGCAACGGGATGAGTCGCCGCCGCCCTACCCTCGTCCCCAAGCGCCCCCTGACCCGAACCCTTTCCCCCATCCCCGTCCCGCCGAAGGACACAATGCTGGCAGAGGGCAGCCCATGGAAAGGCCATGGTCACAGGCTCCGGCGGTCCAGCAACCGTACAATGTCCCCCAGGCTCATTCCAATCTTGGCTCAGGGCGTGGGATGCCAAACGCGGGTGCTCAAACTGTTCCCCCAAATCACAATGGGTTCTATCCCAGACGAATGGAAGCACGTGGTCGTCCACCATTTGTTCGGCCTGGTGCTGGCCCAGCGCCTGAAACACAACATTCACGTGCTCGCAGTGGGTCTGAACCCCAGCCAGTCAATGGTCATCCCGGCTCTGTACAACCCCCTCATGATCTCCCTGGAAAATCCAAACCCCCCGTAGACAGCGAGGATGACCGTACAGCCGGGACCCCCAACTTGACTGAGCGGGTCAAATGGCCTGCTGAGTCCAGCGAGACTGAAGACGAGTCAATTCTATCTGGCGGTGACGACGAGGACGACTGGAGCTCCGTAACAGAGGATCTAAGTGACGAGAGCGATCTGGATAGCGAAGAGGACGAGGAATTAGAAAACAAAACCCCCCAAAAACCCCAACCATGGCGTGGGAGTCTTTGGCGCCGACACTCGTCTCAGAAGCTGAACCGCCGGCATCCAGTGTATCGCATCCATTGTCGGAAGTGGCCGAACAGTAGTTCTCCTAATAAAGACGGCGATGACAGCAACCCCAACCGAGGACGATCTCCAGCAGGCAACACAGACTGCAGCATGGAAGAGGTGGTGTCCACCACCAGACACACGAGCGATAACAATGCCGAATGGAGAGCAGCAACAGGCCAACCACCCCGGGAAATTACCGTGCCAGGAACCCGAGGCCGTCCCACTATTATCCACGAAGCCGAAGCTAACCCGGGACCTCTCGATTCCCCTGGGGCCCAATCTCCTTTAGATGAGGAGCAGGTGCGGATGCACAATGACATCCGCACTAAGATTCTGAATGACAGGGAGGCTCGACTGGAGCGGCGGGAGAAGCTGGTGGACTTTCATGCGAAGATGTTGGCGGAGAAGTTGGAGGAAGCGAGGTTCATGAATCAGCGGATGGCATTGCGAGAGCCATTTTATTATCGTCCTTATTCCCCTCCGCGACGATATCCTTTGCCGGAGTACTAGTTATGTAACTAGAGTAGTAGTGTGTATGTAGGTAGTAATGGAACGAGAAATGACGCAGGACGCCTTTGGTCCGTCCCGCCACGTTTCCCCGTTTTGTCTTCGTCTGGCGTCATAAATCTTCCTTCTTTCTCTTTCTCTTTCTCTTCCTCTCCTTCTTCTTCTTCTTCCTATTCTTCTTTACTATCATCGCAATTCTTCTTTACTCTGTCTATCTCAATTCTATTCTATCTCACTTTATTCTTACTCTCTGCCCATCATGCCTCGCCAATTCTTCATCGGTGGTAACTTCAAGATGTACATCTGCCCCGCTACCCCTCCATCCCCGACATTGACAGCATAGCTATAATACATAACACACCACTTAACGGGATTATACTGACAGAGTATAGGAACGGTGTTGCCGACAGCATCACCTCCATCGTCAACAACCTCAACTCGGCCAAGCTCGACCCCAACGCCGAGGTCGTCATCTCTCCCCCCGCTCCCTACCTGTCGCTCGCCCGCCAGGTCGCCAACGACAACATCGGCGTCGCTGCCCAGAACGTCTTCGACAAGCCTAATGGTGCATTCACCGGTGAGATCAGCGTTGAGCAGCTTCAGGATCTCAAGATCAACTGGACTCTCGTTGGACACAGTGAGCGCCGTGTCCTCCTGAAGGAGTCAGACGAGTTCATTGCCAAGAAGGTCAAGGCTGCTGTTGACGGTGGTCTTGGTGTTATTTTCTGCATTGGTGAGACTCTGGAGGTATGTCATTCATCTTAAACTTGTTTTCTATTTGGATTCCTAGTTAACGATTTGTAGGAGCGCGAGTCCAACAGCACCATCGCCGTCGTCACCCGTCAACTCAACGCCGCCGCCAAGGAGCTCTCCAAGGAGCAATGGGCCAAGGTTGTCATCGCCTATGAGCCCGTCTGGGCCATCGGAACCGGCAAGGTCGCTACCACTGAGCAGGCTCAGGAGGTCCACGCCGCTATCCGCAAATGGCTCGGTGAGGCCATCTCCGCCGAGGCCGCCGACAACACCCGTGTCATCTACGGTGGCTCGGTGAGCGAGAAGAACTGCCGTGAGCTCGCCAAGGAGAACGATGTTGACGGTTTCCTTGTTGGCGGTGCCAGCTTGAAGCCTGCATGTAAGACTTTCTTTCCCTTTTGATTGGTTTAATTGGTGCAGTTATCTGACAGTTACAGTCGTCGACATTGTCAACTCCCGTCTGTAAGAATTTAGTGATAGGTTTATGATGCGATCCGTTCAATTTACGATTACCAATACCGCGATGTGATGAGAATTTAGACGAATTAAAATGAGATCCGTTTTGGTGGCTACCACCACTTCACATTCGTAACTGCTTTAAGATTCATAGAGATTATACACTCGTAACTGAGCAGGGCATATGCACAATTTTTATGACAGTACAGAGTACTCATGACGAATACGACACCGACACCCCCACACTCCTCCAATATGACGCCGACGCACCACCCCCAACACTCTGCGCACCACCACCACCACCACCAGGCCCATAAGCTGGCGAAAACGAACTCGGCCCCAACCCAACACCCGCACTAACCAATAACTCCTTCACCCGTCCCTCCCAAAGCAACCTCACATTCCACGACTGATCAACCCGAATCTTAAGCACAGAGTCACTAGCTTCCTCCTCTTCCTCATCTTTCTTTAACTCCTTCAGCGGTGCGGGACTCGCATTGCTCGGAGCAGGCGGAAAATCAGGATTATTCTCCCGCATTTTGCGCCTCGCCCATTCAAGTCCATCATCTTCTGGTTCGGTGGTGGATTTGCTGGGTTTGCGCCAGAGTTCGCACCCCGCGACCATCTCGCTTTCCCAGCTGTAGACGTTGAAACCGAAGCGGGAGCTGAAAGAGAGGTTTGGGGAGGCGCGGAGGGAGTAAGATGTTGAGAGGGAGCCGGTTAAAGGGGTTAGGGTTAGGGTGAGGGTGTAGGGGAAGGTGGAGATTGGCCCGTTATTTGCGGGGGATGATGGGGAGGAGGGAGAGGAGAATTGGCTCTCGGGTGTCTCGGGTGCGGGAAGGGTGCTGAAGCGGATGCCTGTGGACATGCCAATGAGAGAGGAGATGGGGGAGTAGTATGCTTCTGCGCCTGCAGATAGAAGGGATAGTTGTGATGCGGAGTTGTCATTCTTCGAAGTAGATCGCGGGTCTGGACCGAAATTCCATAAACCCCGCCAGCCGAATAGTGCATTGTCCGTGCTAAACAGGTATTCATTGCTGTATTTCCCCGTATCATGAGACAACTGCGTCAACAGCGAAGCCTGCGGTGCCGATTTCGACAATGGAGGCCCACGAGTCGAGCACACCGCGAGTGCCAGCTGCATCGTTGGGGAAATCCTCCTTAAGAACAACGCATTAAGCGTCGTTGGCGGCGGCAGATGAAGCGTCGCATGAAGCAACGTCGCTTTCTGCCGAGTAACCGCATCATTACCACCGTCTCCTGCCGGCGAGAAATCGCCAACGCCATCAAGTATCGAGTTCCATGCCCAGTTCTCGGCTGGGGCGGCTGGGCGCTGGACTTGTCGGTAGCCCGGGGTAAGTTTTCGAAGGGGTATTAGGGCGCTTCGACTGGGGGTGCTGTCGAATGGGAGGGTGCTGTAGAGGTAGGAGACGGAGCCGTCGATTAGACCGACTGTGCCGAGTGTGTAGCTGGTTGCGAAATGAGGGGTTGAGAGGGAGGAGAGGTGGACGCGGAGGCGCTCAGGGGTGGTGAAGTCGAGGAGTGCTATTTATCTAGGATTAGACACACTTGGATATTGGTAAATAGTGTATCATCGAGGGTCTCACACTGTGCTGTGGCTGTTAACGACGAGTACGAATTGTCGCGATTCCAATTGGTCCCCTCAGCGAAGGCGAGCTGGATATAATCCATGAAATCCAGCATTGTTGCAATTGCATGAGAGTGTCACAGCAGGGGTCGATTGGTAGTCTCCCCCATCAATCCGACATAGTGAACAATCACTTGGAGATAGACCTGGTGAACTCCGATCTCTTCTGAATGAAGCCAATCAGCTCATTACCCAACTCGGCTTAGTCCGTCGGATAAGGATAAGCCCCGCATCAACATTCCTCCGGCTGTTATCAACGGAAGAAAAAAAAAAGTCGAAATTCTCGAACCCGCCAAAGTCTGTTTACCAAAAGAGAAGGCCTTCCACTTCAACAGACCTTTGGTCCTTTAATTCATATTACTACTTAAAAGCTTGTTTTTCGCGCATTCTCTCGCAATGCCTCGTTCCAAGCGCGCGCGCGTCGTTCACGAGACTAGAACCGCAAAGAAGTCTCACAAGGAACAGACTAGACGGTTGTACGCCAACATTCGCGAATGTGTCGAGAGCTATGAGCACCTGTTTGTCTTCTCAGTCGATAATATGCGCAACACATACCTGAAGGATGTGCGCACCGAGTTTGCTGAGGATGGCCGGTGAGTTTGTTCCTTTGGTCCCATGTGCATGATTTGATATCGCATTTGAGGGCAAACCAATTGCCGTCAATTACTATCTTCAGGCGCAATTATATTTCATTTGATCAAACGCTAACAAAAATAGCCTCTTCTTCGGCAAGACAAAAGTCATGGCCGTCGCCCTGGGCCACAGCCCCGAGACCGAAGCTGCCACAAACCTCCACAAACTCACCCCCTACCTCACCGGCGCCGTCGGCCTCCTCTTCACCTCTCGAGACCCAGATTCAGTCACCGGCTACTTCGACACCTTCCGCCCCGCTGATTTTGCCCGTGCCGGAACCGAGGCCACCCGCTCTTTCACGATCCCCAATGGCCTTGTGTACTCGCGGGCTGGAGAGATCCCGACAACTGACGATCAGCCTATCAGCCATACTATTGAACCCGAGCTGCGGAAACTGGGTGTCCCTACGCGTCTTGTGAAGGGCAAGGTCATGTTGGAGTTGACTGAGGGGGAAGAGGGGTATGTTGTGTGCCGGGAAGGAGAGACGTTGGATTCGAGACAGACGACTCTACTCAAGCTGTTTGGTGTTGCGATTTCTGAGTTCCATGTTGGGCTGAAGGCTCAATGGCGGAATAACGGGGAAATTAAGATTCTTGAACAGGGCCAAGGGGAGATGGAGGTCGACGGGCAATAAGTGCCTATTTTTGATTCTTTTTCTTTGGTCCAAAAATTTTGGGCATTTCATGGCGTTTGGCAGAGGCGTTGTTATCTTCGTTTTCTCTTCTATCCCCGGTTCGTTCTTGTTCGACGAGCGCGTGATGTGATGCACATAAATGTTTCAACCTAGAAAGCTAGCTACTCTTTGCGCTACAGCTTGACGGTTGCCAACTACGAAAATATATAAAAGAAAACAATTCTCCAAAAAGGACATAATTACCTTGAATCTTTTCCGGCCGCACGTGTATGTCTGGCGTCGGTCAACATTGTTTAAACGCCTTACCTGATCTTACCTGAGAATTCCCATGTTGCAGAACCGGAATTGCACCTGAATGCATGTTGACTACCTAAAATACATACTTACCCCAAAAAAGCGTAGATTAGACCCAGGGTAAAGGGAAACAAGGACATGAAACAGAAAACGCATAAGGCGAAAGGTCAGAACCATGCGGTTGGGCCAGATTGATACCCCGGCGATCTTTGGATGACAGGTGATATCGACGGCCAAGACGATCCAGGAACTCAATTTCCACGAATGAAGGTGAATGGCAACTCGAGACGCTGGCGCTGAAAGATTTCTGACCTTGTCTTACCCGTGTGGTGCAATGGGGCAATAGAAGCAATCAATCAGATACCCACCAGCAGACTATGACAGGTGTGGTAGGCAAGGAACATTCACGAACAACAGATCTTAATACCTCCTCTTGGCACGAGGGTCATCATATGAATCATCCTCGTGGTACCTCTTGCGTCCATAGTCCTCTCGGCCACCGTACCTGTCACGGTCACGCTCACGCTCACGGTCCCGGTAACGGTAGTCCCTGTCTCGGTCCCTATGACGGTCACCCTCGCGATCACGGTCATGATCACGACGGTCGCGGTCAGAATAGGCTTCTCTTGGCCTTATAGGCTCGCGGTTGCTACCCGTTCCACCACGGTCGTACCTGCCACCTCCACCAAAGAAACCTCCAGCACTCCGTCCACCACCTGGGCCAGACGGCGCATTTGGAGGGGGGCCACCAAATCCATTGCGGCCTCCTTGGTAGCCGATACCGCCACGAGGGCCGCCAAATCGGTCACCGCGATAACCTCCTCCGCGGAATCCTCTGCCACCAAAGCCACCGCGGAAACCACCACCAGGTCCTGTAGGAGCGCCAAAGCCTGGCCCGCTAGGGCGAGAAGGTAGCGCCTTAGTATATCCACGGCCTCCAAGACCACCGCCGAATCGACGGGGTTTCCATCCTTTGACGGTACGACCGCGCTCCACGTCTACCAACACACGTCGGTCCTTGATCCGTATACCATCCGTTTCCTTGTAGGCAGCTGAAGATAGCGCAAGCGAGAGTGGTTAGTACGATAAATAATACACGCTGTTAAAGCTGGCATAACCCAAATAGCAATAATACCTTTCATGTCTTTTTCACGCTCATATACGATGAAAGCATACCCTCTGTTGGGTTTGCTCTTGGGACTGACAGTGTCTTTGACGATACGGATCTGGAAGCATGTCAGCATCCTTTAAAGTGCGACTATAGTACCCCGAGAAATATACCCTTTCAATAGGTCCAAAGCGTCCGAATTCACGTTCGAGGTCCGATTCTTTCACTTCGTAGCTGAGCCGCGCAACGAAGAGAGTCTTGAACGGATCGCCTCGGGCTTGCGAGTCCTTGGTAGGATCAACTGCGAGCGAGTCAACATGAGAATAACAAAAGCAGAAGTGCAATATCTCAAAACATACAATCTTGAACCGCTTCATTAACTTGTCTGTGTACTCTTTCTTTCTTTTGCAACTTCTCGCGCCATTTGCGCTGGATCCAGCTCTCCGTCGCAGTGTAAGGGATTTCCTCCTCGTATTTCTTGATCTCCGGGAGATACTGAGCAATACCGCTGATTGTACTCTTTTTTACGTCCTCTGGTGCGCGGTTGATCGGGGTCACATAGCGTAGAGGCGGACGGGGCTGGAACAGCGCCAGCAGTGGAGGGGGGAGCTTGTCAGTCATTGTATGAGCTCACCAATTGGTGTGGCTGAGCTTTCTTTTATTAAGGACAAAGACTAGACGTTAGCTGGTGAAGACATTGGGATGGATTCGATGGACAGATTATCATCAAGAGCGAATGTCGCGTTGATGTGAGTCTTGGCGCGGCCGGAAGAAGAAGTTGCCAAGCCGCGATTATTCTTCTTACCGCGCGTGTGAAGCAACCAATCACATCTAATATATACTCCAGCAACTGAAAAGTCCCCCGAAGTGCCCGCCGACGAATTGCTCCGTCGAAAGTGAACAGAGATAACGAACAACAATGCCTGTACAAGGGATCAGAACGGTGGCCGCTGCCAGGGTATGTCCAGGATCTCTACCGTAAATCTGGAATCTTCAAACCGGCAGACTACTGACAGGCTCATCCAGAACGGCGTCGGCGCCTTTATCCTGCCATGCAAGCGCATGGATTTCCACTACTGCGACTGGGCAGGTAGCTCGCGGGGCATGGTGTAAGTCCTCTATCAGTCATTATAATTTTTAGACGGCTCTAACGGCAATTGTCCTACAGTTCCTTTCTCAGGAGCGCCCTCCCATCCTTCGCCAAAGCAAATCCCCAGATCGAAATCCGAGTGTCACCACGGCCGCACAAACACCCAGTAGTCAAGGGCCACTACATCAACGGACGCGAGAAGGCTATCTGTGTGCGGAACCTCGAGCCGGAACAAATATTCAACAAGGCAAACTTGCTGAAGGAGGCCAGCGGGGAGAAGCTGAAACGCACCAAGAAGCCCGTCACGAGTATCAACGACAGTGTCAGAGGCATCTGGTCCCCTTACCATGGAGACATCAAAACCGTTTAGAGTGGGTCTTTTGCGGGATGATTGCGGTGGCTTCAGTTACCAAGTTAGCGTGTCTTGGTTGGGGAATCACGTCTCTTTCTTTGTTAATGTATTATTGATGTCGGGCATTTTTTGCAAATTTTCTTGTTTATCAATCTGGGAAGCAGGTGTTTACGTTTCATGTATAAAAGGAATCGGACCACAATACCATAAATTCAGGATATGTTCTAACGGCCTTGAAGTACAGTTTATGCTGAGTGCGGGTATCTATCTCATGCAAGATATAGTGATATCCAAACATGGATGATGGATGTAAAGTTGCTCCTTCAGAAAGTTCAAAGTAATGGGTATCGAAAATACTAGGAAATATAAGCAAAAATAGTCCAATAAACACCCAAACCATGCAAATGCTACAAAACACAACAGGCCACCGCGGACTCTTTGAGCCTAAAGAGTGTACATTTCAGTCCCCGGGAGCTTCTCAATGCGAGTCGGACCCGCGGGACTGCTCCTGCATCGAGTAATTCGACGTGATCAATCCTTTCAGGTTCCCCCACCACGAAGGCAGATACCAATGTATCCAATAGGTCGGGCAAAAGCAGGAACCCGGGAAAACCAATCAGCGAGCAGGCGAAAGCAGCACCATAGTGGCAGTGCCCGTATGGGATCCAAGCCAAAACTTCAAGCACCACATTCCGTTGATTATACAGAATCCACTCTCACAGATATATTTGAATCATGGACTTCGGGGCACTAACGGGCACCCCACAATTATCCGCTCGACACTTACTAAACGGCTTCATCCGTTGCGGTGCCTTCTTCGCTTTCGAGAGAGCGCGGTGTCTCGTACATTCACCACAGTAGACCTAAAATGAAAGTCAGCCATTGCATTTGGTATCGAATCGTGGAGATAGACGAACATGACCGCATTTCTTCACAACCCATATCTGTGATTTGGTCTCATCACCCGTACCCAGCTCCTGGTCGCAGTTAGGACACACGACCACCTCGTCCTCCTTCGCGTTCCTCGTGAACCCCTCCGGCGCAGGACTTGGGGCCTTATATGTATCCACCGGTGGCCTACGATCCACAGTGGCCGTAGATATCGGATACTCAATATCGAGATCCCCGCCAATAAACAAACTGTCCACGTCCTGCGGTTGCCGGCCAAACAGGCCACTTGCCCAAGGAATGGGCCGTCGAAACGCCTCTGACGACATCACGAAGCTTGCTAATGAGTTTCCATTCAGCATCCTCCATAGCTGTGATCCTTCCGGCCTTGGTGGTGGCGCGGTAGGCGCCCTTGTCGTCGCACCCACAAATTCGACCTCCGGGCTGCTTGAGGGGAGCCCTTGTCCAATCTCCTGCACTTCGTCCTCGTCCTCGTCCTCGCCTTCATCTTCGTCCTCCACCAAATCGACCACATCTTGCATGACATTTCGGCCGAACCGAGGCAAGCGCGTATAATGATGTCTGTTATGGGATTGCTGTTGCTGCTGCGACAGCGGTCGAGGAGGAGAATCGGGCTCGTCGGTAAGATCAATAACCTCCTCGTTATTACTGGTAACCGGCCTCCTGAAGTCGAAGCCATCTCCGGGATAGCGCGTCGGTAATTGGAGAGGGCGATGGGAGGCTGAAGGCGAAGGCATACTGGAGTGAGGCCATAGAGATTGGCCGGCAGTGGCGGGCGATGTTTGGGACATATGGCTATGTGGTCGCTAAATGATAGAACGCCGTCAGTGAAATTGCAACGACTGGTGTAAGACGGTGGTTGAATTAAAGAAATTCCCCCGCCTTAAAGATGGCAAGCAAGATGGTACCTTTCTGGACCGGGCGGCCAAAATCTGCACGTTTTCACTCATTAGAGTGAGAAATCGATATAAAAAAGCAGATAATGAAGTAAGATTGGTCTGAAGTGAGGCAAAGAGAAAAGAGGCGTGCGTTGTCCGGGAAGAAAAGCGTCCCTTTGGTGGCGGCCATGTCGTAGTAATCAAGCTCCGAGTGGATGGATGAAGTTCGGGATCTTGACAAGGCTGCCATCATCGATGCAAATAAGCAAACAGGGGTTTGGAGACGTTGCTGTGCTCCATAAACCATTATTTGGATATAGGACAAAAAGTTCTTGGTGGGATATATTTCAACTCTCCAACCATTATATATTTGATTTGTTCGCCTCAAATTGAAAATCAAAAGACAATGCAATTAACAATAACGATTCCCCGAGACACGCAAACCAGCTAAAATTACACGCCATCTTTTCAAAAAGGTATCATTATAACTAGGCTCCCAACACCGTGATTCCACCCTCAGCATTCAACACAACAATGCTCTGAGCTGCCGGTCCCCATTGCACTGCAGCCGCAGGCACAGCGCTTCTCAATGGCTCCGACCATTCCTTGGTAGACTTGGTAAACTGCTGGACAGTCACTCCACTGGGTCCTCCAGTCAGGAGGAACTGGCCTGTGTAGTCCCAGTAGATCGAGTCAACCTTGTTACCGGTATCAAGCACCTTGGTCTCTTTCGAGTGACGGAGGTCCCAGATGGAGACGACAGTGGAATTATCTGCCACCGCAGCCAAGAAAACACCGTTCTCAGAAAAGAACAGACTCTTGACTGGACCAGACGAGGAGTAGTCCGCAGCAGGTGTGCCAGATGTGGTGTTGAAGATCTTGATCTGCCCGTCAACGCCACCTGCAGCAATGAGGTGACCATCAGGGTGGAAGTTGACGGATAGAAGAGCTGTAGAAGAGTCAAAAGTCAGCGATCTGTTCAATAACTGTGCCGGGACTTGTTGGATTTCCCTACATGCGTCACTGAAGACCTGCGTGAGCACAGAGTTCGTCGTCAAGTCATACAAGACATAGCTCTTGTCAACCCCGACAGAGGCAACGATATCACCGGTAGCGTGCAATGCAAGGGCAGTCGCTTCTCCAGCATGCGAATTGAAGGTCGCGACCTCATTGCCGTTTTCGAAAACCTTGACGGACCCAGTAGCGGAAGCAACCACGGCCTTATCTCCAGCCCAGAGAGCATCGGTAACTGGGCCGTTGGTCTGCAATGTGTGTGCTACGCGTTTATCGGCGAGCGAGTAAATACCAACCACCCCTTCGGGGCCTCCAACAAGAGCCAACTCTCCAGAGGAATGAACAGAGAGTGCTTTGCCGCCAGGATATAAAGCATCGGAACTTTCCTTGGGCTGGTATGATGAGATAGCTTCGCTGGTAGCCCAGTTCTCTGGGACAGGGCGCTTGCGGCGAGACTTGGAGAGCCTGCTTCTTGTCAGCCAATTATATAAACACAAATTTCAAGCAGAACGTACGCCGCCTGTGTCTGCTCAACCCGTGCTACCACTGCCTCGGGCAAACCAGCAGAATCGACCTGCATCTCATCGCCGCCACCAGCGGTGCGGGTGGCCCCGACCGTGACCTTGGACAACGCATCACGGGCCTCGTCTCTCTCCTGTGTCAATCGTGCGATAACCCGGACAGCAGCATCGTGCTGGTAAAGCGCCGAACTGAGCTCCTGTCGCGTCTGCGCCAAAGTCTGTCGCAACGTGTGTGTTTCCAAAGCTAAAGCATCCCATTCTTCCTGGAACACGCTAAGAAGGGAAGGAATTGAGGTGAGCGTAGGTGGCCGAGGGCGAACGACGCGCTGCGATTTGATATCGATAAGATCCTCCGTAGCAAGCTCTTCACCGTTAACGGGGTCCTTTCCATGCTCGCCAATGTACGCTTCAATGAGTCGCTTTTCGAAAACGCTGCCTATATGGGGTTAGATGAATGAGATGAAGACTCGCATTAGTCCGATAATGATTGCAACATACCGCTCTTGGGCGAGACGACGGGCACTTGAGGTGCCTCTCCCGAGACTTTCAAGCAGAACTATCGTCAGTATCAGACTCATCAAATCATCAATTCAGCAGAAATAACTCACTGGCACACAGCATGGTTGATTCTAGGGTGTGAATGTTGTATAGCAATGCGGAGGACAGGCTTGCTTGACGCGAGAGCTGCGGCTCCTTGAGACTTTTCGATACGCCCGATCGGGTTTAGTACCAGTTTGGCCGCGGCTTCTTGGCATACAAGTTGGCCTCCGAACAGTACACAAGTTTAACTACTCCAGGTTATTTATTCTTTTACTTCCCTCAATTGTGATAGACTACGTCTGGTACAGAAGTGCGTTGTGTGATCTGAAGCGGAGCGCTGTCAGATATTGTGGTGTGGTCTTCCGTTGAGCTAGTACTGCCTCATGAGCTTCCAAATGCGACTCCAGACATAGGAGCTTGAAGAGTCTGGCAGTTCTGCCGTCGCATAATTATTGTTCATTCCCAGAAGCCCCCAATTGCTCAAGAACTGGCTATCAACGCCTGGGATTGACTGTTCAGCGGAGACAATGTCCTTCAACGCGAAGAATCTCTCCTATGGTACGTGATCTGCTTCGTCATGGACTCTTCGAGATGCTGTGTCTGACATTGAATCAGATTCGAAGGACCCACCCTTCATACAGAGGCTAAAAGGCCATTATGGAAGCACTACCGGCCGCCTGGAGCAGCCCATTGCCCGACCCAGGAAACAAAAGCGAGATGACGAAGATGACGAACCAACCTACGTTGATGAAGAAAGCAACGAGGTGATCTCAAAGGAGGAATACAAAGCTCTATTCCAGGAGAGCAACCCGAAGGACGATGAACATCCGGAACAGGAGCCGGCTGATAAGGAGCAGAATGCACTCGGGTCTGATGAAGAGGATAATGTAGACACCGGAAAGGATGCACCAGCTTCTAAACAGAATGTGGTTGAGATAGGAGGGCCCAAGAAGCGAAAGCAAGCGAAAGTCGTTGGCGAAGAAAACAAGGAACCTGAGGTGGGAGAAGAGCTGCGAGAAGCTCCGGCTGCCCGGAAGCCCAAGCAGAAGAAAAAGAAGATCAAGCTTTCCTTCGACGAGGAGGAGTAATGCACATGATTCCAGTTTGATAGCTGCTAAAACTAAACTGTAACCTGGTATTATACATAGACTGCGCAGATGTACATAGTAGTATAGCATCATACCTGCCAAAATAAGAAGCAATTATTAATCACCGAATCCACTCTGATTTATGACTCCTTCTATTACTCAAATTCATTCATATTACTGTAACGAAATATTATTATTCTTCCCTTCCGCTACTTGTGAGTCAGTTTGGCTGGGCATCGCATTCTCCGACAACTATTTTTTCTTCCGCTCGCCTCTCTCCGGCAGGCGGAATTCAGCGCCAACGTCAAACTACCGACGAAAGAGCATTTAAAACGGACTACCGGATATTAGAACTGTGTGAGAGAGCCAGCTCTAGCTTAAAATGCCCGTCGTCAGTGTTGACGATCTGGTCCGTCTTCAACGGAAACCAGAAGACATCCGGAATGTAAGTGCCCCTCCATCCCACCTTGATAACCAGCTTCTTTTACTAGCACGACGCTGACAAAATCATAGATTTGTATTCTTGCACACGTTGTAAGTGGCAGAAACGGCTCCTGAAGAAGACTTCCATGTATTAATCTGCGCCCAGGATCATGGCAAAACATCCCTAACAGACAGCCTTATTGCCACAAATGGAATCATCTCACCAAAACTCGCGGGTAAGATCCGTTACCTGGACTCTCGTCCAGATGAGCAACTCCGTGGTATCACGATGGAGTCCTCTGCCATTTCTCTGTTCTTCTCCATGCTCCGTCGCCCCAACCCGGAGGCTGCTCCGGAACCCAAGGAATATCTGGTAAACCTGATCGACTCACCAGGACACATCGATTTCAGCAGCGAAGTATCTACTGCATCGCGTCTTTGTGATGGTGCGATTATTCTTGTTGATGCTGTGGAGGGTGTTTGCAGTCAGACCGTTACGGTGCTGCGTCAGTCATGGGTCGAGCAGCTGAAGCCGATTTTGGTGATTAACAAGATGGACAGATTGATTAGCGAACTCCAAATGAGTCCCGCTGAGGCATATGCTCACCTCTCTCGACTGCTAGAACAAGTCAATGCTGTCATCGGAAGCTTCTACCAGGGTGAACGGATGGAAGAGGACCTCCAGTGGCGTGAGCGGATGGAAGACCGCATCAATGCCTCTGCAGCCAAATCTAAGAAGCAGGCGCAGGACGATGCACTCACTGAAAACATTGAGGAGGCTGCTGAGTTCAAAGAGATGGATGATGAAGATCTTTACTTTGCCCCCGAGAAGAACAACGTGATCTTCTGTAGTGCGGTCGATGGCTGGGCATTTACCATCAGACAATTCGCAGCAATTTACGAGAGAAAGATCGGGATCAAACGATCTGTACTCGAAAAGGTCCTCTGGGGTGACTTCTATCTAGACCCTAAAACGAAGCGAGTTCTGGGCCAGAAGCATCTGAAAGGGAGAGCTCTAAAGCCCATGTTCGTACAATTGGTGCTAGATAGTATATGGGCTGCGTACGAAGCTACGACAGGTGGTGGAAAGGGCAAGGGGTATGTTTTGATTAGGTCCAGTACTGTTTTCAACGGACGAAAGTAATTGACAATGGCAGTGACCCGGTTCTCTTGGAGAAGATTACCAAGTCTCTAAATATCACCATTCCGCCATATATAATGCGCTCGCGTGACCCCAGGAATATAATGACCACGCTATTCTCCTCGTGGTTGCCTTTGTCCACGGCCGTCCTCGTCTCAGTCATCGAATATCTCCCCAGTCCTCCAACCGCCCAATCTGCTCGTTTACCAACCATGGTCGAAGAGTCACCTGGTGCCGCATCCGTGGACAACAAGGTGAAGGAGGCCATGATACGATTTACGACAAACACAGACGAGCCAGTTGTGGCATATGTCAGCAAAATGGTTGCCATTCCAGAAAGTGAACTCAAGTCAAGTAACAAGCGACCTGGTACGAGCATGTCAGCAGACGAAGCTCGGGAAATTGCGCGCAAGAAGAGAGAAGAGATCGCCAAGTTGCAGGGAGAAGCCAATACTCAACCGAAGGACGAATTCACCTATGTCCAGTCTTCCCTCGAAGTTATTACAATTGATGAGACTGAAGGAAAGGAAGACGCCGCTGAGGATAAGGGCGAACCTGAACACCTGGTCGGATTTGCACGACTGTACTCAGGAACTCTCTCAGTTGGCGACTCTGTATACGTTCTTGGACCTAAGTTCTCGCCAGCAAATCCGCACGCCAACCCCGTGCCGCAAAAGGTCACGATTACAGACCTGTACCTCCTCATGGGCAGAAGTCTCGAACCTCTAAAATCGGTCCCTGCCGGTGTCGTTTTTGGAATCGGCGGCCTCGCAGGCCACGTCCTCAAGACCGGTACTCTCTGCAGCCAGCTCGAAGGAAGTATCAACCTGGCTGGTGTATCTATGGCCACACCGCCTATCGTCCGTGTCTCCCTGGAGCCAGTCAACCCCGCAGACCTGGGTAAAATGGTCACTGGTCTCCGCCTCCTGGAACAGAGTGACCCATGCGCCGAGTACGAGGTGCTCTCAAACGGCGAGCATGTCATTCTAACAGCCGGTGAATTGCACCTGGAGCGGTGCGTGAAGGATCTCCGTGAACGGTTTGCTCGCTGCGAAATCCAAACCGGCCAGACTATCGTGCCCTACCGGGAGACCATCGTCCATGCACCGGAGATGGCTCCGCCTAATAACCCTGAATTAGGTCGTGGAGGTGTCGAGGCAGTGTCTTCTTCAAAGCAGTTGACTGTCCGCTTGCGTGTTGTGCCGTTGCCGGAACCAGTGACGGAGTTCTTCACCAAGCAAGCTGCAACTATCAAGCAGTTGCAGTCTCAGAAGCATGCCGCTGTTGAGGACAAGGCTGTCGAAGAGGCAAATGGAAACGGCGCAGAAGAAACTGGTGACGTTTCCCACGAAGCTCAAGCAGGAGACGTGATGTCTCTCGAGAATTTCAGAAAGGAACTCACCCGAATCTTCGACGAGGAGGTCAAGGAGAACAAGGAGCTGTGGCAGGACGTCGTCGACAAGATCACCGCGTTTGGACCACGGAGAATCGGTCCTAACATTCTCGTCGACGCCACCGCCGTCAACACAAGCGACAAATTGTACGTTCCTGCTTTCCCTCAGAACCAAACCCATAGACTAGACAAAGCTAACAATTTTAGTCTCCTCGACGAACCACACACCAACATCTCCCCCGAAGACCGCCAGGCCCTAATCGTCCGCGACTTCACCGACAAAATCGCCTACGCCTTTCAACTCGCAACATCCCAAGGCCCGCTCTGTCAAGAACCCATCCAGGGGACCGCAGTCTTCCTCGAAGAACTATCTACCAACGCAGAGAACGGAGAGGAACTCGATCTGGGACGCTTAACGGGTGAAGCGATCAAATTGGTTCGCGAGAGTATCTCCCAGGGATTCCTTGACTGGAGCCCACGGGTTATGCTTGCGATGTATAGTTGTGAGATTCAAGCTTCGAGTACGCGCCCCTACCCCCCTTTTCTCCCAGGTGTATTTGGGTATACTAACAAACGAATAGCCGAAGTCCTCGGTCGCGTCTACGGTGTAATAACCCGCCGCCGCGGCCGCATCCTATCTGAATCCATGAAAGAAGGCACCCCCTTCTTCACAATCCTCTCTCTTCTCCCCGTTGCCGAATCCTTCGGTTTCGCCGAAGAAATCCGCAAACGGACCTCCGGCGCCGCGCAACCACAACTCATCTTCGCTGGTTTCGAGGCGCTCGATGAAGATCCGTTTTGGGTTCCTGCCACCGAGGAGGAATTGGAGGATCTGGGTGAGTTGGCAGACCGGGAGAATGTGGCGAAGAGGTATATGGATGCTGTTAGGACTCGGAAGGGGTTGGTTGTGCAGGGGAGGAAGTTGATTGATGCGGAGAAGCAGAAGACGTTGAAGAAGTAAATTGTTACTTGATATTTTAGGGGAGGTGGACATGTACTATTAAATGAACAAAAGTCGCATTTGGATTACTTATCAGTCTACGTAGATATAAGTGTACCCTCAAGGAAAAAAAACTCCTCCAAATCCATATCGGATAGAGAAGATTAGGTGAGGGTCGTAGAGGTTGAGAGGCCTCTACGAGAAGAACCGTTGATCTTCCTCCATTGACAAACACAAGACCTGCATTGAGAATTCAGGACCATGTATACTAAGGAGGTGGTATGTTGTGATATGTGAGGATAAGGGGCAGGAAGAAGAACAATTAAATGATATCATATTCGTTATGTCATGAAGTTCGGAGAGCGAGGCTCGATCCTTGGTGTAAGCCATAGGCTCACAAATAAGAATAGTGAACTAACACTATCTTCAAGTGTGGTGTGTAATCATGGCCGTTGTTTCCAGGCCACCCCGCACGTTGTGTGGTTTGGTCGACGGGGAGTATTTCTGTGTTACTGCGCAGCAGTCGACACTGCTTGAATAGAAGTACTCTCTCGAATGGAAGACGCGCATAAGATATGTATCGCTTTCTTTCGATCGTGGCCGATGGGCCCTTGTCGTAGACCATTTAGTCCCGAAGACTTGCGACAGCACGGGAAGACATCATCCATGCCTGATGCCGTTTAGGTTTTTCCGGAATCATCGTATAGAGCGACGGTACAATCAGAATGGACGCGCGACCTTCCTCAACTCCCCAAGACCAGTAACAGGATCTCTCATCTCCTTCCAGCTAACAGGAAACATCATATTCCCAGCTTCACTGCGCGCCATAACAACACCAAGGTCGTTCCGTGCAGTAGTGATATAGTAGAAACTCTGATCACCCAGCGAGATAATAGTGCCTCGCACAATATCCCCAACACGGAACATCTCGTCCATAATGACACGATCCTTCTCGACAGCACGCACATCCTCTTTCCGAATCAAAGCCTGAAACCGCAACTCGTCAGAGGAACTGTGGTTCTCCGGGTTCGCAGCCGACGAAAGAATTGACTCGATGTTGTCATTGTCAGATGTCGTCTTCGACGGATCTGAAACCTGTGAGCTGGAGAGTTCGTCCAACACGACGAGGATGGACACGGTGACTTGGCGTTTCTGAACGCGTGTCACACGGGCCAGAACAACTGAGTCCACTGCTGGGAGCGTGTTGTACTTCAATTTGGGCTTTGTAGTAGCTGGCTTCGGAGCGGTTGTGGAGACGGTTGGCTTCACGGTAGCTGCTCCGCTCGGGGTTGCTCCTGTCTGTCTGTTGATTGACCGCGAGACGGTAAGCAGAGACTTTGCTTTAGACTTTGCCTGGGCCTGGTCAACTATGACGGGGCCAGCAATGGATGCGTAGATGACTGCATCATACACATGTGTGCCTGGACCTGCGGCATACGAGGTAGTCGAACCCAATCGCTGACCTGGAATGGCCAGGGATGGAAGGGTAGCCGCCATTGAAACACAAGCAGCAATTCCTACAATGAAGTAGGTTTTTGTGCTTTGTTTTTAAAGGTGGAGAGTAAGCGGGTTGAGGGGACGAGAGAAGCTGCAGGGAAATCGAAGTTTTTCTTTGGTGGGAACTGCGGAGTATCATTTGTCCGAAGGAAGCTATCCACTCTATCACGGGACATGACATCACCGGTGCTTACAGAAGTATATATGGAAAGACAATGGAATATTGAGCTAGGTATCACTGCAATTAAGGTATAGACTCTCGAGATTGACCATGGTTACAGACAGCATTCACGCATAAGATATGACAAAAGAAAATGAGAAGTGAAGAGTAAAAGGCAATGGCCCAGAAACGAAAATTGAACAAGCAGCAAAGGCCAATGCCAGATGACAAGATAAAAAGTTAAGAAGAAAGGAAGAAACCAGTCCCTATCACACTGAATGCTCGCTGATAGAAAAAACAGTGACACCGAATCTAAATGCCCACTTAACACCCTGTGACAAGAAAATCGATGTACGGAGTAGTCGAAAAAGGAATAAGAAACTAAAGAAGAAAGGAGATAAATATAACCCAGAAAGAAAAAGAAAAAGTAAAAAAAAAAAAAAAAAAAAAAAAAAAAAAAAAAAAAAAGGTTCAAGAAGGAAGGTCGCATTAGCCTTCGACAAGGGTCTGTTTGGGACCGTTACCAAGAAACTCGAGGCATCGCCGAGCCAGGGCAACGACCTCGCCCTCTCCGTCTTCTCCGTCTTCCACATCTGACTCGACGTTCCTATCCGAGATTTCCCTGACCATCTGAACGAGGTCTCCGGATTTGGCAATATAGGCGACCAGCCTCTTGTCCTCCGATTCCAATAGTTGGAGGAGAGTCCAAATGGCGATGTGCTGGAATGTCGGGTCTCCACTAGCGAGGAAGCGGTGCAAATATCCGTGGATTCCACCGTTCGGATCCGCCCAGTCACGAACAAAAATCGAGTAATCCCCAACTAAATCATTGGCTTTTAGCACTGATTATACCAAATTATCAAGGGAGACTTACCTTTAGATGACAGATTGCCTAGGGCAGCTGCACTGTTTCCTTGTACCTCGATGCTCTCTGAATCGGTCAAAGGGATCAAGACATCAAACACACCGAGGTTCAGGAGATGGGGCTTAAGTTCATCGCTGAGGGCCAGCACAGCGATAGCAGCAGTCATCTCGGATTGCACGCTCAGCGAAACTCGCAGCACCAGGTCTTTACATTTCTGTACTGCACCTGCCTGGAGTACAAGCTCCTTGTTGCGATCTGAGCTTGCTGCAAGATTGCGAAGCGTCGAGATGGCGTGGCATTGGATTTCCTCGTTGTCAGTAGAGCCCAGCAAATCCACCAAGGGTTTGAGGAAACCAGCGTCGATGATTGGGGATTCGTTGAGAGGGTGAATTGAGATGTTACGGATACAAGCAACGGCGGAAAGAATGAGGGGAAGATATGAGGATTGCAAGAGTCGCAGAAGAGGAGGCAAGCCCTTCGATCGAACGATTTCGAGCTGATATTTCTCATCGGATGCCAAGTTACGGAGAGCCAGGGCGGCCTGGCATTGTACCTTGGGAGTAGAAGAATCCATCATGAGGTGGACTAACGACTGAACCAATCGCGACTCTGTTTGGGCCAATTTCTTTCGGTTGGTCGAGTCGACGGCGATGTTGCTCAGTGCCGTAGTGCAATAATATTGAACGTCAACATCGGAGGAAGAGAGCAATTGGACGAGAACCGGAATCGCACCGGCATTGACGAGTTGTTGACGGTTGTCATCTGTTCCAATATCAAGAATAGTCAGACCAAAGAACATTCATGGTCGATGGTGTCTTCCAGAGGCACGACTTACCCGAATGGGTCATATTCAACAATGCACCTGTGGCATTACGCTGAACGCGCATGTCCTTGGATTTGGCAAGCCGAATCAAGGGCCCCAGAGCACCGGAGCGAGCGATTTTAGCTTTGTTCTCTTCATGAGTAGCCAGGTTGGTAATGCATCCGACCGCATTGCATTGAACCTCAACATTTTGGGACATCATTTGGCGGATAAGAGGAGCCAGCCCTCCCAGGGCAACAATCAGGACCTTGTTATCCGCTAAGCCAATGTCAGTGACTCTTTATCATCGATGCGACAACGAAAGGGAAGGGGAAGGGAGACGGACCATTGACGGCAAGGTTCCCGAGCGCAGCACTAGCCGCTCGCTGGACTTCGATATCGGAACTTTGAAGCAAGAAAAGAATCGGTTCCAAGGTGTCTCGATCCACATCGCGCACATCTAGAAACACACGACCGTCAGCCCCTGCCACTCGTTGTACGTCAGTTTCTCTTGCGTCACGTTGCACACCGACCTCGTTCCGTGATTTCAGCAAACGTCAAACTGGCGCTTCGTTGTAGATCAACATTGTCGGAATAGACCAGGGTACTCAGCGATCCAAGAGGTTCGCCTGAAAAGAAATCTGTCTCGGCTCTCTATATAGCAAGAATCATGGAGTTAGTTGGTGATGATGGTAGATCTCGGAGCATCAAAACAAGGGGTCCGACGTCAAGGTCAAATCGCAAGAACGAGGCAAAAGCAAAAGAATATAACGGATGAGAGTATAGCGTACATTTTCAAGGTAGCCCAGCAAGTCAGAGACAGCTTCGCGTTCATTGTCGGCCAATGTGGTCTCATAGATTCCATCTCTCGAGCGGCTACCGCCGAGGCAAGCCGTGATATGACACCAACGGTCTACTGTCGAGAGACAGGACCAACACGCATTCGCTATTCCACTCATTCCTTCAGGGATGGGAGGCCCGCAGGACCCAGAGGGTGGTCCTGCAAGCGATTGAATTTCAAAGCCAACGGCAGGTCAACCGGGGGGGTTGGAAGAGGTGAGGTATTTCGCGGCTGAGGCTGGTCGGGGACGTTAACTCCGGCTTGAAAGAGTTTTGTTTTTTAATCGAAGAATTACCTGCGGCGTGAATAAAGAGATTAGATGTCAGAAAGCGATGCAAGATGCGAGGGAAGGATGAGGGACAAGGTGAGGGCGGTGATTGAATAATTGGGATGGCTTGAAGCTGGGATTAAATGAGGGAGCAGCGGCTCTCCAGACCGGGAAAGTGAGAGTGAGGAAACCAGTCCTCGTGATAAGGCGATTTCCTTATTGCTCGATTTGCAGAAATTAGTAGTAAAATTATTTTCATTTCTTACCTTTTAGAATCTTTTCCCCGGCATTTGGAATGTTGAATATGGAGTGAGCGAAGAGCGAGAGGTTTAAAGAGAGAAAGCGAGAGGGGGGAAACAGATGGCGGAGACAGCAGTCAAGCAGTAACAGCAGAACCAACGCAACTTTCCTACGCTGGACCAATGCTGGTAAATAATCGTGTTCTATTTTTCGTAGTTGTCCATTATCTGTGTCTCTAAGCTCATTTGACGTATCAACCTCTATGTGCTTATTGTTTATCGGCTTGATTCAGCTCGGCGCCGACATCATCGGCATGGTACAAGAGCTATGGCAGTCATCCAGACCATAAGCTTTCTTCATTCGAATGCCATTTATACATTTTATTCTCTCCCCTCTGCTGTCCCAGGGACAGTTTCATCAACTTCATCACGCTATAATTGAAGATTCGCGCATCACCCGATCCCGAAGCTCTACGAATAATGCGCTCTAGTTCAAGCACGCAGCCGCCGTGAGCACCTGATGATAACGGATTCTACTCTACGGTTAGCGATTCATCGCTAACGCGAACCTTATTAACATCAGATCCTGAGCCCATCTCTCGAAAAAGATAATCGACATTGAAAAATAAACACCTCTTCCTCCCGGGATGACGCATGTGGTCACTAGATATGTCCAGAGCTAGTGCTGCAAGATCGGCAGGATGACTGAGCGGCAGCTGGTCGTGAGCTTTGAACCTGGCTATATATCCGGAAGGGCACATGGGCTACTGATCAGTGGGATGCGCTGTGAACCAATCCGGACCACCAGAAATGCAATCAAATACGACTTGTGCATGCAGGTTGGTTACCCACCCAACTGGCAGTAATACCAAGTTGAGTGGTCGGATGGAAAATGACAGGTGTTTGCCGAATAAAGTTGGGGCACCATTGGGGCACTTCATCATCGAATCCTTGACATGACAGACTGCAGCTCACGGTCCCAATAACCGTGTGCAATTCCGCAGGAATCAAATGCACAATATATGAAGATGACGCTTATTACCCCTGGTTTTACCCCGGAATATGGAATTCCGTCTATGGGACCAAGGAGTCTGTTCGGTTCTCATCCGGAGCAGAAAGTTCCATATTTGCCACTGGTCTTGATCCGAGCAGGACTCGAGACTTCTGTCGATGAGGTCTATGGTCGACTCCGGAGTACCGATGGGAGAGCACTCCAACCGGCATTCGAATACCACAGGAAGCATGAGATTGTGGACGCGGGATGCCATTCTCAGCCCTGTCCCCCCGCAAGAAGCCTCATTTTCTTTTGCCAACCAGAGTTCACACAACGGGAACCTGTCCACTTCTCCGCATTGCAGCCGATCTGGAGAGAACTCTGAATGGGATTGCGATAGAGTCATGCAAAGGACCGGGACAGGTTAGAGGATTTCGGATAGAGTAGAACAGACTATAGTCATGCTAGTCCTGGAAAGAGTCCGAACACCCACAGTGTGGAATGTAAGAGCCAGTTACATACCCAAGGGAAGCCAAACTCGGATCGAACCAGATCATGCGACATCAATCCACAGCTGTCTTTCGCATTCTTAACCTTTTCAATATCTCTTGATCATTTAGAAACCAAACTGAATACATACATCCTCAATCTTGTCTCTTCTGTCTGTCTCTCTCACCTCACTCTCTTTCTCTCTCTCTCTCCTGTTCGCCCCACCGGTAGATCTCCCCCCAGTTCGCCCTCGCATCGTCTCTTTCTTGCTGTGCCGCGTTGTCTCTGGAGAATTACATCCCCCCTTCTCCTTCACCCGCGCGCTGTCTTTGAGCGATCCAACGCGCAAGAAACAGCATATCATTCCTATTTGAAATACGCATCATTTCCAGAAAGAGTGAGGGCATTGGATAATAATAGTACGATTCTTCCCCTGTGGTGGTCAGTTTCTCTCTCCCTGGACCTCACGAGACCCTTTCTTTCATCACCTGATGATTTTTTTTTTTTTCCTTTGCTATCATCTCTCATCCATTATTCCCTTCTCAAACTCTTCTCACTACTATTACTACTACTACTAATACATTGCCAATACAATTGTCGCTCACATAATATAATATACAGAACTGTCTATCGTCCATTTTTATCATTGTTTTCTAGGGTCAACTCTGCATGATCCTATAATCTAATTTACCCTATCTTTCTCGATTGTATCCGTCGCCACGGCCTTTGCGCCTGTGTATCCTATATGTCGACCTCAACCGCTTCCGCCTCCGCCGCCAACCTCCCATCCGACTCTCGCTCGAGACCCCTCCGAAGACTAAGCCAGCTGCGCTCCTTCACTTCCTCGTCGTCATCGACCAACAACAATAACAACAATAATAACACCACCGCCACCAACAATAATAGCAACAGCGGCACCTCCCAGCGTTCTTCGTATCGCAACTCCCTGACAAATCGGGTTCCTTGGCTTTCGTCGTCCTCCCACCAGCAGCACACTTCCGCCGCCGCTGCGCCCGGTTCAGAATCTGCAACCACCACCTCTCCCACAAACGCTTCGCACTCATGTCCTGAATCTGAACGTCAGTCTACACTTGCTCGCTACAGCTCGGTCTTTTCTTCAAATCGTGGGATCGATTCCGACCGACGTTCACAGAACTCTTCTTCATCCAGAGAGACCCCAACAAACGAGTCCAGTTCCAATCAGCAACCGCAAGGGGCCATGGCACGTCTTAGAGGTCTGACGCAGACTGGAGACTCGCGGGGTAACAACGAGAATGCTAGCAACAACAACCACGCTACGACTGCTACTAATGATGCTCCTTCGTCGGGACCGGACAACGTAGATGGAGCCGTCGATTCGTCTGACCCAGCGGCGGCTGAAGACCCGTCCGCCAACTCAGCGCAGCCCAAGCAGAAGCCCACCATGCGTTTCTTCCCGTACCAAGATCCTCTGCAGAACTCCCGACCGTCCTTGACCTTTATTCCCATCTCCCGCACTCTCCCGTCGGAAAGCTGTGTGATTCGCGTCGGTCGATACTCAGAGCGGGATGGGATCCCCATCGCCAACCCATCTGAGCCGTCAGACGCCCCTATTGGATTCAAGTCGAAGGTGGTGAGTCGCAAACACTGCGAGCTTATCTTTATGAACGGCCAGTGGCACATCAAGGACGTGGGAAGTTCGTCGGGAACCTTTTTGAATCACATGCGTCTGAGCCAGCCCAACATGACGTCCAAGCTATACACCGTTAAGGATGGGGACATTATACAACTCGGCATCGATTTTCGCGGCGGAGAGGAAATGATCTTCCGTTGTGTTCGCATTCGGATTGAGTGTAACCGATCCTGGCAGCGTCAGCCCAACGAGTTCAAGTACGGATCCCCCCCCCCCTTTTTTTTTTTCCAGTTTCATCACCTCTGTTTGCTAATATAAATTCAAGTAAAAACACCGAGAGCTTGATTAAGAACTTGGGTAAAGGCAACACTGCGGATTATTCTGGCTGTCGCGAGTGTTCCATCTGTCTGGGCTCTGTTCTGGTACGTTTTCCTTGTCATTTCCAGTGGGCACCGGATACTAACGTTTTGCAAAGCGGCCGTATCAATGTCTATTCATGGCCGCCTGCGCTCACGTATGGCACTACAAATGCGTCAGTCGCTTGATTCATACTCCCGACTATCCGATTTTTCAATGTCCCAATTGTCGCGCATACACGGACCTGAGCGCCGAGGTCGATGACACAAACGACTTCGTGGAGGAGGAAGAGGAAGAAGAAGAAGAACAGAAAAACAGTACATCGGAGAGACAACCATCCACAGAGCAACAGGCCCAATCGGAGTCTCAGTCACCCGCACCAGAGACCAATGCGACCTCCAATCCGGCCCAGGAAACTCCTACGCAGCCTGCAAACAGCAGCTCTGCAGAGTCTCCGGAGCACGGCATGCCTGTTGAAGCGGGCTTGGCAGTGAACATCGAAAACATGCGCTTACATGAAGCCGAAACACCTGTCCAAAGCGCTACTAACGCTAATCCTGCGACGTCCGCTCCTACCTCGGACGTTGAAGGCGTTCCTCACAGTGCCAGTCTCGACATTCCTGGTTCTCAGTCTGCATCTCTGTCTCGGGGAACTCTCTTGAATCGACCAGCACAGCTGACACTTGGCCGTGCGGATTTGTCTGATGACAATCCGTTGACTCCGCGTAATGACTCGGGACCTTTGGCCTTTGATGGTTGGACGGGAATACCTTGAGTTGTGTTACAAAATCCATATGAACGGAATAGGTCTTTTTGTCCACGTTCGATGTTGGTTGTTTGGATGCATTGTTTCTGGTTATCCCAAATACGGATTTTTTTTTTTCGGGCTTTGTGACTCCTTTTTCGCTTTTCTTTGTTTCTTTCCCCCATGGTTTCTACGCCGTCCATCCCACTAAAGCTGCCCAATTACCGAATTGAAGCAGCGTGGGGCGTCCGTCACACTTTTCATTTGTCTCTTGTCGAACACGTTCATCACATATACCCATTTGCGCCGGCTGTTCCAATCCACTAATAGCGTCGGTTTCAATCGCTATTTGCATCACTCCGTCTTCATGATGCAACCGTCCACGCGCTCGTGTTATTCGCTCTGTTGGAGATGGGTCTTTTTATCCAGTTGTTGCTGAGAACCGGTTTGGCGTTGGTCGCATTCTTAGCGAAGGAGCATATCGTTGGCCATTTGTTTTCTTTTTCTCTTCTTCTCTTCTCACTGTGACTGGTCGCTACATAGCATTTGTACATATTGATATCTATTGCAAGCGAGAATCTATGGAGTATTGGATAGCTCCAATCGTCAACCATTTGTCTGACCAAACTCGACTTAGTTATCAGAAGGGTAACGAGTAACTGTTGACATACTCATGTACGTCGACACCAGAATAGGAAGGGCAAAGTGTGTATATGTACCCAATCAGTCAGTCCAGCAATAAACTCCCATAACTGCACAGCCCCGCTACATAAACTCAAGCACAACAATGGAACGGGATTCTCGATCAATGATGATTGATCGACGCATGAGGTCATCTTCATTATTGGGTTTCGGTTTCAGGAAATCAACCAAACAAAGCTCTCTGGTTACAACGTCGGGACTGGATGGAACTGGAACGGATATACGAAGTGTGCCTCGGGTAAAGGGAATCGAACCATTAACTGCACCAGTAACTTGAACTGTATCGAATCTCCAACGAGCCAAGAGGCCGCGTCTTCTGTCTTGTCTTTATTGGAGTCAGCCAAGAGGATCTGAGAGATACCAGGAGCGAGATTTGTAGATTGGGGCTTGGTTGGTTAAGTACGGCCCTGCGGTCCAAGGTATGTACTCTGGTTGAGGGTCAAGCAACGGCTTTTCATTCGGCATTTCGTTGGACACCCAGGACCTCTACTACTCCCCATACGAAAACAAAGGAGCTGAACTCGTGCCTGTGCATGCGCTCATCTGCTGTGCTCAATGGCGAGCTGAATAGTGACGGGGAGACCCGAGATTTACCTTTCATCGCTGTACACGGCAACTCTGAATACACTTCAATCCAACTCGTTTCGTTTCAACCCAACACAAAGGCGCATGCAAGTCAACGTCTCTAATCTCCCTCGCTTGTTCGGAGGTATTCTTTGACAATTGACTCTAAAACGAAGCCAAGCCGGAAAAATGGAAGCTGACGTCGTTGGCCTCTTCGTCGTTCCTTGGAATCGGATCCCGCTCAACCATGTTAATGGCATGTTCCTCTTCTTGTCTACGGGGAGCGGTTGACACCGGTCGCATGGTTGCGCTGGGGGACGAATACGAACTAGTATCTATACGGAACTCCGCATTGCCATACATGGACGTCCCGTGGTCTTCATCCTGTTGGTACGTGAGGAGAGACAGACGTGCGGATGTGCAGATGAACTTGGAGAACTAAGAGAAGATCACCACTCCCTTCTGGGTCTAGCTCAGTAGCGGATGTATGCTTTATTTTGATGGCGTGCAAGGTCCAGACGGCTGTACTTGGAACTATTACCTGTGCATTGCCGTGATAGACAGGGGATGCATGAGCTGCGTACTCTGTACAAAGGACTCTTTGAGTGCTCTGTACTCCGAACTTTGTTGCGGCTAAGACCGGACGGAATATTTACCAAAAATGTCAGGTCTTCTTACAGACCTTGTTGATAGGTCACTGGTGTCTCCAGAATTGCACATGTGACTTTTTGGGAGACAGACATCAATGGCTCCAAATGTGGCGAGAACCGATAATGGTGATCACCCAAACTTAAGCTTTCCCATGGATAGGCCCATTCAGTTTTTTCCACGTCTGGCATGTGTTTCTACTAAGATCCGAGTTAAGCGAATACGGCTAGACTCGTCCGGGAGTGTACGCGTTGCGCTACTCTGGACTTGTATACCGCAACAAATGAAATCCCTCAATCCTTCCAGAAATATGCGATAAAAAGGGGTCTGCAATGGCCTCGGCTACTAGTACAGAGTACATATTGACACGGAAGACTCGCCCCGAAACAGATCATCGACAAATGAGGCATACATTATTAGAAACGGTTCTCCTGGATCAACCGCTAGCCGGACAATCAGGGCCGCGGGTCCCATAGCTCGGCGCACATCAAAGCTTGTCCTGCGACAAACTCGGTCTAAAAAGCTTGTCCGGCTGATCGGCTGGGTACACGTTGATCGCTTGCCCACTATGATGCGAATTACTTTTTGTTCTTGCTGCTCTTTTGCTCCATTTTGCTCGCGCCATTATGGGAGGAGGAGAGGGGAAGTTACGTAGCCGATGGACCTGCCCGGGGTCAGTTATAAATACTCGAGATGATGTCGTTGTCTTTGTTGGTATTGTTAGTTTGTCAAGTTAGCGAGAATCGGCATCCACTACGATTTCTTTCTCTGCTATCATGCGTCTTTACGCTTTCTTGGTCACATTATTTCTGCAATTGGCCGTGCTCGGCCATGCCTTCCAAGACACATATAACCGGTACGTTCTACTCCAAGTCATACAACGCAGAAGATACTAACCCCGACAGACCTGGCAGATGGTCAGCGACAGATCATAAAAACCACCGAGAATGGCTATCCAACATAGCCCGACGAGTCGATGAATCTCCCGAAGAACTCCACCCCGTCATCAAAGAATTCGAAGACCGCATCGACACCAGCCCCCGTCTCGCCATGCTCTTCCAGTCCATGTTTAACGAAGTCCCTCTCCACTACACCAAGCAAGATAACGGTGCTCCCCAGCTCCGCAACTACAAGCACATGCTGCGCGTGCTGAACCACCTCATCCGCACCGCACCATCCTACAGCGAGCGAAAGAACCGCATGAGTTTCGTCGGACTCCCCATCAACGCCGTCCTCGACTGGCCAATGGGCACACCCAGTGGATTCGCGGCGTTCATCGACCCCGAAGTCAACGAGATGATCCAGAAGATCCTCAACGATTGGGGTGCGTTCTTGCAGTCCCCCGACTCTGCCTACGTCCTAGGAACCGAGAAGCTCGACTGGTTTGGCCCAACAGCCCTCCAAGACCTCACGCGAGTCGCAAACATCGGGAAAACAAACTACACCTTCGACGAGATGTTCATCTCCGACCCCTCTGACAAGACCCACGGCTACACTTCCTGGGATAACTTCTTCACCCGCCTCTTCCACGACGGTATCCGTCCTGTCTCCGCACCAGACAACGACAGCGTCATCATCAACGCCTGCGAGTCGAAGCCCTACAACGTGCAGCACAACGTGAAAGCCCACGATGCCTTCTGGGTCAAAGAACAACCCTATTCCGTCATCGACATGCTGGGCCGCGACTCCATGGCTGACCGTTTCGTCGGGGGAACAATCTACCAAGCTTTCCTGAGTGCTTTGAGCTACCACCGCTGGCATGCGCCTATCTCAGGCAAGATCGTCAAGTCCTACATCATCAACGGTACGTACTACTCCGAGCCGCTCTTCACAGGTACAACGAACCCGCGCGACAACCATACCTTCATTGACGACGTGGGTATTGTCACCGCGGAGACCTACCTTACCTCCATGGCCACCCGCGCCGTTATCTTCATCGAAGCTGATAACCCCGCCATCGGGACGGTCGCGTTCATTGGCGTCGGGATGGCGGAGGTCTCGACGTGCGATATCACCGTGAAGGAGGGACAACACGTGAAGAAGGGAGAGGAACTCGGGATGTTCCACTATGGTGGCTCGACGCATTGTCTGCTCTTCGAGAATGGGGTTAATGTTACGGGCTTCCCAGAGAATGGCGGGGAGTGGAATGTACCTGTTAGAGGGGAATTGGCTGTTGTTCAATAGTTTTGTTTCTCTTGTTTTATGAGTACTTATACCAGGTAGATATCCATGAAATGTTAGATTGTTTAATATTCTTAAACTCCTTGGCTCCCAAACCCCAAGTACTAAAGCGTGGAGTAAACTGTCCCCCGTACAACATTCTAGCGCAGCTCAATAGGGAGTAACTAGTATGACGCGATCCGTCTCGATGGAAAAGTAGAGGCTGTACAGCCCTGACAACTGGTAATCAGGGAACGTGCAGATTGTCAGCAAAAGCAAACAAGGGAGCTAAGATATAATAACTGCACTGCCTCTATTTCTGTAGCAAACGTCGAAAACTAGGAGAATAGAGATTAACAGCAAACCAAATCCCAGACCACAAACGCCAGACATTGCCCATAGCTGCCTCTGAGAATCTGATTCGTTCAACCCACTGAATGAACGAAGCAGAGAAAGATAAACAGAAGGACATTACCATCACGCCAGTGCTGCTGGACTCTCTTTGCGGGCAGATGCGCGGCGAAGCAAATGCCGCATGTACCATAGATAAAGGAGCAAAATAGGTGGAGAGGATTCAATGAACAAGAAAATGTAATGGAAAATACGGCCGCAGGTAGGCATGTGTAAAGGGGAAGGGTCGCAGTTCCAGGTGTATGAGATGATAATGAGGATGATCAAGGTGGTCCCATTCAGATGAATTAGCATCCAGCACCAAGGATACTGGAAAAGATTATAGACTATGTGAGAACTAGCAGACCTGCATTGATTGAAGAATATCTGGGGCATTAGAATCGAATCAACCCTAAGGAATCTTGCTCGAAATAATAGCTGCGAAGTAACACTATCCACATCTCCCCATTCGTTATTTCCATTTTCCTCCCAAGCTGTGCTCGTCACGAACCTCTTCCGGCCCTAACACAAGCGTTCTATGTTTCCTTGGTACGTTTAGGTGCGGATTGTTGCCCAATCCGAAAGCGAAGGATTCATGTGTGGCGGGCCTGATCGAAGCAAATGCATGGTAGTTGTGTGATAGCATGAGCCGTTGCTCTGCTACTGCTTGTTGTTAGCCATATATGATGGCTTTGAATGTGACAGCCTCGGATTCCCCTCACCGCAGGAGGGACTACAAGTAGCAACAAGAAATACATCAACACTGGGAAGTTAAATAGAAAGCACCACAATAACAGCTAGCGCATCATAGGTCTAAGCAACATGGTAGAGTTACTCGTTTCATTTTCTGGAAGGAGATCAACTGAATAGGGAATAGCACAATAAAACAAGACACTTTGCCTTCTGACGATGAGAAATTTGATATTGTGAGAGACCCAGTTGGATCTAAATGAATATCAGACGAACAGTATATGATGGATGAGATGAATAGTCCCGAATAGCTAAGCAGGTACGGGATATCAACCTCTCGTGACGGTTCTCAAACTTCCATCTCCTAACTCCGGCATCCCGACAGCCTCGACATCAACAAAGATGGCTTTCTCTATAACTGACAATAATCTTAGCTCTATTACCAGACATACCTCGATTGTTGACGCTTATCTCCACGATGTGATTATTCAGAAAATCTACAAGTCAACTATTCCGCAGCATCCTATCTTACATGTACTCACTTCAGATACTTTGTACACAAACCAGCATAACTGTTAATGTCGTGGAATACCCCGCTGACGCTTCTTACGATAATCATCACATACACCTGGAAGTGTGACATCTCCTTCGTCAGACCTACCTGCGGCCGACCACTCCATTGCACCGTCGGGTTCATCCAGATTGCGCCTGCGCTTCTGACTCTATACATTTACTACCAACGTCACCTACTTCGTCTTGTACTGGCCCACCAGGAGAGTTTATTGTAATGAACAATGCCTTATTTGATGCTCCAAGTCAGGATTTAAGATGAGGGGAGTTGCTTTGTATTTTCCCAAAAATTCGGGTTGAAACGCAAACTATGTGGTTATTCTACTCTTCCATTGTCTGGTTTCATTTTAGAAACCTAAGATAATCCCCTTAGAAGGGAATTTGCAATTTGTAGAGTCCTACCTCCCAGTCCGTCACCGTACCGTGGCATGCATCCATCCCTCAATAGAACCGCTAACCAACCCATCTTCGTCCAAGGCTCCCGATCCCCATGTTCAGATCTCGACCAAAACAATATCAATGGTGATGGAGCTTCTGGTTGACGTTGCCTAGTCTTGCCCGAAAAAGATAATATAGCCTCCTTGTTGGCTACGAAGCACTGAATACCATTTGCTATGTCACCTACGAGGTGTTTTGCGGTCCCATGTTAGTTTCGCAGAACACTGGCTTGACTTCATAGGTAGCGGAAGTTATCCTTGTACCCGCCTGCGCTTTACGGTCCGATTTTGGATATGTGATGCAATATCAACGAATGGTCTTTTATTTTTCGATGCTCTCGTGGGCTATCGCCCTATCAATGCGACTACTTCTCTTTGGCAGGTAATAGATAAGGAGTCTTATATGGCTTACAGCTGCTTACCTTTGTATGCTTGCCTACATCATTTTTGATGTACGTCCGAACTCACCAGGAAAACATCTGATTCGACAAACACAAAGCCTAGCTGTATATGGATGTGACTATTCTTGTTTTAGCTCTGATCGCGGGGTTCGATGTCAATCTTTGTTTTGACCGCTCCTCTTTACGCCAAACAAGCATTCGAGGCGCTCGTCCTCTTTTTCCTCTGCATTCAGCATTCTCCCTAGTCTTTCTTTACCGTGTGTCTCTAGTGCATTAACTTACAATGCGGTCGACTCTTGGCGAACAGTCTGCTTTTATATATGGAACGCACCCACATCGTCTCTCTTCGCGGAGAAAGCCCCGAAGGTGATTTAGTGACCGTCCAAATTGCGTCCAGATCCTGATAGTATCATGAATAATATAGATGGCCTTTGGTCTTCCGCTTCATTAAAGGTGCCATACATGGCGCCATTCTCCTCCCCGTGTGTTTGCATGCTATATTCACAGCATTCGTCGTCTGGTTAGATCAATATGTTTTTGATACAGTGGGGTTGCCAAGTAGCATTGTATGTCCCTTTCTTTAAAATTTTGTTTTAAATGGTAGAATGAGACTAACAAATAAAGATCCCGTCACTTTCCATCGTTGTTGGTCTCATGCTCGTCTTCCGCAACCAAACCTCATACAACCGCTTCTGGGATGGCCGGAACAGCATGAACAACCTCACCACCTGCATTCGCAATCTAGTCCGGATCATTACCACGAACAGCTACAGCGGCAGCAATGCGCAACTCGGAAACCCACTCACCGCAGCCGAGAAACAAGACATCGAACGGACCATTCGCATCCTCATGGCCATCCCATATGCAGTCAAGAACCATCTCCGTGCTGAATGGGGAGCTGCATGGGCGACGCCGTCTTTGGGTGACGACGTCGACAAGAGCGGCACGACGGTTTATAATCCGGTTTATGCAGGTTTGTTACCAGAGGGACTTCAGGGACACGAAGATGAAGGCCTCGGGCTTCCATACCAATTGACATTTTTCGTGGATGGGTTTATCAAACGTGGAGTGGATAGGGGATGGTTCCATGCGCCGGGAGCGAGTCAGATGCAGGCACAATTGAACAGTCTACTGGATGCGTATGGAAAGATGGAGACAATCAGGTTGACGCCTATCCCGATTGCATATCTGTGAGCCCAGTTTCTTCCCATCCCATTTTATCACAACCAGGTAAACTAAATAAATTTTAGGATCCACATGAAACAAGTCCTCGCACTCTTCGGCTGCGTCCTCCCCTTCGCCATGGTCGACGACATGGACTGGTGGGCCATCCCCATCGTCAGCCTGGTCATCTTCACACTCTATGGCATCGAAGGTATCGGTTTGCAACTCGAGGACCCATTCGGGTACGATCGGAATGATATCAAGATGGATGCTATTGTCGGGGATGCGAAGACGGAGCTTGATGTTGTCTTGGATGAGTGGCGGAGGCTTGTTGGTTCAGTTGAGGGTCTTGGTGGTGCGAACGAAGAAGGTTTTGTGCCTTCAGAGTTGTTCTTGAAGAGGGCTTGAGGTGAGACTTTGGTTGATCGTTTGCTGACGAAGAGAGCCTTATGTGCAACCCCGAGGCTTAAGGAGCGAGGATTTACATTCATTTAGAACTAGCCTGGACATGTCCTTCTCGGTCATTTCTGGCGGTCGATTTTGGTTAACATCCTCTGATGGAATTGAAGTTGAGGATATTTGATTGCTTCAAATAGCTTGAATATGTTATGCAATGAATGGATCATATATCAAGAGTGACTAAGCCAGCGTGACATTGCTATCACACTGTCCATCAGCGAACCTCCATCTCCAAGCAACCCCGAAGATAAAAACCTCTGTAACTGAGAAGGATGAACCCTCCCTACGAAGAGTCTTAACACCCTCGCTTATGTTCTCCCCGAGGACATCATATTCTAGTACATCATCGGGCAGTCAAGCCAGCTATCGAGAAGCACCCTCACGTGTACATTTCTTTCGGTATGTTCAGAACAGTGTTAGCTAACTGCTAACTCCCCCCTCTCTTCTTTACTTGGAGGGAAACCGCATTCATATACCATTGTCGATTGAGTATTTTCCAAGCCGTGCTCTATCGTGGGATCTCCAAAAGGCATCGTAAGTTATTTTACGCGGATCGGCTGTCCAACTCCCAAGGATCAGGTTCTTGGAGGTTGATGTTGGTTAGTAACAGTTCATGGTGAACTCATGGGAATGGAAACAGTATCGCTTACAACTGCCGCCATCATGAGAACTGGTTGTCTTTGTAAGAAGATGTCAAGAAGTGTCTGAGTTGGGAAACCGGCAACGTCATTATTGCTGAAGGACTGGCCCACAATTGAGCTAGTAGCTGCACGGAGGAGTATGCTTTCCTACGGATAACCTATAGAACCACTATCTTTTATCGACGTTCCTTAAATGGAATGCATAGAGCTTGATGTGACCCCACGCGGAAAGATCCACTTATTAGAGAACTGGCGCTGAAATTGGATCTGAAAGCCTTCTATAATTGAGATATAAAGGGCACAGAGCAATGAGTATACGCGGCGTTCACAGAGGTGCCTCCAATGCAAGCACGCTCTCCAAAATCTCCTCCGGGCCAACATTCCTCAGAACCTGCGAAACAGCCTCCAGATCACTACCGTACTGCAGACTGCGGTCGTCTTCCGGTTTTGCGATTATGATTCGATGGCGGAAGACTTTTTTCGCGGCCAATGCGGCGATCGAAGGGGTGAGGTAGTCGAGTCCATGTAACGCGGCTAGGAATCTGTTCGGGTTAGACATAAGAATTTTGGAAAAGAAAGTTGGACATACTTTGAGAACCGCAGAAAGTAGTTGTTTGACTTGGTTGTTATCCCACCCGCAACCGCCCGACTGAGGCGGAGGAATATGATAATATCTTGCTGGTAGCGGAGCACTTCCGCGCTCATGGTGACGGCGTCACCTTCTCGTTGGAACTTATACAGGAGCTAAACGCATTCGATTAGATAGTTTAAATATGGAAGGCGCAGAGAACTTACTAGTTGAGGAACTTTGGCATATTGTTTCGATGCCGGCTTGTGGACAACAGATGATATGGATTGGCCATCAGAAAGCCAGTCATTTCCGTCTTCTAGATACGTGTATCCATCTTTGGGATCGTGAAAGTGTGAGATGAGCAGATGGTCATTCTGTTAATTGTCAGTTTGTCACATTTTATAGCAACCCAGGGAAGACCAACAAAATGCGTGTTCAAGCCCGGCTGTAGAGTTTCGGTATTCCGTGCTACCAGTGGTACAAACAGAAAATGTTCAGGGGTATTAAGGTCTGCCTTTGCGGTCATAAGCTTCTTTGAGTGTATTAACTATCTCTTGTCAGCAGGGAATGTTCACATATATGAGACTAGCTAGCAGATATGTCCAACCTCGAGTGCCTGGAGCTGAATATATTCATCAACATGATTAAAATTTTTCGCGACAACAACGTTGACGACCTCGAGCTCAGTCCGAATTAGCGACCTGGAGCGATTTCTGGGTTCTTGAGAGCCCTGGAGTATCGAGAAATTGCTAGACTGTTTTCATCAGCCGATTAACCCTACTGAATCAGTTTTATTTGTACGATACATACAGATTCCGCCCTAGACCCTGGCGGTTGAATCTGGCCTTTACAACTGTCACTCGCAGCGATCCCATTACAGAAATCTTCCACGGAAGTCACAGACGAACAATCTAGAACTGCACATGAGAGACCAAACTTATTGGAGCAGATCTATTTCTCCAAGATCAGCAACCTGAGCATCAAATACTTGGGAGAAGACAGAAATACCAGAGAAAGCTCTTTGGCAACGTCATCGATTCCATCGTTGGTAGTTTCAAGGAGCGGGTGCCCACGAGCAACTAAGCAGAGGAGAAGAGCGACTTCAAGATCGGATAGCTCCTGAGCCAGATCACTGAGATCCCAATCGGCCATTGTACTATCATGGTCCCTTTCTCTCGGCAAGAGATAAACTGTTTATACCGCAGTGGTTAGTAAGAGACAACGTGGCAATTCAAGCATAGCATCCATGCCCTAGTCGCATCCGAGAAAAGTATTAGAGAGAGCCCACCCGTATCATAAACAAGGCAGACGTTAATTTGGATGAGTACAGCAAGTCTTACCATTTCTTCCGGCCTTCTTTTTGATGAGATCTGATAGGTCGGATCAAAGGGATAACGTTAGTCCGACTAGCGAACCTCCGATATATGGCCAGCGTTCGCCACATATAGATAGACAAGCACTCATCAAGCACTCAAGCACTCGTGTACTCTAGGCTACATTAGATAGAGTATATCAATCGTTCGTTATAATTGGGTCTTCTACATATAGGCCTCGTGCAGTCGGATGATCGACTCCTCCGGTTTCCCCTGAACCTCCGACGGAACCCATTTCACTTTTCTTAGGCGATTAGATGCCACGTGACGTTGATTAATCAGGAAATGTCACCTGATATTTTAATGGAGCCTACTATGTGCTTACCCTACGTTCCACGATATTTTGATATCCAGCTCAGATGACAAAATACCGCGTTAAATTGAAGGGTATTAGTATTATATATCACAATTGCAGCTACTACGCTACTATTTAAATCTCTATCCGGGTTGTATTATCTGTTCTAATCACTCTTCGTATCTAGTACAGATGTCTTCCTTCTAGGCCAAGATGGGCTCCTTCTTCCATGCCCTTTCATATTTCTCTCACAAGCCTCACACCTCAGCTGCTATTAGCAACGCTTTATCCATGCCATGGCTCCTAGAGCACCCGCAAGAGTTATAAAGAAAGGAGGCTCCAACGAAAGACAACTCACGTCTAGCGTCCTTGTACCGCATGTACAAAACTTTAGTTATTGAAAATACCATTTGTCAACACGACGGGATTGTGCGGTTTTTCAATAACCACACCTGGCCGGTCTCCGCGATCCCAGACCCCAAATACTCCGAGCCCTAGCGATACGCTATCCTTGCTGTTCTTCCATACCACCTGATATTGGCATTCAATTGGTTGATCGAGCGTAACTTGTCGCGGGATAGTCCTGCTATTATTTACGATGAGAAAGGAGGAGCTGAGGGCTCGAAAAAAAAGTGCTGGAAGAGGAGCCAAGTTGGGTCAGGAAGGTGCCTAGGTTGGAGGTAACACTTGTGAACCAGCAGTGACGGAAGAGACGCCTCTTAAGAACTTTTTGATTGCACGGTTGTTAGAATGAATATCATTGCTGAGAGCCCTCATGTGTCATTTGTCTGAGCTTCCAGGAGTACGACAACAGCGAGAGTGTGGGCACTAGGCACATGAAAATTCAATCAAACAACCACTTTAATCGGCTGTCGACGTTCAATATCCCGAAACCCACCTACAATGGCAGGGTTCACAAGTAGTGTTTTGACCTCGGTAGAAGGACGGAAGAACATGTGCAAACTCTTTCAGCGTCCAGACAAGGTTCCAAATACCACCCCCGGAGGCAATCATACGTTCGCACGCATCCTGCAATGGGTCAAATTGTAGCCATTCTATTCCTGCACCTTCATGAATGTGCCCAAAGACATGCAGTTGTAGACGAATCAGCCATAGCTCCTTCGACAGGTGTATACAGCCCATTTTCAACAAATCGAGGTGCGCGCGCGGCGGCCCATGCGTTATGAGTATGTCGATACCATCAGGTATCCTCTCATTCCAGACATTCTCGCTCCGCAGATACTGAAAGGCCCAGTTGCCGTGGCAGGGAGAATAGGGGCTTCCGTAAATCCGTAGACAGCGACCGTTATCACAAGTAATGGTCGTTTCTGAAGGTAGATTATGTCTCCCTAATCGACAGCATCGCCACTTGCATCGCTTTTCTGGGGAAACCTAGCATCAAGTATCAGATCATGGTTTCCAGCGATGACTATTCTGGTTTTATGCGGCTGCGAGCGTAACCAGTCCACCGTTTTCTGTAGTTCATGGAGAGATCCCGATTGCGTCAGATCCCCGGCATGGATTAGGATGTCCCTGTTTGGGAGCTTTGGTTGAGCATTATGAGTATCTGACACGCAGACAATAGAGACATAGTTTGCGAGTGGTTGAGCAGGAATTGCAGGTTGCCATGTGTAGAACTTGCGTGCGAGGAAAATACACGGTCGATCCAGGAACTGCTGCCAGGCAGAAGGCCGCAGTTGGTGGAGAAGAGCATCCAGGGAAGAGTTTCGATCCCCGAATAGAGACATATCTGTCTGAAGTGGACGTATGTGTACGTATGTGTTTGTATCGGCAGTAGTAGTGTGATGATAAACTTGGTCTCTAGTATTCAGGATACGTACGGCTGCTGGCGACCTCCGATTGGCCCGCTTACACAACTTGTCAAACAATTTATTTTTCTCTTCTTTTCCCTGTATCCAGTCGATTCTTTTCGCATCCTTCCTATTTGTCGATAGAAGCATTTTATGATATATTTTCTTAGTATCGGAGCAATGAGCAATGGCCTACATTCCATACACAGTTAGACAGGTGGAGAAGACGGAATCTTGGCGGTTTATGTTTCTTGATGTGGTAGTCATAGTTGTAGCCTGGGCTTTTACATAGTAGTACCGTCGCCGTCGTACGAGCCATGCCAATCAAGGTGGATCTTCCACCGGCTGTTTCTTCCCGTTATCTCGCTCTATATATCATGATTCGGCCTTTTCAGTTTCATAGGTGCCCTTGTCATCATCCATATCGCAGGCTTATACTTTGTCAGTCCGTTTGGTGAAATCATCGTACGATTCACCCTCAACTTGTAAGGATGATGCAGCCTCATATTATGAAGTAGCACGCCAGGTCGAGGCAAAATTTGCTTTCTATCCCTCATATTCTGCCTTAGCGCTGGAGTTTATTTGGGAGACTGAGAAGATACCAGCACTGGATGGACCCCATGGTGCTTGATGAAGGTTTTGCTTTGAGCTTGTATGAATATATTCTCGATCCAGGGTATTTTGTAGGGATTCGGACGGGCTGTCTCTTTGGCGCGGCATTGAAGGTTATTGTGTTATTTTCTCTGTAAGAGAGTTGGTCGTCGATTCGGAAATTGCTTTAAAGCTTTAGTTATCTTCTCCGGATTATCGACACATGCTTCCCTAACTTTTCTTTGAAATGATATATGGGTTTTCTTTAACTCTTATTAACGAATGAAAGTGTTCATATAAAGCAACATTGCCTTTTACTTAACTTTAAATCTACGTTTTCAAGTACTCTGTGGATCTGAAGGTATGCTTCCTAATATGGAAGTCGCGATCTTCGAGACATGGCCTTGCAGAAGAATATAGAGAACCTCCATGCTTATGCCTCAGACAGCCTGTTATAATCATTTTCGCATAAAAACCGTCTTTTTAGATCATTCAACACTTATACGAGTTTCCTATCACTCATATATCCGCCATTTTACGAAAGATCTCAATTACAGCCGGCCTCCATTACGCCTCCTCTTTTCCACTCTTCTCGATCGTCTCAAAGCATGTCATGGCCGGCATATTCAAGATCAGACCAGCAGTCTGCTATTCCTGACGGCCGCTCATTCAGTTTCCAAAATGTCATAATACCTCCGACCTGGGATCACGCTGTTGTCCCATTGTCGCATTCAGTATGCATTTATGCTTGGTCAATTTGATAGACCATGAGGCCTCCTATCTGAAGTGATTTCTAGGAATTCCCAATTATCATTGCCATCACCAACCTCACCATCATTATTCTTATCATCTACTTCGCAGGCTCATACCTCGGCTACCCATTCGCCCAATTGATCCTACACCCTACCTAATCCCGATACCAGAATACTGATTCTATTTAACATGAAAATACCAATGGAAATCTCAGAGAGCATGAAATGGCTCGGCATCTCGAGGCCATGCTTGCTTTGTCCCTTTGCTTTCTCGCGTTGATATTGGAGCTTGTCTGTGGGCCAAAGGGACGTAAGAGGGGAGGCAACGAATGGAGTCTATGGCGCATGGAGGAGTTTTTGTTTTGGGTTTGCTTCGGGATTGTTGATAATGGCTCTCTTTCAGGGAATGCGACGTGTTGTTCTTTCAGTGCTGAGTTAAAGGTTGGCGCAGACCAATGCCTGGATATTTGGAGCACCACTGGTTGCCATTGGTCTTGGTGGTTTTTGAAACCGAATTGGGAAAGCAGTGCAAACCACCTGAAGTCATGGTGGGCGACCGAGCCTTCGATTAATGAATTTTTAAGCTGAAATTGTTGTTAGAATCAATTTGAAAGCAACCTATTATGCTTGACAAATCATTTTCTGCAATACTTGTATCTTTTAGCGTGTCTAACAACAATAAAGCGCTCGCTTCCCCGGTAGCTCCGAGCAATTCCTATCCAAGTGTAATTCTCAAGAAATCCTATTGTTACTATCGTTAATGATGTCCTCTACAAACTTCCAGAGCTCCCTGCATATCACCCACATCACTACTGTCACGGCAATCCTAGAGATTAACTGTGTCAACCTGCCTACCGACCCTATTTTTTCCCCAGAAGGCACGAAGTTCGATGTCACCCATTTGTTTCTCGAGGATGCGCCACAGACATTCATTACCCTCGATGACGATCCTGCAGCTTATGCAGCTTTTCCAGGTCAGGGCCAATTCAGATCACCATGAGCGGAGAAGATGCTGCAAAACTAGTGCGAGAAATCGGGATTGAACATCTTGTTCCCATGCATTTCGAGTCTTGGCATCATTTTACCCATTCTGGCAAGGATCTCAGAAGGATTTTTGAGAAAGAGGGAATTATGAACAAAGTTAGCTGGTTGGAGCCTGGGCAGAAGAAGAAAACTATCTGCACTTGTACTAAATTTGTATCATGTTGAATCAAATGGACCTCTTGCTAGTAAAAATCTTGATTCAACATGGAATAAATCCGTGGCACTATCGTTGCCTGAGGCTGTAACACTAAGCCGTTTTGGTACTTGACATTGTTAAAATCCCAAAACTGCTTACCACCACTCCGTCAACCCAAGACCAAGAAGATAGGAAAACAATTATAGTTGATGCTCCACATCCTCTTCTTCCATAATGAAAGTCAAGCAACGATCTGTCTGCCAAACATGTAGAACACGAAAACTAGGGGTATGGTTATGAGCCTTTTCCCCTCTTTTCATTGCAGGAGAACTAACATCCTAATAGTGCGATGGCAAGCGTCCTGAGTGCAGCCAGTGTGTCCTTACGGGACGAAAATGCGATGGGTACCAGTCTAATTGGACTTTTGTATTGCAGAATGACCATTCTTCGAGGTCGCCTTCCGTGCCAAATCAGCGGGATATCCAGATGGCCATGCCTCAAGGGAAACCCGAGAGCCTGGCTATTTCTGGTCTTTCTGGGAGCCAAAAACAAGTCACAGGTGCCGGTATTGAAGCCAGCTTTCAACCGGGGTCAGTTTTGAATCCCACGCGACCACCGTGGGATGATCTCCCGGGACTGGTCGTGGAGTGTTACATTCCGGAAGACGAAATAACCTCTATAACAGACTTCGCTGAAAGCAAGCGATCTCGGATATGTGGCTCCTGGCTGGCAGCCATTCCAAAAATTCTAGGGAAATCTGATCGTGATTGCGTTCTGCGCGCGACCTTAAGAGCTTTGGCAACTTCGATTCTACCCCAGAATCCTCAAATGGGCGGGTCGTCCCTCGACAGAGTTGAGAGCTACGATGCGGCAATTCAAGCGGTTAGGAAAGGACTTACTGTATCTGGCTATGCCTTTCATTCTGTGTTTATGGCGGCTGTAATGTGTATTGCATTGGCCGAGGTAAATATATCTGACATTCAAGTCTGTCTCATACTGCTGCTGACATGAAATAGATCATGTTCCCGAACTCTGCGATAGCTTTTACAGCCCATGTCAATGGTATAGGAAACTTATTACAGACCCAACGTGTGGAACAGTATCGTTCCGGGGTGTTCCATACGCTGTTCGTCGGTTTTCGCCCTATACTGGTTCGTACATAACCTTCCTATTCCAGTAACTAGCTGACCGACATAATTTCAGATAATTCAGGCCTTCCGTTGTCGCCGACCTACATTTCTGGCTTCTGTGCCTTGGATTTACGTACCATTCTCCACATATAGAGCATCTCCCATACAGAGCCTCCTTAGCGAAGCAGCCGCTATTCCGTCTCTCCTACAACAGATCGACATGCTGCTTAGCGATCCATGTCAGGGCAGCTCTCATGATGTAATAAATTTGGTCGAATACTTTATGGCTGCTCTAGATAACCTTGAAAATTGGGAGATACGCCTTCGGACAGAGAACACGGAGCCTCATTACTGGCCCGTTTTTCCAGACACGCACATTACAGGAGCATCTCCCCATGATGGATACACCTGGTATCCTAATATCACCATGGCCAATGTCTACACCCATCTTTGGGCCTTCCGCATCATCTGCCTATCTGAAATCAGCAAACTGGCATCTCTCCCATCATTTATTCCTGAAATCCAATCGTCATCATGGCAATTTGATTTTAATTACACCCAAGAAAATATGATTGTGCTTTCTAAACAAATTTGCATGAGCATGGAGTATCTTATCCAAGACAGAATGAGACTTTTTGGGCCTGCATCAACGTTTTTCCCCCTCCAGGCAGCATATCGAGTATTCCAAATGGATGATCCTCGGCACCGGGATAGCATAGCTTGCATCGAGGATATTGTTGATCGATTGGTCAAGAAAGGCTTACAATCGGCTCCGCATATCGTATTTGGTGAGCGTAATTCTTTACCAACTACATGAACAGCTATATCAGTTAAACACCAGAATAAAGCATTTTATGTGTATACATGTCGTTTCTTTAATTCAGAGCTCTGCGTGACCAGGAAACACGTAATTGGATGACACTTGTCCAATCAAGAAGGTTTGTTCCACTCGATAACATCCATACAAATTATTATTTCTTGTGCGTGTAGTGCAATCCCTTGGGCGATCCCAAAATGCACTGTCGTCTCATGAAGCACCCCACAATTTTCTATTGCTGCCAAAAATTCGGTCCCTGAAAGAGAGAACGATGAATATAAACGAGAGCTTCATGCCGTGGAGAAATTAACATATATACACCTTAGTCCTCAACATATTATACGCATGCTTGGTGACTTCGAATTGGGGGGCCCGAACAGGATACACCAATGCCTTGTATCTGAGCCCCTAGGGCCGAGTATTCCTGATACAATTGATGAACTCTTTGTTGATACGAGGCTTCCCGGAGAACATGTAAAGGCTGTCGCGAAGCAGTCCCTTTTAGGGCTCGATGTTCTGCGCCAGCAGAAAATTTGTCATGGAGGTAGATCATGATTGCGTCCTTGTTCATTGGAATAATCCATTAATAGAGCTAGACCTTCACATGAAAAAACCTCGCGTTTACCATGCCTTGTATGAGCAATATACCTGGGAGAGGATTCATCGATATGCTAGGGAACCCAGATATCGGGCATATCCAAAGAAAAGATGGAAAAGCTCTGGATTTTGGCATGCCGAAGTACGTTATCAGACCAGTCTCATACATGGCATATTCTCCGTTCTTTTCGATTCCTATCATAATCGTTCTCGCATACAAATGTCCCTTAGACTCTTCATATGCCACTACCAGTTCAAGCACCTGAAGTTCTATTCAAAGACTGTTTGAACCACCGTGTGAATCTATGGAGCATGGGATGTATGGTGAGCCAAACTACGATAAGAGAAGATTGTTTGGAATGATGTTGATAGACATGATAGCTCTTTGAACTTTTTCTTTGACAACCTCCCCTTTCTTGACAGCTTGGTGATAACACCTCCAATCCTTGCCCATCAGATGGCAAATATCGGGTAGAGCTATGGGTGGTAAGACCAGCGCAGATATCCCGAGCCCCGCACTGCAAAAATGGCTGGAAGAATTGTGTTTTGATAGTGAGCGGCATGCCGATCTTACCAAGGAAGATATAGTAAAGCTGGTGCAGCTTATTGGAGAGTTGCTGCAGTTTGAGCCGGACAAATAGGGCACCAGCTGGGGAAATTCTAGATGACTCTTGGTTTAAATGCGATTCAGAGGCCATCGCGCGTTGTGTCTCTTGCGGATAGAATCATTCAGGTAGATCCGTTAGGAGTATCCTCATGAGATTTCTACTCTAAGATTGTGCTCAGTTCCCGAGCTCCTCATTCATGGTACCTAGCCGCATCCATATTAAACTGGCACTTAGGGCCGTTGTTTAAGTCTCAAATGGAAGGTGGTGGTTATCAGCGAGTGCCAAGATCAATTAATCCTAATACGGATTAGCGCCGGAAGGGGCCCATGTGACGCGGAGCTCCAGATTCCCCGATGCGCCCAACAGAACAACATCAAAGTCAACGGCTATTGATCTGCTTGTCGGAATAATAGAGATACGGCACATAAGTCTCATCTAATGGCGCCGTCTAATCCGTTATCCTATTGGGAGAGAGTTGGTGACAGCTTCTACCGGAAAGTCCCCGTATACGATGCCATTTTCGATGAAGATGTCGAATTGGAGAACTACATTGTCGCCGGGGCTCCATATGGAGGAGCTATAGGTATGTGGTCTGTGTTTGCAGATGCTGTCACAACTTTACTAATACAATTACAGCTTTATATCGTGATGAGAGCAAGCTGTATAGATTTCAAGGTGCTCAGACAACCAAGTCGAGTATTGATATTTATTCCTGTTCGGGGAAGCATATCAACCGAATAAATGTAAGTCCTGGTCCCTTACGTTGTCTTGAAGTCTATGAGTTACTGACCATGCACCCAGTGGGAATATGGTTCTATCCGAGGTCTCGGCTGGTCCGATAAGGAAGAACTCCTGGTGGTTTCTGAAGACGGTACCGTGCGGCGGTATTTCGGCCTGTTTGGCGACTTCACATCCTTTTCCTTGGGAAATGTACAGTTGGGTGCATCTGTCGTATAGTTGTCTGGGAGCTAATGCCTTACCAAAGGGAACTGAAGAATATGGCGTGAGAGCCTGTCGATTCTGGACATCTGGGTTTGTCGCGTTGCTTTCAAATAACCAGTTGGTCGCCGTTTCAAACTATGAGGAGCCACGCCCAAGACCATTGGCCCCTTGCCCGGAGGGAGAAGTCTCCTCGTGGTCACTGATCCCCCCGGCTTATACACTATCACGGTCTGTGGAGGTTCTACTGGCCGTCGATAAAACGATATACTTAGTCGACCCAACAGAAGCAGAAGACAAGTTTCTTCAAAATGGCCCCTTTAAGCATACGAGCGTCTCTCCTACTGGCCGGTTTGTGGCGCTCTATACAGCTGAAGGGAAGGTTTGGGTTGTGAGCAGTGATTTTCAGAGCAAATTCAGTGAATACGATCCAAAGGCTCGAACTCCTCCAAGGGAGGTTGAGTGGTGCGGTGATGACGCTGTCATTTTGGCATGGGAGGACGAAATCCATCTCGTTGGTCCCAACGGTGTTGCAACCAGGTAAGTCTGATGTTGGATAACTCGTTTCTCTCTGAATATTGCTAAGTATTCTAGATACTACTATGATGGCCATGTCCACGTAATAGCAGAGTTCGATGGTGTAAGACTGATAACCAATGATGCATGTGAATTCCTGCATAAAGTGTCCGGTAGGTTACTTGAATCGGAACACAAATTCCACAATCATTGATCATCTTGAACAGATGTCACGGAGGAGATTTTTCGACTTGGTTCCTCATCCTCTGCATCAGTGCTGCTGGACTCCGTAGACTTGCTCGAGAAGCAGTCCCCTAAGGCTGATGAGAACATTCAGCGGATCCGCTCCAGTCTGCCAGAGGCGGTTGACACCTGCGTCAAAGCTGCAGGTCATGAATTCGACGTTTACTGGCAGAAGCGGCTGCTGAAGGCAGCTTCCTTTGGAAAATCTGTCTTGGAACTGTATAATAGCGATGAGTTCGTGGAAATGACTGAGAAGCTTCGAGTGTTGAAGGCCATCAGGGATTACCAAATTGGGCTACCAGCATCCTACGAACAATATATGAGGCTAACGCCCGAGAAGCTCATTGAACGTCTAGTGAACCGCCATGAGTATTTCCTCGCCATTCGAATTGCAGAATATCTCCAGATCCCTGCAGATCGAATCTATGTTCACTGGGCAAGTCAGAAAGTTAAAGTCTCCACAGTTGATGACGAGGCTGTTTGTAAGCTCATCGTGCAGAGACTGGATGGAAAGCCAGGCATATCCTTCGAATTAATTGCCCAAACCGCATTCGACGAAGGACGAGCCCACTTGGCTACCCAGCTATTGAACCATGAACCGCGAGCCGGGAAGCAAGTACCGCTGCTGTTGAACATGGAGGAAGACGAGATTGCTCTCGACAAGGCCATTGAAAGCGGAGACACGGATTTGGTCAACTATGTACTCCTTCACTTAAGGAGCAAGCTTCCTCTCGCGAGCTTTTTCCGGATGATCAACACGCGACCAATGGCTTCTGCCCTTGTGGAAACCGCGGCTAGGGGAGAGGACTCGGAATTACTAAAGGATCTTTATTACCAGGACGACCGTCCCATTGATGGTTCGAACGTTCTGCTCTCGGAAGCGTTACAGGAAACGGAATTAGAACGCCAAACTGAGAAGCTTCACCTTGCATCCCGCTTATTGGCAGATTCCAAAGATGCTACAGTGGTCCTACAACAAAAAATGCTCAACGAATCCTCTCAATTGTTAAAGGTCCAAGAGACGCTGGATAAAGAGATTGCGGAGCGAGACGAATTCGTGGGCCTAAGCCTGAACGAAACGGTTTACAGATTGATGAGGTCAGGATGGAGCAAGAGAGCGCAGAAGGTCCAAAGTGAATTCAAGATGCCGGAGAAGACGTATTGGTGGTTAAGGTTAAGAGCTCTAGTCGCCAAGCGTGACTGGGGGGAGCTGGAAGAAATCGGCAAGAACAAGAAATCTCCGATAGGATGGGAGGTGAGTACCAATACAGATTCCTCCTGACCATAATCATAACGACATGCGCTGACATAAATGATAGCCTTTCTATAATGAAATATTGGGTGCCGGAAACACGAAGCTTGCTTCTGTCTTCGTCCCGAAGTGCACCAACCTTCCCGTTGAAGACAGGATTGAAATGTGGGTGAAATGCGGAATGACCGTGAAAGCCGGAGAGGAGGCCCTTAGGGCAAGAGATGTGAATACCCTGGAGCTCCTCCGGACAAAAGCTTCAGGGACGGCCATCACTGAAATTGATCGAATGCTCAACCAGTTAAGGCCCAGGAAATAGTGCTTAATGACACCCGTACATTATTCCCCTTGCACAATGCTACAATCGCCATCCCCGACTTCAAGTGATCTCTTCATCCTCGTCATTGCCGGTGTGGTCATCAGCCACCGGGTTTTGCATCACACGTGCGGGCTTCGATTCCCGCGACTTAGGTGCAGAATCGTCGACCATAGCATTATCATCATTATCATCATCATTATCATCATCATCATTGTCGCCGTCGGCGATCAGTTGAAGGGCTTCAAACTTGGACGATTTGCGGTTCATGTCTTCCCAGTCGGCCTGGAGATGGCAGTCAGTGCTTAATCCGAATTCAACACTTGAGATATATGATTGCATACCCTACGTGCTTGCACGTTCTTGCCCCTCTTAACACTCTTAGCCACCTTATTCTCCAACTGATCAAGCACCATTTCTGCTTTTTCCATGCCCTTCTGTTGCCTTTGGCGCTGGGCCCTTGACATATTCTTGGGCTTCGGTTGCTTCTTTGAGATACCAGCATTCGCACGTTCGGAGAGGATGGAGTCACGCTGAATGACTGTCGTTTCAGCGCGAGGTGCAGACAACAACGACTTGTCGACGTCGGCGCTCGGGGAAATATCCCGTCTGGCGGCGCGGGAATGTTTCGATGTGGCTATTGAGCATAGTGTTAGAAATGTATGTGCAATTCGTCAATTCGTATATTTTCACAACATACTCCTTGCTTTAGCCATGATGCTGGATTATCGTAGAGTGGTTGTTGTTTGTTTTGACAAAGATCTTTTCTGGGCGGGCCCTATCAATACCGATAAAAAAATTAAAAATTCTTACGGGTGACTGTACCTACCACATCCGCAGTTTTACCGCAGACTGATTACATATGCAGCCGGCCAGTCGGCTTCAACTCTTTCCAAGCAATCAACAATCTTTCAACTATCTCATTTTTATGTCTTGAACTTGCTCATGATAACTAGGGAACCACTCTCTCCGCGCTGGCTCGCTCCATATCCCTGCCAGCCATGAACACTCGCAGCGGGAAGTCTGACATCCTCATGCAGAGTCCCTGGAACAGCGGAGAGAGCCATTATGATACAGTTCTCCAATACATACAGAGCGATCCGACTATAGTCTACGTGCCTCTAACCGCGATACTTGCCTATTTTGCTCTGGCTTATTTTGGTCTCGTTCCGTTCGGGTTGCCTCAGGGGGTGTGGAATCTCATCGTTTACTTAACGCCATCGCGCATAGTTGTCGCTCTAGACTCGAAGTCGAATACCGCGAACGAGAATACAATTCCCCTTCCGATGACCTTTCAAGCGAAAAGCGAGGCGATGCAGCGCATTCTCAGAATCGATAGCACGTCCTTCTCCTCTTTCCTTTCGCGCGGGACGAGCCTTTCAGGTTTCGGAAACGCTATTCTTGGCAGTAAAGACAGTCTTCCGCCGGGGTTGGGGAATTGGGATAACTCGTGCTTTCAGAATAGTATAATTCAGGGTTTCGCGTCACTGCGGTCTTTGGTGAAGTTCTTGGGCCGGAATATCGAAGTGCTTGGGGAGAAGGGGTCGTTTTCAACGCATCAGGCTCTGCAGGAGATTGTGGGACGGTTGAACGATGCGGCGGAATACGGGCAGAAGCTGTGGATACCACCAAATCTGAAATCAATGAGCAGTTGGCAACAACAGGATGCACAGGAGTACTTTTCCAAGGTTGTGGATCAGATTGACCGCGAGGTGCAGCAGGCTTCGAAACGACAGACGAGGAATCTGGGGCTTAAAATGGCTGGACCGGAGGAGAATGTGGTTGGGTCTGGCTCTTCACAAAATGGAAAGGATAGTGATTTTCTTTCTTCGCAGAGTGATACGCCGTCGTTTCGCAATCCTCTAGAAGGGCTTCTTGCGCAAAGAGTCGGTTGTATGAAATGTGGCTGGACTGAAGGTCTGTCCCTCATTCCGTTCAACTGTCTTACCGTGCCTCTGGGGTCGAAATTTGAATATGATATTCGTGAATGCCTCGATCATTACATGGATCTGGAACCTATTGAAGGAGTGGAGTGCGCAAAGTGTACGTTATTGCGGGCGCGCGAGCAACTTCACAACCTCGTAAAGCAAGTCGAAGAGGACGAACAGATATCCAACTCATTGGACTCGCCGAAACTGTCAGATGCGCTCAAAAACTCTGCGCAGGAACGCTTGCAAGCGGTTGAAGAAGCTCTTGAAGAGAACGATTTCGCCGAGAAGACCCTGTCGAACAAGTGTCACATTCCGTCCAAGAACCGAGCGTCATCGACAAAATCAAGACAAGCCGTCATTGCGAGATCTCCTAAATGCCTCGTCATTCACATCAACCGGAGTTTGTTCGATGAGAATACCGGAATGCTCAGGAAGAACTACGCTGCCGTGCGATTTCCCCAGTCACTCGATTTGAACCACTGGTGCTTAGGAGCTAAATCCGTGTCTCAAATTAGTGAGTTCATTGAAAAATGGGGCACAGACCCCAAGGAGTCCATGCTTCCGCGTGCTGGTACGACAGTGGACGTTCGCGGTCGCCAATATGAACTCCGCGCCATCATTACCCACTACGGCCGGCACGAGAATGGACACTACATTGCCTACAGAAAATACCCAACCGATATTTTCCCGGCACATGTCCCAGAAGCGGTTCTAGAGGCGGACGGCGAGAAGGAAAAGCCGGAGCGCTGGTACCGGTTGAGTGACGAAGATGTGTCGATGGTCAGTGAGGCTAGTGTGTTATCTCAAGGCGGAGCTTTCATGCTGTTTTACGAAGCTCTGGAGCCATCTACGGAGCCGTCCACCCCACAAGCAGAACTTGTCGATTCGACTGAGTCTACGTCCAGCTTGGCGACGCCAGAGGACATGTCCACGACGTCCGGAATCACTGAAGGTACTGAAGCCACTGAATGCTCTGCTTCTATCACTTCGTGGGCCACTAGCGTATCCGTTCCGGAAAAGGTTGGATTTATTGATAGGCCACCTCTTGAGGCACCGCTGGTCTAACGCTGCATCATCAGGCAAGCACACGAATTGCCTTTGTAAACAAATATTATTGTATGATACCCCAGATTTTGTTTGGTTATGTGAATATGTCATGTCAGTTGGAAGGCGTTAGTGTGTATTATAGGTAGATTTCAATATGCGTTGCTTCATTGCTCTGTACTCATAGTATCCAAATGCTATAGACATGCTAACCAAACGCCATAATACTTCCTATACAACCCAACCGGACCTATGCAGAAAACATCAAAAAACACCCGCCCTAGTCATAACATCCCGAAACTGCTCCCTCGTCACCCCTTCCCCAACTCCTCCCCCATTTGCTTCCAGTATCATATCCCTCAACAACTCCTCCCCCACCGAATCCTCCTTCACCTCCCGCGCAATTCTCTTCAGATGGTTCATTGTAATTGGTCCATCTGATCCCCGCGTAAACAATCGATACGCGGCATCAACTTCCGCGGCTATAGCATCCTCATCGATCTCATCCCGGGCGTGGAGTTTCGCAGCTGCAACAGCAACGAACGGACCGTAGGGTACGTAACCGGTGTTTGTGGGGTCAGTCGCTGACAAGATAGTCTGAAGCTCGGATGAATCGGAAGGAGGAAGGTTCAGCGCCCTGTCACATCGTATTTTCATCAGTAGCCGATCTAGCTATTCCGTAACTCGATGGGTCGCGCGGGGAAAAGAGGGGCGAGCGTACACCAGAGCTTTCCGGACATCACTTCGGGAAATAACACCCTCTTTTTCAGCGGGGAATGTTTCATTTGCAGAGGAGAAGAGGTGGAAGGCTTCTTTAATTTCAGTTTCTTGTTCGGCGCTGATGTCGTTCTCTTTGGCGAGTTTGGATTGGCGTGTTCGAGGCTTCTTGGGAGTTGGGGTGGAGGAAGGACCTCCGCGCTTCTTCGGGGGCTGCTTACATTAGATTCTTTGCTCTTTCCTTTTCTTGAAGTGTCGTGGACCTACCATTTCACTAGGTTGGGGTGGTGTAGTGGCGAGGAAGCTGTTGCGGTCATGAAGTTGGGTGGAGGATGCGCTGCAATGTAATTGGCTGTTCTTCAGTAGTCAACATTGTGGAAGCTCTATACAGAAGTTTTATGCATTCAATTGATTCGGGTTTGGATGATGCGCCTGTTTACATGAATAAGTAGGTTTGTATTATAATTTAAGAAACAATAATATGAGTCAAGGAAAGAGAGTTCGGATGCTGTCAGACAAGGTACAGAGTACGCCACGGCGAATCCTCCGTTGAAGATGTTAGCATCATCGCTTTCTACATATAAGCAACAATAAACAGCAATTTGTTCTTTACGGAGTATAATAGAGACAGATTACAAAGTAGAAAAGTAAGAGTCAGTAGCATTGGTTCTATCAGTTTCCATCTGACTTTCCATTCAGGGTTTTCACGTGATTTTGTTGATAAAGAGCCAGATATCGATCAAGATCAAGGTTGAGCAAAACAACCGACACGATAGAATCCGCATCAAAATGGATGTAAAGTTATACGTATACGACCTTTCCAAGGTAAGTCATAGCCTAACATTGAACTGAACTCTCTCTGACAGATAAAAGGGTCTTGCGCGAATGGTAATCCCAAGTCAGATATATATCACGTTCATACCTGACCCGGCCAGTATTCACTCGCCCTGACAGGAACGCAAATGGATGCGATTTATCACACATCAGTCGTTTTGGACGGGACGGAGTATTACTTTGGACAGGGTATCCAGACGGCCTTCCCAGGTAGTACGCACCACGGTCACCCAATGGAGATGATCAATCTAGGAAGGACGGAGTTACCCAAGGACGTAATTGAAGAGTACATCCAATCTCTGGAGGAGATTTACAGCCCAGAGGTATGCCTCTGCAGTATGCATGATGTACATAGCTAACAGTCACAGTCATACGACCTCTTCCTGCACAACTGCAACAATTTCACCCAAGACCTGTCTATGTTTCTCCTCGGGAAGAACATCCCCGAGCACATCCGGAATCTCCCCCAGACATTCCTGAATACGCCATTTGGACAGATGATGAAGCCGCAGATCGAAAATGCTTTGCGCGGTGTAACCCAAGGCACTGGCACACCCGGTGTTCCACAGCCGCCCTCAGCTCCCGCTCGAGCTCGAGCTCCAACTCCAGCCGCACCTGTACCTGCAGCTACTGCACTACCCCGTGGCACAGTCCAGATGGCAAACAACGTGCAACAACTCGACACCTACCTGAACACTGCATCACAAACCGGCAACGGAGCCGTCATTTTCTTTACCTCCGCAACCTGCCCCCCCTGCAAAATCCTGTACCCGACGTATGACGAGCTTGCCGAAGAAGCAGGGGACCATGCGGTTCTGGTTAAAGTCGACATCAGCGTCGCGCTGGACGTGGGGATGAAGTACGGGGTGCGTGCGACGCCGACGTTCATGGCATTCCTGCGTGGCGAGAAGGTGGATGAGTGGAGTGGGGCGAATCCGGGGATGCTACGGGGGAATGTACGGCTGTTGGTGCAGATGGTGCAGCAGGAGCAACTTGCAAATGCGCATCCGCATCGCAGACTTGACCTCCCAACCCTTCAGAAGAAGATCGAAAATTACGTACTGTATAAAAAATTCCCGCCGTTGGACAAAGTGCGCCAGAAACTGAGCCCCCACGACTCCGGCCCCGTGGTTTCATCCATCATCGACTTCCTACAAGCCCGAAACAACGCCACAACCGCTCCAGCCGACATCCCAATCCCCACGAACCTACCAGAAATCGCAACATTCCTCCAAACCACTGCGCCACACCTCCCACGCGAAAACCGCTTCGTACTGGTCGATCTCGCCCGTCTGTTATTCCTCGACCCTCGCGTCAGCGGCTATTTTGCAGAAAGGGACTCCCCCGCCCACGCAACCCTTTCCTCCTTGTTCTCCCTCGCATCGCCCGTATCCCCCACAGATCAATCTGAATCGACATCGACATCTACATCCCCCGGATCACAATCTGCACCCGCGGCATCCGCACCCGCATCTACACCCGCTCCCTACAACCTCCGCATGACCCTCCTCCAACTCGCCTGCAACCTCTTCATCACTCCACTGTACACCACACACCTCGCCACAGACCGCGCCCTGCGCGACACAATCACTCACCTCGCAACAAGCGCTCTCCTTTCCGAAAATCTCACCACAGACGCAAACGGCAATAAAACGAAAATCCCCGCTAACCTCCGCGTAGTCGCAGCATCATGTATCTACAATCTCACAGCTCTAAACCACAACGCGCGTCTCTGGCCGGTAGATCACGATCACGACCCAAGATCTGGACCGGGATCTACGCCAGCACCGGAACCAGGATTCAGGGATGAGTCTAAGTCTAAATCCGAGACAAAATCCGGGGAACAACGGCACGCGGAAACGGAACCGGGCGCGGAAGCGGACCGGCGGGAACTGGAAGTGGGACTGGAACCCCTATCGGAAGAGGAACAAGTGGAGATTGCCGCTGCCGTCATCGAGGCATTAGACAAAGAAATTGAGAGTGGTGAGACGGTGCGCGGGCTGGTGTTTGCGCTGGGATTGTTGGTTTACGGGGCTGATGTGGAGGGAAGCGTCGTGGACGTTTGTCGAGCTATGGGCGTGGAGGGGATACTTCGGGTTAAGGGGGGGATGTTTCGGGAGGGAAGAGAGGTGATTGCGGAGGTTGGATGTTTGTTCAAGTGATTCAATCGTAAATTGGATATTGTAACTAAGTAATAATAATGGTAAAGTGTTGGTATCTAAGAATGCAAACGCTGGACATGAGGGTATCAAACATGAGACATGAAGTCGGAATACAGCACAGAAACAGAAGCAGGGGTACTAATGCAATGCAAAATGGGTATGTTATGCCACAGACCAACGCCACGCCAGGGAAAAAAAAAGCAAAAAATCGCTAAAGCAAAAAAAAAAAAAAAAAAAAAAAAAAAAAAAAAAAAAAAATAGTGAGTCACAACTAGCGGTAAAATCCCTGACTCTCACTTTCGGTCTTCCACCGAGAGTTAGTCATCGGATCTTCCGGATATTCATCGGGCATCAAAAGAAAAAACGGCATTGAGTTTAGGCGCTGTAGCCGGTGTAGAATTCCCTTTTCCCTGAGGAAAGTCGGAAAACCAAGAGCAGCTGACAAGCACCTGCAGAAGGAATTGCCCCTCATTGCTCATCGTTCTCGAACGGCCGTCGAATATAATCAGAGCTGCAGGCCTCCTGACCGACAGATCGAACGAACCAACCGGAATCTCGTATCCGGTTTGATACGCTTGGATCGCCGCGGAGCATCGTCCACCGCAACTGTGGATAGAAGGGTGAAAAATTCAAACTCGCGGATAACACTTGTTCGAAGATGACGAAGACGTCGCCCGCCGTTTCTTCCCGACGGGCACAACCGTCCTGCGCTTCCGACGTGCCGCTATCGTAGTCATCGCCGGCCCCGTGGCCGTTTGATTCGTCGTAGTCGTAGTCGTCGCGGTCACCGGTAGCTGTGACTGAGGCTTCTGCAGCCGCATGGCTTGCTGAGCGCGGGCGTGGGCCTGGACCTGGGCGAGGAATCGGGCACGCCCCTCTTCCTCCTCGGCCATTTCGCGCATATTCCTGATACGCTGTTCGGTGGTGTAGCTCATGCTCATGAGGGTGGGATCTAGGCTCTGCTTGTCGTCGCCTAGTTCCTCGGATGGCGAGGAGAGCGGTGTGTCGAGGAGTTCTTCGTCGGAGATGTAGGCGCTGGGAGTGGAGGGGCTGGTGTTGTTCATTGCTGAGGAAGAGGTGGATTGGTCTGGATCGCTACAGACCAGGGAGGGGCGGTTTGGCCAGGAAGGGAAGGCACAAGAAGAAGAGCTGCCTTGGCCGTAAGAAGTGTAGGAGGATTTTCTGGGAGAGAGGTCGGCAAGAGTGGAAGTAGCAGTCGCAGTGCTAGTGGTGGTAGCCATAGTGGCCATAGAAGTAGGAGGAGAAGGCATGGAGAAGCTGGAGCCGAAGCTATTTTCAATGCTGGCGGTGGGCGCACTGGGAGAGGAGCGCATGTTGGTCTTGCAAGACCAGGGAAGGAAGGGAAACATTGTGATAGTATTCTACTCAGTAGTATACTAAGACAGGAATATGTATAGAGAAGAGTGGTGAGGAAAGAAGAAGACAATAGAAGAAAGGAAGAGAGGGTTAATATACAGCGAGGGCCAACAACAGTACGTACCACTTGACTCCACGGAAGGATATGCAACAAAGAATGCATCACCGGAAACACATCCCCGGACAGCTCTGTTTTTATTTTTTATTATTTTCTGCCCAAAATCCAATATTAAATTTCGGCAGATCTTCCGCCCATCCCACCGTCTGGATTTCTTTCTGGGTCACAGATCGTCCTCGGGGAACGAAACTGTTTTCGGGAGCGTTCCTAGTGTCTTAACTAGGGCTTCCGTATTTCCCCTATTTTCTCCGTACCGCTCGATTGGATATGATCTATCTCGTTCTTGGTGCTTTGATGCGGTATACGTAGTTTACGCACTCACAAATAAAAATGATCGATACCCCGGCATCCTGGTTTTGTCTGCAGCGCGTGGAATGCAGATATCCTTCCCTCTCCACACCGTGCACAATCGGCGGTGATACACCGCATCTGACACCTACACTGTACGTACTTCCGTCCTGTACACATATCCCCCCGCGGTCACTGATAGATGAGCTGGCCTGTCGCGCCATGTGGATGGTCAGACGCTAGTATCGCTATCTTCTGGAAGCCTTCTGCGTTGGGCATTAATTATTGAAATAATTAGTTGAATGGATTTTCAAAAGTCCCAGCGTGGGGTCTGCCGCTGTCACCGCGCTATATTTCTATTGATTGATTTTTTTTTTTTTTTTACTTGTACTCCGTACTCTGTACGGAGCGTGTGATCATACTGGAAAATTTATTGCGTTTCATACGTGTTTCCTTGGTGATACTCTCCCGCGACCCTTCATTAAATACATTCAAACCCCTTCCCCAGCCGGTGAATTAAGCAAATAACGTAACCCATTGAATATCAAATAAAAATAAAGTAAAAAGCGAAGTGACCTGCTACTTCCGCATAAAAAACACAAAAATCAAAACCCAACAAAAAAGTGTTTACTAAATCGTGACATTAGCACTCATCCCATGATCACTTGGAAGATAAGAACCTACAGAAATCTCAGCCATGCCAACATCTTCGCCACCGTTCGTCGCCGGCTGGGCCTGGCTGTTGGCAGGGGCGTTTCCTTCCGCCGGTGCTCCGCCGCTCTCGTTCGAGACAAAGTAGTCATCCATTTCAGCGTCAAGATCCTCCCTCGATTTCTTCTGGGGCCGGTTGGGGCGACCGCCGCCACGAGCAGCACGGCGACCACGGCGACCGGCGCCGGCCGGCTTCGGTCCTGTCGCGGGCTTGGGCTGCGACTTGGCTGACTGTGCAACGCGCTCGGCAAGAGACTTCGGTTCGGGAACAGCAGGAGCACGTGTGGCGTCAACAACCACCTCAATCTACGACTGTTAGTTACTACCAGAAATTAGCAAGGAATAGATGTACCAACCTTCATCGGTTTACCATCAACCAGAAGCCCATTCAGCTCTCTGGCAGCCTTGGCGGCAGTGTCCGGCTTGCTGAAAATAATCGAGGCAATTCCGCGGCTACTGCCATTTTGGTTGTATGTGAGCATCACCCGCTTGACAGGGCCTGCAGACTTGGTGAAGTATTCCTATAGCAGGAGATCGGATTAGTATTTCCATCGAAACGTTATATGTTGCGACTATCGCTTAGGCAAAGCAATAATGATCGAAAAAAGGACTCGCGTAACGGCCTCAACTCGATGAGAAAAGCATCAGCGAGCACACAGCGGCGATTAGTAGCCAGCAACCCCAAAGGACCACATATGCAGAATAAATTCCGGTCGCTGCCCTGATCCGCATCGTATACGAGCGTGCATCGCCTGCAACGCAAGCTCAAACCGGCATGATATCACACATGTCATGTCCCTCTCTCCTTACGTCGACCATGACCTTGTATCCAACTGATATACCCCCACATATATAGACCACATGCAAAAATGCAGACGTCCACTGTAAACGGATTCACCCGTTCTCGTCAGGACTTTAGCAGTGCACGTGGTGCCGCTCCAGCTACCCTCGCATTGGTTCAGTCTCAGCGGTCAAGTGAATGCGCCGAATAGATCCTGAAAGGTCGAAACGGAGATGACCATGCGTTCACTAAGCGTTGCTCTTCGGTCTCACGTAGACGATATGATAATACCGCCGTTGACTATTGGCCAAAATAAAGAATTGATGATATGCTGCTGGCTCACTGTTGCGCTCGCTGATGCCCCCGAGATACAATAAATGCAAAAATAATGCATGGCCAATGGCTCATGTATGTGATGGTGTGTATTCCAACCATCGTTCTTCGCACAGTCTGCGGGCGTAGCTTCGCAGGTGGATTGCTTTTTAAGGCAACGGTCCACTAAACTGAGCACGCGTTGCGCAAGACTACGGCAGAGCTCGACTTCTTTCACCTTGCAGATTGCTAGCATGCATGTGTGTGCAAAAGTTTCTCGAAGGAGGATGTTGCCTATGCAGGAAGCCGAACGACTACCACGGGTATGTGGGAACGACGTGGTGAGGGGTTCGAGAACGGGTGGAGGCCGTTCGTGCCTCGAAGGTCTCGAAAAAACAGACATGGCGATAGAAACCGAAGGCGAAAGGCCTCTCAATCAACATACCTTGATATTGGCCTCATTCACATCGACAGGCTGGAGAAGTCAGTACTGACCATCAGGACAAAGGAACAAGATGTAGACTCACCAAGCCGCTGACCATAATCTTGCTATCAGTAGGAGTAGGAGCGGCGGCGGGCTGAGCAGCCTTGCCAGCAGCCTTGCCAGCAGCCTTGCCAGTAGGTTTGGTGGCCTTGGTCTTTCTGATTCCTCCAGCAGCACCGGCCTTTCCTCCACGGCGAGCACCACCGCGACGGTGGTTGCTCTGGCGGCGGTTCACCAGGATCTCGTCAAGAGACTTGTCCAACTTGCCAGACATTTTTATTGAGTTGGTAGACGGTAATATATTGATGTAGTTTATTTGTGAGATGGAAGGTGTTGCCACTGTTGTCGCGTTTGAGGCTCGCGACGATTAAGAGAATAAACAAGGCAGAAAAGTCTGTCGGGAAAGGGGGTGAATCGAAGGGGTCGCTGTGCTAGCAAACAAGCGATAGAGAAAAAAGAAGAGCAGCGGATATTGAATATATCACGTTTTGGATGAAGACGCAGCGTGAATTAATGGGTGAATGACAGAAAGAGAACGGCGATGAAGGGAGGTCGAAGTTGCTTAGAACGCGCTAACCCAATTGGGACCCCGCTGACACATCAGTGAATCCAACAATAGAAATACATAAACATCCCTTTGGACAAGTTGACCCCAGGAAAATGATGTGTTCGATATGGACAAGGCCTTCATTCTCAAACTTCCTGATGAACTTCTGGATAAAATTATTTGCGCAGCAGCGCCAATCATTCGCCATTGGAATCGCGAACACTGTCAGGTCTATGACACAGCCCTCTGTCTCTCTCTTGTGTGCCGGCGCTTCTATCGTATTTCTATGATATACCTTTACGCAGACCTGATAATAGACATTAGCGGTGATGGCTGGAAGCATCCCGAGCAGGTCCCCAGGCACCTCCATCGCAGTTGCAGAGAGAATCCATTGCTCTGGACACTCTGTCAAAGTTTGACTGTGTATCATCAGGAATCTAAGAATAAATATCTCTATGCTGCAACGGATTTTATCACTTGGTTTAATGCTGTCAGATAGTTCACGCTTTATGGGTTAGGCAAGGGCGAGAGAGCATGGGCATTGCTCCATTTGGCACTGGAGCATATGTCTAGCTACACTAGACTGGTGCTCGGGAGTTACCCTTATTCATACAGTCTCTACCTTCCGAGGGTGATAGACGTGCTTGGTGATTTTGAAACCGGACCTCTGCAGAATTTCCAAACACTTGGGCTGAAGGGAGTTTCTACTCACGGGGACAGTCTCTGCCAGACAAAACTGCAGAAAAAGGCAGGAACGGCCCCCTTCACCAAGCTCAAACTGCGCTGCTTTCTTCTGACCCCTAGAACCCTCGAAGCGCTGGTCCGCTGGCCCAAACGCCTGGAAGCGTTTGAGCTAAAGTTCTCATTCGGGGATGACTACGCCGAAATGGGGTTATATACTGAGTGGACACTGTCAATATTTAAACAGATTTTAGCCATCCACCGGAGTACATTGCGCTCAATCAATCTATATGCTGTATGCATTAGCAGGCTGGCAGGTTTCGACCTGTGCGAATTCGAAAGTCTAGAGAAATTGAGCCTCTCATCCGCATGTACTGGCCACCAATATCCTGTCAGAGACCATATGATCGGTGTCCTCACCAACCTGCTTGCTCCGCGCCTTCGTGTTTTCCACTGGGACTTAACCCTTCAGGACCAACAACATTGCGAGGGGCTGGACGGTTTTGGCCAAGAAGAGGAAGATTGGTTGCGGGCGTTGGTGCGCGAAGCACTTGCACGCGGATGTCCACTCCAAAGAATTGAAATAAAATTTACACCCGATTCTGGCCACAACTTCAATGGCATATATCCGTGGGACCGAATGGATGCCTTGGGGGCTGACTTACGCCCATATGGGATCAAAGTGTATTATAACCCTCCCTCCATTAGCAGAGATGAGTTTTTGGATATTGTGAAAAGCACCAAAAGGTGGGAAGCTTATCGTGATTTAAACCTTGGCAAATGATTTGATATTCAAGGTTGGCATGTCAGAACAGAACCGTACCCTAGAAAACGATATAGACGAATGGGCTATACAAATTTGTATGCGCTTCTGATCGTGATTATCTTGACGCTGATGGTGATGCCATATATGATGGGTGAGTGGTACTGTCTCCGGTGGGGTTCATTTTCCAGAAAAACCAGATTGTAGTTTAGAGTATGCACACGATTTCTGCCAAACCACTTGTCCCATGCTGATCGTACTTATCGGCCGCCTCTGCGACTCTCTGACCGTGTTTGTTAATCGAGTTAACGAGAACAAAGTCCGATTATTTCGGCGCTTGGAGCATCGGTCAGCATATTAAATCGCCACTGATCCTAAGCCAACACTTATAATGGGTGACCACCGCCAGTTTGTTCTGAGTTTGAGCCCTAACATATGGGATTGACTTCCACACCATTATAATCTCATGACATGTGGCTTTGATGTTCGAAATCCCTTTGATGGCAATTGAAGATAGCCGTCGTCCGGACTCACTTCTCACGGGGCCGTCCTGCACTATCGTCACCTTGAAGAGAACGAATCTCGAACGGTGAGGCCAAGACGATTTACCGCTGACCTTTGGAACAAAGTGCAGCTTTGAATTCGGCTAGATTGCCTCGCGGAACATATCATTATCGATGCCCAACGTGAACACATTGGCATGACATGGCAGCCCCACTCGATATGTTCATGGAACTTGCGTTGCAAGCAAACTACTCTCAAATTGTACATTATTTTTTCTGGGTCAAACGTTGCTTTCTTTTATGAGGGATCAATCAGAGACTATCATAATCATTTGGTCAATGGCCTGGATCCGCTATCCATGAGTTCCCGAACCTGGGTCAATCCGGTAAGTATGTAGCACTCTTTTTCAATTAGCACTAAGCAGACATACGGATAGTCTTTGACTTGGCAACTTATTGTTTAGTCTATGGATCGGCGTGAATATGCCATTATCCCAAGTTTGTTTATTCTGCTGTCTTGCATGAGTATCAAATGGCTCGGTACATACGTCGAACCCGCTGGTCACTACCTGCCGGATTTATTGGAAAGAATGCACGAAACGACAGTCGAGCTCGTTGGTGCCCTGACAGAGCAAATCCTGGGAAGATACCATGGTGGAATGATAGGCGACTGATAAGTGTAGGAAGGATTGTGAGAATGATGAGCGAAATTGGTTAGTGTCTGATCACTTTGAGAGGTAATGAGGCTGAGATGGTTTAGTTCGTAATTGGTGGGTGAGATGTGGTCTGAAGTCGTCTGGGCAACATACAATGGCGACAATGGACGTGGGTTGTGGGCTGTGATGGGATCCAGTCAAAGGTGAAGGCGTCTAATGTTAATGGCTGAATCTCAGCACATCCTTCTGCGGCATGCTGGTACATCGCCCTGTGCTGGATATGAGCTCTTGGAGGCCATCGAGCTCGTGTTTACAGTGTGTTGATTTTATCTGCCCGCCACACAACATAATAGCCGAGTATGTTTCCAGAGGAATGACTCGATTCAAATCGTGTAATCCCTCATAATGGACCATAAACAGACCTCTCTCCGGTATCATGTCGAATGATAATTATAGTTAATAAGCAGTGCAAAACTAAAGAGTTTCAAGTAGATAGCAAGGCGTGAAAAACGGTGATGAATGAATGAAACCGAAAACGGAAAAAGTAGCTTCGAACAATTAAATTCATATATCAGGTCCAGCCTAGCAAAACCAAAACGTCAAATACCATGCCAGAACTCCGTTGAGCGCTCCAGTATACATATCAAATGAAAGACCCCATTCCTGAGGCTTGCGCGTAGTCTCGTAACAATTTGAAGAAACCTCAATCAGCTCTTCAGAGCTTCCAGTCGTCCTCGCATCTGTTCAAGCGTAGCTTCTTGGTCCTCGAACACGTCTTCGGCGGCCGGCTCTTCTTCCAGAGGCTTCTCGGGCTTTTGGGCCTGGGAGAGCTTCCCTTGCAAGATCTCCTGCAAGATCTTGTCCACCTCTGCGTCGGCTTCTTCCTCCTCTTCTTCAATCATATTAGGATCGGTAATCGCATCGTCAACCATTTCTTCGATAATTCCGGCCCGGACTAACTCTGTGGAGAGTTGGTGCATCGTTCCAGATAACTCTGGTAGTTTGACTAGCGTGTTCACATCCTTCATAATACCTGTCGACTTTTTCAGACTTCCTTGAATCTTGCGGACCGAAAACGCCTCGTTTACCTGCATCTGGACGCTTTGAAGCTGTGCTCGGCTCGTATTCAAACGGGTGTTTTGTTTTCGGATCCGAACGAGTTCTCGCGCGAACGTCTTTAATTCCACCGTGGCTTGTCTTGCCTGCGAGGGATTCCGTTCCGCTCGTCTTGACGCATTCAATATGAGCTGTCGTGTCTTGGTGTCGAGGGTCTTGAGCTGCGCAATGTCGCGGTCTAATTGGCGGGTATTAGAACGGATAATTTGGTTGCATTTTCTCATCTGCCGTCGAACTCAGAAGTCAGCCTTAATAGCACGATGTGAATGTTTATCCATATGAATCGCACCTGAGCCTGGGGATCGGGCCCGAACAAGACCGCCTTAAGGGTCTCCATGATTTTCCACGGTCAATCCGATATGTGTCTAATGTATATAAGTAGCCCTTCGCTGCCGATTCTGAGCAATATTCTGTGTCCGACTGTATCAAGAGATCACTTCGAAGTCCATGCTCTTCGTAACCAGGCGGGGTACCGAAAGCGGGTGGTGAAAGGCGTTTGTGAAAAGGAGTAAACCGGTGAAAATAGTAGCCAACTCAGATTCGTAGAAAAGCAGGCGCAATGTGGCCTTAATATGTCTTTTTTTCTGACTTATTGCAGCATTTTCATAACCATTCTATCCACGATCCGTGCCTGGCAGCCACCAAAAGAGAAGGCTTGTGAGTCGGATGCTTAGTCATACTGGGCTTGCGGGTGACGTATCTTTATGCCTGAGGTGTAAAATACTGCAAACAGGGCAAACAGGGCGGGAGGGTTCTCGTACGTTCGATGATCACCCGCTAAAGGAAGGCAGGAAAAAGAGAGGGCAGATGGTGACTGTTGCTGGCTCATATTGCTACTCAAAAACATCTCTCTGCGTTGAACGTCATCTTCATCTTTCTCTACACCTTCTAACCACACATTTCTCCTACTACGATTCACAATGCCTGACCTTCCTCAGACACACCCTGAAGGTACGTTTGTTCTCTTGCTTTCCCCGCTTTGGCCGGATGTTTTCATCATCCAGCCGCATCGCACATTGGCCATCTCTACGCCTCGTTACGGATTGATGTGTCGGATGTGGACGAACCGATATGTTCATTCGCGACCATGATTTATTCAAGTGCACCGTTACTGACTAGTATTCTCGATATTTTCAGTCACATGGGCTCAGCGCTCCTCGAGCACTGATGCCGAGCGCAACTACCTCTACGTGGATATCAAGGCTCCCGATGTTGCCAAGTCTGCTGCAGACCTGAAGATCACTTCGAAAAATGTCTCGTTCACTGGTGAATCCAAGAAGGGTGTGAAGTATCATGTGTCGCTCGACTTGTACGCCGAGATCGACCCTGAGAACAGCAAAGTGAACCACAACGACCGTGAAGTTGAGCTGGTCCTGCGCAAGAAGGAGCTGAAGGAAGAATTCTGGCCTCGCCTGCTGGAGGTTAAGCAGAGAGTTCACTTCTTGAAGACTGACTTTGACAAGGTATGGTTACTTCCATTGTGGTTTTGATAAATTGATGCTAACTGGCAGTAGTGGGTCGACGAGGATGAACAGGACGAAGTCCCTGACGAGGACTATGCGAACAACTTCGGTGACTTCGGCGGTGGTGAAGGCGGTCCTGGCGGTCCTGGCGGTCCTGGTGGCCTTGGAAACATTGACTTCTCGAAGCTGGGTGGTCTTGACCCCAGTGCACTCGGTGGCCTTGACCCCAGTGCACTTGCCGGACTTGGTGGACAGCTTGGTGGAGAGGAGGGCGAAGGTGCCGAGGGCGAAGAGGTAAGTCCTATTGAGTCCTTGTTCATTTTTTATGCGCCAAAGCTAACACTATACACCAGGAGGAGGAAGATATGCCCGAGCTCGAGTCCACCGACGACAAGGGTGAGGCCAAGAGCACTAAGATCCAAGAGGTCTCGTAATTTCCTTCATTTCTGTCCTTTTGCTTTACCTGAATTCCAGAAGAAAAAAGAATCATCATAATCTTGGCGGAATGATTACCGGCGATGCGTGCACTTGATTTTCTTTTGGGCACTGGCCTAGGGTTCATTGCCTTGGGTGTTTATGAAATGTTTCCTTAAAATTGAATGACATGACGAGATGATTGACTGTGTGTCTTCAACTTTCTTGTAGTTCAATTTTATAAAATGTAGTGTCGTGTGTTCGGATTCCAACTACATCATAGACCACGGACCACGGCCATACAGCATACTCAGTCAAATCCTACGAAATTTGTATTAACTAGAAAGAAAAGAAAAGCAAATGCGACTCTATTTCGTATAAATTTTCACACTTAATGAGGACTGTAACTGCGTAGGATTGCTGTGATTAAATAATAATCACATTGGGCACTTCGATTGGCGGACCGACGAACGAGGAAAAAGATCCTGTCCCGCCACAAAGTGCGAAAATGTGGAGTTGCCTCACTTCTTCCTTTTCTTCCTTTCCTCTTCGTACCTCAACTACATACCTCTACTCGCTATCTGTCCCGTTATTTATAGAGCCATTAACTTGGTTTTTATCTATCTGGCTGCCACTCTTTAAGGCTGACCAGCGCCCTCTTTTTCGTCGTCATACAACTCGCACGGCCGAGATTGTGTGAACCCGCCGACCGTCGCTCGCGCGCATTTCTTTTCTCACCTCGATCGGTTTCAAGTGGCTTGAGCTCTCGACAAGAGACAAACCGCCACCATGCCTCCCAAGAAGCAACCCGACCAGCCTAAGAAGAAGAAGGCCAACGCGGAGGACAAGGTTCGTTTTGCCCCTCTTTTCTCTCTTCATATCCCTTTCATTTGAACGAGAAGGGACAAAATAGAGCGGTGACTAACTACTCCTTTCCACTGAATAGACCTTTGGTATGAAGAACGTACGTACAGGAAACGCCACTGACCTTTAATCACGAACCCGAGACTCGATAAGCTAACACTTCCGCGTGCAGAAAAAAGGTGCCCAGGCCAAGAGACAGATTGAACAGATGAAGGCCCAGGATAAGGCAAACGTGAGACCCGATGATAAGCGAAAGGCAGCTGAAAAGGCTCGCATTGAAGCCGAGAAGAAGGCTGCAGCCGACGCCAGGAAGGAGTCTGCAGAGCTGTTCAAGCCTGTCCAGGTGCAAAAGGTTCCTTTTGGTGTCGACCCCAAGACCGTTGTTTGTGTTTTCTACAAGCAGGGCAACTGTGAGAAGGGCCGTAAGTGCAAGTTCAGCCATGACTTGAACGCCGAACGTAAGGCTGCCAAGAAGGATCTGTACACCGATTCTCGGGATGTGAAGCAGGATGAAGAGGAGGCGAAGAAAAAGGATGCTATGGACGATTGGGACGAAGAGAAGCTGCGCAAGGTCATTACCAGCAAGCACGGAAACCCACGAAGCACGACCGAGAAGGTCTGCAAATATTTCATCGATGCCGTTGAGAACCAGAAGTACGGATGGTTCTGGACTTGTCCCAATGGTGGTGACAAGTGCATGTACAGACATAGCTTGCCGCCTGGGTATGTTACCTCCCTTTCCCTGTCGACTTAAAAATAATGTCTAATACCGTATAGGTTCATTCTGAAGACCAAGGAGCAGAGAAAGGAGGAGAAGGCCCTGATGGACAAGTCGCCACTCAACACATTGACCCTGGAAGACTGGCTCGAGTCGGAACGACACAAGCTCACAGGTGACCTCACACCAGTTAATCCAGAGACATTTGCTGCATGGAAGAAGAACCGTCTCGACAAGAAGGCCGCCGAGCACCAGGCCAAGCAGGCCAAGGAGGCCACCGGTCGTACTCTGTTCGAGAGCGGGAACTGGAAGACAGAGGAAGAGAGTGAGGATGAGGATGATGAAGATGCATTCAACTTTGAGTCTCTCCGGGAGGAGACCGAACGAATCCGCGCCGAGAAGGAAGAGGAGCGACTTGGGAAAGTCCACGGGTTTACTGTGCCAGACGAGAGCGCGGGTTGAGCCCCGTGCGACTCTCGCGAGATCCTATTACTGGGGGCTTTCCAGATCACCCGCACTGGACCGGTGTACCAGAAGCGTATTCCGGACTGTGGGGTGGACCTTTGACGTGCCGGATGACTGCCGTTGTATTGGGGTCGCAAGAGAGCCCTGCCCGGTTAACGTTTTGCCGTTTTTCATTCTCTTCTTCATGCTCGGCTGATGAACCTTGTGGTTGATGGGAATGGTCCGGGAACCATGAACATGAAATGATACACAAGGTTGAGACACATCCTGTGATTTTGTTTTTCTTTAAGCGATGTCCTGTTATATCCAGCTTGTTCCTAAAAGTGTTTGGTAAACTAAATGAACTTTATGATCAAGATGCAACAGTCTATTAGCTCTTATATTTAAACAGCCAGTATGCAGTGGTATATACAAAGCTTTACAACAATGCTTTAGTCCGCAAAACACCCTTTTCAAACATCAAATTCACCACATCCGCCGCAACCCCAACAGACAACTCAAACCCCCTTCCCCCAGCCCCATAAGCATGAACAATCGTTTTCCCATTGGCAATTCTCTCAACTTCAATTCTCATACCTCCCTCTCTTGCCGGTCTCCTTCCCACAATATCCCTCATAACATCAAACTGTCCCTTACTTTCTGCCGTGAACGGGAACCACTCGGCCGCGTTGGAGAGGAGTTTCGCCCGCGTTTCTGGGGATGGATTGGGATCCCAGTTGTTAGGTTCTTTGGTACCCCCGATGATTGTACCGCCGTCTAGAGGACGAGGGATGCAAAAGGACCAAGTTCCGTCGGAGTTTTGGCGGGTGAGTGTCATTGGGCAAGGGTTGCGGACAAGGCAGGTTTGGCCTGTCGAGGTTAGATATTATAATCCATGAAGTAAAGTGGGTTTGGATGTTGGCGCACCTCGAATGATAAATGACTTGGGGTCATTAAGCCCCATCCCAGAACAATTCACTACCGTCTTCACATTCTCGGCGAAATAGAATGCCTCATTCAAACCCGCAAGATCGTACGTCTTCGTCCGCCCACCATTCAGCACAAACCGTCGCAGCAAATGCGCACAGTAAACCGGCGAGTTTACCACGAACGTTTTATACCGCGCACCCCATTTCACCCCATCCGGCAGCCCATCATCCTGCCCAGATCCCAACTCGCGAAACCCATCCAAATACGACGAATACGCATCCTCAACCCCCTTCCTCTCCAAATACTCCTTCGGCGGATTCTCCAGATACTCAATCCCCTCGACTTCCTTAATTCCCGCAGCAGGTTCCTGCGCGACTATATTTTTGAACGCCACGTAGGTGCGGCGCGCTTGGGCGCTTTCGCGGAGTGCCTGGGGTGTTGTCCCGGGTATTGGGCGGTAGTGTGCACCGGCCCAGGGGGAAGCGTAGTTTAGGGATGTTGTGCTGGGGAAGTCGCGTGCGACAAGGAGGATGGATTGGCTTGGGAAGATGTGGGTTTGGAGGGTGAGGGCTGTTGTTAAGCCGATGATGCCGGCGCTGGGTTCGGATTTTTAGTAGGGTGTGGTGGGAATGAAGGTTACCACTTGAGCTTGGAGCTTACCCTACTACGATGATTGTTTCTGGCGGCATTCTGGAGTTGATTATTTTGTACAATTGTGGTTGCGAGTATGGGTTGGAAAACCGAGGTACTAGGAGTCATTCCATTCAACCCCGCAATCGTGAATAATAAGGATCTTTCTTCCTTTTCATATCCGCAGTTGATCACTTCCCACTATACCGACCATGCGCCATTTTTGCTCGATATGCGGCGTCCTGATCCGTTCCTGCGCTGCTGAGGATGATATGGGCCCTCCTGTCGAGGACCTGGAATGGTATCAGTTGATCCGGGTCTGTCAATATCCCGCCGTTCTTTGATCAAGTCAAATTTGCGAGCTAACTCTTCGCAGTCTATAAAGAATGGTCTGAAGGCATTGCCGAAGTCACTGGGGTCGGATATCTCAACACCTTGAATCAGCCCGTTGTGCCCATGATCTTCAACGGGTTATATTGGCAACCTAATGTCTATATAAACAACTCTGTCCCGTACTCTGGTGCTAGCCCGCACTGTTGCACGTACTTAGCCCATGAAGCGTGCTGGAGGGTCCTGCTCGATCGGACTTTGTATGGCAATCTTTTCACGGATTTTGTGGCCGTCGCATTGGCGCAGCTGTTTTGGGGTGCCTCTTTGTACAGGCAGTACTCCTTTATTCGAAGACATGACTACGGCGGATCAAATGAATTCTGGGATGCTGAAGGGGATCCAATCGAAATTATGTCACGGGAAGGATATGGGCATTGTGCTGTTGAACCTTCGGGGTTTGTCAGTGTTGAGGACCTTTTGAGCTGCCTTGGTCCTGAGGTTCCGGTCGAAATTCCTACTACTTATCCCATAAATTCCACGTTGAGGCTCGGGAATGGCCTCGAAAAGTTCACTAAATTCCCTACGGAGGTTATGCACATGCTCTTGACTTGGTTGCATTCAGATGATATCCAGCAACTCCGTCTAGCATCCCGGCCAGTTGCTTCAATATCCCATCCAGACCAACTCCCACAATTCTTTTGGTATGGCCGATTCTTCCCAGATTTCGGAATGTGGTTCGCAATGCCAATTCACACAAAAGGGTTCTATGATTGGCGATCTCTCTATTTTAGAGTTAAACGCGGCCTGAAGACGCATAGCTCTGACCGTCTCGTGAATCGAAAGAGGGTGTAGAGCCTTATTTGCAAAGAAGAAGATTGGTATCAAAAGCTTTATACAGGCAGCGATGGTGAATTAGGATTGGGCTTGCTCCAATAGTGGCTACGAGCTGCGATTATACGATATACCTGTTCGAAATCTTCAGCTGGCCGTGATCAAGATCTACGCCCGGAATCCCTTCGACGCAATCGGTTTATTTCTGGTCGTGAGGTACGATTTGAAATGGTCCAAGCTAGCCCAAGAACCGGAAGAGAGTAGAGGTTTTGGTTTTCTGGAGACATGAAGTATGCTCCGAAATATCTCTACAGCTGGCTGTAGAGTTGTTCCACCTCAACCCCGTAGTTGATAAGAATCCTTCCTCTGCTTTCTTTTATCCAAGGATATATTCATCATTACGCCATGGTGCACCACTGCTATTGCTCGATATGTGGCTTCCAGGTCTGTTTCAGAGACTGGGATAGTCACGCGAGTCGGAATGGTATCGGCTGATAAGAGCTGGTTGGTGCTTTTCTTTTTACCTCCGAGTTTATGCGCTAACTCTAAACAGTGAATATACGTCTATCCTGTCACTCAGCCCATGAAAGCATCTGACAATGCTAGATTTTATTCACAGACACTCATTTTAGGAATAAAGCACGTATCGTGGTGTCGATCCTTCAAGATTGAACTTATCCAGGACCTTCTTTGTTATCTCCCTGAGAGTTTGGTGGAAGGTACCGGCATTACTACTAGTTCCCCAATATTTTCCATGGGACCTAATCAACACCATAACGACGCATTTTCCGAACTACCCACTGAGACAGTTCATATTACCATGAGCTTTTCGCAAGGCCTAGAAGCAACTCTCAGTTGGCTGTTGGCATATAGTCCTGCATCTGGGGTTTGCAATCGAAAAAGAGACATGGGCATGAGACTAGAGACCAAGAGGAGCCGAGTGATCCGATAAGAGATCTTGCCAACCCCGCAACTGATAAGAGTTTTCCTTCCATCATTTCCAAACTAGCAGCCATGGAGCTGGAGCTGGAGCTGGAGCTGGAGCTGGAGCCTCTCTGTCCAATATGCGGCGTTAGAGCCCATTCTATTGCCCCTCGATACTGGACCAACGCGCGTATTCCAGAGTGGCTACAGTCGATCCGGGCAGGTCGGTATCCTCTTTCATTAAAACCCCCGTCCAGGTGTTGATTTTTTAGCAGTATATAAAAGGCCTGATGATTCTGCTGGTCTCACTGGAGTTGGATACCTTAACTCCCAAGATGAGCTCGTCGCACCTGAAGACCGAGAAAAGCACATTGCCCCCGATGACCAGGGCAAAAATTCTCCCGAAGTAGTTTTGTACATCGGGCCCTCGAGCGCGTACGAGACCCCATCCGCCGGATTTGGACCGCAACTTCCTGCATTCTTAGTCCACGACGAGTGCTGGGAGGTTTTCCTCCAGCGGATATCGTATGGACGCAATATTAAGGAGTATCTTACCGATCTGATACAGATATTTTATCGTGTCAGTTATTACAAGGAAGCCTTTGCTTGCCACAGACATGATTTTGGGGACTTTTATAGATTCTGGTCGGGCGATCCCAAAGATTCCGATGAGATGATGGAGACGAGTGGGCTCGGTTACGTTGAAACCACTCCTGCGGAGTATGACAGTATGGAGGATCTCGTGGCCGATCTTAAAATCACGTGTAGATTCATGCCGGACAGTTGGCCTGCCATAAGTGACGCCGGTAGTGATATTTCCACTACTGATAGGCCAATATCTTCCACATACCGTCTACCGGAAAATGGCAATACGGATCCATTCGCCAAGTTGCCCCCGGAGGTGATTTATACGCTCCTGAGTTGGACAGGCTCCGATTGTATATGGCAACTGTCTCTGGCATCCAGAGCAATCGCATCGAGAGCACAGTTGGATTTGTACCCGCCGTCCTTCTGGTACAGTAGGTTTATGCCTGACTTTGAAATGGGGTTTGCACTGCCAGGGCACGTGAAGGGATCTCAAGATTGGTACAGTCTTTACTTGATGATCAAGTGGGTGATTTACAAGCGCTCGCACGATAATCTCAGAAATAGGGAGAGGATTTGGAATTTCTTTCGGGACGAGAAGAGGTTGTATCAAAAGGTTTTCAAGAGTCGCGAGGATGTCTCCACATCTGCCTGAAACAATACGATATACGGATGGCTGAGGACGTCACAGTGGCGGTGACAGCTTGGATAGCTCTTGAGATCGACGGCCGGACCGTGATGGCGGACGTTCTGGGAACGGCTGTCATGCAGTGGTCTTAGTACAAGTACTTGTATCGGAGTACACGGGCAGACATCACAAATTCAGAAGTCACATCACGTTCTCAGTGGCCCGTCCTCGTAATTATGCATGCGCATCACTGCAGGATCGTATTAGTGCGGATTAGTCTGGAATATCATGGTGATGTCCGTGATGGTCGTATCGGAAATCGGACTGCGATTGGACGCTACATATTAATTATGATTTCCCATACAGGGTCCCCTGTTTCGGATGTATTTGAGACTGGCTTGATACTTCCTGTCTATCCTTAGAACCCCGGGTTTGAAGTGGTGTGTCGAGTATAACAGTACATTGTGTCGGAGTGCCGGACTCATCACCAGAGCTTATTGACCGGCTCCAACTCGGCCCAGTGATTCGCTCCGCTAAGCGCCGCGACGGGGCACGGAAGCCCCCGATAAGTGGTGTAATTGGGCGATGCAGGTGACAAACCCGCAGGTCCAGGTGAAGAAATAACCGGCTTCCTACCAATTAGATACTAGGAATGTTATGCAGAAACTCCAACGATCGCCCGAAGCGGCAAGGCCCTGTTCCGAACGAGCTCTTTGATACTCATTGGTGAAGTGCTGTATGGCCTGTTCGCAATAAGATGCCCCCCAAGCCATTGTATTGTCATGATATGGCTGTCATAGTAGCGGTGCGTTATTATTATTGTCGCCAAATTCGCAAAATGGGCAGAGTGGGAATCTATCGCTTCCAATGATAATATTCAGGTAGAATATACTCCGTACTCAAGCGCCTAAGCCATGTGAGAGAGATCGATCATTTATATTGAAAAAGTACCTGGTGGACTGAGTATCGTCATTCCATCTCATCTCGTCTCGGATCTTCCGTAGCTTTTTTTCTTTTTCTCCTCTTCACATACGGAGTACCCCATACATCTCCTTATCGAGCTTCATTCTGCTACCTTCATTTAACCTGATTAATCGCTCTCACTTACTCGTTCTGTTTCCCTGACCAAACTACAACAGATGCCTCGTAACATCGCAGCGTCTCCTTGACAAGGCCTCCAGTGCTGTGCGACGCTGAGAACCTGTCAAGAATTCTTCTCTGTAAGTCGCAGCGTTCTTTTCTTTTTTGTGTGAGTTGGTCCCTGAGGACTGTCGCACAGGGCTACTTGGATGTTACCTTGAGCAAACTCGATGGATATTTCTACTATCTTCGTGAATTGACTTTTGAGATATCTACGGACCACACCTCATGAGCTTGACATTTTGAGCCATGGTCCAGCTAACAAGGAACAGACCTCAGTCCCTAATTACCAGACCAATGGCGCCTCTGCCGCAAGCACCAGAACGTTCCCACGAGGCATGTGCCTCAACCGCCTCCCTCTTCCTCTACGCCCAAGGATCGGCCATCCTCTGCCTCCACCATGATACACTCGCGCTCGATCGACGGTTCGAGAATCACCGGGAAGATATCGCTTTTATATCTGTGGATAATGTCAGTGAGCGTGGGCAAGGACGGCTGGTCGTGAGCTACGATGTCGGACAGACTGCTATCGTATGGGATCTGTTCACGGGGACGGAGATTGCGAGGTTTGCAGCTTTTGAGCCGTTAAAAGTGGCTTCTTGGATGCGGAATGGGAATGTTGCTTTTGGTATATTCTTTTTGTGTCTGAGTTGGTGTGGTGGTTCTGACCATGTGCAGGGAATACGAAAGGCGAGGTTATCCTTTTCGAGCCATCGACTTCGGAACATGTCTCGACTCGTACCATTTCAGAGCCTATTACGACGTTGGCGCCGGGTGCAGATTGTCGGACATATGCAATTGGGTATGTTCTTGAGTCTCTGAAGGAAGGCATACTTTGCTAACAAGTTAGATACCAAAATGGCACCGTTCTGCTCGCGACACTCCACCCTACCTTCAACATCCTGCACACACTCACAATTTCCCGCAATCCGTCGCCCTTGATCAACTTATCGTGGCATGCATCGTCATCGAAACAAAAATCCGACATGTTGGCCACGCAGGCATTGAACGGCGACTTGAAAGTCTGGAGTGTCTCGAAACCCGCCGAAAAGGAACCACCACGAACCATTCGAGTCTTGAAACGATCGGACACCGCAGCCTCAGGACCACAATGGATGGCTTGGTCAAAGAATGGAAAGATATTGCAGTATATGAATGGGTGTGTTGGATTCGTTATTTGGTTTGGACTGTGACTGACAAGGCGCAGAGAAACATGGTCTTGGGACGTCAGGACCAAGCACGTCACTTCTGAGCGTATTCCGGCTATAAATGGCGTCCGTGGTATCGCCAATTATGGGCCAACGGCCACTTTATTTACCCTTGGACCAAACTTTGCAGTGCAGCAGTATGATTTGGAAATCTCCACCATGGTTGCCAATGTGCACCACCCCCCGATGTCTTCAGGAGACGCACAATTACTACCTTCCCGTTCGCTACAAGATTCGCCAGAGATCAAAGAATCCCCGTACCAATTCGACGGCCGACGGACACCCTCTGACAACGAGCAACCGCATGCGGACCTGGCAAGTCCTGCTTCCTCGCGAAGCAACGCAAGCTCCAAGGCCTCTGGAAGATACCGCATGCCGTTGGCCTCACCGCCAAATAGATCCGAGCAGAGCAATACACCCGCTTCTACACTTCCATCAAATAGTGAGATGGATACACCGCAGCCTTCGCATGGGTATGCACCGTCAATGTCGACGCTGTCTACGAAGAGTTCTCGTGCGGGATCTCGATTGAGGAATGAAGTTCAATTCAGCCCTGCCGATAAGCAGATCGATCTGTTTCCTTTTATTCGGGCTCGCTTGAATGACATTCCCTATGGACATCATCAGCCCCTAGGGGAGACCAATCTTACACCGGATGGTCTTCGTCAGCGGATGCTGAGCATGGTTTTTGGATGGGAGGGGGACGTCCCGGAGCTGGTACAGGATGAACGTACGTTCTATTTCTATTCCCTTGTTGGTAAAGGAGACTTTCACTAACAGAAACATAGTCAGCCGCCATCCCCCAGGGACCCAGAACTCCATCCTCTTGGCACAATGGCTGGGTGCATTGGACACGGATGAAATGGTATCCATGATGCACTCAGGCCCTGTCTCCATTTCCGACTGGATGATCATGGCCTTCAGCCAGATGAGCGGCCAAGCCCAAGCAAACAAAGTTGGACAGGCCTTTGTGCAGAAACTACTAGAAACAGGAGATATTCATACTGCTGCAGCGATCCTTCTCGGTCTTGGAGATAAAAATGATGCCATCGAAGTTTACGTCTCTCAGAACTACTTCCTGGAAGCTATCCTCATGACATGCCTCCTGATGCCAACAGACTGGCAACGGCAATCGTACCTTGTCCGTCGATGGGGTGAACATGTCGTCCCCCATTCGCAGCAGCAGCTTGCGATTCGATGTTTTATGTGCACTGGCGCGGAGCCTTCAGAGCCCTGGACCTCGCCAGTAGCCCAGAATGCTGCTTCCTTTGCAGAGGGGCAACGGTCACCAATGTCATCTCCCGGGCCTGCGCAACCTATCTCTCCACCGTCTCAGCGAAAGCAATCAGCCGCTCAGAAGGCTATAGCCAAGACTCCTGCGCTAAAGCTAATCACATCGTTCGAGAATCCCAATATCCGACTCCCGGGCTTAAAGTCTGATAACCAGACGCCTACCAACGTACCATGGATCACACCAATTGCAGAGTCTGCTGTTGGCGAGTCGGCTCTCTCCCCGGGTGGATTGGTCTCGTGGAAAACGAACAACATGCAAAGCCTAAATCAGGCGGTTGGTTCACGATCGAACACTCCGGGTTTCAGAGGACGCCTTCCGTCCATTGGAGAAACACCAGTGGATGTCGAGCCGCCTACCTTCCCTCCTACGCCATTCCGTAGGGGAGAATACCCTACGACATCTGATAGTGAAGACCAACAGCAAGACCAGGGCAAAGAGCAGGAAGAGGAGTCGTCACTGCTGTTACCATCCGCCAGATATGACCCTAATCAAGAGACCAAATCAACCCCGCAAACCGCCGTCCCAGCCAGTTCGGAAAAGTTCACCAATATCAGGGGCCTCCCGTCCCCAGCGCCAGGCGTGTTCGAGGCACTTCATTCGGAGAGTCGAAATGGGTCGAGAGATCGGAAGCCAGATGGACTGCAGATAAGCCTGTTCCAAGACCAGCTTGAAAGAATGAGCAATAGCAGGAGCCCGTTGTCGTCGTCGAACAGCCTCCAAACTGCAAAGACCCCGAGTACGGGTGGATACAGCATTGATCAGTTTATCCACAGCTTGGACGAGGCCAATCAATTCTCGAATTTGCAGCAGCATGTGAACGGTCAAACTACTACTCCAGGATGGAATGAGGATCCGTATAGCCAATTGCCATTGTCTCCGCCGCCCATGTCACCAGAGGAGGCAACGCAAGAAGAAAGATACAGGGCCAAGCACAGTAGACCCCAGTCGCGCAATGAGAGCAAAGTGGGAAAGCCTAACTCAAGGAACTCCTCGCGACGCCGCCACAATCGCTCTGCGAGCCGCAACGCAGCTGGCCGTACGAGTGATCGGAATGATCGTGGTCGTAGCTCCGAGAGAGATGGTTCTGGTGCAATGTCTCCGTCTTCTTCGTTGCCGATGTCCCCAATTGACGATTCTTTGAGGATTGTCACGAGTGATCGGGAGCGGCGCACGCACCAGCGTAGTAATAGCCGTCGTGGGGAGCAAATCCCTGGTCGACGGAGGGATCAATCTGCTGGGCCAGTGAGACCGGGTAGTCGTCAGACTCGCGAGCATGAATCCGCCACGGACCAGGAGTCGTTAACATCCAATACCAATGGTATGAGCCAAGAAGAGCAGAGCCTTGGGAATACGGACACATCCGAACATGAAACTCGCGAGCTTCCTTTTGTGGTTGGTATATCAGAACAGCGAAGGAAGGAGCTTGCTGCTGCGGAGCTCGAGGCACGGCGCCTTTCGTTGGCAAGGAACCCATCTGCTCCCAATATCCCTTTCCCTGGGGATACTCGATCGAATACTCGAAGCCCTCCTGTTGGTTTTCCGTTTTCGATTAGTCCTTTTGGCCAGCGTCCGCAGGCGAGACAGAGGGCTCCCTCAAACATGGAGTCTCAGAGTAAGCGAAGCAGCTCTGATTCCGGTTCTTCACAACCAGGGCTACCAACAAGCCCATCATCATCACTGCGGCAAGCCAAGTACAACAACGGCACCAGCAACGGTAACGAGGATAAGGTCGCAGATTCCCCTATCCTGCTGAGTGCCGCCACTTACCAACCCGAGGCAGAGAGAATCGGCCGCTCCATGTCCGTTCCTATGCCAGAGACCCGCCACAGCCCACCAGTCAATGCCAACATGCCTCCAAACATCCCAATGCACCCCAGATACAACCCTAACCTCCCGCGCAGTCGCTCGACAAGCCGGTCCCGTCATATGGGTCATCGACGTGAGAACTCTCGAGAACATGGAAGCCCTGGTAGCTACTTTGGTGGTTCTCCTGTGGCCGTCAGTATTGAGGAAACCCTAGCAAACGCAGACCATCAACCACCTATCCTTCCAGAACTCCAACATCTCAACACACCCCCACCACCGCCACCCCTTCCTTTCTCTAACTCAGCCTCTGCCTCCCCGCGCGAGTCTTCCGGAACAATCGATATCGCCTTCGACAACGAAAATCTAGGACGCCTGCTTCCTCGCGCAATGACCGCCGGCCCCGCATTTACAAATACCATGGACGTCCGTACTAGCGTCAATGGCAGTGCAAGCGCAAGTCCCGACCGTCGACGAATGTCATTTGATCACCGTCGTGGAAAAAGTGCCAACGAGAGCTTCACCAGCAAGATCCGGAATTTTACTCGCATGCGCAGTAACAGTCGCGGGCTAGAGGGGTGGGGAAGTCCAGCAGTCGAGACTGAGTTGCCGTATGAGAGTGTGCAGATGGCGGACAGGATTTGATTTGATATGATATCCCCTCATTCTTTGATTTCTATTTGAGATGTTTCGGGCTACGTTCGTTTAACTGTTTAATTTGTTATGATTGATGATAAATTGGTTGGCTTACTTTGTTTTGTTTTGGTTCGTTTATGAGATGATACCTTACCTTGATACCTCGAATTTGCATTATATTGTCATTTTTATACCCTTTCTTTCCTAACCCCAGCGTTCTAGATTTTTCATTGACAATACACACTCTTTTTATCATGATGTGGTTGATATAAAGTTGTTCAATAGCCGAATAACCTGCCGACTGAACGGGATCTACACCAAACACCGGGTTAAAAACCCTAACTCCCTTAACTCCGTCACCTGGAAGCAAATCCCGTGCAAGTACATTACCACTTTACCCCGATCTAGATAGCCTCTATTACATCCCTCGTTTCAATACAATCCATATCACAATGTCTTCCAAGCCAATCATAGTCCTGGTCCCAGGTGCCTGGGCCACTCCGGCGTTCTATACTCTACTCTCATCCAATCTCTCAGAAAAGGGTCTCACCACGGAAATCGTCTCACATCCCTCAGCTGGTGCAGAGCCCCCCATTAAGACTCTCGATGATGACGTCTCAAATCTCCGAAGCACACTTAAACGTCTAGTCAACTCCGGCGAGGATGCCATCGTGGTCGCGCACTCATACGGCGGGCTTGTTGCCTCCGGATCCGTTCAAGGCCTTGAGAAACCAGTCCGTCAGAATCAAGGAAAGCAAGGTGGTATTGTGATGATTGTGTACATGACCGCATTCGTGGTCAATGAAGGACTGAATCTGATTGATGTTTGCGGGGGACAACTTCTCCCATGGATTAAATGCGATGTACGTCTTTCTCTCTTCATCTCCCCTTATATATGACTTTTTTACTGAAACCGAACAGGAAAACTACACCACCCTATCTTTCGACACCCCATTCCACGACCTCCCCCAGGCCCAACAATCCCACTGGACCTCTGCGCTAACGCACACTTCTCTTCCCGTTTTCTCTGGAACCGCAACATATGAGCCATGGCATGTTATACCAACCGCGTATATTATGGGTGAAGAGGATGAGATGCTGCCGCTGGCGGTGCAGGAGCATATGGTTGGGGTACTGCGGACGTCTCGTGTATATCGGTTGAAATCGTCGCACTTTCCGTTTTTGAGTATGTCGGGGAATGTTGCTGGGATTGTTCAGGAGTTGGTTGGGGAGATATGATGGATGCACATTTATTCCATTGCTATGTTAAGTTCGTTCTGGCAGGGTTTAGAAGGTCACATGGAGCTTTCAAATACGACATGTTCAAGTTTATATTTATCAATAATAGCTAATGTGTTCGAAGACCTGCAATTCTCTTTCTGTATAAAAAGCCATAAATTATATGGTAAAGTGGACTACGGGGTAAATTGGGCCAATCCACTCAATGAAACTCGCCAGGACCCTTCCCAAAATGTCCTCCTGTGGGGACCTTCAGCCAAGGGACAGAGTTGGCGTCGTCTGTGTTCGAGCCCACAGTGTTGCCCCACCAGTTGAATTCGACCTTGTTATAACTCAAGGCAAAAAAGATGATAATTGTTGCGAGGGCTGTGCCGGTATCCATGGCTGCTTGCAAGAGGTCTGCTACTTGTTAGCTTGATCCATACCAGAAAGGTTAGGGCAGGATACTGACAATTATACCTCGTCCACCACTGAAACGCCTTCTTCCGAATCAGATAATTGAACAAGAACCCAAAAATAAACCACAGCGAGTACTGTGTCGTATTCGCCGGCGGGATATTCCCCGCCGCATTAAAGAAAATCGGCACATTAACCCACTTGATCCAGCTATTCGGATGGCGTCGGTACACCAGCCAGACCAGGACAGTTACTACGGGGCCAATGATGAAAAAATACATCAGGGCATTGTAAACCTGGCCGGCTTGAAACATCCGCTGGGGGCCGATGGTGCCCCAAATCATGGAGGCGTTGTAGACGACTTTGGCGCCGTTGCAGGTGAAGCGTTGGGTGTTGGATGGGGAGCAAAGGTCGGAGATATGACCCATCATCCAGCGGAGGACTGTTTGGTTAGTATGTCTTGAAGATATGTATTGCGGGGATGGATGGACACTCACCACCAGTCTGTGTCATCGTCGCAAGGACACTTGAATAAACCTGTCCAATAAACAACACTCTCGGGGGAATCTTCATATACTGCCCCAATTTCAAATCCTGCGCAAAGTCCATCCCATGCTTCACCGAGTTATAGCCATAGAACTTCACCATCATATTTGCGATCGGTTTCCCGGGCCATGCGTAACCCGCAATCAACTCAGTGATGATGTTCAAAAAGATACGTTGGTTCGTCGTTCCCTCCAGAATCCCCTCGGGAATAATAAGAACCACACCCATCCCACAGCACACGACAATAAACCCCCAAACAGGTAAACCGGAGTCCCAGTACCGCACGGTAAAGATACCAAGTCCCACGATAACTACGGTCAGCGCGCCATACCACCAATCCGGGACCTCGGGGTACGAGTGCATCAGGCGCCGATGGATATCTTCGCCTCCGGCCCGGGAATTCTTGAATTTGGCCCAGATTTCCCGACCGTTGTAGAGAAACGTGTGCACAACCATGGCGGTGACAGCAGCAAAGGAAAGCCCATAGGTCAGGGTGTAAGACATGGAGATGTACATTGGCGAGTAGGCTTCGTATTTGCTCTGGATGAAGTTGAGGTTCTCGTCTACAACGCGGGTTATGTTATACGTTGATCCTGTGTTGTCAAAGGTACTTGATGAGAGCAGCGGGAGGTATCCGCTGTTCCAGACGTTCGTGTAGTATAAAATTGGCGAGAGGAGGAGGTAGAATAAGGCTACCACTGCATACGCGTTGCAGGTGATGTAGAACGGTGTCGTCAGGGGTGACCCCGGTGATCCGGCATAGGTAATCTGCGTCCAGTCGAAACTAATCGGTAGCAATCCCAGTCCTGAGTTCATCCCAAAGATCGTGTTCACTTTCTGGTTGTGAGGCCAGATCCAGGTGATGAACGCAAACGTGCTCAGACTCGTCCAAATATAGTCCGGGAACCAGAAAATGACAAACGCGAAGAGCGTGAAGTAGCTGAAGAAGCGATATCTCGTTATGGTCCAGCCATTCGCAGGCGAGTTATCTTGTTTCTGCTCGTGCAGAGCTCGAAACAGGACCGTGGACGACAGAGACGAAGGCCAGATCAAGGCTGCAGGATATACCAGCCATCGACGTGCTAGTCCGGCGAAGCCAAAACCTAGCATCTGGGTAGTCAGGAGGTAGAGGAAGGAGAATCCTGCTCCGTAGTCTCGATCCCAGTAGACCGGGCTGGTGATGGCGACCAATGAACCCATGGCATAGGCCGTGCTGGCGCTAATGTTGACACACTTTACTAATCAGAAGACTGAGGAGTAATGATATTGTAGGGGGGGAGGGCAACTTACAATCACAATCAGTGCATGCTCCTTAACGGTAAACTTCCCTGGGTTGATATCGAAGGAGAATTTCCCCAGCGGCACCCTCCATCGAGGAAGCTTCTCCCATGCTCGGCCGATAGGGAATACCAGTAATTGAGCCACGACGTATCCAATACTAAGAGAAGGCTATTTTTGTTAGTATGCGCTCGCATATGGTAGGAAAGGGTACATACATATCGCAGACCGAAGAACTGGTTGACGGCAGCAAACAGCATCACAAAAATGGTCGTAAGAGTCCATGATCGGAAGGCTGCATCGTTAGGACTATCCAATATAGATCCGTGATAGATTTACTTACTGCTACAAGCCATGTTAGGATCATCAGTGTTGGAGACACATGCTGCCACCTCGGGAACTATATATGTCAATCAGCGATGATCGCACACCACAAGGCTTGAGACAAGCATACAAGGCGACTGGTCGCCATCAACATTCCACTTGAACGCTTCATTTGGAGTCAATTCCGTCTGATTAGGCACAGGCGCTGGCTTGACCGGATTTTCTCCTTCCCATGCTTCAACATCCACCGGTCGAGTCTGAGTCTCAATGGGATCTTTCCTGCTATCTTTTGCAGAAGTCGCCATTGTGAGGTGACACGAGAGACAGGATTAAGGAGACAAAGAAAAATATCCGGCGTTGGGAGGAATGTATTTATGGTTATCAGCATCCCTGTTCAGCTGATGGCGTGCATGTTGCGATAGACCCACGATAAATGGCGACAACCAGTGGGAAAAGACATTAAACTGATAGGCTGATTATTTTGCTACCAATGCGACCGAGTTCATATATTTCTTTGTATGCCAAAAGCTTATGGTGCTTATCTTGAGCGTTGGACGTGTTTATTCTCGATATCAATACTAGGGATGATAATGTAGGGGTACATACGCTGGGAATAACCTCCGCTACGATATCTTATCACTCTAGATCACTTTAGGGCATCTTCTCCATGTATACAGGTTGTATAAAAGACATCATTGTCTATACAATTAGATCTATACTGGGGTATCTTATTCTATACCGGTTTCGGTTCTGTCTCCGAACCGTCGTTCTCAAGACTCCGGCCATAGTTCGACTTCGGACCGGATTCATCATCATGCTTATGGGATAACCAAAGAATGATAGTACTGTTATAATTATTAGCCACATCAACACTAAAGGACAGAATAGCGGGGTAGACATACCCAGCAATAGTCCCGACAACACCAGGCCATGCAAGAACGACGGAAGCAACAGCTTTCGGGTTAGTGTAATATCCTAGTCGTGTTAGCCTTATTTTCATAAGACCTAAAATGGCGAATAGTGTATACATACTCAAAGCAGGTTTCTTCATAGACTCCTCCCAGTACTGCCTTGCAGAAGCAGCATCTGTCCCCGTGATTTCTGCACTATGCGTGGCCGTGATAATCTACCCACATCAGCATCAACACATCACCCAAATCATCAGTAAAGCACCATACCGTCATCGCAAGAGCCGAAGCCAACATCATAATCGACTCCGCCACTGCACAAAGCTTCCACGCCCACCGGATCCCCCGGTCTTCATGTCTCTCGGGCCAGAAGAGATCAAAGAAGAACGCGCCCCCGAATACCCATGCGACAGAAACTCCCGCCCAGATGTTATACGATGCGGCACCGATGAAATCGTTGTTGTGCACTTTGACCCCTGGATGTTGGCCTTGGATTTGGCTTTGTTGGTCGAGGTAGTCTACAGAGAGCGGATTGATTAGTATTGTTTGGGCTGCGAGGGGTAATGGAGAGAAGATTCACCGGATAATGCCGCTGTGCCGACGGCCTCTGAGCATACGCAGAAGATCATGGCGATCTGGTAGACGATCATCTTTGTGCGGCGCAGGTGGTAGACGCGGTTGAACATGTTGGAGCTTCCGAACTTGCTCCAACGGATCTCATGGAGATCCAGACCCCAGATGACTGTCATTTTAGTAACAAAGTGACGAAATTAAACGAAAATGGACTGTTGAGTGTATATGGTCGGTATTCAATCCCGTATGTCATGGGTAAGATTTTAGAGAATGGGTAAGTTCAAATTTAATGAAAACAACCCAGGGAACAAAAGATGGTTCAAATAAGGTACAGAGCTTGGCTTCTTCTTGGTTTATGTATCAAATCCTAGCTTAATAAAGACATAGAGTTGCCATGAATAAACCTGATTCTGAGGTGGACATCATCAATGACATCATTCTTCATACGCGGACGATGTACCTGAGCACACCATATGACTGTAATTTCTACGGGATATCATATCTCGGTACTTGATACGGATAAATAGACTGCCCACATATTAATGTACATCCAGCTTAAATATACATACATATGCCAATAATGGATCAACTCCATCGCTCCCAACCCTTATTCTTGCCATTCCCCGAATCGTCACTCGACAAATTCCGCTCAGCGTCTAGCATCCGCTCAAAATCAGCGCGTGCCTGTTCTTTTTCCCGCTGTCTTTCCATATCCTGGCCGCTGCTGCTATTGCTCTGGCTCTGGCTCTGTGTATTCCACCCGTCAGACTGCCCGCGATAGTATTCTTGGCCTTGGGGGGTGGATAGCCCCTTGGAATTCTGTTGGCGAATTCGTTCCCATGCGCCGCGCTGAAAGATGGGTTGAGAAGGCTGGGAGGTTGTAGTATTGGTGTGGGGGTTTTGGTATTCGGGTGCCGTAGGACTAGCGTCGTCAAAGAAGTCGGATACAGAGTCTTGTTCCTTCCTTCCACTATACCAGTTACTGCTGGTCGATTCCATCGGGGTCGGACGATCGTAGGAACGGGAAGGAGTCGTGGGCTCCGCGCTGTTACCGTACATCGCGCTATAATCCTGCTGCTCGTAACTTTCTGTAGGCCCACCACTCGCTTGGTCCGGCACCATCTCACTCGGTTGCTGCGATTTTTGTGGCTGCGACGTCATCCGTTGCTGGTTCTGCCGATACCTATCCTGTGCAGCGTCTACTTTCCGCTTCCGCACCTCCTCCGGTTTCTGTTGCTTCACCTCCTTCACGAAATTCACCAGCCTCGGATCCGACATTGTCGCAACGGTATCATTATACACTGCATAAATACTCGACATTGTCGCCCCCGTTAGCGTCCAAAAGAACAACTTGAACACTGAAGCTGCCGCCACCGACCGAAACGCCGTAGGATCCGTCTTCGCAAACCTCGTAACTCCCTGCATTAATTGTTTTGCACTGGGCAATTTCCCCTCCTCTGCACCAGGCACCATCGCCTTGTAATGGTCCGTCTTCCGCGCCTGGTAATACATCCTTGCCATAGCAAGTCCACTAGCAAGCGGTGCTCCAATCCGTCCGTGGTATAAACTGCGACTGCTGTGCGTGACGAAGGCGTCCATTTCGTCCTGTGTAGGCGGGCGTTGAACTAGCACACGGGCATTCTCCACGCGCTCTGTGAGTGTATTTACCAGAGTGCGTTGCCAGTTCCAATTCCCAGCGAAACCGAAGTAGAGGGTAAAGAGGTCGGGCGTAACGATTGCTTCGGGCTTGATTTGATAATGGGTTATGGAGGAGTTGGCGTTATTTTGGATGGCGTTCTGGCCATCCTGCTGAGAGGACGTATTGTACGCCTGTGGAGAGGCGTCGTCTAGGACCATGTTGCGTCGTTTAAAGAGCAAAGAGTGAACTGGGATGCCGCATTCGTGGTGAGAGACAAGCTTGTGACGTTGTGCTTAGTCATCCGATTTCTACCAGGAGTTTCCTTACTCGTACTTTTTAGTACAAAATCACTTTGATTCCAATATTCGAAGCTATTTACTAGATCTGCTCGAAAGACAGGTTACGAATGCGATAATACGTGTCTATACACTGTCAGTCTGGCTAATCTCAATAGCAGTATCACGACTCACCTGTCGTCGGCCCAGGAGACCCTGAAGAACCCTCCATTTGCAGGTTGATAATCCTGTCTTATCAGCTTGGCATACTTCTCTTCCCTACAGCATGAATACTCACAAATGCAATGGCTCTCCGACGTAATCTGCGCCGTATTGAGTCGTGACTAGCTCGTCGTCCAGATAGAAATTGACCGAGATATTGGAGCCATCTTCGTCGCGAACTTCGATCTTCACGGCGTGGAAATCATATGGGGAGGGATAGTCGATATCCAGAGATTGCACTTCAGATGACGTCTGGTAAGGGAGTTAGCATGAATGTTCAAGTAGATACAGGGCAATGGAGTCTCACATTGAATGTGTTGAAACTGATATCACCGGATCCTATGAACTGTCAGCATTCCCATCATTATCCGTAATTGGGGAACAGTTACAACCTTTCCATTCCGCAAGATCAATCTCTGGTGGCCATGAATTCGCTCCGTTCAACCAAAATGCCGGCCAAGTACCCTGGGCAGTAGGCGCCTGGAATTCAGCCTGGATATCGAACCCGGACCCAGCCTCAACGGTAAATGTCTTGGTCGAATGCACCGCACCGGAGAGATAATTAATTTCCTGGCCACCGCTAGTCGGATCTTGGCCATTGACCGGTCTGGCAAGCAGGGTCAGAATACCGGGTGTGTCGATCAAGATGTACTCGTGATCGGAGGAATTGCCAATCATCCGGGCGGATCCATTGTGATCCGAACCCCATGGATAAAGGTAAGAGAAGTATTCTTCAAGAGAGGTGTAGGAGTCGAAACAGGTGGAGGGAATCAGAGTGGCTCCCTGGGCCAGAACAGCGAGGCTCAGCAGGAAGAAAGGACGCATATTGGAGTACGTCTGATTATTTCAAGGTCGAACAAAGATTCATGCATTTGTTGCAACTTGGGGCTTTTATATATATACTCCTGATAGTATCGGACTTTCTCTTTATTGCTCTCCTGCTGATCTAACATTTTGATGCTAAGCATGAAACATTCCCCTCAGCGCAATAAATGAAACCCCTCCGTGTCAAAATTACCCGCCAGAGGATACATCGATGCCTCTACTCCGTACCGTGTAGTGGTATGAAATCCTACAATCCGGCTAATTGTGATTTGTGGCTGTACCTGAGTAAACTTTCAAACAGGAAATAATCTTCTTCTGCGAACAATACAAATGCATTCTCAGCCTTATTCCCATGATTTCAACATTTCTTACATCGTACTTGATGGCTCCAACGTATTGACTGGAGCCCTCAATTGGATATGACCTGCCCCACGAGTGCCTTGTAACAAAGCCCCTCTATTCCAAGAAAATTCCCGGGAATCCGGATGCGGCATGTGCATTCTTTTTATCCGATATCAACCAGGTTGACAGCAAGTTACTAGGGAGAAATTGGTATTGCTTGCTGTACTTCATTGCGTGAATCGTAATTCTGAATGCTTGTAAGTTGTCATCACTTTCCTGTTGTCCACATGGCTGACATTAAATGAAAGACGTCTCGGGAGATCCAAAGTACCAAGTTCCACAGGAATTTCGAACGTGCCTACCCAGGAAGCCGAGGGCGATGAAGCAGCTCCAGGGAATTATAATATGAACAAGTACACATGACATAAATTCCCATGGCATTGAGCATAACCATGGTGTTAAGTTAATCATGATGCAAACCGACTTAGTCGGTACTGAGGGTAGTGGTCCCACAGCACAGACGTTACTTGTGAATATGAACTCCTGGGAGGTAAGGTGTATAAGCCCACAGCATTTAGGGCATGGATTAGACTTGTTCTACTTGCGATGTTTCGTGGGTTAGTTCCCATTAGTACAGCTTACACTTCAGCTTTACAGTGATAAGTGAATCTTGGATTTTTACAAGGAATAAAAGCATAGTTATACAGTTTCCAACTAGATACAGGAAAAAATCAAGCGGTATATTGACAGCAGTCACCATTAACTCTATCCGAATGCTTCTTCAGCTAGCTGCTAATATCATCACATCGCCACTCACTGGAACCGTATGGCGTTCTCCTGCAATAGTCAAAGACACCTCCATTACCAACCTGTGACTATGTCTGATATTATATGTGATTAGATCAGGTTGGATATAGGGATATGGTACAGAAGCAAGACGTCGATTTTTAGCTTTCAATCCATTCGAACGAAGAACCAGCTGGAACATACTGCCAATATTGACTGGACCATTATTACGAGTTTTGTCAATAAAAAACTCAATGGGGACGTCAAGATCCCGAAAAGCCCTTTCTAGATTTAGATTGTGGAGAACCGAATGGGAATCGCTCTTAGTGAGAAGTTTTCTGGCGTCGCGTGGTGCGAGGAGAGTAGTCGTTGACTTGATAGACATCTTGATCCAGTTGAGCCTGATCTTCAGCCCGACATTATGCATGTCGGTGCTGTTTGTCATTCCCTGTTGGGGTGGCAGTACAATGTTCAGGGTAAGTGGAATGGACGATGTATTATCCAGCTGGATAATGCGAGGCAAGCCGATCTCGACGCTATAGTGTGCTCTGGGCACTCTGGACGAACCCAGGAGCCTCTGCGTCTTTTGCATGAATTTTCTATCTGTACATCCCTTCCCCGGTAGCAACCACTGGCCCAGGGATCCCTGGTCGACTGTGTGTCGCTGGAGATCGCAATCGGGAAACACAACCGGGGCTTGGGGCCGCATTATGATGGGGACCGTAGCCCTACCGAACCTATACATGCCCCATTGGTGATATTGTAGCTGAGCTTCGAGATAGTACTCCACGTAGCCTTCAGAAGAGTGGTTCCAGTCGTTATTACTCGTGACAAATGTCCCGGGTAATGTGTGATGCGCGATGCCATATTTGTCCTGCGGCAAGAAGCCCTCTTCGTTATAATGGCCCCCCAGTGCTGAATCGGCCGGCTTCGTCGGAATTGGTAGCGAGAAGGACCATGAAGTCTCACTTTTGCTGCTGCTGCTGCTGCTGCTGTCTTTGGGGGCGTGTAAGGGTCCTTCGAAGAGTACTTGTGTCGTCGTCGTGCTAAAAAGGTACCAGTGTCCACGATAGTAGCCGCGGCTGCTGCTGCCATTTGGAGTGATTTTGGTCCTCACGTGTCCTACCAGCGACAGCGTCACGGTGGCTTTCGGGGCAACGATGTGCGAATGACGCAGGACTGTGCCGATGACCGTGTCCCCGGGGGCAAAGGTCCAGCCAGGGGGTGATGCCAGGTCAATCTGGAGGTCCGCGTTTCTAGTTTCTCTGGTTTGTGGCATGGTGATTCTAGGATAATAAATCTACAGTGCTCCGTATAGACCATTTGAAGGTCTTTATATAATGAACGAGACTTGGCGCACATGACACAGCCCTGTAGTGTCCGGTTAGGCGGCATTATTCATTATTGGTTAGTCGTAGATACGAGATCTACGGAGGTACATTGCAAGTGGCTATGTGCGATGTATATGAGGCAGCAGATTTATTGCTATCTGTTGTTTAAGTAACTCGCTTAGAAGTCTTCTACGGTCTTCTCCGCATGGTCATCTCACCACTTCTCCACATACGGCCGGAGATCCAATTCGAACCCAAATGTTGTCCGTGGCTGTGTATGCAGGTGCCAGTAAGAATCGGCAATCTAATAACATTAGCATCCTTTTGTGGCACATGGATCAGGTTCCCACTTACAGCCACAGGGTCAATCTTGGCATCTTCATGCTCAAAGGTCCAGCTCTTCGTCCGGGGTATATCAATGACGCCATCGAGGATGACATGCGCCACATGTACGCCTTGTGGACCAAACTCCCGTGCCAGGGACTGCGCCAACGCCCTCAGTGCAAACTTGCCGGAGGCAAAGGCCGAAAATGTTGCGGAGCCTTTCAGACTGGCGGTTGCTCCAGTGAATATCAAAGTTGGCGGGTGCTTCAATGTCGCTTCCTTAGCCTTGAGGAGGAGTGGAAGAGTACTCTGGGCGAAGAGAAAGCCCCCTTTTCTATGTACCGGTCAGCATGGTAAGTGGTACATTGTAGACAGAGGAACCAACCCTTGACTCTCATATCCTGTGGTAAACTCCTTCTCTGTCAACTCCAAGAAGGGCTTTCGGACAAACCCTCCACCGGGATTGAATACAGCCGCAACCAACGGAGAATCCGCATACTGCTGCGAGATCTTGTCAAAGGCGGCTCGGATGCTCTGCGAATCTGACAAGTCCGCGCTAAACCCTACAGCCTGACCGCCATTGGAGTTGATCTCGTTAACCACCGGCTCAAAGTTGGCGGGGTTGCGAGCTAGCAGGACAACTGAGTATGCTTGAGCGAACTTGCGGGCAATAGAGGCGCCCTATAGCTGATTAGTGTTTTGATATCGGATGAATGCTGAAGAGGTGGAACATACCGTGCCCGGACCGACTCCAGCAATGATAGCGAATGCTTTGGATGTCATCTCGAATAATAGGGAGGAAAATGAGGTCTGAACTGCAGTGGAATAGTCCTTAAGAGCAATAAGTACTCCGCACGTGCTTAGAAATGCAATGATGCAATGATGTCACCCCTGTAATTGCTCATTTCGGCGTAAAAATGCCAATTCACAATCTAAAACAGACCCCTCTTCTAGCCACGTGAAGGTGAATAATGTTCACGGTGTGCTCGGAGTTACTGTATGGTGGTGTTGCTACTTTTGGGCCAAGGCATCGATACTATTGGCCTCAGGCATTAAGGCAGTTATCATTATCGCAATTTTTCTTTTATCGCATCGAGTTCTGACCATCCCTCTGTTAACATACATTCAAAACGATTATTCTACACGTTCGCAACATAATATACCATTCTAATATTAATTGCCATGTCCGAAACCCCTGGGGGGGACCCCCTTCTCAGCGAACTCTGCACAATTTGGTGATCATCATCCATACTCCTATCATCGTCGCATCGTTTACTGACCAGGAAAAACCTATAAACAGCCACATCAACGCCCCAAAATACCGCTGTCCCCGATGCTCAACCAGAACATGCTCTCTTCCCTGCTCCCGTCGCCACAAGACATGGTCCCAATGCTCCGGTGTCCGCGATCCAGCCGCATACCTCCGCCGCAACGAGCTCGCGACTCCCTCCGCATTCGATCGCGATTTCAACTTCATCACAGGGATTGAGCGGAGTATAGAACGCGCGGATAGAGATGCAGAAAATCGTGGAGTTGCTATCGACCATCAAGCAGAGGGTGGAGAGGTGCAGGGAGATGGGAGTCGGAAGAGGAAAAGGCCGAACGAGATATTAGTTAAGGGAGAAGCTGGGTTTTTGCGCGGGGCGCAAAGTAGCGAGGTCAATGTTATTAGGGCCCCCAAGGGGATGACGAGGAATAAATTGAATACCTCCAGGTGGCATCCGAAGTATGTTTCCCTGGGTTCTGATTAGGGTGCGTTGTGCTGACTGGTCGAAGACACAAATGCTTAATCTGGACGATGGAATGGATTGCGCCTGATGGGGAAAAGAAGATCCGGACATGTTTGGAGTCATGCCGTGTTGTGGAAGCTTACAATAGGTTCTATCCTCTCCCAAAAGAAGAGCGCAACAAGGACCAAGTTCAGGATCAAGGTCAGCCACCGGAGCAGGCGCAAGAGGAGCAAAAGCAGGACAACCAGCAATCGCAAACCGAATCAGAGCCACAGCCAACAACAGAGACGAATTTCCAACCCGCCGAACAGGAGCAGCCAGTCCAACCAAAGCAAGACGAAACTCAACCAGAACCAAACGAGACACATCCTAGACCCTCGGATCCCTCCCCATCAGAGTCGCAAGAAAATGAAATAATCCCTCATCGCGACGTTTACTTCTACCTTCACCGTCCACGAACTGCCACCAAGCAACCCGTCCTGATCCCCCTACCTCCAGCCGCAACCTTTATCTCTGCTTTGCGCAAACGGACAGTCCTCGAATTCCCCACCGTCTACGTGCTACCAGATTCACCAGACGCATTGCGTTCAACAAACAAGGAGAATGCATCGTTCCGTTTGGAAGAAGAGTACATACAAACTGAAAAACCGGGGGAGGACGGAGAAATTGGTGGTATGGACGGAGAGGGCACACCAGGGATCGACAACTCAGTGTCCTCGGTTGATCTGGGACAGGTGGATGAAAAGAAAGTCCTCGAGGTCCTGAAGCAGGACCTCTTCGAACCTGATCAGGCTGCAGAACCATAAGTTACCGCGCTCTCTAAATTTTATAGAAATGGCCTCAAGATGTGCGAATTTAGTTTATGGTAGCCCTAATCTCTTCCTAGAACCTGGTCAACAATGACTAGAATCCAATTGGTCCATGCATCCTACTTTGCTTCATCGTAGTATACCCATATCATGGTACCGCCGGGTACTACATCAGCCGTTCTTGCCTATTATGACCTATTCAATCTGCTCTTTCCAAAACAGGCATACAGCTGCACCTTCCTATTTCATCCATGTCACAACTTTCCCAACATCTACCTTTCTTTTCAAATCCGTATTTGTACCCATCTTTTCCAGTTCAACCTCATCTTTCCCCTCAATCCCTTGAGCGACGCAGCTCAGTTGCAGCCATGAAGACACTCGTCTTACTGCTCAAATTCCTCATCTATGTGGCCCCCATCCTATCGCAGACCATCCCCGAAGATGACTCTTCTCCAATTTTACCCGCCACTGCTGAGAACCACAAGCACCCGCACTGCGACTGCTACTTGGTCTCCGGTCAGAATCAAGGATACTTCCAGCATTACCAACTCTGGGATTTTCGAAATGCTCCTATTCCCCGCGATGTCACGCCGGTCAAACCAGGGTCACCCGCAAACATCGTCATCCCCGACAATAGCATTGGCGGCGATATGGGAGAAAATGAGACGGTGATGGCGAGTGACAGCGTATTCGGAGCCAACGCAGTGCCACTGTCGAGATCCCATTTTGCAGCAGATTGGAATACGCAGAACTGGAATCGTCGACCTACCTCTCAGAAGCCCGTACCGATCCTCAACTCAGTTAACAACATCTTCTTCGCCCAAGACCCGCTTCTCAAGAGCAACGGTAGCAATTCAACCACCGAGTTTGGAAACACCTACCTCGTGCTTCGCACCACGCGTCTTGACAAATACAACTCAGCCGCTGAGCTCGAAAACCGTCTTACGAATGTATTCCGCTGCTCATTCCGTGTCCGTCTCCGCATGCTACCTTACGGCCGTCTTGCCAATGACGAACTAGGATGGAATCGTACGAATCACAATATCACCAATTCCATGACCCCAGGTGGACCCCCAAAGGGTGCCTGTGCTGGTATCTTCACCATCGACCCTTCAGGTGGGGAGTCGGATATCGAGATTCTAACCAAGGACCCGTCCAATATTATCCATTACGCCAACCAACCAGACTACGACTGGGAAACGGATGAGACTATCCCCGGGGCTAGTACTATCGCTGCTGTTCAGACGCCGTGGACTGAGTGGGCCACGCATCGGCTGGATTGGTTTCCTAACCTCTCTGTCTGGTACGTTGATGATCACATACACAGTTCTAAGACGTACAAGGTCCCCGATATGCCGAGTACGCTGGTTATCAACCTTTGGAGTGATGGCGGGGACTGGACTGGTGATATGAAGGTTGGAGAGAGCGCGTTTATGGGCATCGAATGGATCCAGTTGGCCTATAACATATCCGGTCAGTCCAGAGATGTGCCAGGCGGCGATCCGGGGAAAGCAAACATTTCGGGCGAGGAGAGGAAGAAAAAGAAGCAAAAAGGGGATGATGATGATGATGATGATGATGAAGGAGATTATCACGGCCATGACGAGAAATGTCGCAGACCATGCTGGTTGGACGACGTTAGGTAGATTCAAGCGCCGGCTCTTATCTACTGTCTGATGCCACCCTTCCTGTTCATGGTTACTTTAGTTCAAGACGCTTAGTTTTACAGAAATTATATATATGAACTAAGAAACATCTGTGTTCTCTTTCGGGCAGGTTATATTCAAGTCTGCCACGATTGTGTCACATATTCGGACAAGATTACAACCAACACAAATGGCTTTATCTAAATACAAAAAATACAGACTCCAAGATACATGCGAAATTAAGATCAGAATGTAAATGTCGAAAGATTGCAATGCTCATGTCGAGGGCTCGACTGACTGGGTATCAAGTTTCAAATATATCAAGTATCAAATATCAAACAGCACATGCACCGTCCAGCAAAAACAACACGAACAACACATATAAACGCCTCTTCCTGTAAATGCTATCCCGATGCTCCCTCGATGTGTATAAATTTATATAAACCCACGCTCCATGCAAATCAGATCACCGTCCAATGCTCAACCCTCACGACTCCAACAGACAACAGAGGTAAAGTGAAGAATTTAGATCAACTCAACCAGAACTTCTTTTTCTTCTTGATCATTCGCGGTTTGTTCCCACTCTTTCTTCCTTTCTTTAATGAGCTCACATCAACACCTCACCCGTCTCACCCTCGGGCTTGAAGTCCCCATCAAGGCCGCCGGCCATCAGCTCAACCACGATCTTCCGCCGCAGAAGCGGAATGTCTCTCGCCCCGTAGGACAACGGCTCAATTCCGATAGAAACGGCCTTCGCAGTTGACAATAGGAAAACACCGCAGTCGCTCCCGTTGTCTTGCTGAGGGGAGACGGTAGGGACCACCGACCACTCCTCCTCGATATACCGAGCCGAGAGTTCTCCACGCAGCCAGTCCTTGACTATGGCCACATGATGAGGCGAAGCGGAACCCAGCGAGTCGAAGTATTCTATGGATTTCTCGGTCGGCTTGACCACCATCAAAGTCCAATGGGCACTATTGTGTACGGGAATGTACACCGTGTCGACTTCAAGCAGGGCTTCTCCTCCGATCTTCGCCCGCTTGGCCCATCGGCTAACGGATGAGTAGCCTTTGTCCCTTAGGTTCGAAAAGAAAAACGTGTTGAAAGCATGGAATTTCGGCTTGTCGTGGCGTCCTGCATTGCCATTGGCTCGCCGCAAATAATCAATGAGAATAGCAAGGTATGCGTTGATGACCTCGTCATTGAGCCACCTCGCAGGCGTGTAACAGGTGGCAAGGTCCCTCTTGGTCAAAGGGTCTCCAGACAAAGTTGTGGCAATTTGGCGATTTTCCGGGGACGCCTTGGCTTCTGCCAATCGAGCCTCCCATTTCGGCGGGAGAGGTCGAACGGCGGGCCCCTCAGGACGAATCCGGGCGGGGACCTGCTTGGCCTTTTCTTCCTCTTGAATTTTACGCCATTCAACAGCAAAGATGGATTCGCTACGGCCCTGGGGAACTTTGGCACCGGGAGCAAATAGACGAACAGCAGACACAGGTCTTCCAAATGGAAAATCGGATTGGAGCCACGAGCGCAAACCAGGATCAGGAGCTTCAGGTTCTCTTTCGACGTGCTTCGGAGGTTCGTTTTCCTTTTCCTCTTCAACCAATGTTTTCATAAGCCCAGGATGCAGGTGATGGCCCACGAGAGCCGGATCGTTATCAGGAGGGGCAGACTGAAGTACAAATCGCACTTTCTTTGGCGCAGCTCGTTTCTGGCGGACAGCTTCAGTCGCGGCGAGTTCCAACCTCCTAGGAATTGGCATTAGTGAAGGTTCCTTTGGGGCTTTGACAGATCCGATGTGAGCTAACCTTTTACGATTCGGCACTGGGGCGACAGGTCCTTTCGGTTTTGTGGGTAGATCATCAAGAGTCCATTTACCAGTTTGGACAGCATGTCCCAATGAGCGGTCTAGTCGGGTGCGTGCAATGTTCCGTTTTCCAGAGCGCATATTCATTCGCCGTTTGATATTCGGGCTCAATGCCTGGAACGTGTGCCTCTTATTGATCCCGGATTTAGCACTTTGCCGCCTGCCGTCTGTCACCGCAAAAATGCCACGTTTGCGAGAAGACTCATCGCTACTGATTGGTTTCTTGAAGTCGGGAGTAACTGGTTTTGGAGCTTCACCTTCCAGCAAGGCATCGGTTGTAGCCTGGAATTGGGGGGTATCAAGAGATAATTCCGGAAAAGGATAGTCCTGCACAGTCGGAAAGCCTCTGTCTATGCGCCACTGGTTGCTTTTCAGACGTCGACGCTGCTCTTCTGGAAGCATACGCAAATTTGCTCTGGTCGGGGAGCTCGAAGTAGTGGTGTGGCTAGTCCGACGAGAGGGGGGACGAGGCTCTTCAAAAAGAGCGATGGCACGTCGTTTGAAGGTGTCAGCAAGAGCAATGGCAGTGGCGACAACGCTCTGCGTAGCTCCCCAGAGTTGGTTACTCCAGGAAAATGAAGGATGGGAGGTGTCGTCCTTTGGTTGTTCATCTTGGCCGGCCTCCAAGCTTTGCGCTTGAATACTCACGGCATCCTGTGAAGAGGTTGAAAAGGCCTGGGGCTCCGGCGCAGGGGTCGAATTGACTGGTTCTTGTGTTTTGGAAGCCGATTCCGGTGAAGTAACTAGAGTACTGTGCATCAGCGAACCATGGTCTCCTGAGAGATTCGGGTCTTGAGTAAAAAGATGGAGTCCATCTCTGGTAGGATCGGGGAAGTCAAGGAGGTCTTCTGGCCAGCTACCCGGCATACGATGATGACAAGGTTTGGGGGGTTTGTTGATGGGATCCTGGTGGGGTAGGTTTTCCGGGGCAATACCCTGATTCCGGAGAGCATCCTGGAGCTCTAACATGTCATTCCAAGCTTCATTATGCTTGGAATCGTTTGTTGTTCCCATCGGTGGAGTCTTGTTGGTCGAAAGGTTGGGTTTGAAAGGTGAGATCAGATTAGAAGAATTAATGTGTGCAAGGCTTGGCTGTTTATATAGGTTGGAGTGACTCTTTTCTTGAGCAGAGGTCGTTTGTTGAGAATCATGAGCGGGTGAAGTAGTAGCGGGATCTGAGCTACGTTGGCTTAGTTTGCGGTACTTAGGGCTAACGTAAGTCGCGGGGCGATCGATATCGATGTCGTTCAATTTCCCTTTAATGAGGGGTGTGCGCTGCAAGGAAAATTCGCGGGTTGGCTCGCGAGGATCTCCGCTAGCAGTTTGTTCAGAAGCCGCAGCAGTATTCTGTTCGGAAGTAGGCTTCGCAGCAGTCTCGTCACTAGCAGGACCGGTCGCCGAGTTCGTAAGTGCGGGTATAGGAGGAGCAGGTTTGAACAATTGCCGATTGACAGGGGGGTCAAGAGTTGGAAGATCGTGAACATGATTGAGTTCCAGTGAAGGATATCCATTCAGGGTAAAGTGATTATTATTCGACTGAATGCCAGGCTGACGGTTAGACGTGGGCAAAATTCGGAAGTTGCGATTCATGCCAACCAAGGCGGGCTTGTAAGGAGTACCGAGCTTCGCCTGCATGGCCAACGGGAGACGCTTCAAGTGACCTTGTTTAACAGAGGCGCGATTTTTTGGGGAGAAACGATGGGGTTGGAAGATAGTTCTGCGGTTCGGTAACCCCGATGAGGGTTTGTTGTTATTGTCGTTGCCGTCAGGCTTGACGTAACCAGCGGTGGAGCTCAGAACAGGGCGGTCATTCGTAAAAGAGGGCCGGGGGGAGTTGTTAAAGGTCTTATTTGTGGCTTGCTCGACACGCCGTGAGCCATGTTGAGAAGGTTGCTGCTCGAAGACGAACTGGCGCTGGTGGTTTGCGGCGGGCATTGGACTGATGTCCATGGGATCGCCGGGTGAATAAACGAGAGCAGGATTCAGACGCGGGGCATCCGGGGAAAGCAAAGCGACATCGTTCATAACTTCGTCCCCCATTTCCCGCTGCTGGGTCGCAACGACGCCAGTCATGGTGCCAGTATTGATAGAATATTGTTCGGACAAAGAGCTTGCTGCAATTGTGAAGAGGCGGTCGGTCGGTGAAGGATGAAAATTGTCGAAGTCGTTGCAAATGTGGCAAAAAGGCGAGTAAGAAGGTGAATAACAACAGGAGGGCGAAGTTGACGGGAATGAGGGGGGACCGTAGGCAAGCTTGGTGAATTAGTTTGAGGCGAAATCAAAACAGCCGAATCGGGAAAGCACAGTCACGCGTAATTGGCATGGTCTGTGAGTTGTACGGTTCGTGGCCGGGAGTCGCAGTATATGCGCTGGTAATATTCGAGAGATGGTGGTTCAATTGGGCGTGGATGGTGGCAGGCCTCCCGAGGGGCAAAGATGATGAAGCTGGGGAATTAATATGCGACGGGGAAAATTGAAGCCAAAGAAAGCTGGAGATACCCGCGCGGGATCTGCCGCGTTTATTGCCGCGCGGTTGTTGCTGTCAGCATATTGTACCTTACAGAGCACATATTTATTATTGCAGCTATTATTACTATTTGTTTCTTTTTGTTGTTGACTGATTTTTCAAGCTATAAACAAGGATGTATGCCTCTCCAAGAACCAATCTTCCGTAACTCAACTCTGAAATCGTTAGATACATGACTTTCTTTCCCCGCCAATATCTAGCAAAATATGTGCCAATAATAATTCACCAGCCCAGCCAGCTGGACAAAGAATCGAAGTAAAAAATTTGCTGATTTTCCAATGGAGCCTCTCTGTCGAGTTATACTGCATTATTTCGCTTTGATCATACCCAATCCCACCAGTTCGAACACAAGGGGTGCTCCCTCGACAGCAAGCGCCGCAATACCTAAAATAGCTATTAGAAATTTCTCATGGTCCCAGTATCGGTCAAGATACTCACCAGAATACACTATCAATTTGGTAATCACCTCCACATCGTACCGCACACGCGGTCGCTTAATCTGCCGAAACATTTCGGCCTCATCCGGTGGCTCTTCGTAGGGAGGAAAGGGCACGGGCGGGGACGAGCGGTCTGTCCGGTCCCCATCGGTCCCGGGATCATGAGGGCTATTGTAGCGAGGAGTGCCCGTTCCCATCATATTTTCATAGTCATTCAGTTTGGTCGCTCTGCGCGCTAGCGAAGGTTGCCGTCCGTCCACTGCTGCGGAGACTCCGTGCTTGCTGTCCGCTTCTTCCAACACAGGTGATGGTCGGTTACCACCTGAACGACTTTCCCGTCGGCGCTTCTCGCGATATGCTAGGGTTTCGTATGCATCAGCCTCGGATTGCGGACCGATAGAGACAGCCCGTCGTCGAGCTTGGCTAATATTTGTAAGAATGGAAGGGATTTCCGAGAATTTTGGAAGTACTTCGTCATCGGTGAGCTGTGCGGGGACCGTGGAATATTGTCTTGGGCACGTTAGTATACAAGTATACAAGATTGAATGGTTATAATGAGTAAGACTTACGAGGCGTTGGTGAAGAACCTTCGAGGAAGAATGAGACCCAGTTTCTCCAGTCCTCGGAAGACGGGAGGCAGGATGCGCAGTAAAAAGGGCTTCATGATTTCTTTCCATGCGAATATGAGTACCACGCCGAGAATCATGCGCAAGACAGTCTTGACTGTGCCCGAGTCTTCATACTCATACGAAGGATCGGCCCATAAAATTCCGGACTGCGCAGAATGCCAGAAAGCCACTTCAATGCCCAGCATGACCCCCGCAAAAGCCACGCTATCATCGAAGCATGGACAGTCATCTGCAGGTTCGGGGTGGATGCGAACCAGAGCCAGAATCACAAGTACCAGCAGCAAGACCTGCAAGCCAGTTGCCGAGGCTAACGATTCTTCAAAAAACGGCTCGTATGCGAATTGAATAAATCCAATCAAGGCACCCAGCAGGCACCCAATAATCACATCAAAGAAACCATGCATACCGCAGTACAAGCGGCCAAGCACTACGGAGGTCACGTAAACCCACGTCAGGGCTTGGAGCGCCAAGTTCAGACGCGGGCCCAGAGTCGACTCAGGTGAATTAAGCAATCCGAGACAGTATACCGCAACCGATACCGCATTTGTGGAGTGAGTCGAAGGGAAGCCGTATTCCAAAGCGGCGGAGCCGGACATGGTGATACGCTGAAGCGGGGGCGATAACGGCCGCGGAAGACATAGTAGGTCCTTCACGAAACCACTGAAAAAAACGCCCGAAGCCAACATGTGTACCAGCCTATTGCAGGCAAATGTTAGTCGCTGACCGTCGCATGACCGTTCTTTTATCCGGGTTTTTCCAAAGCAACACCTACCCTCGACCCATGGTTATTTGACCGCTCCAAATCAATATCGGCAAGAATATCATGAAAAAGGTATGGGTGCCGAGATTTGCGGTGAAGGCGAAATAGGAATCTAGCGACGGCGTCCGGATTCTTTCCTGGAACCAGGCCAGGTAGGGCGTTTCATAGCGCACGAGAGGAAGAAGTTTCTGTCGGGGCCAATAACGCCAGGACGGCAGCTGGTAGCGGTCTGTTGTCGTTGTCGTCGCGTCAGCATATAATCCACATCTGTAGCAATGTTGCAACAAACATAGAAAGGAGTCATTGCGTACAATGATCGAGGCTTCTCAGCCCGGCATCTGGCTGGCCGTTTGTCCCCTGAGCCATACTGGTAAAATGCCGAGGCCGTGGATATTAGAACGATGCGAAAATTGCGGTCTCCCCCATAGAGTTGCTGCGTAGTTAAGGCGAAGAACGGGCTCGTTTATGGCGCACGAGGGGCCATCGAGGCAATCAACAAAAAAATCGTACGGAAGCAGCTGAGTAAAAGCGCGCCGTCGAACATATGGAGGGACCGAGGAATGAATGTCATATTGGGCTTTTCTTTGCGGCCCCTATAGTGTGCTTAGTCAGCTATACGAATACGACAGGTTTGCACAACGACGATCGACGATAGAGTAATAGTACTCCGTAGAAAGGATATGAGTACGGAGTATGAGTACTTGTAAGTTATCCTAATTCATCCTTATGACAGCATTTCAGTATGTTTGACCCAGATGAGTCATGCGCAGAACGCCCATGTCAGCCATAGTATGGTTCTTCGGCACTTGGTCTGCATTGAAACAACGATTTGTCTCACAACAAGTTTATCGTAGTCTATTTCATTCCGTTTGGTCTACTATTCTATCTCTAATCTACAGTGTATGAATCTCCGCTTCCTCATTGGTCAGTTGAAACCCGATGTAAGAACCTCTACAAAGCAATTGTCCAGGCCCTACGAAGTAGTTACAAGTACTTCCTGTATCAAACAACACTGCATGCATTGATTAATCTCACAAATCCACCCGGTAACCGGCCAGCTGAATTGTGGAGCAGCAAGACAAATGGCTCATCCGGACAGTCAGGGAAGGCCCGCCGTCGAGGATAGATGAAGCACCATCCACGATGGTTGGCTGAGATCCAGATTGGATTATGGAGCAAAACACCAGACACTAACCGAATCGCGTCTTCAGATCAGGGTTGAGGATCCTCAGGACGTCTGTTTCGTGGTAAATAAGAAACCAAATCGTGTTGTTGGAAGCTGGAAGTGGCAGGACTAAAAATATCCGGAAGCGTCATCAGCGGTTGCCATGGCAGCCCGTAAACATACTGGATGGCAACTATCAAAGGCACTTCTCTCTTTCTCTTTGGAATTTCTTGATTCTTTCTCTTTCCCTTACACTGTGCTTTACTCAGCCTCTACTTTAATTACATTCTTCATCTGGAACCGACCGGTGATAATAATCGATAGCCGAATCTCTCTTTCCGTCCCTCGAACCACGGTTGACCTGTCGCATACCCTCCAATAACGACCTGCACGTTATTCCCCGATCTACTGTTCCCTATCTGGGAAACATCCAGTCGACAGTTTCTACTTCTTCATATTTTGAATAGAAAAAAAAAATCTACCAGAAACAATTCAGACCGACAGTCCACCTGCGAATTGGGCCAGAAACCAGCCAACCAACCAAGCGACGAGTTCTCCTGCCAGCATGTCAGGCCAGATGTACGACGACCAATTCTACGCGACCTCACAACGTCAGTCCCTCACAGCCACCCCTCCTCCTGCATCAGTCCCGCGCCACAGTCGAGTCCGCAGCCAGAGCGTGAGAGTTAGCAACGGAACCGTCAGCACAGATACCAGCATTGCGTCGAGTGGAAGAATGTCCGAGGCAACCAATCTGACGCAGCCACCTGCTTATTCGAAGAAGTTCGTCGTTGTGGGAGATGGAGGTTGCGGCAAGACTTGTCTGTTAATCAGTTATTCGCAAGGATACTTTCCAGAGGTATGGCATATATGAATCAAGGCGATAGGTGCGGGGCTAACGTGTCGCAGAAATACGTCCCTACCGTCTTCGAAAACTACATCACTCAGACTGCTCATCGGCCATCGGGAAAGACAGTCGAATTGGCTCTATGGGATACAGCTGGACAAGAAGAATATGATCGGTTGCGTCCATTGTCATATCCCGAAACTGATCTGTTGTTTGTCTGCTTTGCCATTGACTGTCCGGCATCGCTAGAGAATGTCATTGACAAGGTGAGTATCGTCCCATACTACTCAACTAGTAGTATGACGCTAACTATGTGTAGTGGTATCCTGAGGTCCTTCATTTCTGCCCGACAACACCCATTATCCTGGTCGGTTTGAAGTCGGACCTCCGCAGCAAGCGAACATGCATTGAGCTTCTCAAAACCCAAGGCTTGACCCCCGTGACTCCAGAACAGGGCGAGACAGTGGCTCGACGAATGAATGCCTCCTACATCGAATGCAGCAGTAAGGAGATGCGTGGAGTGGACGAGGTCTTTGCTCTTGCGGTGCATACGGCCATCTCGCAAGAAGAGCAGTGGGTATCGAGCAGCCGTCCTAGTGCGACTACCACTGGAAAATCTGGCGGCGGCGGTAGCGCCAATGCCGGTGGTAGTGGTGGGGGAGGAGGAATGGGAGGCAAGAAAATCAAGAAGCGCTCTTGCAAGATTCTGTGATGCGTTCTCGTCTCTTTTCTTGTTTCCGCCTGTTTGTTTGTTTTTTTTTTTTTTTTTTTTTTTTTTTTTTTTTTTTTTTTTTTTTTTTTTTTTTTTTTATCCTTTGATTCCCCGATTGGCCGGATCTAAGCCTGGTTGCTTTGATGGCCCGCTTGCCAACTAGATTTGACACGCGAGAGGTTGATGCAAGCTCATTCCTGTCTGACATGCCGGTTGAGGTGGTTTTCTGATTTATGTCTTTTTTCTTTTTCCCATTTCCTTTTTCCCAGCTTTCCCTCTTTATTACATATTTACCCTGTTATGACCCTTCCTTGTCTCATATGTTATTGATGTCAATCATGAAATGGTCTGCAGGCCACCCTCTTGCATGGGAACAGGTGTTTATTGGCTTATTGGCGCAAAGAAAACCCATGTCATGATAAATGGATGAAATGAATATTGGTATCATAGAATAAATGTCAAATCATACATATATCATAGCCTTTCGCACTGTTCATTACTTCGTAACCGTATCCTCCTCTTCATAACTCATATCTTGGCTGTGACTCGGGCTATGACCGGGAGTGTGACTCTGCCCGGCCTCTTCTTGACCCTGGTCCGGTGCGTTCGCTTCTGCTTCTTGGACACCCGGACGGCCCATGAAGTTCTCAAATTGAGACCAAAGAGCCTCAACGGAACCGAACTCGTTCCCAACCTTCGTTTATCAGCTTCGCTATCTCGTCAGATGTGGGTGTGGGACTGCATACGGCAATCACACTCTCCAAGTTCCGGTTCAGCCGGTTGATGTTTTGGAGGACTTGCTCCATGCCCTATTTTTGTTAGTATACAGATGTAAACAGTGTATATGAATGAGGCCTTACTACAGCGATTTCCCGAACGAGTCCTTCGCGTTGTTGTTCGAAGACGGTGGGGGATGATGCTCGTCTTTCGAAGGCCATTTTCTCTTATTTTCGAGAGAAAAGAAGGTAATATATCAAAGAAGAGAATTTGTAGTAAGATTTGATACAAATTCAATAGATTAAGGGCTTAGTGTATCCTGTCACTGGTTATGGGCGTTATTGGCGATAAAAGACGAGTGTGTCACGTGCTTGTGGTGTATTTGTGCAATAATACCGAAATATGTGCCATATTTCGGTACTATATTTTACAGCCTACATCATTTCCTCTTCGGGCTTCTTCAACGCCTGTTCATGCAGAACAGGTCGCTAAGATGACTACAAAAAGGTACACGAAAGCCTCTAACTTAGGCGATAATTCCGCAAAACGATGACGCAGACTAGAAGATGAAGCTTCCCAACCGAGTTCTTTGCCAGTCAGACCATATACAGAAGCGTTGATGCTCCTACAATCACTTAGAAAGTGGACGCCTAGGAATCTTGAGGTTACCAGACTGAGTTTAATTGATAATGCTTCGCATGGATTTTGCAGGTGACTATATTCCCAAATATGCTTACACGAGTTTGCCTCTATACTCAGCTGTATCGTCATTTGTTCGTCGAAGATCGTGATCAAGGTACTCGGTCTTTCCCTTGGTGAGAGCCAGGATGCTAATTTAATTACTATAGCAGCTTTCGAAAGATCTGCTGTGTTTCTATACCATCCAAGCAGAGAAAATCTCGTCATGGGCCCCAATATCCCGGATGGTACTCCTTTCAGCCGCCTATTCGCCCACTTTAACCGAGTCCTTCTACGACAAAATACGTCAAAATTCCTTGTTAGTTGTTCAAGCCTCCTTATGAGACTTGTGGCAATCATATCTGGTTTTGAAGCTGCTGGAAATTTGTAAGTTATACACTTATGAGTTAGCAAGTAGCTGCTGGCATTGAACAAGTTCATTTTCCCAGATGCAAGGATACGCTTCAATATTCCAGATCTATTAGCACGTGGGATACTTCGGACTCACGGTGCTTATGTGAAGTTCTGTGAAGGTCGAGCTATAAGTATCCCGCTTATAATCTTCTCAGTCAGTTCCTTGTTCCTTCCCTTTGACTTACACTCCGCTATCTTCCTATATTGAGCTGAACAGGATTGCTCGCTGGATATCGCCAAGGGGTTTCCCAAGCAACTTATAAAAATCGGGATTAGTGGAAGAAGATGGAGTAAACTCTCGTCGGGGCGGCCAGACAAAAGCAGTTTCCAGAGTGAATGACTAGCATGCGCAGAAAATCGCTACACGTGTCAGTATCGCAATTAGTTTTTGAGATAGCCACGACCCTTACGGATGGCCTATCTAGATCTTCTGGCGACACGTTTTTTCGACAAGGAGCACTTACCTGGAAGCTGGGAACTAGGTCTAAATCTAATCAGTTCTCAACTAATCAAGAAGCAGTCTTTAATCGATTTTCCAGGGCAATCAGCGTTGACGTGCTGAGGCACTTTGAAAGCCCCAGAATCCCAATCTTATGCGGAAACCCGTTCCGGATCTTATTTGAAAGATTTGTCAGAGCCACCAGTACTTGGAGCCTTAATTTTCATGGCGCAGTCAAGTACTAGGAGGGAGAGCTTCAAATAGTGATGATTCCAATTCCTTAAATGAGGACCAGCAGGAGCCTGTTTCCAGGAATTGTCTTGGGGCTCATCTCTGGCATTCTCCTGAACAGCATGCTGCCCCAGGTCAACAACAATTACCAGGTTGCTTGGCGCGCTGCAGACATCATAATATCTTAGATATAAGTAAGCTGGCCATAATAGGGAGCCCGTAAATATCCATCCCATTGTCTATCTTGTCAATTACAAGGTTTCTGCGAACACCGATGGTGGGATTGTCATACAAGATCAAGCAACTGGGATCAACCTAGCTCGGGAAAACCTCAGTGATCTCATGCGAGGTGTATCCCAATAGCTCACTTTAAACGACCATCAATAATTTGCATGTTTTCTCTCAGACAAAGAGGCACCACGCCGCGAAAAACACTGGTCGGCGGGAATCCAGTGCTATCCGTAAAGGCCAAGAGGGCTAGGGAAGTCCTGGGCCAATCTATGACCAATTGCATGGGTGTTATGACAGGTGGTTGGAAATAACACGAGGCCTGGTGCCTCATTATCCACGATACCTTCACGAGCCATCCACATGCCACAGTACTGTTCCGCTCTTTGTCCTTCAATTTGAAGCAGAAGGAGGGCCGGGTTGAAGGCTCAGATGCCATTCTCATCTCTCTTTGCAGAAGACCAGAAAACTACAAGGCCCATATTAGGTATTTGGGTTACTGGAATACCATACAGGGGTGATAACAAAGTATGCGGATATCCCATTGGCAGCTTATTCGCATCAAGCAGTCTTTGCTTACAGACAGAAAGTTGTTCATTTACGGTACAAAGTTGTGTCGCTTTCGTCATTTCGAAGAGTCGTGGTTCTATCTGTTCATCTTCGACAGCGTGATATATTGTACAATATTTTGGTTACTCTGTAATTCAATCAATGTCGACTGGCAACGACGCCGTTGGCGAACCAGGAGAGATCAACCATTCGGAACTGTGAAGTATGGCCGCATTGACTCAATCAGAATGGATAGAGAAACGACACCCTCCTGCATCAGAAATGACTAGACAGCCAGGAAAAGCAAATGGGTCTAGAAGTCCCGGGTGTCTGATCGTTCACAATAGGGTGAAAGGTGCCGTCAGCATTCTTCACCTCTCAGTACCTTGAGAATGTGGACGAAGCGTGATTGTACTCAACCAAGTGCCTGGTAGCTTCGAGCTCTGTTCCCTTCAGCTTGAAGCACGGTAGGGTCAAGTTGAAGGGCTAAAATCATTTTCCCTCTCCCACAATACCTCCAAGTCAAGGGAAGTCCAAGTGGGGACCATGGAACTGGCAGTGGCCCTTTGTTTTCCTTGCAATATACCGGGGACGATCGTCGTCTCGCCCACAAAATTTGATAGTCAGAAATCGTCTGCTCGTGATCTGGGAAGCAAATTTTTATTGGACTAGGACCCATATCTTCAACAAGTCGATTCATCTGCCCCGTCTTCTTTTGATCTTCACACAGTGAGTTTGTTGTTGAATAACCCAAAATATATACTCCATTCGAAAATGAACGGCGTTGACTGCCAAAGATATTAGGGTTGCATGCTGAAGATAAGCCATTGCATTACAGTCTAGAACTCGAGATTTTATCCACAATTACTCACCTTGCTCTTCACTAGGACAAACTACCACTTTGTTGGAGAAAATGATTTCCCTTTGCCACCGGAACCATAAGGTATTCTCACAGCATCGTAATCCCTATTTGCGCATTCCCGATTCCTTAGTTACTTGGCTTGCTCGGTCAATCTCGCGGGCCCCCTACAACCCCTCATAACAGAGATCAGCATGTTCCAAGAGTAAACAGTATGGCCCAGTGTACGATGTCGGTGATGGCGTCGACTACGCTAGTCACTACCACGGCCGCCATAGACCTCCTTATCGGCTCCAGTCTCTGCATGCCCCCCTCCGCCTATATACGGACCTTCCCCACGGGGCACTACCAAGCTTTCCGTCGATTTGAACGTACCACAGAATTCACAACCTATTGGCTTACAACAAGCGCCAATAAGAAACAATCTTTCCTGATTCGGAACCAGGAGGAGTGATGATCGTTGGCTCAACGCTCGTCTTAAGATATGTTAATGCAAAGCACTGTTGTAGATTTCCTAACTATATGTATAGAAGCCACGAAGTTATACGCAATGAATGCATTCTAATCTATTCAAATGATTCAAACACCGTCTATATATCTGCCCGTGCACTACATAGTCAAGACAATTCATCCACTACTCCGTACCCTGGACCCTCTCCCAGAGACCATCACTCCCAACATCAATTCTCACAACACCTTCCTGACCAAACCGCGGTAGTCGCCCTCACGGATCACTCGGCTACCAGGACAAAATGTGCTAGGTACAGTACGTGGCCTCGGTGGTGGAGAGGAACGTTTCCAAGGAGCGACGGGGAGTTGATCGCGATGGTCCGTGGAATATCCCGTGGGCAGTCTTTCATGCGCCAATGGTTGCTTTTTTCCTCCGTAGCACTAGGAGAGGGCTATTGATGTACATCAAGTACATGCCCCTATCATCTATGCAACGGCTGGCATAGCGTGTGTATTGTATGTGTATTGTCATATGCAGTCCCTCCATGTAAAATATTACACACAAAACCAAAGATCAAATCAATCTGTCCTCTGCGAAAACCCCATCCATCCCGTACCACGGAACCAATCCAACGACTTACGACTAGTTTCTATTAAAAACCTGTTTTCCAATATCCAGTGACCGCCAATTTCAACCAGCCAAACAATTCAAGTTTTTTCTCGAAGCGAAGAAAGAAATCCGGCGGACTCCCGAGGCCGAGGAGGGACTAAAGTCGAGCCCTGGATTTGGATCTGCGGGATCCACCGGTTCATTGTAGGCTGGGATTGATTTGGTATTGGTATGTGCTGAGTTTGGGTCAGGGACTAGTGAGGGGACTATCGTGCACTAAGGGTTCTCTATGGAGTGCAGAGTACTACTGTGTAATGAGTTTTAGGTCTAGAAGAGTCGTCTGAGTATTCAGCTGAACGGGATGTAGAAAGAAACCAGAGAAATGTTTGTACTCCATGGCCGTGTATATACATGTATTCCAACAAAAGGGTATCAAAGGAATGAATCATCCAACATAAACCGCCCACCCAACACCAAAAGAAAAGTAAAGGAAAAAAAACCCAAAAGAAAAACGAAAGCAACGTAATCATCTCACGTGTCCAAAACCCATTCTCGAATCCGTCAAAGTTTAACCCGAGCGTGACCCATGGAATATTTTTGCCTTTTCCCATCACCGTAGCCGAAAGACAAAAAAGAACCGAAAAGGAGCAGCAGCAGCTGTGGGAAAGGGGAATGTTTGGGGAACTTTCGGCGTTCCCAAGAATAGCAAAGGCGTTGTATGTGTGTGTGTGTGTGTATGTGTATGCGTGTCTCTATACAGCAACATATTGACTCGTCAGATCGTAAGGCGCGCATATATACAAATATATATATGTATGCACAATGCAAGCAGGCAGGTAACAGGCAAGGTAAACAGTCACGACGCACGCCGCGAGCCGAGAATAGTATTGCTGAGGCGTTTCCACCGTGACGAGGAGGTGTTTGGGGGCGAAGATGTTGCTGATGTTGGCCCCGATGCTGACGACCCCGACGACGAACTTGACGGTGCAGATGTTGATGAGGAGAAGATAGTTGACGACGATGCGTAGGTTGGCATTTTGTCGACTAGACTGGCTTTGCTGGAGGAGAATGTGGAGGAGCGTGACCGGAAACCTATCGAGGCCTCGTGGTGTGCTAGGACATCTTCGAGGCGGACGTCGAAGGAGGACATGTGCTTAGGAGAGGCGCCGGGGTTGTCATCTTCAGGGAAGATTTCAACAAACTTGGAGGGCATTTTGTTGTTTTATCGAGAGTTCATTCAGTGTGTATTGACTGTTGTATGTTGTGTTGAGAGTTAAGAGTAGAGAGAGGGAGAATAAAAGGAAGTGTAGTCAGGCTGAGTCGAAGGCTGAGGAGGATGAGGATGAGAATGAGGGCGAGAATAAGCAACGGCCCCAAGACCGACAGGGACAGGGTATATGTACGTTGAGATACCCTGAATGTACGTACTCCCCAGAGCTAGACAGAATAAGAATAGAACGGCGTTTGAGGGCTGCCCCATGGTTCCAGCGCCTATCCCTATTATTGTTTGAATTTCCCCGGTCGAACCATATTTTTCTTTTCCCTTTTTCCTCTCAAAGGCATGATCGACTGCCCCTCGTCCTCTTATCACTAGTACATAGTACACAGCACTGCAAGTATTGTAGAGTACTTGTACAGCGCAAGGGTTCCCACACATATCTAGCGAAACATGAAAATCTTTTTCTGCACATGCACACTACTAACAAGAAATATGACGTCGGAGGGGTTGGCGGTCTATGCGCAACTATGTATAGGTACATCCCAAGACACAGCAGATCTATGGGGAACATATGGAGGGCTTATAGCGAAGGATGTCACTCTACACACATGGGCCATGACGTTAGTTTGCAGGGCTGGAGACCTGTGATTGACTGGATTTTTGTGTGAAGGAATGGTGGAGGGTTTACGTGGAGATAAAATACACTTAATAGATAGACGGATAGATAGACACTGATAGCAGCCCTTCGAATTGTACTGTCAACAGTGGCAAGCTTACGACTCCGCTATGGAGTAATACTTATACATATGTAGTAGGAATGGGAAGTCATCAGATGTGATCACTTTTGCCTTGAACGCCATTGCCAGGAATAGAACATGACACACATAATAGTAAAAATCAGAAAGAAAAAAAAAATCCCCCATGATGAGTGTATATGCACTACTTCAGCCCCAACTCCGTCATTTCAACACTGTCCGCCGACCCCATCCACAGGATATTGTTACACCTGCAGTCCATTAGTATACGTACACCCTAATCACCCATCTCCAGTAAAGGAAGCATACCGAATCAACACCAACCCCAACGATCCCGTGTTCTTCCCATCGATAAACTCCTCCGTATCCCGCAGCAGCACGTTCATGTAAGAGTCGATGCTCTCCAGTGTGCCCTTGTATTCCGTCTGGCCCCATTTCAGGCGCACGATCATTTCTGTTCCGACTCTGTCATCCTCGTTAGTCTCTGCTCTGGTTCTTCGGTTGTGGTCGTGTTCGCGTCCGTGACGGAGAGAGGAGAGAGTCGGCGTACCTAGCCTGCAAATACGGCCGCGGGTTGACGGGTTGAAACTGTGTATCATTAGTTTCTGTCTTCCATGTTGCATAAATATAATAAATCAAAGAAAAGGTGGACTAACACTCATCCTGACGGTGAAGATCTGTTATCCTGTCTCGTCCGACCACCGCGTGTGCAATTCGTATCGTATAGACAATTCAACCACAGTATCGCTATACAAAGCCCTCCACGGTCGGAATCGAAAATCGCTTGCCGGTCGCGTGCTCGTTGGGAGGAATGGTGAGGGTGGTTGGTATCTGTTGCTGGCTGTTGGCGCAGTCAAGAGCTGCGAAAGATGTTGCTTGAGGCAGTTGGCCAATCACAGAGAAGAATTTTACACCGCCTTGGAGCTTTGTAGATGGGCATACAGAGGACTCCGTGTACAAAGTACCGAGCTTTCTTCTCTATTTATTAGGTTCGTTTTTTTTTTTTTTTTTTTTTTTTTTTTTTGTTTCTTTTGGTTTGTTTATTTTATACTGTTGCTCTCTTGTGTGGGGCTAACACCGTTGATAATCGCGTCAATTCCTCGTGAGTAGTCATACAAGACAACACTCTCAAACCGACTAGAAGTACACAGCCAGACTCCCAACTCCATAAATGTTCCCGTTTTATTTCTCATGACAATTACGCCTTCACAATGTCCCAATTAATCTCCTTAACAGAAACCTCATCCCCCGCCTTCTCATCATAATCATACCACTCATCCGACAGATCAATACCGGTAAACGGCGTCGACGACTCGGTTCCTTTGGCTTCCCATTCTCCCTGTATGCATGTGAGCTTCCACATTTCTTAGGTGCCCTGCTGTCCTTGCTTTGCTGGTACGGTATGGTAGAGAGGGAGACGCAGAAACGTACATCCGGCTTGAATTCGATAAATTCCAACCCGCGACAATCGAGATCGATGATCTTCTGACCGTTGCGCTTTTCGTCGGCTTCGTAGGCGTTCGGGCCGGCTGTCACAGTGGCAGAGTGTGTTTTCTGGTTTGTCAGTTACCCCGGCAAAACGCTCAGCAGGCGCAAGAGGGAGTACCTGACACAGCTTGCACTTCCACACAAAGTTGGCTTCTCCGCGACTTCCGGGGATTTCATGCTGTTCCTGTACCAACTTGTTATTATCTTTTACTCCAGGGATTAATGTTGATGTGGTATGTAGAGGATACGTACAAACCGCGTAAAACTGATCCAGTTCGGATGCACCTCTCGACACGACGTACATTGTACCTTGAACGTGTAAAAATAAGGATCATCCTCTGTGTCCTGAGGGCGGAGTTGGTTGACTCTATGGCACGTTAGCTCTTTGCACCACAAAAGAAGAAGAAAAAAAAAAATGGACGAATTGATGCGGGGAGAAGATCCCACATGAACAGCACGATTTACTCCCACGGTGGAGTACGAGGACCTTGAGAATAAATAGAAATAAAGAAGGAATCCAATTACTTACCCTGAGAGCTCTGCAGAAAGCACAAGTGACAGCATTGTGTTGGCTGTGTATTGTCGGTCTGATGTACAAGTCCAAGTTTGATGCGGGGTGTGTAGTCGCTCTCGTCCACGTGAAGATACGGAGTAATTCCTGAGGCACGAGCTAGCTACATACAATAAAACAAATACAACTGCAAAATCTTTGTACCAATAATATGCTATTCATGTACGAGGTATATACAACGCCAATCATGCCAAAGGCTATACGCCTGAAAAAAACAAAAATACATCACATCAGACAAAATGGAGCTCAGCCCCTAGATTACAAAATAAGCAAGGAAATCCCATAAACATCCATAGCCTCTATAGCCGGCTCTGCTGCTGATCCTGACCCAATGGCTTAGATGAGAATGCACCAAAGTAAGCGTTCAGTGCATCGACAGTGCCACTGCCCTCGACCAGCTGCACAACACAGGCAACGTGGCTGTCAGGACGGGTAACGACAACACCGCCCTTCTCAGGGTCGAAGCCGAGCTTCTCGTGAGCGGCATACTTGGCTTGAGGAACGCGGATGTCAGGAATGTCATCGGCGTAAAGGTGGTGGTGGTAATCCCGGAGGGTCTGCGGAATAGAGTTTACGTCGACCTGGTTCTTCTGGGCAGCGTAGATCACGCTCAGAGTAAAGTTCGTCGAGTGCGGGAAGTGACGCTCGAAGAAAGACACATCCTTGATGTCCGCCCTCCGGTAAGCGGAGAGGAACGACCGGTCCTTCTCCAGATTGGCAGCGAAGTCTGCAATCGCCTGCTTGGTCTTGTCCTGGAGACCAGCGAAGACGAAAATCCGGAATGCCCCGTTGGCGGGGACCTCTTGCTCCAAGGCGACGAAGTTGGCATCCGCCAGGCGGGTAACGGTCGATGGAGTGAACGCGCGACCTGGGGTCAACCGCACGCCAGGGTAGTTGAACAGAGGAGACTGAGCAGGATGGCTGGCATCCCAGTTGAAGATGTTGGGCTTGTAGGCGACGCCATACCCACTGGTGAACTCGCACGACGACTTGAAGGTCTTGACGAATTCGTCTTCCTCGCCGCCAGCTTTGACGGAGGTGTGGCTGGCCTCACCAACCTCGCCGGCAGTAGGACGGCGCTTGGAGAACAAAGCAGCATATCTGGCGTCGAAGTCCAACAGCATCTCGGCAATGTCCTTACGTTCGCTTTCATAGGTGCTCAGAATCGAGCGGTTGGCGAATCCTGACTCCACAGCGTGGATCTTCCAGGCCATGTTCAGTGCGTCGTGGAAGGCAGTATTCATACCCTGACCAGCTTTGGGCTTTACGGAGTTAGCATGCTTTTCTCGAGGCGGGGGGGTAATAGTGAGACATACGCTGTGGGTATGGCAGGCATCACCACCCATAAAGACACGCTCATCCAGAGTGTACTTCTCAGAGATACCCTGACCGATCGGGTAGACCGAGTACCACTCGACACGGTCCCATTCGACCCAGTATGGTTTGAGAATCTTCTTTGCGGCGGCCTGGACTTCCTCAACGGATGCCGTCTTCCGGGGGTGCCAGTCGGGGTCTGTCGACGAAGCAATCTGAACGTAGAGGCGGACCATGTTGTCTTCACGGGGGATAACCATGATAGATCCGGCGTCGGAGTGGATTGTGCATTTTGTCTAGTACGGTCAGTTATGTCCTTTCACAAGGGTTGGCGGAAAGCGACTCACCTCAATGTCGGGGAAGTTGGTGCGCACAACACCGTCCATCACTCCCCAGACGTACGAAATGGGGTCCTTGTGGTGGATCTTGATTCCAAGCTGCTCCCGAACAAAACTCCGAGCACCCTCACCACTGAAGAGGTACTTGGTACGGATGTTCTGGATCACGTTGGTGTCTAGCGACTTCAGCTGCACCTCAACGGGGTAGGTCTCGTCTGCACCGTCGTTCTTGAAACCGAAGATCGTCCAAGGGCGCTCAACGGTCGTTCCAGCCTTCTCAATCTCCTCCAGGAAAGCACGCTCGATCTTGCCCTGGTGGACGAGAGCCGTGAAGGGGTAGCGGGTGTCGATGAAACGAGGGCAACTAGGCCAGCTGCCGGTGCGGTTGATACCTTGCTCATTGGGCAAAGGATCCCAGAAAGCGACATCGTAGACCTTGGCGGGATTGTAGGCCATAATCTTGCGCTTGATACCCAAGTTGCGCAAGATTTCGATCGATCGGGGCTGAATACCGTCGGCGCGACCAGTAGCGGTCGGCACGGGGCGGTTGTCGATGTGCTTAACCTTGTATCCCCATCGCGACATGCAAAGCGACAGCAGGATACCCACGGGGCCAGCGCCCACGATCACAATATCATACTTTTCCTGATTTTCGGTCATGATTGGAGTGGTACGATTCGCAACAATCGTATGATATGCTCGCTGTATCCGGGGTATAGGAAATGTGGGGAAGTAGATCAATCAGAAGCCAAGAGAATATCAGAGGAAAATATCAGTTAATGAAATAATAGCTTTCCTCCCAACTGTATGGCATGCAAAATCCAGGAAAGAATCTGATAGTGAAAGTAGAAGGACATCATATTAGGACGTTGGGCTGAGGACTGATATATAGACAAAGCCTCTGGGGAGAAGCGGGCCTGGCAGTGGGTGACGGAGAGCCACAACGGCATTCGCAGTCGGCTGGGACATAACGAAGAGCATGCTTTCTTTCAAACTGTAACGCTGTGGTTCGTCGGTCAGCAAGAACCCACAGAGGTCCTTCCTGGAGTCCAGCGAAGCTCGGAACAGCGCCACGGGGAACATTTGTGCGGGGAGAAAGAATGCCGGCGTCGCTTCCGGCGCTGCGCGGTTAAGGGTCTCGGCAAGTGGAGTGGCACGTGAACGGTACACCGGCGCGCGGCAGAAATGCTGGCAGAATGCTTGTGGGAGAGCCCGATGTGACATCCGATACTATTGTTTGCTGAAATATAATTAAGCAGGTCGATCGTCGGATCCCGCACGGAAGGTCTGTACGGGTGATTGTGCTGGGGTTCATGCCTGAGGCAGGTATGCATAACTATACTCCGTACACATGAACTATAAAGACTCTCCATCGAGGATAAAACATCCGATTACGGAGTATCGAATACTATGTAGAATGCTGGTAACTGATGGGAGGCATCTATGCTCAACTCATCGGACAATAGACTATTGTTGCCTGTTTAGGCACGAGGATGTCTAGGGCTACGTAAGTGGTTGAGACGGCAGACTACTCGAGATACTAGAATGATGAAGAAACAAGAAGTGAAAAAGATAATAGACAACAGACAATAAGTTCTCTATAGACAGATGCTATTGTTCGAGTGCTCAATAAGAGATACCTATTGTTAAGCCTGATATTCACTGCCAATCCAGGGTAACGCTATTGTCGGCGAATCAAGGCATCCTCATGACCAGGCCGCCATTGAGCTCTCAATGGCCCGAATAGAGACATTGTCTTCTGACGCAATAGACAATAGGCAGCTTCGAGTATATAAGAATCACTAGTCCTCATCGCACCATCCTCGTCAAGTCCCATCAACTCTTAGTACTCGAATCTCACCTCTTCGTCCAATATGGAGTCTCTCAGAAATCGTATCACTTCCATGAAGCCTAATTCCGAACGGATTCGTCCTGCTTCGCCTGTATCGTCCGTTTTTTCCCTATCGACCATGTCCAGTCAGAGAGACAGCTACGAAGGATCCCTTAGGCTTAACAGAGAGTAAGCCTCACTGATCCGTACAAGCTGCAATGCATATCCGTTAACCCTCAATAGAAGCGCTAGACTCATGTATGAAGACATCGCCAAGCTCAATCCCTTCTATGAAGTGTATGAGAACTTCTGGAACGCAGATTCCGAAGAATCGTCTCTGACCTTCTCCTCGCGTGGTTCAAGTGATTCAGCAAGGTCACCTTCTCTGGCATCGATCACCTCGAGTCAGGATTCCTTCCGCCCTCTCGAAGTATCCTCTTCTCCTTCAATCCGTCACTTTCGATCACACCTCGACCTCGATGAGACAAAGAAGCTCCAGGTCTTCTTCCACGAGGGAAGCGAGCATCAACCGACGTACGCGGAATACGACGGGCAGAGCAGCCAATTTGCTGCTTTGGATTATACTGACAACGATAAGCGGCCACTATCACCCATCGAAGAGCCAGAGGGCGACACCGATTCCGACGAGCTCGAATCGGATCTCCGCCCAAAAGTCCATCCATCGAAGTACCCCCATAAGAAACTCTTCGGGCAAGATGGTTGGCTCGGATGCTCGACAGATGTGCACGCGTTGCCATCAGAGAAGCGGACTTCCATGGTCTTCAAGGGAATCGGCAAGAAGATCAAGAAGCAAGTAGGTGAAATCGTAAGTTTCCCTTCAATCCTTGGAACTTCCTGGATTTCGCTAACCACAAATGCAGGCCGACGATATGGCAAAAGCCTACCCAAACCGTTTCAGTTCTGCAGCTCTCCGCCGTTCAAAATCGTCTCTGAATCTGGCTGCCCGTGTCTCCTTGGATCCTGCAACACAGTCCAAATTGTACTCCGACCTGGAGGTCATGATTTGTCTCAGCGCCAACGACTTCCTGATCCAGCAACACGGCGAAGGCCGTCTCTCGGTCGAGTCGATCAAGAAGATCAACAGCTTCTGGGGATCCAAGAACCGGCCGCAGGTTGTAGAGTTCCACTTTGACCAGGCAACTCAGCGTCGACTAATAAACGACAACCTTCGAACTCTGCAGTTCAACGGAGAATGCTCAACAAACCCTATTCGCCTCGTCACAAATATGAACAATTGGAAAGCCCTCGCCAAGGACATGAGCGTCCGCACCTTTTGCGTTCCCGACAGCGCTATTCGGAAACATTTGCACGACATCCACGAGATTCTCGATATGCTCAATGCTCCACGCGAGATTTTCCTGGACTTTGAAGAGCTCCAGGTGCGCACATTATCGTTGATGAAAGACCAGAGTTATCGGTCATGCTCTGATAATAGCACCCTATCGGGCTCCAGGACCTCCAAGACGTCCTCCAGTATTAGATGCTCGGAGGACAGCCGGAGGATGTACCGGACTAAGTGTTAGTCGCGGGACCAATGTGGGTTTTGGTGGGTAACGGGAAGACTTCTCGGGATAATTTGCAATCTTTTTGGTCAATTAGCGTGTTTTCTCTGTTTTTCTTCCGCTTCGTTTTTCCTCTTTTTTGTTGGTCGTCAAGCGCTTGTTAGTTGTCAGCACCCCGGCTCGTTCGCCATGATACCCTTTGTTTTCAGAAGTCTGATGTTTTAGCTTAATGAAGTCTTTTTTAGCGAGAGCTTTTGAATATTCACATCCTCCTTATCTGAATGTTCTCATATTTCCAATCATAGACTGCATACGCGTATAAGTGTTGTGCTTTTTCTCTTCAGCTGGCACGTGGGCCGACGTCATAGGCTCCTGCGCGGATCACGAGAAAATCGGCCGAACTTCCTGGTGATGCCTATTGTTGATCTGTGACACTGCCAAAATTCTTCTGTGAAGGTGTCAAGATATGGCTTCGCATATTCTCTGGCTCTGGGCATGATAAACTTGTCCCTTTTCTGACTGTGCTTGTGGATTTTTCGATAATGCTCGCTCTCCCTTCCTGCCACAATAACGTCGGGGACTTTCGCCAGCAGCCATTGCACATCATCACTAATCTACACCTTTCTAACTATATAGGTTGCACCTCTAGGTCTTGATCGCGTACTACTACTACTACTACTACTACTACTACTACTACCACCACCACTACTACTACTACGCAGTTATGGCTGGTCCTATCCATACCTACAACTCCACATGCTTTCTAGCCGATGACGATCCCGATCTTTCGACCTGGTACAGCTCGCAAACACCTCCCAAAGCGCGTCCACAATTTTTTTACACCTCCTCTCTGCCTATCGATGATCCTTCGAGCTCGCTTCCACCTCCACAAAGTGCGGTGAATGAAAGAGCGCCGCCTCAGCCATTTTCCGCCAAAGATCATATCGCGTTGGAAGATGCTTGGAGAACACTGCGGGAAACCGCTGGGAGGAAAACAGCTTCGAAGGCTGAGATCCAAGAAAGGACTTCGATGAGAAATTCTATATCGGTACCGGGTTTAGAGGCGGGCCGGTTAAGGCAAGCTGGGAGTCGGGACGGCGCGAGTCCGTTTGAAAGTCAGCAGAACTCGCCAAATCTCTCCGGGTCAGCTTTAGAAGCATACAATTCCAAGATCAGGGCCAATTACAGAGCTAGTGTTGCGGATGTTGCTCCCCGGAGTTCCTGGGAGGGATCACGTGTTCCACCGGGGCAGGGCTATGAGGCAGGCGATGGTGCTGGGAGCGCTTCTATTGGTATTCGAAAGAGAGAAAGGCCATCCTTCAGCAATAATTTTAAGCCTACAAAACGCAGGACCAGCTTGTCGGCCCACGATGAGGCAGCTCTGGACGAAGGAGACACCGGGAGTGGACGTACAACACCGAGAGACACGAGTATCAGCGGCTCTCCGTTCGTCAGGGCTCCTCCTGCGCCGCCTAGCCCACTTGGGTGCTCACTTGAATCGGGTCATGGAAGCCAGGAGCTGCATACTGCGACTCGTAGTCGAGATGCGGATACCACCGGTGTGAGATCTAGCCTCCATCAAGAGGATCTTATGGATGACACACGAACTGAGACCGGAGAGCACCCGGGGGATGAAGATTTGAGTGCGAAGATTCCTGTTGGCGTCTCTCGACTTCACCTGGTCGAATTACCAAATTTGAAGGTCTTGCTAATCTCTATAACACTAACGCATGAACCAAAAGGTTGCTGACTGTTAATAGATGAAACCGATATACTGGAGTCCTCTCCATGACATATCGAACGTCCTGCGCGCCACCTGGTTTTACAAAAACACCATGTTCCCTGTGGAAACGGAACTGGCGAATAAGCTTGAGGATGGATACATATACTTGAAGCCCTGGACCGACACTTGGCAAGATGAACTTAATAGTTGCGTGGAAAACGGTGCGGACGCCGAAGTAAAAATTGTGCACAAACTGTGGCCGAAAGAAGATTCCAAACCTCCCAGCAGATCTGCGACATCCCAAGACCCTAAAGCAACTGGTTCAGAGACAAACCTTGCGCAAGGTACCCTAGACTCAGGACTCAATCTACTCGCTATGGACGAAAATCGAGCTGCAGGTGGATCAACTGCACTTTTGGAAGCCATCAAACCCCACATCAACTCTAGCGTCATCTACGTCGATGGAAAGAATGGCCAAATTCTCCGACCTAGTCTACTTCCGTCAGCATCCAGGGGGAGACGTCCACTCAGTGCAATCCGCAAAGGACGACAAATCGGTATACCGGTAGTTCGTGGATTTAGCCGGCGGAAATGGGATCAGTTGCATCCAATCAAGCCTAACCCTGTAGATGTGAGAAATTATCTCAGGAGCGCCCAATCCCGGAGTATGCCCGTTACGGGTGGTCAACCAATCTGCTATGCCTGCGCGATGGAAGAATCACGGCCAACGCCGACTGATCTGATATTGGTAATACACGGTATAGGACAGAAGTTGTCGGAACGCATGGAAAGCTTTCATTTTACACATGCAATAAATAGCCTTCGAAGAAATATCAACATGGAACTCAATAGTGAGCCAGTCTGGCCGCATGTCCGGCAAGACCATGGAGGCATCATGGCCCTTCCGGTCAACTGGCGGTCTACCCTGTCTCTTGAGGATGCGACACTCGAAGCCCAAGCGGTCAATGACCCAGCTGCAAATCATTTTACGTTGGATGATATTACACCCGAAACAATACCTGCTGTCAGGTCTCTAATCAGCGATGTCATGCTCGATATTCCCTATTATCTCTCGCATCACAAACCAAAAATGATCCAGGCAGTTGCTAAAGAAGCGAATCGCGTATATCGTCTCTGGTGTATAAACAACCCTGGGTTTCAGCGACACGGACGTGTGCATTTGATCGCACACTCACTTGGGAGTGCCATGGCGTTAGACGTCCTCAGTCACCAACCAACTCAGATACCCCATTTTGATTTTTCGACGACAAGCATTCACACTGACATTTTTGAGTTTGATACCAAGAATCTTTTTGTCTGTGGCAGCCCTGTTGGGTTCTTTCTGCTTTTGAATAAGGGTACGTGAAGCTGTTTCTCGACTCATAATCGGGACTAACAAAGTATATAGCAAACCTCCTTCCGCGACGAGGCAGAGACAAACCCGGCTGTGAAGGCGACGATCGACTTAACGGTGTTGCCGGGGAGGCAGATACCTATGGCTGTCTGGCGGTGGACAATCTCTACAACATCATGCATACTACTGATCGTAAGCCGTTCTTCTCTTTACTTGACCTGAGACATACTAACACAGGATAGCAATCGCATACCGCGTCAACGCCACTGTTGACAAGGATCTCGCCAACTCCCTCAAAATCGCCTCCATCCCGAACGCCTCCGCCTCCTTCTGGCAATCCTTCAGCAGCGTCTTCCGCTGGTCCTCCGCCCCTTCTTTAGCCCCAACAACAACAACCGCCCCAACCCGCCCCGCTGCCGTCACAAAACTCCCATCCAACGTCGAACTTGAAACACATGACTTCACCCGCGAAGAGATTGCTGAGAAACGCATGCTCCTTCTCAATGACAATGGACAGATCGATTACTTCCTGTCTGGGGGTGGTGGGCCGTTGAATATTCAGTATTTGAATATGCTGAGTGCTCATAGTAGCTACTGGACGTTGACGGATTTTGTGAGGTTTATTGTTATCGAGATTGCGCGGGTGCAAGGGAGGAATGGGACGTTGGCGGGGTTTAGGGCGCAGAAGAGGAAGGAGTGGAAGGTTCATAAGGGGTGATCTGTTATTGACTTATTTTGGTTGCTTAGAATTAGAGTTGGGTATGGCGTTGCGTATGGGTTTTTTTTGGGCTGGATTAGGTTGGTTTAGAATAGCATTTTCGACTAATATCTTCTTTTACACTTCATGAATGACATTTTTCATCCCAAATTGTCAATAATGTTACAATATCACTCCCCCGCAATAACATTTCCTAACATCAATGCCTGCACCAAACTCCCCTTCTCAGCATTCCCACTTCCCGGCTGCAGCACCACAAGCGCATTAGCACTAGCCATACTCCCAACCCTCGAACTCCGCTGACCAACACCTTCCAACCCCGTACTCGAAGCGTATAATCGCCCATCCGTCCGCGAAGCCGAAACAATGGCACGATGATAATCGGTGCGTTTGGAGTCAAGCGGGAATGGGTGCGCCAGGGTAACTGATATAAACGGCAGACCTAGCGCACCAGGCAGAGAAGGAGTTGCAGATCTTTCACCCAATCCCATTAGTTTGTGCAGAGATGGGAGGACGAAGAGATTTAGCGTGACGAGTGCTGAGGCGGGGTTGCCGGGGAGGGAAAAGATTAGTTTCGATTGGCGTTCTGATTGTGATAATGTTGTTGTCGAAGGTTTAAAAGGTATGGTAGCGAAAGTGGTCGGTTTGCCTGGTTTCATGGAAACACGTCCGAAATGGATAGTTCCGCCTAGGGAGCGCTCGATGGTGGGTTTGAGGAGGTCCAATTCTCCCATTGATACGCCACCGGTGGTGACGACTACGTCGATATTGGATGAGTCGGTTTGTCCGACTCCTCTTAGTGCATCACGGAGGGTTTGCTCGAGTTCGCCCGCTGTGTCGCGGACGATCCCCAAATCGACTGTTGGGAAGCCCCATGATGCCAGACAGGATAGAAGGGAGGGACGGTTGGAATCACGAATTTGGCCACCTTGGAGTGTAACAAGGGCGTTGTGTTCAACGAGTTCATCTCCGGTGCTCAAGACGCCGATGCAGGGTTTCTTGAACACCTTGATGGTTTTGGTTCCTGTTGCGGTTAGGAGGCCGAGTTCGCCACCGACAGATGTGATTTGGTCGCCCTTTGAGAGGACTCGAGACTCCAGTGCGACATCGCTGCCTGGTTCGCGGACATTCTCTTTTGGTTTGATCTCTCCGGTTAGGATTTCGACGGTTGCTTCTTCGTTTCCATCTGGGGTTGTTGATGCGAGTACTGTATCCTCGACCATGACTACCGCATTGGCGTTGGGTGGGAGAGGTGCTCCGGTTGTGATTCTAGCAATGGTCCCGGGTCCGAGAGGCGATAGGGCTCCACCGGCGTTGGCATACATGACAGAAGCCACGGGGAAGACTCCTTTGGTGCTTGGGCCGGATGTAGGCGACTCCGGGGCAATGACTGCATAGCCATCGACAATGCTTGCTCGATATGCTGGAACGGCCTCTCCGGAGTAGACATCTTCAGCTACCACAGAACCTACAAGCGCAGTCGTCACAGGGACTTCAATCACTTCGGGTCCAGGGGTGTGTTCACTGATCAACTTGAGTGCTTCATCCACGGAGAGCATCGGGTACGGTGATGAACGGTGCCGCCGGCTTGGTGCACCATTTGGATCATTGGATTGTGGTCGTTCTGATGGCGATGTATGCGGTTTTGGAATTGCGTGGCCGTGACCATGGTGATGGTGATGATGATGGTTGTGAGAATTAGGATGACCCTGTCCTCCAGAAGATACGCCTATATCGGCTTCGAGCTTCTTAACGCCACCCGCATGGATTGCTCTGGAGTTTGCCCCGGCTGCTTGGATACATGCATGCGGCAGAAGTTTGATGACTGCTTCGAGATTTTCCTTGGCCCCCTTGGGTGATCCCGGTAATGTGATAATCAAAGACTTGTCACGAACACCTGCGACTGGTCGAGACATCATGGCAACTGCAGTTTGTTAGTTTAGCAACATAGCGGGATATTCGCACGTACAAGGCGTAACCTGCAAAGAGGCCGCAATCATGCCGTGTCTGTATTAATCAGTCATTATACTGTTGTTGAAGTGATAGGGTCTCGTGACTCACACAAGACCCGGCGCATGGCGATGGACGAGCGGTGATACGGCCTGGACCAGTTAGCACATGGAAGCCATTATAGATGCACCAACAAACCTCAGGCGTATTATCCTTAACCGCGAATCCCGTTCCACCGCTGAGAAGAATTAAGTTAAACCAGTCCGGTCCATCTGTCCAATCGCAAATGGCCCGTTGAATATCAAGCACACTGTCCGGTACAATCTTGGTGACGGGCGATTCCCAGGTACCCGGCCCTGCTACAGCAAATGATGTTGAGAGGACATTCACTGTTTTATCAGATGCCGGGTTCTGAGATGCGGTATCTGATATAATCAGAATCGCTGGCTTAAGCTTCGTTTCTGCCATTGTGTTGTGGCTGTCGCAAATGGGACTTTGGTAGACGCGGGGAAAAGAGAGGAAGAGATAAGGAATGGCGGCGGTGGTTGATATCAGTTCCACCATTCTGTATCCACAGTACAGAGGAATAACTACAAGCATTACAAGCCATGACAGAACAATAAACCTGATCCAAGTAGCATTGCCCATATTCCCAATGTTCGTTACTGTACACCACTCAGATCTCATGCAAATCGCAGGTACCCAAACTCTACAACCCATACGCCTCGTGATGTATATAAAGCAAGAGAAAGAAACGAAATGAAATTCATACAGAATGTGTGCTGCTTTGCTCAATGTAGTGCGGTCCCTCGTAGAAATTGAACCGCTCATTGAGCACCAAAATCTGCCGCCTTCCCTGCCATCAACAGTCCAACAATCAACCCGAAGAGACCGAGAACGGAACTGAAAATCTCGATGACAAGAATCTTGACGAACCTGCTCGCATGAAGCACTTGGGTTAGTCTTTTGCAAAAGAGGAATCCAGGGTCAAACGTAACGCACAAGCTTGCATCAGCGGCATCAGCCAAAGCCGCACCACTTCCGTTGATACCAACGGAGATACCGCAAATCAGATTGCACATGCCGACAGTGATTCCTCCCCAGAAAAGCGCATATCCAGTGTAGTAGTTGGTGCCAGAGAAGACCTCCTCATCGGTGACGAGGTTGAGTTTCGACGAGAAAACAATCGCCATAATCACACCATAGATAGCCACGACTTCACAGAAAATAATCGAGATCAGGTTCTTTGTCCGGATTCTGGGCGCCTTGACACCTCCGCCAACGATCGATGAGCCGGTAAGGAAGATACCCCTGTTCCAAACCATCAGCCATTATCAGCTCCTCGAGAGCAAATCCCGGAAACGTACCATGCCGCACCAACCACCGATAAACCTATACACATCCCAATACCAATATTTGCCCAAGCGTACGGAGACACATCTTCGAGGAATTGGCCGACCTAGACGAGTTAGCAGGAGTTCGATGAGTATTGGATGAGTCGCATCGTACGTTAAACGACTCGCCATCCCCGGTAAACAGCATATCTAAAAGAACATATTGTTAGCTCATGAGGTCCATAAGCAAGAGATACAATACTCACAGCCGCCTATCACGAGGAGTGACACGGTTGCTGCACCTGCTGGATAGGCGAGAACCATGGCGACGACCGGTCCAGTAATTCAATGGAATAAATCAATCCGCGCAGCGGCACCGCAAAGAAAGAGTAGAATCCGCTAAGAAGTCGCGAAGAATGAAGCTGTATAGTCCTCTCGGCTCTCCTCTGTATATCGTCGTGTCAAGCAAGCTGGCCGTGGTCGCGATCGGGCCGGGATTAATCCGTCGGGAAGGCGGCGAGAGCGGCGACGGGTTGGTGTCGTTCGGACTGCTTACTTGGACTAAAGTAGAATTCCCCAGACCGAATTGATCCATGGCTCACTTTGTCCTCTATTCGTCGTCCATTTAAAAAAGGCAGAAGTCGTTTCTCCAAAGTTTTTGCCTACAGCCTTCCTCGCTGGTCGGGAATTTCTTTTCAACCTATTCTCTAATTACTTTCATAATATCTGTTCCTCCAGCATATCTATTCTCGTTTTCGCTCTCCCCCGTCGGTCTCTATACAATCTACCCCTGATTCTCTGCGATTATCTACACCATGGCTTCCACCGGGGTAGGGACATATTCGAACCCTTTGAAGAAGTTCAAGTATGTTTTTTGCGCGTCGCCTATCTGTGTCATGAGCCAATGTGGTTGCTAATCGAGTTCTAGGTTGGTGTTCTTGGGTGAACAGAGTGGTATGAACGCCCCCGAGGGGTCAACTGATCGCTGTTACGGATAATATGTTTACATGTGTTTCTAACATGGTCGCGCAGTTGGAAAGACGTCCTTGATCACAAGATTCATGTACGATTCGTTCGATAACACATACCAAGCGACCATCGGTATCGACTTTTTGTCAAAGGTACACCGCATCTCCAACCCCTGGCCGTGGCGACGACCCTTCGTCATTCGTATCTCTTTAGCGCCTCTGGAAATCCTGTGTAGCGAACGATAAGCTGACTTGTTACGTGTACAGACTATGTACCTTGAAGATAGAACCGTGCGTCTGCAACTTTGGGATACCGCTGGCCAGGAGCGATTCCGATCGTTGATTCCTTCGTACATCCGAGACTCGAGCGTCGCCGTGGTTGTTTACGACATCTCCAACGCCAAGTCATTCCAGAACACACGAAAATGGATCGATGATGTGCGCGGAGAACGTGGGAACGACGTGATTATTGTTTTGGTGGGCAACAAGACGGACCTTAACGACAAGCGGGAGGTTACAACAGCCCAGGGTGAAGAGGAGGCGAAGAGGAATGGATTGATGTTTATCGAGACCAGTGCAAAGGTTGGTCATAACGTGAAACAATTGTTCCGGCGGATAGCCCAAGCACTCCCCGGAATGGAGGGCGAGGGCGCCAACCAAAACAACCAAAGTGAGTTTCTTTTTAACTTTCCTGTCGCTCAAGAATACTCACTGAACTTCCACAGTGATTGATGTCAATATTACACCCAAGGAGACCACGAGCAACGACGGATGCGCCTGCTGAACAACCCTCCCCCAAGTCGGCGTGTCATAACCATGACCATTTGCGACTATGATGTCCCAGGATTTTCAACGACAAGAATTGAGATGTCTATAATGCTCTATATTCTTTTTTTCCCGTGTACATTTTGGCTTCTTCTCACACTTCCCGTGGATAGCGTGTGTCTAAATCTCAAGTCTTTTTCATTGCTGTTGATAGCCCTTCTTTTCTTATGCTTTTCACGTGTCAGGATGGACAAACTAGGGCGTTTCTCTACAGGCTTGCTATGCTTAGCGTCAGGCATCTCCTTGCTTCACCTTGCTCTTCGATTCTATTTCTTTTCTCTTTTTTTTTTTTTTTTTTTTGGTTACAGGGTGTTTCACTTCTGGAATTCTACGTTGATGACTTGCATGATGTAAGGATCTTGGTGTTTAACATGATTTGGAACTTAATGTACAGAAGTGAGGAACATGCATCGTAAATACATCATTGTGCTGGGTGTTGCACTTGAGTATACATCTGAGCATACAAGTAATCTGTGGCTGGTATTTAGAGTGTTTCGGAAACAGACCGTACTCCGTATTCGTATTTAGTTAATGGCTGTGATAGTGAGGCTGAGATATCTACACAAGTAACGTAACTAAGCCATTAGGGGCTTAATCTATCAACAAGGCACCTATATTTCTGTTATTAGCACTCACTACTTCGTACTATGCTTGTATTATGCACATTCCATATTTGTACAGGTAGACACGTGCTTCCTGCCTAATTCCCAAGGCAAAGACAACGTCACTGTCCAAAAAAGGTAAGGATCATCTCCACAGCGGATCGCCCGGAAGCCCCTGATGACCTCCCAGTGCCAAGCCTTTTTTTTCTGCCCGGCGTGACTTTCAGCCTCGTAACCTCGTTTTCCACTTTCTCTCTCTTTTCTCTCTTCCTTTTCTTTGCTCTTATCCTGTCTTGTCCTCCTCTCTTATCTTTCTTGTACCTATTTCATCGCTTTCCTTTTTGAGCTGTCCTTGAGACCTGTGTGTTTCTATCCCTCTTCCGGGTACTTCAGACGGCACGCTACCCATCATCATGGGTTTATTATCATCGCGTTTCCTCCGCATCCCGCGGCCAGAGGTATGTTCATGCTTTGGCGGTCAAGCGAAAAATGCCCTATTCGTGTCTGCAAGCTAACGTTCCGGTCGCCTCGTGGCGTCATCTACCGCTAGACCTTCCTTTATGTCATGAGCCTTGAGACTGGTGCTTCTCTCATCACCTTGTCCCTGCTGTTGAATAAAATTAGTGGTCTCTATGGCTTGCTCGCCTTGTTGACTGGCTACCACCTCTCGCCCGTCCAACTGTCCATGTACCTCTACTCCCTGATCGCTCTCGGTGTCGCAACAGTCCTATTCCCACATATCCGCAAACAATCACCTCTCCAATGTCTGGCGCTCGCCTACCTGTACACCTTTGACAGTCTTGTCAACGCGGCCTACACTGCCGCTTTTGGTGTGACTTGGTTTCTCGTCGTCTCTCAACATTACGACAATGGCTCCGCGTCGGGTCCCGGAAGTGAGACCATTGCGCAAACTGCCGGCTTCACCAGTCCCAAGTACGATGACACCCAAAGCAGTGCCAGTTACTATTACGCCGAAAGTGCCACTAGCAGCACCGCTCGATCGGCATCAGATGGTCTTGGCAATGCGGTCACTCAACCAGAGAGTGCCCCGAGCATTTTCTTCATCTGCATGCTGTGGGCGATGCGATTCTACTTCGTTTTCGTGATGCTCGCCTTTGCTCGTCAGACCCTGCGCCTCTACATCGCCCTTCCCCGCCACACTTCGCTTCCGACGCATAGCCGCAATACGTCCATGGCAAGTGTGGGTAGCGTGGCCGATATCGACCGTGAACCCTTTTCGCCGTACAGCCCGGATGGTCAAGGCTGGAAGGGCAAGCTTGGCCGGACCATGATCAGTATCGGTCGCAACTACTGGATGGGTGAAGATGACGATGGTATTTGGATGGTCAACATCGGTCGGAAGTTCCAGAACCGCAACGAGAACACCGAGCTACCTGGCCCTCTCGAGCGGGAGCGCCGTCGCCGATCGGGAACTGGTCCTCCCCAGCCGTCGCAGTCCGCGTTCGAAGCCGCGGCTTTGCAACAACCCATTTACGAACATCCTGTTGGCCGGTAATTGACAGCTCAGGTCTCCATGATGACATTTTATTCCTGGATAATATTTTTACTTAATTGTTCCTATATATGCCGAGATGATCTAGTATGACTCGGGGAGGGGTGGCAGACAGATTAGCAGGACTGCATCTTCTTCACTTACATGCTTCGATGCCTTTTTTGTTTTTGGTTATTTATCTTTCTGGAAAAAGGCGGGTGTTGGTTATTGATTGATCAACGCAGCCGGTGCTTGGGAGGACTTGGGGAGAACGCATGCCTTCTAGAGCCGATCCGTTTACATCTGGCATCTGTACATTTATTCTATCGTTTGGATTTCATATGGGTCTGGCTATTTGGCGTTTGAAAGGGTTTATTTATTGCATCATGCCGCATGTCATTGTTTTAATATGAGTATCGAACATCTGAGTACAGTTTGAACATATCCACCTAGTGATCCTTGCATTCTCGTCCGAGTACGTAGCCTGACATACCAATTGTAACGGCGGATCTACGATTGCATCATCCAATCTGAACGGTTTCTATGTGCTAATTGCATGTACCAGACTGGCCACAGTAATGGCGTGATGGGTACAGAGGGCTACTGCACCCTTATTTGGCAGTACTTCATGCAGACACCGAGCAATTGCCGTTGCATGGACGATCACATGACCCCCATTCCACCCCCGCATGGCCTAAAACGGTAATGTTTGCATCTGCGGGCGACAGGGTTTGCATCGATGTCGTGATCGAACGCGGGCCAATAAAATCACTGCTGACCCAATCCCGATGGCGGAGAAGCACCGGCCGCCTTGAACTTTTATGACTTTTTTTCCAATTTTCTTCCCTTTTTCTCCCTCCAGTCGGGGTTTGATTGACTGGAATTAAGAGTACAAGAAGGCACGGGAATTGTTCGATTCACTCCCTTTCCCCCCCTTCTTCTCCCTCGTCTTATTCTCTTTCTTCTCACTATATGCGGTGACATCCGTACCCCTCCGTTATATAAGTTCATCCCTCCCTCTGCGCTGTGTGAAGCGCAGCCAGCAATTGTCAGTATGGCGTCCGTTTCGACTGCCGGTGAAGCAGGTATGACCCCCCTTTTTGACAGCTTTCAATGGCAAGTGCCTGCCCGGTGACAATCGAGTGCTAATGAGTGATATCAGTGGCGAGAGTCGCGTACTTGACCAGCGATGTCATCCTCTCCGCCCAGCCTGCCCTGCAGACAGACTCACTATTCTCCAATTCGCTCAAAGCTCTCAAGGCCAACAAGATTCAGAATGTCTTGTCCAAGGGTGCTCCGGAGGTATGTGACTCAAACTGGTCCTGTCAATTAGGACAACGTTAACCTGATGGTTTGTATAGATCGTGACCGTGCGGAACAATGAAGACCCTCTCCTCTCGGCTTTCTACCCGCTCCAGAACGGTAGCACCGTTTCTGCCGTCGCCAGCTCCTCGGTTCTCCTATCTTCAATCACTCACCTCTACCGCCTGGCGAACTACCCTTTGGTCCTCCACATTGCCCTGGAACCCACTCCGTTCCCCGATTATTCCGTTATCAGTTCGATACGTCAGTGTGGCTTTACCTTCTTGCACTCTGAGACCCTCCAGGAGGCCCAAGACATTGCTCTTACCGCGCATGCCTTGGCTCTCAAGTCTGGTAAGGGTGTTATCCACTTCTTCGACCCTGCCAACTCTACCAATGACGACGCAATCGCCGAGGAGGATGTTGAGGTCGTGAACAAGGTCTTGGATTTGGGTGGAAATGCTGCTTCGCACAACCCGGGACTTGGCGCACAGACTCTCTACGCTGATTCCGGCCGTGTGGCTACAGTGGCCGAGGAGAGTGTTGGGGCTCAAGACGCCGCCACAGGGACATCGACCCCGGAACAGGCTTCTACTGTTCAAACACCCGCCAATGGTAGCGCAGACAACTCGTCTGTTGGATCTTCGAGAAGGGATAGCAGCGTTGACAGCCGCGCTGTGAGCAGCTCTGCTGCCACCACTGTTGACGGCGCGAGTGTGCGGCCAGTCAACTCCGCAGACATCTATGCCTACACTATCCAGATTTGGAATGTGCTGTCTGAGACTGTGGGCCGCAAGTACAACGCAATTGAGTACACTGGTCCCGCTGAGGCCAAGTCCGCAATCTTCCTTTTCGGTTCCACCGGAGTGTTTGTGGATGTTCTGTCCAAGGCAGATGCCAACAGCGAGCTTAAGGACCTCGGACTTATCACCGCTCGTCTGTACCGCCCATGGATTGGCAGCTATGTTGCCAACTCAATCCCCGCCTCTGTAGAAAAAATCGCCGTGCTGGAGCAGGCTCGCAAGACGACTCGATGGGGACCTTCGTTCATGGATCTCCTGTCCAGCTTGAACCCCACCACGACTGACCGCCGCTTGCAAATTGTGGGCTTCCGCCTGGGATATGTTGAGCCATCGACTGCCGATCAGGCCCTTCGTGGAGTGGTTCAGAACTTGAACTCTGCCTCCCCTATCCAGAACCTCGAGGTTGGGAGCTCCAAGGTCCCAACTCCTGAGACCGCCGTTGAGCAGCCTCGCATTGAGAACGCGTATCAGAAGATTTTGAACCAGCTCTTCGGGGAGCGTCTGTACGTCGCCAACCAGGCTACTTCTAAGCACGCTGGTATTTCCTCCACCATCTCGGCCAGCCCCGAGTACGGGTTTGGTTCATTGATTGCCCGCATTGAGCACCGCCAGCGCTTCATCCGTGAAGTCGAGGAAGCTTCCAAGTCCTCGTCTTTCGCTACCGATGTTCCCAAAACTTGGTTGTCCAAGTGGGCTTTGGTTGCCAACGACCCGTCCAAGGCTAACAAGCTGGCTGCGGATGTCATTGCTCGTCTGTCTAACGACGGTTCCGCATTGGCGCGCCAGCTTCTCCAGTCCAAGCAGCTCTTCTACGATGAGACCCACTGGCTCATTGGCTCCGACGCCTGGGCGTACGATCTCGGAAACTCGGGTGTTCACCACGTTCTTGCCTCTGGTGCGAACGTCAACATGCTGGTCATCGATTCGCAGCCCTACTCGGAGCGCGCTGCCGCTGACCCCACCCGCCGCAAGAAGGATATCGGTCTGTACGCCATGAACTACGGCAATGCCTACGTTGCTTCTGTCGCTGTCTACAGCGCGTACACCCAGGTTCTTCAAGCTATGGCTGAGGCCGAGAAGTTTGATGGTCCCTCCGTCGTCGTTGCCTACCTCCCTTACAACCAGGAGAACGACTCTGCTCTCACGGTTCTCCAGGAGACCAAGAAAGCTGTTGACCTTGGTTACTGGCCTCTGTACCGCTGGAACCCTAACAACGAAGACACTGCTGAGCCAAAGTTCGCCCTTGACTCGGACCGTATCCGCCGTGAGCTTGAGGAGTTCCTCCGCCGCGACAATCAGCTTACTCAGCTCATGAACCGTCACCCTAAATTCTCCTCTGTCCTCTCTGAGTCCTACGGCACTGAGGTCCGTGCTCTGCAGAAGCGTCAGGCGAAGGACTCGTACGAGAAGCTGCTCGAGGGCCTTTTTGGTGCGCCTTTGACTGTCCTCTTTGCTTCGGATAACGGTAACGCACAGAACATCGCCAAGCGTCTTGGAAACCGCGGTCGTGCCCGTGGTCTGAAGACCATCGTTATGGCCATGGACGACTACCCCACTGACGACCTTGCCACGGAGGAGAACATTGTCTTCATCACTAGTACCGCTGGTCAGGGTGAATTCCCTCAAAATGGTCGTGGCTTGTGGGAGCACGTCAAGAATTCTGGCGACCTAGACCTCTCGTCCATCAACTACTCCGTCTTCGGTCTAGGTGATAGCCACTACTGGCCTCGCAAGGAAGACAAGATCTACTACAACAAGCCTGCCAAGGATTTCGATGCCCGCGTCTCCTTCCTTGGTGGTCGCAAGCTGACCGACATCGGTCTTGGTGACGACCAGGACCCCGACGCTTTCCAGACTGGCTACTCCGAATGGGAGCCTCGCCTCTGGCAAGCATTGGGTGTGGACAAGGTTGAGGGTCTTCCTGAGGAGCCCCCGCCGTTGACCAACGAGGACATCAAGATCCAGTCTAACTTCCTCCGTGGAACCATCGAGGAGGGTCTCTTGGACGAGACCACTGCTGCGATTTCCGCTAGCGACCAGCAACTGACCAAGTTCCATGGTACCTACATGCAGGATGACCGTGATGTGCGGGACGAGCGCAAGGCTCAAGGTCTCGAGCCGGCCTACAGCTTCATGATTCGTTGCCGTCTCCCTGGTGGTGTCGCGACCCCTACTCAGTGGCTCCAAATGGATGCCATCAGCAGTGCTCACGGTAACGAGACCATGAAGCTCACCACACGACAAACGTTCCAGTTCCATGGTGTTGTTAAGCGCCACCTCCGTGAGGCCATGCGTGATATCAACAAGGCCTTGATGACCACCATCGCTGCTTGTGGTGATGTCAACCGTAACGTTATGTGCTCTTCGCTCCCCGAACTCTCTTCTTTCCACCGTGAGACGAATTCTGTTGCGAAGAAGATCAGCGACCACCTCATCCCTGCCACGACTGCTTACCACGAGATCTGGCTGAAGGAAGATGGCGAGAAGAAGGTTCAGGTTGCTGGAGATGCTGTCGTTGACCACGAGCCTCTCTATGGACCTACCTACCTTCCGCGGAAGTTCAAGATCACCATTGCCATCCCTCCGCACAACGACACTGATGTCTATGCTCACGATATCGGTCTGATTGCTATCAAGAATGCCGACGGACACCTTGAAGGTTTCAACGTTCTTGTTGGTGGTGGTATGGGTTCGACTCACAACAACAAGAAGACCTACCCTCAAACGGGTCGCATGTTCGGATATATCCCTGCCGACAAGGCCCACATCGTCTCCGAGAAGATCATGCTCGTTCAGCGTGACCACGGTGATCGCCAAAACCGTAAGCACGCCCGTCTCAAGTACACTATCGACGACATGACCGTCCCCGTCTTCAAGGAGAAGGTCGAGGCTCTCCTCCCCGACGGCCTGCGCTTCGAGGAGCCCCGTCCCTTCAAGTTCGCTTCCAACGTCGACACCTTCGGCTGGCAGAAGGACGAGAAGAACTTCAACCACTTCACCTTCTTCATTGAGAATGGTCGTATTGAGGACACCGCGGACTTCCCCATGCGCACTGGTATCCGCGAGATTGCTAAGCTCAACAAGGGCGAGTTCCGTCTCACCGGTAACCAGCACTTGATCCTTTCCAACATCAAGGACGAAGATCTCCCTGAGATCAAGGACTTGATGGCCAAATACAAGCTCGACAATACCAACTTCAGCGGTCTGCGTCTTTCTTCGTCCGCCTGTGTTGCCTTCCCCACTTGCGGTCTCGCCATGGCCGAATCCGAGCGTTACCTTCCCGTTCTCGTTTCGAAGCTCGAATCCACACTTGAAGAAGTGGGCTTGGGTCGCGAAAGCATTGTCATGCGTATGACCGGTTGCCCGAACGGTTGTGCTCGTCCTTGGTTGGCTGAAGTGGCCTTCGTCGGTAAGGCCTACGGTGCTTACAACATGTACCTTGGTGGTGGCTACCACGGACAGCGTCTGAACAAGCTGTTCCGCCAGTCCATCAAGGAGGAGGAGATCCTCGATACCTTGAGGCCGTTATTCAAGCGGTATGCCGCTGAGCGGAACACGGACGGCGAGGTGCCTGAGCGATTCGGTGACTGGGTTATCCGTGCTGGTATCATCAAGGCGACTACCGACGGCATGAACTTCCACGAAGGGGTAAGTGCCATTCACTCTATATTCTAGCTGCGAACATCTTATTAACAGCGATAATAGATTCCCGAGGATGACGAGGAATAAACGATGGTATTAGAGTAGTTTGGACGATTTCTTGAAAATTTACGACTCCATCACGCATTTGCGGTTGAATGAAGCTTTCGTCTTGATGTATAACGCTGTTTACTAAAAATGTTCATGTTCATCTTTTGTGTTTTTGTTGCAATGAGCTCAGCTTTGTTGATTGATTTTTGGCGTTTTGTATATACCGTGGCCGCAATAGCCTAATGGCGAATGCTAGATGCATGCATACATTACTGCTAATCTCTTATTGCCCGCTATGCGATATTGATATTGACACTGTCCATATATTACATATAGAATGAACCTTTGGGTGCCGACGACGCCAAAAACGGCAGCTCGTGGAGACGATATCGAACTCCAAGAACCGTCTCCTGCGTTGCTCCAGGACACCCTCGAGCGCTGGAACTCAAACAGGGAGGCTAGTGTAATAAAATATCAAACCCCACGGCCCATATCGATGCACATAAGTTACCCGATATTCGAGCCCAGTGAAGAGATTATCGTGCTGCCTGACCCCGACATATCGTACAATAGAACGCCTCCTCTCCCAGAGCTCGTGTGAATGAAACTGTGGTCAACAGTAAGTAATCAAAGCTTATCCTGCTCAATAGGGAACCATTTGAGGCCCTTGTATAATATGAGATGACCCTGATGTTCAACTAACAGTGATTCACAAGTTGGAGATTTCCTGTATCATACTGACTCAGATGTAGATATTGTATAAACAAGTCAACAAGCAACGCCGGGTTCAGAACTAAGTCCCTTGTCGCACAGAAAGGCTTGACTGTGAGAGTCCTGAAACCATGGAGCAAACTACCAGAAAGTTGCAGGTAACGTTTCCCGCGGACTTCATATTATGCAGATGCTGATATTGAAGACCGTTCGCATTTGGTGTATCAACCATCAGCCAAATCCAATGTTCGATATTGAGAACAAGGGGTTAGGCGATGTTGTTGAAATAGCCATCCCTCTTCAAATCCCTAGCGAACCACATATCCCAGTCAATCGAATTGCTCACTCAGAAGGAGCCATTCTGGTAGATCTTGCTGTCTACGAGGAAGGTATTTCCAGAGTCCGCCATGCCTACGGGCCCATTGACTTCGATCCACTCAGCGACCGTGATCCTATTATTATGGCTCAAGATGCGCAGAGTCTCGACTCCAAGAGGGCCCACGGTTACGCACACATATTCCGACAACACCATCTTGTATACGCAAAGTATCACTCCCTTGCAGCGATCCTTGGGTATAGAATCAACAGGATTGTGACAGATTGGTTTGTTAATACTTTGGATGTTCTGGACCGACGCCTTATATCCCTCGGATCCCAGGGCGTCTTTTTTGGATAGAGATTTCTTTGAAAGGTTGATTTGGAGAAAGTATGTGTTGCCATGAACAGTTATCGTATTGATATCGAAGGGTATAATTATTGATTCGATGAAGCCACAATGAGACAAATTAGAGCTGAGAAGTAAATTTGGACTGATTATATGACCGCCGTAGACGTTCTTCCTCGAGAGGGAAGGGGATGTTATATCGACTAGTTATTCAGCAATTGTGTGAGCTTTGACATGTTGAGATCATCGGAGGCGAGAGAAGACGTCGAGCTTCTGAGAAGAACTCATTTCCCAGACAGAAGCGATTCCCGGCTCAGCTGAATCGTGCCCCATTGAGACCCTTGCTCGTCCGCTGCGCCAGCTAGACCGGCGGATGTTCGCTTGTCTAGATCCGAACAAGCCCGCCGATCCTAATCCTACCACAGTTGTTCGTTTTCTTTTCTTTTTCTTTTGAGTCATTGACGCCACGTCAGGAGAGGGCTGTGCCATCCATGTAGAATTAGATTTTCAGGCTAGGGAATTCACCCGCCCCTAATATGTGTGCTGCGGTATCTCCTTTGCATCGAAATTAGGGCGGTTGTTTGACCCGGAGTAGATTGTATAAAGGGGGTTAGCTTTCCTCCCGGAATGAGCACCAAATGCCATCAGTCCAGACCACTTCGTCAGATCCTAAGTCAAATAGCTTCTAGCGTCAATTCCACGAGCGTGCCACCTGGCATGCTGCCGCATGGCCCTTCCGTCGCAGCGTGCAACGTGACGGGAGGGCTATTCGATCAGGGCTTCTTGGGCAACTCGGAGCCGTGAGCAGGGAGGAAATAGACCAGGCGGAGCACTGAGGTCATTGGGTACACAGTAGCCAAGAGAGGACCTGGGGAATCCCTAGACCCATGTCTAGGCGGAGCCAGACCCTCGATTGAAGCATATACCATAGGTATAATCGCGTATATAGAGATTATGGCGCCAACTGCTAACATGCATAGCCACGACCCATGAGTGGCTGGGACGGGTATGATAAATCCGATCCGATCCACCCAATTCTTTCCTTCCCTGCCCAGAGCTTCAGAGTTGCCCATGCCTCCCCGCCCTTCATTTTGTGTTGAAAATGCAATCTGCCAGCACGCATCTCCTGTGCCTTCCTCCCGAAATTCTGGTGATGATCACCCTACATTTAGAGTATGCGTATGAGATGAATTGCCTCGCACAAACATGTCAACAACTCTATAGCATCGCCAATAATTGTCTTTTCTCTTATTATGCCAAAGAATGTTCTCCGCGAGGACTGGACCGCATCGTGAAGAACGACAACGCACGCGCACTATACAAGCTCCTGATGAATGGACTCAATTTCGACCAATACTTCCGCACAACCGGACATTCAACACCGATTCTATTGACTGTTGATACGGATCTTTCAAGAATTGCCGAGCTGCTGGTGGTCTACAGCGAGTTTTCATTGAAAAGCGATCAATGCAAATACGGTTCATCGCTCGGCGGTCCGGGCCACAGGGCATATGAAGACGACCTCGAGAAGACACTTTACCGGGCTGCAATCAAAGGCAGCCTGGGTGTTTTGAAAGTTCTTGCATCTTCTGCAGCAGTAAAAAAATGGCAAATATCATTGGCCCTGGCATACGCGGTTAATCGAGGCCAATTAGCCTCGGCTAGGTACTTGATCGAGGAGGCAGGGGTTGATGTCAACCAAAAAATTACTCTTCATGGATTCTTCGAATCATTCCTCGCACTATCAGCAAATCGGGGGAATTTGGAGATGGTGAAGCTTCTTGTGAAGGCTGGTGCTGATCTCAATTGCCCGAGTTTCCAGCGCATTGTACAGTCCCCTCTGTATATCGCTGCTGCCCGAAATCACGGAGCAGTAGTACAGTATTTGATGGAAATGGGGATGCGCTTCTCCAACGTGAATTTCTTTGACATCATGAATTTGGCGGAGTTTTCCGACTTACCAGACTACACGATCTCAAATGTTGTAAAGGGGGTTGACCTCTATGCAGTCATGGCTGATCCCACCTATCACAACTGCGGAGGCTACGCCAGAAGCTGTATCTATAATGTGATTGCAGCTTGCGATGATCCATCTCTCTATCAAAGAATTTTGGATATGCGGCGTTCATCCCATGACTGGCAGCATGTTGCCGGGAGCTTCGGAATCGCTGTATTTCATGGACATTTGACTGTTGCGCGATACATAGTCGACGAAATGGTGAAGTCCGACAGGATAGTTTGGGGAAACGAATGGTCGAATCTCGTCTCTTACACAATATACTATGATAGTGCTCCCGCCTTTGATATGTTGCTGGACCGCGGGCCACCAGCTGATCTACCCGAAGCCGGGAAACGCTGGTTAAAGGACGTGCTCACCAAAGCTAGGGACTACCCGGAACACATGGAGGTCCTCCTGCAACGTGGGTATCTGGATAAAACCATAGACGGCCGCGTCCTCCAAAGAATGCTTGCAGGCGCGTTCGAAGCTGGTAACCTTGCCTTTGTTCGGCGTCTACTAAAACACGGTGGGATTGGTCTCCTCGATGCACTTGACGGCCCGGATGTTGAATACCATGAGCAAACTGTCTTGCACATTGCAGCGTACTACAGCTCCTTGACAACCTTCCAAGAATTCCTGTCTACACAGGATTTGACCCTTGACCCGGATCATCCCACCCATTGCGCTGCGCTGGTCAGCGCAGCTATGGGAGCAAACATCGATATCATCAATTATTTCCTAGGGCAAGGTTTCGACATTAACGCCTTGTATGAAACGTCCGCATCAAAAGACAATGTGGCCGAGACTTTGATCATCCAAGTCGCCACAGCATGGGGCAGCCCGGACGGTCACACCGACAAATCAATTCGCGAGGACGTCGCTGCAGCAATCAAGTTATTGCTTGACCACGGGGCTCAGATAGACACAAGGAATTCACAAGGGCTCGCACCTTTATCCATTGCATTGGAGACTGGGAATTCTGAGCTAGCTCACATGCTGTTTTCCAGAGGCGCAGATCCCTTGATTGCGCTCGAATCTCGTGCTGATCTCAGCGGGTTGGAACAACTCATTCGAATATTCAAACGGAATGAGCACGACGTGAGCTATCTCGACATGCTCCAGGCTTCTTTGGAGGTCATGGCTGCGAGGGGTTATCAGAGTGATGATTTCCTCCGTCTCACGCCGAGTATTGAGGGCACACTGTCTCGTCCGAGGGTGATCTCGCAGGTTCAAGATGCTCCAAGTGTAAAGGGTCCCATAGTGCTGCCATACTATGAGGATCAGGTCTATGTGCGATGGTCACACTTCTTTTTAATCAGGGAGTTGAGAAAACGATACTGGCGAGCCGTGTATCCTGTTCCGTCCGAATGAACGTGGAACGGAAAGGCCAAAAATAGTTGAATGACAGTTGACTTTGACAAACTGAGGGGTTGGTTCAATACCACTAGGACCATTCATGACAGCATTATCCATCGTTCATCTAATTCCCCCAAAGTGTCTGTATAATATTCCGGGCAAAGCCGGAATTACGGTGAACCACCTTGTCGATTCAGATTCCACGGCATCACCTACCGTATTAGGGTTAGCGCTCATGTGTTCTCGTGGCCGGATGACAACAACATTGAAACAGCTGACTCGCCAAAACCTCGTCTTCTTCTTATTCAACGCGCTCTTTGTGATACCAAACCTGAGTATTGGGAGGTAGCTGGTGGGGGAGTCGACAAACAAGACCAAAATCCCCAAAATGCTCTAGAGCGTGAGGTTCAAGAAGAGACTGGCCTGCAACTGTCTCGGGTCACTCATGCTCTCCCTGTTCAGACTTGGAGGAGATTCAAGGGAGGGGAGTGGCACGAATGGGTTGGCCTTCCGTATATCATTGAGGTCTCCAAGCAACGCGCAAATAGCCAAGATGTGCCTCAGCCAGTGATGGAATGGGAGGATGTAATACGACTGAATCCCAAAGAGCACCAAGCTTTTACATGGGCAACAGAGGATGAGGTGCGAAGTGGCAAGTATCAAATGTTCGGAAACCACAAGGAGGCTATCCTCGAGGCGTTTGCGATAGTGACTCGAAATCGCTCGGTTTGATGTCTGAGATCGGTGGATGGGGTGCAAATATGGTGGTTTAAATGATGGAAGACGAGATCTGCAAAACCAGTCTTAGTTATCGAGGAAACATGCACATGACAAATTTGTACCGACAACGGGTGATCTTGCGGAGAGACTGGGGATAGAGAGCTAGATTAAGGAGGGCTATTTGATGGTTCGAGAAACTCATTTATAGCACCTAATGCTTGTCCAGTTAACAAGTACAAAAAACTATACCCAGTGAGAAAATACTGTATGCCCTGTCAGGAGATCTTTACCACACTCCTTCGCAGTCCATGCGGCATCGTCCGTAGTCACTGTGATATCAACAGAGACCGAATAAATGGAAACACAGGATATTTATCGCCATGGACAGTATCCCTGTTGAACAAGCAGATACAGGCGGTAAGGACCAACGTGTGACCGCTTTTACTAAATATATGTCATGTGTCCAGGAGGTCCCATTGGCCTTTCATATGCCTCTTGAAGACTGGGTCAACTTGCCGTGCGGCTCGAACCGGGCAGTAACAGAGTCAGAGGCCAAGAGGGTCTGAATTAGAAATAAAGTCAGTCAACACATTAGAAGCACAATAGCGCCCGATGAAGCAGTAGATAATGAGCAGCTATTTGCTGAAATAATGTGAAAACACATTGTCAAACGGCCGGCCCAAGAAAAGTAAAATAATTAAGAACAGACAGCTCTTAACAGTGCAGGACAACAGTAGAACTCACGAGTAGCAAATAAAATAAACTGTTCAGGATGAGGAATCCCCCAGATCAACAGTAATAAAGGCCACTGCATTCTTTACTGGGTGACTTGTAGTCGCAGTTAACGCTGCGTAGAGGATAAGAAGAGAAACTAGGTCTCCTGCAGACCAATGGGGAACCGCTGACTTTATATATTTGAATTTCCTCCCTTCCGTCCTTCGTTTCTTCCAAGTTTCCGACGTTCTTGAAGGTTCTAGAGGATGTCCGAAACGCAGGAGGCTAGAAGGGTGACCAATTCCAATGTAGCAGGCCGTACCACAGAGTTCTGATAGCCTTCCCTGAGGCGATCCCTCAGCGATCCCTGGGTGGGCCTGTGCCTGAACAACACTTGACCGTGATTGGATGACATGTATTGTGACCCTTCCAGGCCTGCACGAGCCTCTCTCCGTGCCTCATCGCCCCACCATCCGTCGAGGATCAGAAACACGCGTACTCTAAGGATCAATGAAAATTTCCGATATACAAGACCTTGGCTAATGGCCTTGCGAGAGGGTCCCAGTATTCTGGGTATTCAAGGAAACGATATTTTGGACTGTCCTCATCCCTTCGAGAGGTTCGCGCATCTTCCAAGGAAGAACCTCGTAAGATTGATTCGAGACAAGAAATTGCATCGCCTTTTATGTGTCAAAAGAAGGCCGAATGCTCACACCAAGTCCAATCTATTAGTATCTGGGTGCTGAAGGGCTTGGCTGCCCAATTAAACTCCCCGAACCAGTTCGCAATAGACACTAAACCCGTTTTAGCACGCTCACCAGGAACCGGTCAGCAGGAGGATACTAATCCCGATATAGAACAATCACCAGGAACTGGTCAGAAGAAATACTAGACCTGCTTTGGCACCAGGAGCTGGCGGCGTAGCCTTGCAAGAATCGTTTGTACGGGAGCCATTCGGCTTACATAAGTCTCATCACTTGACCAACTAGCTCCCAAGGCTTCGTGTCCACGTAGTCACAAAATCTCTCGTTTACCGCTCGTGTAATTTGAACCATGTAATCTTACCGAAGTCTTGACTTCTTCGATTGTTCGTCTTAGCGCACAGTTCGTACTTATTCGTAACGCTGGCTGGCTTATTAACGGGCGTTTTGCAGATCACCTGACTTGACTCCGACATCATCTTTACTGATACCCAGTATTGATCAGTTTCATTCAACTCTTCCATCCCTACAACCTCACATGATAAGTCTGTTTCCCTCTCAGGCATTGCTACCGTCTTTTTTGCGGTCTTTTCCTCAGCTTGGACGGACATGGAGGCCACTCAACTTCTCCAGCCGGAATTTCCTCCAGATATCTGCAGGTCGGAAAATTGAAGAAGAGACCATCCCGGGTTATGTTGCTTCCCGGTATTATCCTGCTCGAATAGGGGAAATCTTCAAGGATAGGTATCAAGTCGTAGGAAAATTAGGATTTGGAGCTAGCTCAACTGCATGGCTTGCACGGGACATGAAGTGAGAACCCCTGGCATTCACGAAAAAGATTATTTCGAATCGGCACGCTCACGCACTAAAACTACAGCTGCCGTCGTTATGTTACCCTCAAAATCTATATCAACTCTGAATCAATGGGACAGCAGTTACATGATGAGCTCAACATATACAAACGTATGGAGATAGGCTCAAAAAATCATCCAGGTCGCAGTGCTGTCAGATCATTACTTGACTCGTTCGATGTTGATGGACCTGAAGATAAACACCGATGCCTCGTACATCCTCCATTATGGGAAAGTGTTTTGACCTCTTTACACCGTAACCCGGTACGAAGGCTGCCTGCACCGGTCCTGGCATTTGTGCTCCAGCGCCTGTTTTTGGCATTGGACTATCTACACACAGAATGCCAGATCATACATACTGGTAAGTACTCTTGGTTTTCCTTACACTCCTTCTATCACTTACCCGAGAATTCTGTCAGATATCAAGGCCGATAATATCATGTTTGGCATCGCGGATGATTCTGTTTTCGGCGATTTTGTAGAGGAGGAGCTTCAAACCCCTTGTCCGAGGAAGGAACTAGACGGAAGGACAGTTTACGTGTCCCGAGAACTCAAAATGCCCAGGGAATGGGGTGCCCCCGTCCTATGCGACTTTGGTTCTGCCATGCTTGGCGACAGAGACCACTTCGAAGACATCCAACCTAATATCTATCGAGCACCGGAGGTAATTCTGGAAGGCCCATGGACGTTCAGCGTCGATATATGGAATGTGGGATGCATGGTAAGATGAACAGACTAAAATAGTGGTGCGGACGTTTCTAAACTTGCTTCACAGATCTGGGACATTTTCGAAAGCGACTCCTTGTTCACCGGCCAAGACCCGGAATTTCGAACTTACCGAAGTCGAGCGCATGTCGCCGAAATGATAAGTCTGCTTGGCCCACCGCCGCCCAGGCTTCTTGCCCAAGGGAGGCTAAGCCACAAATTCTTTTCAGATGAGGGCAAGTCAAGCTTTTTGTATTATCTGGTGAATTCTTGTATCCACTAACTAAATCCGACTCTTTAGGTAATTTCTGTGCTGGAATTCCATTACAAGATCACACCCCGCTTGAGGAGAGGGAAACTACTCTCAATGGACAGGACAAAGTGAAATTCTTACGCCTAATACGGAAGATGCTGCAGTGGGAGCCGGGCAAGCGTAGCTCTGCTAAGGCGTTAGGAGAGGACGAGTGGATACGTGAGCATTTGTAAGGATGCACAAAGAATCGGACCCTACTAGGAGCGCTGTAAGGTTGATATTCGGTCGGCCATATGCTGTACAGCTGTAAAGAGGATGCCGTGAAGAGGATTTTGAATAAGGAGCGCGTGAATTCTTTGGGTCTGGGGGGCAGCATAATGTAGTGTACAAGATCTTAAACTACCCAGTCCTGATGAGTTTACAGAGGATTATACACTGCCACTTTATTTGCTGCAGAGCCAATTAGGTCCTACCTCAGCGAGCCGCTTGCTGAGATAACTCGCCAAGACTTCCTGTCGCTGAGCGCCCAATTTATGTGCTGAAGGAGTGGGTGGTGGGGGTCAATAAATGGCTGGAACCACCGGAATAGCGCTAATTGGTTTGATGACAACACTTTACAGGAAGGAATCCAAAGCACAGCAGTTTCGAGCCTGAGAGAACCCAATACTTGAGTATAATGGTGATAGTGCTAATAATACAAAAGGTCTTTCAAATATACCTAATATACTTTGTAGCGAGTTTGCCCCTTGCCTCGAATTGACTCGAGTACACAGCATTCACGAAGCAGCCCAATTCCTTGCTCAGGTCTAACCGTGACCTCCGTGGGTGTGAAATATTCCATCAATTCCGAAGGGAAGATTAGCCAGGATGATGCAAGTCTCCCTTGTCACCCTGAGGTGGGTTCTCCGGGAAAAGGATGATTAGTACTTGTTGGCTGACAAGCTGGGGCTGATGGTAGTTGATGATTTGCAAGCTTCTCATGCGACCAGACGCGGAGCACGCTTATTTCCCCTCGCTAAGCAGCCGGGGCGGTCCGTAAGCAGGACAGGAAGTTCGCAGCCTGGCACACGAGATTACTACAGACCAATGGATTTGTGATAGATTGTGGGGGGTTGGCATCGGGCGCCATTGGTTGACCTCGAGTATTCGATCGCATTGCCTTTAACCATCCGCCCGTAGACAATCAGGGCCACGATCCCTTGGCGAGAGGATTTGAATCCATGGCCGAGGCGACAGTTTCGTTTATCTCAATCCATACAAAAAGGAGAGCTGCTAATGAGCTTTTAGAGCCGCCAAGAGAAAGTGGAGGCCAACAATGAGAAGCATACACGTTGCAAGTGTGATGTATGTGACTAGCCATGGTTCCGTCGCATGGCGCCCTTCGCACTGGTCAATGCGCCACTGCGCATTAAGTTGGTTTGACAGGCTTATATTATACGCTTTCACGATCAGGCTGTTCAGGTTGAGCTGGCGCAACACATGTGGAGGCTTCAACGAGGCAGGATTTTCCGGTCGAGACTGACTGTACCAAAAGGTTACATAATTCACGAGAGACATACAACCCCGCGCGCAGCAGCTATATTAAAGAAGATTCCTATCAGTGAATTGAGTGAGATTGGCAACCTTGCCTTTCGTCACACGCCCATAGACGTGACTCTGGATATCTGATCATGGCTCCTCCTCAGCCCGATATGCCAGAAATTAATGCCACGCTGACTTCAGCGGACCAACAAGGCTTCTGTAACCAACTTCGAAGCCTCACTACAACATCCGGGTACAAGAATATGGCTTCGCTTCTCGACGAAACCACCCACCTTCATGAGCAGGTACGTGTGAAAGAGGAGGAGCTGGGCAAGTTGAGGGAGGAAATGAAAGAGAAGGAAAAGAAGAAACAAGAAGTAATCCATGAACTCCTCGGAACGAACAAGCAGGAAGCTTGCAGACACGAGAGGACACAGCGGATTGTCGATACGCTCCGGAAATCAGTCAAGGAGAAGCAAAAGCTCATCAATGAAACGGAAAGCAGGGCGAATGATCTTCAGGTTCAAATAGATGGGCTTCAGCGGTCCTTGAGTGACAAGAAAGCAGCAATTTCTCGTGCTGAGGATGAAATCGCCACTTTGCAGGGAGCTATTCGAGATAGAGACGGTAGGATTGACAGGATGAAAACAACCGAATCTCAACTCAGACAAACACTGTCACGGGCCGAAGAAGATGGTAGAAAATTGGGTAAAGACAACATGTCAATCATGAATCGGCTCCAGCAATGTCAAAAAAGACTCCAGGAGATTGAAGGACTGAGGGCTACTTATCACGAGGAGGGACAATCTATGTATGCGCCCTTGTCTTTCAACTCTGTTTTCTGTTTGCTCACACCAGCAACTAGGCTTGATAGATTCGATGATCTATGGGATCATGCTACGAAGGAGGTTGCCTTCCACATGCAGGCAGATCTCCCCGATGAAGTGATCAGGGTACGCGGTTGAGAATGTTTAAACATCTTCTGACTAATTTAGGATGCAGAACCCCCGGGCTTGGGATGTGTTTAAGAAAAGGAGTAACGAGCTGCAGCACTCAGTGCCACTTCCGCTTTCCAATTCCAATGCAGCGAAGCAAATGCGCCTTGTCATCATTCTAGCTATTCTTGCGAGGGAGATTGACAAGCATATCTTCCAGTCAACATACCTTCTATCTGAAGACAGCCAGATCCGAGAATTGTTAGCCCGTACGGCCGTCCATGCAAGCGAAAAGGAGTCTTTCTGTCGTTCAATTTTACTATCAATAGATCCGGACGCTCATGTCAAATCACGAGATACGAGAGTTCAGACTGTGGTAAGGAATGTTTCGTCGGCTCTTTTCGACTTATTGCCGGAGAACAGGTTTCAGGAATTTCGCGGCTCCCTTGACAAGGTGGCGCGGGAAGCTGCTGGAGTATGGGAACCTTTTCAACGATCAAAGAAACGATACGAACCTGACTTTGAGCCTCTCCAATGGGGCGATGGTGAATGGGATCCTTTTATGTTTCCCGGAGATGGCGAAGATCAGATGCTGGAAGGTTTCCCGGATAGCAATCTGCTAACCGTATTTCCGCGGATTTCCATAATAGATGACAATGGGCGCTCACCTTGCACTGTTGTCATGCAAGTCCGAAGGGTATCACGGATATGTGTCTCTGCCGAGCAAGAGTTTGGCCAGCAGATAGCCAGCCCTCCTGTGAAACGAGTGGCGTCGGCTCGTTCCCGAAGAAGATCAATGACTTCTCATTCTACGAAGGAAGGAAACGGCGCTTTTTTAGGAGGCAAGATTTCGTCAAAGGCCTAGTCGATCTCATGAAATTCAAGAGGTGAGAGATTTCGCAAAGCCCGATATATGAAAAGCAGGAGCTGATTGGAAACAAGGCCATGGCGAACGAAGAGGATGCTCGCCGGGACTCTGAGGAGTAGACGAAGCACCGTCTGACAGAAAGCAAATAAGGCTGTTACAATATGGCCACTGTTATAATGTACATTGCTAATTCATTCTTTCCCGTTATTCTCGAGTCTTAATTGGTGCTTAGTATAAAGCTGCTTGCACCAAATCCATACCCATGCATAGGGCCATGTATCCAATGTTCTGGACAATCAACTAGCGCTGCCTCGCACTTCGGACATGGGTAAATATTTTGCAAATACCCAGGATAAGAAGCCACAGTGGAGAGCTCAGAGTAAGCAGAAAAAATATTATAAATAAGTTTGCAGTGACAGAGGCCCCTGATGCTTCTCCAAGAAGTTGACTGCGCTGAAGCTTGTGCTCTCTTTCTTCATCCTCCATGATACGCAGAATTCGATTGACCTGCATCAATCTCACTTGTCGCTTTTCGCAGTAGGCATGCTCTAGTTTTTGAAGTTTTCGATCTCTGCGCTCGTCTCTTCTGGCTTTTTCTTCCTGTATTCTGTCTTTTTTGCGTCTCAGGGATACCTCAAAAGCCTTCCAGTGTTCTTGGCGACTTTTTTCTGTTGGTTTGCGCTTCCGCCTCAACTGTTGCGAACTAGTTTCCTGATCTATTCCCAGGATTTGTCGACGCTGGCATAGTAATGGTTCACCATCCAAAAAAATAATCTCACTGTGACGAGTTGCGGCACCATCAGACTCAGTGTTATCAGGGTACCAGCTGACCTGATATCAGTCAGAAAGCTAATGCACGCCAATAAACTTATGCTCACTCATGTCACATAACACTGGTGTTTATCTTAACCTTCAACATACCTGATGAATATCATATCTTGACGCTGCTTGACTAATTACGGACTGAAGTTGGAGGCCAAGCTCCTCCTTTGCTTCTTGCGGTGTCCTCATCGTCTCATCGTCCAATACAGCGTGGTGGGCCATTGCATTGCGTATTCGCTTGCATCTCAACAGCAGGTCCCCGAAATATTTCGATGCTTGCTTGCTTAATACACCTCGGAGCCTACCACCAGGCCGGGAGCATGCACGACGAAGTATATAAATAATTGTCGGCAGATCCACCGCCTGGTGGCAGGTAAACCCCTGTTTATCAAGACCATGAGGGTCCACTATCTCTGAGAGGATATAACCCAGAAATTCCAACTCCTGGGTCCAGTTCAGGAGGCGTTTATGTGATTCAAGATATAAAGCAGTTTCCTGTTCCATGGCGCTGTGGTAGTGAACTTCAATGCGAAGATTAGATTGGGGCGGCCGATATCATATTTTAAAAGCTGTAAGTAGGGGTTCGTTCCAATTGATGCCATAATGTTGAGGTCATGACCCAAAGTTCGACTAAACGGATGCGGAATTCATAAGCGCAGATTGAGAATGCGCAGAGTGCTAGGGTGGAGGTCTAAAACCTCATAAGCGATTAATCTAGTTAGCTAGTTAACTAGCTAACTGATGACGTACTGGATCAACACCAGTCAAGAACTGTATAAAGTGGGTGGCAGCTCTAACAAAGACGGTCCCCTGCAGGAGTCGAGTTTTCATTCGTATTCCAAAGGGTGTTATGTACAATTCGTTATCTTGAGTGAATACATGCCTTCACGAATTGTGCGAAGTTGATGGCCGTAGCTATCGGTTGGCAATATATAGGTACCACTAAGATCGCGGACGACGTCGGGCCCGGAAAGAGTACCGCGGGTGGCTCATCGGCTCCAATCGTGTCCTATAAACATAAGAATCGCTAGTGCTGTGTGATGCACCGTTCACCCTGTTATTGAGGCTATTGTAGACCGGCCGACGGCGCTTTGAATGTCCATGGACTGGAGAAGCTTGGTCTCTGGAGTTCTTTAGTCGGCTGTAGTAGATGCTCTGCAGAGTACCTTTCTTCTTATGCGGAAACTGGATGGCGATCTCATTCCACGTATATCCCTCATCCCGTAGCTTAACAAGCTTTCGTTCTTCGTCAGGTGAAAGCGAACCCCGGTTGGAAGGGGGTCGACCGGTTTTCTTTTTATTCTCAGCGGAAGAGTCCCGTTCCACCGGGTGATATACTGGTCTCTTCGCGGGAGCCAACTCAACATTCCCCTGGGACAGCGTCATAGTCTGGAACAGTTGGCCATCGACCACCCGAAAGGTGGAGTAACCAACGAAGATTGGAATATGTTCAGCTTCGTGAATATCAATAGATAGCGTTGTCCCGCTCAAGCGCCATGGACAATGAGCGTTGGAGGGTGAGTTGGTATTGGTGTTCTCAAAATCAGAACCAGCACATCGAGTGACGGGCTCTTCGGGTCCGCTGCTTGGGTCGGGCTCCCGTAAGCTTCGTATTTCCGCATGCGAAAATTCGACTTGTTTCGTCCGCGGTTGGATGGGGGGAGGGGGAGTGCGAAGTGGGTGGCGCTGACATTTGGCCATTGATCGATTGCGCATGTTTTGGAGGCGAAGTGATAGGCTGATTTGTGTCAGAGTCCAGCGATTTGTGAATAGAATAGCAAGGTGATGCAGCAATTTCTGCGTCTTCACAAGGGGTGACCTCCTCGTTGTGAAGCACGGTGGCTTCCAAGTTCACATGGGCAGGAGGTTCGGGACACTTGTCTCGATCTAACCTAGGGATATGAACACCGTTTGTCTCTCTGCAGGACGAGGGCGATTGACATGCAATTGAACGCGAGCCGATAAACCGATGCCCCTCAAGCGGTTGGTCTGATGGATTGACACCATCATTCATGTCAGAAATTTCTTCACAAGGAGTGCCCGGGGCAACCGGGCCATTCTCCTCGAGGTTCTGTTCTTCAGACAATCTGCTCTCTATCCCAGTTTCTAGCTCTGCTGGTGTCGTGACATCCACAGCCAAGTTTTGCATGGGCTCGATAGACTCCGAATCTCCCAAAGTCTCTATGCATTTAAAAGTTGGACTGTTAGTGTCCGGTCGAAACGTGCAGGCAAAACCAATCCATTTCAACCTTACCGTCAACCGAGACATCTAGTTGCATGGTATCATTCGCGGTATCATTCGCATTTGACTGCGCCTCACACGGCTTGAAAGCATGTCGCATATCAATGCCACTTCCACTGGGAGAATTTAGATTGACAGTGTTTGTGCCAGTGCTTTCATGAAAACCCTCAGCCAGAGAAACCTCATGAAGATCCGTTCCAGGTAGTGATGGCGGAGACCCGGAAGAAGATATTGAACGTTGAAGTAAATCATGTACGATCGGCTGCTCTTCTTCAAAACTCTGGGTGACAGCTGAACCTCCTTGACTTCCAAGGTTTTCCCGTGGGCAAAAATTTGGCTCAGTTGTGGAAGGGCACCCTTCCCTCGTTATCAGGACAGCATTTTTGGCAGAAGGTGTTTCCTTGGAGCTGAAGTGGCCAAGACTAATGGTCTCATTTGGTAAATAAGGGCCAACGTCTCGCAAATGAATCACTTGCTGGGGGATGTCCAAGCTGCAACCCTCGTTCGTGTTCGTGTCCGACGGAAGGAAAAGGCCCGCCAGAGAACCGATCTCATCGTGCTGTATGCCACTCATGTCTGGTGAGGACGCAGAAGCACAATGAGATACTTCGTGATATTAGCAACTCATTTCAGGGCATCAATTTCTTCGAAAGGGGATACAAACCATCACCGGAAGGACGTTCGCATGCATTGTTATCGCAAGCAGATCTATGATGAGAAAGAGCAGAGAAATTGCCGGAAGCTGCTATTCTATTGCTGGATAGACAGTCCTCATCTCTCATCTGACATGCAATGCCTGGCGTAGAAGCGGAGGATAGGTGTAGGCTGAATCGCTCCTCCTTTGAGAAACGGGATGGATTGGAATTGGGCTTGTAAAAAAGGAAGCCACTCATACTGTCTTATCTCACAGATTCAAGAAAAAGTGCGGCAAGAAAAGAAAAATTTGCAAAACCTGGAATGAGACTATCAAGTCCAATTGAGATTCGAAACAAGAGGCCGCATCTCCGTTTAAATATATAGCAGCGGAAAAGGTCATCATCCACACCGTACCCTCGGCTCCAGTACCCTACGGATCGACATCGGATAGGCCGGGCAGACAAGTCACCGTCGACCAGGAAGGGCACCTAAGGACGCCTAGTCCCATATTGCATGGTTGTACGTAACATTCTCCATCGCGTCGCATAACCAGCCGCGGGCTGAATCCTACCCTCTACCCTCGCCTCCGCGCCCAAAATGTTCTCATATGACCGGGTGTGGATCGGCTGAAAATGCCTTCCGGTCATCACCGCAAATAGGTGAGGCAATTCGCGTGCGGGGTTCACCGGGGCTGTGAAAGGGCGCATCTCGTCGTTATACCTGAAGCGGCGTCTGAGCGGCTGGCGCACCATGTCATGGCTATGCCATTGGGCCGAAAATCACCAAACGAGGAAGGTAGTGACGAGGAAGACGCCGAGACTGGCCATCCCACGACGCCTGGTGCATGGCAGCTTCCGTCGCGTCGAATATTAACGAATACGGGCATGTGGGACTGTTGGAATAGAACGGGACCAATGCCTTCGATGTTCCGCTTCACTTGTGGCCGCCATCAAACACACGCTCGGATAGAACGGCCAACTATCTCCCCATCAGGCTATCCGAAAGCACCACGAATGGAAACCGCATCGAGCGTCCAGTTTCGGAGACTCCGGGCCAAGATGTCATCAAATCTGCCCAGAATCTGCCCAGAATCTGCCCAAAACATGCCAAAAGAAGCAAAGGTCGAGGATTGAGTCCACAGGCCAGCATAGCTTCCAATTAGACATGGCCAGCCAAGCGGTACAAACGCAAAAATGCCGCGTCATCCTCGCGACTGGCAAAAAGACCCAGTCCAACATGATTTGGAATGAAACAGCCACCAAGGCAGTGCGGAAAGTAGCATGGGGACAGCCTCATTCTAATTATCCAATAGCACACTCTGCCTTCAGTGGGACCACCCGGAAAGCGCCATGGGTATTTCGCCTGGAAGAAGCACAGCGGACTGATGTTTAGCATGGCGTCAGAGAGGGTCGGAAGTTGCCTTCGACAGTGCCGCAAATGGGAATAGATCCCAATCGATTTGAATCCGGATATCGGAGAAACGGCGGGCCGAATGTAAGCATGGACTGAGCGTGTATTCTGCCCTGGGAGCCTAGTCCACAGCACCGATTGAAGGGCAAATAGGTCCGTAATTCCTGGGCAAAAGCCGTCGCTGTAGCCCCCAAAGGTCAGGCCTGGGGTGGGGGTGGGATGCAGCTCGACAACCTGTATCACACAGCCCACCTCACAGCCAGGCTGCAGGGCGTGGAATCTCCCCCCGGGCGAGCGACGCTGGTAGCCATCCAGAGGTGCGTCCTCAGCGACCGAGCGACGGACGCGGGCTGGCGACAGGAGAATGACCAGGACCGTCGGTGGGGAAGGAGAGACTCGCAGCGCAGGGATCGTCCAGCGGCAAAGGTCGGCGTTGGCCGTGCGAGGCAACGGACGCGACGCAGGCCGGGTGGGGGAATGGTGGTCCGATATCGCGAAGGATCGCTGGGGAGGCGTCGCTGAGCCGGCTGAGGTGCGACCTCAGCGAAGGAGGGGGGATGGGAACAAGACAGGACGTTACCGATACCAGGGCGGGCGGACGTCGGGCTTTATAGCGGCGCGGGGCCGGGCGGTGAGGTGCGGCAGTTCCGGGTCTGGCGAGGCCGTTTCCGGATGCGGCGGCCCCTAAAGGCAAATAACTGTATGTCCACATGGCACTCCTCAGATGGACTCCATGAGCCCAGCCCAGAAAGCTCTGTCGTCTGTTTTCGAGGATAGTTTTATTCGCCGCTTCAGACGGACACAACCATATCAACCTGTCAATCAAGTCCTGCCGATAGCGTCCCGTTCCTGTAACCCTGGAAAGAGGGAGGAGGGGGAAAAAAATAATAATAATAAAAATTGGCGCTGCCCGGAATCGAACCGGGGCTGGCGCGGCCACAACGCGACGTCATACCACTAGACCACAGCACCTTGTTCTTGTGCAATTTTGACTACTAAAAGATATATCCTAGAAAATTGAGGACACGCCAATATTGATAAATTCATTTCACAATTGGTCGTGGATTTGGTTGTAAACTTCTGTGTATGGTTCTTTGCTTCAGGATTTCCTGTTAAAAAAGTGGGAATAGAATAATTATGCGTGTTTGAGTCGTGTCAATAGGTGGGGTTGGTACTTCGGTATATATTCACCCGACCCTACTTAGAGAGCAAAGAATTAACTACTCGTTCTGAGAGCCATTGTCATCACCCTGAACATCCCTGTTCCTATTTCATCCCTAGACTGGAGCGAAAATATAAATAAAAATGAATCAACATGATATATGCAACCGTAACACTCTAATACCCATGCATTTACACAACAAGTCAGGCAACAAAATAAGCCACTCATTCCGTAACCGGACTACCCTCTTGCTGCTTCTTCCGATTCTGCTTCATCGCCCACCCGGTCAATTCTGGATGCGCCGGGTCAATACGCGGTGCGCTCATCTGATCCAAGTAGTCTTCACCCTCAACAGCGGACTGCAACTGCGGGAGGGTCTCTATCTCCTGATTGATCATGCATCCTTCATATGTTTGCCATGATTCATCGGTCTTGGATAGTTAGCATCGTAGAGCATTATAGAGAGTGGAGGAAGACAAACCTCTGCATCAACCCATTCATACGCATTCCACTTCTCATCTTGCATCTTCTTCAGAAGCTCCAGATTGCCAGCAACCATGGCGGCTTCTCCATCTTCACCGGCGGCCTTGATCTTAACATCAATGGTCCGGGCTTCGTTTTCGGCGGCGCGTTCCTCCTCGCCTTCTTTCCGGGCTTTGCCTCTCCCCTTTGTAGGAACCTCATCCAAGGCATCGAGGTGGTGTAATTGTGGGTGTAATTGGACAACAGCAGACACGGGAGAAAGATGTAAATCCTCTACACAGTCATTAGCCAGTCATCCAGCAAACATTCCTAAGAAGAGGATGACATACTCCCCCGAAATGCACCAAGCATATAAACCGGATCCCCATCCTCCGGCGTTTTAATCCTCCCACCAAGCGTCTGAAGCCTCAACAACGACGCCGTCTCCTCCGCATCTCCCCCTTTCTTCATCCCTCCCATCTCCACATCCCCATCCTCCATCTTAACCTTCCCACCACTGCTACCACTACCAGCACCCCCCCCACTGAACCCACCCGCCATACCATACGCACCCCCTTCTCTTGCACTCCGACTTTTCTTTATCGCATCACCGTACCGTAGCCCCTTCCCGACATCATAATTCACCCGCGTGCTAATCGGGACGTCCACTTCAACGAGCCCCGTTTGCGGCTTCAGACGGAGCGCTGTAGGCTTTTGGCCATGGCGATCATCATAGGCTTGGTTCGCGGGTCGGTCGAGGTATTGCAGGACGTAGCGCGAGATTTCGGAGTCTGTGAGGTAGACGTCGTAGGATGCGACGACGGGGTCGGAGTCTGCGTCTGTGGCCATGGTTTCGTTTCTCTCCGGATGATTGGAATCGCGTGTCGTAGTGTAGAAGGTAAGTTTTATCCAATTAATAAAGATAGTCGATATATTATTAATGAAGAATTAGAGCAATCAACCTGACATGCAATTTTTGTCAGAGCAGTCGGCGTATCACTTGATAAGAAAATTGGCGGCAGAATAATGTGCACCGCTTTCTGATTCAGAATGTCCCCTCCTAGGGCTACGCTACGGTCATAATCCAGCAATTAGACTGGCCATAGCTAAGGTAACTTGTTAAGAAATAATCATGAGTAAATACATCATGCACTATTTATAGTTCTCGAGCGTCACAAAAAAAAAGGGTTTGGAAGAAAGATTCAAAAAAGAAATGGCGCTGCCCGGAATCGAACCGGGGCTGGCGCGGCCACAACGCGACGTCATACCACTAGACCACAGCACCTTTGCTTGTGAAAATATCTCATGCTCTTTTTTATATAAAAAAACTAAATAATACCCAGTCGTCCGACTCGGGACTACAAGCACGTGCGAAAGAGTTCTATAGCAAAATAGCATTACGGATAGCTTCATTGTACATTTTGAGCACCCAATACCAATTGATTATCCATCGAAATCAATCGAAATAGCATTGTTCCACCAATTGCCATACAGACTGGTTGCCAACTCGCCACCTTCAATTATCAACTGCAAATCAGGCCTCTGATAAGCAATGCACGTGATCTCACGTGTGCTATCAGCGGAGATCGGTTTGATAATTTTTCTCTTCCGCTTCTTGTAGTCTCGTCGCCGCCATCCCATCTTCCTCTTCCTGCTTATCTTTATTTTCCTTTTGTCCTAATAGTCAGTGCAGGGAAGGGCTGCAGGACGGCTAGCCAGACAATTCCTCTCGTCTTTTGACCACGCCTCAGAGCCATTGTTCGGATGGTCAGATTTCGCTAGTATTGGGCTCCTGTACCCATTTTGCATCTCTAATAATCTTCCCGCATACCGTCAATTTCTCTTCTACCTTTGTTTTTTCGATAATAATTTACGACTTTGCATCCGTTATACGTTTTCAATCTCCTATCATGTTGTCACGAGTCGCTCGTCAGAAAAATACCTTGTCCCACCTTCGACACTCGACTGGCCGCCGGGCGTTGCCGTCTCTGCTCCCATTGCGGTTTCATTCGCAATCAAACCGACCCCTCGCCTTAGAGCGTTCTCGCCGGCCGTCCCTTCAGTTGAACCGGAACCTCGCCACCACTACGGACCAGACCGCAATCGACAATGGATCGTCCTATGTCCCTCTCGACGACTCATACGCCGAAAACGATGAAAAATCATCACAATGGGACCATCTATTCTCGCCACGGGCACAGGGCTTCGATAATTCCTCATTGATCATCATCGACGATCTTTTGACGACAAAGCCCAAGTCTCTTCGGAAGGTCAAGGGTATCGGTGGTGATGAGGATGAGATGATGGCAAACTTGGATATGTCCTTGAAAGTCGGCCGGTTTGATCGAGCTGCTACATTGATCAGTCGAATGGGCAATAACTATCCGGTTGGGTCACCGGAATTTCTCGCTCTCCACAACCGTTATCTCGAGGAAATGGTCACCAATATGATCGTGACGAGGCAGCACAACATGGTTTTACCCATGCAGAGATGGTTCGAGTTAGATATGCCCAACGGAAAGGTTCAACCCGACGCCAAGACCTACGCTATCATGATACGCATGGCGCTGCGTATGTTGCACGGTTCGAAACGCGATAGATCTGTGCGCAGATATTGGGAATTTGCCAAGAGGGATAGTGTTGAGGACCAGGTTTTGGCTGTGCCCATTCTTTCAGAATTGGAGCTTGGTGAACTTTCAGAGGTGAGTTTTACTGGGTTTGTTTAAATCAAATGAATACTGATTGTTTTAGATTTGCTCCTCCGATCTCCAGCGCATGTCAATTGATAGCATGGACCAATCACAGAAGGATTTGGATGCAGAAATCGAAGAGATCGCCGAAGTTATGCCTGTCGCACAAAAAGGTTTTGGTCTCGCTTCATTGAAACAATCGCTTTCGTCGTTTGCGAAGACCCCTAGAGATCCTATCAAAAAACGAGAAGCGGGAGATATCTTAGGAGAAGCACAGGAAGACATGGAACTAACTAAAGAGATCCGGCAGCGACAGATTGAAGCAGATGCTATTCAGTCTGCTCTGGAACGTTGGCGCCGCGAGTTCAGTGAAAGGCAAAAAGCAGGTATCGATACCACCGGTGGCGGGACACGTTTGGGCTCCGTCATGAATCAATGGCATACCGATCTTGTAACCAGACTCAGGGAGGAAATCAGTCTTATTGACGAGGCAGAGAACAACCCGATTCGGACTCGTGCCCAGAAAGAGCGAGCCGAATATGGTGTCTTCCTGCGGAGCTTGGACCCTGATCGCCTAGCTGCCCTTACTATCCTTGCCGTGATTTCCGTTTTTAGTCGAGTCGGTATGGATAGAGGCATCAAACTTTCAGCAATTGTCTCAACAATCGGGAAAGACCTCCAGGATGAGTTAATTGCGGAAACCGCCCTGAAGAAAAATTTAGGGGCAGATGCCAAACGTATCAAGGCACTGAAGCAGATCCTCTCCGGTCGTAAACGAAAGGATGGTCGGGGTCGTTGGCAATATCTGGTTCAGAGCCTCCTACAAGAGGACCAAACTCTCGTTTGGCCTCCAAGGGTCTCGGTGAAAGTCGGAGCTGTCTTGATGAGTTTGTTTTTCGAAGTCGGAAAGGCACCTGTTGCGGTGGAGGACCCAGAGACTAAAAAGCGAGTGGTTACTTTGCAACCGGCTTTCCAACACGTGTATCAGATCACCTGGGGCAAACGCTCCGGACTGATCCATCTCCACCCTGAGATCGTGAAGCTCGTCGCTAAAGAACCAGCCGCCGACCTTTTGGGCCGGACATTGCCCATGGTGTGCAAACCCAAGCCCTGGCAGGGAGCGAATGATGGTGGATATTATGTCTATCGGAGCAATCTGGTACGCTCAACTCCGGGTGAGAAGTTGCAGCCGGCTTATATCAAAGCTGTTATCGAAACCCACGGTCTTGCAGAAGTCCGCGAGGGCTTAGACACTCTTGGAAGCACAGGATGGGCTATTAACCGGGATGTATTCAACGTTATGCTGGAGGCGTGGAACTCCGGTGAAGCTGTCGCCAACATTGCCCCTTTGGAACCCGAATTTAGCATTCCGCCGAAACCATCCCCTGAAGATGGCTACCAAGCCGAGAAGGAATGGAACACCATGATGCGTGAAATCGAGAACAAAAGATCTGGCTTCCATTCGATGCGATGCTTCCAGAACTTCCAAATGGAAGTCGCCCGTTCCTACTTGAACGAAACGTTTTATCTTCCTCACAACATGGATTTTCGTGGACGTGCCTACCCTCTTCCTCCCTATCTCAACCAGATGGGCGCCGACAACTGCAGAGGACTTCTCCTCTTCGCTGATGCAAAGCCACTCGGTGAGACTGGTCTGAGGTGGTTGAAGATTCAACTTGCAAACTTGTATGGTTTTGACAAAGCTAGTCTTTCGGAACGTGAGAAATTCGCCATGGATAACCTCGACAACGTCTTTGATTCTGCAGACAATGGATTGCACGGAAAGCGTTGGTGGCTTGAGGCAGAGGACCCGTGGCAATGTCTAGCGGCCTGTTGTGAACTGCGAAATGCCCTTCGCTCTCCTGACCCCACTCAGTATCCTTCACGTATTCCGATCCACCAGGATGGTTCTTGTAATGGATTGCAGCACTATGCAGCACTTGGTGGTGACAGCGTTGGTGCCCGACAAGTCAACCTGGAACCTTCTGACCGTCCGTCTGATGTTTACACCGGTGTCGCTGAATACGTCAAGGAAGCAGTCGCTCGCGAAGCAGCCGGAGGTGACCCAATTGCGCAGATGCTAGATGGAAGAATCACCAGAAAGGTTGTCAAACAAACGGTTATGACAAACGTGTATGGTGTGACTTTCATGGGTGCCATGATGCAGGTCCGCAAACAGCTTGTCGACCACTATCCCGACCTTAGCCACTTGGAAAAGCGACAGGGTGCGCTTTACATTGCCCGGAAGATTTTTGAAGCTTTGGGAGCTATGTTCCAAGGTGCCCACGAGATTCAGTACTGGCTTGGTGACTGTGCGACTCGCATTACGCAGTCCTTGTCTCCCGAACAAATCGATGACATTGCGAAGACCGCCCTGTCGCCAGACGGGGCATTCGAAGAAGCGAAGCCCAAATCGAAGGATCCCACCGAAAAGTTCCGATCGACCGTAATCTGGACAACCCCGCTAGGCCTTCCTGTCGTCCAACCATACCGGGTGCGCAAGTCGCGCCGTGTCGAAACCAGTTTGCAGGACGTCAGCATCGTCGACAGCAACTCGGAGGATGTCGTGTCCAAGCGGAAGCAGCTCCAGGCGTTCCCGCCAAACTTCATCCACTCGCTCGATGCCACCCACATGATGCTCTCCGCCAACGCCTGCCGTCGGGCCGGACTAACCTTCTCAGCCGTGCACGATTCGTTCTGGACCCACGCGAGCGATGTCGACTCGATGAACACGATTCTCCGTGACTCCTTCGTACGCATGCATTCCGATGACGTTATTGCAAGACTCCACGCCGAGTTCAACGTTCGCTACAGCAACAACATCTTCATGGCCCGGGTGGAAGCTACCAGCAAGATCGGAAAGGCCGTCAAGGCGATGCGAAAGAAGAGGAACTCCAAGGTTACGGAGCTGCTAGACGAGCACAAAAGACAGAAGCTGCTCAAGTCGGACGATCCAGAGCAGCAGGCCCGAGGCCGCGAAATGGTCACTCCCGCCAGCCTGTTCGAGGAAATGGGCTGTGGCCACGATGATTTGAGAATCCTGAGCTCGCTGGGTGAAAACGCCGTCGGCCACGTCCCGGAGGACATCGAAGCCGCAGAGCGTAAAATGTCCAACCAAGTGGATACGCAGGATCCCGCCATCGCCACCCTTTTCCAGGACATCGACCCGACAATGGGCAATGGTGAGAAGAACGCCGATGACGCGGAGGGCAAGGAAGCCGAAGCCTTCCCAGAAACCGATGCTTCGTACTTCGGTGAGGCCATGGAGGGCGAAGTCAAAGAGGCCAAGGAGCAGCCGAAGAAGAAGGCGAAGCCTCCGACCGTGTGGCTCTGGCTTCCTGTTCGGTTCCGCGATGTTCCTCAAAAGGGATCGTGGGATATCACTCGTATCCGGGACAGCGAGTATTTCTTCTCTTAGACGTTTTCTTTTCTTTTTTTTTATTTTTATTGTTGTTGTTTAGAGCATTGGCACGGCGTTGGATGGTTTGCAAAAAAGAAAAGCCACTGAACGAAAGCATTTATTACTGAAATGTGGGTGTTTTTTTTTTTCTTTTCTCTCTTGCTTTGTATATCTATACCCTGTTGGTTTATTAAAACCCCCCGCCCAACCGTGTTTTCAGATTCATGATTCTGGATGGATATTTGTCTTCTGTATATTATTTGATGTCAATTGGAAAAGAGGGATGGTATCATGATCATGGCATGTACGAATAGACGTTAGAATTGGATATGTTTCATCCACTCTGGATATGTTAAGCAGTAAGAATACCCAAGTCCAAGACTTAAATGAAATTTGGTTTCAATGTAACCTGTGATAATGCCGGCTATGTATGGAAACTTTTCAGGTAAAGATATATATACTGACAGGTATCCCTCGACCGACAGAAATGGATACTCAATGGTAGTGAAAAATAAAAACAAATAACAAACAACCCAAAACCAGTCTAACGCCTCATCCCTTCCTATTCCCACCCTTTGCCCTGCTACGAGTTACCCTGGTGGATTGGGGCTCTTCGTCTTCCTCTTCCACCGGCCCTGTAGGTGTTTCTGGGCTCGAGTTACTCGCAGCGACCATAACCGCCTCCTCAGTATCATATTTAACTGGCGAGTGGTTGTTCGCATCAGGCTTGGACACGGAGTCCCAAGTAAACTCTCCAGCGCTGGATTGGGAGTTGCGGATGTTCGCGAGAACCTTTGTCGCCTCGCTCTCCTCGCCGTTCCATACCCCGCAGCCTCCGCATCGCCAGCGACCAAGTTCTTCCAGAGTTCGGACGCCAGGTGGTGCCTGGCCGTTGACGAGTCGACATGTGCGGCAGATCAATGCTACCCGGTTCTTGGGTTGTGTTTCGTCTTCTCCTAAGAGGACATCTAAGAGACGGTCGTACCAGTGGGATTGTTCGATGTATTGGGAGGATCTTGGGAAGGCATTCGGAGCAAATCCAGGTTCATCGACGGGCTGTTGTGGTCGCGGAGGTTGAGGAGGGGTCTGAGGGAAGGGTTGAGGCTGGTTTTGCGCTCCATAGGGGGACGGTGGGGATGGGTTGGGAGGCGATTGTGCTGAAGGAGTTACAGGTCGTCGAATATTGGCTGTCGGCGGCGGAGCTAGTCCTGTGCGTGCTACCGGTGGCTGTTGTTGTTGCGGCGTCGACGGTTTACGCTGGGCCTCCAACAACTTGCGCTTCTCGTCATCGCCCTTTGACGGTGACGGTCTAGGGGATTCCCCACCATACTTCTCAAGCAATTGCTGGGTCGAGTTATATTTGGTAGCCGCTTTGAGTTTCTCGATGGTAACGTCTCGTTGCTTATTCAGATCATCCAGATGTTGTTGGGTCTTGGAGATGCGGTAATCGAAGAATCGGCTGGCCAATGTCCTAACGACGTAGATCCTGCACAAGTCAGCATCGGGATCCACAACAAGGTTATGTTTTGCATCAATGGGTTCCGTACAAAACCGGCCCGCCAGAAACAGCAGAGTATTCAACGATTCCCCAATTCTGCCAACCGAGAACGAGAGCTAGGATGATCGAGTAAAGGAGGTACGCGAAGGTGGTGTAGAGCGTCCAGAGAGCTTTGAAACGGCGGGCATTTTGGCGGTGGGTGTCCAAACGCGCGGTTGCATTGTTGATCTTGGTCGAAAGAGCGGCAAGCGTCTTCTCGAAGTGCGCTGGGGAGTTGTCCTCGCCCTGATTTGAGACATGTGAGTTTTCCACCCGTACTCCATACACCACCAACTAAAGGGATAGAGCAACGTACCTTCCAAGGCCAGAGAGACACCATGACCTAGTTGAGCTTCAGACAGAAATACTTAACGCAAGAGCATATCTCAAATAGAGAAAAAAAGTGAAGTGTCAAAAGTGTTAGGCATGTCAGGCAGCTGGATGTGTTGTCGCCCTTTCGCCAAAACGTCACGGGAGGGACAGCGCAACACGTGCCGCCTTCCTTTCTGGGAATAGCCTCTGCATCTCATCTTGGTCTCCTCTTTTCTTGTTTTCTCAAACTATCGAGAAAAATTGCTAGCAAATCTGTAACATACTAACTGAGAAAGTCACATGAACCCCTGGGTATGGAAGCAATTGGCTTAAACACCTAATAGCGCTCTTTGTCGCCATCGGACGCTTCCGGGTCGATGTCTATCCACGAGGCAATCCCCTATGTGAACAGGGATCTGACTGTGATACCGGTCTAAATGACACTTGCCGGTAATTCGGGATGCTTGAACTAGCTCGCCATCAACCTCCCCAGAAGGCCTCCGGGCCTCCGACCTAACATCGGCGCTAGTTTCTGTGACCTATTATTGGATTTCGGGCCTTGATTTCGGTAACTAGACGGAAGCGGCCGTGGAAATCCGGGACTCCATGAGCTCATGAAGATCAGCATTGGTGCAAACAAAGAACAGTCCCCGGGCGGGCTTGGCCAGACCGAAAGAGAGAACTAAAAGTCCCTCGGGCTGTCTCTTTGTCTGTGATCTACAGACCGTGGTGTCCTTTTTCTCAGGTGAACCTACTAGAACAAGAGCCGAAGCATGCATCGCCATTAAGTTACCCCCCACGGCCTTTTTGTTGACTTGAACTGCTGTGTAACGTGCTGGATCGGACAGGCTCGTCGTTGGTATGCGACAATCTTGTCAGGGGAATTCTCTCTCAGCATCTTTTAGAAAAGTGCTGGGCAGACCATGAATATCACGAGAGAAAACTTATTTTCCGCCATGGCGCCTGAGAAAACATGTCATGAAAGAGACGGTACAAAAGCCGTCTCTTTTCATTCATGGTTTGATTGCGGCGTATGGTAGTTACACCAAATTTGGTTGGCTTCCTCTAGCGCCTGTCAAACCCAACGAACTGTTGGTTAAATGAACTCTACTCCTATTGGCATCAACGAACATAACGCCCTCAGAAAACCACACCGCACGAGATAGGTCAATCTACCGTGGTCACTGTCGCTAGGGAACTCCTGGACACTCGAAGCCGCTTTTTTCTTTTAAGCTTTGGCAACGACAATGAAAAGAGAACTACGCGAGCTGAACTAGAATGATCAGAATTACCTTGTTTTATTGGCAATCCTCAAGACGTAATCCGATTTCACACGGTATATTGTCCTGTTCTATGGGGTCATGAAGTCTGTGCTCTCTATTTGAACCCGAGGGGCTTAAGGGATCATAGCCCTGGTATGAATATAATATTGCTCGTATCTGCTGCTTCTGGCCCTTAAGTTCTCTCACTTCATGCTTCTTTACTTCTTATTTCCACTACATCCTATGTCCTGATAAATTGTCATAATGGAAGAGCAAGTGCTGTCACGACCGACCACCGAAGCTGGACTGTGTCTAATGGTGGCCTTCTTTGCTGTTGCGAGCTACAATGCATTGGAGATATTTTTTTCAATCTTTGAAATCTTTAAACGCCGCCATGGACTATACTTCTGGAGTATGCTAGCAGCAACATTGGGTATTCCCCTCAACGTCACTTTCAGCATAACCTCTATTTTCACCTTAATTCCCATCATTCCTTCCGTCATTGGCTATCTACTGGGGTATTATCTCATGAGTGTTTCTCCATTGATTGCTCTTTACTCTCGCTTACACTTTGTCATTTCAAATCCTCGAAGGCTTCGATGGATCCTATATGGCATCATCGCTCTCTCCTTATTCATAATTGTTACCATGACAATCTTCATTTTTTGCCAAGTTGCGGGTCTCTCACACTTTAAAAACTACCGACTCATCTGCTGGAACGTCACAATGACCTGTCTCTGTGTGACCGAGGTATCTCTATCTGGGGTATACATTCGAGAAGCAATCATGAATTTGAAGCCTGTGTTGAGGATGAAGGGCCAGGAAGGGAGAAAACTGATACTGCACCTGGTCACCCTCTATATCTATGTCATTATTCTCCTTGGCATCTTTCTGATACTCATTTACACGAAACATTACGTCCCTGCGCTCGGTTACCATAGCTTCGTCTACAGTATCAAGCTCAAAACGGAGTTTGCAATCCTCAACAAATTGATCTGCTTGGTCAGGACCTCTATCGATAGCCTTGAGATCCCACAACCGCCGGCCCCAAACGCTCTGCGTAACGTCCGACCCAACGGGTGTCAATCGATTTTGAACCAGAAACCGCAACAAAACTCGGAAAGCTCAACGTCAGGACGGAACTCGAAGGGCGATTTTGAAGCTGCACAGAAGCGAAGCTGTGGCGAGGATGAGCCTGATGTTATTATACCGATGCCTCCCCGAATTTTATCACCAGACCGCTTGATTACAGGCGTGGAGCGAGTTTGAGCCATTACATGGTTATGATAGTCTGTACATAGACTGATATCTGGTATAGATATACACTATTACATAGATAAATTATATGACCAGAAATGAAGTGAAGTAAAAGAAGAAGAATCTATGGCATATTGCCCATTCACTACTAGAATTCCCTGCTCTTCATAAGTTTCGGAGTCGTATACAATCTCTCTACTACTTCATATTCTCTGCAAGGTGTCAGGGCTCCCCAGGATACTGATTCTACCCTTGAACACGAATACCCATATTCCTACGGAAGAGAACAATAGAAATTGATTGAGTACCCGGTCTCCGACCTCAATTGACAACTTATTTGCATTATTTCATATTGGCAAATGCGCTCAAATATGTGCCGCGCTCTTTATTGCTTATCTAGCGTTTTGCTTTTCGCATAGTTCCCTTGTACACCCTTCATTTTGTATGCATGTCCGAAACGGTATACCTTCTCTTCTTGTAGCTGTACGAAACATTCTAGATAGATGACTTTTTATGCGGTTTCTAGATACACCAATAGACTACCCATGGTACACTATGCAAATGCTAGGGAGATACACCTTTGCCTACGTCCAGTCCTGGAACCTGAACTGTTAACTGTGAAAAGTGGGCCAACGTCTACTATAGATTCGATCTTCAGGCAAACTTTGAACCAACCGTTCGACATATACTAAGCCAAATATATCGACTTCCTTGGCTACTTAACCGGATGAGGATTGAATTCTTATCATTAGAAGAGTCTATGGTCTGCCTGACCCACCATAGGATTGAGACCTTTTTGGAAGTCTTTGACAAGAGGGATGAGATAGGACTTATCAGTATCCCAGAGATGCTTAATTCCTTCGTCGTTGTATACCGTTTAACTCATCATTTGTGAAAGGCTCAATTGTTAATAAAATTCTCTCAGACATCAGTCCAATGGGGTATATGTTCGTGTACTATCATGCAAAACCCATATAAACATAGACCCCAACACCACTGCCAGACACATGGAAATGTATAATATAAAACGCCGGGTACCGTATGCTTCCCGCCCCAAGCCCAGAAATGCAAATGTAAAACGTATCGACATATCAAAACACCAAAAATAGAATATAAAAAAACTTAGAAGACAAGAAATTACGCCTTCCTAGGCTCAAACCAACCCCCCCTTTCCCATTCACCGGGACGATAAGTCGTATTATTTCGGGCCTCATCATCCTGGAGGCCCTGGAAGAAGATGTTCAACCGGTTAAAATCAATAGGTTTCATGATCCAACCATCGAAACCGGTTTCAATGTATGTTGATGCGTCTTTTTCGAGTAGAGATGCGGAGACTGCAAAAATAGGCACCTGGCTATTTATTTTTGCAATTTCAGATAGCGCGTCTTTGGGTATTTCGCTTTCGAATTCGCGGATTAGTCGCGTGGATTGCATGCCGTCGACGATGGGCATCTATTGTTGTTGTTGTTGTCAGATTCACCCTATTTGGTATACCAGACTGGGGCAAACATACCTGGATATCCATCAATACTACATCAAACTCTTTGCAATCCGCACGATAAGCACTAGCACATGCCTCCCCATTACCTGTAAGATACACCATATGACCCAGTTTCTCCAGTCGCTTTTGGATGATCTTGCTGTTGATCGGATCATCCTCGGCCACCAGGACATTGAATTTTTCCATAGTAGTGGGCTTGGGCTTGGGAGCCGCAGAAAACGGCATGGATTTGTCAGGCTCCTGCTGAGACAGACCTGATGGCGGCACAGGCTTCTCGTCCACAACAGCCGGGTTGAGAGGCAATGTGGGTCTTTCAACATCCTGTCCAGGTACTCGAATGGCACCTAGCGGTATTCCGGAATCTTTCACAGGGGCCTGACCTGGGGGCAGAGAAATAGGAGGAACAGTCGTACGGATATCAGGGCCAGGTACGAACTCTGTGGTCGGTGTACCCGAGACAGACCTGCTGGTGGTCTTTTGCGGTTTAGGAATCAAGGGATCACTCGCATCCATCTGCTGAGTTCTTGTAGCGCCGCCTTCACTAGCACTCCGGGCTAAAAACGGTTCTTGCATGGCGCTGATCAGGCGATCGGCCTCACTTCGGTTACTATGAGCGCTGCTACCGCTCTTTCCGCTGCGATTGCTCTCAGCGCTTTGGCGGCGTGAGCGATCCCGTGAGCGGTTCCTACCCACCAGCATAATCTCTTGCTGATTCTGGAACGGAACCGCCGCCTCCGCCACCTGTTTGGGAGGATGAATATTACCATCGGTTGTCGAAGCCGCACCTTCTGGAACAGAGAATTGCAACGAGATCTTGAAGCGGCTGCCTTTGCCCTCTTTGGACCGCACACCCAGCTGACCTCGCATGTTGCGGACAATTCGAGCCACAAGCGCAAGCCCCAGACCAAGCACTCGTTTTTCTTGTCCTTCCGGGGAAGGAATGTGATCTTGGCCATCTTCATCATCCATAGACTCTATCTGCTCAAGCTGCTGGAACAATGCCTCGAGGGTATCTTGAGACATTCCCGAACCGGTATCCACAACTGCCATTTCAATAATCACGTCGCCATTGTTGGGCTGGACTGCCGCGCGCCAGACCTCGACGGTAACGCTTCCGGTCGAAGTATGCTGCATGGCATTCGAGATAAGATTTGAAATCACCTGGCGAATACGCCGCTGATCCCCCACAACTGCAGTCGGTAGTCCGGGGTGGGAGTGGGCGTTGAAAGTGATTCCCTTGCGTTTAGCTTCACCCTCGAACATATCCATAGCCTGTTTGATCGTCTGTGGCAGGTCAAAAGATTCATCTTTGATAAGATTCTGTCCCTTCTCCGTGTTAGTCAGGTCGAGCAGGTCGTTGATGACGTAGATCAGCGATTTCGAAGCAGAGTAAGACTTGGTCAGATTATCGCGGGTCTCACTGTCCAATGTGCCTTCCATTGCTATTTCAAGATAGTTGATAATAGCATTCAGCGGAGTCCGAACTTCATGAGCTGAGTTTGCCAGCAGCAATTGCGTAAGTTGGGAGTTCTCCATGGCTGCTTCCTTCTGTCGCCACACTCTAATGAACTTTCCATATACCAAGCACAAGACCGCTGCCGTTTCCACATCGGTCTCGGTCCATTCCCGGGATTGATCGAGGATAGTCTCGCACCAGGCCTGGAAGCTCTTTCGCGGCTCTAGATGACCGTCCACGACTTTCTTGTCGTATGGGTTACCGGCCCACTGGATTTCCGTCAAGCGGCCACGGCGGAAGAAGACCATGAAGTCTGTTCCGCCTGTAGACAGAGGTACATAAAGCAAACCCGAGATATGCTTGAACCCAGGAGGATAGCGCAGGTCCGGGAGATCTTTGGTGACATGATGCGATGCTAGGACGGAGTTAATCCGGCGCATTTTCAAATACTCCAACAGGGCCAGGATTTCCTGAGAGTAGGTAAGCCTTCCCAGTATTTTCGTCTCGTCCCGAATACACAGAACACCGTAATCAGCATCGAACAGTTTGAGTAGATCATCCGACGAGGCGATGATGTATCCGGAAGGGTTTGCATCGGTGGGAGCGGTGTTGATTAATTTACGGGCCTGAAGTCGTGTGGAATAGGAAAGGCGCTCGATGTTTCGCGAGACGGTATCTCCGACCAGCCGGCACATTTTTCGGATAGGGAACGAGACTCTCATGCCGGATTTGCCATATGAATGGCACGAGATGAGTCCCCAAAGCTCGTTGAATCCGTTAATACTGATCGACATGGATGCGCGGATATCCATATTTCCTAGATACTTGATGTGAATGGGGGACATCGCACGCAGATAAGCATGGGTCATATCCAGTGGTGTCTCCAGGTCCTTGGCTGTACGGCACACGAGTCGTGAGGTCGTTTGATCACGGTCATATAGCAGTCGGACCTTGTTGATCCGGTACAGATCGCGAGCTTGTCTGGGGATGTCCATGGCAGGAAAATGAAGGCCTTTATATAGATCAACAGAAGCTCTGGGATCAACCAGTTCGGCCACGACGGTGCCGTTCCAATTCAGATCAAATTGATAAATCAGGACCCGATGAAATCCGGTCAGCTCCTTCACTAGCCCAGTTGCTGTGTTCAGCAAAGACTCGAGTGTCTCCGTGCGGGCCAGCTGATCTTGGATCTGAGTTAGGATGCTGAACACTTCCATAGCGGCCGCCTCTCCTTTTCGCCGGCGAGCATTGCGCAGCACGCGTAACGGCTGGTTGATGCTGCTGGTGCTAGCTGTGAGCTGTTCCGGGGTCGGTGCCGACCCCAGAGTTGCGCTGGGTGACGATGGCGTCTCGCGACCTGAGATGTTCAACGGATTGATCTGATCATCCTCCAGCTCGAATTCGCAAATGATCAGGCTGGGATCGGCTGGGCAAAGATGGACGGCACTCCAGAACTTGCGAGAACGTCGCATGGGCTGTTTGATGGCCAAGAGGAATACCTCAGGGCCGTCTACACTGGGGTCGAACGAACCGTCGCGAATGAAATCGATGTGGTCCAGAAGGGTATCAGCTTGGTCGTCCCTGAGGATATCACAGAAATTGTTCAGGGCGAATAACTCGTTCGGGGAATACCCGAGCAGACTCTTGGAATTCTCGCTGGCAACGCGGACGAGGTACTTGTCGTCCGCTTCCTCACGGAGAGCCACCAAAACACCAAAACTCTGCACCGCACCGGGGATGTGAATCGGTTCGTCCTCGCAAGGCTGGAAGGGGGCACCCGGTCCCGTGGCAACAGCATGGCCGCGCTCTGTGACCACATGCTCGAATCGTGAGGTAACAAGACTGGTCCCTTCAAGGGTTTCCTGACTCTGCGGGGGATCCAGATTTACAGCCGAAAAACTCTCTTCAGTCGCCTCGGAGCTGCGCCGTCGATCTTCGGGTTCGTCAAGGTCGGGAATGTCTGTCGCACTGATCGATTGGGGAGGATCGTTCACAGAATCCGCCCTGGCTCGAGACTGCATCTGATCCCAGGTATGCGCATCGATTATGGAATACCGACGAGCGCCGTCTCTGGTAGGCGAAGCCGGATGGGTTGGCACCGGTTCAGGAGGCTGTGGCGTGGGATCAACCGAGACGACGGAGCGAATGGGATACACGATATCTGTGCCATCGAAGCTGGTTTCGCGCTGGAGTTCGGCCGGGGGTGCAAGACGATGTCGGCTTTGATCTGGTGGTGCCTCGTTGACACCGGATTTCTCCGGAGACGTCATTTGTTAAGCGTGAAGCAAAAAAAATGTCGACGGGGAGTGTTGAAGAAAGTGAAAGCCGACTATGCCAACATGTGGAGCGTTCTTAGGGCGACGGCTGTTCGGATCGGGCGCGACTCTTCGGAAGAGGGTCGATGGCTGACTCGGGTCTGAAGACGAGCTAAAAATGGCTTAGCCAGTGAGCAAGTAAAATTGTATTGGAATCCGAAAAAGAATGAAAGCGCAAGGTGCGAGCACTACTCTCTGGTAGCATAGGAAAAAGAACGGCTTACCAAAGTGGGATGGGCCCACGCGGGGCAAAGAGCGGACTGGGGGTCAGGTTTAACCAAATTAACTATGAGTGGTTGGCAAAGACCGCTCGATTGTAGAGAATTCTTTTGTCGAGAGCTCTTTGGTCGAGGGAGAAAAAACACCGAGAGGGAAGTGGAAGAAAGTGGAAGACAGCCATAACAGGGCAGGCAATTGGGGGGAAGTGGGAACCGTCCAATCAGCGACTGTATAAGGGCGTGGAAGGATATGCAAGAAGAGTGCATATAGAACTACATGGTGTAAGATATCCAGACAGTAGTACAGAGTGCTATACAGCGCAGGATGAAGTCTAAATAAAGCGAAGCTGCATTCCATATACGTGATGTCACGAGACCTACTTGAGTCAGGCTACTAGTAGCATCTTCAACGCTCTATACAAGTCAATCACTGATCGATCGATATACTCATATCGATAACCAGATCACCCCCGATCAATCGACAGGCTATGTCCCCCCAAACGCAGACTCCCGATGCAAATTCGCCGCCCGATCCTGCACCGGCCGAGCATCAAAATACGTCCGCATCTCCACGACCTGAAACTCCAACTGTTCCTCTAGTTCCTGTCCCGGCCCTAACTCCCTTAATATCTTCTTCAACTCCAGAACATTAAACTCCTCCACCCGCACCGCAAACTGATCCGGATCATTCCGGAACACCGTCACACTGGTCGCCTGGAACATCACCGTCCGCGTGTGCCCGTCAGATCCATCTGGGACAATATCCCATGCTACCTCCATGTCATGGTGGAATGCGGAGAGGTGTTTGCTGCGCACTTCGAGGAGTGGGACTACGTTGCGGCCGGTGCTGGGCGGGTTGCTGCCCACGTAGATGGGAGCATCGGGGTGCAGAAATGGAGCGACGGGCTTGCTGATTGGGTCTAGGCAGTCTAGGGCAGGGAGGAAGGATTTGAGGAATTGGAGGCCGGGGGAAGTGTTCGTGGGGATAGTTGTATATGGTCCGTGGTGTATGGTGACTGCCATTGCTGGTTATGCAGGGTAGTGGTTGCTTGTATATCTCAAAGTAATGAAGACAGATATCACGTGGTTCTGTAGTGTAATGGTCATCACTGCGGATTCTGATTCCGCCGATCCCGGTTCGATCCCGGGCAGGACCTCTTCAAAAAAATTTTTTTCTTGTTTCAATTGATTTACAGTTGGGCCTGATGTGTATAATGAATGCAGTGTGCGGAGGGGAGGTAATCTACGATGTGCTTGGCTTGAGTAGTCAAAGTAGAGATACACTCGGTACATGTTGGATCGTTTGACATGTAGTTAATACATCTCGCATAATTAAATCACGTAATTTTTGACTATAATACAATACAGGGTGTCCCTGTCATGCCATATTTCGGTCGTATGTATTTCATAACCGCTGACGTCAGTATAGAGTCACTAATGCCCTATGTACACCGTACTCCGCACTGGGCGGGATGATTGCCCCCGAGTGCGAAATCTCGTGTGGCAGGGGTAGGTAGTACTGTGCAAATATGTATGCAGATATGTGCACGCCCAGAGGCGGTTCGTTTTAAGATGAAGGTCGGTGATATGCAAAAGCCGTGCGATCATGGAGGTCGAGAAGTCTCGAGCGAAAATGACGGGCGGCCCCGTCGTTCTGAAGCGGGTACACTGTCCTCAGACATACGTCCCCACGGTGGCCGCGACTGTCGCCTCTCATCTTCTATCGGAGCTGCATGGGTGATATCACCGGTCAACTGAGCTGGATTAACGAAATTCGGGAACTCGTCGTATTCGGAGGATGTAAGGTCGGAGCGATGGGTATGCACGAGCGAAACCAGCTTGCCCAGCACGCCGAATTCCAGCTTGAGCTTGACGCTGTACACGGCAGCCTTCAGGGTTGTCTGTAGAGTGTATAAACCAACGTATTCCAACACAAGGAGAGCAATGTCCAAGAAGATCATCACCAGGTTGATGGCGATCAACTCGTACATCAATTTGCTCCGATGAAGCTCCTTCTCCGGTCGCAGGCGAAGTATGTTGATGGTTTCGAAAATGTAGATACTGGCAATGAGAATTTCCTGCGCACAAAACCACGTGAGTTCAAGACGTTCCATGACATTGTAGCCTTTGATAGATGCTTGGCTGCCGACGTAGACGGTGCAATAGGTGAGGACCGTGGTCGGAATGAGAATCACGACGGCGCTGAAGACGATGAGGTAAAATACGCGCCGCAACACAACGGGACTTTGTTCAACCAAATGAAGGCGAGAATAGAGGACAAAGGATTGGCCTGGGACCATAAAGTACCACCCAATGGTGGCGAGCGTCACCGCTAATCCAATGGGACCGATGGTAAAGAATTCAAACAAGAAACCGATTGCATGAAAGATGACACCTATGGTGGTAGACAAAAACATTGCCCAGAAATAGAGACCGCTGTAGCGATTGAAAGTAAGAAAGATGAGAATGATGAGTTCGATTGCGTTGTACCAGGCAATGGCACTGAACACGATCATACAAGCCTTGATGGCCACACTTTCCCCCTGGTATCCATGGAGAAGACCCTCCGGAGGGTAGGAAAGCGAACTACCTATGGCCATGGTGGACGAGAGGCCTTTAGGTCAAGAAAAAGGACGGAGTAGTGTCTGTACAAAACGAAGTATAATCCAACCAAACTCTATCCCGGTCGAAGATCCACGCCATAATTTACAATTTCACAGACACGAAACCACCATCGAACTGGAGCATGATTGACGAAGACAAGTATACTGCGCGACGGAGGCCGATGTACCCAATCTCATGATTGAATGCGATAGCGCTAAGTGCTGGTATTGCCGCCGTCTGTCAACCAGCTTGACGCAGTGATAGTACGGGAATTAACAAGAAATGCGTGGAGAGGGAAGATGCGAGTTCAATATCGACAAAAGTTGTGGAAAAGTGGTGACGGAGTCGGTTGCGGCGGTGACGGAATGGTCGAGGGCAGCTCTGAACTCGGCAAATAGGCGATGGAGGAAAGGGGCGAATACCGAAACCCTCCTCTCTTCAGGGTATGCGATTGTAGTTGACAAGCCTATTATCCCCCCCCGCAAAGCAACAAACAAAAAGACAGAGAATAAGAATTAGGTGGAAAACAAAAGACGAGGAAGTGGTGACTTAGCGGTATAAAAGAGAAAGAGGAGGTCGAAAATTGACGCAGGTGATTAATTCTGCCTGTCTTGTCCGGGGTTCGCCGCGTGTTTCTTCATGGGGAAGCACTAGTCCGCATTGGTGCTAGGTTATTTGCTTTCTCGGGCGAGCGCTGGCCTTGGCGTGACTGGGGTACATCTAGATATAGGCTTTTATTGGCTGAACGATCCTTTGGCCTAGCTGTATCTAGCTAGCGTAACGTGCCAAGATCCCGATAACCCGGGTTGGCGACGGTGTGTGTGGCGGTGGGTGGCTGATTCGCTATACTTAGCTATTCACCACAGCATAAAAAAGAACATTTGTTTACCTGTATCGCAGAGCTATTGATACTCTGCTAAAGTATGAATACTCTGTAAATTATAACTATGTACTATGCGACAACAAAATCCGCCTGCCGATCGCCTTTGTCAGTCACCAGTGCAACCGCGGATAGTGCAAACCTTGAATCTGGACGAAAGGATACTTGCTTGGCTCATGCTCCGAGCGGAACTATGCAATAATCAGGGGTAACAAAGAGTGACACAACGCAGCACATGAAACACCTTGTTCTTAATCCTGTTAAGTGGCAATTCAATATCGATTCAAAGACCAATGCTTTTTGGCACATCCTCCCTACGAGTCATACTGGCATGTCAATCAATTATGGAGAAATACTTAGGCTGCCCTCCCCACGGGGAGAGCGGCACCAGTGGTCCTCGACTCCATAGACTCGACTCCATGGATCCGCGGTGACCCCAGGAGGCAACGTAATCTATTAGCGCACGTTTGCATTGGCAAATTTGGCAGGAGATTGGCGAGGACAATTAATTATCCAGTCACGCATAATATCTGTACTCCATACATTCCTGCGACTATGAAAATATGGTTCCTGCAGGGGCTGGACTCACTCGGTGGACTGCCGAAAAGCATACTTTGGCCATTGAGTTAAAGTTAAGTTTCTCGTCAACATTGCCTGGATTTATGGGGGTAAACGTCTGTCTTTGGATACCTAACGATGTGGCTATGGTAGATGCGATAACAGGCGTGTCCAAAATAGGCAATTCAAACGAAAAGCCAAATGGGCCCACGTGCCTGACATCCGCTTCGAGCTGTCAATTATGGGAATGGCCGAATTTGGTATCGCAGGCGAGATTCTATATGCCTAGGGAATTGGGCATCAACTGGTAACGTAATCGGTAATTAAGCGAGCCGCGCACCTAGTTACCTTTAGGTCTTATTTTATCAAACAAAACACCTTCAGATTAATCAAACCATCTAACTGGACAATTATTTGATCGATGCCCTATATCACTGCACTTTTCACATGTCGGTAGACGTAGTCGCGCTGGTGCTGATGCTGGTGCTGGTAGAACTGGCTGCGCTGGTTGTGTCGGAAGTGGTGCTGGAGGCTCTTGGATAGGCTCAAGGGCCTGTATAAGCTCCTGAGTTCTCTGTACTGGTATTTCTTCCTCGTAGACTGTATGCCTATTATACGAGCGTGCTTTGGCTTCTGTGCTGCGTTTGCAGCGCGTAGTCGCTTGTTTTTGTTGCTCAAGTAATATGCCATTATGCATCATGATTTGACAGCCTTTGATAAGCTGGTTTAACATGGCTTGTGATGGTGATGGCGGGTTTCCTGGGTGTTGCTTTGAGAAAGCTTTTATTGGCGATGTCTGCTTTAGAAGCTCAGTAACAGTTGTGAGTTTTGGGGCTGAATATGCTTGATCGATTGCTCGGGTGGCTTCTAGGTAGTGTAGGCGTACGAAGCTGAATATTGAGCTTTAAAAGCACTCAATTTGGGTTGAATGGCACTGAACTAGTTGCTGTAAAGCTCTGGATGGCACTGGGTAAAGTTGTAGGCCAATTCTTCACTAACAGTCTGGGTAGTAATAAAGCCACACTTTGTGAGCAGAATATTCGCCATTTTTGTACAGTAGTGGGCCTATGGGCTGCTTTATGTAGACCCATTGGCAGTATAAATTTCTCAAGCAATTCCCCTTCAGTTTGGCTTAGTTAATAGCTATGGGTGCGAGATTCAGCGCCATTTGTAGAACCGCATAGTTGTGTTTAGAGGGTAAATTCAGGCATGTTAAAGCGGCGCGCTATCTCGCGTATAGAGCTGATTTCTTTGTTTTTAATAGCCGTATAGCTAATAGAAGGCGGCCCTCTTGCTCAATAGGTTTTTGGCCAGTTTGAGAGAGATCCGGTGGCATGATGGTCAGTAGAAGATAGAAGAGACGCGTGGGGTGCGAGAAAGTGAGTGGGTGCGCAGCTTGTTTACATGCGCAGCTCGCTTATCGATTACGTTAACTAGTTGAGCTAGTTACATCAACGGTTGTGTCCGTAGGACTCAATTGTTGGACCCATTGTTCTCCTGCTTCAATTAGTGCTTTATGTCATCTGCACTCCGTATTAGCTACATATTAATAGGATAAGCATCTGGTTATGGATATGTGGTGTGTCAGCGGCTAACTGACCACTTTCCCCTTTCGTATAGCAAGAGAGAACTCCCCACGCCTTTTCTCTCTCAATCAACCATCTGAATGCTTTCACTTACCATCTCAAAATGCAGATACCATTGATAAAATATTCTCAAGGATTCTATTCTCTTTTATGCTGTATTCATATACTACCATCCTCATACATACGGAGTACTAACGTCATGTCTTCTGCTTTTGAGAATCCGTTGGATCCTGATGACATGGCCGCACAAAACAAACCGTAAAATTTCGTGAGCTCCTGGGCTCTTCGTATTGCCAGTTTTGTCCGGACGAAGTTGACCTCATGGTCTAGATTACAGAAGTCATGGCATCAGGTCTGTGGGAATTTATCGTTGTCGGAGTTAGTCTTCCAATTCTCTCTCGATTCCAATTCTCTTTCATGACTGGTAACTAACATTTAAAGGCGGTCCGGCTGGATGTGTTATTGCTTCTTCCTTATCTCGCTCCCCCAAACATCCCCAAGTCCTCCTGATTGAAGCTGGATCGCGACGTGACGAGAAACGCCTCAGAGTCGACGGTCAGCGGTGGAGCACCTACCGAAACGCAGCCATCAATTGGGGCTATATAACAGTGCCTCAAGAGCACTGCAATGGCCGTCAAATTGACTACTCTCGCGGCAAGACACTAGGAGGAAGCACTGCTATCAATTTCTGCATTTACGCCTTTGGGGCTCGTGATGATTACAACCAGTGGGCAGCTGTCGTGGATGACGACATCTTTAAATGGAACCATATTCAGGCACGTTTTAAGAATTTGGAGACGTTTAGTGGGGCCATCTCTGATCCTGCGCACGTGAAATACGCTTCACCCCGGGCAGAAGATCATGGGAGCAGTGGCGCTTTGCATGTGGGATATGCGCCGGAATGGGAGAAGGATCTGCCGCTATTGATTGATTCTTTTACACAGGCCGGTTTGCCCCATGGTTCGGACCATAATTCTGGGGATCCAATTGGGTTGACACTGGCTATTAACACTGCTCATCGTGGAGTGAGGGTGATGGCAACAGACCTGTTGGAGGACGCGCCTGATAACTTGACGATTGTAACTGACTCTCCGGTGCAAAGAGTGTTGCTGCAGGACAAGAAAGCTGTTGGCGTGGAGTCCTTGGGAAGAAAATGTAACGTCCTACCCTGTAATCGACATGGATGGACCTAATGTCTCTAGTCATGGCATCAAAGGAAGTCATCCTCTCCGCCGGCACGCTGGACACCCCAAAAGTTTTGATGCATTCGGGCATTGGACCAGCTGAACAACTTCAAAGGTTCCAAATTCCGGTTATACAGCACCTTCCTGCTGTTGGACAAGGACTAAAAGACCATTTATGTGTCTCACTAACCTACCAACGCAACCCCAATACTAATGATCGCAACACCTTCTTCAAAGACCCCAGTGCCATGGAAAACGCCATGAGCGAATGGGATGAAAGTGGTAAGGGGCCATGGTCACGCCACTCGTGCCAGCTGGGTATTGGCTGGTTCAAATCAGACATCATCCCAAACATGCCAGAATTTAAAGTCCTCCCAGCTTCTGTGCAAGAGTTCCTCCACCGTCCTACCATCCCACACTATGAGATTGTTCCTAACTTCCCGCTACACATATTCATGCCTGAATCAGTGAAGGATTACAGCTACACCTGCGTGACAGGGTTTCTAATGAACCCGCAATCCCGCGGAGAAGTCCGACTGCAATCCTCCAACCCCGAGGAGCCTCTTCTCTTCGACCCCAAGTTCCTATCTCACCCCTATGACCGCGCCGCATGTATCGCAATCCTTCGACACCTCCTTGATATCTGCAAGCATCCAGCCTTCCAAAAGGATACTATCTCCACGCTCATGGCTCCTCCCTCGGATTCTGACGAGGATCTCCTCGAGTACTGTAGAGCCAACCTATTTTCTGTCTGGCACATGACTGGAACTGTTAAGATGGGGAGACCAGATGAAGGGGGTAAGGAAGCAGCGGTGGATAGCCGGTTCCGGGTGTTTGGGATTGAGAATCTGCGAGTCGCGGATATGAGTGTGGTGCCGGTGATGACGAATAATCATACACAGGCGACAGCGTATGTCACGGGGAGTACTTGTGCGGAAGTGTTGAAGATGGAATATGAGTTAGAATGAAATATGAAACAGTTTTACAGACAGGTCTTCGTAACCAATAGTGGTTTCGATTATACCCTACAGGGTATATCCCAGCTAATCTTTCTGGACCAATCGGATTAATTCAACCACGCTTATTTACACCCCCATTGAAACCCTATCTAGCTACACCATCACTCGTAAAGCCCCTTTCCTCCAACCAAGCCCTCAACACTTTATCCTCCTCCTCCAAATCTAACTCCCCACTCTCCGGCAACAGCCAATAAACACACATCCCAACAATGGCCACCGCACCAGCAAGATAAAACGTCGCACTGTCACCCGCCCAGTCCTGCAGTGGCGTGAAACACTGTGTTCCAACCGCAGCCCCGGCACGTCCGAATGCTTCTGCAATACCATACCCCACACCTCGCATTGCAGTCGGAAACGACTCGGAGCAAATGAGGCCAATTGTTGCTCCGGGGCCCATGTGGCCGAATGCCTGCAGTAATCCGTACAAGACAACAAAGGCAGCAATGTGTTGCGATAGCTTCGTATATGTCCCTCCGATCACAAATCCCAGGACAACGTACCCCGCGAACCCGGCGATGCCAGTCCACCGCCGGCCGATTAGGTTCGTTAGCCAGGCGCCCAGTAGTACGCCAGGCACTGGGAGAACGGCGAGGATTACCTGCCAGATTGCTGTTGTGCGGACGTTGTTGTCCTTGACTAGAGAGGAGATGATGGTACTTGACATGATGCTGTTGGGGAAGTTGATGAAGTCGTATAGGAAGAATGCTAGCGAGGTACTTGTAATGCGCCACCAGTACCGCCGCAAAAGGAGGAGAATGAGGCGCGGTGATTTACGCTGATTCTTGAAATTCGAGTAGTGGAAGAGCGTCGAGTCGGCCATGAAGACGCGCATGACGATGATGATCACAGGGAGGATAGTAGCGATTGAGTAAATGGCGTGGAAAGCGATTGTGAGGTTATTGTTACTTGCGACTAGCGTGATTAGGTATATGATCATGAGGATGGGGCTGGCAAGGGTAGCCATTAGTGTCGTGAAGGAGACGAACATGGGCCCGCGGTATTGGCGCATGAATTCGTCTGTTTCTTCAATTCCGGCTGCTGCGCTGGGTGGGTATTCGCCGCCGACACCGAAGCCTGCGATACCGCGGACGACGACAAAGTACCATAACATGTTTATTGTTGGGTGGACTGATAGTGCGACTGTCGCCATTAACGTTCCGATGGCTACAATTGACGATGTGAAGAGCAGTCCTGCTCGTCGCGAGAACATATCCGATGCGTATCCCAAAACGATAATACCAATGATCGCGCCGATGAGCAATGAGTTGCTAATCCGCGTCTTCATCTCAGAGTTGAAGTCGGTACCGAGCAGATGCTTGAATATCACATTGGTGGGATTGGCGAGGCCGTTTTGGTAGCCATCGCTGAAGTTTGCAATGTACTGCCATCATTATCAGTATTGCTGCTGCATGTTTAGGGAGCATGGACTTACACAGCTGGCAATGGTGATATTGCTCTGCCATCTGGTAGGTTGGTAGCGCGCGGGAGGATTCTCAACATCAGCGCCAACGACGACCGTGTTTTTCTGGCCATCATCGCGATGCTCTTTCTCCGCCATCTTGCTCATCTATACTGTGCTGAATCAAGTCAATTCATGGCTATCTTCAGTTTTTATATCACCAGCCAGCCCGGTGTCAATCCAAAAGTGGAGGTGCGGTCCGCGGAGAAAAGCGTCGAAGATAAGACCATTCGCCATTAATAATAAGCCTACGTTGGACCTGCAGTTTCTGCTATCAATTATAACCATTAATTGGCTGGAAGGTATATCGCGCTGCAAGAAAGAGCGCCGTCAGTTTTGGTTGTTGGTCACAATCACATCCTGTCTTAAATCCCGGTTTCTGCCGATTGCTGTGTTTGGTTAGCGTGGGGAAGCTTGTTTACACGGACCAAATATGGGCTACTGTGAATGGCTGCTGGCTCCGTGGGATACAAGGCTGCATTTCCCATTCGCAAAAATAAGATACAAATATAAAAACCAAAAAATAATGGCGCTGCCCGGAATCGAACCGGGGCTGGCGCGGCCACAACGCGACGTCATACCACTAGACCACAGCACCTTCTTGATGTAAGAACTGGACTTTTTATGATTTATAGAAATTTTATCTTAACAGTCATTGGAGATAGGCCTCTGGGATGTTTTATGGTTATTTCTACTTTATTCCAAATATTATTTTAATATTCTTATGTTTTAATGTCTTTGACAGTAAATATGATACTACATGGGTTGTCCGTGAAGAGTTATGAGGAAATATCAATTCCGCTATCGTGGTATATATTCAATGCCAACCAAAAGCTGAAAACATAAGGTCATAGCAACATCGCAACACACTTAACAAGAAATCAAGGACTCTTCTTCAACCACAAAGTCTGCGAGTTACAGTACCCAAGCAGCCCATTAATACCCCACTCCGTGCCCAAACCACTTCCCTTGTGTCCACCAAACGGCGCATTTGGCGAGATGTCAAAGTGCGAGTTCACCCACACACTTCCCGCAACTAATTGGTCCGCCATACGGGTAGCCCGGTCCATATCCTTGGTCCAAACAGATGCACCGAGAGCCGAGTCAGTACCGTTTGCGCGCGCGATCACGTCGTCCTCATCCGACCACTTCATCATAGGCAGGATAGGGCCGAAGGGCTCCTCCTGTACGACCCGCGAATCCTCGGGCGGGTTGTCGACGATCGTTGGCTGGACGAAGTACCCCGGAGAGGCAGAGGAGTCGGGAATATTGCCACCCAGAGCCGTCTTGTAGCCTGATTTGGCGGTGTCGGCGAAGAGTTCCTTGACCTTGTCGAATTGCATGGCGTTTTGGACGGGGCCGAAGAAAGTCTCGGGCTTGGTGCCGTCGCCGACGGGAAGGGACTTGACAAACTCGGCGAGTTTGGCGCGGAATTCGTCGTAGATGCGTTCGTGGACGTAGAGGCGCTTAATCATCATGCAGATTTGACTGGTGCAGAGGAAGGAGAAGATGCCGACCTATGAAAGTTAGTGCGTGCTTATCGAAAAAGAATGGGAGAGGAGTGTACCTTTGGCACCACGGTGTCCACGTCGACATCGTCGCAGACGATGCACGGGTCGTTGCCGCCCAGTTCCAAGGTCACCCGCTTGATGGTCTTTGCGCAGCTTGCCATGACTCGCTGTCCTGTCTGTGACGATCCAGTGAAGCTGATCTTGCCAATGCCAGGGTGCTCAGTACACCACGGCCCAAGGGAGTCATCACCACTCAAAGCCTGAACAACACCAGGAGGGAAGAACTTGGTAGCCAGCTCCACCAGCTTCAAATCACAGTAAGGTGTGAACGGCGAAGGCTTGACAATAATGGTGTTTCCGGTATATACAGCGGGCGTAATCTTGCCCAATGCCAGCAACACGGGGAAGTTCCAGGGCACAATGGCACAAGCAACGCCAATGGGTGTGTGTCGCTGGATAACTCGTCGCTCCTCCGTATCCTCAATGACGTTCTCAGGGATTTCAATGTTCGGGATTCCCCGCACCCACTGGATACCAAAACCAATCTCCATGGCCGACTGGGTGAGGGGCTTGCCCTGCTCCATGGTCAGGAGAGCGGCCAAGGCATCCTTGTTCTTCTCAATGGCGTCCGCGTAGGCATGGAGAGCTGCACGGCGCTGCTCGAATGTAGTCTTGGACCATTTCTTGAAGGCCTGCTGGGCGGCGTCAACAGCACGGTCCAGGTCTTCGCGGGTTGCGACGGGCACGGGAGGATTGGGTTGAGCGGTCGCAGGGTTGATCCCGTGGCGGGTTTCAGCTGTTGTGGTCAACTCATTGTTGATGACATTGCGAAAGGTCTATAGGCATGGCAGTCAGTAATGAGCTCGTGTCAGTATGGATGAGGGGTAGGGGTAGTTGCATACGGTGGTGTCCATGATGATGGGTTGAGAATTGGAAGAACAATTGTCGAGAAATCATACAACCACGGATACAGCCTTTATATATATATAATTTCACCTCTATACCCACATTAAGCCCCTATTAACTAATCATAGAACAAGAATTGACTATCACAGACCCCGCCTATGGAGACCCCGCATTTTGCAGATCGGAGATGGAAATCCCTTTATATCGGGATCCAGCTTCGGCATCTCGCGATTGCCTCGACGGTGTTTCAATGGCTGGATTCGAGGAACAACGGAAGATTTAGATTTTAAGAAAAGTTAAAGTCGCTATAAAGGAGTCATGGGGGCTGCCGGGAGGTCGACTCGGCTTATTCGAGTTGATTATCTGTGCTTGCGTATCCGACAGCGCAGCCGATGCACGCTAATACGTGGCCATGATCAATTCATCGTAACTGGCTCAATTGTATGGAGAATCCAGTATGACCTGGCCAGATATATTGAACCAGGCTGCGCAGTTTTCTATTGTTGTGTGAACGGACCGATAAGTGTTGGCCGGAGCTGAACAATGCATCTCTTTCCATTGTTTCTTTATTTCAACAATCGGATTGCCAGGTGTTTCTTGGTCAGAAGATATAAGGTGTTTTTTTATCTTGGTTAGGATCTCGACAAATTTCGACCGGAGCTCCGGAAGCGTTGACTTGACGTGGAGCGTGCAAACAATTGCCCTATCTGTGTCTGACGTTCACATAAAAATATCCCGTGCAGCCAAAGAAGATAAGTATATCTGACTGCAGAAACAAGTATATTCCGTGCATCTGCATCCTAAATGTCGTGGAGTTATCGCGGTGGTCGCAACAGCGAAGGTATTTCCGTACCGTTCTTCTAGACAGCAAGAAGGACTGTGTTAGCGCAGACGCGAGGAAAACGAGAGATATCCATAGTATAGAGAAGTACATACATGACAGCCGTGGAATTAGCCGGACTGGAGAGCGTCAATTGACACCTGGCCGGTCCCAAGCTCGGACTTCAACCGGTTGAATGACTTGCAGAGTACATGTCTGCCAGTCATTCCTTTCCATCAAGAGCATGACTACAGACTCACACATAATAACCTCGCTGGAAGCGAGGTTATGCTTATAGTGTCTTTGTTGCGTTCATTCGAAGAGGCTGGGTCGGTTAGGACAGGAACCGGAACGGGACGATCGAGCACATGGTCGAATCCTTGAGCTAAGATCAACAGTCAATCGCCTGGTTGGCCAATAAAAAAGTCTGATGCATTCAGGAATACAGGATCACATAATGAATGAATAGCGACTCGCTTCTCATTCGTGGGAAAGTTGAAGTTTGATCGTCGGTGGATGAGGGCGTTGAGAGGATCAAGCTGCAGGTCGAGACAGAGATGTCAGATCACATGATATCACTGACAGGTCATCTATATATATTACAGTGTACAGAATGAAGAAATACAATATACTTGAAAAGAATGATTATGACTGAAATGCGACTTACTTCGCCGGACCAGAAGTCAAGCCAAGCGGTCCTGTCGAATGGACGTCTAGAGTATCGCAAGAAAAAGTCTACAGACACTGAATATTAAATCAAATGAATAAATTATGACCTGCGGCATATCCGTCCAATATATGAACAAAGACCTATCGCACCATGACCCTGCAGTATCTGAAAGTTATATGACCAGAGATTCCATCGATTGATCAACAAATACAGTCTTTCCCCGTAACTCATGGGTATTCAACATTAAATATGAAAAGGTAACAAATAAAAAGGGAATATCATGAAAATGGCGTCGTGACACAGCAGTGTGAGGCTTAGCCGGTCTTCTCGACTTGCTCCTCCTGCGAGGTAGACTCAGAGGTGCCTTTAGCAGGTGTCTCCACATCCGCACCGAGACCGTACTGAGCAGCGACGCGTTCGATTTCTTTGTCCGACAGTCTGGGGAGCTCCTCGGCTGCGCGGACGTATGATATGCCCTCAGCAAAGCCCTTGGCAAAGATAAGGTCAATCTCTTCCAGAGAGCGACCAGCCGTTTCAGGGTAGAAGAACCAGATGATTGGAACGAACAGACCGTTGAGAACAGCGAAGAAAAGGTATGTGCCCCACTTGATGTCGCGGACCATGATAGGGGTGACCATGACAATTAAGAAGTTGAAGGTCCAATTGGTGCAGGTGGACAGGGCATTGGCCTTCGCACGGGTCTTAATAGGGGAGATCTCAGCCGGGTACAACCAGGGCAGAGGCAACCAGGTCGCTCCAAAAGTGGCGATGAAGGCAAACAAACCAAAGGCAGCACCCTTGGCAGGTCCAGGGTCTCCTGAAATCAAACAGGCAAAGGTAATAACCATGGACAGACACTGGCCGATCGAACCTATGAGAAACAGATTGCGGCGACCGACACGTTCCACCAGAAACCAGGAACTACAGGCAAAGATAGCATAGACAATCATATTGACACCACCCAGAATCATGGACATGAAGTGGCTCTGGCCGACGGACTGTTCGAACAGGACAGGAAGGTAATAGATGACAGCATTGCAGCCACCAATCTGTTGGAAGAACTGGGCCGAAGAACCGAGAAGCATGCGGCGGAAGTGCTGAGTCTTGCCCCCAGTGAATACAGCAGACATGGGAGTGGACTTGCTAGTGGTCTGACCAGCACTAAAAGCACACGATCGATTAGCATTTGCACAGAACACACACACACAAAAAAAAAAAAAAAAAAGAGCGCCCAAAGAGCAACCAAATCAGACAAACAAACAAACAAAGAAAAAAAAAAAAAAAACTTACACTCGCAGAGAGTCCAAAATAAGAGTCTTTTGCATCTGGACGTCGTGGTGGCTGATTTCCTGACCGGCCAATGCGGCAATCACATACTCACCCTCTTCGTAGCGATCACGAGCGAAGAGCCACCGGGGAGATTCTGGCAAGAAAATGAGACCAAAGATGATGATAAATCCGAAAAGACATTGGAAGGCAATGGGAAAACGCCAGGTGAGATCATCCGAGCCGTACATGCAGCCAAAATCAACCCAGTAGGAGATTACCGTGCCAATAGCGACGGTACTTCCCTCAATACAGATGAGCAGACCACGGTTGTGTGACTTGGAGCATTCAGCTTGGTAGGTCGGGATGGTGGAGGTATTCATGCCGTTGCCAATGCCCGTCACGACACGTCCAACACAGAACTGAGCGATGGGAACCTGGCCTTTAACGGAGGAGACCTGAAGAACGACACCGATAATCATGATCGCAGCGCCAATCATGATGGAATAACGACGACCCAGCCAGTCACCAGCACCGAGAATGAACAGAGCACCAACGAGGCATCCTGCACCACGTATCAGCTCAGCTTCAACAATTCTATTGTATTTTATCACCCACCCAATTCGTAAATAGCCGTGACGACACCCTGAATAGTCGAATCGCCTTGAACTTGCGTGAAAACTTCACCAAACGGTCTCGCATCAATGATTCCGCTCATGACACCCTCTGCTCTATATTAGCTCGACTTTTAGAGCACCTGATAAAGCATGACATACGATCATAACCGAAAAGCAAGAACCCCATGGTAGCACAAGCCGTGATGGCCCTCGTCAGCCAGGGGCCAGAGAGGCCGGCGTACGACGGGACCGACATGTTGAGTAGGCCGTCGTGTTGGAAGAAACAGCAGAAATAGATCTCTCCAGTTTGATGATTTTGATTCCTCTTTGAAATAAACGAGAGTCAACGAAGAAAGAAGACGATGAAGTGGAAGAGAGAGAGATGGAGAAGATATAAAAGAGAGAAGAAAAGATAAGAGCAGAGGAAGAGGGGAGGAAAAGAAATAAAAGAACCACGACCCCAGGTCAGGTGCCTCGCTTAAGATATCTCTTTCTTTAATGACAGGTCCCCACAATGACTACAATTCACTGTCTATACTCATATCCCATTAACCACCTACCTAATGAACCTACAAGAGCCATTTGGATGCCATTCAACAAAGCATTCGGACCGCAGGAGAGCCGAAGAATAATTAAACGGAGATGCGTGGACATTCTATAGTACTATTTTGTATGTATTCCTGCAGTTTTTCTTAACGTTTCATTTCTCCATTTTGTTATTTTCCGTCTACTATTTGCTGTAGATATTAGATATTCCAGATTGAGTATACAGGTATACTGTGGACTAGTTATGCTACATACTGCATCCTAGTAGTGAGGTCTCTCCAGCTCCGCCGACTCCCTGCCGCGGGGATCTTTCCGCTAGCAGCCCTGGTCTTGGCGGAAACCACCACTTCCCCATGGTCCTAAATTTTCGACACTACTCCTATTTCATGACTACGTCGGCCACTTCGGCAATGCTCCCAGAATTCTCGTCTCGCACGCGCAGGGTTTCACATCGGCCAAGCACGGCCGGTATAACAGTTTTGTTTGCCGACACCCGGGCGGCGAAATTATACCTTTACTTCCTGTACGCCATTTGACCGGCTCTTTCCGGCACCATATGGACAAGAGAAAACACCCAGACGAGTCCTGGTTGATAAAATTAACGAGGAGAGCTCACGCGGCGATTCCGATGGATGCCTAATATGGTACGGAAGTTCTAGAGTTCTATATTGGACCCATAGGATTCAGAATTCTCCACAGGGAAGTCTTCCTCAGAGAATGGAGTGCAGGTTACCCACTAGCTAGAAGAAAGAGATCTCAGATATTGTCCAGATGTGGCTATTCTTCCCCAGGCATTTTTCCAGGATGGGACATCAAGGGATGTCGCCGGGCCAAGTCAACAAGTTAGCCGAAGATTGGGGGGGATGCACTAAGATACGAAGAGTAGTCCCATACTGACAGTATTCATGGCATCCATGCATACGCTGGCTCTGGGTGTGCCCAGTCCGGTCCAATGCCAATTCGCTTGGGCCCTGAATTAAGCGAGCAATAAGACAAAAAGCTTGTGTACGAAACCATTGCAATTATTGCTTCCTCCTAATAGTGAAGTGATCGATCCACGGAAAAGATACGGATTACCAAATCGAAATTTCCAAGAGATTGGCTATTGCTAATAACTGCGCGGTAACTGCAACACTTTCTCACTCACATAATTCAGAATCATTTCCCGGCTGACCGGTGCAATCCGTGGAACAAAACACTCGCGCAGGTACCGTTCGACATCATATTCCGTCGCGTACCCCATTCCTCCATGACTTAGGACGGCTCGCTCACACGCCGTGAACGCCGCTTCTGCCGCTAAGTACTTGGCGCTGTTGCATGCTACTCCGAGAGTGTGTACCGGGATCGTACTATCCGAGGCCCTCGAGGAGTCAAACATCCGTGCTGCATGGTAGGTGGCCAACTTGGCTGCTTCAAGCTTCATGTATGCATCGGCCAGTGGATGCGCAACACCTTGGTTTTGCCCAATTGCCCGTCCGAATACTACTCGTTCTTGTGCATACTGGGCGGCGCGTTCCAGCGCCGCGTACCCCAGCCCTAAAGCTTCTCCTGCCAAGAGACATCGTTCGGCATTCATGCCGTGTAAGATGATACGGAATCCTTCATTCTCCTGACCGATAAGAGTGCTTGTCGGGATTTTGTAGTTGTCAAAGAACACTTCGTTTGCATCCACAGCGCGCCCACCCATTTTCTTGATTTTGCGTAGGTCAAGACCCGGGTGGTCGCGGTCCAAGTCGATGCAAAACAAAGACAAACCTTCTGTTGGCTTCTTAACCTCTTCTAGAGGCGTCGTTCGCACAAGTAGAATCATCTTGGACGCCACTTGCGCACAGGTGATCCATATCTTTTGACCAGTCACCGAGTAGACCTCTGCATCGGGCTTCCGCGTGGCCAGCGTTTTGAGCTTCAGAGTCTCCAATCCCGTATTAGGCTCAGTCACGCCAAAACACGTCCTCCACGTGCCGTTGATGATCTTTGGAATAGTTTCCTCTTTTTGCTGCCGCGTACCGAACTTGGCAAGGGGCTGGGTCGCGTAGACATTGGCGTGGATGGCCTGTGCCCCGGCCATACCTGCACCAGACTGCGTGATGGTTTGCATCATCATCGTAGCCTCAGAAATACCTACGTTATTAGCCTTTCTTGTCTTTTCCTTGTTTCGTTAACATACCTAGCCCAGCTCCGCCAAATTCCTCTGGCAGCGCAATGCCCAGCCATCCATCCTTGGCTAACGCTGCATGAAACTCTTTGGGGTCTTTTTCATTCTGATCGCACTCTTGCCAGTATGTATTGGGGAACTTGGCGCAGATGTTTGATACGGCATCGCGGACGGTCAGTTGTTCATCCGTGAACCCAGTGAGTTCCATCAATGGTCGACGGGTGCTTGATGAGAAGACGCGCCATGGTGCGAGAGTGCATCCAAGCCTGCTGTGCGTAATCTGTTTTGGAATATGGCGAAACATGGTGATGTATGAGAATACTGAAGAGGTTCGTCGTGATATTTCTATGCGGAAACCGGTAGGTGCATATAACCGTATAGCCGATATGCCCCGCCTCATATAGGAACCGGTCGATTCACAGTTCACACTTGGATGCTACTATATTCATGAAGATGAATATGTTACGGCGCCCTACTTGGCAATTGTGCCGTCGCTGGGGTACCCGTGCGTTATCCACAAAAACAACGGACGGTCCTCTTACTGGCATCACCGTTGTCAGCCTGGAACAAGCAATCTCAGCACCGTTCTGCACCCGTCAACTCGCAGACCTCGGGGCACGAGTTATCAAAATCGAACGTCCTGGAGTGGGCGACTTTGCACGTCACTACGACACCCGCGTCAATGGTCTTGCCTCGCACTTTGTCTGGACAAACCGATCAAAGGAAAGCTTGGCCCTGGACGTCAAGAACCCACGCGACCACCGCGTGTTGATGCGACTACTAGGCCGTGCCGATGTTCTAGTCCAGAACCTAGCTCCTGGCGCAAGCGGTCGTCTTGGATTGTCTTACGAGGTCCTGAAAGCCAACCACCCATCATTGATCGTATGCAACATTTCTGGCTACGGCCCTGATGGTCCTTACCGCGACAAGAAAGCCTATGATCTCCTAATCCAAAGCGAAGCAGGGATGTTATCTGTGACAGGCACGGGTGCCAAACAGCCCGCCAAAGTCGGCATCTCCATTGCAGATATTGCAGCAGGCAGTTATGCCTACTCGAACATCCTCGCTGCGCTGTTCCGCCGTGAACGCGATCCTAAGAAATGTGGATGCAACCTCAATATCTCCATGTTAGAAAGTATGGTTGAATGGATGGGATTCCCGCTATACTATACGTATGAGGGTGCACCGGGCCCGACGCCTGCCGGTGCTGCGCATGCTGCTATCTACCCGTATGGTCCGTTTGAAACTGGGGATGGGAAGAGTGTGATGCTGGGAATCCAGAATGAGCGCGAATGGGCGAGTTTCTGCGATAAGGTCTTGGGGCAACCAGGACTCGCAAAAGATGGGCGTTTCGTTAGTAATTCGCTACGAGTGCAGAATCGTGATGCACTGAAGATTATTATATGCGATGTGTTTGCGCTGCGGACGGCAGAAGACGTTCTTGCCCTTCTAGACAAAGCATCTATTGCAAACGCCAGCGTTAATGATATGCAGGGTGTATGGAATCATCCGCAGCTACAAGCAAGACAGCGCTGGACAGAGGTGCAGACGCCGTCGAGTGTGGTTCCTACGTTGTTGCCACCGGGAATGGGAGCGGATGCAGATGGACTGAATGCCCGGATTGGAGCGGTGCCCAATGTCGGGGAGCATAACGAGGCTATTCTGGCTGAATTGGGAATTGACGATACTGATTAGTGTACATAGAACCCGATGCTATAGTGCGGTTACGCCAATGCAAGAAGCCGACAGCATAAAACCGAAGAGCCCGTTAGCCAATTACAATCTAGAACTAGCACCAAATAACCGAAGTAGCCGACTGATGCAATATCCCTTCTACACCAACACCCAGATCGCCTTTTTGCACGGTTTCTTCACTTTATTTCTTATTTTTTATTCCTGTTCATAAAATGCCACCAACTCGCGCCAAAAAGGCATGCACCACCTGTAACCGACGCCGGATCCGCTGCAATGTAATGGACCAACAGCCATGCGCAAACTGCGTGGCGTTGGATACGCATTGTGAGATTGGGGTTTCGCGACGGGGGAAGTAAGTAGCCTAGACATGCTTTTCTCAATCCGCATGTATTATTGCTCCATTCGTATAGATCAAGTGCCAATATATCACAGGTATCCGCGGAGCAAAATCCATCGAGGGACTCCACAGCAGCGGCAGCAGGAACATGTTCATCCCCAGATCTCAAAGCCAGTTTCAGCTTTGCCTGCGTCGTCATGGAAAACGCCAGCATCAGAGAATTATGTGCAGATAAACCACCCTGAAAGGATCGTCCTCAAACCATCACTATCACACACCCAGCAAACCGTTTTTCTAGGCGAATCTAGTCCTCTCACCTGCGTCATCGATGAAGGACGCACCAGATCCCCAGATAAAGGCTACGCAAACGAAATATCAAAAACAAGACTCCACTACCCAATCCCAGAAAGACTAGACGCAAACACCACCCGCGACGAGACCCTTCGTGCACACAAGAGCACCATGAAAGAACAACTAACCCGAAGCGGCGTATTTTCATTCCCCTCCAAAGATATCCGCGAGTCTCTCCTTCAGGCATACTTCACTTGGTTCCACCCCTGCTTCCCGATCCTCGACCGCAAAGCCATTCACGACACGTACAAGAATGAAACCATACCTCCCCTTCTCCTGCAATCAATGCTCTTCATTGGTGTGAGTCTCTGTCCAGATACTACCTTCGCGAAAATAGGCTTTCCAACGCGCTACTGCGCTAAGGTCCTGTTTCATAGTCGCGCCAGGGCTATTTATGATGCGGACTGGGAGTCGAATAAGATTACCAAGTTGCAGGCGCTATTTCTGTTGAGTTTTTGGAGGGGTGGGCCGAATGAGGAGAGGGATACGAGGTTTTGGTTGGAGGTAGGGATTTGTCTTGCACAGAAGAGGGGGATGCATGTTATGTATGTTTTCCTGCCTGATCGAAGGCGAGGGTGCTAACGAGGTAGGTCGAAATTGTCGTTTCAGTCGGGGAGAGAGGAGATGCTTTGGAAGAGGATATGGTGGGCTTACTATGTATGCTATACGCCTTTGTACCCTTATTCTTGCTAACGAAGGAGTAGATCCGTGATCAACAAAGCTCCGCAGCATTAGGGTTACCTGCGAGGATCCGCGATGAAGACTGCGACGTTGCCATGCTTGAGCCAAAAGATATTCAAGACGAGGAGGGCGTTGAAGATCAAACCATCTTTGGGGTACAACGTGCAGAACACATTCCATATCCGATTGAGATGGCCAAGTTGACGCGGTTATGTACGTTTCTTTGGAGATAACAGATGGCCTGCTGACAGTCTTGTAGTACGCGCGATCGTGTCTACACAATATCTACCTAGACAACCCACCACAAACGGGACATCCCGAGAAACGCTACATTCCCAACTCGCAGAATGGGAATCTCAACTCCCATCAGAGATGAAACTAGGAAGCCAATCCACACCAAGTGCCATCTTTTTGACCGGACTCCTGCACATGACATACAAGTACGCCCACTCTCGTCTTACCTTAGCCATCAAAGACCAGAACTAACAAGGCACAGCAACCTCTACATCCTCCTCTACCGACCTCTCTTCCTCCACCCCACCACAACCACAACTACCACAACCGAAGCCCAAGGCACAATCGCCCTCGAAGCTGCAACCCGCAGCACCCGCATAATCGAAGATATGCTCTCCCACAACCTTGTCCAACACGGCCCAAACCACCTAATCACACACGCCTTTTCAACACTCTGCATCCACACGATAAATTGCTGCCGTACAACAGGGACGACTAGGAAACTCGCAGAACATCGCGCGAGATTGTGCTTGTTGGGCCTGCAGGAGTTGCAGAAGAGTTGGGACTTGGAGAATTGGGTGCTGGATTTGTTTTTTCGGTGTTTGGATGAGAGTACGGCGCATTGTCTGAGGAGTGGAGAGTCACCAGTTTCTGAGATGGGGATGGGACGGAGCCATGGGGTTGATAATTTGTCTGGTGGTAGTACCGAGGCGAATAATGTTACGGGCGCGATTGCTCTGGATAACTCGCAGCCGTGGCAGGATCCTAGTCCGGAGCTTATAGCACCGAATGATTGGTACGGACTGTTTAACTTTACGGATGACTATACGGAGGTCCTAGGGACGAGTTCACAGCCTGACTCGCTCAATCTACAGAGCCTGGAGTTTCTGTATAGGTTTCTGTGATAATGATGATTTAATTCAATTGATTAATGATCGCTTTTGAAGCCTAAATTATGGCGAGAAGTTCATAATATACACGATATGTCGAAATGTTCAATAAGAATTAATGTAAGATGTTCATGCATTATTTGCACATGAGAAACTGGCACTGCTGGGATTATCGTGCAATGCTTTGCCTGATGCATACAATCCAAGGCCACACTGGACTTGTTAGTCTAAGATTCCTAGGAGAGGAAGACGGAAACTCACAATGCAGCATGCAATTCCAATAATGAAGATATTGACACAAGTCAGGAGTATCTTTGTCGGACTTGCAAAGTATTGGCCTTTGTTCATGTGGAGCCAGAAGATTGCACTGAAGCCGTCTGTATCATATGTTAGCTGACCATCGTAGTCGTGGTAGTCGAAGGGAACTGGGAACTTACAGGTAAACCAACTGGCGAAAAGCGACGCGATCAAACTAAGCAGGTTATTGAAAACCGGAATCGCCTCGGCGATAATCCACGCAAGTAACCAAACCGCAGCTCCAATCGCGATCCAGGAGCCGGTTGCGACCCAGTCGCGCTTGTGCATGCGATCGCTGTTGCGGAAGAGGCGGACGTAGACGTACTTGCAGGCGACGTGGCCGTTGACGACGCCAGCGATGACGATCTATTTGTGTTAATGATATGTCTATAGTACGGGGTCATGATACTCACAGTAGGCAAAGCGACACCATAGGCAACCTTGCGCACAATAGGACTTGCTGACCCCAATGCGGGCGATGTCACATCCTGACCGGCATAGCAGTAGATAACCACAGAGGCGACCATGTAGAGAATGAGATCGATGCCTTGCAAGAGACACAAGGATTTGGGGTAATCCTTTGGATCTTTCAATTCCGCCATGAAACTGAAAAAGGCAACATGGCCGGCTGTCCTTTGTCAGATGGCGCATTCGAGCATGAACTCGAAGGGAGACCTACAGAACGAGAACACAATGTTGCAGACAGCCAAGAATGCTTGGTAAAGGCTTGTATCAACCGTAGCCTGAATGTTTCCCTTTCCTGGCCTTTCGATACCAACACCGACCATCGCAATAATGACGGCTGTCAAGATGCTGACAAAGGCTGTGGTACATTAGCATGGTTTCATGTTTCGTGCAACTAGTACGGGAAATCCAAGCACCTACACACGAGAGAAAGCCAGGAGATATTCAACAATGTCCGAGGCAAGCAGAGCAAAAAGGAGAGAACGAGACCAACAACCCCAAACACGATCGTGCAGGTACCGTGTTCGGTGATGGTGTTCATAGCCACGCTGAAAGTCAGTATATGACTAGCAGATACGAAGATGATCAAAAGCAATTGGCCCGTCCCGAACAGTTCACGACCAAAAGCACCCAGGAGAACCTCTCCGGCGTCCGCCATGCTATGGATGTGCGGATGACGCCATTTGAACTGCCCGATCACATAGCCGGTGTAGGTGGCCATGAGACCTAGGAATAACAAGAGGAGAATTGCACTAATAGGCATTAGTAGGCTATATTGAACCCACTGGACACAAAACTTACGGAGCCAGACCCAGCTCGGCCACGACGGCCGGCAGGGACAGAATTCCCAGCGAGACGGTTTCAGACACCATGACTGGAAAAATTAGATTCAGATGAAAGTTGCGATGCATCGGAATCACTCACGAAAACCGCACTGCCTGCATATGATCAGCAATTGATGCATGCACATCGGGATGACGTTACGGTACTTACCACCAGTTCAACACCTTGTACTTGACCTCCGCAAACTCCTCGTCTCCAAAAGCATCCTGGTAATGCGGGCTGGCCTTGACGTCTTGCTGCTTCTCCATATTCTCAGCATCATAATCCACCGCCACATCACGGTCTTGAGGCTCAACGTCCGCTGTCATGGCCGATCAAGATTTTGTTCCGAATTCTCCGGTCAACCGTTGGAAAAGATCCGTCTACCGGAACACGTGATGTAGAGCAGTTACTGGTACGGAGATAAGTTCAAGTAGACCGGACTATGCAATAATTGAAATACTCAATGACTGGATCTCGCCGTGAGTCAATATAATCCAATCTTCAGGTTCTGCGCGGTGGGTCTTAGATAATCAGCCGAGGTTGCCTTTTCCGGTTACTTCAGGACATAGAGCATTATCATTGGTGGGATTCTTTCAGTCAGTTTCGGTGCAATTGATCAATCAGAATTTCATTTGATATACTACAATATACGACACTCAAACGGTCTTTCCATTCACCCCCAGAAAGTGAAGGGTAAAGCACTTTGCCTAAACAATGCCTTTCCTCTGAGATCTTTCTAGCTTCTTCAAGTACCTTGGAAGGTGACAAACCACGGCACACAAGTTCGACAGCGCATTGCACTAAGGCATGCTTCCCGTGGGAAGCTCTCCTGGGGAGTACAGTGTCCATCTTGATCGGCTCGTTAAGCTAAGAAGCTTCACAGCGGCTCCTAAGTGGTTTCTTGTCCATGTTGTCCTTAAAATGAGCACCGTGTGGCTTATGGACAAGCTTATCTCGTGGTCCCGATCCTAGGATTGCGGCCTGATGAAGCTCCTTGGCATGGTTCTGCAGAATGCACTGGTAACCCGTGTTGGTGACGGTGACCTATAAAATGGATCCAAGTATATGACATACAGCGACGCTGAGCTCTACCTCCTCCTCAACAGTCCAATAGCCATCCAATCCTTTCAAGTTACAGTACCTTCAAGATTCGATACGAGGGAGGTTCTAAGTGAGCGCATGAGTCTATCAGTGATGACGTTCTCAGATGGCTAACACATATCTCACTAGGGATAGGCCAACAGAGCTCGGCGAGGTCCACATTGATACTTTGGCTGACCCCACGCACAGTACGATTTTCCCGATCAAGCTGCTCTTGACCGTCGCTCTCCATACTGCTCAAGTGCATGCCACCGTCATTGACTAACCCTACCACATAGCCACCCAATACCAAAAGATTGCCTGGAGAAATCCTAACCACCCGATCCTCTGCCAGCTCCGCCATGGCGGAAGGCTCTTGGTTGACAATAAACCGGCCCGGGTTGATCGTCTGCAAGATAATCTCACCGAGATCGGGACGGTGTGACCACCCATTCTCTGCGCTGAGGCAGTGCTCGTGAAGTTGCACACCTTTCCCGACCGCCGTCAATGGAGAGCGTTCCCCGAGCCACAATCTCGAACTTACCCGGTAGGATCTTAATAACCCCCCATCCCGGAGACCCTTCACTATAATCTTCGGGTGGAGAATCAAAACCTCCAACAAAACACTATTGGAAGGTCATATTGAGCAGTTTATAACCTTCTTTCAGATCAACACACCCACTTCGAATCAACCACTGTACCGAAAATTCTTCCAGTGAGGAGCCTATTGTGTTCCAACACTTTTGTAAAACGGGCCATTACGGCTAGAGAGGAAGGATCAAAATAATTTTGATATAAATATTCGCATATATTAAGAAAAAGAGACTTGCTGATGCCTCTGAGATTATTCTACATGTAAAGATACCGGTTACTAACAAGCGTCTAGGCTGAAGGAAGCAACCCCGTTACGGGAAAGTTTGAAAGTTTGGCTAACTATAGGTTCTAACACACAAATTCTTGCGTCAATATCCATCGCAGATTGTGCAAGGTTGGTGCCAAGCGTACATACCACTGCCAAGTGTGCAGTGGCCCCTGCAAAGGCAAGAAAGAGCTCAATTTCCACATTCGGCAGAAAAAATTCCTTTGTGGTCCTTATGAATTTTTTTTTTTTGACAAGGACAAGAAACGCGAGAACCACAGGCGTACCACTCATACAGCTTGGCAATGCCTGTAACCTGCCCTCTCAGCGACCAAGATGGTTGCAAATCCCAGCATGTCTGGGGTACCGGGCAGCAAGTTACAATTTCCGATATTGACTAATGATGAGTTGAGAAAAGACATTTCTGCCGGCTAATTCTATTTACTATTACGAAATAAGACTGGCCCACTTAAGTCAGGCTGCCCCTACGCGAACAAGAACCGAACCAATTTCGAGTATTAACGGGGCTGCCATTTCTATACTCATGCTCCTTGTTTTCAAGCCCTTCCACTCAAACAGAGTGAGTATAGGAGTGAAAAACCTGCGAAACCCAGATGCTATTTCATAAGCCGGTAAAAGAAATAGACCCTTGAACACTTATCAAAAAGCACCGGTACAGTCCAGAGCAAGAGAAACACTTTAACGGGCAGAAGTGCAATCCACCCCAATACACCCAAGCTTGGACTAGCTGACCATCGGTGCTTGTGGTTTCATGCTCTCTTCTCTTTTGTTTTTCAATGCTATTGTTGAGATACTTGCTAGTCCGACTGATCGATACCAGGATACAGTACTCACTTCTACGCTTGATACGATTTCTTATTTTAATTTCTCCTTTTAATTTGTTTTTTCTTTATCCCGCGTTTATTCGGAATATGAGCAGGAGTAGGACAACAGGTCCACAAAAACCTGACACTCACCATCACAAGGCCATCCATTCAACATGACACACAACAACCAGAAAGAAGTCATAACGATCCAGCCTTTCAAGCAGAGTTCCCGGTGTCTTTTGAATCTAGGCTTTTTGCTCCAGGCTGCCATGCATGTGGTAAACTACTTCCATAAAGCGTTGTAACCACGTTGGTTTGTTTATATGGCGCAATCTGCCTAATTTTGTTGTCAAGAACAACAAAAAAGCAGAAAAAAAAAAAAAAAAAACATGAGTGAGACGGAAGAGGTAGCGGGGACCTTCGCTTTTATACGGCATTTTGTCGGGTTGGAGAATGTTGACGGAAGGGAGTTGAATGATTTTATTTTGCAGCGATGGATATTCGTTTAGGAAGTTGCCTTGAATGAGTCGAGGCGCTCTATGACTGAGCAGCCCGACCCTTTGCTACAAACTATGGTTGTATGAGAATACTGTTATCCAGTTTATATAGATTATCATACACGAATACAATGTATTATTACTTAAACGACATTAATAGGACAACATACACAATACGACAAGATTTGGAACTACCTAAATCATCCCCAGCATCACTCATAATCGTAGAGCTGCTTCTTCGGCGGCACATCACCCCGCAAGATATACTTCTTGAAGTACCACGGCAACATCCCCCGGTAATGGTTGATATGCTTCCTTGTCGGAACGGAAAATACCTGATCCAATTCCTCCAGAGAAAGGGCTTTAGTCTCCGGCAGACAGAAATAGCAGAAGATCCAGCCGAAGAAGTTCCAGGCCGCATACCACCCGAACGCACCTTGTGGTGTAAAGGCATCTCTCAAACCCGGCCACGTGAAGGACACGATGAAGTTGAAGCCCCAGGTCGTCGCAGTGGCAAATGACATACCAATATCGCGAATGTAGAGAGGCTGTGTGTATTAGCGAGGCGTATAAAATGATAGGGAATACTGCAACTTACAAATGCTTCTGCAGAGTATGTAAACGGTACTGGCCCCTCACCGGGGGAGTAGACAATCATGAATAAATAAATACCGGTGGCAACACAGCCAACACGAGCATCGTCGTTAGGGATCCAAAAAGAGAATCCGGTAAAGAGAAGAAAAAGGCTCATAAGAGGAAACGTAGTCAGAAGCAGATTCCTTCGACCGAAGGTATCAATCGTGTATACTGCTGGAAGCGCAAAGATCCAATTGGTAATGCCACAGCCCAGAGACACTATAAGAGCCATACGTAGACTAAGACCGGCGTCGCGGAACATTGACGAGGAGTAGTACATGATTGCATTGACACCGCAGAACTACACACGTTAGTGCTCATTTTGTGATATCGTTGAGGGGGAAATACCTGCTGCATAAACATGACAAAGAAAGAAGACTGAGCCGCTCGTCGGTTTCGGGGTATAGTGAACATCTCTCTCCATAGCTGCTTCCCCTCACGGAGCTTTTCCTCGACCTGAAGAGCGGAGTGAATGTAATAAAGATCTCTGGCGGCCTGAAGAGGCGATGGGCGAAACTTAGATAAAGCTTCATACGCTCTCTGGTAGCGGCCTCTAATCATATACCATCTCGGAGATTCGGGACAAAAGTAGACTTGTGCACAAACGAACATTGGACTCACAGATATGTTAGCACTATAAATCACGTGAAAAGTCCTAAAATGAAAACTTACGGGATAGCTGTAGAACCCAGCATCAACCTCCAATTCATCCCTCGATAACTCGGATTTGACACGTCCATAAATATGACCGACGCGATGTAACCCATCATGATTCCGAATGCTGTCCACATCTGCCACATCATCACCAATGCTCCGCGGATGTTCGCTGGCGCGCACTCAGCACCATATCTGCTTTCAGTCAGTGCAAGATCAATAACGGCATGGTCAACGACGTGCTCACACTGGGGTTGTACTAGATTTTGCTCCAACTGCTAATCCCAAGAGAAACCGAGCAAACAGGAGCGAGACCCAAGATTTGGCCGCGGCCATCCAGAAGGATGAGGCGAAAGAGATGAAACACGAGATGAAGATGCATCCGCGGCGGCCGAACCAGCGGTTGAGCGGTGCCGTCGTCCAGCAACCAATTAAACATGAGCAAAGGTATGGAGCACCGTTAAGGAGACCTTGTAGCCATTTGTCCGTAACGCTGAACTCCTCGAAGTAGAACCTAGTATAGTTAGCCATGATATGCCCATATCTAGATGAGATGTATGAAATAGTCGCACTCTTGAGCACCGTTGACTGCAGTCTGGTCCATGCCTTGCACGATTGCCGAACCAGCACAAAGAACTAGATTGAACCGGGTCAGAGACGGTAACGATGTGCCACGAAGTGAAAACCTACTGGTCATAAAGTACATCATAAACGGCTGGTGCCATTTATGTGTCGTTTCTCGTCGTAACAATTCTTTTTCCTCTTCGCTCAGCTCGTCTAGGCTTTCAAAGGCCTTAGGATCCTGAGCCACCAAGGCACCCTTCTTCAAGTCGTCTAGGATAGGTTCAAGATACCTCTCCCGGGCAAATACCTCAACATCTGCCATGAGCTCCTCTTTTGTAAGTCCGGCAAGAGGGTTCTTTTGCTTGGTTTTCTCGTCGCTTTTGATGACATCGTGTGACCAAGCCCGAGCAATTCCGGCATCCGACACGATTTTCTCTTTCTCCATAGAGACTGTATGCTCAATGTGGTGAGACTCCACAGGTACCTCAGGATCAGTCTCTTTATCACGCATGTTGATTAAATCTGGACAAAGTATGCCCCAAAATGCAGATCTTCAACGGTATATACCAGACTGAAATATGCAGATAGCGACAGGCAAATAAGAGCAAGTAAAAGAAAAGTTAACACACGGAAATGCAGCAAGCCGCCGCTTTTATTACCTTCGACGTCCAGCACGTCTGGGCACGTCCACCACACATGGTTATGATTGTTTGCATGACACATATCGGCGTCCCCCGGACTACTCAGACTCTGCCGATTCCCCAGACGCATCCCGGCTTTCCTGACCAGGCTACTGGAGCCCAAGCGGCATGTCCCGTATTGGTCTGCCCGTATTAAAATGCGCACGGGGCGCCGGACTAAGAGGCGAGGTGTTGGTGGTCGCCCAAGAAACCTTTTCCGGTTAAAATCAAGATGAAGGGTCATTGGTCAGCCATGCTGCGAAACCTGTGTCATTGAAACCAGTGACTAGTCTTCATGCCGTGTCAAACATACTAAGTTATTGGCCCAGGGCTCTGACCAATGTGCTTTGACGTGGGCTCGGATTCTGAGCATGAAATGCTGGGCTGCCAAGGACTGGCGGTCTTGGGGTATTGGCTCGGGCAGAGATATCCATTTAACCAGCCATCTCCCTTCTCATTCTGGCCACAGAATACGAGGTTGCAACGGCCCTCGTGGAAGCCAAATCCAGAGTCGAAGAGAATTGTCTAGTTCTTCCCGTCACGTTATCCTCTTCCGGAATAGTCGTCCCCGCATTCTTGGCACCTGTAATCGAGTCATGTGACATCTATACCAAGATTATCTTGTATTTCGGCATTTCTGACTGTTGAAGAAGGATTAGGATCCCTGGTTAATGCGGGGTACTCCAGAACAGAAAATGTACACTTCGGCATGGGCACGGCGGTAAAGCCACATGGCTTCGGCATGTGCAACAAAGGATTATATATGTAAGTGGCCTGTGCTATTCTACGTCCACAGAAACGATAAGCCTTCAATCTGACGCCTGAGACTCGATGCTATTGTAGTATCAGCATCAGTAAGAACTTTTTTTCGAGCGACGGTCCAGACAGATTGCTTTGAGTACATTAAATTTATCAACCACCACACTTTATACTGCCAGGGATATCCTTGAGACTACCAGATTTGAGCTTGTATCTGGAATAGAAGAGTGCTATGTAAAAGTTGCTAGGAGGAATTGTTACTTCATTCGTGAATCTCAAAACTACCTGCATGGGAATGTTGCGGGTGGCATACGTCACATTAGGGCAGGCGGTTACACTACCAAATCCGGTAACACCAGTCTAAGGCAAACTGCCGCCTCCCACAGTTCCATGGTAGTAAGCATTAATTTAAAACAACATCTTCTCCCTCTCGATGTCATTCTTTGCTCCTATCCATCAAGAAAACATGGTCCACTTTACCAACTGGGTTGCACTGGCCGTGTTCGTATCCCATGTTTCTACGGCCTCCTTCCGAACAGGACAAGCTCCGTTGTCCCATCCTCAAACATTCATTCAGAAAAGTATATTCGGACAGCGCCGGGACGTGGTCATTGATTCGCATGACGATTTCACCATAAATGATGATTTCAATGAGAACACTCCCTATGAAGACATTGCTACGTTCGCTCATTTGAATTGGACCAATTGTTTTTCTCCGGACAATGACGGAGTCTTCGACATTGGTATTGTAGGGGCCCCGTTTGACCTTGGTGTCACGTATAGGCCTGGCGCTCGCTTTGGGCCTTCAGGAGCCCGCATGGGAGCGCGTCGGTTGGCGCCTAGTATGGGATATAGGCTAGTTACCGTATTTGGAGGACTGAGTGAGAATATGTTTGCTTACAAAAAGTATAGCATGGACCACGGCGTAAATCCATTTCCGCGATTGGGCTGAAATTGTCGACTGCGGTGATATCCGGAATACATCATTCGCCAAATTGCAAGCAATACATGAACTTGAGCAAGCGTGGAAACAAATTACTGCTCGCCAGCCCAGGAATACAGACAAAGGAGATCATGTACGGCTAATTTCGATTGGTGGTGATCATACAATCAGTAAGTTGATCACCAGAGCATGACACACCGACGCTAACAATAAGAATAACCCTTCCCGCTCTGAGATCACTGCATCCGACATGGGGTAAAGTCGCCGTGTTACATTTCGATTCGCACCTTGACAGCTGGGACCCAAAGAAGTTAGGAGGTGGTCTTTCTAAGTATGCGGAAGTTACCCACGGCAGTTTATTGCATCTTTCCCGTGAGGAAGGCCTCCTGTCAGGGAACAACAACATGCATTTAGGCTCTCGATCCATGCTCTTTGACAAAGATTACGACCTGGACAACGATGCTCGATGTGGCTTCTCATATATTCGAGCAAGGGAGCTTGATGTGATTGGATTAGATGCCGTCATTGAGAGAATTTTGAAGACCGTTGTCGATCAATTCGTGTACCTGCGTGTTGATATCGATGTTTTAGACCCAGGTATGCAACCATGGTCCCCTCAAGTATGTGTACAAGTCTCACTGATTGAATGCAGCCTTTGCACCAGCAACAGGTACAATCGAACCCGGTGGTTGGACAACTCGTGAGCTATTACAGATACTGAATGGGTTATCAAGGGCTGGTGTGAAGATAATCGGAGCGGATGTGGTTGAATTTTCCCCAGTCTATGATGATGCGGCCGAGAGGACAGCCGTCGCAGTGGGTCAGATCGTGTACGAGATCTTCCAGTGGATGATTCGTGTACCAGTAGGCCATGTGGAGTAGTGGCGTGTCTAGAACAAATGACAGACCGAAGTTTGATTGAGGTATGGGGCTTCACTTGGTTTCTGCCAGCGCTCATCGAGAAGTCCTAAAGTGCGCCTCACATTTACAATGCAATACCCGCTTTGCAACACCTCGAGGCGTCTGCGGATGAATGCTCGATGCACCCGACTTGTGGTATAGCTCCCTGCAGTAAACAATGGAAATAGCATCAGCTTGGCTACAGGGACATTCTCCTGAACCGCAGCACAAGATTAAAGGACATGGTCAACAGAGTCATTTCGGATTTCGCACTTTCACCATTGATCCGTATGATAATAATAAGCGAGCAGGTGTGTACCAATGACTCATTGTAATGATCAAGGTCATCAGTCAAGTCTGTGTCCTGTTTGAATCTTTCCAATTTTCGAAGAAGTAAGCGCACTCGAGTCTGAAGGATCATTTTGTCTACATCTAGCTCCGATGATCAGGTGCGTCCACCATCAGCAAGCGAACGAAGAACCCTTCCTAGTCGATAAAGAAGATCTGTGACAGTTTGCGATATCCCGTTGAAAGAATCCACACTCTGAAAGAACATGTTTTTGCCCGCGGGATCAAAACTTTGCTCTGATACGATACTCAGATAATCCGGCGCATTTAGTGTATGGACCGTTTCATCCAACATTGTCACTGTATGAATGTATCCCAGCCAACTAACAAGGAAGAGAAAGGTATCATCCAGGGCCAATTCTGTATCAAGTCCCTTATCTATAGTGCTCAATGCACATTCGAGATAGAGCGTTAGACTAGCAAAGTCCCCACGCGCAATATAAGCGGAGCAAAGTACCACCAACGTATATAGGAGGTCTAAGATCTGTGATTTCTCTTGGGGTATATAACTGTTTTTACTGCCGACAAACTGGCCCATGTGTGATATCACTTCCTGTTCCGTCTTCCGCGCCGCAGTGACCATGTCCACAGAATCTGCAGGTGAAGGGTGATCGTCAAGTGTCCAGTTCGATTGCACTGACTGAGAAAAGAATACAATCGCGAAAAATAGAGGGGTTTGGCTCTCAGCCTGAAGCCCTGAAATAAGCTTGCTGGTCTGCGAAACATCAAGAGTTATCCCGGGAGCTATGCGTTCAACAAAGCTACTCCACAGGTACGAGACGGCAGCTTGCAGGATTGGGACACGAGGATTTATGTTAGTATCCCCAATCGGAGTAAAGTATCCTATGGCTTCTTCTGGTGGCGGCCATGTGCTATCTTGTCCTGGAGTAGAAAAAGTATACAGGATCCGTAGATTGTCGATGACAGCGGGTCTGCTATGGCACCCAGGATATTGCAATCTATTGCTTCACTGGAATGTAAAGTGGCCGCTCCTTCACTTTCCAAATATTCCCCAGGAACAGGAGATGTGCTCAGTTCAACAGAACACCCGCTGAGGGTATGATTAGCCCCCCGCATCTGCCGTGTACGAGTGACGCCGTCCGGGCTTGGGGCATGTTGGCTGGTACTATTGATGCCGTTGACGCGCCATTCTGCCGTTGTTGATGGGATACATTCAAGGTTCAGTCTCCTACAGCGCGAGCAATGAGACCCGGTGCGGTCACACTAGTTTGCCGTCAATGATGAACACACAGAGAGAGAAAGGAGATTACCTTGCGTTTCGATGTCTTACAATACTGACAGGGAGTTCGATTCCTCGTTTTGCGACCACTCTGCATTGTTCCACAGGAATCGTTAAGTATTGGTGGATAGTAGTATGGTTGTGCAAGTCAAGGTGAAGAGGGGAGTGCGGAGACCCACCTTGCGGCAATACAGCCGAATAGGCAAGACTCGCGCTGAAGTGCGAATGTGTATATTAAACCAATGCAAATGTTGCACTTCAGTGATGTACCCTACTTTCAGCATTTAATATTCACTGCATCCTCAAGATAATGACAAGCACATGTTCCGCAACCAGGACTTCTCCGACCTCTATACCGCCTGTCGCGAACGAACAAACGCATTTGCTTAGCTGAGCCAACCACCCGGATTATTATCATGATCATGTCGACTAAAGGTTCAAGAAAGCCAGGGAAATTGCTACTGACATTCATCTGCTTGCGAGAGATGCCATCCAGGTGATTGTTGCATATTGCCTGCAGAGCAGCCTTCAAACCGTACCATTAGCGATCGTTGGCCATTGGTCACTCGAGGACCTTGCTACTACAGCCTTTGCAAACATGTATGCCACATGCACCGGGTGGCTAATTGGATTGGGCGGAACAACCGCGTTTGATACCTTCGCTTCCTCTACTTTCACCGGAGGTCGAACCGGCACGATTTGGGAGTCCTGCTACAGAGAGCTTTCTTCGTGCTTGGGCTTCTTTATTTACCTGCTTGACATACTATTTAGGCATCATGCGACCTGGCACAGAGTGATACATTGGGATGCCTTGTCATGTTGATATTGTTTGCCGCAAAGGATCACTTTGCTAGTACATTCAGTAATGATCCAGGTGTGGTAGACTTAACGGCGCAGGGTATACCCTATGTTGCGCTCTTCCAGGTCGCTGATGGGCTTCATGGGAGCTGCAGTTGATTTATCAGAGCAACAGGAAAGCAACATGTGGGTACTGTAATTGATATTATCAGTTACTACTGTAGTGCTCTGCCGCCGGGTATCTGGCTGTCGAGACATGGGTTTGGGTTGGTTGGTTTGTGGATCGGACAATGTGATACGCTCTATGCGATGGCGTTGGCTCAGTGGGATATAATTTGTTTCGGCAATTAGGATAAGGAAGTTTTACGTGCTTTGGAGCGATTGGATGATAGGGAAGGTTGGGTATACATGGATCAGACTAGAGACGTCGATTCAATTGGAGACTGTTATGCATTTTATTCTTGATTATTGCGCAGTTTCTAGTAAAAAGCTATATATGGACAAGATAAGATTGTATACATTGATTTTATTGTAAGTTATTGTTGCTACTATACAGTGGCCTCACCTCTAGTCACGTGTATCTGCATCTAAGCAGCAGGAGTGCATTGCGAGTAGTAAGGGTTCATGGAACTGCAAGAAGCTCCGTTGGCACAGGACTTAGGTCCAGTCCAGTTAACACCACCGCACTGGCCGTAGGCAGACTGCGCACCGCCAGCGCTGCTAGCAGAAGGAGCGGACGAAGCAGCAGACGGGGGAGCAGACGGAGCAGGCGAACTCGCGGTCAAGAAAGTCGAGGGAGCGGAAGGAGCAGCGGCCTCAGTGCTAGAGGGGGCAGTGGATGCAGGCACGCGGACGGGGATGGTGGTGGGCAGGGCGACATTGTTCTTGGCGGTGGGTGCTGCGCTCGAGCTCGAGCCAGAAGCAGCAGCAGAGCCAGAGCCGACGGTGGCAGAGCCGGTGGAAGTGACGGTGGAGGTGGCCTGCGAGATGGAAGTGGCGCCCGACCAGATGGTAGGACCGGGGAGCTGGTAGGTCGAGAGCGAGGAGTAGATGTTGACGCTGACGCCAGCCTCGGTAGGCTTGTACAGCGCCGTGCCCAGGGTACCGTCAGGCTTTGCAGTGCCAGAGCCAGAGACCTTCAGGTTGAAGCACTGAGGATAGTTCTGGGCACCATCCTCCATCTCAGCACCGTGGAGAGCCATCAACTCATGACGGAGGACATAATTTCCGGGAGCGATGGACTCAGGGATCTCGACCATCCAGCTGTTGTTGTTCTTGATCAGCTGGTCATCACCCCAGGTACCAGGAACATCCGAGTCGTCGACCAGACCAACGCCGTCGATCTTGAAGAACTTGAGGCTGGTCTTGTCAACAGTCTCGCAGCTGTCACCACAGTCGGCCAAGTAGTCCATGACAGGTCCGTGGTGCGATTCGGGCCACTCGGTCCACTGGATGTTGACACGGTCACCTGCATTCACACTGATGTGGCCCTTGGCGTTGGTCGCGTTCTGGTGACAAATGATGTCGGGCGAGGTGTAGTCCTCGGGGGTGATAAAGCCGTTGCCGGTGTTGGGGGTGCCCCATGCGGCGACAGCGGGAGGGTCCGACATGTATGGGAAAGAGTTGATGTCAAAGCCTTCATAGTAGACACCGTTAACGACGACGTTGGTGACATGACCGTGGGCTGCGACCTGAGTGGCCGACAGCATCGCGGCCAGGAAGGATGCCGACTGAAGACGATACATTGTTTCAAAGAATGGCGGTTGAATAAGTGCTAAATAAAGTAAATGAGCGATCCAGCGCAAAGAACGGGATGAGAAGAACTTCAGTCAATGAAGTAAAGAACCAAAGGAAGTAATAAAAGAAGGAAGTTGATATGAGAATGGATTCGACACAGGAGCAGAGAGCTTTTATATTCTAGCAAGGGGTTTCTCGTTCTCCTGTTATTTGCATCCGATAGTATGTCTTCCGCAGATTGATGGCGTAGACGGGATCTCAGCCTTGACGGTGGTCCCTGCTGTTCATATCGAGAAGCGCCCGACGACAATATCGATGAGACACAGAAAGGTACAGAAAGGCAACCAGCATGTCAAGATTCGTGGTTGGATGACAAACCTGAGGTATGTGTAGCAGATTGATCGAAAAGGGAAAAGATGAAGCCGTTCGCCGTTTAGGATATAGATTAAGACCCACCATGATGCTGTCAGGGCATACCACCCGATATAGCAACAAAGAGTATCCAATCGCTTCTATTGACTATAAATTGACCTAGGAGGCATTGATTAACGATGACGTGAGTAATCCGTAGGAAGGGGAAGTGTGTCGGTGATAGTGCGGGTTTCCGATTAGGGGTAGACCAATAGAGCACACCGCGACGGGTAACATCGTGACTTCTCAAACTATAAGTCTCCAAGCCCTAGAACTCAGTAGATGAAGAGAACCATTTAATCGTTGCCAAGCTTCAATCGTGCACCTTAAAGCGAACAAACAGGAGCATGTCTGGGGCAAAGCGGAACCGTCGTGGGTGGTGGAGACTCATCCGGCCGATGAAGTGCTGAATGCCTGTCCTCAGATATAAAGACGGACCCCACAAAAGCATCAGATAGACATTATGAGCCCCGTAGATTTCAGGATGCAAGGAACGGTCACATCCATGCTTGCTGCCAGAAAACATGAGCCAGTAGTGCGTATTCTAAATCCGGTATAAGCGCCCGACTTCATAACCGGACCATGCCCTGCTCCGAGCCATATCGTCGGATATTGGGAATGCTCTTGTCATTTTCACGGCTGAATCTGTTGCCAATCATATATACACAGTCCAACCTGCTTGTTTTGAAAGTATTAACCGTCTTCGGTCTGGACGGTACAACAACACATTGTCCATAGTAAGGAGTCCGGGAGTCCGCAGGCAAAGTTTACTCGGTAAAAACTCGAAAAACAAAATGTGTTTTTTGTATGGTGAACCGACCTGGTTGAAGTGGTTAGCTCGTTATAGCACGTCCTCGAATTAAGGAAGCTCTGCTATTAGAGAGCATCGGACCAGAGAATCATGTCTCAGACCCAGTTCGGTAAAGCAACATAAACATGGATCCATTGCTGTGTGACAGTCACTAGTACTAACCCAGGCAGTTAGAATAAAACTGCTAAATACTAAGAACGTTAAGCGTCACATGTTGGTCATGTGATGCCACATTCACGAGTTAGTTCTACTTTTTGTCCCTCTTCAAATTCCCACCTCGTCTCATCATTTCCACCAACTCTTTTTTTTCAAGCTATCTCAGAGCAGACATTGTCTAGTGCACCTGTTTAGTGCACACGCATCTATGGGAGATGTTCAAGCATCAGGAGAAATAACTGCAATAGGGCTGACTACGTCTGAGACTTGTTCGATGGATTATTGCAACGCTAAGGCCAAAGCAGCCGCTATGTACTAGCCATTACGTGGATTGGATGGGATCGATCGTTTCTTAAATGACATAGTAGAAACATATGGAGGTATTTTCGCGTGACCAGCCACACTCGATAATGGTAATTAAGGATAATCGCTAACTATGTACGTTTTTCCAGAACGAAACAGAGATTTTTAATAAGTCGCACTTTCCAAGTTGGTTTCAAAGTTCGCGTCCTTGAATGGCACATTGGCCGATCCGAAATCCGTGTTCTCCAATGCAGCCCTCGACACAGCGGGCAATGACTCCCACGCGACCAACGGCTGCTGACCTCCTACAACATCTGTCAATCCACACTGGTGGTTCACAGGCCAAACGTTGTAATACTTGATCAACGGCTCGGAGGTGGACTCGTTGAGCGTGTACCCATCGGTCGAGCAGTCCCACCCTCCATGAGCAGACGGGCACACAGCGAGAATGTTATCGGCAGACGTCGAGGTCGGGTCAGAGATCCAGACGACAACACCCTCCCAGTCATGGCGGTGGCCCAGATCTTGCGAGGGATTATCCTTGGGGAAGTACCAGGAGTACATCAGGGCGTAGGCGTCTGTGTTGGTTGTGTTGGAAGTGCCGCCGCGGACATAGATCTGACCAGTGCTGCTGTCGCAGTCACCGCTTTGGGAGCCGGTGGTGTCTAGGCCGCCACTTTGTGCTATCAGTAAGTAAACTCTTTCGCGCATAGGAGTGTCATATAGAAAATGTTTACCTGGTGTTTCCCTCAGCGTCAACAGCAGGGAACGGAACACAGCCACTGTTCACCTTAAGATAAGGCTGGTAAGCCTTGTATACCTCGCCCGTGATACCACTGGGGATGGTCTCAAGGAAGCCCTCAACCTGGTCATGGTCGATAACTGCGCGGGGAAGCACAGGCGAAGCCTGAGTAAGAAGGGGGAGGAGAGCAACAAATGCCAACATTTTTGACCTCTGTGTTTTATTTCGTTTGAGATTGAGGAATCATCAAGCTTTGCAGTCGTTATCAGGAGATTTATATACACCGAATTTCGGATGAAGTGGTTCCTGACGATCGCCGGAGTTTTGCCGAGCCTACTCCATATAAGTTCGGCTAGATATGAACGACGATTGATGCCTAGTCGATGGAGATATTGGCAAAGAGAGTAACGATCGTCTACTGTCTTCTTCTAGCGGGATATTTATGGCAGCATGTCATTTCGGTGAATGGAGCTTATTCGTCATAAGCCCCCTATCGTCCGTCATGGTTCGGCCTCACGGCTCCGTTGGAGAATCTAAATGGAAAGGAGTACAACAGATGCTAGGATCTTGTGCCCTTGGACATTGATTGCAATCTCCTCCATGCATCCTCGATCTCAGCAGGTACATGGATGTGGCCGATAAAACCGCGCCCATTGGGCCCGTACCCGTTTTCATCATCTCTCACTCGGGGAATTTCACCGAGGATAAGATCAATAAACCGTTGCATGTCCCATAGCATCGGAGGTGAATTAAATGCATACACTAGCTGTCCTTGTGCAGATGGCCGTACTTGTGGGACAAACACAGGACAGCTAATGAAATGCGGGCGATTTTCCACGTGTTTATAGGCATGTTCGAAGGATGCCGTTGTCCGGAGCATCATTGTCGGATCCTGGATCAAGATGATGTTCTTGAGGTCAAAAGCAAATCGCTCCAGAATTTCACGACTCTTGATCGCATTTCTACCGCAGTTTGTCGATTCATCTTCCACGAGGATCTGGCAACCGGCGGCCCTTACCGCAGCCCCATCAAAGAATTCGTCAAATATTCTCTCTAATACCTGAGCTTCTGGAAGGCCCGTGATGGCCTTTGCCAGGGTATGAAATTGGGGATGGTCGGCCACGGCCTCGTAAAGAAATTGAGTGGAGTGACCGATACCCCCGCAGAGGACCAGCTTTCGCGTAAGCGTCGGACATTCTTGCAGGGTTTGGAAAAGGACTTCTGCACTATGGAGGACCGCCGAAGCACAGATGATAATGCAATCAACCGATGCACATGCTGCCAGGTTGTTGAGCTGTTGGTCAGCTAGGAATATCGCCAGGTTATTAATATCGACGGCCGTATCCGCAACTGACATGGTTGAACGTTCTCGATTTATTGATTCTATATTGAAGAGGGGTACAGAGTACGGATTAGTTTGACCACATTTCTGTCAGGGGAGAAATCTCGGGTTGGCCATCTCCGATGTTTCTCTTCTAAAAGCGGAGAGCCACCCGGATAAAGCTTCCATTTCGGTATGCGCTATGGATGCGATTGATCCGAGCAGTCAATTCGAGTGACTGGAGCTTTCCTTGAATTGTGTTGCAGACCCTGCAAATTCTATCTAATAGCGCGAAAATATACGTAAAGACTTGAGCTACTTACAGGCTTATACATCAGGGCAGACAAGTCAACAAATCCCCCAGCTTACCATGAACCACTCCCTGCATTGTCGCATTAGCATCCCGCTTACTCTCCGCATTGCCCACCGAGATACTCGCATAGCATCCATCCGTGTCGACGACGCTGGTCTCACTGGGCAAATAGTCATCTCCGCAGATTTCGATATCATCGTCCGACACCAGCGGCACATGATCAAAGATCCGCGAGAGTACAAACTTGAAATCCTCTGCACTAGAGCACTTTGACTCACTGACTTCCGGGAAGTTGACGTTCAACCATACATCCTCAGGAAGATAGGGAGTGCCTGCTTTCAAAACCCTGTCCGTCACCTTTGTCGCCAGCTGCGCATAGACTTGGCTAGTTAGCGGATAGGAACTGCTGGCGTTCCAAGCGGTGGGATCGCCGCTCTTGCCCGAGAATGCCAGCGCTGGGATACCAGCGTTATGCGCAGCGTAGCTCGCGGCACCAACAGTGCCGGAGAAGAACACAGTAACACCCAGGTTCGAGCCGACGTTGGGCCCGGAGACGGCCAGATCGGGGGCTCCATTGAAGATGGTCGGAGAGAAGTTGTCGATTCCGTAGCGCATCGAGGTCAGCGGGTAGGAATTCACCCAGTTCTGATTCGAATCGGTCACATTGTGTCCATATGGGCCGCTGTTGGCTGGGCAGCTGTCGTACTCGCAGGCATCATCACGGTTCGATGGGGCATCGTCCAGCGATCCTATATTGCTTTATTAGGCACATGGTATCTCCCGCAATTTTGGTTGGATGGTGATACCTTTGCCACTTTGGTTGTCTGCCGGCGCAGAAAGAAGAACCGAATGTCCATCGGCCGTTAACGAATCGTACAGCGCACGGATATTAGCCTCGGCCCAGCCATCGTCGTTGGAAGAGACGATGTTGACGGCGCTGACCGCCAGCGGAAATAGGGCCAGGAGGGGTAGCTGCATATTGTACAAGTACCCTGTACAATGCACCGTACGTTGTGATAGTGACGAAGCCGCTGCTGCTAAACATTTCAGGAGACGGAGATTATGGCTCACTATATATAACGGTGATTGACTGGTTTAGGCTCGGAGATGCTGCTGAATCGGTGGAGCGGGATGAAGATCATCTGGATGGTTCGGTAGATACGATGCGATCTCGGAGACCTTCAGAGCCAGTGTTTGGTGCACATGGAGGATGGGTACTTTTACAGCTACCTTGGTGGGTTCAATTTGTCTGCGACATGCATATGTCTAAGTACCCCTGGGATCTGTATAGTGCAGCGTGGGGGCTCTGCATGATACTATCCGAGTCACATGCTGGCGTCTCATGGGGAGCGTACTGCTCCCGTCCCTTCTCTAGACAGAATAGGCCAAACATCGCTCAAACATTTGTCTGTGACCTGTCAACAGAAACATCTCAATCGCGATGCATCGCATTGTGTTCTGATTGTTCCGAAAGACTCGTGGTTGGTGATAGCGGAGATACGATAAGGATAATCGTCCGAAAAGTCGATCAATGCAAAGTACTATTATTTATTCTAATGATCTTATGGACAATCTATTAGTCTATCATGTTGATTATTAGCGCCTTGAATAAATGCGCACTCTGTTTCCCGTTCTATTACTCCGATCGGGCACTTTTTGTCTTCTTGCTTCGGAGCTTCATCATCAAAAACACCAAGGCATAAGAACTGATGCAGAACAGGGCAGTGATTCCGGTCTGATTCAAGTCAGTGAAAGAACGGTATAATCCGCAGAAGAAAGAACTTACATCTCTCCAAGAGTAGTACTTCTCCTTTAAATTAAACGTCTTGGCATAATCCGCGCCAGTGGAATACTGGCAGAACGAGCACGTCGACGTGGCATTGGAATCCATAAGGTACCCGGCCTGTTCAGAGAGGAAGTTGGCCATGTATTCTCCACACGTCTGCCCCGGAGGGGCGTCGAAGTTCACCCATTCCGACGGCTCACAGTGCACCTTGACGTCCCAGAGAACTTCGCCCAACAAGCCACCGACCAGATATGTGAAGGGGTCCAGGTAGTACATCCAGTATCGCCAGAAGGGCTGCATCTGCGAGTACGGGACCACCACACCACAGAAACTGATCATGCCGGCACCGATGAGGACCGGGTTCATGATCGCTGCGAAGTATTCGTTGGGCGCGTACGCGGCAATGGCCTGACCGATCGAGGTGTATAGGAACTCATAGACTGACGTTATCAGTAATTGCTTGGAATGGTACGGCGGGATACTTACAGATCATCTGCAGGTACACATGTCCCGAGATGCTGGAGGCGACTGGAAAGCCCGCGGTAAAGTACCAACAGGCGAAGTATAAAGTAGCGCATATAATTAGGTACGGGATTTCAGAGACGGCCTGGGCTCCGATGAACGCTATCCAGTGATACGTTTTCGACTATCGCATGTTAGCGCTAGGTTATTTGACACAGGTGATAGCACATACCTTTTTCTCCCGCGTTTCGAAGATGTCCCGGTTATGCAAGAAGAACGGCTGCATCTGGTTGATACATCCCGGCGCGACGAATATGAAGTTGAAGATGGCGAATAACCGGAGCTGCAGCGAAAATGTACCATCTCCGATCTTCCAGAAAGTGAAACCGCTGAACAAGCCGGCAAAGACGTGGAGGATCATCTTGTTCCACATATAGTCCTGCGACTAGTCAGTTCATTCATCTGTGTTCGCCATGGAACGTGACTTACCGGAGACCGCCAAAGTTGGGTCATTAATCGTTGCCAAACCATCTTGAATTGGAACCATTTCGAAGTCGCAAAGTCGGTCTGATCTTCCTCATAATTAGGGTTGGCTTTGCCGGTATCATTCAAGGTCTCCAATGAATTCATCGCATCTCGGCGCTCGTACGATTGACTCCAGGTTTCTACCCAGTCGACTTTTGCATTCGCCTTTCCTTGAATAACGTCGACGATGTGCTCCGCAGGATTGGCGCCTGGAGGACAGGGAGCTCCGTTTCTGGCGAAATAGTCAAGCACTTTATCTGAGTTCTTGCCAGCTGCTACTGTTAGAACTTGTCATGATATGGACATTAGTATAATACTTACTCTCGCCAAAATATGCCATCTTTCCGCCCTTTGCTAGTAAAAGCAAAGAGTCAAATGCATCGAACAGAACTGCTGAAGGTTGGTGGATAGTACACTGGAAAGTGTCAGTGCCCACACTCCTATGTCATAAAAGGCTGCTACTCACCAAAACGGCCTGTCCGCCATCAACCAATTTCCTGAGGAACCGGATAATGTTGTATGCCGATTGGCCATCAAGACCGGAAGTCGGTTCATCCAAGAAGAGGAGAGTCGGTTTGGCGACTAATTCGACTCCCAGAGTAACTCGTTTGCGCTGCTCGATACTCAGACCCGCACCAGGAACTTCAATCGTTAGCATCTTCTCCTAGCGCCTTTTACTTCAATGATGGCAATTTTTACCTCCGATGAGAGCATCACTGATGTCATGAAGTTCTAGAAGCTCGATTATGTGTTCCACATAAGCAATCTTCTCCTCGCGTGGCACCGTCGAGGGCTGCCGTAGCAGAGCAGAAAAGATGAGCGCTTCCTTGACCGTTGATGTTCCTTCGTGGACATCCATTTGCTCGCAGTAGCCGGTGGTCCTCTGAAAGCTGATACCTTGGGGTCTTCCGTCAATCAGGACTGAACCATAAATTTCACCGCTGTCCTTCCTTTGGGCGAGCACATCGAGCAAACTATATTCGTCAGCGTTGGTCAATTTTAAAGCAGTGTGCACTTACGTTGTCTTTCCGGCTCCAGAACTTCCCATAAGAGCCACCAAGTTTCCAGGCTTAACATAGCCAAAGACCTTGTGCAAAAGTTGCTTCTTCTCGCCTTGGAAAGGAACATAGTAGTCGAGGTTATTCCAAGTAAACGTTGAATGCTTCCCTGTCTGCTGAAGGGCATCTGCCAATACTTTTGGCCGTTTCTGTTGTCCTCCAGGTCCTCGCTTCTGACTGCCACGCTTGTACAAAAGCACCGAAGAACCACCCTGCTTGTCGCGTAGCTCGAATCCCAGTGCCGTGACGAAAATGAAGAACGCCCAGAAGCCGACTAAGATTCCGAAGCTTCTCCAGATATGGTGCACGGAGTAGCTGTACTGCTGGCGGATATAAGCGGCTCCGTCGATCATGCCTTCTTCGTTACTTCCGAGGACAGAACATCCCCGGTACTTTGAGTCAGAATATCCATTGCCGTAGGGGATATAGTCCGGCTCGATACATTGGAGTTGCAAGCCGACGAACTCGTTTGCCATCAGTGCCTCGAAGGCGTATGATCCGGGGTTCAAGTAGAAGATCCATCGGAACCAGACGTGCATTTTCTCGAAGGGGATTAAATAACCTATAATAATGATGAGCATATCGAAAGAGTTCGCTAATGAGGATACATACCTCCATAAACGAAGAAAACGGTCGACAACAACCCAGAGATCTTGGACGCATTTCCGAATTTGTTGCACACAGCACCAATGGCCCGAAAAAGTTGAATAAAACTCAACGTCTGCATAATGACAATAATCCAAAACGTGAAAAATCGGCCAGCATCCATTCGTAGCGCTGACATGAAGTAGAGAATCAGCGAGAAGCATGAAACCTGCACCATCACCACCGGAATGTCCGTGATTGCGTTGGCAATGCAAAAAGCCGTGGGACGATAAAAACCGAATCGTTTTTGCCGGGCAAGGATCGGACGGCCCATGAAGGACGCGGTGGTTTCGGACAGAGATTCGAGCAGGAAATAGAGAACGGGGAAGAAGAGTACACCGGGTCGCAAGAAGATGGAACTGCTGTCGCCTTTCAGATCGTAGAACAAACTGCCGCATACGAGGGCCTGGATAATGGCGGAGACTACTTTGATGCAGAGGGATAATTTGTCTCCAGCCATGATCTGGAATTGTCTGCGATGCGTTAATGTCTGGCGACAAGGGGATTATAGAACGACTTACCTGAGAGTACAAGTCTGGATTTGTTCCCAGATACTAGCCGTGTAGACACTTTGCGAACGAGGAAAATGCTGCTTTCTCTTCTCGGTAGACACCGCCAGCTTCATATCCTCGATCTCGTGCGTCAATTTCTCCGGCGGTTCAATCGCACCCATCACTTGACTGTAAATTGCAGTCTCGCGGAAGCGCGCTTCAAACTCATCAGGGGTACTTGGGACCTTATCCTCCAATCCGGGCTGGACAATTCGCTCCGTGAGTACCGTGACAGACGTGAGGAAATCGGCAATATTGGCGCCTCTGGGGGTGATAAATCCGAGATCCTCGAAGTACTGTTGGGCCATGCTGCGGGGGCCATAGTAGATCACTCTGCCTTCTGCCAGCACGAGGATCTTGTCGAATTGGTTATAGACAGTGTTTCCGGCTTGATACATTGTGGCGACGATGGTCTTACCATTAGTGTCGGCTTCCTGGCGCAGCATGCATCCGAATTCGGCCGCTGTTTTTGAATCGAGGCCACGGGTTGGGTTGTCCCAGAATTGAACGGGGCTCTGTCCAGCCATCATTTCTGCCAGCGACACACGTTTGCGCTCTCCTCCAGACACACCACGGATGAATTCATTTCCCACGCGCGTTTTCTGGGTATGAGAGATACCAAGAGATTCCAAAATTCCATCTCTTTTATCCTTTACATATCCTTCTTTCTGTTGGAGATGTTCGGGACGTTCCGCTGGGACCTTGTTTCGCAATGCAAACTTCATGGTACGATTTACGGTGAGGGTTGGGAAGTGCAAGTCATCTATACCTATCAGCATTCAGTCTTTTCCGGGTGGGTACGAGATGTTGTTTACCTTCATTGTTGAACATGATCTGCTGACGGAACCCTTTTGCCTCATTATGATCAGCACTTCCATACCTGGTCTCACCGTCTACTTCATCAAACGAAGCTCGGTCATTGGATAGAACGCGCAAAAGTGATGTGCATCCGGAACCAGGACGCCCAAGGACAAGCATCTGTTCCAATTAGCTCGTTCGTACACGACCATAAGATTGGATATATCTATACAGTTTCTCCTGGTTTAACCTGTCCCGTTACATCTTTGAGGATCGTCTAATTACTGGTCAGCATAATCCCTACACCAGTGAGTATCACGGCTTACTCTCTTTGGTTGCTTGTTCCGACGGAAGAAATCCAGAAACTGTCGCGGATCCGCTTCGGATAGAATCGTGCTTCCCAGCGCTGCATCGGGTGCCGTAACTCGAATGTTGAGATTTCGGAATGTAAGAGTCAGTCTCTTCTCGATCGAAGCCTTCTTTCCATGCTCCAGGTCTGGAGGCGTCGCTGTGCCGGATGACGGTGTGTCCATCGTTGCTGTCGCTACTTCAACCAGTCCGTATACAAGTAGTTGAGTAGATCAGATCGTTTAGATAAGGAACCTGGTACCGTTGTACAAAAGGATTAAAACTCGTTCTCCCTAGCTGGGTGCTTAGCTTATTTAAATCCATTTTCTAGCTCTACACTGTTATCACTGCTCATTAGTGAGCACGGCTGTAGGGTTTCCTCCGTAAATCCACATATCCGTATATCCGTGTATAAATCCGTATTCCCGTTCCGGTGGATGGGCCGCAGTTTCTGCATTGGGAAAATGTGGATTAACTATGGGGCTTTCTAGAAAAAAGTCTTATTGATCGGATCTACAAGAGAAAAAAAAAGGAAAAGGCATTGTTTGTCTGGAACGTGTTCCGATTATTGACCTCAACTGTGGTGCTAGCATTAGGGGATGTGTTTCTCATTAACTATACAGAGAAACTAGACTAAACACTATATACAAGGTATGAGAAAAAAGAACCACTTTTCCCCTAATAACACCGTGATGCACATGTATCCGTTATTTATTCAATATTCATGATTCGTTTCAGTTCGTGAAGTGAGATCGGTTTCACCAAGTAGTCATTAATACCAGCGTCAAAAGCTTGTTGCTGTGTCGCGGCCGACGCAACCCCTGTTACAGCCATGATAATGGACGGGGAGAAGCCTTGTTCATGTTCGTATTCCCGGATTTTGGCGGATGCAGTTATGCCGTCCATTACGGGCATGGAGATATCTGACATAATGATTAGCATACGGACGCGCTATTGGTGTGCTTCGAGTCAATTCTTACCCATTAAAATATAGTCGAACCGGCGTTCGGATTGTTGGTATTTGTCAACGGCAATCTGTCCGTTAGTTGCGGTGGTGTAGCTGCTTCCAAGCTTGCGCATGAACGTTTCCAATATCTTGGATCGAGTCAGTCATAGCCTTATATGAATTAAAGTTTTATTCATACCTTAAGGTTGATATCATTGTCATCCACTATCAAGACATGGAGATCGTTCTGGGCTTTCTTCTCCGGTGGTGGTGGAGAAGGAGAAGACTTCGCAGTCCAAACGTCCGATAATGGATGCTTTTTCATCGACGACTGGTGAACCAGGGTGGACATCCTCGTAGATTTGGTTTTTTTGACTTGCTCCTTTGCAGAAGGTCGTGCCTTCTTCAGGGCTTCAAGAATTTTCCGCGGTCCGATACTGGGAGATAGTTAGCTTTGCTGGTAGATCACTGGATGGAAGCACTTACGGCTGAGTGACATGGACAACGGTGGCTTCTTTGATGATATCGTCGCTGTCGAAGGGCGTTCCATACTCACCAAGAATGATTATATGTCCAAACTCTGTGCGAATAGGCCCGTTGGAGGCTATTTCTCGTAGTTTGTCTTCCTCGATAATTGCAATATCACCCGAGGCATTGCTAAGGGAATCGGCAAACGACACCATCCACTCCGGTTGCGTTAAGATAATGCTACTGAGAGACCGCCGGAGCGCGAGTTTCCGTTTGACTTCGGCAGTCAGCATGCCAGCTGGCCCCTTCTTCAATTCATCGTACGGGTTGAATCCGACGAGGGAAACTTTCTTGGGCTGCTTGTCCTCGGATACCTGGACGGCAGGCAGTGGGCTTGCACTGGGCCGTTGAATGGGTATAAACACGTCGAACTGCGATCCAACTCCGACTTCACTCTTGACTTCGACGTATCCACCAAGGGAAGTCACGAGCTGTTGTACGATGCTGAGGCCAAGGCCTACGCCTTCTGAGAGAATGTCTTCTTGCGAAAATGGTGTAAAGATCCTATTTTCCAGGAATTCAGGAGAAATACCACACCCAGTATCTGCCACCGATAGATGAACAAGCACGTGCTTCGGGTCAGAGGCTATGTCGGACCTCGACAGGGTCATTTCGATGAATCCTGCCTTAGTAAACTTGAGCGCATTGCCAAACAAGTTCATAACGATTCGTCTCCATGCACCCGACACAGAGCGGACACACCACGCATCTTCTTCTAAGCGAACGACGACTGACAACTTTTCTTGGGCCTTAACCTCAGAACTACAGTCTTGTGGTGATCCAACACTCCCGGGCCGGAACCGACCTGTGGCCTGGTCGACAGACTTAGGAAATCGATGCCCGGCGTACAGAGAATTAGTCACTTCCTCGATTAAACTATCAAGGTCGAATGTCGTAGCCAAATCCGGAGCTTTGCCTTTCGCATTGATCGCCGTCAAATTGTTTATTTTGGCAAAGTCGAGCCTATCTTGTGTTAGTGGTCGCTGACGAATAGATACGACAAGGACAACTCACAAATAATTCATAGTATCAAGTAAAGTAATACCACATGTTTCAACCATCCTTATCATATCCTGTTGAGCAGGCTGCAAGCGCGTGGATTGTAATAGCTCTGTGCTGGCAAGGACACCGTGCAAAGGCGAACGGAGCTCATGACTGATAGACGAGATGAAGTCTGATTTGGCCCTCTCCTTTGTTGTAAAATCAGTCTGAGCAACTTGGGAAACAACAGAGTTACCAAAGGCCTTCAGGTAATCGAGCTCTTCAGTATTAAAACGTCCACTTTCTCTTGACCATAAGAGGCAAGCAGCCAACCATCCGGACTTGTTCCAATCCCACAACGGAAAGAAAAGAATAGATTCTGCGCTTGGAAAGCGACTCGTGAGTTGACAGATCAACTGACTACGAGCAGAGAACCCCGGAAATCCGGGTTCGCCATCCAACTGCTGGCTATCTTGCTCGTTGATATCGAAAATTTCTCCATGAGGAAATGCGGTGATGATGTCGTGTATCAAACTGTCCGTAAATCCAAACGCCGGAGTAGTTGCGCTCTTGATTGACGTCTCGTCCAAGTCAAACCCTAACACATCACTAAGCCTTCCCGTGTTATTCGACCACGTGCCATCAGAAGACAGGCCTGGAGATCGGAGAGGATGCGCAAAAGTATCGGTACTCGTTGTGTCCTGGCTTGTATCCGACATACTTGTGCTAATGCACGAATTCCTAGATCGAAGTTAGCATAGGGTATCGCTAGATAAGTCTGGAATACTGACCTTCGAGTATTGGATCGAGAAGCATCCAGAAACAAAACGCCTTCTACATCCAAGCACTCTCTAAGCAATGAGCTGGCACGAGCAAACAAGGTCAATATCTGTTGCGAAACCGTAGGTGCCTCAGACACCGATATCAGCCTACTTGCTCTTCGACTATCCTCTGTAGTTTTAACCCGGTTGATGCTGTCGCTGAACTCCCCAAATGGTAAAGGTGACGGTAGGTTAAATTTCGTATCGGGCTCTTTTGGAAGAGGCGCAGTGGGAGTTGCTTCGTTATCCTCTGGAAGTTGTGGTCGCATAGTGCAAGGTGATACTTCGCCCGGTGTTGGCACAGTAACGCTATCGGCTTCCTGCGCGTCAGATGATCGTCTAGTCGGCGATGAAAGAGGTAGAGTAGCAAATAAGCCTCTTTGGTCTCGATTGCCTCCACTTGATACGTTCACGTGCGCTTGACTACCTCTTCGTTGGACTTCATTCTTTTCATCCCCGGGGCTTTGTACTAATGTCGAGAGTCCACTCATCATTCGCGCAGCCCTGTTATACTTGTGCTGAGTCCAAAGATGATTTGCAATTGACTCCGCAATCCCTCGTAAAGCCTCAATGTCTGCATTATCGAACACGGTGCGTGGACTCACATCCATGATAGAGTATGTACCAAGGACATATCCTTCGGGGTCGTGCATCGGTACTTCGGCAAAGAATCGCATATGGGGCCATTGCGCAGCATGGGGGTGACTTTTGAAAGATTCATCCTTGCTCATGTCGAGAATTATACAGCATTCTCCCTTGATGGTGGTGTCGACAATATCGCGCACCTTATACTGATCACGATCGGCAGATAGCGCAGCATTCTGAGAGAAAACCGATCCCGAGTCTCCGCCAAAATCTATACCAGAATCCCGACTCTGTCGGCCCTTCCCATATGGAACGGGGCTGCTGGCTTCTGCGATAATGTGTCTCCGTTTATCGAGTGTTAGGCAGGTGAAGGAATGGGTACAGTTGAAGCGATAAAGTCCTAGTTGATTTAGAGCTTTCAAAGTGATATCCGACGTAAGAGACGCGGCTATTTCGGACACGCTGCGATCACGATTTCTAAAGGGGCCTGGTGAGGACTGGGTTTCCGGGGTCAATGGTGTACCGGTGAAAGAGTACAATCTGGTGAAGAGACATCATTCAGCATCCTATTTTGAGCCTATTGCATTGATTAGAGCAGAGTAACGTACCTCGACAGTTCCCGAATTCGTCCTGATGATGGCGAACGAGGGCTCATCGTCGAATCCAAGAAAGCCATAATTATGTTGCCTTGATAACACTATTCACAAACACCCTCCCTGCCCACAGAATCGTAGAGAACGAATCGACATGGGTCGAGTGACAGTTCTATAGGCGTTTATTGCAGTAATAAGATTTGCTCGCAATCCGCGAATCCAAGAGTTTGTACCAGTCAGGCGGCATCTATATCTCCGGGGTCATGGCTTGGTAAAGAATATAGAACGTCTAGACGCTCGTGAGATTACCTAGTAAGTGGTGGTAAGTTAGAAGGTTATCGCGACCACTAGCGTCAAATCCTTCACGGATTAGAATATCGATAACAATAGTGCAATCAATATATTGGAGTCATCGATTAAGCAGATCTGGCCCAGGTTCAACATATCATGCACTGGCCAGTCCATGGGACAGTCTGGCTAACCGGGCACCCAATCCCACGGTACAACATCAAAACCCAGCAGTCTACTCAAGCCTCGACCACTTCTCTCCGCAGCGACTGGGATCCGAGAATATGCCAGTCTCTCAGGGCAGGGAAATCGGAGGGAAAATATATAGGTCAATTTCTCTTGCATTCTTAATACTGGTCATTATTATCTAATGAAACAAATTAGTCGTGTCAAGTAAAGTAACGCCTGCTTCGGAGTTTCATACCGGAGCAAACGAATCAAACTTCTGACCCATGAGGGGACAAGGGTCCTATATGCAACGATAGCCAGCATCCCAAGGTACAGTGTACAGTCGTATCGTCAACCCCCGGCATGTAACCCTTGCGATTGGCCGGAGCTTGCCGGAGGAAGGATTCCTGAAAGCAAAGGCAGACAGTGGCGAACCCCCGGAACGCAGAATCTGCGAACCCAGTTGTGAAGTGTCGTTTCTTCAGACACAGGTTGATTGGGCGGAAGAAAGTCTCCGGAGACGTCGGAGGGTGAGGGGGAGGAGTGGTGTCCGGAAAGGGGAATTTTCACGTCACGGGATTTTTGCCGAGGTACTTAGTCCTTTTAGGACTACACACTGCATAGGAGAGGATGGAGAGAAGAGGATGGAGAGAAAAACTGGAGTAGACCTAGGCCTTATTCTTTATTCTTCTATTTTCTATACAATATTTTCCAAGTATGTTGAGGCCTAGATATCAAGACATGCCAATACAAGCACCATACTGAGGTCTCGATTTGTCAAAAGTAACCCTTCCCGTCCTTATCCAAAGGTCTCGCCCTTACCAAGCGATAAATACGGACACCCTTTCGCGTCACAAGTGTTCTTTGATATACCTATCAGCAAAGATCCATGGGACCATTTTACGATCACAAGAGTCAAGACTCACCTCATGCACTTGTGTACCCCACCAATTAAAGTGCGACGATGCACCGCTGTAAAAGATGGCGAAGAAAATAACCACTCCAGCTATTGAGACAGAGCAGTCGAGTGCCGAGCTCAATACGAAATTATACTTATGCCACCAGGCCCAGGCGCGTTTTCTGATCAAAAACCCGAAAATCAAGCCGACAATCGCCCAACTACCGTAATTCGTGCCGGATGCCGGTGGTATATAGTTCAAACCACCCAAAAACAAGGGAATGTGGACGTGGCGCCAGAAGGAATTGGGATAGCGGCGTCGGAGGAGGTATACCGGAATAGGCAATGCCGCGCCCAATATGAAGAAGTAAAAAAGCGCACTGTAGCCTGCTGGAGATGAGAAGAATCGGTGAGGTCCGATGGCTCCCCATATCGTGCTCGTATTAAAGTGCGTGCGAGAAAATGGACATGTAAAGCCATTGGTGCCGGAGTTGGTACAGACACCCGGAATGTGGTTGAGAGCCCAATTGATAACACTCACATAGCTCAGTGTACCCCAGACCATGCCGACTAACTGCACCAAGAAGACTTTGCGAGCAGGGATCTGATACACATGATCAGAGGCATTCGTATTATGTACTGAATCTGGAACTTACATTGCAGTATACTCCCAATTTCAGGTCTTGGGCAAAGTAAAGACCTTTGATGACAGAAATGTATCCAAGGTCGAAGAACCAAATGTTGGCCAGTACCTTTCCTGGAAATACAAAGCCAGCAACTATCCGACAGAAGACATCGATGTTGATCTTTACGTTGGACGTGGCATACACCACGGAGAGCTACATCGACGTCAGTAAACTCGGATACCGAAAAATTGTAGAATATGACTTACCGGTACAAAGAACACCAGCGCAACTGCAAGAGCCAACAGAACCCCGTACCATCGGAGCTGTACTCTCCAGTACTCAACGGCAAAAATGGAAAGGAAAATTGCCAATGCGCTAGAAGCAACATACCATAACAGTGATACATCACGGTAAGTCTGAGACAGATTTTGCGAGGGTCGTGTTCGAGAACCGAATATACTGGCAATGGCAGCATATATCCTTCTCGCCGCGGTCCAGATAAGGTCACCTTTCTCTAAAAACATCCAAACTAGTAGCGCAGAAAGCGTTGCGAATGATAGGCCGAACATGTTCAAAGCGTATGTGATTGGCATATATAGCTGTAAAAAGTCAGCGACGAATCTTAGATTCCATGAGGAAGTAAGCATACTGGGGAATAGGCTTGGTAGGCCGCATCGTCGACTTGGTAATCAGATGCTTGGCTCACGACCTTGCTCACGTTATAGGTGCTGCCTGTATTGTCGAAGACTAACATCCATTAGTTGATTATCCATGAAGATCAACCGGGATGATATACCAGAGGAACTTTGAAAAGGAAGGTAAGCACTGAACCAGACGTTAGAGTAGTATAGCGCAGTGGCAACTATCCAGATCCAGAAAACCAGTGCCACAGCCACGTTGACGATCGCCCAGTTTGGCACCAGCAATGGAGATCCTACATAGGCGATTTGACTCCCTGTAGAACATCAAAATTAGCTGGAGCGATTGGAGACCAGTTCGGTCGCACTCACAATCAAATGTCAATGGCAACAAACCCATCCCACTTGTCATCCCGAAGACTTGGTTGACCACGCGATCATCCGGTTTGATCCAACATGGGAAAGTGAAGTAGCTCAAGGCAGTAAAGATGAAATCGGGAAACCAGTACCAGACAAAGGACGCACAGAATGCCACACTAAAGAAGCCATATCGCGATATCTTCCATGTCATACTGTACAGAACAATTAGCAAAACAAATAGAACGGGTGTTGAGGTGTTCGGGTACTTACCCACTCGTAATGTCCTCTTTCTTTTTGCCATGCAACACTTGGTTGAGAGCAGTGACTCCCAATATACCCGGCCAGACCATGTCCGGTGGCTCAACGATGACCGATCGGAAAAGTCCAGCTAAGGAGAATCCAACAAGGAATGTAGCCAGGCAAATAAGTATCTGAAACCCCCACCCCGCTTCGTATCCGTAAAATGCTTGTTGTTCCGTCAAAACGTCTGCACTGAGGCGACTCAGAAGACTGAGGTTTGACATGATATAGATCAGAATATGCTCCTGGAACATGCCCTTAACGTCAGTGCTAATCCATATTTATGAGGGGCCATTGGACAGACCTTTCGATTGAATGGTCCCGGGTTCAGGTGAATTGTCCATTTCCACAGCCGGAAATGCCAGTTGGGCATGACCTTCTCCCAGAGCTTTCCAAATGGATAGGCTAACAATTGGATTGCGGACTGAGAAAGAGTGATCGAAGGCTTTCGCAATGTATACAGTGTATTGAGGCCGCTTCCAAACACACAGAAACCAATTCCCAATATCCACATTCGAAGAGTCAGACATGGTGCATCGGAGTCGTCAGCGTCCGGGGCAACTCCTGCTGCGTGTAACACTTCCTGTACTGAGTCTGGTGGTTTATACAGATATATGAGTGCGAGGACGAATGTAGAGATGAGAATCAAGGAGTTATACCTGTTTCATGGCTGGTCTCTTCGCTTTTCTCGACGGTGGCGGTCACGTCTTTGTCTTGTTTTTCAGCCGTCATCGTGAATATACAATCGTTGTGCGGAAAGCTCAAGGAGGCGGATGCAGGGCCTTTTTGATCAGATAAGATTAGACAATCAGCCCAAGGCAGCCATATTTCTGCCGCCAGTGGGACTCGACAAAAACGGGTTTGCTCCGAACATCAGCCCAGTAGGGCTGAGTTCTCGCTATGGGTCCCTTCATCGTCCCACCCCTCATATGCTGCTAAGTATTCGGGTCGCTTTTTCGTTGGATGAACCGGGCTGTCGAGCGGGGAGGTGTCTCGATATCCGAAATATCTCCCCCTGGATGCGGGATTTCTTCATGGTTAAGGCGTTGATCCGTGCATAAGTACTATCATACAATCAGTAAAAAAGCATGTCTTTGTATCCCACGCACTTCTTTCACTACTTCCTAAGACTCAGCAGGTAAATGGAATAGGGGCGGTATGAGGCCAACCGGAAAATAAAAACGAAGTGGTGGTGGGTCCGTAGGGCTGATGATTCTCCACAGATACTAAGTTTAGCAGCACTTGGCAAAATTGCTTGGCCTCAGGACTTCAAGGGTGCTGGTAGAATGTAGAGCAGTTCAATATGATTGAAGATAGCGTGTAGTCATAGTATCCATTGATCGAGTCAAGATTGTACGGGAAACTGGCAGTACTATTCCGATATTGACCCCAGGATCCCTGCACAGTGGCCAGAAACCCATCCATCTGATAACAATATCCAGTGGGACCCGCTGTCTGAGCGTTACTGGTGAATTATTAGATGATTGGATCATTATAACATAATCACAATGGTCGATTGGCGCCAATTCCGGAATAGTTCCGCGGGGCAGGTACGCAAGCCTACTCTGTAGGCAACGCATAAAGTCACGATGGTTGCGAGCCAATCGCAATATTCATTTGCTGGTGGCAGAAATCATCAGATAACAGCATCACCGAGGCCATTTTTATCTGATCCAAAGTTCCCGCCGGTGATTTGTGCGCCTGACGGAAAACCGCGTATTCCGCGTTAACCTTGAAGTGTGTTTATTATTGTAAGCTTCGGTAAACGTGCTCAGAAGTAGTCATTTTCCGCTTCGGAAATACCGACGACATATCCTAGATAAAGGTTGGTATTATGTGTCGTCAAATCAATTTGTTATGTTCAAAACGCCGGTGGCCCTGTCCCCGGGTAAACGGAAAAGATTTCTTCAAGGTCCATTGTTGAAAAGTCGAAATCCCAACCCATATCGGACTGCGTGAGATCAAGCAAATCCTCTCCGCTTCCCACGCTAGAGACCTTCATGCCGCCCGGAAGGGTATCAGTTTGCAAATCTGGTAGGACCGGAAATCCTGCTTCTGGTAGTTGCTCGTCAGGTGGGTTGAAGCCCATGGAAGTCTCTTGAAAGCCAGAAGTATCATTAGAGAACGGACGCGTCGCAAAGGATGATGTGTTCTCGGCGCCATGAATCTGTCTTGTACGTTCTGGTGCGACCCATTCGTAAGATGGGTGGAGTTTCTTCAGCATAGTCTGCATAGCAGATATGGAGCTTTCAATCGGATCCCCGGGGCGCACTGTGGAAAGATACCAGATACCAGCATGAATCCATGGAAGATGTGAAGAAGCGACGCTCTCATCATGCATTAGGTTGTAGAAAAGGGCAAAGGAAGAACTTCCGATGAAGAATCCGTGATACCGGAGTTCCTATCAAATAGTGAGGATCTTGCAAACAATTGCGGGACAGATACATACCTTGACCAATTCATTTACAGAGGCTGCTCCACATAAATGATGGATAGTTGCGCTGGCACAATTTAATACATTGGCGCAGGCTTCGTTAAGCCACGCAGGAATCTCGGTCGGACGCTTCACGGCATTAGACTCTGAACCCTGTGCCGACCTTTTCATATCCCGTTGCCAACGTCCACGAAATATCAAAAATGGGCGATAAGTCAAAAGGATCGTATGATAGTAAACTGTGCACTTAGCGGAGACTCGGATTCATGCATTTGGATCAGCTTACGTGTAACCAACACTGTTTGACGAACCCCCAAAACTCCCTGCTGAGGGGGCCTATCAAGGCCAAATCCCAAGGCCTGCCTCATAAGGCAGTCGTACCCACGCAGATCACTGGATATAGACTTGGCAATCTTCCACATCTGCAGGAGCGACTCGTGGCGTTGTCCGTAAATTTCGTCCGCCGATCGACAAATCGCCTTGGCCAGATGAAGCAACACCAGCAGAAATGGGTCTTCTGGATACGTGACAGTGACATCTCGCAAGGATAACGAGCTTGGTCTCCCCAAGTGAAAGCAGATCCAACTACATCCGTGTCAGTAAGGCAGCCATTGTTGTCATACGAGAGAAATGTAACCAACGTTTCATAAAAGTAAAAGTACCAGAACGTCATCCGACGCTCCTCGACATTCTCTGACGTCTCTCCTTCTTGGCTTGGTATTTCCTTATGCAGACCAGCTGCTATTGCCTTTCGAGCGCCGATGCCCAAATGAATAAATGCAGAGTTAGGACGGCCTTGTTCCATCTGGTAATGAGCGTGCTGGAGAACTTATGTCAGAACCAATGATTTACAGTCGTGTTCCATTAGAAGCTGAGGGAGACTTATAATAAATAGTGATATCTGCACCGTCTGAAGATTAACTACTTCATCGAGCGCGGCTGATGACGCTTTGGCGCGTTCGAACAACACGTCGCCCCATGCATAGTGATCCGTCCCCAACGACCCCATGGCAAGGGCCAACAAAACCAATGCATGATAAGAAACATCTGGTTCAGCGCCAATAGATGGTTGATAAAGCTGATCCAGTTGTTCTTGGAAGAAACTTTGGGTTCGAACTGGTATCAGAGCAAACAAAGTCGACAAGAAGCGCTGTAGAAAAGTATTGGCCAAACCATACGACAGAAACATGGTCGTCGACAGTCCCGACATGTTTGAACTCTTGCTCAGATCTGGAGCTTCTGAGGGGGTACCAAAGAAGATGCGCCGGAAACTAAACAGGTCCAACCCGGCTCCGGCTTCTTCGACCTCCCCTTGTGGCTCCTCCGCCTGGACTGCTTGGTTCGACATCAGGTCTCTGTAGACCTGCTGCATCAAAGCAAAATGGGCAGTTGGTCCATAGTACAGTTGAACTTTGCAGGAAGGCGACGCCATATGTGTGGCTGACACGCTATTATAAAATGTATACTTCCCCGACGGTTTGTGTGGAAGCCCGGGGGACAGCTGGTGAGCACTGGACTCGGGTCGTGGGGCCCCAATCAACGGGGGAGTTTCACCATTATCCGATGGCCTGTCTCTCTGCTTCCTCTTTCGTTGTCGAACGATATCGCGGTAGATGCATGGTGTATTACGCAGCTGACAGGTCTTACACGGTTCAACTCCGTTGCACTTGATCTTGCGCTTGCGACATTCCTGGCATGCCTTGGCGGTTCGCCATGTAGATGATAAGGCCGGACTGGGGGTTTCAGACATGTTATTGGCCTTTCTCTAGGACCTGAATTTGTCCGATAAATGAATTCGCGGTGGAAACAATCGCAATGGACGCGGTCGGATATACCCCACGTGATTTAATCCGTAATTCCGGTGCTCCACATGCTCTAGAGAATTAGCTTCATACACCGTACACAGTACAGCGTACTATGGCACTATGCTATGTCTTCTCTTGTTTCGTTGAATATAACGACTGTTCAATGGATGTGTTGCGAGTGAAATAGTTGTCGCTGCCGACTACAATCTTCCATTACCGAACATGCACCCATATCGCGGGAAACGGCTTCCCTGAGCTCTTCTTTCCTAGGAGCTTCCTCGAACCACTTACCTTCGCTAAGTCCCATTTCGCTATCATTCGAGGTGCCCTCATACAGTGGCTAGAATCATGAGGAGAATGGACATCCGACACACTTGGGATCATGAGTTGTACCCCGTACTCCCACGGCTCCGCGAGATACTACGCTATAGTCCGTATTTTGTTTGCCATTGACCACCAAACTCTCAAGCAAGCCATCATGCCACTCAGTTATCATACCAAATGGTAATCGGCAATATAAGCTCCTCATTCTAAATTCCAGTGAGCAAGAACAGTTTGCCTGCGAGTTTGACGGTCAATTGCAAATGAAATATGGGACTGCTATACGGAGTACTATAAAGGAGTACAGTGAAAAGCTCCATGTGGTATCTGGCATGACTTCAATTGCCTCAGCCGGCCTTCGAGATGATTCCCTGTCTCTAATTGCAACGGGAATCGGAATGAACCCGCTATGTCGACTCAGGCACAAGACGATCTATGATGGGATAGTTGATCGACGGTACATCATGCAAGAACTGAGAAATGGTGACGGGATAATGTCTCACCATTTATGCTTGAGTTGACGTGGAAACGGCAAAACTACGGGTATCTCATTTTCTCCCAGGATTTAACAGTGATGCCGCACTGAAGAGAAGGTCCCGGGAGTGGGTATGTAGCGTTGGCAACTGGCGAGTCTGAGCATCATAAACAGTGTTGAGATTGAATGCTCGCTTATCCATCTGTAATAGGAAATCCATCCAATTCGGTCTTTGACGCCATCAGCATGCTACCGTGTAAATGGATGGTTATATGCCCCCTCTTCCGTCTCACCCTCCGCTCATCCTTTGCTCCTCAACAAATCGGCTTGGGTCCGTCTTTTTCTGGATTATAGCTTAACCTTCATCCATCCAAGACTGCGTGTACGGAGTATTGCGCGAGTCTCTGGCAACTTCTCCAGACTTGTAACGTCCGACTGTCGGAGAAAAAACTGATCAATGAGCAGCGTGCAATCAGCGATGATCTGGTCAAACTACGAGTAGCGTGAGCATGTTTTCCCGCGTCTTTGCTTTTGGATGCGTATAGACCGCTTTGCTGGCCACAGCGAGATCGGTCCTTAGCAGGCCGGACAAAATAGCCTCATTGAACAAATCCGGTCAGACGACAGCCACACGGACCTCGCGGCTCGCATAATCCCTATTTCTATGACCAATAACTTAGACCAAGAACGATTTGATTCGTGGTCGTCCGTCAAGGATTTCAGCCTTGGAACGTGGTAGACGGAGTGAGCCGCAAATACAGACAAGCACTGCTTATAGTTTCCAACACACAGACTCGATGCAAGATGCTGGATTTAAGCAACAAGGTCCAAGCGGCGCTTTTTATTTCCCCGGACCCCAGATTTGTCGGCTGTTCGGAGGTTGGCCGAGCTTTTCTCGCCAAACGGACCATTCATTCTTTCCTTAGATCCTTTTCTCCGCCATAGAACCAAAAGAAATTTGGTAATCGAAATGCCGTGGTGCAATCATAGCTCACATTTTGTCACTTACCGGCCGTGTGAGCACAGGCGTGGGTCCCCCGCAATAGTAGCGGGGGTATGTTGACGGAGCACCGGATATTCGAATACGGCAATCCGGGGAAGACTTACTGTGTACGATGCCCGACCAGTTCCCACCTTGCTCTCGAAATCGTCTGCATTATGAAAATGGTATATATAGCCCTGCTGTATGCCATGGAATCTGGGGAAATTAGGTCCAAAGCCAAGCGAGCTGGCGTTTCTCGGCGACACCCACTCTCGCCAAGTATGGAAGTATGTATGACAGGGAAGGGATCGAGGGGTCCTATCAGAACACGCACATTTTCACACACCCCAAGACCCTGTGGAATGTGGATACAGGAGATTCTTCGGTACAACAGCACGTTTCGGGCTCGCTCCGCTCGTACACAGTCCTATTCCCCTCATTCTCGATGGGGTGATAGAGATGGCATACGGACACCGGCCGCGATAGGATACAGATATAATGTGGGATAATTGTCGTCACATCTTGATTATCAGAGCTCTCTTTTCTTTCCTTTTCTTTATTACTCCCTGTTGTCTTATGTTGGTTCTACTGCGTAACCTGAACTAAGGACCGACAATATGGCAGGAGGACCTAAAAAGCCCGTCAACATTTTCCGGCTAGGAAATTTTGGTGATCCAAAGGAGGTGTTCAACTGGAAACTATGGTTCGCAGTTGTTTCCTTTGCCCTCATGGGTGCCGCCCGTGGTGTCGATGAGGGACTGATCTCGGGGGCTTTCGACTCGGCGGATTTCCAACGCTACATCAATTATGACTCTTATAGCACGGTCGAGCAGACCAACATCAAGGCAAACGTGTCGGCTATGGTCCAGATTGGCTCAGTTGGAGGAGCTCTTTTGTATGCCCCCTCCTCCGACCCAGATGTGCACTCGGTATCTCCCGGTGAAATTCAATGCTGACCCCTCGCTTTCTCCGGTAGTGCTTTTGTGGTATGTGATCGAATCGGCCGTATCTGGGCAACTCGACAGCTCTGCTTGCTATGGATCCTCGGCATCGCCATCTTTATGGGAAACAGTGGCAAGTTGGGAGCTGTGTACGCTGGAAGATTTGTCGCAGGACTAGGAGTTGGACAAACAGTCGTCGTCGGTCCTGTGTATCTGGCAGAGATATCTCCGGCTTCGGTTCGAGGATTGTGTACCTGCATATTCACCGGATTTGTGTACTTGGGAATCGTCCTGGCATACTTTGCCAACTATGGCTGTGAGCTTCACATGGGAGACAACACCCACGACCGATGGCTGGTCCCAACGAGTCTGCATATCATCTTTGCCGGCCTCATCTTTGTTCTCACGCTCTTCCAACACGAATCTCCCCGATACTTGGTCAAAAAGGGTAAGGAAGATCAGGCGTTGAAGAACCTTTGTCGACTGCGCAAACTCCCTGGCGACCACCCATACATCCTGGAAGAGATGGCTGGGATTCAAAACTCTCATTATGCTGAGATGGAAGCGACCATGGGTGCTGGTTGGCTTGGTGTCATCAAAGAGACCTTTATGCTCCCAAAAAACCTCTACCGGCTTTACCTCGCCTGCATGGCCCAACTCCTATCCCAGTGGTCTGGTGCCGGATCTATCACGCTATATGCGCCCGACTTCTTCGAAATACTTGGTATCACCGGCTCAAATGAATCTTTGCTGGTAACGGCCATTTTCGGTATCGTCAAGCTAGTGGCAGCGATCATCTGCGCCTTGTTCCTGGTGGACATGATTGGTCGGAAGCGATCATTGCTCCTTGGAATTACCTTTCAAGCTATTTCCATGGTGTACATCGCCGCCTTCTTATCGACCGAACCCAAGATGGGTGTGGTGGATGGCTACGAGCCTCCGGAGGCCAAAGCCGGCGCCAGTCGCGGTGCCATTGCAATGATTTACATCTCTGGATTTGGATGGGCGTTGGGATGGAATTCAATGCAGGTAAGGCATTCCCATCGCTTGGGAGAAGAACTGGATACTAATAAACAAATTATAGTATTTGCTGACAGCCGAGCTTTTTCCGCTGCGCATTCGTGCGCTGGCGACTTCGATGGCCATGACACTGCACTTTGTGAACCAGTACGGCAACTCGCGGGCCGTGCCCAATATGCTGCTTCCGACACCCCACGGCATTACACCCCTGGGGACGTTCTGGTTCTTCGCGGCCGTGACGATCGTTGGTGGGATTTGGGTCCTGTTCACCGTGCCCGAGACAGCGGGGCGGAGTCTGGAAAGCATGGACCGGCTGTTCGAGCTGCCTTGGTATAAGATTGGATTGTATGGCAACCGGGATGCCGAGCAGAGAGATATGGTGCATTCGGAGAAGGCAGATATCATGGAGGAATCGACGCATGTAGAGAATAGGGACAACACAGGCAGAGTGTAAATATGATGGACATGACACTCATAATGAGATACATGAGCAATAAGCAATGAGATTGAACATCTATTTGGATTGTTTCAGTAGTACAGATTAGTACAGTGTCATACTACGTAGTATGTACAGTTGTCCAGCTGAGGCCAGTTTCCTATCTTGGCATGGCGTCCCCCGCGTCCATATCACAACTTCTATTTATCTCCTGCATTCTCTTCTCTACAATCATCTTCCATCTTCTTTTTACTTTTAATTTCACTATGACTACTCGATATCGCGTTGAATGTAAGTATTATGTATATTGAATTGCGGACACGTTGCTAATGACCGCCAGATGCCCTGAAGGTAACTATTGATATACTGCTATGCGACTCGGAGACATCAGCGCTAATAGAAATGTATTGTCTCAGTCTCACCGACGAGATCAATTGGTATGATTCCTCTTCGTTACAGAAATCTAGACACTAACGAAACCAGATCGAGTGGATCAAAGTATGCTACATGCACCTCCGCCCGAATAACCAGGTCTAATGCCCGACAGGGCCTCCTCGCAGTCCCCTTTGTACTGCACTCGCATCCCACGGCTGTCTACGATGAAAGCAGCAAGAAGCTGCGCGCCGTAGCAGCAGATACCCATCAGCGATACCGGGAGATCATGCGCGATGTGGAGAATCTCATTTTAGACCACAGTACTACATACTCTATCCTCCTCTCCCCCACGTTAACCCCAACTGACCAGTACACCAGTCGATCACGAATGGACCAACGCCCCTGGTAAATCCAAACTAAACCTCCTTGTCCCCACGGTCGGGACATTTTTCACCAAACTTCCCCTCGAAGATGCGTTCCGGTACCAGGATGATCACCGCTTCATCAGCCGACGCCGGTTCGTCGCACCCTCGTTCAACGACATCCGGTTGATTCTCAACACTGCCCAACTCCTGGGCCTTCTCCGGTCCAATGGCCCGGACCTTGTCACATTCGATGGTGACGTTACGCTCTACGACGACGGGGCGTGTCTTACGGAAGATAACCCGGTAATTCCTCGGCTTATCCGTCTTCTGGCGCAGGACCGGAAGATCGGTATTGTTACTGCAGCTGGGTACACTGATGCGCCTCGGTACTACGAGCGGTTGAAGGGGTTGGTTGATGCTGTGCATGAATCTACTGTCTTGAGCGCGGAGCAGAAGAGCGGGCTTGTCGTTATGGGTGGTGAAAGTAACTTTCTGTTCCGCTATGATGCCCATGATCCGGTTCGGTTGGTGTGGGTGCCAAGGGAGGAATGGCTCCTCGAAGAGATGAAGTATTGGAATGAAGAGGATATCACTGAACTATTAGATATCGCGGAGTCCTCTCTGCGCGCCTGCGCGACAAACCTCAGCATGCCAGTTGCAGTCCTCCGCAAAGATCGCGCGGTCGGAGTGTTTTCTGACCGAGGTACACTAATTAATCGCGAGCAACTAGAGGAAACAGTTCTTGTTGTGCAGAATACCGTCGAGCGCTCCGCAGTGGGATCGCGATTGCCATTCTGTGCTTTCAACGGTGGAAATGACGTCTTTGTCGATATCGGTGATAAATCCTGGGGTGTGCGCGCATGCCAGCAATACTTCGGAGGGATTGACCGAACCAAGACGTTCCATATAGGAGACCAGTTCCTATCGGCCGGCGCGAATGATTTCAAGGTTCGTCATTCTCTTTTACCTGCCCGAGATATTCCAGGAACTAATAGATAAGGCCCGCCTTGCATCAACGACCGCTTGGATCGCTAGTCCTGCGGAGACGGTAGCGCTTTTGGATGAATTGGAGGAGCATGAGAAGGCGCTTCCCATTCCCGATGCGCTTATAGATGGCTAGTTGCGTGTCGTGTTGTCTAGCGTTTACGAGTGTATTTACGTTATTAACCCATATAATACTAGATAATAGATGATCAACATCGTTATTCTTTTTCCCGCCATGTATTTTTCTAGCACGGCGCTGTCGTAAGAGAGTACATGCGATTCAAAATCCAAACGGCCATAGCATCATATAAAACATAAATCAGCATCCTCCAGATACCTCGCTAGTAAACATCGCTCCAGGCTATGCGGTGGTGGTTTTTTATTTAAGGAGAGCCTGGAACCGAAGGGGCGCCGTCTGTGGACAGTTAGCATGGTGAACGAGATCAAGACATTGGACGGTAAAGAGGGGAAGGGTACTAACTGTAATACGACAGCGTCTCGTCAGACTCGCCAACGAAGCTCGTCCGTCCAGACAGAATGTTAACGGTTTCCTGCAACTCCAACCAGAACTCCGTCTTGGGGCGACGGCGCTTCCAGTCGGTCTCCGTTGCCTCGAGGCCGTCCTCACCACCCATAGGCGAGAACAGGACTTGCGAGCCCTTGATACCAATTACTGTCGATGACATCTCATCGGCAGCTATCTCATCGGGCGACTTGCCAGCGTAGCTCTCCAAGTGCAGCATACACTTGATGGCCATCCGCAGGGCACGGATACGGTCCATGGGCGAGGGCTTGCCACCCTGCTGGAAGTGACCAGGGACGGCAGCACGAGATTCGAAGCGGCCGCAGGCTTCCTCCTTGATGATGTCGGCGATGACCTGGGTGGAGTATGTAGACGAGGCGCACTCATTGCGGAGAATGAGCTTTCCAGCACGGTTGGTGCCGTAGTCCTTGGCGAAGCTGTCACGCAGGAAGTCGATGTCCTTGGACAACCTCTTGATGTTGATGCCCTCTTCGGGGATGTAGACGGCGGTGGCGCCCACCGAGAGACCGGCAGTCGTAGCGATGTAACCAGATTGACCACCCTGGGTCTCGACGACGAAGACACGGCGACGGCTAGACGAGGCGGACTGACGGATAGCGTCGCAGAAGTCGATCAGGGTGTTCAAGCAAGTGTCGCTACCCAGAGAATATTCGGTTCCCGGGACGTTGTTGGAGACGGTGGCCGGCAGGACGACCATGGGGATCTTGAAGGCAGGGTATTTCTCACGAGCTTGGCGCAGCTGGCTGACAGCGGTGAAAGCCTCGAAACCACCAACCAAAAACAAGGCGTCGAACTTGTGCTCCTCGAAGCACCTGGCGGTTCCCTCGTAGTCTTCCGAGGGCAAGCTACGGTTTGTACCAATCTCTGAACCTCCCTGGTTGACCCAGTTGTCCGACTCGAGCCAGTCAATCTCGCGAACGGAGCTAACAGGCGCGTCCGTGTGGTGCCTGCAGAGACCGGGGAAACCGTTGTGAATGGCAAGGGGAATGTGACCGCGGGTTTGGCAGTAGGCGACGGCCGCACGAGTAGCCTGGTTCATACCACCAGCGGGGGCGCCGACGTGGATGAAACCAATGCGCATTCTCTGTTTTTTTGTTAGTACCAGTAACGCCATCAACTTAGAAGAAAACGCACCTTGTTCTCTGGGAGGATCATCTTGGGGTGGTCAGGAGTGGCCGTGTTGCGGTAAGAGAAATGGTATTCCTTGAATTCGGCATCACGGAGGGCCATGGCGCCATCAAAGTCCTTGTTGTGGATATGAGAGGTGACCTCCTTGGTCGCCTTGACGGCCTCCATCAATGGTGTGCGCATGATCTTGTTCTCGCGGATGGTGATTACGGGCGAAGGCGAGTCGGGCTTCATGTCCAAAACAGCGCGAACGGCTTCCACACCCTGCAAAGTCGAGAGCCACCGGTCGTACGCACATGCTGATCCTCCTCTCTGGGTATGTCCGAGGATAGTTGTTCTGGTGTCAAGACCAAGACGCTTGGTGAGCATGTCCTTGATTGTATTGCTGGAGATTTTGTTCAGGTGACGGTCCTGAGCACCTTCGGCCACGATGACAATTGTCCGACGCTTTCCACGCTCTTTCCGGTTCTATTTGTAACCCTCAGTTAGCGAATGCATACACTAGGAGAGTGAAAGAGACCAACCTTGACAATGTTTGCGCACATTTCATCCTCCCAACCATCGCGAGGGGGGTTCTCAGGAATGAACAACCAATCTGCACCAGTACTGATGGCGGACATCAGCGCCAACCAACCGCAATGTCTCCCCATGACTTCAATGACGAAGCCTCTCTGGTGCGAAAATGCCGTGTCGAAGACATCGTCCACAGCGTCACAAATCCGGGTCAGAGATGAGTAGCAACCAATGGTGGCATCTGTGCCTGACATGTCGTTGTCAATAGAGCCGACCAAACCGACAATGTTCAACACACGATAGGGTTCGACCTGCTCCTTGGTCAATTCGCCGTTCTGGATCAACTCGTCCAGCAAAGCAGGCCATTCGCCGCGGAAAACATCAGCACCGGTCAAACTGCCATCACCACCGCAGACGATAAGGGCATCAATACCCCGGAGGACCATGTTCTTTGCTGCCTGCATCCGACCAGGTCTCTCCCGGAACGACATGCTCCGGGCCGAGCCAATGAGTGTACCACCGTACGAAAGCCAGCCACGGACATCCTCCCACTGCACCTGGCGGATCATGTCGCCGCCATTGACCAGACCCTCATAACCTTCCAGGATAGTATAGGCCTCGCAATCGGAGTAGAGGGCCATCCGGACAACAGCGCGCACGGCGCCGTTCATACCGGGGGCATCACCTCCGGAGGTGAGCACACCAATGCGGCGTCTCTTGGGGGGTTCTGCTTGAGTAGGGGGCATCCTGTACCTGCTATACTTCTGTGCCGATAGTATACAAAGAGGATGAGGAATTGGATGTCAGCAACAGACACAGATAAAGAACTGAGATAGAGAGACTGAGGTGGGGGACTTTTCCGGTGAGAAAAAGCGGGAGTTTTGGGCAAAACCACCTTACGTCACCGACGCTGTCTTAACGTCACTTTTCCCGGTTAGGCCTAGCTCCGGGTAGTAATCACGTGAATGAGGGGTAGGGCAGGGGTTTTTGTAATCACGTGCTGCTGTCAGTGGCGCCAGACAACCTGTTTAGAGTTGCCAGAACCGGTCAGTTACTTTTACATCACTAAGACTTAGCAGGATTGGCATGTTGTGGGAGTACCGCGTGCCGTAGGGGTACTCTGGACGAATACCGCTAAGCAGGTACATCTGCAGACGCCATGCAAAACAGACAGCCGTTGTATTGTCTCTGTCCTCATTGGCTAATGCCCACCGTCCTATAACAAATCAAAGGCCAATGGTAATGCTCAATTGCATCGGATATCACTGCTCCGTATATCCCGCACTCGGGCCGGACAGTACGGGGTACGGAGTAGTAGAACGTGTTCAATCAAATGGATACTACTGGCAGGGTATGAGAGGTTTTTGAATCAATACAGCTCCTGATTGCGCTGCTTCCGCCGTTGTATATGTTCCCGGGCTTGATCGGCACCCCGAGCTGGGAAAAGTGCGCGGAACGAGTTCGGTATCAATCAGTTGTGTTGAATTCTCCAGATATCATTGCACGGAGTAGGCCAATGGGGTTTACAGAGTACTAAACCGAGTACTTGCGGGTGGTAGCGAGTATAAATGCTCGCATTTGTCTGTAGCGATACTATTGGGGCACTCAGCAGAGAGATATATATATCTCCCGAACACGGTGCTAAACATCCAAGCTAGACTACACAATGACAATGAGACAGTTATATTAGATTAATTTAACATAGTTACACATATTAGCACCAAGCAGAACATCATCAATATTGAGTATTTTCGATTAGACATTCGCGTCCTGAAGTCACGTGCTACTGCGTCACCGCGTCCAGCTCGACAGCTCTCCATGTCAACTCCAACACAACCACCTCCGATAAAGAATCTCCGTCATGTCGTCCGACGCCCCTGACGACTCTTCCGCCACGACAGACTCCTTCACGCTTCCCCTCCGACCGCTCATCGAAAAGCGCGACCGTCCAGACACGCTTCCCGTCGAGATAGCCCAAATCAACGCCCAGTGGGGATCCTTCCGCGATGTGAACGAAGATGAACTACAGGTTAAAATCCAGGAGGAGAAGGACAAGGAGGGCATAGAAGATGAAGATGAGGAAGAAAAACCAGCCGGCGAGGTCGATTCGACAGAACGATTGGAACAACTGTACAAGCGTCGTGCGGAGATCACCCAATTCGCTCTGTATGTTCTCACATACGGTTCTTGTGGTGGATGGAACTGACGCCCAGCAGACAAGCACAAATGGAAACCATGTTTGCCCTCGATTTCGTCTCCCTTCTTCTCTCGAAACACGTCCCTCGTCAAGCTGAAACCTCCATGTCGGCTTTCCTCAAGCAAGCTGTGCCTCTTGGATCGTTGAACTCCGAGATTGTCAGCCCCCCCCTAAAGCCCGAATCAGCGGCACAAGATCCAAAGGTGGTTTCACGTGGATGGAGACTACAGAGCTTTGATGCAGCTGCCAACAAACTGCTCAAGTCTGCCTCCCGGTTGGAAACGGAGGTTGCGTCCGAGACCCGGTACTGGAGTGAGGTATTGGCCGTGAAGGACAAGGGCTGGAAGGTGTCCAGGTTGCCAAGAGAAAGACAAGCTTTAGGCGTGCAATACGGATTCCTTGAAGGTAAGTCTCTAATCGGTTAAATAGAAGTGTTGCTAACTTGTCTAGCTACGCCGATTTTCCGTGACCGCGGCCTGGCATCTCTACGACGAGCCGATGATGGGAGCTTGATATTGGACAAGGGCTTAGTCCCGTCGAAATCACGAAGAATACGCGTACGAGTAAAGATCAATGATCGGGTTACCGGGTGCTCGAAGTCGACCAGATCCACTGCAGACGGCGAGGAGTCGATTGAAACCCGCATATTGCAAGCGCGTGATACTGTGTATGAGGAAGAGTTATTCCATGAACTTGTACGCGAAGCACGGATAATGGGCGGCCAAGGGGTTACCACGCGACAGAATTTGATCCGGTTTGCAGTGTCCGAAGAACAAGAGATCATGTTGGACTTGGCAGATACCGATTTGGAATCATTCTCGGAAGATACGGACGTGATTGACTCTCACGAAGACGATGTACTTGCTGATGCCATTGCCCACTCGACCCGCATCCTCCTTTCCTACGCCCATCGCCAGAACCTGCACAGACGCACCCAACCCCCGCCGCCGTTGTCTCAGAAGCGCCGACATACACCTGAATACCAACTCCTACGGCCGATTCTTGCCTACCTCCAACACCGCTCTCATGTAGAATGGCTGGAATCGTTCATCAAGGACATGTACGGAGTTCTAAAGTCAGCTGGAGTCGACAGTGATTATTCCGCCAACTTGTTTTCGTCCGTGAACCCCCAGCGCAAGAACCACAGTCTCCCCAAGGTCGAGGCCCTGGTCCAGGGATTCCTCGTGCCATTGGAATCTACCATCTCAGGTTCCCTTATTACCCCCAAGAGTCCCTTCCGCGTTAGAATCCGCACCAGTCTTGTATCCCCGCCGTTTGGGACCAACTACGATATCTCTATGACCATGCCGCAGCACCCTGGTATCCAACCACCCGCCCGCGTGGGTCTACGGAGCGAAGCAGCGGCCATCATCACCCATTTCCTGATGCTGGATGTCGTGTCAGCCGTCTCGTCCTACCGTCCTCCGCCCGGTGTAGATGGACATCTAATGTGGCAAGCTGCGTATCCGCATCACGGAGAGTTGCTGACCGTGTCGCCTACCTCAGGGGAACATAAAAAGAAGATGAAGGTGACATTGACACGGGGCGAGATGACCCTCGATGTGTCGTATGCCCGTGCAGCAGACGGAACCAGCAAGCACTCGCAGACCTGGAAAGCCGATCCGACAGTGCCTCAACAACCCGGCTTGATGAAATTTGTCGCCGATGTGTCCAAAGAGTGAGGGCGGAAGGACAGGACCGAATTGTGCCGAACATGAGCGATTTTCGGGAAACTGATCCACATCAAATGGGCTTGTGGTTTAGTGGTATAATACCCCCTTAGCATGGGGGTGGTCCGGGGTTCGATTCCCCGCGAGTCCATTTTTTTTTTTTTTTTTTTTTTTTTTTTTTTTTTTTTTTTTTTTTTTTTTTTTTTTTTTTTGTTTTGCTTTGCGTGTTGCAGATTAGTCGTGGTTGACATGTTGGCGTGATTCAGGAGCGGACGTGTTGTGCATATAGATTGATCAGGTTTGATACCCTCAAAAAAGGATTCGGTTGTCCTTTCGTATTCCTATTGCTATACAATTCGAATACACTTATGACCTTTTATTTTAATGTCTGTGTTCGGCGAATAGGATGCTACACAGAAATGCCTAGGACCAGAAGCAAGTGTCACAAGATGGGGGTCATTGACTGTTGATGCCATGTTGAAGCTGCTCTTGATGAGGCTCATCCCAACTGCGCCCTTTGGGGTTTGATTTCTGCATCAGGTGACCTTATGTCCCTTTCGTAATGAGTGGCCGTCTTAAGAGGGAAATCCAGATAACGAAGTCTATTGGGGTTGGTAGTCGGAGGCTCAATAGTGTCCACGAGCACCGCACTGGCGAACACCAACCTCAGACTTAAGGAAGGCCTGGATCTGATCAATGGCGCGAATGGCAGATCGACCCAAATTCCGTTTGAGTATCTTGCCATTGCAGCCGGCTGAGGCCATTCCGAAGAGCTGTCCTTTCAAACTTTGAATTTACAGTCTGCTAGAAAAGAAAATGCAGCGTGATTTCTAGATACTTCCCATTCATTCCAGATTCTTGTATGATAGAGACCCCATTTCACATAAGGCAACAGTGAATATTATATTGACATTCTTATGGAATGTCCAAGTATCAAGATGTTGTTGACCTCTACCAAAGGAACACGAGCAGCTGCCTTCTAACGAACGGAATATTAAAGGAATTGCCATCGGCATCGTCGTGTAGCAGACGTATGCAAAAGACTAGTCAATCTACTATCTGTCTGCATATTTGCTATTCAAATATCGCATATCACCGTAAATGCTGTCTCTCAAATCAGCAACCACCCAATGTAGAGACAAACACTCAGCTCTTGGGACAGACGACGCTTTTACATACCTTTCCCTGATGACTGTGCTGTGTGAAATTGAGAAACCAAGCCTAAACCGGATGCCGTACAGAATTATCCGATCATGGACTTCATCGACTGGCTCACTAGGCAAGGCGGTTCTGAGGTACTGGTCGACGAATGCTGAATCAAATCCGTTACCTGCAAGACTTGCCGCTCCCAGTTCATACTCGTTGTGTGCATACATAGCGCAGGCGCTGAATAACACAGGCATGCCATCCGCCTGCCGGACGGCAACATTGTCGGAGGACAAATTCCCATGTACAAGAGATGGGGTGATATGCTGGCCCTTGCTTCGGAGACGGCCCAGCATACGAGGGACTGTTCGGTTTATTAGGTCTTTGAAGGCGGCTTCATAGTCAGGCCACCTGCCATTGACCGAAATTTCGTGGTTAAAGAATGTTGTAACTAGGCGACTAAAGCAGTCCGCCCAGCTACGATCCCATGCCGGCTCCAAGACGACGCCGTCAAGGGAGCGCAGGGTGTCGAAGCCAAATTCCTTTGTAGGTAGAGTAGTCCGATGAATGCGAGCTAGGTGGGCACAAAGGATGGCTGGATCTGGGAGGTCATCACCCGAAGAATGAACAAAGTCATAAAGAATGAAATACGTGTCAGCAGCTTGTTGTTCACCCATATAACTATTGCGCCCGGCCGCCATTCTTTCTCTCTGTTGGTTCTCTCTTTCTTTTCTTTCAAGAGTCTTGAGTCTTGAGTCTTGAGTCTTGAGTCTTGGCCATGTTATTTTCATCTAATTTTCCCCATGCGTGCGGCCTTGGCACTACATCTGGGTTGGTGTCATGGAGACTCCTCATAGAAACGAACTCTCCTTGGACTTTGACGCTGGAAGATGCAGTAGTGCACTGCAGATGAAAACGGTGAAATGAATTAAGCATGAGTACGAGTACTAGTGATTGGTGCCGACATAGGGTTAGTACTTACCCGTAAAAAGTAGCTTTTTACAGACCCGTCGCGTAAACGCACTGCGACCCGTGCCGTACGGCTCCATGATGAGGAGCCGTACGGATGCGCGCTAATAACCTGGTGTCCTGGTGGGAAACCTACATGTGGTCAGCGTGATCGGACACAGATAACGTATCCAGGATAACACGTACATGCACGAACAGCACTGTCGATAACGATGCTAAAAGTCCCACTCATCCTCCTAATCCAGTCCCTTCGGGCGTGCCGATTATCTAACAATTGATGAATCGCGAAGACACGGGACATAGTGGGAGGTAGAATTTATATGGTTTTTACAGACGGGAAGCGGGGTGCCAGAGCATATGTTACTGGCTCGTGTAATGTGATAGTGCTGGTCGTTAGCCGCCGACGCTAATGCGCAGCGCAGCGTAGTCTGAATGAACGCTGCGTCTATCTGCTCTTGTCCAGTAATATCTCCTGAATTGCTTGCTCTAGCAAAAACCCCAAAATAGCGACACTAAGATGGTATTTTTCGGGAGAAATCCCACCCCCCCATGGGCTTTCTCGGTCAATACCAGCACGCTACAGCTTGGGAGGTCCTATAAATGTTTACAAGCGCATGTTCATATACTTACTCCCTTTTTTGTTCTCTCCCTCACCATTATTCGTTCCTAGTCGATATCGTCTCCGATGTCTCAGTCATCAGGCGCGGAAACAGTCTCCGCGCCACTTAAATCGGAACTACCTCCTCTAACCAAGGATACTGCAAACCAACCTGGCTTGACGGTTGTCTATCAACCAAAGCACTGCAAACCTATTGTGGATATCATTTTCGTCCACGGCCTTGGTGGGCGTAGTCATTATACATGGAGTTACCGAAGAGACTTGGATCTTTTCTGGCCACAATGGCTTCACTCCGAGCCGGGTCTGAGCGAGGCGCGGATTTCAACATACGGATATGACTCCAGCGTCTTCCCGGCATTCACAAAGAATTTCTCCTGTATTGATGATTTTTCGCGGGAACTGCTTTTTCGGATAAAGATCGCTGCCGATGAAGACATGGGACAGACAACCTTTGGCCAGGTTCGTACACATACCCTCTGCTCGACATTGGAGACTCTCTGGAGATCCCTCTGCGAGCCATCCTGGAGTCTTGGTCTCCCCCGGGACAATGTATCCATATGCCTGATTAGACAGCTAATTGCTATTTGGCTTACGTAGATACCAATAATCATAGTTGCTCATTCGATGGGTGGTCTTGTTGCAGAGCAGGTATTTTTAATCATTTGAAGTGCTTTCACAATACTGGACGACATGCTTATATTATCCTCGCAGGCTTGTAACAATGGCATCAAGGACATCCACTATAAATCGTTAATCCAATCGACCTGCGCTATGATTTTCCTTGGCACTCCCCATCATGGCTCTGGGGTTGCCGACCTGTTAGATAACACGATCAAAAGAATGGGCCTTGGTTTCTTCTCGAAACCGTATATCACAGAGCTCCGGTCTGATTCTCCCGTCTTAAACCAAATCGATAGGGACTTCCAGCGAAATGTTCCCACAATCCCGATCGTATCTTTCTGTGAGACGCGAGGAGTTCCATTTACAACCCTGGTAAACCACTCTTACTCAAAAAAAAAAAATACAAAACCTGTTGCTTACAGAATTCCAGATGGTGGTCGAGAAGAAATCGGCAATCCTGGGCTGTCCAGGAGAGATTATTGTGCCGTTGAATACAAACCACCATATGATTTGCAAATACCGCAGTCGTCAGGATGGAAACTATATTGCCTTACGGCATGTTCTGAGAAAGTTAACCATCAATGCTACACGAAGACTGGCTCTTAACAAGCAACTGTGCAATTCTGTCTGGCGTTGCTTTGGAAACGTGGAGTTTTTAGATCAGGATGACAGCGAAACTCTCTCGACGTGGCTTCCTGGGTCTTGCCAATGGATCCTCTCGGACAAAACTTTGATATCGTGGAAGTGTGACCAGAGGAAGAAACCCACAGTTCTCTTGATGTATGGACCACCTGGATGTGGGAAGTCGGTCCTGTCAAATTTCATCGCACAGCATCTCAAAACACTCAAAACACTCGCCAACCATCCTTCATGCTTTTTCTCTGTTCCTTCTGGTGGGAGAGAGTCTGTGTCTCCGGGTGATCTACTCAAGTCGTTGGCTAATCAGCTGTCCCAGCAATCACCTGCCTTCCGGCAAGCATTTGTCCAGTTTGCACAGCGGATAGTCCGCTTCGATCATTCTTCCTGGTATCCATTTTGGGAGATTTTTGTTGAATGTCTCCTGAGCATAGAAATGGAAAATATAGTCTACTGGGTTATCGATGGAATAGACCAGTGCCAGGATTTGGAATCTTTCACTTTGGCTTTGACAGAGCTCTCAGCCACTAAGATCCCTCTACGAATCCTGGTCGTGAGTGAAAAGTCTCCGTCAAGCCACCCCTTCAACAAACTGCGGGAGAAATTCGAATTCATGGCCATGAATCTGAGCTCACAGGGTGGCATAAGGAATGACCTGCGACTCGTTGTAACGAAGCGAGTTGAATGCATGCGGGGTATTGATGATCTAAAACAAGAGATTATAAACAGAATCCTTTCTGTTGCTAACGGAAACTTTCTATGTGCCGATTTGCTGTATCAAGAAATTAGAAGGTGTCGGAGGAAAGAGAAATTGCGCAGGATCATGAATGAGTTTCAACAAGGCCTAACATCCTACTACCAAATAATGGAAATGGAGTTGAAATCTCGCTGGACCGAAGACGACCAAGACGACGCCCGAGTCATAATGCCATGGTTACTATGCGCCTTTCATCCGCTTACAATCGACCAGATACACAATGGGATGCAGTGTATAGGGGTGGAATTCATTGACCTAGAACTTGTGATTACTCGAGTTTGCGGGCGATTCGTTACGATTGATAGTGAATCTCGAGTAAAGCTGGTCCACCGAAGCGCTCGCCAGTTCATTTCGGCTCAGAATTCAGTACTCAGTATTGAAATGACCATCGCCCAGAGCTCCATTCTCATGAGTTGTCTTCAGTGTTTTGACTCAATTGAAAGTAACCATAGATATCCAGTTAGCGATCTCGGATTTCCGGGATACGCAATGAGATTCTGGTATCGCCATCTTGAAGAGTGTGATGGCAATGAATCAGTACTGAGTATGATGACGAAATTCTTCAAAGGATGCGGCACTCTTGCATGGATTTTCTTGGTTTCGTCTGCGAAGGAACTGCAGCATCTGACCGGAGCAGCGCTCGCGCTCAATCGTTTCATTCTCAAACTAAGAAGAGATGGGCCCAATGCCGAAGCCATCTCGTTCCTCGAAGTTTGTGCCATTGATCTTTACATGATTTCCGAGCGTTTCTCTGGCCCTCTTCTCAGCGACCCAGCAGTTATTTTCGAGCTGGTTCCTCTCTTCTGCCCATCCAAGTCGTTCCCTAAACAGACCGGGAAGCGTTCCAAGATTTCTATTGATGGGTTCCCTGACCATAAGTGGGATAACTATACCATGTCATTTACACTGTACCATGCTTGCCGTGGATCAAAGGTCGTCAGTACAGACAGAAACTTCGCCGTCTCCACCTCAACCCAAGAAGGCCTCGTGCTCGTCTATGATATGTCCAGAACCAGTCCTATGCGAAAGCTGGTACATCAGGAACGTGTAACGTCTCTTCGATTCAATCATTCCACAACCATCTTGGTAACATATGGCTCTATTACAACCAAGATATGGGATATCTCTACCGGACACCTACTCCACTCGTTCACAAACACGCCCGATACGAATGTTCTTGCACTTACATTCACACGAGATGATCAAACATTACTCGCTTTCTGCGACGACTATATCCTCAGGAAAGGGTCGCTAAATGGTTGTTCCCAGGACTGGGTGTCTGTCGATCTCCGTTTACACGACAAGCACGGGAATCGCTGGATCAATCCCTCTTGTGCTGCTTTTGACAACCAGGGTATATTACTTTCCATTGGGTTCGCAAACGATCCAATAGAGATTTGGGATCTTCTATCTTGTGCTTGTATTAGTAGATTCGGTGAAGAGGTCAACACACAAACCGGCTTAAAGCAGCTGGAATGGAGCCCACGATCTGACCGAATCATAGCCCGGCAGCAAAATGGGTCACTCTTTGTATTAGACATTTCCCATAATGAGATAAAAGCGACATGTGCTGACATAACATCGACGATGGCTTGCAATCCAACAGCAGAGTTCCTGGTTACTGGTGATAGGATGGGTATCATGAAGGTTCGACGCATATCCGACCTAACGCTCCTATATCAGATACAAGGCTCCGAAAGCATCATTGCATTGTCAGTAGCACCAAACAGTGGAATGATTTACGATATTCATGGCACCAACTGCACAGTTTGGGAGCCATCGCTGCTGGCGAGGACGATAGCCAGCAGTGATGGTCGACATATATCACGGTCTCCAGCATTGCCATTGCAAGCTCCCAGTCAGACTTCACAATTTCCATCTGTTACTGCTTTCGCACCGAGTATGCAGTCATCAACGTATTGCACTGGTTACACAGATGGATGTGTTGTTGCTTCGCTGCATGGGGGAAAGAAAATTGACCTGAATCTGCCAACCAAGATGCGAATTGAGCGCCTTCTCTGGAGCAATGATGGACGATACCTTGCAGTTGTTGACCTTGCGGCCCGTGTTCTGGTCACGCTCTTCGACCCGCAAACTTTCCAGTTCCAGACATTGATCGCTTCCCGCTTGGATTCGAGCGCCGAACAACTCCTGTTCAATAAATCTTCAAGGGCTTTTCTGGTGGTCACTGAGGATAACATCGTAGCTTGGGATCTTGATGAGATGGTTATGACGGCTAGCCGCCATAACCTAGGAAGTCACAGCTGTTGGATCACTCATCCGACAAGGGACAACCTGTTGGTCGGATTTGGCTCTCAAGGTATTGAGATACGCCAATGGCATGACCTCAAGGTTGTGTCTGGCATCTCACTCAACAATTATATTTCAGAGCTGACGTTCTCTTTGGGGCTGTTGGATTACGTGAAGAACGAGCCATCTGCAGTCACAATACACCCTTCTCTGGCTACCTGCAAGGTCAAGAAGATTCTTGTTTCTCCTGACGCGTCCATGATCCTTCTGGTCACAACTCGCGAGACTAAGGAATCTATAAGTGACTCGCAATTTCTTCTGATTTCTGTGACCGATTTGGATAGCGCAATAATGGACTCTAGAGATGCGGTTCGTCCTATCCCGCTTATTGAAAGCCTCAGTGATATCATTGCTATGCCTCTTGGGCTCCTCTCCGGGAAAAGTAGCCAAGGGAGGCAGGAGCAGCTCGCAGGGGGGCGTCTGTTATTTCTCAGCAAGGAGAACTGGATCTGTTCGGCGTGGGTGAACACTCGTAATGAAGAGCATCCCGTACAGCGGCATATTTTCTTGCCAAGTGATTGGCTGAAACCGGAAAGTGTGGAATTGGCCCAAGTTGGACCAGACGAAGACATTTTTATTCCAAAATCGGAACACCTTGTCATCATCCGGAACGCACTCGATGTGCAGTTCTAGTTTGAACACCGGGGGAAATGACGAGTTGTACTTCAATATGGAATAAATCGAGGATCCACAAGACTTGGTCCGACAAGTTCAACCAACACCACCCACATCATGCCGAGAGTCATTTCTTTAAAAAGGAAAACAATATCTTGCATACCTCCCACGTTTTAAAAGGTTCAATATTAGCCTAAGAGAATGATACTTGCATCAATTCAACACATCGTCCAATAGCATGTACCAAGATGCGGCGGTATTTTGGAAATGTCCCTTCATGAGATGAGCTTTTTGGATTGCCGAACAAAGTAGGCGTTTATACCAACAATGCCATACCAAAACACCTCATGTATAGCAATATCCATCGCCATTGATATCAAAATCTATGCACACCCAGAAATCAAATAAATATCCCGCAAGAAATGAGTACCCCACAAGACCAACCTTAAGGTCCGGGTTTCTACCTAGTATCCAGCATGTTATATCTGTGCCTATGTGGCTCTGAATTTCTCGAGCCCTCCCTCTGCAGTAACCAAGAACAACTACCACGGCACCTCCTTCCCATCATACTGATTAAACCCTGGATTCTCCTCCCAACCAGGCACACGGATATTCAGAAACTTCCCATTCTGCTCTGTCGTGGCATTCCGCACCATATCAACAACCGCCTCCGCGCCTATTTCCGGGGGAAGGTCCGCGCGAGAACCACCCAGGTCCGTTTGAAGCCACTTCGTAGTCAGCTATCAGTTACTCAAAAGAGGGGATAAAAGGAAACGTACGCCCGGGCTTAGGGATAGAAAGGTGAACCCTTCTTGGGCGTAGGCCTGGGCGTATTGCACCGTCAACATGTTCAATGCTGCTTTGGTGATTTTGTATGCTGGGACGGGCATGGATTCGAAGGTTGACGACTTGCTCATGGATCCCAGAGTCGTTGATCTGTGCAATCAGTATCTATTCAGCTAGAATGATGATAGGCCGGGAGGTATACATATTGGCAACGACCTTCCTGTCTCCCTGTCGCAAAAGAGGGAGAAATGCCGTGGTTACTTGATGGGCACCAGTAACATTCGTATTGAATGTATCGTTTAGGTTGTCCCTACAATATCAGTACAGGTCTAATAGAATCGAAAACTCGATTAAAGAATGAATACATCGCTTCCAATCCACCCTTAGTAACCGGCATCACGCCCGCATTGTTAATCAAAACATCCAGTCCTCTTCCAGAAAGATAATCTTTGACATTTACAACCGCTTCCTGTAGGCTTTTGGTATCTGTCACATCCATAGGTACGAATCCGACCCGGCCAGAAGAGCCGTTAACCAAGTCCCGGAGACGCGACGAATTGTCCTGGCGGGATGTGGCAATAACAGCACCGACAACAGAGGATGGAAGTGAGGCCAGGCGAGATACTAGGGCTAGTCCGAGCCCGCGTGAGGAGCCGGTAATGAGGTATGTGGCCATGGTTGGGTTGATGTGGATGGACGGTTGAGATGAGGTTGGGATGAAGTGCGATGATGTATGCTGACAAATTATGCAGATTATGCGGGTATGTATCAAGCTACTATGTACTATGAATGCTTCGTTACTTGTCTCTCAGCATCTAGTTCCTCTTGCACGGGCTGCCGTTCCTCTCTTGCAGAGACGAACCAGATTCCCGAGGTCCACAGAATCAAGGCGACCGAACAGCCCACCATCGCCCACATTCCCCGCGTAAAGCGCGGTGCCAGATCTGCGGAGTAGAATAGAATGCTCCACCACGCATTGACCGCATTATTCCCCAGGTTCATGCTGGCAATAACTACAGACCGTTGTCGTGCATCCTGCAATCGCATGGCATCGTTGCACCATGCAAAGAATGTGGCTTGGCAAGCGTACACCGCTCCCGCCCAGTAGTATGCCCCGAAAACGGTCGCAGTCGAGTTAAAACGGGTCAAGATCAAGACCGAGGTCACGATGCCGGTGATTCCGATGAAATAGCCAACCATATACCGCTTTCCGCGTAGGATATCCGTCAACCAGGACCAGAACAGGGTCGATATGATGCCAACCGCCGGAACGCCAGTAGGGTAGTTGTTCAATTGAGCGACCGAGTAATGAATTGTCGGATGCGCCTTCATGTACAGAGCTAGTAAAGTATTACTGGAAAATGATTCGGTTTCTCCCGCAATGACCCAAAGAATCACGAACCCCCACCAGTACCAGGTAGTAAAGAGCCGTTTGATGAACATGAGATCCAGCGGGGCTTTATCGGCATTGACTTCAGGCAGGCGAGAGATAGCCAAATTGCGTTCCGATTCTGTCAGATACGGGGCTCGCGTCGTGGCCGGGGTATCGGGAAACAGGAATAAGCCGTAGATCGCGATTGGCAACGTGATGAGACCATCGATCTAGATTGTAAATCTCAGTGCACACAATGTAATACAAGATAACTTACGACAAATAACCATCTCCATCCCGACATTCCCGACGCACCATCCAGCGACGAATGTATGCCAGTCTGGATAAACCCCCCAAACATCGTCCCCGCTAATCCCGAGGCCGTAAAGATGCCACTTCGTTTCCCCAATTCACGTTCTGTATACCATGATCCCAGGATATAATGCGTTCCAGAAAACGTACTAGCTTCCGCCACGCCTAAAAAGAACCGGATCGCCATGATACCCTGAGGATTATGCACCGCGGCCGTGATCATCGTAAGCCCACCCCAGAAAAGAACCATGGCCGGAAAGAAGTAGCGCGGCCGGACGTAAGTCACTGCCAGATTGGACGGGATCTGACCGATAATGTAACCGACGGTAAAGACAGTGTTGATGACATTGAGCTGGTTGCCGTGAAAGGCGAGCTCCTCCTGCATGCCAGACACATACGCATTGGTCAAATTGGAGCGATCGAGGTAATTAAAGAAGTAAGTGACACAGCAGAAGGAGAGAATAAAGAAGTCGATCTTCCATAGTAGCCGGCGCTCGGGTGATAGGGTTGCGAAGCATCCCATGTTGCTGCCCACGAAGATGATAGAGAGATGCAATCACCCGGATTATAGAGTAATTGTTTTCAGTATAAACTCAGCGGGGGTCAGTTAAGCACCGGGAAAGATCTTCGCGTCTTCTTTCTTATCGCTGTCGGTTTGGATGGCTTCATAGTCTGTTGGGATTGGTCGGATAACGTAGTATTCCGGTTGATATTACCGTAAAGCGCGCATTAAATGCCCAAACAGTCTTTCCGATGCTATCCAGAGATCCTTGAATGCCTCATGGTGGGAATAATTTGCCGTGTTGGCTGTCTGTTCTATGCAACAAAGTAATGAGACTGACTTTCGGCGACCTCGGTTCATCCAAACTTTTCTGCCATACACCACCGCCTGCTTCTCTCAATTTTCACACCCACGTCACCAGCAGAAAACTTGCATTTCACAGCCTCAAACGACAAGAGACTGACTGACTGACTCGGGATCAGGATGCCTTCTGTTTGTATGCTCTCGTCCCTATCTATGTCTGCAGTTGCCGGAATCCAGTGGTTGTCTCTCCCAACAGTATGGGAGCGTCGGACTTGAGCGCCGCGAGCCCGCGGGCCTTCGCTGACCGAGGGATCAACGCCAACAACGATAGTAACGATGATGTGCGATCGATCTGGTCCGAAAAGAGCACTCACATAGACGGTCAGAATGATTTGCGGTTTTGGAAGTCAAATTCGCAGCACAGTATCCCTTCCCCGGACGACCAACGCCATCGGGGCCCGGATGCCCCTGACGATTCGCCCGATCGACCGACGACACAGTTCAGTTTCTACTCCCCCGGGCTGGAATATGCCATTCATGCGTCCGATTTGAATTCTTTGGCTACAACGCATCAGTCAGTGAGCGACCTGTTGGAAAATGGAGAGGCTGGGGATGTGTGGTGGATAAATGCCATTGCGCCGTCCATGGAAGATATTGAATGGCTCTCCAAAGTCTTCGGGATCCATCCATTGACGACTGAGGATATCGGAGTACAGGAGACACGAGAAAAAATTGAGCTGTTTGGCCACTACTATTTTGTTTCACTACGGTCGTCCCATCCGAACCGCAGAGTCGGAGGGACGAGTTGGTCGATTCTAAACCAGTATGCCCTCGTCTTCCGGGGTGGCATTATCAGTGTCACTTTTGGACCTAGTCCACATGCGGCAAATGTGCGCAGTCGCATAATGGAGCACAAGAGTCACCTGGCGTTGACCAGTGACTGGATATGTTATGCACTTATGTAGGTTTTTCTACTCTGCCGACTGAAACGGACTGAGACTGACAAGAAAGTGATGATATCGTGGACGGATTCGGTCCGTCTATTCGCAAGGTCCAACAAGGCATTGAGACCATGGACGACAGCTTTGCCATAACACGCCCAGACGATATCAGTCTGGTGCTGCAACAGATCTACAAGTGTCGCAAGGAGATTATCCGCATCCGCCGTCTCCTGACTGACAAGACCGATGTGATCAAGAGTTTCGCGCGGCGCTGCGACGAACGCTGCTTCATCACGCCTTCATGCGAAGTCGTGGTATATCTCAGTGATATCCAGGATCACGTCCTAACGATGATGTCCAATCTGGCCCACTCTGAACAAATGCTGTCCGGATCGCAAATGAAGTATGTGGAACAGTTGTCCATGGACAACAACCGCACGCGCAACACAACTCTGGACACGCTGAGCAAGCTTACAGTTCTGGGGACCATGTTCGTGCCGATGCAGGCGCTCATCAGCTCGTTTGGCATGAACGTGGAGGTTCCGGGGCAGGAAGTGTCGGGGGTGGCTTGGTGGTTTGGGATTATTGGAGGACTGGCTGCTGTGGTGATTGTATGTTTGGCACTCGCGAAGCTAAGACGATGGATATAATCGTACATAATCTTGTTATTAATAGTACGTTCTCACGAAATGAATATATCTTCGTGGTTCCCATAGTCCGCGAACCGCATATATATTCCGGGTATTCCACAGCGCACCCCCACAACCAAGTCCGACATTACTCTACCAGGCATCTTCCTTCCAGCTTATTATTCATTGCCACTGCAGCAGTGCCATTGAACTGCCGTATACACAGCCGATAACAACGTGCAAATAATGCAAACACCACAAACATGCTCATCAGCGGGGAATTGCGTCATGTTTAGCTCTGAATCAAACATTCCAAATGCTGCCATGTTGTATATAAGTTGCTTTGGAGCCATTGTAGCCTAAACACAGTAGAAGAGACTTCCCACTAAAATCTATTACAGAATTGCAATGGCACTCTCCGTCGCAATCGCTGGAGCTGCCGGCCATCTAGGCCAGCATATCGCGGCCGCTTTCCTTTCCCCCCCGTTCCAAGATGCCTTTTCCCGAATTATTTTCCTCTCGCGAAGCGAACAAGGCAGCTCGTCCCCATTGGCAAAGTATAAGTCCCACAACAAGGTGGTATTCCGACAATACGATGAAAAAAATCCCAAGTCCGCGTTGGACGGCGTGCACATCCTCGTCAACGCTGTCGGCGCAACCGGCCACGACTTTAAAGAGAAACTCCTCCGCGCTCTCCCCGGATCTGACGTTCGACTGTATTTTCCGTCAGAGTTTGGGGTCGATCACTATGTGCATGACTTTCCGCACGGAGAGTGGGACAGGAAGAAGAAGCATGATGCCCTGGCGCGAGAGATTGTTCCTAACGTGAAGGTGTGCCGGGTATTTTGTGGTTTGTTCCTGGAGGATAGTATCGGGCCGTGGTTTGGTCTGAACACCAAGTATGGGAAGTATGAGGGCGTTGGATCTTCGAAGAGTCCTGTGTCGTTCACGGCGTTGGATGACGTGGGGAGATCAGTTGCACAATTGGCCGCGAAGCCTCCTGACCAGATCCCGGGGAAGGTGCATATCGGTGGTGATACGCGGAGTATCGCAGAGGTTGCCCAGATAATGGAACAGGCTGGTGCTGGGAAGATCGAAGTGAGTGAGGTCGGCCTGAACGAGTATAAGGCCGAAACGACAAAGGATACCTCGTCTACCGATCCGGCGAAATTCCTGCGGTTCCTGATGGGCGAAAGAAAAATTGAGCATACCACGCAGGGAATGGGGAATAGTAATGAGGGTGTTAATCCAGGCGAGAGCGTGTGGAAATGGAAGCGATTGGAGGAATTGGCGAAAGAGACTGGAGGGAAACCATGGGGAGACTATGAGTGGTCTTGATGTATAGGTTTTAAGTAATAAACCTCAAGAATAACCATTTACGTCAACAAATGGGCTTGTGGTTTAGTGGTATAATACCCCCTTAGCATGGGGGTGGTCCGGGGTTCGATTCCCCGCGAGTCCATTTTTTTTTGCATTTTCTTTTTGCGCAGACAAATAACGAATAGGTTGAAAATAAAATTAAAACCCTCTTGATGGGAGAGGTAAGAATTATTAGGGGCTATAATGGCCAGCTCCGTCATACCTACTGGCACAATTATCTATTCTATTCTCGCCTCGAAAAAGAACCGTGGAAGGAGTTTTCGCGAAGGGACACCGGCCCTGATTCAGCCACAATATTCACTGTGTTTTGGTGCCATTATGAGCGAAGAAAGAAGGCAACGTAGCAGCTGAAGATAATGGAAATATCTTTGGAAGAGGTCGTCCACAACTGAAATATCTTTTGAGGCGGGTATTCAAAACCCTAAGAAAGGGTCGGACTTGCTCCCACACCAGCTGTGTCTCTCCTGCTGATCTGTTATAGGCATAAGCATGCTCTTGTGATCTGCACTATCAGGTTCACCATTTATGCTTGAGAATATGCAAGACAGGGTCCTAATTCGAGCAAGCTTATTTTAGACAGATCAGTGAAAAGTTCAAAAAGGCCGGCACATTACATTGAGACGGGGAATATAGGTGGCGGTTACCTTGACAGCTGCAGTGAATTCACTGGTAATAATCAGCTCTGCGAACGAAGAGAAACTAAAAAGAGAGCAGCTTATTTACTTGCGATTTTGGCTATATTGTATATATCCGAGAAGCAGCGAGATACATCACGTTGCCGGAAATATATATAGAAAAAAGACGGGGCATAGGAATGTACGATATTAGAGGCTACACAATTGGTGGGCTAGGGAAAGGAAAAGTGATAAATTGATGTAGTGAGCTGGATTACAGGCGGTATAGCTCATCGCATAAAGGAATGATCCATTTGGAACATCCTGTATAACTGCAAGAAAAGTAGGCATTCTGCTTGAGCACAAGGGGGATATATGCCTACAAAGATTTCTATCATTGATACTCTGTAAGTCACTTGGAATACGTGAAGCTTTATCAGCAAAGAGTCACGAGTTGCGTCTATAATTGAGCTCTACGAGCTTGGTGGGCAAAGATAACACGAAAGAGGGCATAAGCGCCTGCCTAATCCAATGGCTTGATAATAGGATCTCAAAACTGAGACAGTAGACCAGAACCAAAGAAGACCAAAAAAAAAAAAACATACCCAAGCAAAAAGACACTGCCAAATAGACCTCAGTATAGTTCGTCCTTCTGTGACGCCTACTGTCGTTCACCATTCTGTGCAATGCGTTTGAGGGCGTTTGCGACCCTCCCCAGAACCCGAATCAGCGATTGCATATCATACAGATGATAAAGAATGCCGATGGCGTCCATATCCTCTATGATGCCGTAATATATCGGGGGAGGATTTGGCGTTGCTGGTGTTGGTGCTCTTGTTGCCAGAGCTGTAGTTGTATTTAATGATTGTCTTCTTCAGTCGGGTGAGTCGTTGTACTTCCTCATCATCTTCTCGCCCATTTCTCAGCTTCAAGAAACCGCGAACAAAGATGATCGTTGCATCTCATGCGGTGGCCAAGTAGTTCAGATGATCGCCTTCTTTTGGTCATGAATCCGAGCACGGTACCTGTTACCCAGCGAGGGTATCTATTGCCGAGTAAGAACACCTTTGCACTGTGGACAAGCTATTGACAGCCTGGATATTGCAGGTATGATGTGCTATGAGTGCGCAAAGCGGTTGTAGAGTATAAGTAACTTCCATTTAAGAAGATACCGCCTAGCTACTGCTCGCTAACAGCACCGCCCCATCAGTTCAACTGTTGAAGTCCACCACAATCCGTCCAGCTACTTCTCCTTTTCGCAGTCTTTCCACAGCCTCTGGCAACCGATCTAATGGATATACCTCGCAAATTGTCTTCAACATTCCCCGTCGAGCAAAATCCAACGCGGCCGCCGTGTCGCGACGACTCCCAACCAGCGTGCCTTTGACTGTCAGGTTGCGGAAGACGAACGTGTTTGGGTCCTCTCCGATGAAGATTGTGCCCGTCGGTGCCAGTCCAATGCACATTACTATCGCCCCAACGCGTGTACCTATATATGACACGGCTGTCTTATAAGCTGCTGGCGCAGTTACGAAGACACCATGGGCCCCGACGCGGTCAGCCACATTGATAACTGCCTTTGCGGGGTCACTCGTTTCGCGGAAGTCGATAAATGCCTCTGCTCCCATCTCCAATGCCAGCGTCCGCTTCGCTGAGCCTGTGTCCACCACGATTGGCCGGATGCCCATCGCCTTGGCCATCTGCACGCCTTGGATCCCCACGCCTCCACCACCACCGGGGAACACGGCCCAATTGCCTGGACTGAGACCCGACTCGCGCAGGGACCGGTATACGGTACTAGCGCTGCACATGATGGGGGCGGCTACTTCGTCAGGGACACCGTCTGGGATAGGAGAGGCGTATCGTGCGGGTGAGACGATAAACTGTTGGTACGTCCCGGCAGCAGCCAGACCGGTTAGAACTGCACCAGGGCAGTATGTTTCTTTATCGTCCCAGCAGAGGTCGCAGTTGTTGCAGGTGTCAAGGATGGGCTTGATACCGGCGCGATCACCGACTCGGAAGGTCTTGACGTTGGCGCCAACCTGGACGACGACACCAGCGCCTTCATGACCCGGGGAGCGGACGCCAAATGCTGACATTGGTGGGGTACCCAGATCAGCCGCCATCAAGTGCACATCAGAGGAGCAAAGACCGGTGGCATTGAGGCGAATAAGGATCTCATCAGGGCCGGGGGTCGGAACGGGGACAGTTTCGACACGGACTTCGAAATTAGGCCCTTCATTAATCACGACACCGGCCTTGCAGTGCGTAGGAACTACTACTGGGATAGTATGCGATGGAGAAGGCTTGGTGTTGGTTGTCGCGACCATTTTGTCGGGATACCGAAATCTGCAGATATGACGGCGATAGGCAAAGAAGTCGGACTTATTTATACCGATCTCTACGCGGAATCAGTCCGCTTCCCCTCATTTTCCTTGTTCATATTGTTGAGACTTGGACCGTATATCCGGAACTACTGCAGGACAAGAACTTGCGGGGCGGCTATACCTCGGAGTGTCTCCCGTTGCGGATATTTGAGTCTATACCATTCTCTGGTCTATACAAAGCTGAAAGAGCATTATTCAACGTATTAACAAAGACAACGAAACAGTTAATCCCAGACAAGCCATCCTGTCGAACCGATCACTATTAAAGCCACCATCCCGGTAAGCACGCCCGCCCCGGCTCTGTCCTTCGTCGTGATATCCATCGTCAAACTAGAAGGCTTCGGTTCTGGTGGCGTTGACCCACCACCGGGGTTGCCTTTACTGGTTCCACCGTGCTCGTCGGTCACCGGGGGATCAACACGACTGATCAGATTCGACTGAATGACTTCGAGCGCTGCCATTTGCAGTCCAACATCTTCCTCACCCTCCCATTTCCTGGTTACCCACTTCTGCCCACAGGCTAGACCGTCATCTCCACCGGTGCAGGTTTCCGCAGCTGCTTCAGCGGATGCACGCAGAAGAGGCATTACATGATCATATGTGAAGGGAGCCATCTGAGTCGAAGAGGCCATCCAGCGCGCCGTGTAACCTTTGAAACCGCGCTGGTCAACCTGACAAGTGTCGACCGGCTCGCAGGCGCGCTCGTACATGACCGAATCGGTGAAGAAGGCGGCCGTTGTAGCGTTGAGGATATTCTGTGTTCGTTCTTTCCAGACGGGATCACCTTCGGTGAAATTGAACATTGTCGCTGCGCCTAAGAGATACACCCCCGAATTGTACGTCCACTCAATGCGGTTGAATTCCGAACAGTTTTGTCGATCATCAGCCCCGTCCCAGAACTGATATTCGTCCGTCATGAAACCAACGCTCTTGGTCCAGTCCCAGATGCGGTCCGCCCAGTCGGCATACGTTTGATTGCCGGTGTATTTGGCTAAACGCGCGGCCAGGTTGAAGAAGCATCCGTTTGAGATTGTGTTTTTATAATCGTACCCGTTGTTGAAAGTGAATATTTGCCATTTTAGCCCTCCGGAGCAACTCCCTGTGTCCCAACGAGCTGCCTGGGTATTGAAAACAGCCTGCGCCATAGCCAACCACCCAGGTTTGTCGTCCGGTGGATTGGGATAGTTGCGCTCCGCGGCGGACATGGCCGCAAAGGCCCAAAAACTCTGGTCATCGTTCCCTTCGGTCCGTGTCTGGTTCTCAGGCATGAATGTCCCCTCGCCTCCAGCTTGCCAGAGAATAGCCTGCGTTGTGATATCGTTCCAGGTGTCATCGCCGGTATAGAACCAATAATCGACTAGCGATGCGAACATCGCGCCGGCTTCCCACCAGTAGTACGGGTCCGGGAGGTTTCCCGGATTGTCGCCAGGGTTCATACCGGTATAGTATGAGAGCATATTCGTCGCGACTTGCCTGGAGACCGATTTGATCGAATCTGTTCAGTTAGTTTCTTTCTCTTCTTTTCTTTTGCGCCATGTTTGAACATACCTGGATCATCCACGTCCAGTTCGACCGCCGCCGCGGTCGAGAGAAGAAGAAGCCATGATATGCGCATGACTATCCTGAACTAACAATAACACTATTGAAACAGAACAAATGGACAAAACAGAATGAGAATCAAGATCTAATGAGTACGAGTGAAAGACAGTCTATGTTGTGAGGTGGGATGGGGAGATCTCAACGTCAACATTCCATGCAAGAATGTCCCTGGCAGGGCAACGCGCGACATTCCCTGGATCATTTCTGGATCAGTGCAACGTGCCTGAAATCTGACAATCTGTTTGTCTGGGACCGCTGTATACTGACCGACCATTACGCGCTCACCCATGGTTTTGTGTTGCAATGTTGCAGTTGTAGTTGTAACCTCGACATAACTCATTTATGAAGACTGCAATGACTATTGTAGATGTATTACGTGGAACAAAATAACAGCAAAGTAACATAACAACAAAGGCAAATGGACATGATTACCTGAGAGTTCCTCCCTGTCTTGGTATCCCTAGACGCACCCCGACATTAAGTTATTAACTAACGATGCATGACGGAAGGAATGCAGAGATTATAGAACGCCCTGCAGCAGCCTCGACATGATCCTCTTTGATTAAATCAGCCGCCCTTTCGGCCAATGCATAGGTTGTCGCTTGAATATTCCCGGATGGCTCCAGAGGAAAGACACTAGCGTCAACCACACGCAGGTTACTTGTTCCGTGGACCCTCAGACGGTTATCCACAACACCTCCCTTGTCAGCGGGCATCATAGCACACGACCCCGATGGATGGAAACAGGTGAACAATCGCTCCTTGACCACTTCCTTTGCGGCGTTGAGATCACTCAAATCAACCGCGTGTGCTGGGATTCGGACACTAGCCTTGATTAAAGAGGCGAATGGCCCCGTCTGCACGATACGATCGAGGTACTGCATTTGGCGCGCCATCAGCTCCAGATCGAGCGGATGTGAGAGGTAGTTTGGATCGTAAATCGGTTTGTCCTCGATCCGGGAGGACCTGATATGCACAGAGCCCCGCGAGAAAGGGTTGTTGTGGAGGGCGAGGATGCTGATGTAATTCTCCGGTAGGTTCTTGGCCAGGACGTCTGGCACGGTCGTCGCGCCGGGTTTCATGTGTAATTGAACAGGAAGGTACATATACTGCACGTCTGAGGTTTTGTGGTCAAGTAGCTTCTTCTGTAGAATGTCGTATTGTCCTTGCAGCGCCGGGGAAGTGTTTTGGTCCTGATGACTTTGCACCAATTTCTGTACAGCTTCCGTGGACAATGCGCCGTTGTTGTCCACGGACGGCAAGTAGGCCATGCTCATCGGCATGCCGGCCATGGGTCCGCTGTGCGTGTCTTCATATAGCTTGAGCAGTGCCTGTGCGACGTTTGGATCGCGTAACACATCGCCAGAAACCTGTCCGTCGGCTACCTGAAAACTGAGTGCCGACAATGCATGATCTTGCAGATTTTCTCCCACACCGGGACGGTCAACAACGACCGGAATATCCTGCTTTTGAAGCCGATCTGCCTGTCCAATGCCCGACAACTCCAGTATCTGGGGCGAATTCAGACTTCCAGCCGACAGGATGACTTCGCGCCGAGCAGTGATACACGCGCTGCCGTCCTTGGTACGGATCTGGACACCAGTTGCTCTAGGCGTCTCCCCCGACTGATCAAAGAGGATCTTTTCCACCAATGTCTCGGCTTGCAGATGCAGGTTTGGCCGTTGCGCAACCTGGGGTGTATAATACGCTGTCGCGTATCCTCGTCGCCCATTACGATCCACCGTCAGCGGGTTGGTAAACGCCCCGATGTTATCTCCAGCAATTGGATCCCCACTGGCCTTCCATCCCAGCTCGTGAAATGTTTCGTTCCAGGCCTGATTGAACTCACTGTACACATCGGGCAAAGTCACTGGCACCGGACCATCAACACCTTGCGCCTCAGTCTTCATGTATTCGTCGATCCCCAGGAGAGAGGAGGTCGTGTCGCTTGGCCGTGTGTAGGTGTGGAACTTGCGCAGGTATGGTGCCATCTCGTCTGGTCCCCAGCCTTCGTTTCCCAACTGAGTCCAGGCCGTAAAGTTGGATCGTGATGGATACATGATGGCGCCGAAGTTTATTGCGGAGGAGCCCCCGACGACGCGACCTCGGGGTTGACCGATTTGTCTGTTGTTCACATGGATCTATTCTGTCAGTTGCCATCCATGGAAAAGCTGGATCTTTGGGCGCAATGTGTACCTGAGGTTCACTCATATAGTCCCAGTCTATCTCTGGGTCACCGTACAAGGTCCCAAGCAGGCCCGGGGTTTCAATGCGAGCATCTCCCATGCGATTGGGACCGGCTTCGAGCACGAGAACGGAGTGGTCTGCATCCTCGCTTAGACGTGAGGCTAGAACAAGACCGCCAACGCCAGCGCCGATGATAATGAAGTCGTATTCAGACATTGCAGTGCTTCACAGTCAAGTCAAACACCAAACAAGCGAAACAAAGCAATTGACATGAGACAACTGCCAATTTAAAGAATAGAAAAATGGTAACGTAATCGGATGCTGAGTTCAACAGGACACCGAGCGGAACATGAATTAGTCTCCCCTACACGTCCCACTAACTGGACCCCTAAATGGGCGCAATTATGGCAGATCCAGTGGTTTTCATCTGCATTCCGCTCGGTGTCCGATTACGTTACGCCAACCGAGAAACTGGACATAGGAAAATCGAAAACTTACCCTATAACAAAGTACAGCCCCTAATAATAAAGTCGCGTCTAAGCGACACACCGGCGCCGCACCAGCCAGGAACGGACTGAACCGGGCTAGAAGCATTGATACACCCGGGCCATTCAGAAGCGTCTCGACCCACAAAAGCCGTTGCAGGAGGCAGCTGTCAGATACGGGAACTTGTCCCGGGACGCACGGTGCATCCCCATTTGTCGCGGCTTATATACCCCCGAGCCGGTCGGTCGAGACTGCATTGGAAGCAAACTAAAAAAATATGAATACATGAGGATTTGCTCCTACATCCCGGCATCTTGGCCAGAAAATGGCCGCACCTCAGCTGTACAATATTTTTCAAAATGCGATTGTGCGCGATCAGCTCATCGCCAATACGGTGCTGGCCGTGCTGGCAACGGCGATGGTGGTGATGCGGTTTATCTCGCGCAGGATCCGGAAGAGTCAAATTTGGTGGGATGATGTGTGCTGTGTTTTATCGTTGGTATGCAGTTATGCCACTACCGAGCTCGTTCGGGCCATTTACTGACTGAATAGCTGCACACATATGGGATGTTGGCTATGCATTTTCACTACGCTCGAGTCGGGATGCGTGAACATATGTCGGATATGCCGATGCAAAACACCATTCTCATGCTCAAGGTTAGCTACCGGAAAGAGACAAAGTGGGATATAGGATTTCCGCTGACCAACAGATGCTCATCGTCTACCAAATCGTCTACTATAACGCCATGGTTCTCGCGAAACTGTCTTACCTCTTCTTCTATCTGCGCATATTTGTTACGGAAGCTTTCAGGCTGGCCGCCTGGATCTGCATGGGATGCGCCTTATCATATTGGCTCGGGAGTATGCTGCAGATATTTCTAATCTGCCAGCCATTTGCGAAGAACTGGGATCCGACTCTCGAGGGGCATTGCGCTAGTCAGAACGTCGCCTTTTCCACCATTGGCGCTTTCAACCTGGTGACTGATCTGATGGTCATGCTGCTTCCAGTGCATTTCATTCGGAAACTGCAAATGTCTCCGGCAACGAAGCTGGGATTGTATATAATATTTGGTCTGGGATTCTTGTACGTTCTCTCCCTTTTTACTCCACACCGCGCCTAGTCTAACGAAACAGCATCTCGGCAATCACCATAATCCGCATCCATGTCCTCACCACCGTTGACTTCACCGATCTCCCATACTCCATGATCTGGGCTGCATTCTGGAGTGTGGCCGAACCCGCCTTGGCCGTGACCAACGCCTGTATACCCATGATACGACCGGTCCTAAAAGCGTTCTTCCCGAATCTATTTAGCTCATTCCGTGACGCAGACTATACGTCGGAGACAGGGCCATCTGTCGGGTCAAGTCTGAACTTCCACAAACGGCGGATGGCCGACGATCTGGATGGAGAGATGCCCCTGACGCAACTACAGGATGGGCCAGGGAAATGGAGCCGTGGCGGTGATGAGCTGTCGTTAAATGGAGGCTTACAGGAGGGACATTCCGCGACACATTTACCGCGGAGTGTGATTGAGTATTAAAAGTTTTATACCCTGTTTCATTTGTTTATAGAGTCTTTATCCACTTAAAAACCGTTATTTTATCGATTATGACAATTAAATCCTAATAATATTTGCATGTACAAATCCTGGAAACTCCCAAATTAGTAACATCAGTTTAGTTCACAGGATCAGTAGCAGGAAGTAATCCCAACCAGGACCTTCGATATGAGGCCTAACATGCAACGGCCACTAAATATCGCGCAATCTAGCTGCCTTTCTAGTCTTCTCATATAACCTTTAAGGAAAATTATAATAAATAAATGAAAAAAAGGCCTGCCGTATAAAGCGTCGCCTGAACCTTCAACCCCCCCAACTCCAAGCAGTACCGGTTGGGATGCGGAATTAGTAACTAGTCGAACAGAGGTCAGTAATATCGGATTGCGATATGTAGAATAGATCTGCATACATTTATAGGAGGGTTGTCTTTTAATATAGTAGATCCTATTGAGGAATGGTGCATGCTTCCATAGATTAATGTATTGCCTAACATGCCATCGTACATGCATTTTCTCAGCCGCCTTCACATTCTCTTTATAGGTTTTTCTACAGGTTCCCGAAATTAGTGGATTCCCAATTTAAAATAAGGAAAGGTCAAGTGTCTTTGATTCTCTCGACTTGATCGAGGTCCATTTCAGACAACATTGACGGAGGAAATTTAGAGGGTCGCCGAAAAGGGAAGGTGCTCGGAACCCTATCTCGTGCTAAGGCGCGCTAATCAAAACGATGCCCGAGGAAATTATGGTGCAAAGAACTAAAATTTTCGATCCTAACTCATAGCCACAACGCTCATGCAGTCAAGCTCTTGCCAAAAAAGTCCGCACACTTGGCTCCCGCCTCATCAACCTGATCATACAAATCGGCATGCGTCTTCCCATCCACGATGAACAACTCCTTGGGCTCCTTAGCCTTAGCCACACCCTCTTCGCTATGCCACTTGGATGCCGCCTTGGTACCCGTAATCATCAATAGCGGCCGCGGGCTGATCATCGAGTTGAACGCAAAGGCGTCAAAGTTAGCCATGATGTCCCAGTTGCGGGGAATGGTAGTGTTGGTCGCCCGGGGGTGATGCGCTCTGGGGGTGCGGTAATACAGCATCAAGTCGCGGAAAGACTCTGACATGTTGGCAGGCGCGTCCTCAGGCTTCTCGGGAAGTAAATGCACGATGGGAACCTTGTTGCCGGTGACGTCGCTGTTACGATCCGCGGCAGCACCTTCAAGCTGCATCTTGAGAATCTCTGGAGTGGAGGTGTTTTTCTCGAGGCCGCTGCGGCTCATGGTTCCCACGCAAGACGGCCGCGATGGTGGCGCACGCCTTGATGCGGAGGTCTGTCTGGGTGGCGAATGGTGCGTATCCGCCCGAGGCGCAGATGCCGAGAACACCAATACGGTCTGAATTGACATCTTGACGGCTGAATAGGTAGGTCATGGCGGATTTGATATCCTCAACACGCTGGGTGGAATCCTCGAGGGCGCGTGGTTCACCCTCGGATTCACCCTGATAAGCGGCATCGAATGTAAGACAGATGAAGCCGGCTTGGGAGAGCACACGGGCATAGTTGGCGGGTGATCGCTCCTTTATGGAGGTCCAAGGATGGGAGATGACGATGGCTGCACCGTTGCGGTTGGGTGCGTTGGCCTGAGGATGGTAGAGGTGACCAGCAAGTTTCAGGTTGCGGGAGAGAAAAGAGACGTTGGTAACCATGATGAATGTACTTGTCTGTAGATTGCGATTCTGGCTTGACTCTGGAGAATGGACATGGCCAATTTATAATTGGGATGCGGTCTATGAACCCCGAGCATTTTCGGACAGCGAGACAGAATTCGCCCGAACATCTTCGGGAGCGGAGATGGAGATCGCGGTCATCTATGTACGAACCAACTAATTGGCAGCGTCATCAATAGCAATAAGAACATTTATTCCGAAGCACGGAAATAACACCTAAATCCGGCAACAGGATGACACTTTTGGATTCCAACAAGACGGAAGCGGACGTACATTCGGATGAAAGGGGATGATGATTGGATTTTAGAAGAACATGATGAAAGAGCGACGCACTTAGGCTTGAATTAGCTTTAGTGTTGTAGTTGATGACCTCTCACCTGGGCTATGAACATAGGATACTACTTTGCTGCGAAAGTCATACAATATTAATTCGATTCACCACTCCCAGAGCTAACCTACCACATAAACTCCATATTCAACCCTTATTCCTCAACAGTCTTTTAAGCCATCCAAACTAGCTAGCTAGGCGACGATAAAATCATGAGGACGCTTCAGCATCTGTGAAGAACAGAAAGATCTCCAAGCGCGGCCATGGAATATTCGCTGAAGCCAACTGACTGGTAAACTGCGTCGTTTTATGCTCTCTATTCAGTTGATGCATGATCTAAATGAGACCGGACTGCGAACGTTGGGTTTCCCACGGGGGAAGTTCAGGGAGAATATGATGAGACAAAAGACACAAGAAATCGAGCTTCTTCAACATGTAGCGAAGAACCCGACTTGTCTGTTAATATTTGATATTGAAAAACTGTATTGATCTGCAGACTTACCTTCTTCCTGAAAGATTCCGTCATGGACGTCTGTAACAGCCTGATGGTCTTCCCCGTAATCCAAGGGACCACAACCGTGTATTTTGGGATACTCATCACATGGAACCTCCAAGAACCCAATTGCTATGTTTTCTTGGCCAGGGATGGACTCCCTCGGCCCCGAACACAGACATAACCAAATAAAGCCAGTGCTAGAAGACTCTATGCGTTTCAAGCCCGTGAGGTCTGTAGAATGATACCTCTCCGACAAAAGGATCTACGGAGCGGCCCTTTTTCTGCATGTGTGTATTATCCACTCAACGAGAAGTTCAGGGGCAAATATCTCACGATGTTTTCTAAGTCCGTTAGCCTGTTAAAAAAGCCCCTGTATGCAACAGTCAATGAAATGCCAGAACACAACGTCCCCCCGGCTGATCATCAGCACCATCACCCGGGGTATATTCTAGGTGTTGACCTTGATGACCTCGATTAACATTTCCTCTATTGTAGATGAGCCGAATCCGAAGCCATATTTCTTCTGGTGCCAGGTATTATCAGATCGTTGCTGCGACATGGTAGATTCTGTACCCGGCTGGGAGACGTAAGCACGAAGCTCCGATCTACCAAACGCCGTGGTACTTGAGACCTACCGAGAAACCCCGTCATATCCTATTGTGTGCGCATATAAAACACGGCCTTCTGAAACGAGCTCGAGCAAAATCCTTGAAACATAGCGAGATCAGAAGTGGCAGGTGCAGGATTGAAACCGATAAACTCATTAGTTTCGACGCTTTCCAGCTCAACGCAGTTTTTCACGAATCTCGTCTCATAACCCCCAAAAGCCTTACCCAACCTATAGCTGTGACTGTTGTTAGTTTAGAAGGCAGGGCACTTAACAACCTTGTACTTATCAAAGTTTAATTTTTGAACGGGCGATAGATGACAACTGCAATGCTAATCATATTGGTAGCCCTCGGACAGAACAGGAGTGTCAGCGATAAGCCAAATTTGAACAGGCGCACTACTCCTTAAGTAGTGACCGAGTGGTATTCCGCAGCATATGTGCAGCCGAACATGAACAGTATAAGGAGCATGGCAAGATATAGAAGTAGAAGTAGAACGGAAAGAATGAGGTTCCAAGGATGAGAAAACGCGGCTCATTTTAGGTACTTGGCAATATCTGTTCATTCCTTACTTTCTTCGCTCCGGTTGTGCATCACATTGAGAATAGCTAGTGCGCCAAAAGGAAACACGTAGTCTTTGCGAGGGTATTGGAGAGCGATGGCGGGCTGATTATAGTCAATAATATGAAAATTTGATGTCTCCAAAGTCGCACTGATGCACAGACCATATTTTACCCATTGAAGAGCATGACCATATGCGTATGCGAGCCTGTTTTCTCTATTAGTAGTGCGCAAGCAAGAATGGAGCGGCAACGCACGGTCTGGTTTCCTCCGTCTTTTTCTATACCAGGAGGTCGTCAGCCTGGTTAATCAAGCCAACTAAAAACTGGACAGAACTGAAGTGTGTATATAATATGAGACAGCTTCGACAGCCAATCTCTGAAAGAGGGCTGGTTGAGGGAATCGGTAATGACAGGTAGCTTTGCCCCGCATATCGTCTGGGCTGCCGATATACGGTATATATATAATTCATGAACCAAGGATGAATGTCGTCCAAGACAAGACAAAAGACAGCAGACAAGAGAGTATTGTGTTAATAGCCCTCCCACGGGTCTTGCTTCGCATATGTATAACCCGAGAAAACAGCAAAACAAGTGGGAAATGGGCTTAGACTAAGAACACACCCATTGAGAAAATAGCAGACACTCAAGTTCAATTGATAACTTGAGTCTCCGTGGTAGCTGTATCGCTAAGTTGGAATCCTACATGAATAGATGTAAGAAGAAAAAGTCCAGCTCGAGGCAGCCGAGCATCATCAGAGTAAGTGTGGTTGGAACCGGCAGCCGTCGCGGAAGTTAACTGTAAACGATGTAACAGGATGGCCAGCCAAGGTGATTGCCTCCAGAATGAGTGAAGTAGCCCCTATGATACAGCGTGCTTGCGATTATAAAAGTTACCTTGCTCCATCACATTAGCGTTTCCAAATATATATATAAACAAGCCATCGCAAGATGATATAACAGAAGAGGGTGAAAAGCATGTCCGAAGAAAATCGCAACCTCATCTATCCATTTGTAAATCTGTTTTCAAACGTTGTTAGTATCCCATCAACCAGCAGGATCTATTGCTTCGTGTGTTGGAAATACCCGAGGAGTTTCACATACCTAGGCATCGTGTAGGTTTAATCGACCTTTGTAAAAGTAAATTCTTGGCGATATACACGTGTGCCAATTTCGACAATTTCCCTTAAGACTAGGATATTCCCAAACACGTCTAGGAAGGGGTGCTGAATAACTAACAATACCGGTGTTAGTATATCTCCATATCGACAGTTAGATATGGGAACCCTACCTGCGGCAAACATCCACTGAGCAGTCGAACTCTCCAATGCAGCGTATTCACCACACTTTTCAATGCATGTTACATCTGACGCAAGTTGCGTTACGGTTGCTTTTGCGACTGGCCCCGCTCCCACAGTGTTATAAATGTGGTGCCATAGTGCGTAGCACTGCTGGACAACTCTTATATATGAAGCGTCTCCGGAGCAGACAAACCAGCAAGAGAGGCATCTGACAAAGTAATAAAATGTCGACAGGTTTCAGATCGTAATTTACCGTTTTAGAACCTAACACGGAGTTCGTAAAGTGTACAGACCAGCCAGCCTTAACGCTTCGAAAACCAGTTCCTTATTATACCTTCCATATATATATGTTGCCCAGGAAAGTATCATGGAAGAAGGTGACGTGCGTAGCGTGCAGGTACAAGCCCGGATCCACCAGATTGCGTGAGTATACCAAAATTATCTCGGAAAAAAGACCTGTCGACGGGGTGCTCGGGAATCTGAAACCTCTTAACAAGTTGCCTCTGCCTCTCGTACGTCCGTTACCGACCAAAGATAGCCCTTGCCTGTTTCCATTGTGAGAGACCGCGTCTTCTTGGCGCGTGTTCTACCTTGGTTCCATACATTAGCTGGGATGCCGATATGGGCAGCCGGAAGGCTAGCTACTACTCAACCTAGTAGCTAGGTGGGCGGCAGCAGGTTAACGAGAAACATTAGAATGAGGAACAAGCAGTTAGCAGAGGTCTATATCTAGGTTTTACAGTCATGGCACCTAAGCTGGGGCCCTGAGAATGCCAAGCTCCGACTAATAGCAGCAGCTTATATCTAGGCTCTATAACCATGGCGCCTAGGCCGACGCTCTGAGAATGTCCAGCATCTGGAATCATTAATACTGGCTTGACAGGACAGACGCGGTGGTCGGTTAATATAGGTGCTATATAAATGTATTAGCTAAAGGTGTATCGACATTAGCAGTAGCTTATATCTAGGTTTTATAATAGTGACACCTGGGCCGAAGCTCTGAAAATGCAATGTGTCTCAAGGCCCACTATTTGGTGTACTGTACGATATGACTGTTCATTGTAGATTTTGAATTGAATTTTCTTGCACTCAAATTATCCTGAGGAGCCTATATGGAAATTCATGCTGGAGTTTGGTTTTTGCCAGGCGTGGCCAATTGCTGCTTATAGATAGGCAACAACAGTAAATAGCACATGTATATACCCTTGGGAGGATGTGGAGGGAACTGGGAGCGAAAAAGATATCCCGGACACTGGGGATGGATGAGCTGCTTTCGGAGCCGAAGGCGTCGGTGGTTATCGCTGATTTCATGGTCCAAACGGGCCTGCTCTCCCAATTCAATGCGGTGGATGAGGGAGTGCTTGGTACAACAAATGAGGACAACGCAGCGCAGGGTAACTGAGTGTGAGAAATGAAGAGCAACACGAATAGTGGCCACGACACCAGGATAGTAGTGGCCACAGGAAGAGACCAATGAATACGATAACTGTCAGGACCGGGCAGCCAACGACAGCTTTTTCCTTTGATGTTTGTCTAAGCTTTTGATTGCGTTGTACGTATACTTCTTTTCGCGGGGATGGTGGCCAGAGGAACCAACCGCTGGCTGAATCTCCTCTTTTCCGGCGCTGGCGCTGGCCGTTGACGGCTCGGAAGCGGCGCTTCGAGCACGCCTGCATAGCGACATGTATACAGAGTCAGCTACAACAAGAATAAGAGGTCTACGACTACTATGTACCCTTAGGAACAGAGAAAAACAATATAAGAATATAAAGAAGATAACCGAGAGCTGGGAGTCGAGTCTGGACCTCGTATGCTTCTAGATGCAAGCGCTCTCCGTTGACCTACAGCCCATCCCCAATGAAAACTATACCCTTTAAGTGGCCCGTATATCAAATAAAAAAAAGTGCCTGAGGCGTTCTAATTAGAATGAAATAAGATAACGCTCTTGTACGTCTGATATAAGAGTTCAAGACGAAAATAAATTGATAAATTTACGTATAATCAAACAAAATAAACCAGTCATGAGATTGGCCATACCAGCAAATAAGAAAAGAGTAATCACGGTTGCCATACGTATCGGTGTATTAAGTTAAGAATAATCATTATCAAAGCTATAAATACTGCGACGCAAGTCCCCAGAAGCAGAGAATAAAACAATCCAACTAAGAGGAATTTAAAACTTGGCCACAGATGTGGAATCAGATCCATTCTGATATCCGCCGACTTCAGCTGGCAATCTTTATTGCACACGTCTAACACAGCGTATGTATACCAGAAAATCCATGAGAAGGGATAGGTAAGGTAGATCCAAATAAACCGCAGAGCAAGCTCTCCTCGATCTTCTGAGATGCAAAGCCTGCTTAGTGTACGACAGCCTTTTCAACACTGAACACAAGCGTAAGCAACTAGAAGTATCGCCAAGTCAGCTTAGAGCCATTCTTGGTTAAGCGGAGTTCATAATTTGACAGAGCTTTGTTTTGTAACATACTTGGTGGCATGTCCAGGAGGCTGCCAGGATGGGATCTTATGCTGTGACTTCGCGGGAAATAGATAGTAGGTTTTTTCTCGGATGGTAGGATGCTGAATGCTTTGTCGGGGGTGATGGTGGATGTGGACTGATGGTACGAGGTATGCCTTGCGCTGTAAATTGTGAATCACATAGTGACTGGTGTAGAAGAATGCGTTTGTAGTAGATTGATGGGAAGGAAATAGATGAGGTGTGATAAGTTGGAGACTTAAACGATGGGTGCCTGCTGATTAAGTTATGTCTCAGCGCCACGCGATTGATTGTATCTAGTTATACAAAGCCAATTTCCAGCAATATGCGATCTGACGGCAGCATTATTCCACCTGCACACGCTCCATCGGCCACTCAATCCACCCCCATAAATCCGCCGGCAAGAACGCACAAACCCCATTCAGCACATGCTTCCCCCACTCCTTCATAAACCACACAGACTCCATATACTTCAACAAGCCAGCCCAATGCGCAAGTATCACCAGCGCTAACGGATCCTTCCGTTCCAACTGTGCCACGAAGTCCCGAGGAAGTCGATACAACCATCCTATCAAAATGTGCATCAAACCCACTGCTGGTTTATGGAGAGAGCGTTTCTCGTATACTTCTTCCAAAGTGGATTCTAGGTTGTCAATGGCAGATATGTACATAACGCGGTCTTCCGCGTCCCAAGAATGCTGTAGATTGACGAGGCGGTGAAGTCCTTGGACTTGCGCGATATTTTTTTGCAACTCGTTTTGCATTAATGGGTTTATGACCGTGGTGTCCGAGCTTGGTCTAGGCTCTAAGATCCCGCTAAACACCTTGGAATGGTGCGACTCCAGAATCAACTTCACGCCGTGCATGAGCACCAGCCATTCCGCGGGACCATTGTCGCTGAAGACAAGATACTCCCCTGGCTGTGGTCCTCGGCCAAAGTATGCGAAGCAGATCATCACCGCGGATATGTAGACCTTTTGACATGTGTCTGCATTGAGTTCGGAGAGCACTGCTGTGACGGATTGGACTCCGAATGTGAAGTGGTCGTTGGCTTGTTGGAGGTATTGGTCCCGCAAGGCCGGTTTCTCGTGGCCCATGTGCAGCGAAGAGAGAGCGAGGATTAGATGTAAGATTGACGGAAACTCAAAAGCCCATTGCGCGACATGATTCTGCCAGACAGCGCATCCATGCTCGTCATCAACTATGGTGGGTATTGTGGAGACGAGGAAGTGATGGAAAAGTTGAAGGTCAGGCACTGAGATGGCTTCCGTACTAGATTCTGTAGCGACATCTTTATGGCGCACTTCTCTGATCTTCAAAGGTCGTGATTGGACCGTTCGCTCCGAGGTCTCCGTTGTATATTGAGATGTTCGGAAGCGGTATTTCTTTTCTCGGGGGCGCTGCTCGCTAGGCGATAGGGACCCGGATGCAGCAGAAGATATTTCGGAGCTTCCACGTGCAGAAAAGGTACATTCGACCTCATGGTTGGCGCAATTTGTGCAGATGGGCTTTTTCTCATCGCACTGGCAGTAGTCAGTGTCGGTCACAGATGGAAGACGAATCCTGCGCCAGGGGAAGCAGAATAGCGAAAGTATAGTATCCAGCATGTTTTGTGATCTTGAGTAGCAACAAACAAACGAGTGCAAGGAACATGAAAGAAACGCTGAGATAAAGTGGGCTATCAACGCATAAAATATGCGAACAAGGAGAAGGAGAACGCCGCTCACCTTAATACGCCTCCGCTTACAATTGCTGCAACCCGAACGCGATTTCTGATGTGTGCGCCGTGATTTTACAAGCCTTGTCATTGTCTGGAGTGTTGAAGGAACTCTCGTACTTCGTGGTCGTATTCGTATTATTTTATACCCGATTGAGGTGTGGGCCTGCATGGGAAGCAAAAATAGAAGTCTCGATTTTCCCCACAATTCCTGCCCAATTGAGGGCTGATATGTTTTTGTGTTTTATGAGGGTGCAGCAAGACAAGCGTGGGTGATATATAGCTTTTTACGAGGAGAGCCGATGCTCAGGGGGAGGGTTCTTCTGGGTTTCCATGTTTTTCTGCTTTTTTTGGGTGTTTTAACGGTTGGTTCTGGTCTTGCATATAGTGCGGTCGTTTCTATCCACAACACATAGATCTAGGTAGGAATAATAAAATGTTGTACTAGTCACAATATGGAATAATGTGAACGACGGGTGAGTTATTGGTTACCACTCTATACCTCCCTCGAACACATGGCCTCATCAAAAACTTCACAAGCCCTCTCTACATCGCATACTTCCCGCCCAAGAAGTGTTTCTCCCTCAACCCACCTACTCTCCCAAATCCTATCCCAAACCCTCCTCTTAAAACCACTCCTTAACCCCCGATAAGCCCCTTGACTCGGATACGCAACTAACCCCATCGTCGCACTCCCAGTCTTCGCCGTCAAGCTAACAAGTCCCTTCGTCAACCCCTTCGCAACGCCTAGCGCACCCTGTTCTCTCTTCGAACGGTACGTATGCACAAAGATATCTGTGACGCCTTCGTAGATGCCATGCGTGAATGTCGACCAAGCAACCGCCGCACCGGTTTCGAAGGATACTATGGGGTTTTGGTTGCGTACGGGGTCGCTGTAGAGCCGCGGGAGGGACCGCATGCCTTCTGTTGCGGCGAGGGGAAGGTCGAGGAGGGCGCCGCGGGAGGCGCGGCCAAGGAATTTGCCTAGGCTGATCACTGAGAGGAGCAGCATTTGGCGGGCGTGGTTTGGATTGCCGGTTTGGGGATCTGTGGTGGGTGTGTCTTCCGGGTTTGATATTGATCGGTGGCGTTTGTATTCGCGGTACGGGTCGAGGATTATGCCTGCTGTGGCATCGGCCATGCCGCTCATTGTTGACAGTGAGGCTGATGAGATGGCCGTGAAAGGGTCCCATCGTCGGATATCGATTATGATGGGCTTTGTTTCGAGACTACCTCTGTTAGTCTGTCCGTTTTGCTGTACCATGGTGTCATAGCATGCTCACCGTTTTAAATGCTTTCTCTGAAGACGTCCTTCGCTTACCAGAGCACAAGCTGCCAGTTTTGACAATCGTACTATTGTCTTCCCCCGTTTGATCCTCCAGACAGCAGGTTGGTCCAGAAGTATATCACATTGCATCTCGTTCCGCGGGAGATGAGCGTGGAATGAGTCGACTGCAGCCCGGACTCCAGATTCCCGATTAATTTTTCTAGCCAGATCCCGCGCTGCAGTTGCAGCAGAAGGAGTTAGACAGAACTTAATTGCATCCACCAGGTTCTCTGCCGTGAGAGACTTCTGTGGAATAGGGCTCGGGCCCACGCCTGCGGAAGCTACGATGCTCCCCCAGAACGCTTGACTGGAATTTATTAAGGATCAGCCATTAGGATGATTATACCATCATAAAGAGGAAACCTACTCTCCAAAAAATGGGACTATCGTGGTCGGTTTCCCATACCGCAACCCACAAGCGGTCGTACCAGCGCCGCCATGATGCACTACAGCAGCCACATGCTGGAACAGCCACTCGTGAGGACAGTTTCCGAGGGAATATATATTCAAATTCCCAGGGGCTTCAAAGTTAGACCATCCACGGGAGATGATGGCTCGTACACCGGTCACTTCAACTGCTTGTAGAAGAGTAGACAGCATTTTCTCCGGATTTTCGACCACGATGCTCCCAAAACCGATGTAAATTGGTGTATCACCAGCGTTGATGAATTCGACAAGGTCTGCCGGTGGTTCGTAGGCAGGCGGTTCTCTGAAAAAGAACCCGCATACATCTTGTAGTCATCAGAGCCTGCAACGAAACGATCGTATGTGATGAACTGACCTATATGGGAACCCCAATCCGGCGGCTTCGCAACCAAAGCCGGAGACCAGCAATAAGTGAACGGCACCTGCAGCGTCTCTGCAAGATTCGGCCCTTCTGTAGCTGGTACAGGGTCCAGTTCCAGAACGTCTTTCCTCCAACCGTTGATCAAATCTGCTAGACTGCAGTCATACGATTTAGCTCAGAATTTCTCGCGAATTGGAAGTGACATACCCCTGCCAAGTTATCCACTTTACGAAATGATACGAAACCAAGTTCCCTAAACTCGGATCACTCCCTGAATACCTCAAATTCGCCAACGGATGCGGAAACTCTCTCGTACTCGTCCACGGCATCGTAAACATGAGATGAACAGGAACACCCAGCGCCTGCGCACAGTGCACATGCGCGAAACTAGGCGGATTCGCGATAATCGCATCTGCTACAAACGGTTCCCCGGAACGTGGATCAGGTTCAATGCATGACTGCCAGCAGTCATGCAAGATCTGTGTGATGATGGCACGTTTCTTTTGGATGTCGCCTGCCCGCAGGCTTTTCATGCTTGGAATGAGGCCCGGATTGCGGACCATGTAGGACATTAGTTCGGCGGGATCACCACCGAGGGGGTAGAATTCGAGACCATTGTTTGCCACAAAGTGTTCGAATGTGGAGTGTGTGGCTAGTCGGACGCGGTGGCCGTGTTTTTGGAGTTCTGCACCGAGGGCGATGAAGGGTTGCACGTCGCCGCGGCTGCCGACAACTTGGATGACAATGTTGAGTTTGATGATCCATGTTGGACGGAGACGTTGTCTAGATGTTTCGCGTTCGTCTGTGGGTTGTCTGGCGCTGCTGTGGCGCATCAGCCATTCCACGTTCCGGCTGAATCTTTGTCCAACTCGGACATCCACGCGTCCATCATTGGTAGTCAAGACTTCTGGAAGAGGTGCAGCGGGATAGGGCGGGACGCATGAGGAAGGCAAGTCCGCTGTGTTTAGATTTGCAGGGGAGATCGCCTCGTAGGGTGGAGGAGGGTCCCAGTTGTTGTCGACAGGATTGGCATTGTGTGTGTTTGCCATTTCAGTCGCTGCTGTATATCATTAGTTCTTCCAGATGAGGTTATGGGAGAATTTGGAAACGAGAGATGCCATCCCCTAGGGAAGGAAGGGGAAATAGAAAGAAAAGGAATTCAAGCCTGGACAAACAATCCAATACACTGAAGGTCCACGTTCCACATTGAACATTTTCCCCTGTGGATATCCACGGAATAACCTCATCAGCTCCGTGGATCCCCTATTATTCTAGCGCTGTTTATCCGAATAACGCCCGGAAGGACCAAGTATAGAAGGTTTTCAACAGAGATAGACTTTTTCCCAAGTACTAGAGTGGGTCCCAAGTGGCGCTAATGCCGCATCCCGAATATCATTCCGTTTCTGGGACGGCCGCTTCGATGTGATTGGATGCCTGGTTACGAGTACGATATAAATACTACTTCAGGTTAGTGCTGTCCTAATTCCAGAAATACGTGGTTTCCATTTTTGGATGGCCGGTTTGTTTTAATCTGGGTTGACTCCTCTTCGATTTTGCTATAGACCCTCCTCTCTATCATTCAGATAGGAATATACAATTCACATTTGCTGCGTGTACATCCATCTTCATCCTCGATCGATACACATCTATATATCATTACATCCCACAAGTCTCAACCATGAAATCAACACTTCAAAACAACCCCAAAATCGACCAATACTGGCACAACCCCGGCCCCTGCGGCTTAATAACCCGCACCGCCCTCCGCACCCTCCAATTTACCCTCGCCATAATAATCGCCGCCCTCTACGGCATTGACCTGTCACACTCCACCAGAACCTCCACCGCCGCCGGTTCCGAATGGATCTACGCCGAAGTCGTCGCCGCTCTGTCCGCAATAACCTGCATTGTACACTGCTTTGCGACTGTCACCCGGGTCGGATGGTGCACTTGGGATTTTGTGCTATTTGTGCTGTGGATGGCGCAGACGGGGCTTTTTGGGAATATTTATGTTAAGGGGCATGTTCAGGAAGAGTACCGGGATGCTACGGGGAGTTTGGAGAGGATGAGGGCGGGAGTTTGGGTTGGATTGGTTTGTATGCTACTTTGGTTGGGGACGTTTGTGCTGGGCGTGGGTTGGTGTTGCAGGACGAGGAAGGTTGTTAGGAGGACGGACAAGGACAAGGAACAAGAGAGTGGGAAGAAGACTGGGGACGAGGAGAGGGGGTATGCAAAGGTGGTTGGTGCCGAGAGTGAGACTGAGTTGGATGAGAGTGACCAAGACAGTGTCAAGAAGGGTAAAAAGGGTGCCAAATATTGAACAAGACCTATGCTACTTTGCATACATCAGATTCATGGCGCGTATCCCGCAATCACACCCGGAGAAACCACCCACCATTGATAATTCGGCCTCAGCTGTCAGACGGCGCTTGTAAATTTATTATGGGGCTTGGTGCACCTTACCCCTGGTAGATGTGTATGCCATGATGTCTCCGCGGGTTGACCACTGAAGAACCCCGCATGCATGAAGACCATACAAATACTCATGCTGGCTAGATGTTCGGCGCCGAAGGAACGGATGACTCGACCAAGAACCAGGTAGACTGTCGCGGCGATGAGAGGTGGGGCGCAAAGGATGGGCATTTCTTGGAGTGCCCATGAGGATATTTCTGTTCTGTCCTTGTGGGACCATGCTCGACCGTAGTATCCGAATGCTTCACCTGATTGAGATCGTGTTAGTCGACATAAGGGCTGGACCTGTTGACACCGGGATGGAAGTCAATATCCATTGTGAAGGAGTAGGATTGTTACTTAGGGTTGACGGATTATCTATACACAAACTGGGGGGTTGCCAAATTTCTATGAGATTGCCTGTCTATTTTTGAAACAAACTTAGACACCCTGTTCCCTGAAAATCTATTATGATTACCGGATTAGGAACCTTTTTGGAACGAATACTAGAGGAGACAGGCGGATCATTCTGCGTTTTGTGCATTTCCCTAATGGGATTTGCGTCAGGGAGATCGATATCCATGGGCCAAGCGAAGGGGAGAGTAGAGCGACGTCGTATTCGTTTTAAGCAGCGGCCAGATTGCGCAAGACCCTGGATTTAAATTGAATATTGAAGTTAGGAGTCTAGAGCCGATAAAAAGAGCGAAAGACCAATCAGGGGCTTCTCTTGTTCCTGCAATCTTAATAGGTTGTTGAAGACAGAACGTAGATGTTGGGGTGCGAATATGCAGAAATTTCCTATTTGACTTAGCTCAGATTGGACCTATGGCGATCGCGTTTGTACTCTCCTTAGTTGTCTCTCAAGCATTCTGCCTGCATTATCAGCAAGGGTGTCTATCCCCCAAGAACAAAAAAAATATGGGGAGCCAAGCTGTATTGGTTGACGTCCAAGGGAAGCAGAAGGCGGGACCATAGTGGGAGATTCCAGATGATAGCTTATGCTCTAGTATTTCACTCGCCTTCACGGATCTCATAATATCGAAGCCTTAAATGTTGATTTTCAAATCCTACAGGACGATATCTGCGAAAAAATGATCTGCGACTTACGAACATCCATCGTACTCGTCACTATAAAATTTCCCTATCCGGTAACTCCACAATACTAACCCTGGAAGCTCGGTGGAGCAAAACTTTGATCACTCCTGTTATAGAGCATTTATTCAGCATGTAGATAGTACATTATAAAAGCGCAGATATGTTCCAATGTTTGATGAAAAATTCTACATTGAATTCAGACTCTGTATTCACTATCATCACAATGGCTATGGCCAAAATGATGTTTCCATGGCCATCTCAGTGGTAAGCATCTCTATACTGCCCCGTATACGCACATGCTCATGGACATAATATAGGTTATCCAGCTATCTGTTTAGACTGACACTGGTGATATTCATGGGCTCCCTAGTCGGTGCCGTCCAGCCAAATGATTCCTTGTGCACCACTCTAGTCGCAGATGGCCCAACGCAAATCACCCCCGATTGTGTTGATCCCATCTATCAATCTCCAATCTATACCAACCACTCCGACGAAACCTCTCCTCTCAAACACCGAAAGGTATCTGGATATTTCAATGCTACGGGAATCGAGTTCAATATTTATATGCCGTATCACGGTTGGGAAGGTCGTTTCTTCCAAATGGTTTTCCCGACGCAGACGTCCGTGGCCTCGGCTGGAGAAATCGGATTTGGAGCTGAGGCTGGCGGTTATACTGTGCACGTTGCGGGCACTGGAGGTTATCGGGCTGATGCTGCAGTTGCGAAACTATCCAGGGAAATTGCTCGGGAATTCTACCAACAGCCATCTCGCAAGATCTACGGCTATATATATGGAGGCAGTGGCGGTTTCTTTAAGACCGTTGGAGCGATGGAAAATACCGTCTCCGTTTGGGATGGTAGCGTCCCTCTCATCCAGGGAATTCCAATCTCGGACCCAACAGGGTGTTCTATCGCCTCACTTGGAGGATTGGTGCTAGGAAACCAATCTCGCGAGCTCCAGGATGCGGTACGTCCGGGAAGCAACATCGATCCCAGGGATATCCTTAACCCAGTACAGCGCGCTGTGTGGGACGAGGTGACGGCATTAGGTGTGCCTCCGGCGGTGTGGGAAGATTTTGATGGCACTGGTCGCAACCGATCGCAGGTTTATGAGCTTCTTCGGGCTGCTGCAGTCAGTCTAAAGTCTATTGATCCCACCTATGCTGATGACTTCTGGAGTCAGCCGGGATATCTGGGGACGGAAAAATCCGAGCTCGGACACCTGTTTCGCTCGTCTTTGGTTGAATTCAACGCCACGGTTCTTCAGGTGAATCGCAATGCGCAGAGCACTCCAGTTGACATTATGCTGAACGCATCACCATCAGCAGCGCCCCGTCGCAATTGGTACGATTTTACCATTCAGTCGCAATGTAGTGGAGTGAAGAAAGGAGGCACATTCACTGGCCACATGGATCCAGGCTCGGGCAAGGTCATAATTTACTCCGATAACAACAGCACCATTCTCAACTGTTTGGAAAAAGGTGTGAAGGTTCGTGTGGACAACCGATGGTACCTCGCACTCCATACATTCCATCGGCATGAAATCCCTACTGGCGAAGGATATTACGCTTTTGACTACCTTCGCAATGAGGATGGAAAGTCTCGATATCCTCAGCGCAGTGTGCTCGCAGCCCGCACCTTCGCCCAGTCAGCGAGTGGTGGTGGAACCAATACTGGGAATATCACCGGAAAGATGATTGTTATGGACAACCTCATGGACAACAAAGCTTTCCCATGGGAAGCTGACTGGTACCGGACGCGAGTAAAGAAATATCTTGGCGACCAGTTCAACAATCAATACCGTCTTTACTACAGCGACAATGCTGACCATGAAATGGGACCCGTGGAGCCAGCTGTGAAGTATCGTCTGATCGACTTTACCGGGCTTTTCGAACAACACTTACGCGACCTCAGCGCTTGGGTGGAGCAGGGAATCGAACCCCCATTGGCCACCAAATACAAAATTCAAAATGGCCAGGTTGAAGTCCCTGAGTCTGCATCCGAACGTGGGGGAATTCAGCCCGTTGCCCATTTGAAAGTACAGAATGGCACACGAGCGGAGGTGCAAGTGGGATCTCCGGTGACACTCCAAGCATTCATCGAAGTGCCCCGAGATGTTGGGAAGATTGTTTCTCTTGAATGGGATGTTTATGGAAACGCAAGCTTTGTCCCGATGGACTTCGGAACACCCAGCACAATTGTCAACGTGAATGTCACTCACACTTATAAAACCCCCGGTGTATACATCCCAAGTGTCAGAGTCGCATCTCATCGATATGGGGAGATGGGGAGCTCTTACTTCCTAGCATACAACCTAGGTCGTGCGAGAGTAGTTGTTAAATGATAAAGACATTGTCTCGGATTATGGCCAAGGTGTATATCTTGCCCACCTCCAAGGCAGGACCGCTTCGAATATTAATTTAGGCAGAGAAATAGATTTACATTCCAATAATTCAACAATAGACATGGAAAGCATTCAGGATGAGTAAGATCCATCTATGGCAACTTCGAGTGTTCTCACACTATTTTTCACTAGCAAGGACTGGCAAAGACTTGCTACTAAGCCCCAATAGTTACTGTCCGCCACTTGGTGGGTTAACCGGTCTTCTCTGATGCCCAAGCTCTCTCCTACTCGATCTTTGCCTCGTTGTGAAATTGACACTTGGCTGCGGCTGCGAGGCGGATATATCGGTTGCGGGGGTTATGTGGTCCATCAGGTCCTTGGACAGCTTCTTTTGCATGATGATCCACGGTCTAATTGCTTAACACGCCTTGGTGAGCGGGAATCCACCTAAGCTCGGTCCGAATGCCCTGCTCCTCCAGTCGTCAGATCAAGTCCAGGCATCCCGCCAGGTACACTTGTCCCGACGGCATACGTGATCGGCAGAGCGCCGAAAGCGCTCTGCGAGGATGACCATGCCGTTCTTTGCCTGTGTAGTCCAGGGCTTGGTGCTACTCAGGACTAACTCGAGTGCCATCTCTGTTGTGATATGAGGCTGGTGCAGATCAGGAACCAAGACGCACCCCCGGAAATAATTCTCGAAATGTCTATACGAAGAACCAATTTGACTGGAGATCAACTTGTCTTCTCGTGTATAATTTGACATGGTAGTGGCTTGTTTTGCTAACAGTGCTAACCAGCATTTTGAGCTCTACCTTGCATCTGGGCAAAGAGATTGTCCTGGGTCGTATGAGAGCACCGCATAGAAATTTACGAAACGAGAGAGAACTTATCCGCAATACATCATCCAGGGGCACATCCATTAATTTTTTCGGTAGTTTTTCCGCCACGAGACTCCACGGCTCGAGTGGGCTCTTCTGTTTCCGAAGGCCCTTGATGATATCGGACAGTGCAAACAGTTTCAGCATGACGCATTCACCTCTCACATGAATATCACAACTGCGCTCAATACCCGCTGGGAAGGCCCATTTTAGTGCGCCTGTCGGCCTGGTGTTGACTTTGAATACTGTGATGGACAGTACGTGCTTCTCTACAATTCGTCAGAGATAACAGGTTGCGGTTAGCGCTTTGCTAACCAAAACCGCGTGCACTGCGGGTGGCTTTGGGGGAGTGCTAACCAAACCCGCAAATTATGGCTTTGGCTTTGGCTAATCGCAGCTAGCTATGGCTTTGCCGCAGCCTATCCTCACCTAATGTTAGATCCAGAGGAATGGCGGCAAATTGAGTATCTTCTTTGGATCACACAACCCTTCTTCAAATTTACAACTGCGCTCTCGAAGACTAAGGATGTCACTATCTATAGTGTCTTTGGTATCTATAACAAACTGCTTGAGCACCTTGAGACATCAACCTGACAGCTTCAAAGAAAGAGAGGTCCCTGGAAAGAGTTGATGCTTAGTGCTCTTCATGCAGCGATGGCGAAGCTTTCATTCTATTACAGCAAGACTGACGAGGTTCATAGTGATCTCTATGCAATTGGGACCATTATTGCGCCCCAAAACAAGCTTCAGTTTTTCTCCGGCAAGGATTGGAATGATTACAGCTACGACTGACACAAAAGATATCTGATAAGCCTCCAAAAATACCTTGAACCCTATAAACAACAACTGTCAGAGAATCAATTCTCATCAAAGGCTCAACTGCCGGCAGTGCCAACATCGGAGTTTTATATGCGTCTTATGCCAGCAGAGCCCCATCAACAAAAGCTGAGCCAGATTTATGAGCTTACAGACTATATATAGAGAGATATGTATTTAATTTGTCTTTGATTACATCTTTTTAATGCTGATAATGGGGGCTCTGCCGGTTGCCCCTCTTGTGTTTTGGAAAGACCACCAAGATGAATTTCCAGCTCTTGCAAACCTTGCACGGGATGTTCTCTCAATCCCAGCGACTGGTGTTGAGCGACTATTCAACTCTGCTTGTGATATCTGCCACTATCATCGAAGCTCACTGAATGCTCAAACAATCCAAGATCTCATGATGTTTATGTGCACAACAAAATTTGATCTTGAAGAAAAAGAGCTGGCGTTTCTTGGTCAGTTCCTGTAAAAAGAGGAGATAGAGGCAGTAAGTGAAGAAAAGGAAGCTCTGAGTCAGGATGATCTTGATCCAATCAGCGATAATGAGGAGGATTATCCAGTACATATTCAAGATCAGCTACGACTTAGCTCGAATAAAAGGCAAAGAAATACCACACCCGCTACCTCTGAGAGTGAGGTTGATCTTCCATTACCTACCAACTTACGTGAAGGAGACAGTATTCAGCAATGTATGTCAGGTAGGACTCGGAAACGCTCAAGGCTTCTAGATGGATTTGAACTTGGTTGAGGGTAGTTAATATAATCAGCTTTATTTAAAAAATGAGCTTGTGTAGCATAATTTAATGGCATATTATTTACTCATTAACTTGTACGTTTGGTCTGTCGTAGCTTTAGGGCTTGAAATGGACAATAAACTCGGTCAAATAAATACTAGTATGCAATCCTAATACCATAAAATACAGCCAGAAACCGCATAAAATATGCAAGTCACGGGATTCTCTCTTTTTGCTTTGTTTGGAAGCCCGCGGGCGCCCTCCAGGCCTACTCATTATTTGGCATTCTTCCCCAGCTGTCCATGACCGACGACTAGCCCCGTTCGGGGTGGAGAGCAATACGTGACTATGAGGAAAAGAAGGACATTAGCTATCTAGCATAAAGAGTTGAGAACGAGTCCCGAATAGAGCCAGTGAGGTATTGTATACATACCTCGGTAGGATGCATGAGAATTATAGTAAGATAAAGGACAGGTCTGAGACGCTCTTATATATAATCGCTGAGATGCCAAGGGAGCGTGCTGTCGGTATATAGAAAATAAACAATGTCAGCCACTCCAATAAACCAAAATTAAGCCACGCATAGAAATAGAGTGCACCCACGGTTCTGTATATACCAACCGCGACCCGTACCTTACTCTGAATCTCAAGGCCACCAGTTTTGACCCATAGCTTTTCTCATCAAGCAAGTCAAGCCAATCAACTTGTGCTTAGTTATCAGCAAGAACAACAAGAAACCGCGAATATAGAGCAGAGGCGGAACGCAATATCCCCCTCCGTTGAGTACTTATTGAAAGCATACCAGGCAATCTATGTCCAACGAAAGCAGATATCAAGATATCGTCCAAAAAAATCACAGCTCTACCAGCCCTGAATACTGAAATAAGATATTCCATGCAAAGAATATGAAAGAAGTCTTAAAATAGTGAAAGATCAGGGAGTCATCGATTCATATATGGATTCATTGTTTCTGTGATTATGGACAAGTGTAGCAAACAAAGACTGGAGGCGCAGGCGGAGCTAAAGATGGCCCCCAACAATCTTACATGTTCGAAGGAAATGCTCTGCATGAATGAAACTGAGACAGGCATTCCCAGAACCCTGCCCGAATCAATTATCGCTATCCTAAACATTATCGATCAAGTGTCTAACTAACTTTTCCCAAGTTCCCAAGACCCAGAATTATCACTCGTAAGCCCATTGAAAACAATAAAGAACGACAAATTCGACAAATTAACGAACGACAATCATTGCGCCTGATAAACCTTGAAACTCTTAAACTCCCAATACGCTTGGGTAAAGTTAGCCGCGTTGTGCGCCACGAAATTCTCGCAGGTGCCCGGGCAGTTGTATTGCTCCGTGTAAAACTGGGGCTGGGCGCCGAGCTGACCGCATAAATCGATATTAACAATGATACTTTGGTTGGCAAAGTGGGAAGGGATGTCGCAGTTTGTGCTGGGAAAGTCGGCCAATGCCGTGCCCCATGTCGAGGGATCCGGGGTGCTGTTGGTGATGTCGTCTGGGATACCGTCCCGTGGGAAAAACCAGGCCCGGATACCTGCATTCCGCATCTCCAAGGTGTACACCTTACAATATGTTAGCAAGGTCAAATTATCAGTACTTCCAGGGCGCTTACCCCTCCACCGAGGGCATTCAACCACTCGCCATAGGACTGCGGCTCAGCCTGAACTCCACATCCAGCGTTCCCATGCGTACTATTATCGCAAGTCAAATAATTGGGCTTTCCGGTCTGCTTCCGTTTGACCTTCATATTACACCCGGCGGTACTGTGCAACGTTACAGCATTCCCCTCCGTAGCCAGATTGTTGGTCTCGACGACGTCGATCTCACCGTTCGTCGGCCAATTGTACCCGTCCGTCAGCCAAAGCGCCGGCCATAGACCACATCCGTAGGGAGTATGACTGATATCGAAGATGAACAGTCCATCGTTGTACTGAGCCTTGGACTCGATCCGCACAGACTGACGTCCAGATGCCGCGTAGGTGTTCGAGGTATCCACCTTCACAAGAACCGACTCATCCGTGGCATACGTTAGGTTGAGGTTCTGAGCCGTTGTTTGATCCACATACCTACCACAACGTTAGCCAAGCAAACACATAACACATAACCCAATCACAGATCACGTACTGCACAAACCCATCCGTCGGATCCTGCGCCGAGAAGTAATCAAACTTGTCAAAGAAGCTCGTCCCCGTGTAATCATCCACCAGCCTATACTTCAACGGCATATAGTTCGGGTACCGATTCCTCTTAGTCCCCACGACCGCTCCCACAACAACACCCACGATAACAGCCACAGCAACACCGCCGACAATCAACCTCGTCCGCAGCGACCATCCACGGGGATCATACCAAGGTAACGCACCACTGGCCACACCGGCTGTCGCTGAAGGTGCGATTGTAGGGTGTCTGGAGCTGACCGGTGCGTAGGGGTAGTCCGCACTCGACGAAAGATGAGCAGTATGCTGCTCAGGTAACTCGAGCTTGGGGAATTGCGAGGTTGCGCCGCCGTATCGACTGTAGTCATCACCGGGGTACAGCTGCATGTTTGCCATAATGACAGTAGGTTGGCAGTATGCAAGTGATCCGCACGGTCCAACCAAAAAAAAGAATGTAAATAGGGTTATTGGTAGTAAAAGTAGGAGAGCGTATAAATCAATGAAAGACGTGATATATATAAGTACTTGTAAACGAGAGATGTCCCACAAAGCGAGCTAGATGGAAGAGTTGGTGGTTGGAAGAAGGACTCGAGTAGCTGGTCGGAGGTTCTGATTTTGTCGTGCAGGTTCCTGCTGGAAAGGGAAGGCGTACGTCACCCGCCGGACCCTGTTGATCCTCCCAAAAGTGGAATGTGATTTGTGTATCTTGATTGGTAATTATGCTTGCGTTGTGCTCAAGCATTAGCAGAGTGTCTCCAAAAAATTGTTTATGTCCTACATAATAGTAGACAGTACAATTGCATTTTATTAAGCACAGGAACCAAAGGCTCGGTCTATAAAAAGAAACAACTGATAAACGCCGACTCGCCGATCCAGCAATCAGAAACACCTTCCAGACACGCAATCACAACCCGGTATGAACCACTCGTCTGGCATAGGGTATCTGCCCTCCAGCGATAAAGCACAAGTTTCATCGACTGTTGAACATGTAGCCGCAAACGAACAATAGCTATGAACAAGAAAAGCGGCGCTTGTCAGATAAGCTTTCTCTTCCGACGGACCAAGTGGGTTTCGCTACTACTGTGGAGACAAGTTTATACGGAGTTTATACAGAGTACAGAGTATAGAGTGCGAATAGAAAGTTGAAAGAGATAGTCGTAACAATAGGCGTACGTGGATATTTTGAACCAGACCGTTGAGGGACATTAGCTAGTTACACTTTGTACAGCAAGCAACGCAACCAATATTAACAAGGAAGTAAATAATAAAGGCAAAGAACCTCTCTGTCAACGCTGTCTAAAAAAAAAAAGGACTCTCCAACACCTTGCTCGCTCGAAATAACATTCATAAGAAAAATAACGTTTTAGCACTCGACGCCAATCCAACTCCAGAGTGCAAGCTATGAACGGAATAAAGAAAATACTTTTTATCGTTGTGATCGTTGGGATCGCAAGGTGCCATGTCGATGGAGAACTGCGTCGGCATTCATATACGAATCACGATCCCGCGTGTCCAGGCCTGTCGACAGACCAGTCTCCGTTCGTGTCTGAGATTGCTGACGGTCCATAGACGTCGTGCCGCTGAGGTTCGACGCGCGTCGTCGCATGCGCCGCTCGCCATCCGCGATTTCTTGTTGATTCAGTGCTTCCGATGGTAGCAAGATGGCACGGTCGAGAGTATAGGGCAGGCCACGATGCCGTCCACGGACCTGCATTGCAATGATCACGAGCTTCGAGATGACTTGGAATTCACCCACGAATGACGTGTTGACGCCCGGATATCCCATGGACAGTCCAACAGTACCATATGCCGAGACCACCTCAAACAGAACCGACCAAAGCTGGAACGAGTACTCCTTTGTATCCTTCAGGCGACCACCTTCGACGATGGCGATGATGAACAACCCGAGAAACACATACCACAAGTCAAAACTCAGCTGCTTCCGCAAGTGAGCTCCGATGTACGTGGGTGCGGTCTGCTGGTCTTCATCCTCTTCATCTTCAGGCTCCGTGGGATAAACACCAAGACTTTTCTCTTCGTACACATTTGTCCGTCGCATCGAAATGGCAATTGGGAACACGGAGATATACATCATGATCATGTACGACACCTGGACGGCCGGATGCAAGTCTGAGATTCCCACAACCGCAAAACCTGCCGTTCTCGTACAGGCCGCCTGAAACAGACCATCCAAAACCCGGATTCCAGCAGGCAGAGCGGTTACCGCTGAATCATTAAGGTCTAGGATGATAAAGAAAATCAAGTCAAGGCCGTTGAGTGCAATAAGGATTGCAAACAGCCACCAGGTGGCATTGCGCGGGAAAAGAAGCGTGAAGCAGCGCCGGGGGTGATCAAGCAGAAATTTCAACTCCTCCCACAGTGGACTATCAACGGGAACCACCTGGGAGCAAACCCAGATAATCAGCCGAAGCATGCACGGGAACCCCGTATTGCCGATAATGATGAGAAAGGCTAAAAGCAACAGCGGGAAGATGGCACCTTGGAACGAGTTCATCGAGTCTGCAGTCAGGGTGAAGCCGACGTCGTTAAAGGCCGAAGCTGAAGTGAAGATTCCCCACCATGGACGGCCCTGGCCAGCAGCCTGAACGACAGAGCCCCAATGGGTATGCATAATCCAGGGGACCATGCAGACGACGCCTAGAAGATGGAAGCCAACATAGTAGGCGATCAGCACAACGGCCAGGGTCTTCAGAGCACGATACTCGATGCCTCCCAGCTCGTCACGTTGTTCTTCGGTCAGATCGACAAAGTTGGAGTTTCGGCCAACAGTGGCATCCCAGCTGAGATACGGAAGAGTTGGCCGATCGCGTTCTTGGGTGAAGGACCGAACGATACTGTTCATTGTGCCACGTCGGGCTCGACCAAAGGGACTGGCATCGCTCGTGTCCTTGGTCTCACGGACGGTGGGACGAGTATCCATGCGAGGAATGGTAGACTGTCGGGTTTTTGTCCGCGTAATCTCCGGCTCGTTGATGGTAATGTGCGGGCCCTCCATTGGGGGGACTTCATCGTCAGCCTCTCGAGCCTCATTGAACTCCCGACTCGTCTGTTTTACAAGTTCTTCCCCATCACCGTCTTCCTCTTCCAGCACCTCAGGCATGCCACCGCGATCGTATTCGCGTGGACTAGGAATGCGCAGAGCTCCTTTATTTTGCCGCTGGTGCTCCAGGAAGGCGATGTGCTGGTCGGGGCTCACTTGGGAGGGGACGCGCAAACTCCCAAGACCCAGTCTGGGGGTGCGCTGTCCAGAGTCCTCGCGGTCACTGGAATTATTACTATCCTCACCATTGACCGGTCTTGTATCGGTAGGACTGCGAGTAGAATCCGAATCATCGGGAGTTTGGTTTTTGATCGGGGAGCCCTGTGGCGTTTTGTGGATAGCATCACCCGATTCGTTGCGCAAGACAACGATAGGCTGGCTGGTGATCCCCCGCTCTTCCCTGTCATAATCACGGCTATCACCGTCATCCTCCTTGCCTTCTGTGACGGTGCGCATTCGGGTTCGGGTGGCGCGCAAGTTGCGAGCGTCGCGAGCGACATGCTGGAAACGCTTTTCAAACCAGTAGAGACGGATGAACACCAACATGGTATGAATGAAGATCGGGGTGGTAAGCAGGGAGACAAAGTACAAGACGACTTGTTGATAGGTGTGCAGCAGATTGAAATCAACGGTATTCAAGCCGCTCTGGGTTGCGGCGCCAGCGGAGAAGAAGAGGGCATCGATATACGCCAGCTTGGTTCCAGGATAGATGATGATGGAGGCGATGAAGCTCATGCAAATAATGTAGGTATAATGAAGGAGGATGAAGTTCATATGAATGTCCTTCACGAAAGGAATGCGGGACTTGACCTCAACGGTCTTCTCGATGAACTTGGAAAACATTCTGACGACCGAGCGGGCCGTCGTTGAGCGACGCTCACGAGCGACAGAAGAAAGAAACCGTGAGGACTTCAAACCAACGATATTCATGCGGGCAGATATGATTCTAGCAGTTGAGCGACAAAAGTTAGCTTCTCGTACCGGAACGGTCATGGGGCGGGTGATAAGCTACCACGCGGTCAGTTGCCGAAATCGTCCCTGACACCTGGTCAAGAGAGTACAATCGCACACAATTGACGGACAGAAAAGAATTGGACGAGATGCTGTTAGTCTCTGGTCCAAACCGGGTGACCTTTAAACAGAATCGAGGTGTCCAAGGTCATGGTGAATGGCGATACTAAAGGTAGGTGAGGTGAAGGACAACTAGCCAGGCGCAACCAAATCAAAGGCCACACACAAAAGGAAAGCTGGTGAAAAAAGAGTCGGAGAATAAGAAGTAACGAAAAAGAATAGCGCAGAGAAGAGGAAAAAAAAAAAAAATTTCTTCAGCTCGAATAGGAAAACTCGAAGAGCTTATTGTGAGGCAGCAGAGATTGCCAGAAATCGCTCACTGGGGCCCGTGGACAGTGCTTTCGCGACCGACGACGCAATGCACAAACGGCGTGCTGCACGGCGACGATCGCTGTATCAGAATAAAGGATTCATGATCCTCTGTGGATTATTCTCGCTGTGTGTGCTAGAGGATGGGACAGATAAATGTAGACAAGAGGAAGGTTGTATGGTTGAGGGGATGACAGTGTACAATCACCTGATCTCAGCTGATCTCCCGTTTGGGACTCGACAAGACCTTTTTGTATAGCCTCAAAACTACTGGGAATGAACAATTTCAGTCTATTGGGGCCTCGAATCTTGGCGGGTTATGAGATCGCTGCAGGTAGACGCAGGAATGCTGTGAGAATTCTACTTTGGCCGTACCTAGTATAATGGCTGATCCCAGTCCTTAATAGATTCCTTAATGCGACCTTGACCAATTCCGGCCTTTTGCGCCTCACCGGATATCCGACTTTTCGGTTCCAAGCTGCAGCTTACAGGGGTTTCGGTGGTTTTGCTTTTTTTTGCTATGCTTTATCGGCTTTATCTTGCAGGTCTTTTGTCGTGCATATGCATAGGGGGCAGATATACACCGACTCGACTTGCTGACCACCGCTCACCATAGATCAGCCATACAATTTTCCGTATCACTTTTCTTTTCGTTTCTTTTTCTGCCGCAATATTCAACGGTTATTCCGACAATCCTAACACTGGTTCCCGATAGCTGGTAAAATAAAAAGAGAAGAATGCCCCAATATCACGGTGTCGTCGCTTCGGACCGTCTGACTCTGACATTCCCTCACCCCTGAACTGACTGGTATACCATGGAAAACGGCACTGACATGGCAAAAGAAGCAAACAAATGCGACAATGCAAGATGAACCTATTTTCGAATTGACATGTACAAATTTCGGTGCCGTGACTCCCGCGTGGAACTCACGGTTGATATTTCTGCCATATGTTCCTCCGCCGCATCGGTCATACAACGGCTGCCAACATCGACTTGATTGGGAAATAGAGAACGGTGGCGGTGAAATCAAGGTCCAGGATTCATAGTAGGTGCTAAATATTGATCACATGAGCTGCCACCAACCGTCATTATCAATGCCAGACACTTCATACCGAAGTGTTGATATCCGCAATGCCGGCGGTTAAGGCAGGTATTCCGACCACGTTTTGGACTACACCGTATCGCCGTATCAAAGTCACTTTTCGCGATCTTTGCCAGATCATCTTGGATACATCATTTGATAAGGATGTTCCCGGATATTGTCGGTATCAAAGCGGTGCTGCGCTTGTCTGATTCGGTCAGCCATGCCATGTGTACTTCATACTCTGCACGGAATGCGTGACCAGGATGGAAACACAGGATCCATGCGCGAGCTTATCCATCATGAATGATAGAGTATACAACCTGTGTGGCTGAAACAAGCACACGGAGAACCCCGATGTCGCGAAACGACTGGTTGAATCTCTGAATCCCCGCAGCTGGTAGAGGGTGGTGGTGGCGGTGCAAAAGGCAAACAATCGGTGTGACTGAGTAATTGATAGTGCTTTTATATGTTACCATGGCTAAATTAATTAAGTCTCTTCGCATGGGCCTAATTTCTTGGGATCAAGAAAGTTTCTATTTCCTTTTTTGGCCATCATGAAGCCATAGCAAGTGGGCGGGCCACAGGCTGCGGTATGATGCGCTGGTTGGTTAGAGATTGTGTCCACGAGGTGCTCTCTGTATGCTGATTGGTTGAGCTAAATGGATGATCCGATTTCCTTTTTGGGCGACATAGACACGCTGATGCATGAGGGGTGTAAATACAGGGGTATAGCACACCCGAATACGTCTATAGCAAGATAAAAGATGGTACGAGTGCAAGGAATCTCTACAGCCCTAGAATGGGCGTTCTCGTCCAGGACTGACCATATTGCGCAGTATTAGCAGTATATACTCCATACTGACGGTCTTCAGGCAAATGAGCCTGGACGCAATTTCAGACCAGCACATAACTCAAAACATGAGCTATACGGGCAAAAGGATTTATAGTCAATTGATCATCTATGGATACAATGCAAATCTCCAATTCCTACTACCATGAGTCCTTTTCCAGCCCAATGACTGGTTGTCAGGAACATTTACATTGTACTCCTATACCAGACGTTCACGTGATTCCACATTCACTCAAAAGCCATGAGCCTCTCTTCGTCTGAGCTGTGCACCTCCATCTTACTCTCCCCAGCCTTGGGGCCATCAACCTCGCCAAGATGTTCCAGTGGGCGTCACGCTGTCTTCCTGGATTCAGCATCATTGCCTTGGTATTCCTGCTAGTCTTTACATCTAACTCAATTCCCTTTTGGTCATGGAACTCACTTTGGCCTCCTGCCAAAGGGCCTTCACCTCCCTCAACGGGGGATAATCCAGTTCTCAATGTTGCACAGAAGATCTTCATAGTTTACACGGTCCTCGTCCACACGAACATGCTTTGGTTCGCTGCTCGTCTGTCTTGGTCTCTCTGGTATGTCACTAGACAGACTAAACAGGTTCTGGGCAGACGCTGGAAAGCAAACCAGGAGGACTTTGTCGATGATCCCCCTCCGTCTTCTCACAAACTACCTGATCCGTCCGTTTTCAAATTCAACAACCCCGATGTGTACGAGGTGAATGACCATGAGGTGATTCATGCTGTTATATTGCCTAACTATGGGGAGGATCTCCATACGCTCAAGACTACTTTGAACGTTCTTGCTAGTCATCCACGAGCTCGTTCGCAGTATGAGGTGAGCACTTACTATCTGTGAGTTCCGTGTCCTCGAGCTGACATACCTAGATCTATCTCGCAATGGAGGAGAAAGAAATAGATGCCGTGGAAAAATCTCAAAAACTCATCTCAAAGTTTGAAAAGTCCTTCCTCCACGTTCGAAGCACGTTCCACCCCGCAGGATTACAAGGAGAGATTGCAGGCAAGAGCTCGAATGTCGCCTTTGCAGCTCGTCAGATCGTCCACGTCCACCGTGCAGAACTCAGGACTGGCTCTTGCAATGTCATGATTACTGTGATGGATGGTTAGTCGCACCTTTACAGTGAAGAGCAGGATGAAACTAACAGGAACAGCCGATACGCATCTATGGCAGGACTACTTCACCGAGATTCGTCGTCTCCATTACGCTCATCTCACAGATGACGCAGACCGTACCCTCTACTCCTGCCCGATTATCTTCGACCGCAACTCTCATGAAAGCCCCATACTAGTCCGCTGTGCAGACCTCCTCTGGGGCTTTGCTGGTCTCTCGACCATGTACCCAGGCACGAGCATCTCGATTCCTACGTCCGTGTACTCGTTACCACTCTCTCTTGCTGAGAAGGTTGGAGGCTGGGACAGTGACCCAACAGCTATCGGCGAGGATATGCACATGATGCTCAAATGCTATTTTGAAACCGCTGGCAATCTGCTCACACGCGTGGTCTACGTCCCCGCTAGCCAGTGTAACGTGTCTGGTGATACAGCCAGCGATCGAAAAATACCCAAGTACCGTCGAACCCTCGATACCTGCCACGCCCGGTATCGTCAAGCCCTAAGGCATATGTGGGGAGCGCTAGACTCTGGCTTTGCGACCCGTCGTACTTTGACCTACCTTCGTTTACACAGCAGATGTCTCTTCCTCCGTCCTAGGCACCTGGCTCTCCTCCACCTGCTCTGGGAAGCACATTTCCTCCCTGTGCACCTGATGATCCTCATGGTGTTCTCGACCGTTTATGAGTTTACTTCTTCGTCACTGCACCCCAACATGCATCTCGCTCTATCTGTCACCAACATTCTCCGCACAACCTCCTTCATCTGGATGAACCTGTGCCTCGCCCTATACGAGCGGTGGTACGATTTCTGTCTCCACACGAGGAAGGAAGACATGCTGCAAGCGAACGTGAACGATACGGGCTTTGCCATGCGTGTCTGGTGGTACTTGCCATTTCTCCTCGAGAGAATCTGCTTCCCCATTGCTGGAACAATATTCGGAGCTATCCCGACGTTGCATGCTGTCTTTTCGCATTTCTGGACGGATCGGTTGGTGTATAGGGTTAGTAAGAAACCGGACTTTACGTCTCTGGTTTGATGGTGGTATACGGGATTTATGAGTTATGATTTATTGTCTGTTGTCCGCGTTCATATCTGCTCATGTTTTCAATTTGCCATGTCCGATATATGTATGTATGTACGAGTACCGCGTCTAATACCTAATACGTAGATATAATGCAATCATGCAGCACTATGTCTATAAGAGTAATGCCACCCCTCCTTCTTGATATCCTCTCTAACCTTATAATTCTCCTCTGCAATCCTCACCAGCCCCATATCCATATCCACAACCCTCACCCCTTCCTTATTTCCCATATCCGCAACAACACCGACAACCGGCAACACAACCCTCGACAACCCGAAATACCGATCCCCTGGGCCCCCAGCAACATTAGCAAAGATAACCCCGCAGGTATTCTCAAAAGTCCGCGCCGTAAGCGTCGACTCGAGGAATAGCTCTTCAGACGAACGGTTGTATTGCAATGCCTCGGACGACGCATCATACCGACTCCCTGCTCCCATCAGCACACATCACCATATAAACCATTAAGGAACAAAACTCACAAAAAGTCGGAATAATAATAATCTCTGCCCCCTTCGCAATCAACTCCCTAAATGCCTCCGGAAACGCCACATCCCAACAAATCAACAACCCGACCTTCCCGACGGGCGTCTCAATCACCTCGTGCGGTTCCTCTCCCGACGACGTCAAATACTCACGCTCCGGGTGCCAGATATTCTTCTTCCGGTAAGAGCCTAGGATTTCACCGGTGGGAGCGATGAAGTAGGCGGTGTTGTAGAGGAGAGGTTTCTCGTTTTTGTCAGAAGGGGTTGGGGAGTGGTTTTCGACGATTGTGCCGGGGACGAGAGATATGGAGAGCTCGCGGGCGAGGGATTGGTAGGTTTGGACGTAGGATGTGTAGATTGTTGTTTGATGTATATAGAGGAGATTAGACGGGGTGAAGCCGTTTAGGTGGTATCTGCGGGTGTTAGTATCCTCGTATCCTCATTTTGGGAAGTATGGGAGGTCGTTACTCCGGTAAGACGACAAGTTCAGCGCCTTGCGCCGCTGCTTCGCGGATGTAATGGCATGCTTTCGCGTGGTTCTCGTCGATGGCTAGGTCCTGGGGTTGTCAATGCTGTGCTGTTTCCTCGTGGCATAGTGATAGCTTACCTCGATATACCACTGCGCGACGGCTACGCGACGAATTGGAGCCATTGTCTTGTCTTGTTCTTGTGTTGATAGCAGAAATAGAGAAGTTGACTCGGAGAAAAATCGCGGGGAGTTTCCTGGTGGGTCTGGGGAATTTATATTGGAGATGTTGGGGTCTGTTGAGTTGGGGTAGGTGGGGTAAGTATTCCTATCCTTCACTTCTAATGTATTGTTTATTTGCTGAATGTTCAGTTAGGATCCTACGGCAAAATCCGTAGTTTCACATAGCATTTGTCTCGAAGTCATCGTATTCCTTCAAAGGCCATGCTCCCAACTTTCTCCGCGGCCCAAACAGAGAAGTTTGTCAAGTCCAGATAGCAGTGCTGCTCGCCGGTCTCAACCTTATCAAAACAAGTATCCTCGGAATGTACCGCAGTACTCAAGATTATATTGTGAGTTTGCAGAGTATTATTTGAAACTCCTTTGCATAGATCTCGAGAGTATAAAGGTACATAAACGGACAGAGTACCCATGACTCGAATTGCTACGCACCAGTGTTTCCTACAATCCCGAGCATTCTGCCGAGTGTTCGAGCGCGTCGAAGGAGTTTCTACTCTCACATATTCAGCACACTTCATATGAAAAGAGCATTGAACGGAGCGCACAAGAAATTCTTTTCCGGCCATTTATCAGATCAACACAACTTTACAAATGAGCTCTATAGTGGGACGAGGACGCAGAAATTGCCCGGAGTCATCACTATCTCAGGTGCCTCCCCTTTGAAAATCTTTTCTTCGTTTGAATAGTTAAGACGAGATTCTCGCACAAACCCATGCTGGGACTCGCTTCAAACTTCCAGGCGGGTATATGTAGGACTAGAGCCATTGGAATGCAAAGGGCGATATTGATGTTGGACGAGTATTATTACTAAACATTAATGTGGTAAATAATGCTTCGAGTCTGAGATAGCAGGCCAATAAGCCGGTTCTTGCGTAAAATGAAGTGCCCGAAAGTCAGATGTCAGATGCAAAAGAGATGGTCAAGGTCGAAAGTCCTGCTTTCTCCTGTAGTCCTTTGATCATGTGTCCCCCACAGCTCTCTACCTGTAGCCAAATGACTTGAAATAACCTGGAATATCAGTTAAGCATCCTGAGTCGAAACAGAAGTACACCCACAAATGGCCCTAACCGCAACTGTTCAAGACATGAGACGAGACAGAACAAACGGAGAGATGTTAGATGAACGCCCAGCTCTCTTGTCCATTCTCAGATCTCTCCAACTCCCTTCCACTGACACCCTGATAGTCCCCACTCTCTATAACCTAGTAACCCCGTCATCAGCTATAACTCCACATCCATCACTAACCAAACAGAACCCCTTAAAGGAAAGAAACATACAAAAAGCACACTCCCCCCCACAACCCTCCTAATACAATGTGGACACTCGCCTTTTGACCGATAGGACCCAAAAACCCCATACGGAGCACAATCCTCAGCCCTGCAATGCGCCATTCCCCACTGTGGATTATTGGTGATCTCGTCGCAGATGAAGTACATTGTCAGATTGACGAGGTGTTTAGGGGCTGCGTGGCAGACGGACGGGAGGGAAGGGAAGGATAGGATGTAGCACATTTTGATGTCGAGAGGCGAGGATGTCGAAAGAGGGGGGAGGGCGAGGTTGAATACACGTACTTTATAAACGAGCGGATTAGTTAAGTCGAGCCTGGTGAAGAGAATAGGATCGAAGCAAACCGAGATGTGATTCGAGAGCTTGCGTGCAAATGCGAATGAGCGATATATTGTGTTTTCCTGCTGTCGCGTTAGTAACAGTACGCCAGCGCAAAGAGCGCATTCTGTGAAACCTCTTCCTTAAGTTCGCTAGGCTCTTGGGGAAGATTGAAGTAGAGTACTAACTAGCCCGCAGCGAGACCAGACGCCTCTCGGAGAGCAAATCGCGCAAAGCCAACCGCAAAGCAAAAGAACGTAATTTAGATATCCCAAAGGAATGAAGCCCACCTCAACCAAACCAGGAAAGTAAAAGAAAACGCACTGGGTATAAGTAAAAGAAAGAAACAAGTAAAATGGAGAGGAAATTCCTCAGAGATATTGAAATGCCGCAGCCTAACTGAAACATCCTTTCTTTCATTCACCAGAATGCACAGAGGATTGGCGACATCACCTGGTTGTGGAGATGGTTTTCTACTTTTTCTTTCATTTTAGGCTAGGTATACAAAGTTGTAGACGAGAAATCAGTCTTGAAGAAAGACTACACTCCTTTCCATCTGCTCATTTGCAAGTGAGGCCTTCTCTAGTATGTGTTTTCCATATGGGATACTGTGAATGAGAGTTCAGTCAATCTTAAGATAAGAGCTTTACGTTTGATTCCCTTTCAATATACACTACTCAGGCCGTCTAATGCTGTACATTCGTCATCTAGAAATAGTCTTAAAACGTAATAGAGCACTCGGAACATCAACAAATCATTAATTGATACAAAGAAAGTCGTGATATCGAATCTCAGCTCAGACAACTTGACATCAAAAGGAACCGTTATGGTATAGAATCTAGACTTCGGAACGACGTGCAAACGTAAAACACAACACCTCCGAGGCAACACAACCAGACAGAACCCAAAAGAAAGCGAAAGGGACAGGAAAAGGTGACAAGTTATGATATAGTTCAAGACCGCAGTTACTGCACCTGGCTGACGATCTCGCTGGCGCGAGACAGACTCTCCACCATCTGCTGGCACTCTTTCCGTCGGCGGATCGTGTAGTCACTTTCTTTGAGCAAATCGTCCAGTTCCTGGTTACGGTACATATTCTCGAGAAGCTCGCGCTGCATCTCATCCTTAGTGAATCTAGGATATAGTTAGCATAAGATCCAAGATATACAAAACGGTATAGTACGTACTGAACGAGAGTGTACATGATCGCCTTGGGAACCATGTCAATCATAGTCCGCTTGACGATGTTGTAGTACGAAGTGATCAGAAGCTCTGCAGCCATATTAGCTTATAATTCATAGAACCAGTGGGATATTACTCACTGATAACCTCTACTTCAGCACTCTCGCGGTCCGACATGGTGGCTGACACCTTGAGGGTTGGCGGCGGAGGCTCCATAGCAGCCGCCTTCTTCTTGTTCTTGGAAGCCCAGAAACTTCCAAAAAATCCAGCGTTGTTGGTAGTTTCGGGTTGGGGTTCCAACGACGGGCTGTTCGCACGGCTCGCAAGAGGCTTGCCGGTCTTCGGGTCAACCTGGGTAGGCTTTCCGGCAACCTGACGTTCATTGACAATGGCCATGGCCTATTTCAGTTAGAATAGATTAAAACAGTGTAAAAAAAAAAAAAAAAAAAAAAAAAAAAAAAAAAAAAAAAAAAAAAAAAAAAAAAAAAAAAAAAAAAAAAACTGCTCGGCAAACTTACGCGGTGACCATTGAGGAAGTCAGGGTGACCAGTGTTGATGTAGCATGACTCCATGTTGACCAGATCACGCACCAGCTTGTTCGTTGGATCCATGCACTTCTTGAAGAAAGCAATGACAACGGCATGGAACTTCTCTTTCAACATGGGGTATCTGCGGAACAGCTGTTTGTTCAGGAGTTGACCCAAGATACGAACAAGCTCGTCGTAGACCAGAGAAATACACTTTAAACTGGGGTCCTCCATTCTTCTGATCTGTTGTTTGACAATCAATTCGAAAGCGGTGGTACCAACGAATAGCGAGGGCGAGGGACCAGACGAGTTGTAAAGGAACATCCGAATGTCCATGTCCTTCACAGCGTCGAAAGGATCCACTGCCTTGATACCGTTCGAGTAAAGCTCATGGAAGACAAAACTAATACGAGCACCACCTGACAATTCTGCGCTAGAGAGTTCTTGGTTCCGTCCTTCCAAGACTGTGCGGTATTCGTTGCTGAATTCGGTGATGATGTTCAGAATAATGTTGGCACTGTTGCCCAGCAGCGAATCACCAAGCTGCGAAAGCTCAGAGCTGTACTTCTGGAGGGAAGAGGAAATGCGGGCCTTGATGTCTGGCAGGGTTTGTTTAATGTGCATCATGAGAATCTAAAAGCAAGTCAGTCAGCGAGTGCTTCATGCCCACACAATTGGCGTTGGGTACAAACCAAGTTCAGCTTTCTGGCCAAGTACGGTGTTCCACAATACGAAGCCTTGTTACGGTACGCCTTGTGGTTTTCGAAGAAGTTCTTCTCATTTTCCAGAGCAGACGCGATTGGCCGCTTGTTCTCAATGTCACGCTGACCACGGTTGACCACCGGGACATAACCCAGACGCAATGGAATAACCCTGCCCGCAAGAATATCCACGACGTCGGTTCCTTCGTCCATGAGGTCGACCTTTGTCAAGACACCAATCGTACGCTGACCTTCCGGGTCCACCTCACGTGCCAGCTGCAGACCGTCCGAGTTCGCCAGATCCTGGTTGGCGGAGGTCACTGCAAGAATGATGGCGTTGGGCTTGCTGATGTACCTCAGAACCATGTCCCTGATCTGTCGCTCGATATCCTTTGGCTGATCACCCACGGGAACCTTGGTCAAACCGGGCAGATCGACAAGTGTGAGGGTAAGGACGTTGGGCGAGTAGATGCGGAGGTTAATCGGGATAGGCGAGATACCTGCATTCTTGCCGACTTTCGATTCGGTTTCGCGAACAATCTCTTCACGGATCTTGTTGAAATCGTAGAACTTCTGTCCAGGGATGTGGAGGAACTCTCCGTACTCGTTCACGTTCGCCGCTTCGTCCGTTGTATTGTCCACCTTCTCGTCTGTCGATCCGTTCACTGAATTTCTTGCGGGCTTGTTGATAAGCTGCAGCACGAGCGGTCTCCGCGTAACAATTCCCGAACCACGAGGAAGACTATACAACCACCCTAGTCAGCCACTGAATCCACACGCATGCATACCACCACAACCACTGCACTGCGACTCGAAAGCCACTTACAAGTCCCGGCCAACAATGTTTTCTAAAACCGAACTCTTTCCGCTCGACTGCGATCCGACGACGGCGATCTGGGGCAAATCGATGGGATTGGTAACCTAGACCAGACCAACGGGTGTCAGTACGTATATGCGGCGGGGCGGGAAGCCGTCGCCGTCCAGGCAAAGCTCCCAACAGCTCCAAAATCTCATTTCACTTACCCCGACTGTCGAAAAGACATCCTGAAGTTTGTTCACCAGCGAAATCAAGCTGGGATCGTTGACGTTAATTCTGTGGAATCCCTGATGTTAGTCAGACCGCTCGGAGGTTTGGCTATCAGGGATAGGTAGCAGGGGGTGTATGCGCACGAGAAGCCAGTCGGGCTAGCCATGGCTGGCGAGGATTATAGATAGACGCTCCAACCGGGGAATATTAAAACAGGAAATTGTATTAGGAAGAATGGGTATCGCTGTTAAGAGACGCCGTTGGTGGTGGCGGATAGGAAGTGGGAGTGTCGAAGTTGCGGCCAAGTGTACGGAGTAGCTTCGCGAGGCCGATCAGTACAGTATGGGGTAGATAGGCTCCGCCAGCTCGTTCTCACGGCAATACTGGGGTTTAAAGGGCAAAAGGGATGAAAAGAGGCAGCTGTCATTTAACTGCAAGTATTACGGAAAAATGCAAATTCTTACAGAAACTCTTGAGGTCCTTCAGTGCAGCCTGGGACGCGTCATGTGATATCCCAGCCGCACCACGATGCCTGATATCCATAGCAACCCAACAGTGGAATGAATGAGTCAGATATAGCAAAAATAAAAAGGAAATAAATTCGTGACATCGCAAATAACTACAAATGGGAATTGGTTATGCTATACAGGCTTCCAACCAGATTACTGCCCGTCAAAGTGCGCCACGTCCTACTCCATCAAGGACAGTTTACACGTCCGACACCGAGGCGAAGCGTTCCGTCATGGACTGCAGGACCTTCTCGTACTGTGGCGGAATTAGTACGAGGACTATCATTAGGGGACTATCATCGGGGGCTCTTTAATAACTCACCTTCTCTGTAACCTCTTCCTTGTTCTCTGGAAGCTCGAACTTCATACTCCGCAGGGAGGTCTGAATATCACCAGTTGCACCACGGACCTTAGCCCAGTTCTGACCCTGGGCAACGGCCTTCTGAGCCTCGTCATGAAAGCCCATGAATGCCTTCATCATGTACTCGGTCTTCCACAGCGGACAGAATTGATCGTAGTCACTGTAACCGTTCTGCTGCAAGAAGTCATCCTTCACCATAGCTGCCACGTCCAGTGTAATTTTATCCGAGTCACCCAATGCGGCCTTACCAACCAGCTGCACGACTTGGTCCAGGTCCTCCGACTTGGTGAGCAGCTCTCGGACACTCTCACGCAGTCGAGGGAACTCGGGGTGGTCTTTTTCGTAGAACTTGTCGAGTACCGTGGTGTATTTACTGTAAGACATGGAGGTGTTGATGGAGGGGAAATGCTTCCGCTGGGCCAGCTTCTTGTCGAGACCCCAGAAAACTTGCACAATACCCAGAGTAGCGCTGGTGACAGGGTCGGAGAAGTCACCACCAGGAGGACTGACCGCAGCCACAATACTGACACTGCCATTCCTTTCGGGACTGCCCAGAGCAGTACTCTTACCCGCACGTTCGTAGAAGGAAGCAAGCTTGGCTCCCAGGTACGCGGGGAAACCCTGATCAGCAGGCATTTCTCCCAGGCGACCGGAGATTTCACGCAGCGCCTCTGCCCATCGCGAACTGGAGTCCGCCATCATGGCCACGTTCTTGCCCTGGTCACGGAAGTATTCGGCGATGGTGATACCGGTGTAAATAGAGGCTTCACGCGCGGCGACAGGCATGTTGGATGTGTTGGCAATCAAGCAAGTACGCTTCATGATGGGTTCTTTGCGGCCCTCGACTTCGATAGAAAGCTGCCCGTGATGATTAGCATTAACACACCAAAGGTCAACCATGACGTATGCGCACGACTCACCTCGGGGAAATCCATCAAGACTTCAGCCATCTCATTACCACGCTCACCACATCCGACGTAGACAATGATATCACTGTTAGAAAACTTGGACACACTCTGGGAAATGACAGTTTTGCCGCATCCAAAAGCACCAGGAATGCAGACAGTACCGCCCTGGACACTGGGGAAGAGAGAATCCAGCACTCTCTGTCCGACAACGAAAGGCGAGTCGGATGACAGTCGGTCATTGACCGGTCTGGGCACACGCACCGGCCAGACCTGCATCATGCCGTGCTCTGTCTTCTTTCCATCGAACTCGACCTCCAAGAGCTTCTCCTCCACTGTGTAGCTTCCGGCCTCGGCTATCCGGGTGATGGTACCCCTGGCGCGGGGAGGGAGCAAGACCTTGTGCTGATTCACCAAGCTGTTCTCAAAGACGGTACCCCAGATGTCACCTCCCGTAATGTGGTCGCCAACTTTCATCGTAGGCGTGAAGTCCCACTTCTTCTTACGATCCAGCGCATTTACCCGAATACCACTGGGGATGTAAATCGAACCGGATTCCGAGTAAATCTGCTTGAGGGGACGCTGGATACCGTCGTAAATCGTTTCCATCAGACCGGGGCCAAGCTCGACCGAAAGAGGCTTGCCAGTTCTATACACAGGATCACCGACGGCCACACCCGCTGCAATTCAAGAGCTAAATTAGTTATCAGTGCATTTACATGCGATTATCAACTATCACAGAGCAAGAGGGGAGCGAATGGAGCCGTACCGGTTTCCTCGTAGACCTGGATGGTGACCTTATCTCCATCGACACGGATGACTTCTCCAACGAGTTGGCCAGCTCCTACATGGCACTATTTGGGACAGAAGAGTCAGAAAATAAAAATAAAGCCATCGTACCATTGGAGGAAATCAAATATTGATCTTACCAACTCATACATAGCACATCCGATCATGTTCTCGGCCACGACGACCGATCCGGAGACGGAGAAGATAGCGCCACGCTCGTCTCCATCGTTCTCGTCTTTTGCGGGCGCCATGGTGTGTGAAGCGGGACTGCGAATAGACGGAATTGGAAGAGAAGGTACACGATGTTCAATAGTAGAATTAGTGTTGTTATTGCTGATGCTGTAGCTCCAACTGGAAGTCGTCGAAGTGGGCGAGTCCGGGAGCGGTGGCAGGTTGGCAGGTCCGGGCGGTGATGAGGAGGAGCCGTCGTCGTCGACGGTTACAGATGGGAGCTCCTCGCGACTGCCTATCAGATCCAGCAGTGATGGCCGTGCTTTAAGACGGTTAACCCCCAAGCCTAGCATGCAGAATTATTTTTTATTTGAATCTTTGTTCAGAAAATGAGTTCTCTTCTCTGTCTTTAGTAACTTCCCCCTGGAAGTGTTTACCTGGTCCGGTCTGGGCTTATCCACGGCCACTAAGATTAATCCGGGAGATCCCAAAGAGGCGTTGGTGAACAGTGCTGAGATCGACTTGGCCTCTTTGTTATGAATGTTCCGACGCTTATAATGGATTTTGCTCCTTCACTCGCTGTCTAACGGCCATTTGCACATGATCAAACGCTAAACTACTGTATGCAGACGGACGACCTTACTTCCCAACAATAAGGCCCTCGAATATATGCCCACATTATTAGGAGTAACCTGGTGTCGCATTTCACATCCTTTTTGAGATATTGCAGCAGAAAACTATGTACTAATGGGGCAGCTTGACCAGAATGACACGGAGGACTCAAAGCACATCACAACTCATGTTCCCGGTACAGTTCATAACTGTTTCTTTGGCGCTTTCCCTCCCTTTTTCGGTAGCTTATGACCGTCTTCCCTCCCACCTCTATAATTTCATCCCTATAAACTGAGCCCAATAACTCCTCCACGTCTTTTATAGCAACTGATACAGCCACTGATTCAGTATTCACGTGTTCAGCAGCAACACCCACACACTTCAGTGCAAGTCTGTCCTCATTCTCTCCCTGTTCCGAACTCTGCACCAACAGGAGTGTATCTTCTGCTGTTTTCTCATCCGCAATGAGAAACACGCATGAATCAACTATGTTCCCATCTGCATTTTCATTCATTAATTGAGCGACATTGCGAACACTCCACCCAAGAAATAGGTAGGGATCTGAGTGGAGATTCAATGGGAGGATGCGTCACCGAGTTCCTGATATATTGATGAAGCGTGTTCCTCTAATTATCTGGGAAAAGTAGGAGTGTTGAAGAGAGGTTGAGACCAATGGCACATTGGTAGGCTTTAGTGAAGATAGACAAGATGATCTGGATTCTTCAAGCCTTAGAACTAACTCCCAGTTAATCACAACTTCAGTAGTTTACGTATTAGGAGGTAATATGTCACTGACACAGATTACGGCGATGAGTGATTCGCTCATTGTAAGGAATATATGAAAACATTAGATGAACATGGACGAAGAGTGACAGTGACACGCGGGTCATATACTATAGGGCTATTCACAGGGGGTTTGGCTAGGGCTCTACCTAACAGGACAAGGTCATTCAGCATTAAAATAGAAGCAAAAATATAACCAGAATAACTGAAGATCGAGTATCCAGTGAAATCATTCAAGTAAATTTCCTGAAGCATGGCAATGACGCCATGACATCACTCTATCCAAATTCCAGGTTCCCGGAGCACACGACAGCTTTCTTAAAAACCCCGAGCTTTCAACCCCAGAAACATCTGGTAAACACTTGCTGGGATCAAAAGTCACTCACCATGGACGCAGAAGGCTTCATTGCACCGTTACTGGGCGCCCTGCAGGCCTGCGTGTCTGTCCTCCTCACCATCTGTTACGGAGTCGCGGCTCAACGACTACAATTGATGCACAAAACGTCGATAGACGATATTGCAGGTTTAAGCGTCAAACTCTTTCTGCCTGCATTGATTGTCATTCATCTGGGCGAGCAATTGCATGCTGGGAATCTGTTGAACTATGTTCCTGTCCTGGGTTGGTGATGGCATCTCTTCTTTTGGAAGTAAACTGCTAACGGATGGATATATTGCGTTAGTTTGGTCATTCATTTACACAAGCAGCTCTATCGGATTCGCATACATCGCCTCAAAAGGATTCAAACTTCCGCCCTGGGTCACACCGGCTTGCGCCTTCAACAACACCACATCACTCCCGTTGCTCCTCTTACAATCTCTCGAAAGCGTTGGAAGCCTACATCCAATTGTTCGCGGTGAAGATACAGTCCCGGATGCTATTCGCCGGGCTCAGAGCTACTTTCTTGTTTGCGCTGTGGTCAGCAAGACTATTGGATACGCTGCGGGTCCCAGGTTGCTGGAGGCGCAGACCAACAGCGATGGTGGACAAGGTAGACGCATATCAGAGGCAGAACAGAGTGATACTGAGGCGCAGCATGCTTCAGCAGCGGGCCAAGACAATGTCAATGAGGAAACTTCTCTGCTTCCAGACCGCGCACACAAAGCAGGCCGTCAGATTCGCAGTCAGATTAAGCATTACGGGGGATGTGTCACATCTTGCCTTCCGAAACGGGTCAAGCAACGGCTTCTGGCGCCCTTCGAGTCCCCTTTTGCAGATGTCATGATCACATGTACGATTGTCGGCGTAATCCTGGGATCTGTACCGCAACTTCACAGGGCATTCTTCAACCACTCAGATGAGGGTGGTATCTTCAATGCATGGTTGACCTCCAGCGTCAAGAACATTGGCCAGTTATTCACAACGCTTCAAATCTTCATTGTCGGGGGAAAATTAGGTCTCAGCTTTGAACGAATGAGAGGTGGCTCTGGTCGTATTCCTTTCAGGGCGATCTTGACTATATTCCTCGTTAGATTAGTCCTATGGCCTGCGTATGCATCTCATTACTCGCAAAAAGGCAGCGAAGCTAACATTGTGGCAACAGAATCAGTATTTCCATAATCTATGCTCTGGCCAAGGGAACTAACTTCCTCCAAACCGACCCGATTCTCTGGTTCAGTATGATGCTCATGCCTGCTGGACCGCCGGCTTTGGTGATATCGGGACTGGCTGAATTGGCTAAGATTCCTGAGACAGAGGAGATTGAGGTTGCGAAAACTTTAACGGTAAGTTGCCCCTTATGGTGATTATCCTCTTTGAAACCAAGCTAATAGTTGAAGATCATGTATGCATTGTCGCCGTTTGTGTGTCTGTCGATTACGGGAGCATTGAAAGCTTCTCAAGCTGCGTTGGAAGCGAGGAGTTTATGACGATTATACGTGTATGATACTGTATATATTGCATAGTAGCTTGTTTATGAAGTTACAAATGGTATATCTAAAAAGATTAATTCAACAAGGTATTCTTCCTCGGACTACTTCCTACATCCCTGAGTACCCACGTACATACTTAGATTAATTTTCATTTGATACTAATACATACTCCCCGCCATCCCAATTATTGGAAGTGAAATTCATCATGCCAACCCTGGCCACCTCGTAAACGAAACTCGAGCGAAATGATTTACTTCTATAAATCCATGATGGTTAGCCCTCACATCCACGCTTTATCAAACATCCCACCAGTTCCTTCTTCTGTCGGGGTCACAGGAAGTAGGGTACATACTCCGCAACCCTTGCAGGCACAGTTGTTGTTGCAGCTGCAGCTCTGGGCACCTCCACAGGAGCAGTTCGATCCGCAGTCACAGCCGGCCATTGTGGATAAGTTTGTAGAAATGAAGTATGGTTAAATAGGAAGTATGTTTTGATTTGTTCAGTTCAATGTCAGATGGTGTGATTTGAGGACACCGGAGACAACTATGCTGGGAGTATATATAGGTGAAGATGGTGGCGGTTTACTTATCCGGGGACCATGGATGTATCATTATGGCGTCAAGGAGACGGATGTATGAGGATGGTTCCAGCGATCCCGAGGAGGGATTCTGAAAGAAAATATATATGATGTTGTTGAAGATGGTGTGATGGCTTCTTGTTACAGTGTTCATTCTTCTCTATGCATAGTTCGCACTCACGTACTCTGGCATATCTTGCGAAAATACAGATCGGTTTATGCAGCATTGTTGAGCATATAGTTGACGTACATTCGGAACGCAACGTCATGATGTGGTCTGCTTTACTGACCCTGTTCCGCATTCGACTTCCGTGGTTTATCTAAGGCTTATTTTCAGTGGGATATTCTCCGCACCCTGCTACTTTATAACGAACTTGTCCTGCCTGGGCCTTGTTGAGTGGCACCAAACGGCCCGTCCACATCCTTCACGCCTAACAGTTGTCAGGAAATACCCTGCATCATGAGTGATGACCGAATGGCCTACCACGTATGTTGCCCAAGTGGAACAGCTTCCATCTGCGGGGACTCCGTGTGTTGTCGATAAGAGCAGTGGCTTGTCACTTGTCTGCTTTCAATCCAGAGATGCAATGAAACCGTGCTAAGTACTAATTACGGAGTAGGCCGGGCTCCCATTGCTACAGAGAGGGTCATGAGCAGATGATATGTCGTGTGTTCACGGTCCTTGTCTCCCTGTCGCTTTTTTCGTTTGTTGTCGCTGTCAGAAGGTCGTCAGCTGCAGCTTATCGACATCCATATGATCATAACGATATGCTACCAAATACACTCCGTGGAGCATGAGTCTCCGACCGCTGTGGAATGTTGACTATTTCCCTTGAACGAACTCATGGGGGAAACTCTCTTCTTGTTAGCTCGACGGTTCTCCTCTGCTTTAGGATCCCGAATACTCCCATGTTTCAGAAAATTGAGGGGACTAAACCCGAGGCCTAACAGCCTCCGTAGTGTATCAATAGAGCAGCAGCAACCCGATGTAGTGTGTTCATGCGCGCAAACATAAAGAGAACCCCATTCGAACAGACACCGATATATTTAATGATATTAGAATAATAAATTTGGCAGTGAAGGCGTAATAAGGAGTTGATGACTGCTCATTCTCTTCCCCCTCCGTGACCCGAGCGTTGTTCCTCTCCGCCAACTTCCTCAACTTCTCTTAACTACATCCATCTATCTTGCTTGTCTTTACCACACGTCTTGGCCCACTTCCACTGGTGTTCATATTTACGGCTATCTTTGATCACGACAGTCTCCTATTCCTCTTCCGCCTTCCGTTTCTTCGTCATCGAGCTGCACCGCTTTGCCTTCTCCGACCTGATACCAAGCTTCCTCCCAATCCGATAAGGACCACCGCCCCATCTCACCAATTTTGGAATAACTTGGTGCTATATTTTCACGGAATTTTAATCTGATCGGTACGCTCTTGCATTCCCCATCTCCATATCGAGCGAAACCGAGAATCGCCAGACATTTTGTGTCAGTTTCAAGCTTCAGAACGTGGGTTAGCTCCGGCGGTATCCTATCATCAGTTAGTCACTCGCCACTGGTATAGGTCTGCTCGCCTGGTTCTTGGTTAAGAGCCGGGTAACAGGGGCAGATCTGATAGATTGCCTTCGATCTGGCATACAACCGCCCTTCTCCCATCCGCTCCGTTGCTCCCGACCATCCTCACTCTCCTATTCCCTCCGACGCTACGAACGTGACCCCCACCGCCCAGGGTCGCTCGTCACCGCAGACCCCGTTGGAAACCGATATCAGTCATCGTGGAGAAGTTGGTTTAGTCGGGAGCGTGGATCCTACGGTTTCTCGTCGACGACGCCGTCGTCCTTCCACCACACCTAGTACCTCCGGCTACTCGACATCTGCGGGAACCGAACCTCTTCCAGACGATCATTCGGGAAGCGAACCCGCTTCTCAGGAACAACCACATACAATCCAGTCTCACGCCCACTCTAGGGGCCCTTCGCCATTTCCTAAGCGCAGGCGCCTGTCCAGTATGCGGCTCGACGGTATTTCGAGTGCAAACGGCTATAGTCAAGGGTCAAACGGCACCGCCTCGTCTCCATCGCGAAAAACCGATCAGGCTCCTTATGTGTCGTTCAACGGGGATACAACTACAAACGGACACGCCAAATCATCTGCCAACCTCCCATCATACTATGGTCATGATCGAGAGGAGGTTACCCGAATTCTGATTCAGAGTCTGTATGAGCTGGGATATAACGGAGCGGCATCATTATTAGGCAAGGAAAGTGGCTATCAGCTGGAGAGTCCAGCAGTTGCTAAATTCCGCAACGCTGTGTTGGAAGGGCGATGGCCGGATGCTGAGAGTATCCTACTCCAGTCGTTTTACCCTTATAGCGGGGGTTCAGGAAAGACTGGCCATAACAAAGAGAAGTTATTACTGGCAGAAGGTGCCGACAAGAGTGAGATGCTTTTTTATCTTCGACAGCAGAAATTCCTGGAGCTATTAGAGGCCCGAGATCTGGGAGCCGCGTTGATTGTTCTACGCCATGAACTAACCCCTCTAAATTACGACATTGGACGTCTTCATGCTCTTTCTAGGTGTGTAATATACATCGGGAAGTTTCTTCCAAGGATGCTGACCTTTTCCGATCAGTCTCCTTATGTGCCCGCCTGAACATCTTCATGATCAAGCCGGATGGAATCGTCCCATAAGTAGTTCCCGAGAGCGATTATTATCGGAACTCTCCAGTAAGAACCCCCAAGGATCCGGTAATGGAAGAAATTCTGATTGGCTTTAGAATTCATTTCGCCGTCTGTAATGATTCCAGACAACCGCCTTGCGGTATTATTAGATCATGTCAAGAAGAGCCAGATAAACCAGTGCTTATATCACAATACGGCAACTCCCCCCTCGTTATACTCGGATCATATGTGCGACAAAGCCGATTTCCCCCTTCAAACCGCAATAGAATTGAGCCAGCATTCGGATGAAGTATGGTTTTGCGAATTCTCGCATGATGGCACGAAATTGGTCACAGCGGGTCGGGACCGCAGTGTGATAATTTACGATACAAGCACATTTGACGTGCTTCATAAGTTGACGGAGCATGATGACGGTGTCGCGCAGGCCAGTTGGAGCCCTGACGATACCAAGCTGATTACCTGCTCTCAGGATAAAATGGCTCGGGTGTGGAGTGTCGAAACCGGTCGTTGTCTTTTGACGATTAATCATCATCGCGAACCCATAACAGCTGCGGCCTGGGCAGCCGACGGAGAGTCTTTTGTCACAGCTTCTCTTGACCTGGAGTCGCAACTCTGCCATTGGAGCATGCGTGGTCAGGCTCTCTACATGTGGCCACGAGGCTTTCGTGTCCAAGACTGTACCATTAGCGCTGATGGGCGACGCTTGGTTGCTGCAGATGTTGATGGAAAAGTGCACGTCTATAATATGCTAACGCACGAAGAAGAATACTGTCTACCCATGAAGAGCAAACCAACATCTATTGCCATCAGCCGAGACTCACAGTATATGCTCGTGAATCTGTCCGAAGGTCAGATCCATCTCATCGATATCGATACGACAGAAGTTGTCCGTCGCTTCCAGGGACAAAAACAAGGCTCCTATGTTATCCGGAGTACATTTGGTGGAGCTGCTGAGAACTTTGTGATCAGTGGAAGTGAAGGTAAGATACATCTTTTCCTGCTCGTCCCGTTCCATTGCTAATAACCTGTCTAGATGCTTGTGTATACGTGTGGCACAAAGAGAACGGGGACCTCATAGAGACGTTAGAAGGGCATATTTCTGGCTGCGTAAATGCGATATCTTGGAATCCTACGAATCCTGGGATGTTTGCTTCAGCAGGTGATGACTATTTGGTCAGAATGTAAGCGACATTTTTCGCTCTTCATGCTTGGCGTGTATCAGACTAACGAGAACCCGCAGTTGGACTCGAGAGAGTGACACACCACGTAGCACTGTCCGTGGCATTCAAAGAGCAATGACCTCGAAGTTCCTTCCGCGTACCAGTGCCTTACGATCAACGTCAAGTTTCCAATAATCTCCTCGCTCGGAATCCGCTATCTTACTAATTCAATATCGATACTCTAATTGAATCCCATGAGATTTGGAATGCAGAAGATCAATCCACGTTTGCTCATTTGCACGTTTCGCATATATATATAGGTTTAGGTTTCAATTCCCAGTTCCCAGTTCCCCCAGAGTATCAAGAAAATTTATTTCACGCTTATCAATGTCTTCATGCACATGGTTTTCGTCCTCAGTTTTGGTTTCCGGTTGCAGGGTGTGCTTTCTTGCCATTATGTGTTCTTTACTAGGAGTTATTGCTACGTTGTTGCTCGTTATGTAATAGACCCAGACCAAACTTGCATAATCTATGAGAATATCATGAAATATCGAGTTACCTTACCATTAGTGACTAGTATACATAAAAGCATAGGTGGATATATTTCATTGTATGCATAGCTAGACCATTGAATGACAAGCAGGGCAGAGAAAAGATAAGCAGATAGATATTCCAAGATACTTGCTGAACTCCGTAAAACAATTAAAAAAAGTTGTCTAGATAAATAACAACGTACGGAGTCAGTATTCCTTCCTCTTTTCCATGAAAGATCTAACTCACCAATTTGGTATTTTACCCTTTCCTCCACGCTATATTAGCCCTTTTTCCCTCTAGACTTTCGGTTCTCCGCTTCATATGCTATGTAGTGTTGTACAGGCGGGCATATTCTTCTTCCCAATATCTTATGATTTTCGGTGGGAACATAACGAAAACAGAAGGGAGCATTGTATTCAAGACCGTGGACATGTCATATCGTTTATTAACCGCCAGTGACAGGGAGTATTCTCGTTCCGTAAATTGCAATGGTGAGGTACGATTAAGAAAGAAGATCGGCGACTGTGACATTGTCAGTGAACTGTCATTCGACGCAAATACTGGACAGAAGATAAGATACTCACCGTTCATGGGCATTTCATCAATCTGTGTAGAGTAGTACAGTTCAATATCACGGAGAATCCGGACGTCATCGCTGGTAACGAAGTTGATGGCAACACCCTTCCTACCGAAACGACCGCTACGGCCGATACGGTGAATGTAGTTTTCACGGTTGGTGGGTAGGTCATAGTTGATAACCAAAGAAACCTGCTGGACATCGATACCACGAGCCCAGACATCGGTGGAAATCAGAACACGCGAGTTGCCCTGCCGGAAGTCCTGCATAATGCTGTCACGCTCCTTCTGCGGCATCTCGCCGTGCATACTGGAGACGGTGAAGTTGGCCTCACGCATCTTGTCGGTCAGCCAGTCGACCTTGCGGCGGGTGTTGCAGAAGATGACTGCCTGTGTGATAGTCAAGGTGTCGTAGAGATCGCAAAGGGTATCGAATTTCCACTCTTCCTTCTCAACTGCGATGAAGTATTGCTTGATCCCTTCTAAGGTCAATTCATCACGCTTGACCAGCACGCGCACGGGGTCTGTCATGAACTTGGTTGTCATGTCGAGGACATCGTAGGGGAGAGTAGCGGAGACCACGACGACTTGTGTGGCTGGGGGGAGGTAACGGTAGACGTCGTAGATCTGCTCGCGGAACCCGCGGTTGAGGAGTTCGTCGGCTTCATCGAGGACCAGCATCTTGATGTGGCGGGTGCGCAGGTTGCGCCGGCGAATCATGTCTGCGACTCTGCCTGGCGTCCCCGAGACGACGTGCTGACCATAATCGAGTTTCCGGATGTCTTCACCAATATTTGTTCCTCCGATACAAGCGTGGCATTGGACGTTCATGTAGTCACCGAGGGCCATGATAACGGACTGGATTTGGGTTGCAAGTTCGCGAGTCGGGGAAAGGACAAGGGCTGCCAGAGTTAGCCACCACACAACTACTTGATATGAATGAACTTCGCATACCCTGACTCTCACGAACAACGGTATCAATAACCTGAAGGATACTAACCGCGAATGTAGCCGTTTTACCAGTACCGGACTGCGCCTGGGCAATGGTATCGCGGCCTTTGCAGATCTGGACAATCGCACGCGACTGGACCGCAGAGGGAGACTCATATCCGTATGCGTAGATACCCCGAAGAAGGCTTTCCTTGAGGTGCATGTCCTCGAAGGTCGGGGCGACCGTCACCTCCTTGGAAGTGTTAAACTCCATCCGGTCTGATTTTGCGCCGTCAGTACGCATAGATAGTGAAGAAAACTCTTCCGGATCTTACCATCAGCACGTCTGTCAATACCGTCCGCCATGGTGTATAAATATCTGCTCCGCTGCCGCTCAAGGATAAAACTATGGGATTAATTCAATGACTTGGTTTGCCGGCGCGTGGCTTCGTTGCAGAATCGAGAGCTTTCCTGCGCAGGTCTGGCTCGGCCATCGGTGCCACCGCGGATATCACGTGATGCGACTTGCCGCAAAGCTCTCTTGAGAAGCTTCAAATTGCCTCAGTGCTAGAAACAACGTCCACATCAACAAGAGACGAGGTTCATTTTGCCAGTTGCTTCACAATGGTCCTTGAAGAACAGAGATTTATTCATGAGGATCTCGAGAGGTTAGAGCAAGCCGTCGCGGATCGCGTGGTCGAAGACCCTCGCAATGTAAGTCATTCATTCTAACACCTGTTGCGATTATTGGTATCTAACAATTTTGCTTTAATCTAGATCCGGGACCGACTAGCTCGCGACCACGAAGTTGCCCTTTTTCTAGCGCGTATCGAAGACCAATCGAAACGGCTACTCGAGATTTACAACGATGCGGAGGGTGCACGCGAGAAAGAAGTCCAGTTGATTTCGACCGGCGACCAATTCGAGGAGTTCTACAAGCAACTGAATGATATCAAGGACTTCCACAAGCGCTATCCAAACGAACCCGTCGAGAACCTCGAACGAGCCTATAAACGTCGTGAAGGAGAACCGATAGGGGTCAACATTGACAACATGTTCAGTGGTGAAGAAGGGTTTGGACAGTTCTTGGACCTGACAATGCAACACGAAGACTATCTGAACCTCCCTGGCGCGAAGAGGTTACCGTACACTCAATACCTCGAGGTGTTCGACTCTTTCATCCCTCCACACCTCCTGATTAAACGGCCCAACAAGATCTCGGATAGATACTTTAACTATGTCGGGGAGCTTGCGACCTATTTGGAGAACTTCATCAAGAAGGTGCGGCCTTTGCAAGGTCTCGACACATTGTTCGCCAGCTTTGATGAGGAATTTGAGAGGCAATGGGCAGCGAACGAAGTTCCTGGGTGGGCTGAGGAAAAGGCTGAAGATGGCATGCAAGGACCGAAAACTGAGGGGTCAGGAGAGGGTATCTGGTGTCCGGACTGTGAGAAGGAATTTAAAAACGAGAATGTCTACAAGAACCACTTGACTGGTAAAAAGCATATTCGGGCTGCAGAGGCCCGTAAAGCTGCCGGGGGAGGAGACGAAAATTCAGCACCAACGAATACTGGCGCATCATCCGCTGTTCAACGCTTGAAGGAACGCGCGGTAGCTGAACGTGAGCACCGGGTCCGTTCGTTGGCCAAGGTTCTCGAGAAGGAGCGTCAGGCTACACGCATCAACGTTGAGCGGAAGCAAGGCATGACGGAGCGCGAACGCCAGATGGAACTTGATGCCATTTATGCTGAGTCTGAGGTTCCCGGCGAAGGCCGTGAAGAAGAGGAGTCCGACAACGAAGGAGAGGATCGAATCTACAACCCCCTCAAATTGCCGCTGGCGTGGGACGGCAAGCCCATTCCATATTGGCTTTACAAACTGCATGGGCTCGGTGTCGAATACACCTGCGAGATATGCGGAAACTTTGTTTACATGGGCCGTCGTGCCTTCGACAAGCACTTTTCAGAGGCATTGCACATTTTCGGTCTCAAGTGCTTGGGTATCACATCGAATACGAACCTTTTTCGGGAGATCACCCGGATTGAAGATGCCGTCAAGCTATGGGAGAAGCTCGAGCAGGAGAAGAAGAAGGACAGAGATTCTCGCGACAACGTAGTACAGATGGAGGATGCAGAGGGCAATGTTATGCCTGAAAGAGTATACCTGGAGTATGTTTCCCATCTTTCCTTTACCATGACAAATATGCTAACCGTGTCCAAGTCTTCAAAAACAGGGTATTCTCTAGCTCACCCTTTCCGCCTGTTTCTTTTATTTCTTCGATATATTGGGTTCTTGTGTTAAAAGCTCGGAGTTTGGCGGACGTTGGCTTTCCATTTACACGGTGTCTTGGACGTGTTAACCGGATGTTATCATCGGAATATGCTTTCTTGAAATGCGCCTCGTGTATTCTACTAGGGACTACATCTACTGAGATATTATACCATTTCACTTGCTTTCATCCAAGCTGCTTCACTATATGGTCCGGCGTGGTCGCAATGTAATATCACTCTTTACGGGAATAAGAATGGCCAGTTTGAACCTGCAAGTGATCGCGACTGACCTGGTTTGTACAGGATTATAGTTCTCGCCAAACTGTAGATATCCCCTAAGTACGGTCACGTGGGTTCGTGTTCCCTGGACGCGCCTCGGTTCTTGCTCTTCGCGTCATGCCTGCTCACACCTTTTGTCGATGGATCAAACTTAAGAAGGATTACATACCAGGGCTGGGTGATACATTGGATCTTGCACTGATAGGTGCAAACTATCAACCCCGAGATGCTACTGCGCTAAAACGGATTCCTAAGCTCCTGTAGACGCACTCTTTCATCGGCTGTCTGCTCAATAAAGATGCTGTCTTACAACTTGGAGTTACGCCTCGATTCGGGTTGTTGATGTTATCGACCACCACTGCATAAGTTCACGAAATATGCAGATTCTAAATTAATTTGGCGAGTTCGTCGCTTGCGACCCGGTTTCCAACTCTGACTTCGAGTACGAATACGGGAGAGCGAACCTTCCATCTATGGATGTAATGTTCAGGACATCTTTTGTTGTCGAAATGCTGGGCAGTGGCTTTGAAAAGCCCACAGGGGCCAGGTATTTCGCGCTGGGCTTTCTTCGCATATAAAAGGTTCATTGGGATAGGACATTCCAGGATGCGACGTCGTTTCAGGAACTGCAGCAGATGGCAGAGAAAGCCCAGTCAGTCACTGCAAAGGTCGATTTGTCCCATGAGCATTGGTGCAAGCGTTTGAAGCTGGCAAATGGGGTATGTCAGTATACTGATCATGAATTGCAGGACATGTTATCCGAATCCGCGTCGACATCTGGATCGGATGATGAAGATCCCGTTGGAATAACCGAAAATATTGCTGTGCTTCCTACTCCCCCATACACGCACGACTCGTCAAAGGTTAGTCGTGTAGACACGGCAGTCACCGATCACGAGGGTCCCATTCCAATACACATGGATGATAGAGCTGGATCCCCTTCATCAACCAGCGTGTCAGGCTTACGCAGACATCCTTTGGCTGAGAATCCCAATCAATCATTCTACTCGAAAGTGCGACTACGAAAAGACAATGCACGTCTCGATAAACTGACTGCTCCTGTACAAACCAATGACCATAAAATGGTGAATACCAAAGCAATTGCAATGGCCCCGAGACAAAAGGTGCAATTGCTCCCCGTTCCCTGAAAACAAATGTCGATCGACCCTCTACAAAAAAAACCAGATACCCTACCCCAACATCAGCTTCGCCTACGACTAAAGAGCAGCAACTCGATTTCAAATCACCTCTCCTTATGCTCCCACAGTATATATGCTCTTCTTCATCCTCTGACGGATACCATCCCGAATCCACAAAAGCAACTCACAGTCCAGACCACCTCCTTCAGGCAATGACCTCCTATTACAACTCTAACACACACCCCACCTCCCAAAATCAATCTCTAGGCCTAATATTTATTCCCTAACCGTCCATCCTGGGCTTAGAGATTCTCAATATCATCAAGTCCCTTTCTAAATCATTTAGAACTGCCCCCCAAGTTCCCACAAACTGGCAAAATCTTTTTCCTCGACTCGAAGGTCCTAACCTTGGGCACTGGACCTGAAGACACACGACTTTGTCTTCGCCCAACCTGGAAGATTATCGGCAAGGTATACTTCTATGCGTGCGCCTCGTGGAGTACTACCACTGCGACTACCACTGCGACTAGAGCGGAACAATCCCTACGCCGGCGGTCACTTGCAATTGTGGATGAGATCCCTTATACCAATCCTGAGGATGATCAAACGCCGATATCTACACCTATCTTGGATAAGACGAAAAGGTTCAGTATCTCGGTTGGTTTTGAGAAAGAGGAGTTATGCTGCTTAGGAGAGTTTGTGTCGATTTAGCCGTTGGTGCATGTTAATGGGCAAACATATATATCTTGATGCATTGAGAAAGTCGTGTGCTGGAGCAACGCCAAAGCCCTATAGCTTCATAGCTAATAAAGTGTAGCTTTTTGGAATAGCAAACGAGAACTCAAATATCCATACCTTTGGACTTTACACACTTATAGTAAGAAAAACAACAGTATTCATAATATCATACAGGTGTATCATGCAATAAACCACACGCTCAGCTCATCTAAAACTCATAAACATAAAAAAGATACTACCCAGCAGACCCCGCCCCCTCTCTCCTAGCCCTAACATCCCTCATCAAAGCCTTAGCCTCCTCAACCTCAACCCCATCCTGACACAGCTCTCCCGCCAACTGATCCGCTCTCTCAAGATCCCCATTCCTTAACGCCCACCTAGCAAGCCACAGCCTTGCCTTCGACGTTGTCGCCGTAACACCAGTACCATGCCATGTATCTTCATCGTCGTCATTTGGAGAGGATTTTCGAGGTCGACGGGAGCGATGTTGGGAATCGTCATTATCGTCGTCGTCGTTGTCGGATGATCCTTCCTCCTCGCCTTCGGGGTTTGGAGGGCCGGATTCTTGTTGAAGAGTTAGTTCCATGTAAGCGGCTGCTTCTTCGGGCTCTTCAAGGCGTTCGTAGAGCATTGCGATTTGGTGGAGGGTTTCTGGGTCTAGGATTTTGCGGCCGGGGCCGGGAGGCATGCCGCTCAATTGGGAAGAGGCATCGTCAGACGCGTAGTAGGATCCTGCAACTAGTGCACGTTTCAGTGCCTTGATGCCCTGCTCGGGACGCTCCATTTTGGCATAGCAGGATCCAACTGCTTGCCACATCTTGGGATCGTATGGTCGCAGGGCTGCGGCGCGTTGGTAGTAAAAAAGGGCGTAGAAGGACATGTCTAGGACTTCGTAGGCCTGGCCGAGACCGTACCAGGCGCGGTAGTCTTTGCGGTTGACGTCGACGGCTCGACGGTAAGATTCGATTGCAGCGTGGGTGTTTTTCATTTCGACGTATTCGTGGCCCATGAGGGTCCAGGCGGAGAGAAAGTTACGGTCCAGGGTTAGGGCGCGTCGGAAGTACATGACTGCTTTCTCGTGTTCTGATTTCAGGGAGTAGTAGTTTCCGACGACGCAGCAGGTTTCGGGGCGGAATTTGTCGGTTGCGGTTGCGACTTGGGCGACAAAAGCAAGCTGTGGGCGCGCGCCCATGACGTAGAGGATGTTGGAGTAGTGATCGAGGCTGTCGAGACGGTGGGGGGAGGAGATCAAGATTTCGGTGAAGATATGTGATGCTTCTTCGAAGTCTGCAGGAACAATCAGCAAAGCGAACTTCGACGCTCTCACAAAGTAACCTACACTTAGAGTGATAGTAGAGTAATGCCCGTTGCGTTTTGAGGAATGCACTTGTCGGGAAGATGGTTTCGAGTTCTGATAAAGCTTGGTAGGTATCGTCGGTTGCTTGGTACAGCTCCTGGCTGCAATAAACATGGAATATCAATGTCATGATGTTCTGAGGAAGGAGGTCGACGACTTGTTTTAACTGTCCAGATGTCAGCTTCAGCCTAACGGAACGCAAGACAAAATAACATACATCCTCCGTACTCGTAAGCAAGTCATTCAACTCTTGCCAGGTGCCCCAATTGAATGGGTTCAAGTGTACACTCTTTATGAGCCACTTCTTCGCCTCCTCTTCATTCCGCCCTTTCAGAAGAATCACGCCATATAAGTATTCCAACCATCCTTGATTGCGGCCTTCCATACCCTTCTCTCTTCGTTCCGTCAACCATCCTTCCAGCCCACGCGCCAGGTCCGGCAACTCTCGATTGGCCGCCAGACCCCCATCAGCAGGGCCTAGGACCATCTCCGTTTCCTCGTCTTTCCGCTTCTCACCTGAAATGTACTTGGCATATAACGCAAGGAACAACGACTTCTGGCTCAGCGCCGGGTACGGGTTTCTCGTCGAGGTACCCTCTTTGACCCCTCCAAATGTAGACATTCGCGACTTTCCTTTCTGCGGAGTCAATGGCTGCTTTGATTTGGCGTTTGGTGATGTGGTCGAAAGAGGAACAGGGGCCATAGTCGGGGGAAGGAAGACGGCTGCGCAGCGGTCATACTCGCGCGTATCGAAGTAGGTCTTGGCGAGGAGGTACTTGTGGGCTTCTTGTGCTTCTAATCTGGCTTCGAGAGGGTCCTGGGGTCGGAGGTATGGGTTCGATGGCATGGGCAGGGCATCTGCAAGGCCCATTGGCGAGTCGGGATCGGTGTCATATTCATTGATTGGTAGAAGAGAATCGAGCATTTCTGCGGCCCTGCCGCCCCGATGCATGTCAGTCGGGATATGAACGCGGGGACGTCATGCGCTGTACGTACCATTTTGCAGATTGGTATAAGCATCGTTCTGAGCACTTTATGGAAGCGTCCTCCAGGCGGTACCTGAGGTCTCTGATGTTATCTTCCGTGAAACCGGCAGCCATGATATCGGATGTTGGAGACGCGGCGGAGGTTTGCGCGAGATAAAGATGGCAGGTGTGTATCACAGATAGCGTCGGTCAAGCACCAATTTCATATCCTTATCACAGATAATCAACCGGATCTCAAGGATCAATTGCAACCTGGACTGTTTGCGCTCAAGACGAACTGCAGGTAAGTGTCGGCACCTCAGCGCGGTACGACTCCAACAGCAATGAGAAGTGCTGCAGTGGTGCAGAGAACCTGGCAAAAGATATTGCAGTTCCACAGCACAATATAAGGAGATAAGAAGAGTCAGGACGTGCTTCTTGAAAGGGGAAAAGACGAGTGAAGATGGTAACGCGATGAGAAGATGCGTTGGAATTGACGGATTGCCATTTCGGGACGGAGGCAACAAAACAAACAGTGCAAACATTCCGCGGGGACTTTTTCTCCTTAACGCTGACTGTTATCACCCATTATTTCCTTGCCTATCTGTTCATATACTGCAGAAGCAGCAATTGTTTGTGCCATTCAGTCTAGGCGTGCAATCCGGAAGCACACTAATTAACAACCCCCCTGTCAAGTCACTATGGCGTCCATCACCTCTCGCGAATCGTTCGAGTCCGTGTTTCCCTCCTTGGTCCAGGACCTTCTCGCCCACGCGAAGAAGTACAACTTGCCCGAGAACGCTGTTCAATGGTTTGAAAAGGTGAGCAAACAATGCGAAAACACCACCCAAAGAAACAATGGCTTGCTGACAGTTTAATTTTTCTGCTAGGCCATCAATGTCAACGTCCCCGGTGGAAAGCTGAACCGTGGTCTCTCCGTCCCTGACACCGGTCTGGCTCTCCTGCAGCAACCCCTCAACGATGAACAATTCAAACATCTCAGCACTCTGGGCTGGCTCACTGAACTGCTCCAGGCTTTCTTCCTGGTCAGTGATGACATGATGGACGGCTCCATCACCCGTCGTGGTCAGCCCTGCTGGTACCGCCAGGACGGTGTGGGCATGATCGCCATCAACGATGCCTTCATGCTTGAGTCCGGAATCTATGTCATTCTGAAGAAGCACTTCCGCTCTCACCCCGCCTACATCGACCTCGTCGAGTTGTTCCACGAAGTCACCTGGCAGACCGAGTTGGGCCAGCTGTGCGATCTGATCACCGCCCCCGAAGACCAGGTCAACCTTGACAACTTCTCCCTGGAGAAGTACATGTTCATCGTCACCTACAAGACCGCTTATTACAGCTTTTACCTCCCCGTTGCTTTGGCCCTCCACTACCTCCAGCTCGCGACCCCCGAGAACCTCGAACAGGCCCACGACATCCTCATTCCCTTGGGCCAGTACTTCCAGGTGCAGGACGACTACCTCGATGCCTACGGTGACCCGGCCTTCATTGGCAAGATTGGAACCGATATCCAGGACAACAAGTGCTCGTGGATGATCAACCAGACCCTTCAGCGCTGCAACCCTGAGCAGCGCAGGATACTCGACTCCGCCTACGGCCGTAAGGACGCTGAGCAGGAGGCCAAGGTCAAAGCTCTATACAGGGAGCTCGACATTGAGAACGTCTACAAGGAGTACGAAGAGAAGATTGTCGGAGAGATTCGCGCCAAGATTGCTGCCATTGACGAGTCGTCTGGTCTGAAGAAGGAGGTCTTCGAATCGTTCCTGAGCAAGATCTACAAGCGCAGCAAGTAAACATATAGAAGAGATACCTGTGTTTATATCTAGCGATAGTACTTTCTTTTGTTTATATCATGTCGAATACTTATTTAATTGAATAACTGGCAAAGTATGCCTGTGTATATACTGTTGGGCTAAGTACCAATTTAGAAATTACATATCAATGTATCCGTGTCAGCATCTTCAGCGTAACACGGAATGGAATATGGAATAGGAGGCAAACTCCACTCTCCTTTTATGGCCAAGATCTCCACCGGTTTTGTTTTCATTCTCGCTGAATTCCCAATGTTTTTTCTGGCATTGCTCTTGCAGACTACAAGTACCTACAGAATACTCTACACGCATGAAACAAAAGACTTTGTGCCCTCATGAATACTCGATGAATCCAATCCGCAACTCGTAAAGCGCCAGTGCCAGCCTTACAGGGCTCCGCAGAGCATGTCGATCCATCGCGTGCTCACCAAAAGCCATCGATCATCCTGAACAAAACACTGAAAACCTCCCTCGCAATTGACCGATCGATGCCAGTGTACGCCCTACCATGCCTACCTGGCTACCCTCCTTTAAAGCAATCCTCACCTTAACGCTTGCAACCTTTACAAGCGCGGACTTCGGCCCCCGAAACCAATCCACCGAGCACAACACCGGCCTCCTTGGTACCTTTCCGACGGAAACTTACCGCTCCTCGCCTTTAATCGGTCCATCCCTGAATTATATCCAGGACAGTCTGCTCTGCCACGATGAGCTGTATACATTGCTTGCACTGCGGGGAAGTGATGTGCGGACTCCGGGGCCGATGATAATTGATAGTGATGGGCATTTGGTCTGGACGAACATTGGGTATGGGAATACGCATGCGGTTGGGGTGTATGAGTTCAAGGGACATAGGTATTTGGGGTTCGGGGTGGAGGATAATGGATTGAAGGGGTTTGGAGATGGGGTATATTATCTGGTGGGTTTCCCCGATAACGAATGGAACGGGTAGATGCTGATGTTTACGGTAGCTCGACTCATCTTACGAAAAAGCGTATACGATCAAAGGCGCCAATGGATTCCCCGTGGGCCTACGTGAATTCCATATCACCCGCGATGAGACCGCAGTCATCGCGACATACAAGATCAAAACCGCTGATTTACGGTTCGTTGGCGGCCCCCAAGACGGTCGAATCTACGATAGCATCGTACAAGAAATCAACATCGAGACTGGTAAACTGCTCTTCCAATGGCGGGCTTCAGAACATGTTGATATCACCCAAGTACCGCGTACCCTGGACACGGAAGCAGGAACATATGTCGACCACCAAGGGCAGCAAGCGTGGGATTTCTTCCGCATCAACAGCATAGACAAGGACAGCAAGGGCAATTTTCTCGTTTCGTCTTCTTCAACAAATACGTTGAGCTACATTGACGGGAGGACTAAAAAGATCCTCTGGAATTTGGGTGGTCAAAACAACAGCTTCAACGACCTGTCCGGTGGTATAGCAACCCAATTCAGCGGCCAACACCATGCACGCTTCCATAATGATAATACAATCACTTTATTTGACAACAATGCCAATACCGTTAACGGTCCCAGTCAAGGCCTCTACCTCACCCTCGACTACGACCAAATGACCGTCTCCCTCCTTCACACCTACGCACCACCAACTGACCTCAACAGCTCATCAGGCGGCTCCCTCCAACTCCTCCCAACGGGCAACATCCTCCAAAGCTACGGCCAAATCCCCGCGTGGACCGAATTCAGCATCAACGGCGACATCCTCTGCCACGTCCATTTCGGCGCCGCAGTATCTTTCAATTCAAGCAAGGTCTTCTCTGACCGCATCGCCAAAGGCCCCTGGACTGGCCTCCCGAAAACAAGCCCCGACATCGCACTCTACGGCTACGAAGCCGCAGTATCTTGGAACGGTGCAACAACAGTAACAACTTACATCCTCGAGGGAACCAACGATTTAGAACTGGATATGAAACAAGCCATCTACACTCGCGACCACCCACCCCCAACCGACTTGAATGACAAAAACAAACCCCCGGAATTCACATTCCTATCTGCAACGCCCAAATCAGGCTTCGAATCTATCCTTCCCATCCCTAACACTTTTCCCGCGGGAAGTTATCTGCGCATCCGCGCACTGAACAAATACGGGCACGTTGTCGGTATAACAAAACTCACTCACTGGGATCCAGACGCCGGTCAACCGATCGTTGGCATCGGTGGCCCTGCAATCCCAGGACCAGATCTACGGCCGCTAGGATATTTCCTGGGTGGATTCTCGATTGCTGTTGTGCTTGCTATGGGAGTTTGGTTAATGAGGCGGCGGATTGCAGCGAGGAGAGTTTACGGACGTTTACAGAAACGTAGACGCGGCGGCTATGGTGGTGTTAATGATGATAGTGATGAAGATGGGGATAGTGAGAGGGGCGGATATGGGTATGGTGGGGGTTGGGATGATGGAGATGAGGAGCTTAGTGATAGGGAGTTGATCGATGCGGTTGAGTTTTCGTTGCTTGGGGGGAAGGCGTTGAGGGCTAGAGGGGTTAGGGGTTTGGAGGATAGTGACGAGAGTGATGAAGAGAGGAAAATCTAGTATAGATTGCATAGTTGCATACACTTGGATATAATGCATAATAATAGTAATGTCGATATGAACATCCTACGAGTGACCAGGGACATACGGCCATAATCTACTCGAAGTAATCAAGATTAGATAAGAATTTATATATTTCATGTCACTAGAGCGAGTTTCACGAAGTAGCTCAGAATACCGCTAGGCATTTAAGCAGCAGCAACCTCCAACCGCTTAAACCCACCCTCAGAAGCAACCTCCTTCTGCAACTCAACCATCCGCTTCTGGTCACCACAGGGATCAATCGAGTCAGGCTCCAAAGCCCAACCCAAGTACTCATTGGTATAGTTACCCACGAAGCTAGGATCCAAAATCCCGAGACGCTTGCCATAGTTGGTAACCTTGTTCCAGTCGCGGTTAACGTTCTTCATGTCCTGGCTGAAGTATGCGTACGAACGTTCAAAGATCTTCCTGTTAACAGGGCTGCCCATGATCGGCTTGACATCGATGTACTCTTCATACGCCTTGAGTGGCTCCGCAATGACGTAGTCCGTAGCGCGCTTGACAGCAGCCAGGAACTTGCGGACCTTTTCGGGATTCGCAGCGAGGAAGGCGTCGTTTGCGATGTAGAGGATTGTGCAGAAGCAGCAGCAGCCGAGCTCGGCGAGTTCGTCGATGCGGAGCATTTGGACATCGTCGCGGGGGCGGTTCTGGGTGGCGAGCCACTCGGCGAGCTCGACCATTTGTACGTTTTCGAGACCGATGCCGGCGTCGATGTCGCCGCGAATGATGGCCTTGGTGATGTTCATGCCGCAACGGACGGCGGTGTAGTCGTCGGTGGTCATACCGTAGTGTTTGGTGAGTTCATCGATTTGAATCTGTTGCGTGTTAGGAATGGCCAATGAGGGGGTTGGTTGGGGTGTAACTGACCTTTCCGAACTCGCCAACGTATCCGATCTTCTTGCCCTTCAAGGAGCGGAAGTCCTCGGTGATTCCACTGTTCTTGAGGTAGATGATACCTGTGAAGGGCTCGTCGAGCAAGGAACCAATCGAGGTAACAGGGAAGTCACGGGCTTTGGCCTGCTCCAGTTAGCACATCAAATGCCTGTAAGACCTGAAACAGTAGACACGCACGGCAAGAGTATGGATCATAGCCTTGAAGCCCATGTCGACCTTTCCGCTACCAATGATCTCGGTGACATCGGAGGGGTCGTTGGGCTCAAGGAGAGCAACCTTGAGGCCCTCATCCTTGAAGTAACCCTTGGCCTGAGCGAGGTACAGGGGGGCATGGTACGGCGTAGCGTGCCTTTACAAGTCAGTAAGATCCTTAATAGAGTAAGGCCTTGCAATTGCTACCAGTTGGTGAGGAAAGTGATCTTGTCGGTAGACATATTGATCAAGTATCACGGAGCAATTGCAAGCCTGCGACCAGTCAGCATTACAAGCACTGAATCTCTCTTCCGTGTTACCGGAAAAGAGATCAGGGAGTCAAGCCACGCATGTCCTTTCGCTGGTATTATCCAGATCAAGTTATGACAGTATAATCTCAGAACGACAGCATCCAGCCATTTTGGTGGTCTCCCCAGATTGTCTGTGACTAGAAAGATACACGATGGCATAGAAACTGACGAACACCTGTCACGCGTTGCATTGACATTATACTTGTACGATACCTTGACCCGAGTCCACCCAGGAAAAGACCATTCTGACTGCGCAGCTCATGGTGCCGTACCGAAGAGTGCGAGGATTTGGTTGGGTTCGATAAGTCGAGGATAATTGTTAAGATGGAAGGAAAATAGATAGAAAAGAGCGAGAGAAGACAGCAGAGGAGGGGTATTTATGCCCTTCCGAGAGCGGGGTGGTGCGCTCCGGTGAAGTCATGATCAACACTAACGTTTCCCACCGGTTCCTATCGGAGCTGCCATGCGCCAATTGACTGTCAGAGAACAATTTGTTTGACATGACCTTTCGATTTGTGTGAGATTATTAGGGCTCTCGCGGTACGCATTATGGTAGGTGGTGCGTTGATCTATATCAGCAATGCGGTAGGAATGAAGTCAGCGGTATTTATAACTCGGTGTCCCTCTAACTAGTTATAGTTTATACCATTTTAATGCGTATCTCCATGATATGCTTCCTAGAAGGGCTCCCTCGTGCTTGAAGAAGAAAAAGAATCCATACCAAAGAGAAAAGCAATTCCTAGAAATTTTCGACCAGGCGTACGATAATCTCAGAAATGGCGCTGTAAACGCCAGTGAATATCTACTCTTTAAATCGGCTAAGAAATCTTCTCCCGGGATTTCTTGTACAACAGTCAACCACAAACCCCCTGTGATTATGATGGGAAGATGGAAGTTACAGGACGACCGGCCTTATCGCATCCAGCAAGTCACTGCCTATAGGGGAAAGAACAACGGTGTATACTTGCAAGGCGGTCTGGCTATCGAATTCGATATAGTGTTCTTGCACAACACCAGTATACCCGGGAGAGGGACATTCAGCTCTCGCAGAGGCAAGTTGGTAGTAGCAGGAGTTTCGGACGCGTTATTATCGACGGTTTCATGATGCGTTTCTTTGCTCGTGAAGGTCGAGTTGCTTCTGTTGTAGCTAACTTACCGAAAGATTTCAACCATTGAGATTCACAAATGGGTTCTTGGTTGATTCCATTTAGCAAGGCTTCAAAGGCACTTGATGTTAAGCGAGGTCTGCGGTATCCAAACCTAGACATTAGACAGATACCGCTACCTGAGCTAAATCCGACATAATCGGAGTTAGGACTGATCTATGGACGAGCAATCCAGAAACAGTCAGGAATGCAGCCATAGTACTATCGATATCATATCCTTTCTTTGTTTGTGTTGATGCGTTTAGGGGATAAGCGGAGTTACCGGAGTTTAGAAACCATAAATAGAGCTATGTTTACTCCTACAGTGTACACTCAATATTAAACATTCTTCTATAGCAAGTTATAAAATGACTGTGGAACAGAAGTTGGTTTTGATCACCGGTATGCCATGCCATCCCCTGTGCATCTGATATCCATCTTGTTCTTATGGAACTTCCTAGGCGCCAATCAAGGCATTGGCTTCGAAACAGCCAAAAACCTCATCTGTTCTGGCAACTACCACGTTATCCTGGGCTCCCGTGATTCAGCCAAAGGGGCGGAGTCTGTGAAAGCCCTAGAGTCCCTCCCCGATACTAGAGGCACTGCCTCCTGGATCCAGATCGATGTCACAGACGACAAGTTCGTCGACGCGGCTGCCGCCCAAGTAGCATCTCAGTACGGAAAACTTGATATCCTAGTCAACAATGCTGGAATCGTCTCCCTGGCCCCACCAAGTCGCGAGACATTTCGGAAAATCCTAGACGTTAATGTCGTCGGTGCCCTCAGCACAACTGAAGCCTTCCTGGACCTCCTCCGCAAGTCCTCCGAAAAACGGCTAGTGTTCGTGAGCTCCAGTACTGGTTCCATCACACATGCAGCAAATTCCAGCTCGCCTTACTATAGCTCTCTCGGTACTGAGTACCGCACGAGCAAGGCAGCTGTCAATATGCTGATGGTGATGTATCAAGCAAGGCTGAAGGATGAGGGATTTAAGGTGCTAGGGGCAGATCCTGGGTTGTGTGCTACGAATTTTACGGGAGATCCAGAGTCGTTACGGAAAAGGGGTGCTGCAGAGCCGGGGGATGGTGGCCATAGAGTGGCGATTGTGGTTAAGGGGGAGAAGGATGCGGATATTGGGAGGGTTCTGGGTGATTATGGTGTTTCCCCTTTTTGAGCTGTATGCTTTTGACATAATATCATTCCAAGATATCCATGTCCCATTTTATTTCTCTTATCTACACATCAGATGGGGTCTTTCCCGAGCTTCCATGAGATATAAACCAGACGGCGTGCTTGGATGCGCACTAAATCGTGAAAAAAAAAAAAAAAAAAAAAAAAAAAAAAAAAAAATCATGGTCTATAAAATACATTAATCCAACTCGACAGCGCCCCAAGATAAACCCTATGTGTCTCCAGCTTCAAATGAAGTCTGCCAAGATAACCCATATTCCCCTCCAACCAACCCATCACCAACTTGCGGACATCATCTTCAAGCAACTCAGGAGACTGACAACACTTTTTATACTCTTCGAGACATCTCTTGCGTATACGCTAATAGCCGTATGATCCCTTGAGCTCCTGGCTATCCGCAACCTGGTACCTTGATAATCGGATCCTCATTGCTCAGCGGAAGACACTCGTTGCATTTTCATGCAGCACGAACCCTCAAAACTCCTTCCATGTAAATGGCAAAGTCTGTCAACATTGCTCCCGGTGGATGGAAAGCACTGTTTTTGAAGGGAATTGCAAATAGGACTACATCACCCAGTTGTTCGTCACTATGTCCTGCATTATGTACGACTCGTGGGTCTGGCACCAGACTCGCATGGGCAGCAAAATTGAAGGGAATGAAGTACCTGTAACTTGTTCATGTGTGCTCCATGGTATAGGGGTTGCAAGTTCCTCTCCTTGAGGTACTGTATGCATTCAGAATTTGACTTAGTAACTCAGCTGATTTATTTGAAAAGACGAAGAGATGGTACCATGTATTTTTATGTGTTGTCGTCTTGTTAACAGGTTACAACATTGGAAATCCTGTTATAAAAAATGGAATATTGCCGCACATAATGCATAATGTCGGTATCCGGTTCCTGGCCTGTCTGCGATTGACATGGATGGCCTTCAGAGATGTCGATGAGAAGATGTGTTGTGTATTATAATCATCCTTCTGTTTATCCCACCATGCTGAATAAGAGGCCCTGACTGGACCCTAATCACAGCCATGGGGACGTGAAAGAAAAAACATGCAAGGATCCAGGCTGGTTGTGATGTAGTACAACCAGTCAGGTTAAGAAGAAGGTATCTCAGCACTACCTGGATATTCCATGGACGCAATGACAAGGGTGATCGAAATCTACGAATCATTAGCTTCCATTCTCTTTCTTTTCTTAGTGACACCAGCCGGCTCATACAAAGTAAACAGCAAACCTCATGTATCGCACATACCCAGTTGGCTATTCTACCACTCACTCAATCAAACACGCTAACCGGCTCAGAATTCTCGCGTGTAGAAATCCATCTATGCTTATCTTTGGCTTCTTCACGGAGTCTGTCCAGCTCCGATTTGTTGAATCTCCCTTGGCGTATTGACTCCCCTAATCGGTCCAGCGCTCCACAGCTCCATCCAGCCCTGACAGTCGCTGTTATTGCTGGCTCTCCGACGGCCTTATATTGTTCCCAAGTCAAGTGCTCGTAGAACCGACGACGACAGAAAATTACTATCAGATCGTCCGGTCCTTTTACGGCATCGACAAAAGCTATCTGGATTGTTGTTAGGTCGGTTACTTGACAACAGGAGATTATATCTTGCCTCGTTTTGTGTGTTTTGGGTTATTGATCGTACCCGGCGTTTCATGTTATCATGGATGGAGGACATACTATTGCGGAGACCCATGATTGTATAATAGCGGATAAGGATGCAGAAATGTTTGATGAACTTGAAAGAAAACTTTGTCCAATAGACGGTACGTGTAGGGCTTTCACTTATAAGATGCATTCCACCGATAATTTGAAATAAATTGCTTTCGCAGTGAACGGAGAGCCCTATGTCGTTCCGTCGTTATTTGAATCCCAATCCCAAATTTCGGGATTCCTCTCCCTAAACGAGCATGCCGCGAGACATGTATGTCTGCATAGGAGACCCCAATCCATGCAAATGCATAAGGCCGGGGCTCTCCCGGCTGCCAAATGTATGCACGGTGCTCTTCTCTGTTAATGGTTCTGCTCACGTATGGACAAGATCCTTGCAATGTACCACGCAATCGTCCCTTGCAGGTACCCGCGCTGAGCATGTTGTGATAAGTGGAACTCGTAGTGATAGTAACCTCAATTCCAATCCTTATTCATCGAAGCGGGCTTTATGCATTTTCTGTGTGCCACTGCCAAGCTGTCACTCAGATGGACACTGAACAAGCGCCTGCGGTGGAAGCCCCATAATCCCATGAATAGCATAAAATCATGGTCACCCCGTGTACTTTAGAGTGAGGGGTCACGCATACTTTCAGTTGTACAGTTAGTGGTGGCGTAGCAGTTGGTCAAGATCGGTGGGGATTAGCGTAGAATGCCCTACAATACCGCACACAGTTCCATCTCAAAGACAGTCATCAGCATCTTAGCACCAAAATTTCACGTCAAAGGCCACCCAGGGTAATGTATACAATCAATAGCAAGCAGCCATCATGTGAGGTAGCGAGGATGGGCAATAGTCTCATCGACCCCTCCAGCCTTGTTTCATGTTTATAGAATGAAATAACAAAGAATATTGTTTCTACATAGCTTCTAGTATACGAATTTACCAGAATCATTGCAATTTCTCATGATGAGTGGCGACTACAACACAGTAGACACAAACATGACACAAAGTGAACTGGCATGTCATTGATTCAGCATCGCCTTCTTACACTACCAACCTATAGATTAGCCTATGGAAGCCCCTCATTGTGCCACCATCTTATTTTGATAGCTATGGCAGGCAGCCGATAGACTGTATCGCGCCGGAAAAAGAAGACAGAAGGGTATTTTGCTTTGAATTTGAAGTAATCCAGTTTGTAAAAAGGGGCGGGAACAAAGGTATGGATTACATCTGGGATTGAAGAAATGGTCATTCTCCTAGGTGTTACAGTCCAGATATGTACGGCAAATTAAAAAATATATAGTAACGGGTCATGCATGCGACAATCTAGCCATGTCGAGACCGTCCACGTAGCCGACAGACAAATGTGTCATGCTGTTGTGAGGGGGAATTTTGGATATATAGACAGTAGCACAATCTGTAATTTCATCCATTGAGTTATGGAGTTCCCACTGGTGTAGTTGACTCTCTTCGATTACCTCGCAGGTTTGAGAGCCGAAGATTGAACAGACAGCTGATACACACGCCCCTCTGAGTATGATCCAGTTATTATCCACTGACATCTCGTTGGAATTTGGGACTTAGCAATAATGGGTGCAACTTACAGATATCCGTCCCTTGAGGAGCATACTAGTCCAAATACCTCTGTGCTCTCGAGAACAGGCTTAGAACCAATTTACTGTCGAAGCCGATGTCCAGATAGACAGCAGTATCTTCAGCGCTTGGTTCAGGAACTTCTGGCCTAACTGCCCACGTTCTGGGCTCTAAGCTCTGGGACCCCAGGAAGTGAGCGACATGAACTTCAATGTATTTCTCGAGCTTAATGCCTTCGCAAGCCCGAATTGACGCCACTGAAAAGAAGGAAAGGAAGATTTCCGAATGTCTTTCCAAGACTCTCATATAAGCATCTCTCGCATGCAACCTTCTGTGGGGCCTGGCATTTCCAGCACAGAATCCGTGGTCGCTCTCTCAGATCTTTTCGATAGAAGTTGAGTATTATCTGACTACGGGTAAAGTCACCGTACGTCCGGATGATGTATTCCAGTGTTGACCTTATCTTGGTTTCTTAGGGGTTTCACGGTATAGCCAAGTAAATTTGAGCTATAAATAAGTTCGATAGCAACACAGCTAAACTTGAAGGTAAATGGTAGTAGAAGAAGCTTGGTTTGATACTAAACAAGGGAATTTAACACTACGGGGAACTAGTCAGGATAATAGTTCTATCCCATTCATTTTGTGGGCATTTCTCTATTCAAATTTAAATGTATCTGTGCCTGTCAATTTGGCCATACACGACCAGATAAAGATGGAATGGGGTTTAAACCCTTCTCAAAAGTTCTTTTCTCGGTAGTCCAAATTAATATAACGTTATTCGGTGTTGACCATCTATGAGTTTCAAAAAGCCGCTTAAGCAATGAAATGGTTAGTTGGTGTTACTGACGAACCAAAAAATTGGACGAGATACGGTCAGAAAGCAAACAAGGATAAGGTCACTTGATAAGAATTCTGGCATCAAAAAACATCGTACACAGTCCTCTTGGAATAATAATATTCCCTCTATTCTACACTTGATAAGACGCATTTGTCTTTATTACTAGGCGTCTTAACATCTCGACTTCGCATAGGCCACAATGTGGACCTAACCGCCAACATCTGGTCGTGTTTAGTCTTGGGTGTAACCCCAATGGCACCAGGTATCTGTGCTAAACTAACTGGTTGAGTCGGACAACATATCGGCCTAGGAATATCATTGTTCATGGTCGTATTTAAAACAACAATTCAGCCCAATGCCTACCGGGATTATCAGTACCCAGGCTTCTATTCTTGGACCAGTCGATATGGAACACATGCGCTTTCGTGCAGTCTGGGCTTTGTCTTTTCGAAGGGCTCGGTACAAATACCCATTGGCGTCCATTACGACTGCGGCCAATGCTCACACTTCATATTTGGCAAAAGCATGTTCAGAATAAAACTTGATATTCAGAGTATGATGGACGAATGATAATATGAAAGCTGATTGGTCAAGAGAACCATGTATGTTATGCTTTGTGACTGGTCAGTCTTACATACTGCCAACAAGTTGTCCCTCCATTCATGCGGCAATTTGCCAATATATGCACCGCTTTCATTGATTAGGGTATTGCAAGTCATGAATGACGGCGTTCTCCTAAGCAAAGAAGACTTTGAGCGATTACTCCACAATAGTCAACCCATCTCAAAAACGCGCATGCTTAACCTCTACTTCTGTCCTGCTGTCTCAGTCTAAAACGAATTGTAGAAAGAATGCTGTCTTTTCTTGGGTGCAACTTGCTTCCCGAAGGAGCCAAATTCGCGTTTACCTGCGTGGAAAAGAAATCTGGAGAAGGGCCAGGTGCCCTACTAGCTAGCGGGCAGTCGGTCTAGGCCGTATTCGGTGGGTATTGTTGTCCCGACCCGAAAGTCATACCTTGAATATACTTGTTGCTGTTCCCAATCCAGTGACAGTATAGGTTTCTGATTTAGCCCTCTGGCAATTCATCCCGGATCCGAGGGCCTCTCAAGATATGATAAAGGCAATTATCTGGTCGTTTGATTCTTTGCGTTAGCTTGCGTTTTTTCTGCACGCTAAGCGGAGTCGTTGGTGCATTCCTTGGAGCATCAATGCAGGGGAAAGTGCAAGAATAGAGACTTCCAGCACGACCTGCAACAGAAGGTTTAACTTGGTCTAGGAAGAAATATCAGTGCCGAAAAAACAAGTTAATTGAGTGCCCTATCATCTCCTGGCGGAGACCGGGAGGTCACGACAGAATATAACCAGAGATCATATACAGTACACATAAATCTTACAAACACTCTCCACTCGAGAATTCTGGCCACCATTATCAGACATTGCTCTGGAGTACCTTTCCAAATTCTGTTCTCGTTACCATCCTTAACGGTAGATCGGTCATACTTCCTCTTCCAACACCACTCTTGCAATCTCAATCAGCCTCGACCTCCCAATGTGCATATGTTTTAGACTTTATTATAGAGCACTAGAAGTTCCTTAATTCTTACATGGCGTTGAGCTGTAACGCATGGGGCATGCGACCTTTACTTTTTTTCTTTTTCGGGAATACCAAAAGCCAAAGCCTAAGGATACTTATGAACCTAGAGCCACAGCAGCTCTAGAAGCCCTTAAATGTAATAAGGGGCAAGAGATAGTCGTTCGAAGTTATGAGGGCCAGATTACTGTCTCCAGCGCATCCCCATATGAGGTGAGAATGGATTCTTGATGTAGGAGCCACAATCAGAGAAATAACATATTCCAACATATACACTGCATTCAAAAAATGACTGCCAACATGTGTACTGTCATAAAAGCATAAAACATCACATCAAAAGACATAAGACAGCCAATCATAAAACTCATCATCAAGCGGAAGCTCCGTCCATAAACATAAGTCGTCACTGCTCATCCAAAATCATAAATCGTCACTGGTTAAGAAAGGCGCGTTTACATGTTGCAGGCAAGGTTGTCGACACTGGGGCCACCGCAGTGTTGCCCATCCGAGCACTGTACAGATATCTGTTAGCTGTGTGCCCCGAACGAAGGAGCTAGTAATTTTACATACAGTACCAACGTAGCAGTCACTATATAGTGTTAGTACAAGGCAAAATATACTTATCATGGAAACTTACTAGTCCTTGCCATCAACTCGGCACTTGGATCCAGCGCATTCCTACAAACGGTTAGCTTTAGCGATATGGGTGAGGGAACCACTGTTCCAAACGTACAGTGACAATGTTGAAACGGGTTTCGAGAGTGCTGAATCCCACGGCGGCAGGCGCAGGAGCAGGCATAGCAAAGGCAACATTGGCCATGAAGACGATTGCGAGGCTGGTGAACTGCATTGTGAAGATTATGATGTGTTTGGTAAAAAAGATTGAGGACTGAGAGCTGTTCTTGGAATGTGAAGACTGGTAAGGATGTGAGTTTGTAGACTTCAACAGCGAGACATTGGGGGGGGTTCTTATAACATTTGAGATGAGTTATTTTCATGAACCACTCTCTATGTTTACGATGCCTTCTTTCCGAAGGAATTCCTACTTCCTTCTGAATTCGGAATACTACATGTTCCCAGACCCCATCGCACTTCGTATGATGTCTGATTGTATGCAAGAAGCGATGCTAAGCCATCTTACGAGCATTTTCATTCCGTCAATCCATAAGCATAGACAACAACAGTCGAATTACAAGCTGGCCTGACTCATAACCCGTTATGTAGCGTAGTAATTTGGTTTTGTATACAACTCCCATGTTTTTTTATGTAAGCGTCCCAAAAAAAGAAAATAGGATACATGGCGTTCATACCAAGCATCTGACTCGACCCATAGCCGTCATCAATGTAGAATGGGCCCCTCCAACACGATCAGAAGAAGATATTATGTGAGATGAGAATTTCAGCTTTGAAAATACGAGAATACCCCAGAGGATTTAGTGCCGATCTGTACAACAAAGAGCCGGTCCACTAACTCTTGACTGAGGCTGTGGCATTTCTATTCCGGAAGATTTGCTGACCTTGGTGCCCGAGAAAAGGGCTCTGAGCATCATGAGTGGCTAATACGGGCTAGTATGGCATGTCAAGACAAATGGGGAAATGATCATATCGGCTGTTGTAGATCAACGCCTTATAGGGTAACGTTAGGGCACTGTCTGCATTTCGCCCCAGAAACATGCAACTGAATTGCGGCAACGAATGACACATTTTCAACTACGAGGACCCATACTTGAGGCTCTTGTGAGACTCTGGTGAGAATAATTCATATCTTGTAGGCCCGTTGACTCCGATTCGTGTAGCATAGTATTCCGTACGAAAGTGGAACTCCGCAAATGGTATGTGGTCCGGAATCGCCGGGCAAGTTCTCAGCGAACTGATCTTGAATGATTCCACTCGGTGGACCTTCGAGTTCTATAGATCGAGGATCTTCAACCGTCGGACTAAGGTTGCAAGTGGATGTATACTATACAAATCATGCACAAGTACATATGATTCCATTCTATCACGTTTTGGAAGACTTTATATCAGAAATCGATCATTTTTATTAATACTACAGTCCAAGACCGATACTCGTTTGTTCTTGTCAGCATGTCAATAGACTAAGCTTCTGCCGCAGTTCCCCAGCTTTCAAGGCTGAACTACAAAAGTACCCTGATAGTTGTTGATGCCCGATTGGTACACATTTCAGTACATGTTTCTACGCTTATGCATCTCGGTAATGCAAATAGTACCAAAATGGAATTATTGCCGATAATAGTAGTTCTCGCAGCAAATCCCAAAATTTGTAGACTTCGATATCCGGGTCCCTCCGAGTGTAAATCAGATTATGCATGTCGGTGCTTATACATTTTTGTCGCAGTGCCTCAGCAAAGCCTCAAAAAATGCGGCGAATATGCAGACAATGAGTCAATATGCCATTGTTCGTGGGTTGGTCCATATTAATCCGACGACAATCTAACCAATGCCAGCCCAATGTCCCTCTCACATTTGGGGGCGAGGTATTGTTGGTTGACCACGTCAACATCGCTCTTTTACCGGACTACCACGATACATGAGTTATTTTGATAACACGAGAAGCGCAGAGTATTCCCAATTGGGCAGATGCGTGGGCGAGGCTGACATCTCGGTATGTTCTCCATGATGTTCAACACAACAGCCTAGTCTATATAAACCCTCAAAGTCTCGTTGAACAAATTCATTTTCAACAACATCCTCGAGCAATTCTCTTCCACTCATCCTTCTCCCTCTAGTTATCAACACCAATCCTACCAATCCTACCAAACAGTTAAGATGCGTGCCACCACCATTGTCTTCGCTCTCATGGCCAGCGTTGCTCTCGCTGGACCTGCAAGCCGCCCAGTCAAGGCCCGCCAGATGGAGGGTGTATGTTATGGGATATTTCCTTACTCCATTGTTTTAAAGCTAATATATCTCCCCCATCAGGTTTGCAACGGTAGCAGTTGCAATGTTGGTGGTATCTCCTGGTAAGTTCCAAATCATGCCGAACTGAACCTTTACAATACTAACAATGCTTGTACAGGGGGTGCAGCACCGGTAAAGTATGTGCTTTTTCTTGAACCCGCCTCTGAGGTAATACATGGGCCCGTGAACTGATATCCAATGTAGTGCACTGCTCAGAGCGGTGCTGGTGACGGTACCCCCTGCGGTGGCCCCGACTACGAGAGCATTAGCTGCCCTGGCAGCTAGATGTCTTACAATGCCAACTTTACTCGAAGATTCTCCCCTCTATGAGGAAATCACGAGACAATAAGTTATGCGGTTGATGCTAAAGGACGCTACGACGCAATGGTTTATGATGATGTTTTATGATATGTGTTTACTGCGCTTCTGTACAGAGTTCTTGGAACATCATGTACAGCATGACTATCTTTGACATATTTTAAGTTTTGCAATTCATTTAGTTAAGCCTTCTTTATATGCTTGCCGCAGGTCTAAATGGATACCAACTAGCAACATCTATAAAACCTTTATGATTCGGTGAGGGCGCTTCCTAAACTGGTAGGCATTGAGGACCGAGCGAGCAGAAATCTGGCGAAGACACTGGCTCAACTTTAATTCTTCACTTCGCCCGGTTGAGTGAGAGCGAAGGATATCATGTCAGAAATAGAATTGAAAATTCTTGGATCATACCATTGTCTATATGCCAAAATAGCATTGTTCATTGAGAGTCTATCTCAGTTACCTTCTTCTCAAAGATATCACCAGCAACAACGGAGAAGTGAGACTTGATTTTGTTTCGGTCAAGCCACCCACGCAAAATCTGAGCCCCAACCCCATGAGAAGAACAGCTGAGACATCACTCAATGCCCTGTCTCGGTGTGGAATCACACCATGTCCTTCCCTCCACAACAGCATTATCCTTGGGATACATGTGGGAACAAAGCACAGAAATTCCAGCCGTAGTGAATATCAGATTTATCCATTGTCCCGGGGACTTGCGAAGTGATATGACAGGCCGTAATCCTCCCGTGTGTCAGAATCCAGTCTGCATCAGCCCAATTTAGAAGATGGGCGAACAGAAGCCGTCGAATTTACGGGATCCTCCATTTAATGTCTTCTTTATCCGGGAATGATTGCTAGCAGAGTCAGAATGAGAGGGATATAAAAGGCGACATTCCGTGTCATGCTCTGACCAATTCACCTCTCTCGAGCCATTCTCAGACTAACAATGTCAACATTCAATTCCCCCCGATACAAGCGCCAGTCGCTTGGATCCCGGTACAGGTCCCTCTCAGAGACCTCCCGGTTTCTTCTTCAAAAGCTAAGCCGTTCTTCAGAGCCACTTCCCCAAGACCATCATGTCCCACGCCATCGTGTCGGAACAGTTGAAGACGACTATATTCTATGCAATAAAGCCTCCGGTATGATGGAAGTCGACTATTTGCGTGACAGAGATTTCATCGGAAGCAACCTTTATTCGAAGCGCAGCTCTCTATCTGTAGTCAATTCGGATATCGATACCCGGTCTATCAACAGCGAGGAATCGGTCACTAGCGATATATCTATCGGAAGTGAGAGTGAGAATGAACTCCCGGCATGCTTGACTCCGGGAAGAATTTCGATTGTGCAGCCTTCTTCCAATGCGCACTTTGGAATCCAGGATCTCATGAAAGGGATGAGCCAGCGCTGTGATAGTTACTTCGATGATAGTGGTGTAGATATCGCACCTGCTCCTTTGAGACCGGGAAAGCGCCGAAACAACAAGAAGTGTCCCCATAAGACCTATCGCGCCGTTAGCAAGACCAACTTTCACTTCGACGAACACGAGGTCGATGTCCATGTCCATGAAAAGTGTGCGCAACTTGCGATCGAAGATGCAATCGAACAGCATCTAGCTCAGCTGGAGCATCAAACTGCGGATCTCAGGCAAATGCTAACTACCTGCGAAGCCAAACTCTCCCAGATGACCGAGCAGGTTGCACAGTTCAAATCAGAGAAGCAAGCTGTGTCTTTCGAATCATCCTTCGAGCCGAAGACTGCAAAATACAACGCGCTCCCTATGAAGGACAATCCTTTCCTTATTGTTCAGTACAGGAACGAAAGCCGTCGCTATGGAGATGCTTACATGGATTTCCTGCAAGTCGACTTTATGAATACTGAGCAAGTCGATCTCTTGTCCCATGTGAATAATGCGGGAATAATCGCGCAGCGACGTCGGGGTCGATTGTCGCGAGCTTGGGGTGGCTGACTAGATTGAGTAGGAGATTGGGAAGTGTCTTGATATAGATGTCTCTGCTTTCTTTCCTTTTGAGCTTTTGTTTTCGTTTTTTGCTTTATAGGTTTGTTTTTCATATAAGATGGAAACAATATATATATTCATTGATGAGACATGTTTGTCATATACGAAAGTCTGCTATAGAAATCATGGAATAACCACAATCTTCCCCTGTGCCTCATCATTCTCCATACACCGATGAGCCTCTACAATATCCTCCATCTTAAAGACACGCCCAATCTTAACTTTCAACTTTCTCGCCTCTATCTTCCTGACCAAATCATCCAAAGGCATGTTCATAAACTGCTCAACCCCACCCCCATAAACCGTAAACTTCGTCTCAGATGGAATCAACTCCATCGGATTCACATTCTCCAAATACCACTCATTCCCCACAATCCCAGCCATACAAACAGTCCCTCCTTTTCTCGCACACTGCAATGAATCCGCCAGCGTAACCGTGCCCACCAACTCAAGTACCTTATCATATAATCCTGCTGAGGACGTTGACGATGCCTGTCGAATCTGCTCCGCAACTGCCCCATCATCAATCCAGACCTCATCCGCCCCGTTCTCTGTTAGCATATTCTCTCTTTCCTTCTTCCTCGTTGTCGCCCCAACAATAACCCCATGAGCCTTCGCAATTGCTGCCGCCGCAAGCCCAACACTCGATGTTCCACCACGAATCAACAATCTCTCCCCCTTCTTCAATTCTAGTGCCCACATCACCGATCCCCACGCCGTCTGCAACATCTCCGGCAACGCACCAAGCACCTCCCAACCCAGACTCGTCCTCGGTAACACCCTCACCTGCTTCGCCGGAATACAAGCATACTCCGCATACCCCCCATCAAACGCCCTCCCCATCCCGCCCATAGCTGTGGCCACGGAAGCACCCTTTGGAAACTGATTCTCAAGACCAGGGGCTGTAGCAGCTATAGTGCCAACGGCTTCAATGCCCAGGATGCGTGGGAATTGGACGGGGGAGTGGCCCTGGCGGGTGAACATTTCTGAGCGATTGAGACCAAAAGCGCGGATACAAATTAGGACTTCGTTTGCACGGGGCTGGGGGATTGGTCGTTGGAGGAGTTTGAGGACGTTTGGGGGGCCTGGGGTGGATATGACGATGGCATTCATGGTGGACATGTTGATGGTACTAGGTGGTTTTGGATTATTTAGGAAGATAAAGTAAGGCTATTCTCAGGCTGTTAAATGGGATTATGTAGGAGCTCAGGACGACTGGCTATCAGTAATTTACTTATCCTCTACAACATTGTTTGCAATGTTGTATCAGAGAGGGGACTGCCATTTTAGGAAAGCCAAGTGTTTGCACTGTTTGTTCCACTGGTTTGCTTTGTTTGTTCGATTTGCCTCACCAAATCTAGAACACAAGCACACGAGCATCTTTCTCCTTCTGAATCGCATAAATCAAACAATTGCTCAAGACAATTCGGCTTCCTTCCATAACTCCACTACTAACATGAATTCCTTGATATCTCACTGGAGCCGCAAGCGTACCTTACGCTGAAGTCATTCCCCTGCCCGGATGCTCCACCATGACTTCATGATGCTGTCAGTAGCTTCTACAACCAGGAATATGCAAGCAGTCGATGCTATCATCAGTTCGAGTTGGGTGGTTATTTAGTTGCTGCACTTTCTCATTGAAAATCTTCTTTCAGACACAACGATAATCAATTTCTCAATTGCATCTCTTCTAGAAGACATATCTAAGGTACGTCTTGGCTCTCACTGATGATTGGCCAACGACTAACATACTCTAGACCTATCTTCCTCGACCTCACCCAACACAACTCAATTAAATACATACACCATGCCTCGCGGATCCGAATACGCCAACGCCCCCGCCCAGAGCGACAACGCCATTGAAGCTGGCGAAAACAAGGCCCACGGAACCTCCGGCGTACGTCCTCCCTTGTTACCTCCCCCAATAAAGAACTACGACTAACAAACGCATAGGACACCGGACTCAACCGCGTCAACAAGGTCGCTGATTTCCCCGAAGGCGCCAAGGGAACCGGTACTGCTAGCAACCCGCTCAGCGGTCAGGGCAGCGCCGGCCACGACGATGGAAAGGGTGGCCATGAGCCTAAGACTCTTGGGGAGAACAAGGGACTTGGTGCTCACAAGGCATGAATGAGTAATGATGTCGATATGATATGAGTTTTGCATGAGCTGGGCTCGTGATTTTGTAATTTGCATAGGACGGTTTAAGCATGCGCTATTGTTTTCGTTATGCTTACGATATGAAAGTGTCCTTGGGGTTGGAGTTGGAGTTGTTACTGAACTAATTATGTATACGGAATTGAAGTGAACAACTCAATGGTCTGTTCTTGTATATGCGTAAGCGAAAGCATCCGCTGTAACATGAGATTAAAACCTGTGCGAAATGCTTGATTATAGTAAAATGTGTCCTAGATAACTCGGGCAAATGGCTGTCCCTATACAAATGTTGAATTATCAGGATCGGGTGCTCGTCCCTGACTTTGAACCATCATCGCTCTTCTTGGGCGAATTGGACCTCTCCCTTGAGCCCGACTCGACTCTCTTCGCCTGAACCAGTTCCAGGAGATGCTTGCCCAATTCTCCGGATCCGTCGATCTTGTCCATCTTCGTGTGGAAATATTCTGCGTCGCGTTGCATCCTACACTTATTAGCATGGGTGAAAAAAGTTTGAGAAAAGGGGAATGCTTACCGTTGCTTCCCAGTCTCTGTCCGCAGATTTGTCTCCTCATACGCCTTGATCCACTGATCACGGTAACTCCTAAACACAGGATCCATGATCATAGTAACAGTTATATCCGGGAGATGCTTGCTTAGCACACGATGAAGCGTCGCGGTTTCCTTAGTCAAGGTCTCCATATATGCATTCACACCGTTCGGTGCGGAGTCAGCATCCCAATCAATCTTCTTCATCGCGTTGACGTGCACGTTAGAGCGAGCGCTCATTATGTCGACTAGTTTTTCGTGGATGCCGGACTGGTGGTCTTGGTATAATCGCTTTACTTTGTCGAATTCGCCCATTAATGGGCTGGACGGTGCTTGGCGGCGGACGAATTCCCGGATATACGGGACAAGGGCAATAATGAAGCTTAGAGATTGGGATGAGAGAGCGAGGTGTTTTGTTGTGATGTTCTTCAATCCCGCGCTTCGGGTAGCTCCCGCGCCTAGAATCAGCTGCGATGACCGGGAGTTAAAGAGCTTAAGTGATTCCAAGAGACCAGACGAGATGTCCTGGATCATGCTGGGGATGTTCGACATGAGAACTTGGAAGCTCTCGATGCTTCGCATCATCGCGATTGCGGACTCTGACAGGATGTACTTCTGTTCGTCGATCAGGGCGCTCCGCGCCTTCTCCTTGCCAGATCCATTTACAGGTGGTGTGCCATTGTCTGTATCGTTCGTCTTGGCCGATAGCCAGATTTTCGAGGCATGCGTCCAAGCCTCAATATCTTTAGTGCTTGCATCGAGAATCCGTCTCAAGACTGCGTTTTCAGCATCACCAAAGTCCTTAGCATCCCACCGGTCCGCATCCATCACCTCAACAAGACTATGTCGCTGGTTCTCACCGAAACGTGTGACATAGTCCCGGATTTGGTTACCCACGACGGTTTTCAAGGTAGTGCCGCTTCTCCCAGAGATCGCCTCGCATTCATCTGCGAAGAGTCGGTTCAAGGTGAAGTATTTCAGGAAATCCTCCTTGGCTAGCTGAGAGGTCTGTTCAGTCCGGACTTTCAGGACCTTGGTTATCTGGGACTGGGCGATGTCCACAGCCTGGCCCAGGAGACTAGACATATCTAGAACCTGCAATATTTCATCCTGTGCCACTATTGTCGGTCGTCTGCGGCTCTCCGTGCTTCGCGGATCCGGGCTTGGAGATCGAGACTTGGATTCAGATGGGTTGTCCAAACCACTCGCGATATCGAGGAGGATCTTGACTTGCACGCTGAGTCTCCGCAAGGATTCGCTGACGTTGGTGTATACTCGGCTCAACATGCTGTAGGAATCCTCCACATCCATTGCACGGAGGTTGCGCGCAAGAATCGACGACTTTTCTTGCTGGCTAAGTGATGAGGACTTTGCCGTAGATACAGATATCGTTGATTCGGCATCATCATCACTGGAACTGGGCATTTGTTTACGGATCAATGCTTTCATTTCTCGAAGAACGGCAGTTTTGAATGAGGTAGTCGCAGGAGTGGTATGATGAGTCCGTGCCAGTCCGGTAAGCTGGACCAATAACTTCGATCGGAATTTATCATCAAAAGACATATAGGCCGGTGATATTGTAGAATCGGAGCGCTGGGCTCCACGTTGCCGTTGGAAAGAGGAACCCCATCGTCGCAAAGTTGAATCAAGCGGCACTTTGTCTACATGTTGTCTTAGATCCGCAAGGAGTTCGCTCAAGAATCGGCTCTCGTACCCCGCACCGATCTTGGACCTCAATTGCGCAAGATCGTCGGATGCACCCTCCAGAGCTTTGATCCCCCGCAAATCAATACGTCTCTTCTGCTCCGGCGAAGAACCGTCTTCGCTAGGGCGTTCATCAGCATGCTCTCCAGCCATTAATCTCTCAACTTCCTCAAGGCCGTCAGCAGCCTGCTCGATTTCGCCGCTCTCCACGAGCTGGTCGCACCGAGAGACGGACTCGACCACGTCGCAAAGTTGGGACACAGCGTCGGAAAGCATTCGAACATTTTCCCTTCGACGTCGCAGGTTGACAATCTTGAGGCCTCCTAACGCCATTTCCCGGTCGATCTTCTGGAGATCCTTCCGCAATGTTTGTATCCGTTTTACTGAGTCTGCTGCTTCAGAGTGTAGTTCACGCAGGGACCCTAGGGCTGAAAAGAAGGATTTGGATGCTGTAGAGATGGACGAAATAAGGTGAATTTCCACTGTATCCATGTACCATGACAGTTTCTCCTGCAGAATGGCGTTCGTAGCAAGCGCCTTTCTACCAGTTGGCGCGGGCTCCCCGGTAGCCCCATTCGAGGGAGGCCTAATTATATCTGATTTCTCCGACACCACATCGAATATCCGGGGGTTTTCGAGATGGAAATCTTCCTCAAAGTATAACGGCGGAATCGTAGAGAGCGGCGTAATTCCCTGCCCACGGCTTAGCCCACCAGAAGACCGTCTTCTACCTCGAACATCGTATGGCGAGCTGGCACGCGAGCTAATAGACAGTGTCGACGGTCGTCGTTCCTGCGATCTGGACCCGAATCTATCAAAGTCGTCCGATCTTTGAGGGCCCTTGCCCCCTCGCGCAAGTTGTGATTCTTCTCCGGCGCTTTCCTTGGCTTGTTGAAATACATCGTACAGTGACCCCACCTGGGTTATATATGGTTGAAACGCTTTCGATTCGACATGAGGTATATTCGTCAATGTCACTGGGGGTATATCACGAGACGACGGGGGTTTATAGCCGGTAGAGGACACCGCAGTATGAGGAAGCAGTCCTGTGCGGACAATGGGAGGTTGGAGCAGGGTGGAAATCGCTATACCAGTATTAGTACACACCACAGGATCCCCTCCCCCTAACAGCCAAGGCACAACGCACCATTCTGTCCTGCTTCCGCAATTGACCCATGATGTTGTGATGAATCCAGAGCCCCTCCAATGCTCACAACAGAGCTTGCAGTCGACCCTCTCCTCAGGGGGGTGTTTCGCTGAGGCGGGACCCGGGGCGAATCGAACGGATTGGCGGGCTGTTGAGATAATGACGGTGTAGACGCACCCGACGCGAGGCTGTCAATTGACTTTCGGGGACTCGCGGTAGACATTTCGTTCATGCGAAAAGGCCGGATCCAACGGCCAGCGTGCTGATCGTGGTGAACTGCTATCTAATCATGACAGAGGACAACTGTTCCTGTTGGGAGCTGCGGTATCGCAGCGCTGGCTTCAATGTGCCTTTCACGGAAACGTGTTCGTGATCGGTAACTCGAAATTCAGGAATGGAGACGTATTGATCTCGAACGCAGGTGTAACGTCCACCAAAACCGCCGGCATGCGGTTCGCAGTTAGGAAACACATGACAGCTCACCCCGATCGGGAAATGCGCCCACTCCGCAGCCACGGCACCTAGGCCAAATCAGGAACTGAGGAATATCATTCTTCCGGTACCTCGTCAGGCATTAAATATTATCTGCCTGCCAAAAACCACTTAACGCGTGTTCGAGACGCGACGCGTTCCCCGCGGTTCAACAGCAAAAAAGATATTATCTGCGACTCCTTGCGGCGGTGATACTTTACAGCATTCACAACCACCACTACATCTCCTTCATACTAATCCAGTTTCCTTTGACGTCTACGGCATGGATAGACGCACTCCCTATACTTTGAGCGTGCTGCCGCCCAGCGAGGAGGTCGGAGAAGACTCTCGCACGCACATTCAGGCCCGACTGCGGGAGTTTGTGCTTGAATTCCAGCTGGACAACGCCTTTATTTACCGGTGCGTCGAAGTGGATGAGATGTGGAAAAATTGAGAAAGAGGGGAGACTGATGGGTTATATAGAGACCAGCTTCGACAGAATGCCTTGGTGAAGCAATACTACTGCGACATTGATATCGCCCATTTGATTTCGTATAACGAAGAGCTGGCCCACAAACTCACGACAGAGCCCGCAGACATTATCCCTCTGGTATGATATTCATTAACGAATACATTCTCGGGGGTAAACTGCTGACACGATTCGTTCATAGTTCGAAGGAGCCCTCAAGCAGTGCACACAACGGATTGTGTTCCCCTCCCAAAGAGATATTGTCCTCCCGTCGCATCAGTTGCTCTTGCACTCGTCCGCAACACACATCTCAATCCGTGACCTCAATGCCACCAACATCTCTCATCTTGTTCGTATCCCTGGTATCGTGATCGGAGCCTCGACCATTTCGTCCAAAGCAACAATCGTCCACATTCGATGCAAGAACTGTGATCATGCCGAAAATATCTCAGTCGACGGTGGATTCTCCGGTCTCTCGCTACCCAGAACCTGTGGGCGTAAACAACAACCTGGAGATGAACCGGGAGACAGGTGTCCGTTGGATCCGTATGTGGTTGCACACGAGAAGTGTCAATTCGTCGACCAACAGGTTCTCAAACTCCAAGAAGCCCCCGACCAAGTCCCTGTTGGAGAGCTTCCCAGACATGTGCTCATCTCTGCGGATCGCTACCTGGCTAACCGGGTTGTTCCAGGATCCCGTTGCTCAGTAATGGGTATCTTCTCGATCTACCAAGCCAAGGGCGGCAAGAAAGACGCCGCTGTTGCCATTCGCAACCCGTATCTTCGTGCTGTTGGTATCAACAGCGATCTGGATCATACTGCGAAGGGAAGTTATATTTTCTCGGAAGAAGAGGAGCAGGAATTCTTGGAATTGAGCCGTCGACCGGATCTGTACGACGCCTTGGCCCGGAGTGTCGCTCCCTCGATTTACGGTAACTTGGATATCAAAAAATCTATCATTTGTTTACTTATGGGCGGTTCGAAGAAGATTCTCCCTGATGGAATGAGACTTCGTGGAGATATCAACGTCATGCTTCTTGGTGACCCCGGTACCGCCAAGTCTCAATTGTTGAAATTTACCGAAAAAGTATCACCAATCTCCATCTATACTTCCGGTAAAGGTTCTTCTGCGGCTGGTTTGACCGCATCGGTGCAACGAGATGCTGCCACACGCGAGTTCTATCTCGAAGGAGGTGCAATGGTTCTGGCAGACGGTGGTGTTGTTTGTATTGATGAGTTCGACAAGATGAGGGACGAGGACCGAGTCGCCATCCACGAAGCAATGGAACAACAGACCATTTCCATTGCCAAGGCAGGCATTACCACTATCCTTAACTCGAGGACGTCCGTCCTAGCCGCTGCAAACCCTATCTTCGGCCGATACGATGATCTGAAGACACCCGGTGAGAACATTGACTTCCAAACCACTATCTTGTCCCGTTTCGATATGATCTTCATCGTCCGCGATGACCACGACCGCAGACGTGATGAAAACATCGCACGTCACGTCATGGGTGTGCACATGCACGGTAGAGGTGTGGAGGAGCAGGCTGAGGCTGAAATCCCGTTGGATACTATGAAGCGATACATCAGCTATTGCAAAACGTATGTACCATCCCATTTTTTCAACGAAGACCATCTCTTAACAATCTTGAAGTCGATGTGCCCCTCGCCTCTCCCCTGAAGCCGCAGAAAAGCTGTCCTCCCACTTCGTCTCCATCCGCAAACAAGTCCACCGTGCCGAAATCGACGCCAATGCTCGTTCCCAAATTCCTATCACCGTTCGCCAGCTCGAAGCTATCGTCCGTATCTCTGAGTCCCTCGCCAAGCTGCAACTATCACCAGTCGCCACCGAAGCCCACGTTGACGAGGCCATTCGGCTCTTCCTGGCATCGACTATGGACGCTATCACGCAGGGTGAGGGACAGGGTAGCAAGGAGATGATGGAGGAGGTTGGCAAGATTGAAGACGAACTTAAGCGCCGTCTGCCTATTGGCTGGAGTACCAGCTTGGCTACTCTGCGTCGGGAGTTTGTTGACGGGAGAAGTTATACCGAGCAGGCTCTGAACAGAGCGATAGTGGTCCTCCAACGGAGGGATACCTTACAGATCCGGTCTGGGGGTTCGCAGGTCTACCGGCATGGTGTTTAGTGCACTTTTTGTCTTGTTTTCATTGTTTTTTACTCTGTTTCGACGAGGTGATGCTTACATATCCCGTGAATGCGTTATGTTCACTTTTTATACATGTTGAGATAAGAGGGTTAAGTTTGGGTACAGCGGGATTGAACTGGTGTATGGCGTGTTTATGGGTACATTGAGTGTATTATCTACTTTCATAATTGGAAACAATTCAAACATATACAAGCTACTTAGTCTCATTGCAAAGTCTGGATGTATGAATTCTGGGTAACAGTCAGGTACTCAGACCTCTGGTCTTCTCATTCACTCTCTTGCTCTGTCATATATTCACTTAGACTAGCTAATAGTCGACCTTGTCTTTCATTATCACCACACCTCCCGAGGTCTTCGAGAAATTAATGCATGACAAGCATTGAGCATTGAACTTTTCAAAGGATGGACAGGCATAGATAATTGTCATGATTGGGCATCATATCATACAGATGTTGTTATACAGTCTGCGTCTATGTTTGCCCTTACTCATCTACCCCTGTATTCTCTATTCTATAAATCTCGTCTTATCTCTCATCAAGAATCAGTTCCATCGATATCCTCTTTCTCATCTTGTCCACACTCAGATAGCTTTCTACATAACCACCGTAACAAAGATACCATTAGGGCAGAGCCAATCAACAAGTCAAGCCTCCACCACCGAGAGACACTACGATCTAGGCCCTTAATTTTGAGCACAGGCCTGCCCACCAAGAAGGCTGCCATCTCATACGGCGCTAATATTCTCGCTATCGAATACATCCAAACAATGCAGACCCTCGACAAACTGCAGGCCAAGGCCTTTGAGACAAAATCCAGGGATCTGTATGGCTAACCTTTGACTCGCACACACTTATTGTCAAGGCATTGAAGGATTTGATCAGTACCTCCAATATCCTCACGACTACAAAGATCCTAGCGCCTTGGGCGGAGAACCAGAGTGACAAGGCAACAGTTGGATACCAGAAACAGTTGAAACACTTTGTTCAAGGATGGCTTCTGTATAAGAAGCAGGAAACAAGGATGGATTATATGAAGGGCTCTATATTGGAGCATGTGGAAAATTGGTATTTGCGACTATGAAGGATGGTTTTGATGTTAAGAATTCGTGGGATGGGTTTGGACTTGAGTCGTTGTAGGAGTATATTGTAATGGACTAGATATTAGCTTATTATTTATTAGATGGGCAATGAATTAAGCGTTGATAGCAGGTTTAGTATACTTTTTGAGGAGTCATGGTTTGTAGATCGGAGTAAACTAGGGCACGGCGGCAAGCCTTTGTGCCGGGTTGTGGTTGAGTGTAACATTGTCGCTCAATATTATTAGATACCCAGGATCTTGGAAGCAGTCATTTGATAGGATGTACAGATTGTTTGTTATACAGTCCCAATCATTAAGACCTTTGTTTGGGTTGTACATATCAAAAGTCTGCCATGTGCCTGCTTTGATTTATTAGAATATGAAATGTGGTACTAGAAGTACAAATAGCATGGGTATACGCTGGAACCACATATATCACAGTCGTACAGTTGTCTGTATGTTTGCTTCGCTTATTATTATTGCATTCTTTGGTCTATATATTCTCGCTCTCTCCCACCCACAACCGTTATCATCAACCAATCCCCAGTCGTATTTGCAAACATCTTCATCCAACCATCAATCATTCAGCATGACTCTTAGATCCATAAGCACGACTCACCATGCTACCTTTCCAAAGACCCGGGAAGAATACCGAGGCCGACAAAAAGAGTCTATCAGAAAATCTCTGCTAAAAAAAGCCAACCTTAACAAAGCCCTCCAAGCAGCAAGCCAATCAGAAAAGCACCGCGAGAGTACGGTCCGGTACAGGAAAGTCGTCTTAGGCACCGACCTATCCGTGGTCCAAAACAGCGCCACGTTTGCCGGCAACATCGTGAGAGATATCGAATGCATCGAACAGGCACAGAATGAGGATGATCCGCGTGTAGATGCGTGGAAGGCTACGTTCCGGAAGCTGTACAAGGTTTCTTATGACGACCGCGAGAATGTTTTGAAAGCACCGCAGGCTTTGATTGATACGTGCAATATGTTCTGGTCTTCGAAAGTGGTGTATCCTTGGGCGGAGCATGATGAGGCTGCGCGGTACTGCAATACGATGGATGAACTTATCTTTGGGTGGGAGATCTCGAGGAGGGAGGGTAAGGGGGACGAGTATTGGGAGCTCGGGCATGTTGTTTCTACGTTCAACGATATGAAGGAATGGTATGAATATGGAGTTTATGGGGTTCCCGAATAGGCTGGGGTTCTGATCATGTGGAGCAAATGGATGTCTGTTTTATTTTCGGGATAATAACTAGTATTCAAAATGGTATATCACTTGTTTACGGAGTACTGTTGTATTTGTACTTGCAATCCAAGATAGGGCTGGTCAAGCACCGACGTAAGCCGAGGCCCCACTGGACCTGAACCCCACGCGTGACAGCATCGTCACTTCCACCATCTCAGCCAGCTTTCGAATTGCACTACTCTTTCCCCTGTATATACCTATAACTTTCTCACCTCCGCTGAACTGGCACACACATACTATACTACGATCGCACCGCTACCGCTACCGCTACCGCTACCGCAACAATGCCTCCTCTAATCCGCGTCATCGGCTCCCTCAACGTCGACATGGTCTCAGTAACCCCGCGATTCCCCTCCCCCGGCGAAACGATAACAACATCATCCTACTTCATGTCCGCCGGCGGCAAAGGCGCAAACCAAGCCGTCGCCTGCGGTCGCACCTCCCGCCCAAAATCCACCTCCCCCAACACCCCCTCCGCCCCCAGCACGCCGATTGATGTCGAAATGGTAGGCGCAGTCGGAGCATTGGACGGCCACTTTGACTCCCTCCTCAAACCTACTCTTGAAAATTCGGGGGTTGATACGTCGCGGGTGCGGATTATTCCTGATGCGTATACGGGTGTGGCGATGATTATCGTGGATGAATCGGCTGGGGGTGAGAATCGGATTTGTTTCTCTCCCGGGGCGAATTATAAGGGCATGCAGCCTGTTCCCGAGGTATTGGGGCTGGGTCTTGCTGCTCCAGTGCCGGATGTTATAGTGCTGCAGGGTGAGATTCCGAAGGAGTCGTTGGTCGGGACATTGCGTGAGATTGGCGCGTTTAAGCAGAGAAATCGTGAAGAGGGGAAGAAAGGGATCGAAATTGGACCGGAAGTTGTGTTTAACCCTGCGCCCGCGCCGCCGGGGGGGTTGCGGCCGGAAGACGGGATGGCTTCTGTGGATCACCTTATCATGAACGAGACGGAGGCGGAACTGATGAGCCCATCGGAGGAGGAACTGGGACGGCATGCCTGCGTCGGTGAAAATAGGAAAAAGAATATTGCGGGCTATTTCCAGGCATATGGTACGACGTACGTTATCATCACGCTTGGTTCGAAGGGCTCCTGGTACAGCGCCTGCCAGCCCGGCAGTGGCGGTCCCATAAACGGGGTTGACAGATTCATGGGCGAGATTCCGGTGGATAAGGTGTCGAAGGTGCTCGATACGACAGCCGCGGGGGATACGTTTGTGGGTGCATATGCAGTGGAGATTGCGCGGTGGCGTGAGGCGAGGAGAACTTCTGGGAAGGCCGGGGTGGATCTCACGGAAGAGGAGCTGAAGGAACGGTACGAGACTGTGACGGAACGGGCGATGAGATTGGCGACAAAAGCAGCGGCGCGGTGCGTTGAGAGACAGGGGGCGATGGATAGCATTCCTTGGGAGAATGAGCTTTGAAAGGCGTGCACGATGTACCATACTCTGTACTTTACGTTAGATATAGATATCCATAAAGCACAGTCAATATGTGGCAAAGCGAGGTGTCTCGCGAAGAATGGAATGTCCATGTGTAACCGGGCATCTATGTTGCGGATCTGTCACTCACATTTCTCGCGTTTGATAATGGACCATACTGCTACAGAATATTGCGCATGTATTCGAAACAATTCCATTTGTATAGTCCTCTAGATGACCACGTTGGTCTGCTCTGATTGTTGCGCCTTGCTTGTAATATTCACTGAATTCTTTTTCATTTTCGAAATATCAGGATAAGTATGTTTCCGAATAACCCCCCATTACCAGGAAGTTCCCTGGTTCAGGCTCATCAACGTGTCGCCCCGGCTCCAGAAGTCCCCTCCTGCCTCCCGCCGGAGTTTCGTCTCCCAATCATCAAGGAATGATTGGAGGATCCGCTCTCCATGCGCTCATCGGCCCTGGTTGCCTCGTGCATTTCGACCGGAAGGCTGGAGGGTTGCCCCCTAGGAAATTCTAGAGAGCCTTCTCGTGGATTCGTTTTTCTCGATTACTGTGGTGGCACTAGGGCAATACCTAACGGAGGTTGAAAAATACTGGTTGCCTCGTACATTGTGAAATGCATGCCGCAACTCCCGAAGAAGGCTTTCCAGGCACTGACTTGCATCGGCTCTCTTCGTTCTATGATCTTCGTAGCCCGTATATCCGCCATGATATTGCCCTCGTGGACGACAACGTCGAGTCAGCCGTGAAGGCTTTAGGACTGGCCAGTGTATGTGGACATCTTTCTAAGGAGTCCCACTTTAGAACTCTAGCATTATGCCGGATTAGCACATTATAATACCCAAGGTGTCACTCTAAACTAATACATAAGTGTATCCACCTCCGCTCTCCTATACGGCGTCGCCGCCATGGGCAACAACTGGAAGACGAGTTGAAATGCGAGAAGGGCGGAGATGTGGTGGGGATGAGCTACGACATACGACTCATGTTCTGACTTGTATGACAAGACAATACGTCAAGGAGGGCTGTCTATAATGGTTGGGATCCTTGGTCGTTGTGTCCGCATACAGTATCTGGGATGGTCCGGTAAGACGGCATCGACCAAAAGGGACGCGTAGACGCAATGGAGGTTGCAAAGAGTCTTTCGAGACGCAAGAGTAGGAACAGAAAGAATAGATGGTTTGATAACATCCACTGACCAGGAGGAAGGATGTTGATAAAAACAGTAGGATGGAATGGGTGAGGAGATTAGTGCTTACCGAGAAAGGACGAAAGGAGCATGCGCTACAGTCCTAACTAGGTCGAGACATAGTAGGAGTACACTATTCTATCCACTTTCTTCGATCCTACATAGGCACGAATATCATGTCCTGTACAGAGTACAGAGTACGGAGGAGTAAATGAATGTCGAGTCTCGAGGACGGTATGTCCTGCCATAGCATTCCTCACGCTTTCCGGACAGCCCCGGATAGTACTCTGTAGTATGAACCAAGATCAGATCCCGGCCGATCAGGGAACCTCTTCCCACAACGGACGTATCAGAATAAGCCTTCACACTAGAGTAATACTGGTCTGTTTCATCAGGGTAGTCTCTGGCGGCAAGCATTGGCTGAGAACGCCTTACTCCGGGCACTGCGGTTACACTAGAGTACTTATGTCCGATCGACACTACGTCTCCAGGCTTCTACTTATAGCACGCGCGAGATCGCAAGACGTGATTCCACCGAAGTGATCTGTATGGCGTGGGGAGAGTAATGCATTGCAGACCTGGGGAAATGGAGATGATACGGAGACGCGAAGACGCGTTGGACGCGTTGAAGGAAGGGGGAGGGTGAAGCAATTAATGACTATTGAGTTTGTAGTCTGCCATAGCGGATGGTCTGTGAGGTTGTACTCCGTTTGTACTCCATTTGGAACAGAAGCGGTCTAGAAGTGTTGTAGTAGTATTCGCGTGGTCGAACCGTCATAGACGGCACTGTTAGCTCTCCCAGTATGGTTAGACAGCCCTTAACACAGGTGAAGAATAGCCAGACTAGCCCTTGTTTGGGTATAATCAGTGAGTTAGATAAAACACGCGCCTTGCATCATCACACACGAACCACGTCGTGGACGCGCCCGGCTGGCGTTGAAACCGCATGTTCAGGTGGAGAGGAATGAATGGAGCCTGCCCTCCATTTTCACCCGCATTTTTCCTCCTTGTGACCCTTCCTTGCCTTTCTCTCGGAACAAGTATATATTCGTTTCTTCCTCGTTGTCTCTTTGATATTGTCAGTCAATTGCTTATCGTTGTTTCAATCTTTCAATTGCTCGTGTTGCTACTCCGTGCTCTTATCCCAGATAGCCTAGAGTTGCACAACCAATCATCATCCTCCATCTCCACCAAAACAAACTCCTCAGCTGAGCTTGACAGCTACTCCGTACAGAATAAATACAACTCTGATCTGTATCAACCTCTGAATCTCCGTAATGGCGGCAGTTACCATGTCTACTCCTGCACGCCAACCGTTTGCCAGCCTGGACGCGCCTCGTCTGCGCGCCTTGGCCAAATCTCGCATGAACATCCGCAATCAGCAGAACGGTGAGCTCCATCCAGCTTCACATCTACGCAGACACAATCGATCGATTCTAACGCGTGTAGGTGCCATGATCACCGGCAAAAGAAAGCCTCTAGGCGACATTGACACCGAAAACATTGACCCGACTCTCAATCTCTCCTCCAAACGCAAGCGTGGATCCGACGAAAACGATGACCTGTCCAGCAAGAAGACCTCCACTTCCACCGCTCCCCCCAAGCCTCTGAAGACCTCTCGATTTGCATTGAAGACTATTGAAACTAGTCCTTCCGCCCCTCGCATCTCGTCCCTCCTCCAGCCATCTACCCCGAAGTCCACCCCCAGCCTCAAACCCGCCGGTCGCTCGCCTCGATCTCTCAAGTCCATCTGCAAACCGTTTGCTCGGAGGTCGAACATCACCAAGGGAACTCACCCTGAGCCTACGGGTCGGAAGAGCGTTAGCAGGCCATTTTCGATTGCAACGGCTTTGTCGAGTGGAAAGTCCCAGAAAACCGCTGCTCCCGCCACCCCTTCTACCAAGACACCTGCTCCCGCTTCCTGGTCCTTCGATATCCACGTCGACTCTGAAGAAGAGGAGATGACCAACCTCATGCAACACTCCACTGGTGTCCTTGATATCAGTGACAGCGAAGCCAAGCAAGATACATCGTCCGGTCGCGGGAAGGAGAATGTCCCGCCCGCTGAACTGGGTCTTGAATTGGCTCCCGCCGCACCTCAACAGGAGTCGCCTGCCGCGGCTGCTCGCAAGTCTGTCATGATGGAAGAATCGCGTGCTCCGCTTGGTGAGCTCAACGCTGCGGACTACTACGGTGCCGACTGCCATGCATTTTCCTACGCGGTGGTTTGGGGCGAAGAAGAAGAGACTGGTGTTGAGAATGCCGTTCCCGTCCAGACGCGCAAGTCTGCATCTCGTGGGAGTACCAAGCCTGCCCGCGGCACCAAGCTGTCTTCCGTCTCGTCCATCTCTTCTCTTGAGCCTGCTGCTTCGAAGGAAGAGTCTGCCAAGAGTGAGCGGTCAGAGACTGGGATTGAGATCTATGAGAGTGAGAGTGCTGCTGAGGAGGAATCTGCATGATTCATTCGTCTTATTTTATAATTTCTGTGGCATGGCGTTTGTTGGTGGTCATCTGAGCTATTTCGTCTTGATACCCTTTCCTTTGTTGATGTGCAAAAGCAAGCCGGTCTTTTTTCCTGTTTACTTTGTCTTATTATCTGTCATACTAGTGCTGTAAATACTGTATATCAATTGAACAGTGTACCAATTCTCAAGATCCCTCATCCATCTCATCATCCTCATCTTGATCCTCCGCATCATCCCTCTCATCCTCATCCTCACCCTCCTGATCTTGCATCTCTACCTCCTCACCTTCACTCCCCTCATCGCCCTCGCCCTCATCCTCCCACTGCACCTTCTTCCCACCCTCGCCAACCTCATTTCCGTCTTTCCCGTCAACACCCCCAGGCCTCCTAACAACAGCCCTCCAACTAGCAGCCCCCCTAATCGCAGCCCTAATATCAGTAGCCATCTGCATCTCCCTCGACCCAACCCCCTCCCCTTCGCACGAAAACTGCAAAATCTCCTCATTCAAATTTTGCTCATCCACATGATCCGGAAACGCAAGAATTCTTCCAAACTCAGCCTCGTCATCCGTAGTCCGGTTCTCAGTTAGCGCGAGGATCTTGGCGCGCATTATCGCCTTTGCTTTCGCCATAGTACCTGTACCATACCACCCATCTGTAACCGGTTCACAGGTTTCTCGGAGGAAACCTGGTGGGGGGGTTGTTGGGTCTGAGGGGTTTGGCGGGAAGAGGAAGTTTCGGAGTAGAGGGTCTGCGATGTCGCAGAACATCCACATTCGGCCGTCATGAGGGAGGGGCGGGGTGCCTGTGAAGATGTGTGTTGTTTCGGCGGGGACGGGGGTTGTTGTTGTGAAGGTGTTGTCGGAGGAGAGGGTTGTTCGGGAGGACGGGTTTGTGAAGGGGTTTATGGCGGCAACATCGGAGTAGCGGGTGTGTGTGTGGCGGCGATTTGATTTTACGCCGCCGTGTCCACCGGTAGCAGTCATTCCTGTGGTGTCTGTGTTGATAGTGTTGGAATTGGCGCTGCCGCCGCCATCACGCGCGACTTCGGGTTCACGGGGCAGGAGGCGGAACATGGCTGTTTGGTAGATGCGGTAGTCTGGGGAAGAGCGCGGGTCGTGGCCATGTTTGACAATAGCATCGCGCCATGGTCCTGAGCGGAAGATGTAGCCGACGTAGGGGACTGCGTGTTTCAGGGCGTGTCTTTGCTCGAGTTTGGTGAGGGAGTTGCGTAGACCACGTCTTGTCCAGGCTGGTCTGGTGCTGAAGAGGGATTCAAGCACAGAGATAGTTTCTTGGAGGACTGGCTCGAGAGTTGAGATTGGGGGACAGCCGGGGTGGGCGGCTTGGGGGACGGTTGGGATGTCGTAGGGAACGAGGTGGGTTGCGATTTTCGTGGCGGAAGAGGTGTTAATTGTTGTTGGTTGGCCGGTTTTGTCAAGTGACTGTTTGACGGTTGGGTTTTGGCGGTAGCTTTTGCTGTTAGTATGTGCTTGTCTCTTGGGGGTGAGGGACGTACAAGTAATTGAATGGGATATCCCCGTGGCTGTATGATGGTGGTGGTATGATGTCCACGTTGGAGATGGCACCCTTGGACATGTTGATGTCGAATTGTTTCATTTTTTCATCTGCAATATCAGTATATATATATTCGAGCGGGGATATCATACATACAGTCGAACGACAAGATATGATCACGGAACCGATTGGTAAATTCGCTAGACGACGTCGACCACACGAAATCCGGCATTCCTGTTCAGTCAGTATATGTTCAGCGTGTAGAAGTGTATATAGGCGCACACCTCGAAACACATGCGTCCGATTCACCATCCCCACCGGCTCAACCTGATACCTCCCAACATTATCCTCCAAACTTCTCCTCAAGTCTCTCGCACTACGCCTTGGACGTGCACCGTCCTCAGAAGACACCGTCGTCTCCGTAAACGGCTCCTCAGTCCCCCTCTTCCGTCTCCGTCCCGTGCGCCTGGGAACAGTCACTCTGAGCAGGACATTGTTCGTCTGGGAGTTAGTCGACTGCAAAGGCCTGGACATGGCATCTTCTGGGCGGAGGACCAAATTGGCTCTTGTGTCGGCCCTTGAGTTTAAAATCTAGACGTCTATTAGCTTGCGACTTCTATTCCATACTGGGAAGGGAGGGGTACCTTGGATATGCCCACGTTACCCTCGAGCGTATCGATTGCTTTATCGACATTGCGGATTATTGCTGGATGTTCGACGCTGGCGATATGGTGGGGTGGGATTGTGTAGAATGGGGCTGTTCTTTGCTCGCCTGACATGGTTATACATGTATTTGGGTTGCGTTGCGGTGGTAAGGATTTCCCGCCCTTTTTTTTTCTGAAGTACAGCAACACACTTTTATGTTATAAATTAAAACCAACCCTCTTGTCAAGTTATGAGTCTCTTGTGGACTGGTAGTCTTATGTATCTCTCGAGATTCCTGGAAGGACGAAGTAGCGGGTTCGATTCTCGGACAAATTAACCGGTTTATTCTTCTCTTTTCTTTTTGAATGGTCGGATGGCTTTAGCTTCCCTATTTCAGTTTAGCGCCCATTGCCGCTTGGCACCACCGTGGGTGCTCTATATAGAGATGCCTTCCATCGCGGCTTCAACTTCAACCAAACTTTGCTGTTTTTCCTATCACTTTTCGCGCCACTGGTAAACACTGACGCTCTCTGCAGCATGAGGAGCTCTATGGCAGACTCTGCTCCCCTCCCATGCAGCTGCATCCAATCAAAAACACAAATTAAAAGAAGGGAAAGGATGTGGCAGTTCCGGTTTAATCTTTATTCAGTATTTATCTGCATGCTTATCATATGAAGTGATGTACTACACACATATAAGCCTATCCATGACATGACGTGACAGTCACCAGTGTTAGTTGTGGGCATTTTCACATGAAAGCCCAGCATGTGATATACCAATACAGACATTGCAGCATTGGCTGTCATTGGAAAGCACGCTCAAATATAACGGCTAATCGGATATCGTGTAAGGCGGCTGTGGTAGCTTGTGGTGCTCTAAATCGAAAACAATATGACTACGGTCAACTCGTGAGTGGCACAGATCCTGCCAATGGTATAGTCCTTGCCCTTCCATCCATAGTGATTCATAAGATGCAGCAGTCGCAGCAAGGAAAGCACGCTGGCCCAGTTCCAAATAATGCCCTGGTAGACAAGATACTCAGCCGAGGCTCGTAAGCTTCGACATGTTCTTGATACGGATGCGAGACCTCTGGAAGAAAGATGCTTCCCGATTATTGGCCAGCAGTCTTGGGGTAGATGGCTGAAAGGGCTGGCTGTTGACCACAGTGGTTTATTCATGGCAGTGGTGGCACTAGTGATGAGAGTTATAAGTGTGCTTTAAGCATGACAGAGGGGCTATGAAATGGAAGTGTCAGGGTGCGGGGTCAGGTACGGATATATTAGGAATTGACGAACAGGTTAAGCTACAGGTCAGGCTATCTACAGATACATAGACAAGACGCAG